AAAGGGTAGAAGGCGGATGACCTGACGCTTGACCTGACCAAGCGTTCAAACAATCTATTGTTTATGAACTGCACACATGGCATATGGATATCCATGAAATTCCGAATGAAATTTTTGAAAGCTTTGTAAGAGGATAAAAGTTCTAGGTATGGCGTCGAGAGTTTCATGGGAAAATAATTGAGAAGTAAAATGAAGTCCTTCATTGCGATATCCCTATTCTTAAAAAAAACATGGTAAATTCAATAAAATAAAAATGTTTTATTTCAAAAAAATGTCTCTTATTTGTAGCTCATGTTGTTTCATGTATCTGAGTGAAATAAATATTCAATACACACAAGTACTAAAAATCACGAAATATATGTAGGAAGAATATGGAAAATATGTGTTCGGAACTTTTGGTGATGGAGGTAAGAGGACTCGCGGTCGTTATAACGCCCCTTTATTGAGTATAAAATTGAAATTCTGGGCGCTGTACTGTTCCAACATGGTGAAGCAGTTTATTCGCTGGTACTACCAACGGTCCACATTATTTCCCAACACTAGCTGTCACGCCGGGACTTTTTGGACAACTATTGTGGACCGTAACCCGCACGACGACTAACTCTTCGGTTATACCATGATTCAGCAGAGATTGTCTTCATCTTACTCTGAGGACTGAATTAATTGAAAAAATTGAAAATTGAAATTATATACAATCTGTTCAAAAATCCTCGCTGGGTTTTTGGAGCAGCGATTTATTTAATAGTTATCAAAATAAAAAGTGCTTTTATTTCCAGTGTTTTTTCATATAAAGGACTTCCGCGCCCACAAAAAATCACAAACAAAAATTTGAGAAAAATATATTCGAGACCAGATCGAAGTTTGTTCCGCTTAAATTCTTCAGCCGTGTTAAAAGTAATTTCCGCGAAATGCAAAATTATCTGACTCTCCAAAATTTAGTTACATTTTCTTTCCCTGGCAGCTATATCGGATTTCGCGGAACTATTTTAATCCCGGTCAGCTGTGAACATCCTTGATTTGCAGAACAAATGGAAAATGGAAATTTTTTGATGGCTCTAAGATCATTTTAAAGTTTGATTCAATTTTCAAATATTTTAACAAGAATCAGATCTGGCAAATTTGTTCCATGGTGAGAGCGGAGCTGCTCATTCTTATGGATAGTTCCTCTGAGTGAAAAACGGAAAATAGGTTGAAATTTTATTGATTTTTGACTTTTGAATGGAAAACCTGTAAGAAATGCGAAAGGCCAAGTGAATGGATCTCGAGCAATTATTTCTCGGTGAGGTCAGTCTAGAATCCACTGGAGACGATTCTGGCGCAAAAACTCATATTTCGAACTCCTATAGTTCCTATATCGGCCAACACTCGAAAAAAAGTCCATTTTCCTCATCGCAGCCTCTTTTTCATGAATTTTTTTTATTGGAAGCAGTCAATAAAATATTCTACATTCTTGATCCCTTTGTAAGATTTCTCCTTTGAAGTTGCGTTACTAGAATCGCTTTGAAACCAGCTTTTCACGAAAAATGTGTAAAAGAAAAAGCTATGTGGAAGTTCCCAGTTGGAAGTAATTTATTTAAAATGACTATCCAATAGTAATGCCAAACGAGGCAATCGCCGTCTTAACAAACACTGATGCTATCGATTAAACTGACCAAGGTCACCATTCCGTTGCCTGATATTGTGTTTCTCATGCGTTCAACTAGGTTCCTTATTTTCAACCTATTAGTGATTCCGATGCTGAACCACTCATTAATCTCTTTTTTTGTACACTTTCAGGCTTGTCAAAGGCTTCCACAGATGACGTTTCTGACCTGGATTATTTTTCTGCTACTCGGTAGAGCCACGGAGGCAGGACGAGTTCTGTTTCTTCCGTCGACTCTCGATCCAGTGCATCCGCAGACGATGGCCGTACTGGCAGACGAGCTTTCGAGGCGTGGTCACCAAGTCTCGTGGCTTGAGATCGGGCCACAGCAAGTACGTTCTTTTCTCTCTGAAGAACTTGTTCGAAAATGCAAAAAAATTGGATCAGAGATGAAAATCTCATGATTCCGAAAAGTATCGGTACTTTGTTGGCATAGAAATGTGAAGGACCCTTTATATTTTCTAGGAAGAAAATCAAAATAGCGCCTCTCCAAAATCGTAAAATGAAAATCTTAAATTCCCCGTTCAAATATAATTGGCATCGGTCTGAAAAAAATAAGTAGCTTTTAAACTCATTACTTTTTGAAAAACCATTCTTTGAAAAATCACCTTCATGTACATTCACATTTATTCAGTCTTCAGGGAAGATTTTCAACTCAAGCATGAAAATGTTCAGATAATTTTTTTCAACCGAAAAAAATTTTGGTTTTTTGTGCATTATTAGTTCTTTTCATTTGAATTGAAACTTGATAAGCAATGTTTTCAGTCCAAAACAGTACTTTTGAAAAACGTGACACGGGAGTTCTGGCCGGCGCAGCTGGGCGACCAAAGGCTCAACGAAATATATCTCCACCGGAACCACACAAACTACGGAAAAGTGGCAATTTTCGCATTTCCGTTCACTTCCGACTTTTTTTCAGCTTTGGAACGCAAAATTCACATGGGCGAATGAGCAGACGACGGGATGGCTGGCCTCGATCAAGATTTGCAACTCGTTGCTCTCAAGAAACCAGCAAAAGTTCGACGATCTAGTCAAGAAAAGGTTGTTCCATGTGAGAATACAGTGGTCTACTAGGATTAAAAGGAATATTTTAAAGAAGAAGAAGCAAAAAAATATATATATTTAGAATTGAATGGATAAAACGACTCGCAAGTTGGCGCAACGGGGCAACTTTTTTTGGTTATAGTTTTGAAAAACATATCAAGTTTTCATTCCGAAATGTTAAGTGTGTCAACATTTACACATAAATCTATGAAGTTTCCTTAGATAGGTGCAAAAAAGAGAAAGATAAAGCTATAAAAAGGATATTATACCAAAAGCAAGGAAAAAAACTGTTTTCTGTTCCAGATTCGAAACTGTTGTCGTGGATGACCTGTACAATCCATGTGGTCTTCTTCTGGTCGCTCTCCGAAGTTCAAAGCTTCCACGTTCAGACTCAAAAAAAAAGACATTTTCCAGAGTCCGTCTACGTGTACTGGAGCATGACGTCAATGCGAACCGAGTCGGCTTGGGCCAACCAAAGCCCGACTCCGCCGAGTTATCTGCCGGTTCCAGGCACAGGGTCCGTTTTTGCAATCAGAAAGATATCCTAGAAATTGGTTTCAGTTTCACCGACGACTTGAACTTTTTCGAGAGGACTATCAATGTGGCTTCATATCTCCGTCAGCTTTATGTCCACCAGCATCTCATTCAAAGGAGAATCGACGCCCTCTTCCAGGTTTGACGGTTTTCTGAGTCGAGTGAAAAAAGATGGTAAATGTTTTCTAAAGATTACAAAGATCTAACAAAACTATTTATCAATTTGAATAGTTTCTGATATGATCTATTTCGCATAAGTGTGTTGTTTTGAGGCATATGTATAAGGATCCATCAATGAAAACTCATTCACGAATAGGATTGAAATAAGGAACCCGGAAACTTTGTCCTTCAGAAGTTCTACCCGGGAGCGCCTTCAGCTTTTGAAGTTGAAAGAAACGCCTCCATCAATTTTGTGAACAATCCACCCATTTTCGACTTTGCGAGGCCCTTCATGCCCAGAGTAAACTTCGTTGGAGGCCTTCACTGCAAAAAAGCCGCGCCATTACCTAAAGTTGGTTTTTCTTATTATTCAATTTTCGTTTTTAGTTATTAGAACCGTGTAAGTCCAATCAGATTTAAAAAATTCCGGGGAAAAGGAAAAAAACTAGTTCGCCACGTCTGGAAACAGTATCCTCTGCGTCATTTTCCCCGTCGTCCTCTTTTCGCACCTGCGAGGTCATAGAAGCATAAAAAGCACGGAAAAATGAGAGCGCAGAGAAAGCAGACTTCTTAAATTTTTAGGGAATGAGCTTGAAAACATCTCAAATTCATTCATTTCCAGTAATTCTTTCAGGATTTGGAGGACTTCATTAAAAAAGGAAATAAGTTCGTCCTCTTAACAACAGGTTTCACGGCACAATGGACAGTGGCCCCTCCTGCCATCAAAGTTTACTCAGAAAAGTCTTCTGAACTCATCTGAAACTTTAAGGAAGCTTATATAAAAACGTTCCAGTCTCTGCCGAGTTTGCAGTTTATATGGCAATACAATGGCGAAGAGCTCCGGGAAAAACCGGCCAATCTACTGGTGCGGCCTTGGCTTCCACAGCAAGACTTGCTCGGTCAATATCACTTTTTCTTTTTTTTTGCGAATGTGAACATTTGGAGGACATCCAAAGTGCGCGGCACACGTGAGCCACGGCGGCCTGAACAGCGTGATCGAGTCGGTTTGGCATGGCGTTCCCGTCGTCGGCCTTCCTCTCACTTCGCGCGGTAGGTTTTCCTCCAGAAAGACTCCTTACATCGCAAGTTAGGAGAAAAAAGTTGAAATTTCTGATTTTCAACCGCCTTCTTCCTTTCCAACATACACAAATTACTGTTGATTAGATGTATTTTTGAAATGTTCTATTTTTCGTTTCAATAGTTTTCAGGCTACGATAACTTGCTGCGAGTGACTGCCAGAAACGCCGGCGTGATGGTCGAAAAAGAAGATTTCAACAGGGAGGGTATCACCTCAGCAATCACAAAAGTAGTGAAAGATCCGAAGTGAGAAAGTGACGATTTGACAATGCAAAAGGATGCGATTGCAGATTCCAGGAGGAGATGGAGATTTTCCAAGACATGGTAACGGACGTCCCTTTCACAGAGCTGTACCATGCCGCCTTCTGGGTCGAGTTCATCGAACGGCACCAAGAGGTTTTTCTAGAGATTCAAACAGTAGTTTGCCTTCATTTTAAATTTTACAGCTTTTGTTTTTGTTTTCTTGGATCATAGTTCAAAAAATAGAGTTGCACGGACACAAATCGAACGTCTCGTTATGAGTTTCTTTCGCTGATTATATGTGCTTGAAATATTTTTTTTGATTCAAAAAGAAAAGTATAAAGGAAAGTTCGTTTTTTTCTTAAAAATTTGCATTAAAGGTACCCCACGCGAGGTCAGGAGCGGACAAACTCAACGTGCTTCAATACTTTTTGGTCGACGTCATCGCTTTTTTCGCTTGTATCATCCTTCTCACGCTCCAGATTCTCTTTTTCGCAGTCCGAGGCCTCTTCCGAGTTTTGAGCTCCGTTTTCAAGTTGGCGATCGGTCAGAAGTCCACGCGTCCCATGACTCCAGGCAAAAAACGAAATTGATTATGAAAATGTTTCCCCATTACTTACGGGTTCCTTTTTTGATGATGAATAACTTTTTTGAGCTGTAATTGGTCACATTGTTTTATATCTGTCGTATGATTTTTCTCTTCACCAGGTACTGGAAGTTCACGTCTTCGGACTCCACCCTTTTTGAAGCGGAGCTCAGCAAATCGCTTCTATTGCACTTGGCGTAGAAGAACCAAAACGGCTAAAAATGTTATTCAGCCTGTCTATGCTCTTTTGACACATGGAAAACTTTTTCATGACGTCAAAAAGGAATTTACTGGTTACAAAAAAAGTATTTTTGATGCTCAAGTTGTAGCCCGTGTTTTGTAAGAAGGAAAAACTACTGCAGAGTTTTTGAAATGCAGGTTTTATCTTTTGACGCCGCCGGAGAAAGCGCGGCCGAAGGATCCCTGGCCGACTCTCCCGCAGCGACCTCTGCGGACGATCTTCGCCTGTATCCATCTACTCCCATTTATCATTTCATCACCTCATCAACACATTTCTGTACATATTTCTTTTTCTTCCTCCAACTCTCCATTTCTCTGAAAAGTTAAGATGAAGGTTGCGTACCTTCGATTCTTTTTTGCTGAAATTTTTGTGCTAATGCTAATTTTTCATAAAGGAAATCTGCATTAGAAATTGAGAAAATGAGCGAAAAAGTAAAACGTTTAGGAAACCTATCCCTTTCAGCTCATGTGAGTTTTACAAGTGAAACGTCGTAAGGAAAATCAAGGCAAACTTTGGGGGAAAAAGTGACTCTTAGCAACAATCTCCTGAAAATAGCCTCTCTCTCTCTCTCTCTCTCTCTCTCTCTCTCTCTCTCTCTCTCTCTCTCTCTCTCTCTCTCTCTCTCTCTCTCTCTCTCTCTCTCTCTCTCTCTCTCTCTCTCTCTCTCGTTCTTTGCAGCTTTATTGCGTTCTCTTTTTTTTTCTTTTTCCGTCCTAGCAACTTGAGCTTTTCTACGACCTTCCTCAAACTTTTTTTTTCCATTTAATTTGCAAGAAAATACTTCAAATAGGAAAAATGCATAGAGGCGCAGACCGTGTAGGAATGAAAGTTTAGATCGAGATTAAACGAGATTAGGGAAATAAGTCTTAAAAAAATTTGAAATGTCCGAGCAGCGATTGAAGTAACATTTCTAAATCACGGAAGCTCCCGACTCTGAGAACTTTTGCCCCAACTTTCACCGAATCGCAGTTCAAAAATACGGGGTAGGCGTCCTTTTCACAGAAAAAAAACATGCCTTTTTGAAATCTAAATTGCTGTTCTGAAAGTCTTGCTTTGATTTCAATAGCTCGCGCCTTCGAGAGACTCCTATGAAGAAAATTTCAAGTCCTATTAGATGGCGGTGCCTAATTACAAGATAATTAACTACCGCGTTCTAAATACTCTTCTTCGCGTTTTTAAATTTTTTTCAAATAGGGTCACAATAAAAAGGGCATAAAATAAAAAATTTCAGTTTTCCTGAAGCTTTTCATTTTTGAAACCAATCGGCGACTTTTTATCATAGGCAAAGTTGGAAGGGCCTTTTACGGACCCTTTGAGCGTTATGGGTGCAAAAATTTCCATTATTTGTTCCTAAACTGGTGGCAATGGTTTCCTTTTACTGCCGTTTTCCGTCGTTTCATCGGCCTTCATCTACCATTTTTCGACCCTTTTGAGAAAAACAAAGTTATTAAAACTGAGAATAATCTTTCCCAGGGACTGTGTATGAACTAAAATGTGCTACAGTAATACAATCGGGAATCATCAGTGGCCGAAATTTTCAGCACCCTTTTTGCGGCCTATTCCTATTTCACCCTTTTTTAAGGTTTTTTAGCCCACCATGAATAAAAGGCTCAATAAAGGCCGCAAAAAGGAACACTTTTAGCTGCCATTTTTCTGTTTTTTTGAAGAGTCAGAGATGATTTTGCAATTCGCGGAGCTTCAGGAACTTAAGAAACAGACCTAAAGCCCTATAGGGACGACCTAAATTTTACCTCTCTATTGAGCACTATTTTTCCCTCATGATCGCTGTTTTTTTTCCCTAACCTCTCTAGGGACCACTCTGGCGTCCTTAATTATGTTATACAAGCTATAATTTTTCTCATCAAAACATCAGGAGTTTACTTTTTTCTGCCCTTTTATTTTTTGATTTTGAGTTTAATAATATTAAGTTTTCATAAGTTAATTCATCAAGAAAGGATATGTTTTATTTTATTTCAATTTGATGGTAATGACTGTTTTAGAATCTGAACTTTTAAGGAATTAGGAACGTGTTAAATATCAGCGCAAGTAGAGAATGTCTACGAGAAAAGGCTGGATTCGGAACAAAGTGATTTCTGAACCAACGCTGCAAAACGTTGCTCCGTTCCCTTCCCTCCGACTCTCGTTTCCCTGCAAAAAAGGCAGCCCGAGGCGATTTGTCTGCGCTCTTGAGACGAGAGAAAAATCTGTAAATAGGAACGTCTAGGTTCTGTTTTAACTGATGTTCTATGGAAAAAAGCACAGGCTTTTTCGAAGGTTATTGTTGTTTTCCTAACTTCTAAGGTTTCTCTAGAGAAGCTGCTTGAGTTTAGAATTTATTTCTGTTTTGCTTTTTTTTACCATGAAAAAAGAAGCCGAGCCGAGACTGCCTAAATAATGAATTCAAATTTCCCCCTGCACAATTTCACTGAACCTAAAGTAAAAAATACAGTCGGTTCCCTGCCAGGTTTCCGCAAAACTTAGTAAGTTACTTAGAGGAACAAGTAAGTTTCAAAAGAATGACTGTGTGAAAAAAGAAAAAAATGTGCAGCGCTTCAAGAGTTTTATGTTTTGGGACAAACGGCACCATAATATAATAGAGACCTTAAAAACCAAAAAAAAAGGTAAAATGGGAATTTTGGGAGATAATTTTCGCCAGAAATGATCAAATGAATGTCGAAGGAAACTTGGAGCTGAGAACGGTCGGTGAGGTCTTGGAGAGCAGACACTTTGCACTTGGACGAGCGATCCAGCCAAGGACCGACGGCTCCTTTTTTGGCTTGGGTGCCGCCCAGCCTGAATGCGTGCGCCTTCCATTCTCTTCACGTAATCGACTCTTCTTTTTGCTGCGGCTCCGGCCGTGTTTTCTTCGTCTGCACAATTTCCATCTTATCTCTTGTCTGCACGTGTTATCCGTCGTTGTTTTAACACCTGCATCCACCCACTTTCCAAGTCTATCCATCCAAATCTCTTTTTCTTCTGTTTTTTTTTGAGGTCATCTGCTCGATTTGGTCCCAAAAACACAAACAAACTTGGTTCGTGCAATGTTTCTGCAAGATTTGTAGCTTCTTTTGCAGAAATACTCTTTTTTTTCCTCTGGTGATGTATTGGAAATAGTTTTTCTCGGAGAATCTCAGTCAGATATTAATAATTTCTTCATTCAGGAGATGGAACATTCGGTAAACTTTTATGAGTGGCGATCTACGACTCAGTCTTTTTTTTTACTGTTTGAATTTTTCTATTATGTCTTCTTGCCTTGGAATTTGTTTTGAGAGCTTCACTCAGCTCTGCACTGATGCTTCAAGGCGTTTAGAAAACAGAGAAATAGCAACAAAAAAAAATTCTTTTTTTTTTCAATTGCTTTTCACTTTGGAAAAACTTTAACCATTATTGTAAATTTTGATAAAAGCTGAATTCTAACAGCGAGAGAAAAGTTAGGGACCGCAAGCCATTTCTTCAGAACGATTCAAAAAATATGTTTTTTACATTGTTCGATAGAGGAGACTGTCCATTTTCATAATCCGTTTAGTTTTTGAAAAAAGCTCCACTAAGAAAAAAGTTATGGCCAAAAAACGAGCGCGCTCGGCGTTCAACTGGAGGCGAAATCTCACGGTTTACCCGCTGCCGCACACTTTCTTTTTAAATGTTTTTGCGCGTTTCTGGACCGTTTTTAAATCGGTTTTCTGTTCTGTGAGGTTGGCAGAACTGAGCTTAGCTTTTTGGTATAAATCTTTTGTACAATCCTCATAAGAATTTTTGATAAAATATCAAAAAACTACCTAGAAAAAAGGTCAAAGGGATTTTTCAGCTTATTTTTCTTTTTTCTACTCAGAAAAATTATTATCATTCGATTTGGAAATAAGAAAAAATAAAAAATAACGTTATATCGAAATAAAACAGGAAAAAGTGCAATTTGACTCCGAAAAACGGCTCCTGCGACATTTAAAATGGCGCATCGGTGTGTTTGACGCAAACACTGCTACGGACACTTGCACGAAATCTTCCGAAATTTCAAAAAAATTGCCATTTTTTTCGAGGTTTTTCAAAGCCGTTATTTTTTTCGCGTCAATCGATTTTTCATAATTTTTTTCATTGATATAGTTTTTGAACGCTTAACAACATAATCAAAAAAATATAGACGCGATCCTATTCTCTCATGCGTCAACGAGGCAGACGAAAAAAAGGAGGTTTTTGGTAAAATTCAAATATAATTTGATTCGCTGTCCCAATAATTATTTTTCATTTTGAATTTTTTTGTTTGTGAGCACATTGTGAGTTTTTTTGAATCAAATAAAAAGTATACCATGTCGCTGAAAATTTTTCGCATTTCAGCTTCAAAGTTTGCTGTCACTTTACAAGCTTTAATATTTTTTTCGCGTCGGTAGATTTTTTTCATTTTCACTCAAAAAATAAAGAAAGTGTTAATGTATAACATACTCAAAATTCAGAAGCGTTCCTCACTTGGTTTTCTGAAACGCGACGATTTTGTGAAACTTGTCAGTTTTTTTCGTGTTAAATCTTACTTTTTCGCTTAATTTTGAAAAATACATAGTTTTAAAAATATTGAGTCTTGTAGAGCGTTGTCGATTACATAGGTTAACAGAAACAGTTCATTTTTAAAGAGGGACTTTAGCTAGTATAAACGCCTCAAAACCGTTTTTGCAACAAAAAAATCGTCATTTTGGTGGCGTGAAGGGGCGGGGCTTTGCGCCCCCTAAGAAAAGTACAAAAAAAAAGAATTTCTTTTCATAGAAAGATAAATGTCTTTTTTCGATTAAACTAAGAACTGAACACACAAAAATTATTTTTCCTCTAAATAATTCAAGCTAATTTATCGCTTTTAGACAATTTCATTTTTGAAAAAAGTAAGATATTCCATTAACCAAGACTTGGAATAATCTGACCTTCCAGCTTTTTTTTTCGATCACCGACGAAATCCAAGCCTGTGATAAGCTAATAAGATTCATCTAATCCGTATGTCAAACTTTTCAGAGTTCTTGAAGAAATGATAATCTTCCAATTTGTAAGAATGATAAGGATGAATTTGTTTTTTTTCTTTTCATATTGACGTTTTTCAGTTCAATCTAAAAAAAAATTTAGTATCCGATTTCATGTTCTTTCCGGAGAATCGAGAATTTTCAAGGTATAAGCAGCAAGTTTTCCGAGTCACACGACATGAAAGCCACCATTTTTCTTCCAATAACGCTTCACAAGTTTCTGTCGACATGATGAATCTGACTTTGCTGCTTCGAATGAGCGGAAGAAGCGAGGTTGCGAGCAGAGCCATCGCCTGCATATCGCGGAATTATTCAGTGAATATCTCTCCTACATCACTCCCGTTTCGTTTTCACCTTTTGCTCTTTGCTTCCTCCCCTCGCCACTTTAACATCTTAGTTCTTGTTAAACTTGCTTCTGAAAACATTTATGATATTGCGAATAATTTTTGACGATGCCACCCTGAAATGATGATAAAAAATTTTCTTTAGCACATTCCTTACCAATACTACGAACTATGCTCCGTTCATGTTTTCTCGCTTCAAACCATTTCACAAAAAGCCATTTTTTTTGCAGTCCAGTTTTCAAAAGAGACCTCATAACAAAGGCCAACGAGCCAATGAATTAAAACCATCAAGAAAGCTCAAGAAGTGTGTGCACCCCGGCATATATACCATGGTTGATAAGTGAAAATGATCACTAAATGAAATTCGTCGGAAGACTCCGATGAATTTTTTTCTCTTGGTATATAATTCATACAACAACAAAATCACCCTATGATGCTTCCCCGAAGGCACTTTGATAATGAATGAAATGAAAATATTAAAAAAAAACCGTATTTCTCTTTTATTTACTTTCATTCTTCTATAGTATACTGATCTTCGGACCTCGGTATACACCCAACATAATTGCCGATATCGCAGCGGGCCGCACGCGATATAGCCAAAGGCTTCTGCTGCGACCTCGTCAAAGTCTCGCTGCCATATCGCTCCCTCTCAAAAAAATATGAAATTTGAAAAAAACATTTTTTTGCTTTATTTTTTTGACTTTTTATGATGAAGTCAATCAAATTCAAGAAAAAAACATTTTTTTGAAGAAAAAAATTTTTCAGAGAGCGATATAGCGCAAGACGTTTGCGAGGTCGCAGCGAGAGGCGAGCGATATCGCTCGCGGCTCCCCGCGGTATAGCGTTACTCTCGCTGCGATGTGTTCCGGTTACCAAGGTCCGAGCGAATGTGAATAATGAAAATAGGAGAAAAGACGCTCCGACCGACACTTTCTCAGCAAATATTTGTAACACTGATCGGCGCAATTTTCGGCGCTGACGTTTAAAGAGATTTCCTGTTTATTTAATCTTCTTATTTTCATGTTTGTTTTGTTTTTTTGATCAATGCAACTTTATATGGGTCGAGAACGGACTTCTTATGAATTTGTACATCTCAAGCAGTGATAGCGGGGAGCCGGATTTTTTTAGCACCAATTTTTGCACCTAAAATTAAACATCGCCATTTTTCATCTGGAAATGTTTATTTGAAAACTTCCTCAAAAGCGTTTGAAACAGGTTTGAAAAGTGAGCAAAGATGCGTATAAGTAATATAAAATAATAAAACAAAGGGTTTCAAAGGGTTTTTCTCATTATGAAAGCAAAAATAAAAGTTTATAACATTTATAAGCTGAAGCTGAATAATAGCTACATGAGCTACCCGGTATCATACGCCAGAATACCTGGTATAGGCCATTCCGCACTAGCTCGTCACGTTTTTCTTTCCGCCAAAAGACCAGGTCAAATTTAAAGGCATAGGGGCAGTAAAAAACGGTGTTTCAGTTCAAATCAGTACTTTGTAGAGCTTTTCATTGCGAATCGAACGGGGAACTTTGAAACGTACAGAACTTCCTAGTTTTGGAGAAAAAATAATCCAAAGTCGAAGAGAGGAATGTTTTGCCGTGTTCAAAGTGATTCCGCGAAATTCAAAATAGCCGTCAGAGAAAGAGAAAGACAACTAAATTTTGGAGGGTCAGAGACAATTTCGCATTTCGCGGAAATTACTTTGAACACGGCATTTGAGTTCCCGCGAAAAGGGCGCTTTGCAGTAAAGTTGCTCTATGGACAACAGGCTTCGCCATTTGTCGGAATTTCGCTTTTTTCTTCGTTTCTTTCAATTTTCAATTTTTTCTGTTGTCACTAAAGTCTTTTTCGTCACAAAAGCTTTCTATTCAGATATAATTTGCAAACTTTTCTCGCAAAAAAGCGTTTCTGGTGAAAAATGATGATTTTACACAGGTTTCGATTGGGATAGCGATTATTTGTATTTTCTTTATTATCAATGTCTGTTTTCTGTTTTCTTAATCGATTTTTCAGAAAAGAAATCCTTAATTTGAAGCAGATATCCGGTTATTTCTCACAAAATGCGAGTCTAATGAGACGTCCGCAACATCGCGTGCAAGGCTACTGTAAACAGTTGTCTGCATACCGATCCAAAGCATTTTTCAAAATTAAAGGCGGGAAAGTAAAATCGCGTTTTTCTTCTAAAGTTGTCACATCTGTAATTTTTTCGAGTACACCGTTCGATTCGCAAAGAAGAATTATATAAGATACTGCTTTAACCTGAAACCCCATTTTTTACTGCCCCTATGCCTTTAAGAAGAGGCCTCCGGTAACATCCAGGTACGATATGCCTACCGGAGCTTGCTCTCTGTGCAGTGCACATCATATTTTTCTATTTTTCTTCAGAAACTATTATTCTCCGAATTGGCCTGGAATGAATTTGATATGAAACAAAAAACTGGAAAAGAATTTTTACGTTGCACAAATCTCCATTTTTGTGAGATATATTTTCTACTCTAAGTACCTTTCTTAATTGTTTAAGGCCTTGAATCGATAAGTCGTTCGCAGTGTTGTTTTTTGTGGGATGTTTGAAACAACCGTCAGAGAATTAAAAAAAGAGCCAAATTTTGGAAAGACGCAGATAATTTTTGATTTTTCAAAGTTATTTCGAACACCTGAATAGGGTAGAAAAGTGCCGAAGCGCAGAATCTCGAAAACCGAAGAAAAATTTTCATGATTCGAAACGGCTCTGCATTTGAAAAACTTGAAATACTAAAAAAATTTTTTTTACTTTTTTTTCGCTCTGTATCCAACCTTGTTAATAAATATGGCATTACCAAAGACTTACAAAAGAGTCAAACTTTCTTTTTACTTCTTGTTTTTCTATGGTTACACAGTTGCAAAAATCTAAGGCTTTAACAAGATTAAAAATCAAAAAGGGATTTCTTACATAAATTTATGAATAAGTTCGGTTTTTTTCTTGCAAAAAGAAAAAAATAATTCTGCAGGTTTTCTTCTCCACAAGATACCGAACAAAAATTTTAGAAAAACGTCAGGTCATGTTTATGAAATGAATAGGTATTTCTTTAAAGTTTTTTTTTTCTCTTCCTAATTAACTGGGAAAGGTGGAAAAAGACAATTTACTGGTTCCCAAGGCGATGGCAAAGCGCCATGTGCTAGCTTCTCTACTGCCTAATAGACGGAAAATTCCAATTTCTTTCATTGTTTGCTCAGTTTTTCGGCTTTTTCCAATCGATTTTCAATTCGGTTTTGATTTCCTAGAATAGGACACTTTGTTTTTTGTTTTGCTTCCACCTAATCTAGATTTGAGTTTAAATTTTGTAAATATTCTCGTTTCAGAAAAACTTGCCATTTTCTCTTAGAATGTTCAGTATCTATTGGTGTCTGCTTCATTGGAAACTGTCATTTTTTTTCTTTTATCAGAAGTCACTATCTAAATAGTTTCCTATGATTTCGTTCGCGCCTATCATTTCACAGTTTCAACGGTTTGAAATTTTCAGCGCAGACCCACAGGAATGAGTTGAATGTTCTCTGATAGAAGGAAATCGCACTATGATTTCTGCTTTTCCGATTTCTTGGCGGAGAGGACGACGCCGGAAGTCCTTTCCAGAAGAACGCACTTCTTTTGGATTCTCTCCTTCTTAGCCTTTTTTCCTGTCGCTTTCGCTGATCATTCGGATACACTTGTGGTTCTTGATCAGAAAGATAGTGCGGTTCCAGATTATCGAGTCAAGAAGGTTGGACTTTTTTTTTTAGAAAATTCATAAAATTAGAAAAATTGAATGATGAGAATCAAATCGGTCAAAATAAAAACGGTATGCACAGAATCATCTATGATCAATTTTCGAACGTTCTGCTGAAAATGTTTAACTTATAATGTTTTTTTTTCAACTTTTTATCACTTGAGTAATTTTGCAACGAATCATTGTATCTTGCAAAATTAGGGAATGGCGAATTAGTTCTGCAAATAAATTGCTCAAAAAAAAACTTCTGGAAAGAAGGGCACAAGTCCAATAAAAGTTTGTAACTTATTCCGTTCGATCTTCATTATTGTTTTTCAGTTGCCCGAAGAGAGTAAAGTGAACGACTCGAATGAAATTCTTATCAGCTACACTTCTGCTGTTTCGACCATTGATGGGAACATCGATGATATTTTGAGCAGCATCTCTGTGAGTAGTTGGGAAATCAAGTTTTATGCAGAAAACTGTGTACTCGAATTTAGCAACCAAAGAAAAGCAGTACATCGGATGATCGGGAGACGTTTTCAAGAAAGATGAACGATTTTGCGAGTTGCCTCAGCACCGACTTTTATGGTATTCCGGTCATGACTTTAAAAATTTTTTTCCGAAGTTTGAAAAAAAGATATCAAAAAAAGACTTATAGAGATAAATTGGAATATTTAATATAAAAATCGTTCAATTTAGTGGGGTAGCTTTAAGCCAGTCGCTGTATTTTGTGTATTTCATTCCAAATTTTGGTAGAAATCAAAATCTATGGTTTTCTGTTTTTTCTGTTCATCCATTTTATCAAGGATCAATCATATCCGGAGCGTTGGTTGTGGCGGTGGAAGAAATTAACAACGACACGACTTTACTACCGAACCATACACTCAAGTATATCTTTGGGAACACATGTGGAAACGATACCAAAAGTTTGTCCGCATTTTTCTTTCTTTTTGCAACGAATTGACGAATTCAATTGCTGCAACTACGGAATCATTTACATTCTCAGATTTTTTTGACGAATAGGGAATTTTCGAGAAAATTTGTTGAATTTTGAAAATCTAGAAATTCGTTGCCCGTGGCGGAAAATAAAACGTTTGAGTGGCAACAACATGGCCTTAATCAATTTTCTTTCTAGTTTTCCAAGTCTCTTTTGTTCTTTGGCCATTTTTCTTCTTTCTTGATGGAAAAAAAAATAGGAATTTAACAATGAAGTTCGGAAACGTATCGCCTAGGCAATTGCTTAAAGACGATTTTCAGGTACGAAGCTGTTCATGAACCACTGGCAAGCTGGTGCGCGGGTCTTCATTGGCCCAGAAAAGAACTGCAAAACGGAGGCGGCTATGGCTTCAGCCCAGAATCTTCCCATAATCAGTTACCGCTGCAACGACCAGGAGGTCTCTCGCGAGGAGTCAGTTTCTTTCCCCTGTCAACTCTTCCACTCGCCTCAGTCTTCTAGTCTATTCTCATTCTTTGCAGCTACCACTACAAGACGTTCGCCCGAACCGTTCCGCCTTCTGGAGAAATTTTCAAAGCTTTTCTCTCGCTGTGCTATAAATACAACTGGCGCAAGTTCTCGGTGGTCTATGAGATCAAAAAAGGCCACAACGAAATGTTTGAAACCCTCAAGGTGCCTTTTCTCGGCTTTTCCTTATATTTACGGGGCTTGCTTCAGCGCGTCATCGAGCGGGAGAATCTTTATCTGAACGACGAAACAAAGTTTGAGATTATGAACGCTTCTCTGGTCGAGTTTAGCGAGGTCAAAGGCGCCGGAAGCATCCAGGAGGCCATCCGAACCACCAAGGAGACGACACGAAGTCTGTTTTTGCTACTATGTCACCTAGAAAGAATTTTTACAAGGCTTAAATTAAATAGTTAGATTCGATTTTGCTAAAGAATGTATGTCTTTGCGAAACGGAGTACTTTGAAAAATTTAAAACTCTTTTTCTGTTAAATCTCATGAACTTTTTTTCGGACATTTTTTTGGAGCTTGTCTTTTTTTTGCTCTGAAACACTATTGGAAAAACTCAAATTTTATAAATTAGTATTTTTTTTAGAAATTTTCTTGTATGAAAAAAATAACGAAATCCTCGTTTTTGGCTTCGAAAGAGTTTCAAAATCAGAACATTTATTACATCGGGAAATAGTATTGAATGTGTCTCAAAAAGGTTAATTTGTCAAAGAATTATGATTTTTTTTTGTTGAATCTCTGTTTTTGAAGCTAAAATATTCCAGTTTAACCCTCAGTTTTCGGTTATTCTAACCACTCGTGAGAAAAAAATGGTCTCTGTTTGAGTATACCTTGCCTTCGACAACGTTCGGCTGTTCCGAAAGATCTTGGCGACGATGGGGGACATGGGATTGACCGAACTGGACTATCTGCTCATTTACCTCGACACCAGCTATGATTGGCTCGACGTCTACCACGCAATGAACAACCATTTCCTCCGCAGTTCGTTTATTACTCTCACAGGTGTTTCGAGATAGACTTATTTTACTCATTTGGTTCGGGTTATAGAAGAAGGCGACATATAATCATAACAGAAGCAAGTTTTATTTATTCAATTTCACTTCCATAGTTCAATTAGAATTGAGCACGTGAAAGTGATTCGTTGAGTATTCCCTTGAGAGTGTTAAGAATAATTCAGGGAATTTTCGACTTGATAATATTTAGTCCTCCTGGGGTATTTCTGAATGAGAAATTTGAACTCATCTCGAGAATTTTAGCCTGGAAGAGCCAGCTCAGAATGATAAAAAGTTTTAGTCCATAATTTTTCCGTTTCAAGAATAAACATGGGAATATTTGAATTCGAAAAGTTTCAACACGAAAGTTTGAATCCAACTTTGTGTGCTCTTCTATTTGGTACTCAAGTTAATTTTATATTTCTCGGCTTATTATGTTTCTGTAGTAGAGAATGAAATGGAAGAAATTTTATATTGCTTTTTATAAGACTTTCGTTTTTGAAAAGACTTTAAATACGTGTTTAACTTGAATTTCAGGCCAAATTTGGCCGCTGTCTACGTTTATTTTGAGCTTTCTGACATGATCCTCTCATCTTTTCAGACACGATGAATAACCTACAACAGTCTTGGGACGCGACAAACTCTTCGGACAGGAAAATGGTAGATTATGCGAGGTCGGCTTTGGCCATCATCCCGACTCCAGTCAAACTCACTTCTCAGAGGTCGGTTTCCTTGAGGACAGTGTTTGAAGGCTTCGAGTTGAGATTCCACAATTTCTGGAGCAAAGCCAATGAACATCTCCACTACTTCGGCGTCCAGAAATCCGGTGTTCTCAATGTCAGCATAAAGGTGCCCGTTCTTTTCCAAGCTCAGACTTCCCTTTTTTTTTTTGAATAATCTATCATTTCTCAAAAACTTTGAAATGTTCAGAAAGTCTGTCTTAGTGTGGAGCACAATAGGTTTTTGTTTAAGGTTAGATATATAAGTGTTCATCAACTTTTCAAGCCAAGAGAGAAGAAATATCTTATATTTTTCTAGTTAACAATGACGTTAAGGCGAATCGTATAGCTTGCTACTTGTATGACGCCGTGTACCTTTACGCTCGAGCCGTGCACGAATTGATAGAAATTAACTCGAAAGACGCCATTAACGACGGAAAATTGATAATTGATCGGATCGTCAACAGAAAGTATCGAAGTGAGTTTATGTACCTTTTCGAATTGAGCGGAGGTTGAACTGAGTTCGTTATTTTTTTTCTAACGAGGAATGTCAACAGCTGAGGAGTAACTCTTGGAATTGAGAGTTTTATTTTTTATTTTTAATGAAATTGATTGTCTGCTGCACATATAAAACAACTTCCCAGGTTAACTCCGGTCTCGGAATGCTTTGAAAACCCAAATAACAGAGAATTTATTTTTAACATGAATGGGTTAGAAAAATAGTAAGAGAATGCATTCGTCAAACTGCCGAAAAGCACATAAAGAAAGATTATCTTTAAACTACAAGCAAAGAAAATTTTATTCTTGGCGAAGGACACTATGTGGCTTTTTTTGTAGTAGAAACAGTCGACATTTTTGCTACGGTGGAACTACCGACTGGAAACACTGTAGAACTGCCGGTTACGGTGGATCGATGAGCGTTTTTGAGGGCGTTGTGCCGAGCAACGGAGTTGATGGCGTTGCCTCCAGGCAAAAAGCCGAGATCCTCTCCATTTTGAGGATCAGGAGTTGGTTCTGCTCCTTGCGAGAAATGCAAGAGACTCAACAGAAAGAGAAATGAAACGAACAAGGAAAGTCGCATCCTTTCTAGAAAACTGAAATAAGTTTCCTCTCTTTTTGACGGCTCTGTTTGTCGTTGGCGAGATGTATGATTGTGTACTCACACGCTATTCGAAATCACCTTTTCGATTCTGAGTCAACACATAAACGATTTTGACTGTTTCATATTGTGTTTCTGATGTCATTTCGTAAATATGATGAAACGATCTCGATGGTTCTAGAATTTGTGAAGAATTCCTATAACTAAACAGTCGCGAAATTTCCTCGAGTGTGAGCAGATAAATCTAAAAGAAGTTTTATTGAAGGGAATGTTTTCAATAATATTTTTCAAATATTTATTTTCAGGCATCCAGGGGTTTGACATGCGAATAGACGAGCGAGGCAACGCCAAAGGAAATTACACACTTTTAAGTTGGCAAGTAGTCGAGCCGGTAGGTTTTGAATTGAAAAAGTGTTCGCCCTGGACTCATCAGCGCAAAAGAAATTCAGCCAGCCAAATCAGCGCAAAAGAAATTCAGCCGGTTGATTGAAATTTCGGTTCTTTTTTTCGAATGATTGATGTTTTTAGTGGTGGTTTTCTGGGAAACTTGTTATTAAAACAGGCTCTAAATATAAGATTATCATCTTAGGACGATACAAAACGCTGCTATGATATGAATTCGTTTTTTTTTTTTAAAGAGAATGAACGATTCCGACCTGAAGTATTATCCGATGAGTCATGCTCTCGATATCACGGCGACTTTCGTTGAGCCGGAGGAAGGCGCCCGACTTCCACTTTTGGAGTTTGCATTTTCATTCAATTTTTGATTTTAAGAATTGCTTAGTGAATATTTCAATGTTTATGTTTATCTTTTGATTCTTTGCAGGTTTAAGAGAAAAAAGATCCACTGGCCTCTGGGACCACCGCCGCTAGACGAGCCTCCCTGTGGTTTTCGCGGAGAGAAGTGCATTGAAAATTCCAGTTTGACTTTTTGTTTTTGCACTCGAGATTCTGTATTTAAGATCACGTGACTTTGATTTTTGCCCTTCTTTTTGTCTTTCTTGGAATAGGTAGCGCAGCTGCTGCTGGCTTGTCGTACAGGTAGAGTCCCATTGTAGAGATATATGTTACTCGCTTTTTTCCCAGTGCACGAAGTCGCAAATTCGAAAAGGAGCTCTCTATGATTTGGCGGATCGACTCGCGCGAAGTGCATCGCATCGTTCGCGGCAACGGATCGGCGACATCCCTTCTCGCCCCAGGCAACGAAGTACGCAAAAGTTCCAGTTGGGACTCGCTCAACAGTTTCCGAGTGCAAATATCCATTTTTCTTCTGCTTTTTTTTTAAGAATCGCAGAACCGTGAACTTTGCTCATATTTGCTCTGACAATGGGCATTAGAAAGGTTTTGAACGCGTTTGAAGTCACTACAGTCAGGATGATTCTTATGGCAAGCTGATGTTAATTTAGAACTAGTTTTTCGGAAATAAAGGAAAAGTTCTCTGGCACGATCACTAAGTCCTGGTAACAGTGGCGTGCCCACTAAGCCCTGGTAACAGTGGCGTGCCCAAAACAGACCAAAATAATATCACTGTGTAGATATGTTCACTGGAGTTTTTTTTGTTTTTTTAATAACCTTACGTTAAGTAGCAAAACTTCCGAATATGTTGAACTTCTGAAATTACGATTAACTCAACAGCCAAATTCTCTTTGTTGATTTAATCCTTAGCTCCGGTTTTAGACTTCAAAAACCTTCTGCAGGTGCGCGACGAGTCTTGGTTCGGCTCGACAAAGATCCGAGGTTCTGGACTGCGAGGCGTCGCTTATTACAAAGGAACTTTGGTTGCTTTGAAAGGTTGTCCATCCTGGTCTCCTTCGTCAAGTTTGTACTTCAGAAATAACCTACGACAAAAAGCCTAAGGAGCTAACTCGAGCTCTGAAAAAAGAACTGCGGATCATGAGACAGCTTGCAAATCCAAATTTGAATAATTTCATGGGTAATTCTCTGAAATCGAATCCAGAACTTTTTTGCTCCAGGAATAATTTTGTGTCCAATATCGGTGTGTTCGGTGCGGGAATTCTGCACAAAAGGCTCATTGATGGACATTCTGCGCACCGAAGACCTGAAACTCGATCACTTGTACATCGCCTCTTTCATCGAAGATCTCGTCAAGGTTGCCGAGTTCTGATCTTTCCCCGAGAACCCTCGTTTCAAGGGAATGATCTATCTGCACGATTCGGAGCTCCGAGTTCACGGCAACTTGAAATCCACCAACTGTCTGATCACCTCTCGCTGGGCTCTACAAGTGATTCTTCTTCTGTTTTCAGCTTTGTTTCTTCTTTTGGAATATGTTTTGAACTTCTGCAACTTTCTCGTTGCAGATTGCTGACTACGGTCTTTATGATATCCGAGACGGAATGCGCTTTGAAGATTCCGACAGCATGGTAAGTTAGTGCCCTGTGTTCGTTTCTCTGGAATTTAACTCTTGAGCTGGAAAACTGATTGATGTGTCTTTTCAAGTCTGATTTTTTTTTTCTAGTGGGAGAACTTACTTTGGACGGCTCCGGAGTTACTGCGCGTATCTGGAGACACGATTCAAAAGAATCGGCCTACGCAGAAGGCGGACGTCTACTCTTTTGCGATTATTCTGCAGGAGATCTTAACGCGAGAAGGGCCGTTCCGTATTTGTGGCAATGTCGAAAACCACAGCGAGCGTTAGTTCATTTTTTGAACTGTTCTGCAGACTAACCATTCGAGAAAGGAGTTTTTTGTCCTTTTTTCTCGTTGTGTCTCGTTTTTTTTTTTTGGTTTCGACTTGTTTAAGAAAATTGGGGAAGAACTTGGTGCTTAAAAATTTATAAAAAACTAAATCGAACACAGTTTTGTGAAGAAGCCTGCGTCTTACATAAATAAAATTTCATCGCTTTGAGTTTTTTTGCTGACCAGGGAACGTTTTTTACCCCCTGGTTGAACTTTTGCTGAAACTTTGCTGAAGTGTACTTTAGGACCCCCTGATTGCAGATCAAGAAAAAAATTTCTCGCAATAGATCTTGTTTCCGAGTTATGGAGCTTCAAAGTGTGCAAAATACGCAATTAGGCCAAAAAAGCGCTATTTCGGGCTTTTGAAGTGTCCTATCTCGAAAACGAGATCTATTGCGAGAAATTTTCTTCCTGTTCTGGAATCAGGGGGTCCTAAAGTACACTTCGGCAAAGTTTCAGCAAAAGTTCAACCGGGGGGTAAAAAACGTTCCCTAGTGAGTAAAATACAAAGAGGTTGATCAGCCTCTTGAGAATCTGAACTCGGACCTTGCGGACGGGAAAGAAAAGAACTTCAGCTGAGCTTTTCTGAGTTTCCTCTTCAACACGTTTTTTCAGAGGTTGTTCGCCGCATAGCGATAGATCCTGACTTCCGTCCGCTTCTGAACGGCATCATCGTTCAGAACTATGTGCTAGACACGATCCGACAATGTTGGGCGACTTTGCCTGAGCACAGACCTGACTTCAAGCACGGCGTCCGCACTCGTCTGAAGCCTCTCTTCTCTCAGATCTACAAAAGAAATATTATGGTTCTTTGCAGTCTGCTCCTCTCATCACGGCCTTTTTCTTCAGGACCACATGATTCTGATGATGGAGAGATATCAGACACATCTCGAGGATCTTGTCACGGAAAGGACTTCCGAACTCCGCGAGGAACAGGAGCGAAGTCAGAGGCTTCTGCAGCGGATGTTGCCAAGGTTATTTGATTTTTCAATTTCTATGTTCTTTTATTTTTGTTTCATCACGTTTCGTAGGCCGACGCGTGAGCTGCTTTTAAAATTCAAAATTTTGTGTACAAACATCATTTTTCTCCTTTTCCTTGAAAGTTTAAAACGTAGTAATCCAAAAAAATTAGGAAAAAAAAAGAGATTCCGGGTTAAACGCTTCTTTTTGAAAATAAAAAGCTAGAATTTTCACACTTTGAGCGCGCTTTTTTCTCCAATTCCCAGGTCGCGAAGTTCACGACTTTTTCCTGCATAAGATGGCTTCAGAAGCGTCGCCAATCAGCTTATGTGCGGCGGTGACGTCACACCGGAAGCCTTCCCGCCGGTGACCATCTACTTCTCGGACATCGTCGGCTTCACTCGCATCTCGGGAGAGTCGACCCCCATGCAGGTAGCTCTGCGTCATCTTTCTCCACCGGGAATGTCGATTCAAGGTCGTCGCCTTCCTCAACCAACTCTACACTCTGTTCGACAGCGTCATCCGACTTTACACCGTCTATAAGGTTCTAGACGTTGCAACTCGGAAATTTCTGACGAATTTCTGATCAGGTGGAAACGATTGGAGACGCTTACATGGTGGTGTCCGGAGTCCCCAAATACCAGACAGAAGAGTATCATGCTGAACAGATTGGTGGGTATCCCTGTTCTCATGTTTGAAACTCTCGTATCGTAGCTCATGTTGTCCTGATTTTAGTGGGAAATTTGAAAGTTTGGCTCTTCACTGTTGTTTTCAAAGGTGAATCGGGAGGTCGACGCCAGTAGATACCGGGTAGCAACCGCGCATAAGGTAGCTACTTATTAGCTACTTCCATGATACCGGAAAGCATATGCTCGTCAGAGATCATACCCGGTACCATCGCGAAACCTCTCTGGTAGTATCCAGATACCATAGAGATAGTACCCGGTCGCATACAAACGACCACCGATTTCCATAAGCCGTTTGATTTCATGTTGCTACCCGTTACCTACTTGTATCGACATCCAATTGACCAGTATACATCGATCTTACTAGGGAATGGTCTCCATTCGCAGTGGGACTTCTGAATGAGACTAAGCTCACTAGATGTAGTTTTTCACGCTGATTCCAAATCTGATCTCAAAAACTGCCCTCGAGGTCTGTGAAAAAAGTTAGGGGCTCTCAAAGTCGAAAATTTCAATTTCTCCGATTGAGCTCATTTTTGGAGGGTATATAGATCTCGTCCTTCTGGTCACGAAAAACCAATGAAGTTTCCACAAAAAATTTTGGAGCCCAGATATGACCTTTCAAAGCCACGCCTAACACAAGAGCATGCGAGCGCGGTGTCCTATTGCGATCCCGCGACCGTCGAAGCAACGGCAGCGAGGAGCAGTGGTAGGGCGGCGGACTGGGGATCACGAGGTCATAGGTTCTGTCCCCGTCCTCTGCAAATTTTTTTTGCAATCTTTTTCGTTTTTGAAACTTTTGTGTAAGTGCTCCTTTCTTGAGTTTTGAAGCGTAGAATCATGAAAAAACTTCGTTTTGAACCTATTCGAACAGCTGGACTTCTTTTTGTCGAAAATTTTTTTGCAATCTTTCATTGAACGGAAATTTTCGAATCTAGACCAAAGTCATCACAGCTACGCAGATAGATAATGCGAAAAATTTTTTTAATAATTTTTCAGACTGCGGTGCTCACTTACTTCTTTACTAGAAAAAGTTCAAATTTATTCCAGGTTTTTTTGCTGAAACTTTCAAGGAGGCTCCCTTTGATTCGTGAATAAAATTACTAGAAAAAAAATTTCCGTTCAATGAAAGATTGCAAAAAAATTTTGCAGAGGACGGGGACCGAACCTATGACCTCGTGATCCCCAGTCCGCCGCCCTACCACTGCTCCTCGCTGCCGTTGCTTCGACGGTCGCGGGATCGCAACAGGACACCGCGCTCGCATGCTCTTGTGTTAGGCGTGGCTTTGAAAGGTCATATCTGGGCTCCAAAATTTTTTTGTGGAAACTTCATTGGTTTTTCGTGACCAGAAGGACGAGATCTATATACCCTCAAAAAATGAGCTCAATCGGAGAAATTGAAATTTTCGGACTTTTGAGAGTCCCCATAACTTTTTTTCACAGGCCTCGAGGGCAGTTTTTGAGATCAGATTTGGAATCAGCGTGAAAAACTACATCTAGTGAGCCTAGTCTCATTCAGAAGTCCCACTGCGAATGGAGACCATTCCCTAGTTAGGAAAAGTATATGATTAGATTTTTTTAAAAAGTTCCCAAGACTATTTTTTTAGTATTCAATTCAGAGTGGGATTCCCCGCTCAATTTAATTTTTTTTCACTCTTCAGAGGTTTGTAAATAATAAAAAAATGATAATAAAAAAATAGATTATGTTTGATTAAAAACTTTTTTTCTGAATGTTAATTTCATAAAAAAACTTTAAAAATTTGACAAAAAAAGCATTGTCCTTTCATACTCATGTCCAAAAAAATTAATTTTCCTTACTAATTGAATAATGGTCAAGGGAATAACTCGTATTAAGACTCATATTAGACCTACTTTGATAATTATGACTCTTATACAAAGGAATGAGGGTGTACAGAGCAATGGGGAGATTTTCGATAATTTGGTCTCAGGAACGATGGCGCTGCACCTGCTCAAGGCAGTCAAGACCTTCGAGATCCCCCACAGAAAAGAGGAACAGCTCATGCTCAGAATCGGCCTTCACACAGGTCCATGCGTCGCCGGCGTCGTCGGAAAGACCATGCCTCGGTATTTTTCTTTCTCTCTGCCTCTCTCTTTGAGTCTCGTTTCTGAACAACCAAAAGTTTGTTTCAGATACTGCCTGTTTGGTGACACGGTCAACACTGCTTCGAGAATGGAGAGCAATGGGGAACGTGAGTTCCAGTCACACCCAATTTTAAGAAGACATTCGATTTCAGCACTCCGAATACATTGCTCTCAAACGACGCAGGAAGTTCTGAAGACTATTCCCGGGTTTGATCTAGAAGAACGTGGCAGCATGGTCATAAAGGTTTTTGAAGTTGAGACTGACTAGGGAAAGTTTTTCCCTCCGGTTGAACTTTTGATGAAACTTCCCTGAAGGGAGACTCGCTCGGAATTTTTTTTGGACTTGATAAATAAGCTTTTTTTTTAAAGCCCAGAAGTTTTCGGAAGTAAAAGCACTGACATTCGCAACTGAAGACAACTTTATCGAGTGGCTTTAGGGAAAGGGACACATGAAGACGTACTGGCTGAACAATCGAATAGGCTACGAATTCGTCGACGATGGCGTCGGATGTTTCGCCGACATTGTGGAAGATCCTCTCGGTTATGACATCTTCCCGCGAACAAGGCTCAAGATCGAACGCGGCTCGAACTGGGGTTTCGGCTTTTTTCAATCTTTCTCTTATCCCCGTGTTTCTTGTGTTGATATGTTTTTTTACTCTGCAGAAACGAGATTTTCGAAAAAGGTTAGGTTTAATCTGCAAATATGTTCAGGGATTTTAAAACTAAGAGAGACAATTTTTTCACAATTCAAAAAGGTCTGCGTTGCGGTTGAACATTTTTAGTGAAGCTTTTCTGGCTATCAACAATTATTGGAACATTTGACGTCGCAAGATTCTCAATGGTGGAATATATTTTCATCCTTCAGCGTACTTTTAATCAGGGATATTGGAAGTTGGGGAAAAAAAGAAGTAGAGAGTGTTTTATGCATGTTTTGTGTTGTTGTACCGCATGTTTTGTGTTTTGACAGGTGTGTGGCCATTTCGGGGCGTGTCTTTTGGCTGCTTCAAGACAACGATGAGCCGGATCGGCGGCCATTTGGGACTCGGCGCGCCGGAGTCCGACGGCAATTCTTCCAAGACCTCTACTACCCACACTTCGTTCGATTCTTCTTGGCCAAACTCAAACAGCCACAACTACAGCGAAGCCCTACGAGCCCATGTCGCGTCTCCTACTTTACCAATGAACTAACATTCCTTTTAGAATTTAATAGATGAGCTCTCCGGAATCTTCATTTTTAACCATTTTTGTGAAAGTTTAACGTATGATCTCTTTAGTATTGGGCTATGTTTGTGTTTGTGTGCGCTAATTGTTTGCCTCGTTTGTACGCAATGAATGTGTTCGTCATGGAGACTTCTGAAATATCATGTAACATGCAGGACTCGACTCGACTCTTTCGCTAATTGGCAAGGAGACGTCCTTCTTCAAGAGACTAGCAGATCGAAACCGCCACACTCGAACACCGCGTCAGGTATTTTCTCTACTGTTAAAAAATGTTCGAATTTAGAAGGACACATCTACGTTTTTCCCTATGTGCGCTGGGCCTTTTTCTTCGATCAAACCCCCGAGTCGAGAAAAACGGCGCGTGTTCGAGGAGGGAACAAGTTTTTCTGCCATCAGCGGAGCTTTCAGCTTCGGAAGTCGGCTCATTCTCAACTACGGACGCAACCGGTGGGTATTCTCTTTTTTCTCATGAACTGAAAAAAAACCTTGGAGGGGAGCTAGATGAGATTTTTGCAAAAATAAGGAAATTTTTTACGGAGCTTGGGCAAGCATCAAGTTTGTTTGGTAATTGATGAGTTTCGAGGTTTTATAGAAGTATGACGACGCGTTGCACACCTTCGACGTCAACCAAGAACTGCTTCGCTCCTGTCACTACCTTCCACGGCTCACGCCTTCCTTCTTATTTCGAATACGGTGAAAAGGCGATTCGCAAGCGGTCCTCAGCTCATTAAAAACAAATTTTACTGGTATGTTTCAGCTCGACTTCTCTTCCTGATGGCGAAGTTTTGAACGTCGATTATCGAACAAAGTCCACAGCCGACAAATCGACGGCTCCTGACTCGTCTATCACTTCGCGCAGAGAAAAACCTGCTGGAGGACGGTCAGGACGGCGGGACTTCTTTCCAAGATTTGAGTTTCAGTAACTGTTCCTGTGGATCGAAGTCTCCCACAAGCAGTCAGTATCCGTCGTACCAGGACCTTAACAAGTTCTCGCACAGGTTCGGACTTGTCTTTTCCAAGAATCTACAATGTATTGAACGTATTCACGGAAAATTTCGTTTCTTTCCTCACCAAGTTTTTTTTACTGTTTTTTAGCAGCGTTTGTGTATAGAGTCCTTTTTTATCCATGATTTAAAAGAGTCCTGACAAAAGAAAATGGGTTTAACTGCAGACGCAAACAAGGAATGGCAACGATTTGGCCTCCGAGAAAGCGGTCCCTTTCCGTCGGCGACGCTCTGCCGCAAATGTCCGTGGCGATTCAGTCGGCGGCTTCGCAGATGCCTCTCACGTCGCGGTATCCTCCGACTTCCTCAAATTCTCGACCGACTGAAAACTCGCTTTACGCCGTCCCGTCGGAGAATCTGCAAAACTCTTCAAACACTTCCTACGCGTCGACGGCTTTCTTCTCGACTACCTTCGAAGACAATTCGCTGGGCGACGACGACGCTGAAGCTCTGATTGGAAATCCGTTGAGATACTTTGCGAATGACGCTGCATCTGGGAATCATGCGACAGAATCAGGATTCGCGCCGACGTCACGGCGGACGCCGAAGCAGCGAAGGTCGATGCTCAACCTTCACAACTCATTGCTGCGCGATCCATCACCACTGACGCAAAGAATCCGCGACGCCTCACCCTTTTCTGGAAAACGTTTCTGGTTGAATAGTAACAATAGTAGGTGGGTGAGAAACTAAAGCACGATTTTGCAAAGTGTAGTGTTCAGTGAATTATTAAACTAAAATGCGCTAAACGCTTAGGTGAAGATTCCGCACACATAGAAACAAGATGTAAGATTTCTTTTGAAAGTTTTTTTGGTGGTTATCTTGACATTTCGTGGTAAGGCTTCAGAATAACCGAATGTTTCAAAATAGTAGTGCACTGATGCGAAAGTTCCATAGTAAGAAGAAAGAAAACCACATAATAATTGACCAAAGTGGTATTTAATCATTCATCGAAACACTTTGTTTCGCATATTAGATCCCAATCTCCTTTGGTTGTTAAACTTGATAGAAACGGCTGTAGAGAACCTCGGTCCCGCGGTGAGTCGCTGACAAGGATGTGGCGACGTCTTCGGAGCGGCAGAAGTACCTGTAACAACTACGAGGACTTGCGGGACGACAATGAAGAAGACGTGGAGATGGAAAACTTTGCTCGAAGTTCAGAGGCCAAGGTCGACTGCGGATCCAGAGAAAGAGGCATGTTCTAGTCGAATTAATAAGATCATATGAAGAAAAGCTTTTTTTTCAATGAACATTTCTAGGAATTTTCGAAATAATTAGTGCGATAGAAATGATTACATGCAACGTATAAGAGAATCTTTCTGCTTCTGTTTTTCTGCTCATTCGGTCTCGTTGTAGGGCCTCCAGGAAGACCGAACAACAAAGAAGTGGCGACGTGTGCCGAAGCGCTGTTGTCGCCCCCACAGTCGCCGTCGCAAAGAACCAAAACACGAGCAGCGTCTTCTCTAGTGGTCTGAAATCTCCCTCCCTTCTAACTTTTCCTTATTCCTGTGATTCATCTCATATCCTTTTTTTTGAGCCAAATTTCCTTTCCGATTGATTCCAGGTGAACGCTAACGGTTTTTTTCTTTCCACTTACCAGTTCGTTTAGTGATTCGAAGAGCTTCTTTCCCCCATGCACTTCTATTTTTCTCGTTGCACCGGTTCAGCTCTTCAACTTTTCGGCTATGTTCATTGTTTTGAGAAGGTTCTTTGAAAGTAATGGATTGATTCATACGCGAATCACGATTGTTACAAAATATTCTTGAAGAGTTTCGAATAGAGTTTACTACTTTTACGAAAGTTTCTATTGTGTAATTTTTCCCTCAGTGGTCTCTCACGTTCTTGTACATTTTCAAACGGGTGAAATTTCTGTGCTATTTTCTATTATATTTCTTTTTACTTAGTATACCCTGACTCTTGATTTTTTTGAATGAATTTAATATTTGTAAATAGTTTACTAACCATTGCGTTCAGACTATACGGTTATTTCATATAAGTTTTTTTTACAGCCTTTTCGAGAATTATGGTATTCAATAAATTTGTCAATTATGAGTTTATTCGGGAAACATATTCCCTATTTCAGTTACCTGCCTGTAAAACCTGGCTTTTCTAAGATCTAATAGTTTTCTGAGAAAAACCTTCATAATTATTTGCCAGCTAGGAAAAAATCTGAGTTTTAGCAAGCACAAAGCCATAATATCTTATTTGATGATCCAAGTTCAAAAAATAAAAATAGATGAAAATCATCGAGGTTTTAGTGCAAAATTTGTGAATATAATTAATTATTGATCAACCTCTTACATCGCGGCGGGCAAACTGAGCTGTGGTTTCTCCAAGTCGTCCGTGAGTGATTACTGGAGAAACCTAAAAGTGGTCACTCAAGTAAGCCTTTTTCTTTAATCTTCACATTAATATACCGAACTACTGCTGTAATCGCCTACGGGGTCTGAACTATTCTAACTTTTAACCTAACCCCAAATGGCGCAGTCTCGCGACCTCACGGTCGCAAGCCTGCGCCTAACCTTTTGTTCTCAAAAAGAATTTTTCAAAAATTTTGAGATTCGGAAAACTTGTGATACGAATAATGACGTCATGGGAAACGAGAGGCGGAGCCGAAACAGATTGCAAAAGATACGTAGAAAATGGGGCGTGTCCTCTTCTGAGTGGAGAGTGCAGAGAAAACTGTACGCGAGAGTCTCTATAAGAGACGCTGTCTATTTTTCTACTTCATGGTCTCTCTGCGTCCTGCGCCGTTTTTTTCCAACTAACTTTGAAGTTTGACGTAAAAACTGGTTGTTCCGGATGTTTGAAGACAAAAATGAATCGTGAGAGGAACAAATTTCAATCGTTTTCCGTTCCAAACGAATGATAGATTTTCAGAAAGTCAACATGAATTGGTCCGTGTAGGACGTGGCAAAACATCGCCACAAAAGGAAAAGAAAAAGAATAAGAAGATTCAACAATTTTAAAAATGGTTCAGGTACGCCATTTTAGACTTTTTTTTATTTTGTTGTTTTTTTGTAATGAGAAACTTTGCAATTCAAATTCCCATTGAATCTTTCAATAGTTGGAATCTTCTTCTTTGAACTCAAAAATAAATTTTCCTCTTCCACAATTATTTTCCTCTTTCGAGTCGTACTCTTGATTTTTTTTTTTAGAACAATTTGTACAAATACTAGCTGTCGCATGGTGTTTTATAGTTTTTTTTTTCAACCCGTATCTGCTAATTTGTTCGCCCTTTACAATATCGTTTAGGAATTTCTTCCCACTTGATGCGATCACACAAAAGAGGCAGTTAAGCATGCGTATGATCGAATTTTTTGTTTTGTTAAGAAGTGTCTTGAAATGTATAGGTTAACTCAATTATTCATTTTATTATTTTCTACTTTAATATTTAAATTTAAAATTTCCCTTTGGGGTTTGGAAATCTGTCCATAATATGATAGAGCTGAGAATTAATTTTTTGTTGAGAAATTTCTTATTTCACGCAATACTTTTAAGTTTGAAGTTTTTTGATTAATTTTTTTTTTTCGCAGAAGTGAATGGGCTGTATACAAAAAAAGGCACAGAAGGAAGGCGCGGCGGGTTAGTAAATAACATTCAAACTGTTGTTGCTAATTTTACGGTTATTTTTTTCCCAAAAATTTTTGTATTTATTTGAACGAAAAAAACGCAGTCGAATGGCCACTTGATGTCTTTCCATCCGTCAGCTGTCACTCATATGGAAAAATCTTGCTAGTTTTATTTTTCAAATGCGTCTCAGAGATGGCCTGAAGGTTTCAAAAAATTTGGAAAACTGCTTTTCTTTGTTTCTGATCTATTACTTTAAAAAAAAAACCAAAAAGCAGAAACCTTCGAGAAAAAGAAATGGAAAGTGGACAAACTTTCTTTGACGTCACGCCTATCTGCGGCGCTCTTGTTTGTCGCGAAAAATTTGTGAAACGAAGACTTGGGTTTTTGAACTATTGTAAAAAAATCACTGGTCAGAAGATATTTTTTTTGTCTGAATTAAAAGTAAAGAGGATTTTTTTTGTTTTCATAATTGATTAAATTGTCACAACCGGTTTCTTTTTTCAAAATAAAAACAGTATGAAAGCGAATTTTTCGCAAATGTCGCATTTCCTGAATACTTGTGATGACAGTCTTTCTTGATAAGTCTCTCTTTAAACGGCGTTTGTCCTGCGCAGCACTCTCTTGATAAAAATGATGATTTTTGTTTGGCCCAAATTTGGTGGTTTGTTTCGGTGCCGATGGTCTTTGTTCATTAATGGGGTTGGCGTCTGTTAGTCGCAGAAGTTGGGGAAAAAGCGAAAAAGAGATGTTTTTCTGAATGATCGTTTCGAATCACAGAGAGAATTCGGTTCGATTTTTTCCTGTACACAATAAACTTTCATTGAATAAAAAATTATTTTACAAAATTTCAATTTTTTTATGTGAAGGTTTGATTTTAGACACGAGAAATGATCTTAAGTCCCTTTTGTGAATTTTTTTGTAAAGTAGGCTCTTTCGAGTCGGAAAAATTCCTCTCACGGTCTTTTTTGCTTCGTTTTTTCACACACAGCTCATGTCAGCTAGAAACGCTCTGAAGAGCTCAGAAACTGCGATCTTGGTGATTACCTTAAAATGAGGATCGACACGCCGAATAAAGCTAACAAGTGATTTTTGAAAGAAACTAGTAAGGTATGTAGATAAGAGTACCAAATTCCCTTTTTCAAACGTTGCATGTATATTAAAACACTGTTCGAATGTTCTTTTTTTGTTTTTTTCGAGTCTCGAGAAAAACACTTTTTTCAACTATCCGTTGAAAGTTGCGTGACAAATTTTAAAAATTGATCATTTACACGCGTTATCGCACACACTATAATGTGGAACTGCGAGAAGAAATTTTTGGGGTAGTGGACGATTTTCAAATCGAACAAAATTGCATAAGAAAGAAATTCGACGAAAATTGCTGGACTGCTCTTTCCATACCATTTGTGTGCACTCCGATACTATCTCAAAATGCTTTAGAATTATGCTGCCGAGTAGCACTCTTACCGCGTATTCTATTCATTGACTGACGAAGTGCATACCTCGATTGACCTTTGGAGTTCTAAAAAAGGTAGAAATTGACAAGAAAACTGTATAATTTTCGCAAATTTTGTTGCAAATGGAAGAATGCTTTTATATCCGAAAGTCAGCAAGACAAAAATATAGAGAGAGTAGTTTTCAGTGATCCTTAGGAGGCGTCCATTCTGAAAAATTGCTCGCTTCGGAAGATACGTGCTTTGATTTCTCTTTGTTTCACTCCAGTTTCAATCTGGTACTTTTTCATTCATAGAGAAAACATGGTTTCGCTTTTGAGTTAAGTCCCGAAATTTCGGGAAGAAGGACTACGTTTCGATCGCCGCTTTTGTTTGGTCAGCTTTTTCTCTCTGTGATCATATATGGAATAGCCGATTTCGCAATAGCGCTTTTTCCTTTGTGGGCTCGCTTTCCAAAAACGGAATGCGTTTTTCCTCCCATGACGTCACTTTTTGATTTTCGCCGACTTCTTTTGGTTAACTTTTCTCAAGGACTTTATTCTTCTAACAAAAAATACTCAAACTAGATTTTTTGATGTGCTGCGAAAAAAATTGTAGAAAAGCGATCGTAAAACGATTTCACCCTCGTAATGCTCCTTTTTGACATTTTTATGAGAAGAAGCCTTGAGAAGAACGCAAAATGACGTGAGTTCGACGGAGATCGACCTCACCCCACTTAGGTTTTTGGCAACGCGCCATTGTTGTTTACTTACAGATGTTCTGAACATTTTCAACCCTTATTTTTGCTCTCATCGAGATTTCCGAAAAAAGAAGTCAAATATTTATAGATAGTTTGGATAAGAAAATCGGAGAAATTTCGGTATTTTCATATCTTGCGATTTTCTATTTTTTTTTTCTCAATGCTTATGCGCTGAAATAACAATTTAGTTCTGGAAACTTTAGTGGAGATTTCAATGATAAAACTTTTTGGGAAGGAGGAGACCTTACCTGGGAACTGTTTCACATTGTTTCAAACCTGGCTTCTGATATTTATTGGGGAAACCGTCGTCTAGCATTTCACTCAGCGGAGATTTGAAAAAATATTTCGAATCGCGTTTGAAAACTCAGATTTTGATCTCACTTTCTCCTATTTTACATCATCGAAACGTGGTCGTTTATATTCTTTGAAAATGACTCTAAACTTTGATTCTCTGCGAAAGTATCTTGAATCGAAAAAGATTTTTTGCATATTAACTAAGCGGTGTCAAAAATAAAAGAGTCGAAACTGAAGGCCCTGAAAATAGAATGACGTGGTCCCTAGGCGCTCTACCCACAGTAAATAGACTTTTTTCAAATGAAATTTGTTAATCGCGTCGCCACTTTGTGTGGGAACAGGTGATTTGAAGGTCCGCCCTGAACGGAGTTTTTTTGTTGGTTTTTTTTTGCTTTGAATCTATTTTTCTTGGAGATGAGCTTGGAAAACTATTGCTTTTTAAAGAATATTGCATTTTTTCATTTTTTGTTTCTCCCATCGACCAATTTTCCATTTCACGACGTCATAATAGTGTTGCCAAATCCGAGTGCTTATCCTGGCTTTCCACATAATTTCATCTGATGGCATTACGAAAATGGATGGAAAGTTACAAAATCGAAGATGTTATCATGCATTATGATGTGTTATCAGTTCTAATCACTTTTTAGTTCTTTGGCATCCCGTCCTACATTTATATGGACCTCCGTCTAATCATTTCAAAATTTTGGTTTTTTCTTTTTTTTTTATCTTCAGTTTACATTGAAATTTTTTTTTACTATCCTCGCATGCTGAGCAGGCCTCGACGGTTGTACCCGTATTAAACCCGTGTTTCTGAGATTATTTGAGTCTCAGTTGGGCTGAAACGGGGGAACAACGGGTGTAAGAAAAATATGTAATTCAGCTGGGCTAAAGCGGGGTCTCAGGCTAAAAATTGCCAAAGTTCTACCAACTGTGCTCATACGGGTTTAATACGGGGGCACCCGCTGAGACCCCGTTTTTGCACGGCTGGGTTACCCTGCTCAGCATTCGAGATACCGCAAAGTGCCTTTTTGGCGCGGAGAAAAATCAGAGATTTTTTTCTTTTTTTTAATTATTTTCTTCTTACTTATTTTACCGATTTAATGACTTCTCATTTGAATTGATTTCATAAAAAAATCATTAATATATTTTTTTTAAAGTTTTTAAATAAACAGGAGAAACAACCATTCATAATGAAAAAAACATAGGATTGTACACGCAAATGTGTATTAAAAAAACTGAAAAAGAGTCTAATAGCCACTCAGAGAAGTAGTTACCTAAGTCGAGCTTTCATCCTAATTGAGAACTGAAATTTGACTATTTTGACTATATCTTATAACAAAAAAAATCTTAACTGCATAATATTTTAACTTCGTTTTTGCCGAGCTAAGCTGCCACGGCTTCTCGATGCTAGCTTCGAAGCTTCTCCGGCTCTTTTATTCGACTTTTGCTCAATTACCCGAGTAGAGTTCTGATTCCTGCGACTTTTCCTCTTGATTGTTGACCTTTCCTGCAAAGTTTCTCAGATTTTCCAGTGATGATTTCCTGTTCCCCGCCACTTTTCTGCAATAGCGTCATGTTCAGGTGCACGATTACACTGCGCGATTCGTTCTTCACCCTGTCATTTCCTCTTCTGCCGTCACTTCTGTTTTCCATCCTTCCAATACCAGTTATTTCTCGTCATTCCTACTTATGTTTAAAATCTAGGGGTTTACTTCAAGTTGTAAGAATTTCTATCGAACCTTTTTCTCCTGCAATCAAGTCAGAATAACGTCGAAAAATCAATCGGAGCATGAATTTTGAAGAAAATTGCAACGATTAATTGCCGAAGTCCTTCAAAATGTGTAACGTACACTCTTTTCGAAACTCGACTAATTTTCAATAGTTTAATTTTGGCAAGATTTCTCTCTTTTTTTTCTGCTAAATAACTTTTTTCAAATCGACTTCAAGGCAAGTTTTCGCTATTGACTCAAAAAAATAGGAGTGAGTCTAATGTTCAAAAAATTGGAAAATTTGATATCTAATTATTTCGCCGCTCAAGCAGACGCCAAAATTTTAAAAAAGAGGTATATAATAAATGTATGATTTTATTTGAAATGAACGCTTTTCTGGAGAATACGAAACTACAAAAATCGAATTACTCCGGAATTTCTTTTTTTTTCAGCATTTTTTTCTCACATTAAAGAAAATTGCAACTTGATTTTCGATTCAAATGGATTATAATAATTTATTGAATTCTGGTTAGTAAGACATATTTCACTCGGTCTAACACACACGCTCTCTCAAACTACATTGACTATCTTCCTTTGTTTACTTGTTGATTGTTTTTCAATTCTCGAATGATGTCATTTTCGCGCAGAAATGACGAAACGCTATTCATTCAATCATTATTTGACCGATAACTTCTGATCGTCATTCCAGGTTAAGGAGATTTCAACTCTTTTCTTTCTCAAAATTTCGAGTTTTCTCTCAGAATTTACTCATTTTTAAATTAGCATGATACTTTTTCTTGCTTTAAACTTGTCGGTCATACATTTTTGAAGCTTTCTGCTTGTTCCAATCAATTCGACGTCTTCTCTTTAACTTCGAAATTACCCCAAAAGCGACGATTCAATGGGACTTTGATCATTTTAGCACAAACTGACATTTTTTTGAACAAATATGATTTTTTCTGTTAGTTTTGAAAAGAAATCAATCGAACACTGCAGGAATTTCAGCACTGTTTGCTTTGGGTTCTGTTCTATTCCTGCTTTGGGTCCGGATATTTAGAGGAGCACTCGTGTTTATTTTCACTCTTTTTCTGCTTTTCCGTAGTTGCCATTCTTATATACCTCATCCATTGCCACTCGAGACGAAAATACTCCACGAACTTCCAAAATCAAATTCTTCTTTTCATACCATTTTTTCGCTAATCGTGTGAAGAATCAAAACAAATTTGTGTCAAAAGCTATTACCTCGGTAGTTATTTGATTTTAGTTTCTTTCTTTTTCCGATCAATATATAAAAACTAACGAATCGATGATTCGTTTGCGATCGCTCTGCTTGTCTGCACCTCTGTTGTCTTTCGCGCTCTCTCTCTCTGCCTCTTCCAAACTCTTGATGATGTCACTCTCTAGTTCTCTTTCTGGCGCGATTTGTGTTTAAATTTCATCCTTATTTCCACTTTTCTCTGCAATTTCTCAACATATTCTACTCAAAAAAGTTTCGAAATGAACAGCTACAGGTCAGCCTCTGCCCCATATGTTCCGTTGATTCGTTTTGTATCAAATTATGACGCTCCGGCGTGTTAGGTCTTTTCTTTTTTCAAATTATGTTGAGCGTGTTATTTTCAACTTGGTTACTGCATTTTTATCTCTAATTTGATCTGGGTTAAGCACGGAGCTTTTCCAGAAAATTCTTTTAGAAGATAATTTTCATTTGTTCTCGTTGCTCATGAACTCCCAATTTTCATTTCTTGAAAATGTTTTTCCTGTTTTTAAAGGTCTTCGATTGCAGGATATGACAGTTCTCGATATGGAAATCACGTCAGCAGGGCTAGCCGCCCTTCTACGAGAAAGTCTCGCCACAACGGTGCTTTTTTGGTTTTAGAGACTATCCAAATACATTATTCAATTGGTTTTTCTCAAAGAAAGTTTTGTGAGGTTGAATCCAAATATTTCTGAGCTTGTATTGCTTTCCGGGTGTATCATCATTCTCACAAAAAATAAATGTAAATTCAACTTGAGGTTTTGAAAAAAATTTCAAATAAAAAAATAAATAACACGTTCACAATTATCAGTATATTTAGATTTATACAAGTTTATACGTTGGAATGCTCGGATGACACCATTTCCTTTTTTTAGTTTCAGGAGTGCTCGAAAGAATATCACCAAAGTTCTATTCTCAAGCTGACTCTATTTTTTTTTTCACTTCCGTTGCTAGTTTAAAGTTTGCAATTTCTTTTTAATAAAATAATGAAAAAAACCAGTACAAAGTCTATTTCAGATGATAGTCGATACGCGAGCGTTCACGGATTTCAACAATTCTCACGTCAAATTTTCTATAAACGCATTTTTTTCAAAATTGATCCGACGACGGTTATGCGAAGACAAAGTGAGTTTGAGTGAACCCGCTGGTTTCTTGAGCGCGTCCTTTCACAATCGTAGGGTTCTCATTTCGCAATTCTTGAGCAAATATCACTAAAAATAATTATGACTTTTGTACTTTCCTTAGACTTCCTTCCATGAACTTTGGTCCCACGTTTTTTCATTGACTGAATCTTTCTAAGTTCTGTTTTCCACCCAGTTTCTTTCGTATCCGCCATGTGTTTCCGTCTCTTGTTGGCTTTCGAACCTCGAGTTTATCAAGGGTTTGCTAGCAATACAGAATCAGATCAATATTGATAATGGGAAGTGAGGAAAACAGAAAATGTTTACGAATCAATTGCAAAACAAAAGGAGAACTTTTCCATTTTGTCAATTTGGGTCATGTGACGTCACCTCTTCTGCGTTTTTTGGCTTGCGTAAAATGGACGTGACCCCTGTCTTTTCTGGAAATTGCGAAATGATCTTTGGACCCTTGTGGTCGAGTTGACTTTTCCATTTCGAGCAGAACCGAAGTTGAGATTTTGTGAGAAAAAAGAATCTAGTAATATTCCATACTTCAGGAGAGTTTTCATTATATATCCGAAAAAAAGTCGCACAACTAGAAGAATTTTTAATGACTCGCTGGAATTTTTTTGCGAAATCAGCCATTCTGACTCGACAAAACATCTGTCCGCGAAAGGTCTTTCGAAATTTAAAACGAAATACCTGCTCCGTTATGAGAATTTGGTCGAAAACGTGTTCAGCTCTCAATTAGTCATGGAAGTGACTAATTTCTAGGCGTGAGAAGCACATTTCGGGCCGTGTTTCAAAGTGATTCTACGAAATCCAAAACAGCCGCCAGAGAAAGAAAAAATAACTAAAACTCGGAGAGTGAGAGATAACTTTGTATTTTGCGGAAATCGCTTCGAACACAGCACCAGTCAGTTTGAAAGATCTCCGAAGAAATAGAAATCTAGAATAGATAACGATTTTCCAGTCCAGAAATTCTTTGAAACAGCCTTCATAACTTTTTAAAACTCAGCTCAAGTTCTATTCATAGATTTCAACACAAGTACTACGATATAGCCGTATTGGTATGAGATTTTACGGAGCCTCGATGCGTCATCGACTCGAATAAATTGTGATTCATCGAGAAAGGGGCGGAGTCGTGCACTTTTGAGGACAACGACGTCCATTCTCGTTCGCCAGGCCTTCGGTCAACTTTTATAAGCTTCGTGAACCTTTAGATTTATTCATTTCTCAGGCAGTTTATCCCTTTTCATTGAAGAAGCTTTTATTAGAAGTACAGTTCCAATATCAAAAGCTCGGTAAATCTTTTTATGTCTATCTATCTTTCTTTCTCTCTCTCTCTCTCTTTCTTGGAATAGCATTCAAAATATTCCCAATTTTCTGAAAAGCTTGAAGAAGCTTTTTTGGTCAGAAGGTCAAATTTAGAGAACAAACTATGAAAATATAAATTTTGATGTGGATGAAAAGTTTTTCTGCATTTCCGTTTCAAACAAATTCTTCGCTTTCGGCCTATCCTCTTTTAACTCCAGTTAATTTATCGAAATAAAGTCGATTCCAGAAGCTAACGTTTGATTCGTGTGCAAATTTCCGCTTTTTCAAAGAACGAATTAAATATTCAAATTTTCTTTTTCTGTTAGCCTATGACTCAGTTCATAAGCATAGACTATGAGTCAGAATGAAATAAGAACTTTGTATTTTGCTCAAAACGTTTTCTATTTAATTTTTGGTCGCTCATTAACTCTTGAGTACGTCAAGAATAAAAATAGTTTTCTCATTTTGGCGTAGTTCCTTTTCTTACGAATATGTAAGCCGCATTGAGATGATTCAAGCAAGAACGCATAACAATGCTGACTCAACATGGTCATCAAATGTCCATTTCGCGCTATGAATAATTGTTTGTTCGGAGGATTTTTCGCGGAAGCTGCAATCGTCAGGGTGGTTAAGAACGCTTATTAAAATGCTCCCTTTTGAAGATTCAAACCTTGAGATAGAAGAAAAACAAAAGGCTTCGATTCGAACAAGTCAAAATGAATCATCAGGTCATCCTTCTGATTTTTTCGTTCCAAGAAGAAATTGTCGTTCAACAACCAACGGTTTGCGTCACAAAAGCTGTCGTTGTTTGCCTGCTGAGTGGATCTTTCCTTTCTTTTTCTCTTTCTCTTTCTCTCTCTCCTTCTTCTCGCTTCGCTCTCTTTTTAGTTCGGACCCGATCATGAGTCAGAATGATTCAATTGATTTGACAACGTAAAGGACGGCTCCGCCTCTAGAGTTATTCTAATCAGTTGAATTTTTGCATTTGCATTTACAGATAGACAACGATTGTCTCGTCAGCCAACTGATGCGAGCTGCCGGCGATAGAGACATGAACGAAGTGCTTGACGTCGTCCTCTACGCGGAAGACGACAAGCAGCAGTGCCGCGCACCCAAGAGAAGGTTTGTTCGTTGGAGCAAAGTTCCCCTGATCACAGCGGCTATTTCGTTCTTCAGAATATCCACGTGTGGCGCCAGCGATTCGTCTGCCAAGGTCCTCAGAGTCCTTCGCGACCGACTTGAAGAGACCAATCGCTTCCGCGGGATCATGATCCTTGAAGGTATGTATATCCCGTCTTTTTTTGCGGAAAAATTTGATTTTGCTAAGTACAATCTTTACCAGGAAACTTTTTTTTTGTTTTGGTAAAGCTCAAAAAAGATGATAACCAGTGTAGGTTAAAGTACGAACATTTTTGTGGGACTGAGAACAATATGACGAGATTTTCTCGGCATAGTATCCATGGTTCCCAGTGGCGAATTACCCTTTTCTCACGTAAATCAAAGATAGAACAGAGAAATCGGAATAAGGTTGATAGAAGAAAGTGTTTCGATATGGAAGTATGCGAAACTAAACTGAGGAAGGGTCGGTGTGTGGAAATCGATCGCGCTACGGGTTTGAGCTTTGAATAACCCATCTCTTATTTTTGTTGCTTCATGCCGAAAAAGCCTGAATTTGTTTTTCTAGGTCCACGCGAATTTTTTTTTATTGAAACAGCGCCTTTATTGAAGTGCAGTATGGTGCAGTTATCAATTTGGACTCTTAGTTATAAAATAATTTTATAGAATTTCTGAAGAGTTTTATTATCTGAAAGGAACATGATCTGGAGTTTTTCCACTGCATCGAACAGAAATCGTTCAAAATTGTTTCACGATGTCTTCTGGCTTATGAAAACAAGAGCGGCTGTTTGCATTACACTGATCGAGTGACTAACCTCAGGAAGGAATCGATGAGTAAGAAACGGTTCTTCTCTGCTCGGTGATATGTCGGCTGATCTCCGCCCCTTGGCGGCTCAACAGTTCATTTCATTTGCAGATGCTGCTTCAGCCAGTTTTACTTTCTTTGCTGAGAAGCATAGTGAAAAGCGGTCCTATCAAGTTTTTGCCATTTGTTGCGATTATCTTCTCTCTCACCCTCTCTGAAATGACCTGAGAGTCTCTACCAAGTGAACTTGAACCTTTTTGAGGGACGAAAAAAGAATCTCGAAACTAAAAAAGAGCTTGTCTTGGACATATGTCCGCGGCAATCATCGTCATATTACAAGTCCAGACGAATGCGGTTCATTCTTTCGGCGCATTCCTTTTTCTCGTAGAGTTTTATGCTTGCTCTGTGACTTTTCTCAGCCTCAGAAGATATACATTCTTTATACTGAGAGATGCGTTCATTTTGCGATAAAGAATAGGAGTGTCGCGAAATGTCTTTTTGCTCACTTTTTAGATGCCCAGTCTTAATCCAATCAACGCTTCTCCACTCGCTCTTTCTTCGATTCTGTCCTCGGAATCTTGTTTTGTATCTCCATTGACGTGTCATGATTTGAAGATAAGTTAGTCTGACCTTTTTCTTATTATTCTATTTTTCCATTCATCTTTTATGTTCACATTCACTCATTCATCTTCTAGTCCGAAATTCTCGATCGGAAGTCTTTGAAGCAAAAAATGGCTTCCATCACGTCATTGGGCTACTTTGAATTGGAACATTCAGAAATGAGAGAAGAAAATATTTAAGCGTGTGTTTGCCGAAACGAGATTATTTTATAGCTAATCTATAATCAAGAGGAAAAATGTAGAAGGAGGATTGAGCAACGGAAATTGGCTGCTGTGCGATCTTTTTTTGCACAAAGAGCAGCATTAGTCACCCCGAAAAATGGCCTCTTTTTTCGACTCGTCTTTGATCACCGGAGAAAGCATTCAATGACTAACCTCTGAAGCACATACATTTTTCTTTAAAAATAGAGAAAAAGACTTTCAGAAAAAAATCTTTGATATGACAACTATGAGTTTCTACCCTGCAAAGCATCAAGTATAATTTAAATTCGTTGAAATTACCTGATTGGACTGTTTTTTCGTCAGGATATTTTAAGTCTCCAAGAAAAAAAATGGGAACCATTTTTCGAAATCTTTTCACAGTTCGTGCTTGTAGGATGAATAGTAGAAGTGAGGAAAACACTTTTCTTGTGTCTGACCTGTTGAGTCAAAAAAACTGATAGAAGAATATTCGTGCGAATTCCAGTTTGAATATCCTTTTGATATTTTTTTTATAAGTTACACCATATGTTTCCTGCAAAGCTTCATGGGAAAGCGGGATAAAGATTATAGAAACAAGCTAATCCTTGAACCTTGCTGGCTCGCTTAAAAAAAGCTCGTTATGAGTATGTTCATTCACAGTAATCCGAAGATGAATCATCGAGCGCCCGAGGCGGCATCATTGATCCGAAGAGGGAGGTGAAGAGAGAGAGAGAGCGAAGACAGACAGATGGTGAGGCAGCACGTCGTCTCTCGGCCCCACGTCTTCGGGTGCCTGCACGAGCCCGCAAAGGCAACTCAAGTCCCACCCACTCTGCGCTTTTCTCTGAGCTTCTGGCCTCGCCTATCCCCATTCGGCTCTATTCTGCGTCTGCCGAGCCCGAGTTTGGCAGCGGCTTCTAATCCAGTGACGTGTTTTCGAGTGAGCGACCGACCGATTTCTACGCTCGCATCAGCTCTGAAAGTTTTCTGGAATGGTCGAGCATCGGAGGCCACGTCATCACTGCCAGGAAGGCGAGCAACGACGTCGCGTCAAGAAGAAGCGTTACCACCACGCTCCGATCGTCAGGTCCAAACAGCCTCTCGCCAAGATCCTCGTCCGACGCGAGTTCTTCCTGCCTATCAACGAAAATGCCGTCGAAAACGCCTTTCCGAGTTCGTTTTCTTCTTTTTCTTTTTCGTTTTGATTATTTATTTTTTCGCTAATATCTAGATGCTGTGCTTATCAAGTCTGCGACTTCACATGCGTATTTCTCTTTTCATAAAATGTTCGGAAGCATGTATACACGAGTTTCTAGATTTATTAATTTTCTTTCAAGTTTCTATAATTTTATTTCTGGTCAGCTCCGGAATTCCTCATGAATAACTTTTTCTCAAACATAAAATGGATGTATTTTTTTATTCTCGAGCATTTTTGACTAACTGTTTAGGATAAACCAACACCGTGAGCTCCGCTCTTAGTTTTAATCTAGAGACCTGAGAAGTCCTAAAAAGTGTTGACAAGTTCAAGGTGTGTTCTTCTGTTCGTGGTTCAATAAGAATCGCACTGACAAGCTCTTTGTATTTTCCACCTTTCCGCTATTTGTTTAGGACCGTAACTGCAAAGTCCGTCAGAAAATCACGCGTTATCTCTCGGTCAAGCCATTTCCAGAAGACAAGCCGAGCAATATGTGAATCATTCTCTAAATACATCTTTAGTGATCACTTATCACCGGCTAGCGAGCCAATTTTTATCAATCGAAAACGTCTAGATCACTGATTGGAGCAAAACGATAATTATTCTACATTGAAATATTTGGATGGTTCCATTTCTCTGACAGAAATAAGCTTAGTGAAAAATTACTTTTTTATCTCGGTGGGCGGAGAGGACGCGTATCTGTATTGATTTCAAAAATTTCAAAAAGACAAATAGTGAAATCGGGACTTCAAATGATCAATCACGATGATTCATCTACCATCATGGCACGTTTTTATCAGCAGTCACGCCTCTGACGAAATACAACGCGCTCAATTGTTACAAAAGCGATGCCTATAACCTGGGTAAAAACTAATAGAATGGCCTGGTGACGAGGCTCAGTTACTGTGTAGTCGCAAAAATCATCTGTTAGGAGGGAGTGAGTCACTCGGCAAATCTAGCCCCTGCCTCCATTCCAACGCCACCCATCTAACCGAGAGACTCCGCCATCGATTTGTTCTTTCTCTTCCTTTTTTTTCATTTTCAATATTCAGGCTTCTCATGTTACTTCCGTTCGTCATTTTTTTATAAATTTGAATTTAACTTTTTTTAAATTTTTTTACATAAAAAAATTTGATGTCAACTTTAGATATATTCACAAATTTTTTTCGAATAAAAGTTCGAACAATTCAACGAAACTAGGTCTATTTCATAATCTCTGAACACGTTTTACTGGAACATTATTCCAACTATTTTAAGTATATGAAACTCGGATTTTTATCGAATTGCTCACAAATTTATTTTCCAGCTCCTCAATGTTAAGTTTTGTTTTGAAAAAGAAAACATGTCTCTTGAAAGGGCGAAAGTGTTCTTTTTTTTCGATTTCAACTTTTGCATTTAGAAGTAGTTATGATGTCGATTCTCACGAGCTTAAATAAATGAAGAGTTTTCAGGCGGGTTCAACAAGTTTCAAAACGCCTTCCCGCAGCTGTGTGAGCCGACGGAGGGTATGGCGCGGATGCCACAGTCGCTGTCGCAGCCGTGTCTTTCGAATCAGCTTGGCGACGGCATCACCTGCATCTTGCCCTACCTGTACCTCGGCAGCCAGGTCGACAGCCTCGACGAACCCAAGCTCACGGTACTTTTTGGCTGAACATCTAAGAGCTCTGCCGGGCTTTTGCTGGCACGCGTCGAATATGGTACTCAATGGTGTTTGCAGAACGGCGCGTGATCACGCACCGGGAGCAAATCTATTGGGAAAAGGGCATTGATGACCGGCATCCGCAACGAAAACCTCAAAATCCTCTTGAAAGTTGCTTCGGTTGCAGAATCTCGGCATCACTTGCGTCGTCAACCTCTCCATCGGCTGTCCCAAGTCCATTTGCATCACCGACGAAAAAAATTTCTTACGGATTCCTGTCAATGACTCCTATCAAGAAAAGTTGCTGCCCTACTTCGAGAAAGCCTACAGATTCCTAGGTACTATTTTTTTGTTTCAGTGAAACAGAAAAACGGAGGCCTTTTTTCAGTGTAACAAAGACCTCATTTTCCCAAGGGGTATGCTTTGGAAAGATCAAGAGATAAATGATTTCAAAAAACATGAATTTTATTGAAAATTCTTTTTATTGAGTGTCTCTATCTCTATTTGTGTTTCCAGATAATAGAAAAAGTTCAAAGCAGACTACGATAATTGAGCAATGAAGTCTGTTTTTTTATATTTGAAGCAAGTCTGTTTCTAGAAAACGTGCGGGAGTCTGGTCGCAAATGCTTGATTCACTGTCTTGCGGGGATTTCGCGGTCACCGACCCTTGCCATCTCTTATATCATGAGACATCTGAAGCTGAGCTCAGAAGACGCTTACAGGTCCGTTTGGAAATTTCATATTTCAAACTTTATGATCGTGACTGCAGATTCGTCAAAGAAAAGCGGCCGTCTATCTCTCCGAATTTCAATTTTATGGGACAGCTGCTGGAGTACGAACAACAGCTAGTGCGAGAACACGTACTGAACTTGGAACAGCCTTTGAAGCTCCGGACGGAGAAGTCGATGTCATTGATCCAGGACTGCGAGAGGCTCTCAGATTTGTGTCCTCCCAAGGTGCCGAAGAGCGCCTCGTCACACTGTGTTTTTGCGCCTTCCGAATCCATCGGCTCTAACGCGGATTCTGGAATCGGCACCGACGACGTCGAGTCCGACAGTGCCAGCGACAGTCACTCCCTGCTCAATGAGAACGGCAAGCGGGAACAGCCGATGCGACCGCGGCAATTGGCCCTTGGCCTCGGTTTGCTGATGCCACGTCGAGCGATGAATGAACTGCCGTCGCCGTCGACGGAGATGAGTCGTCTGTCGTTCACACCGGACACCTCGCCTCCAATCTTCCCGTCTCCGGCGACAGCTCCACCTGCCGCGCCGCAACTCACCTTTTCCAATCCATGTTTCCTGTCTCCGACAGCTCCGTGCATGCGCGACTCTTTCACGCCAGCGACGTCTGGAATCAGCGTCTTCGAAAATCCTTGCTTCCGGAGAGAACTAGCGACGACGTCGGCCAGTGAGCCTTCAGCAGGAGACAGTAACTGCTCCACGACGGGATCCTGCATGAGCAAGTTCCGGTTCTGGAAAAAGGTTATTTGCGTTTGCATTCTTTTTTTTTTGCCGGCGTTTTTCGGGAAAAATTGCAAAAAATTTTTTCCCGCAAATCGTGATTTCACTTCTTTTCTTGCAGTTTTTTCTTCCTTCTCAACAGAAAAATATGAACTACGTAGCGTTTTTGAGCCAATTAAGTCTTGATGTCAAAGTAACATCTAAAAACCGACAAGAAGGTCTATCAAAAAATAAAGATGCCAGAGAAGACGTTCACAAGCTCATTGTTTAGTAAATTTTTTTTGAGTTTGACTTTTTTTTTCAGCCGCAACAAAGAAGCACGGCTCGACCAGAATGTCTGCGGACAGCAGGACTCCTTCTGACCTCAGCACCTGGCGGAGGCCTCACGACCACCACGGAGGAGGTCGAGTCTCCAGAATCCGGATTCCAAGAGATGAAGCCGTCTCCTGAGGACGACCGCCAGTCGATCAGCTCGGCCAGCTCTCTCGAAATCGCTGTTCAGTAGGATTCTTTCGAGGCTCCACCGATTCCCATATAGGCCGGATTTTTTCGATTTTTTCCGATTATATTCAATACGTGTCTATCATATTCCCTTTTTGTTGTACTCGCGTTTGCAACTGTGATATATTGCTATTTCCTATTATCACGACAATATTCACGACGACAACAACTCATGTATATTTTCTTTACGGGTTATTTTTATATAATTGATTTTTTTATTGTTCTTCCTCATCGGAGTTACCTTTAACGGTAGCTAGCTGCCAATAGTTTCCGAAATTCTGTGATTTTGTTGTTCTTTTCTTTTCTCTTTGTCGATTTTATGGTGTACTGCACCTTTGGAAAAAATAATAATGAAACTATTATTTGCAATTTTTTTCCTAAGTTCCAAATTGTGAAAAACTTCGAATCAACAGAACGAGAAATATATATTGAAGATGACGAACTAATGAAGAGCAGTACACTGGTTCTAAAAGAAATGGTGTTTTAAACTCTGAAATATTTTTTTCTTGAATCCTGGTGTATGTACAGAAACTTAAGAGAAAAAAGAAAAAAGTGCAATTTCAAAAAAACAGCGGGGTTTTTTTCCTTATTCTTTTTTTATCTTCTATGCGCTATCTGAGTTTCATTAACTATCCTGCAATGAAAAAAAGTGTATTTATATTAATATTCTGAGACTATTTATTTGTTTATTTTGGTTTTTCGGTTAGCAAGAAGACACGAATATTAGCAGACTTGTAATAATCACATCACACATCACAAGCCGAGACAAAAAAAGAGCATCTTCAATTCGAGTATGGCGTTCCTAAGGATTTTATAATTTCGAAGAAACACCAAAGGCTCTAAAGCCTTACCACACAAACCGCACGCGTCCGGTTTTCGTTACAGCACTCTTAATTGAATTCTAGAATACTCCTGAAACGACCGGAGCACGTCCATTTTTCGTTATCTCGGACATTGGTAACCCGAAACGGACGTGCTCCGGACGTTTCTGGGCATTTCTAGTGACCACTTTAGTAGCATAGTGGTCGACAGAGAGACTTTTCCCCGCGCCTTACTTTTTTCCAATTTAAAAATTTTTTTCGGTGTGAAACTTTTTTTTCAAAAGTTATCGATGGTACGACAAAATCTCAAGTCCGCAAATTTCGAGGACCGTAATCTTGTGTACGCAGATCTAAAGTCCCATAATCTTGGAAACCAAAATCTTGGAGACCAAAATCTTGGAAACCACAATCTTGGAAAGCAAAAATCTTCCTTTTTAGTATTCTTTATTGCACTTTATCTACTTATATTCTTTTGTTTGGATCACCGAATACAATTTCTGATAAAATCTATTCGCAAAAGCGTTGATTTTTACTTTTCAAGATTGTGGTTTCCAAGATTTTGGTCTCCAAGATTTTGGTTTCCAAGATTATGGGACTTTAGATCTGCGTACACAAGATTACGGTCCTCGAGATTTGCGGACTATTTTGTCGTGCCGCTAGCCACTACGCCACGCCACCTGCTGGCAGCGGAAGTTAGTAGCCGCGACATATTCCCTCCTTCCATCTAATGCATTTTTCGCGTGCAAACTTCGAGATGCCATAACTCGACTAAAACCAAAAAGGCGCACTTTTTTTCAACTTTTTTGGAATCAGGGTGTCCTAAAGTACCTATATACCAAGTTTCATCAAATTCTCAACCCACCACCTTTTGCACTCCCCGTGTCAATGCCGTGTTCAAAGTGATTTCCGCGAATTGCGAAATTATATTTGACTCTCCAAAGTTTGGTTACCTTTTTCTTTCTCTGGCGGTTTCTTTTCGCGGAATCATTTTCACGGAATTAACTTTTAATTCTTAAAACAGCGTTAAAATAAACCAACTCGCTGGTTTATTCTCGTTTCATATGAATAGTCTGATTACTTTATCAAATTTAGGCACAAAGTATAAAAGTACGTACTACGTAGGCTTTTATTCTATCACGCAACCAGGCTTTGCGTAGAAGTGTGTTGCTTGATTCCATTCGGTGTCCTTTGATTTTTGTGAAGAGCCTTAGTTAAGCACAACTTCTCTGCAAGGAAAGCCTACGTCCGTTATTTCAGTCGAATTTTTTTTTTTTTGAAAAAAGCAGCTGGGGATTCTCAATAAGTTTTTTCATCTATCATCTACTTTTGGAGTTTCGCGTTGCGCTAAAATGTTTTTTTTCTCTTGATTGATGTGATTCTCTTGATTGATGTGATGCAAACAAGGAAAATTTTTATTTTGCTGACCGGAAAGTTTTTTTCGATTAGAAAGAAATGATGAGTTTTTTTTATGCAAAGTTGAAGGTGAAGGGTGTTGTCCCGCGAACAGGGCGGCTACGGTATCAAAACAAGACGAGCTCTGAAATTAGGTTTGAAAAATTTGAATTAAAGTTGTAATAAATTAAAAATACTGTACGAAATGAAATCGTCCACAAACTTTGACCATATGTTTTTAAAGCTCATTGAAAGTTTTTGTTGTCACATGTGTTTTATCCACGCGCCACGACAAGTATAGCCAATTTTTCCCGACTCGAAAGTCGAGGGAGGCGGAGAAGTGGGCGGAAGGCGTAGCGTGCACGTATGCGGTTCTTGGCACGAGTTCAACTCAAGCACCAACGACTATTTGGAGAGCTCGTTTATTTATCGCTTTTTCATTTATTTTTAAACTCCTTATTGGACGCTTGAATCGAACTCGTGCCAAGAACCGCGTACGCGCACGCTTCGCGTCCCGCACACCGGAGCTACTGACCAGACCGGGGCGCCCCGACGCGATCGCAAAGCGCTCCGGGGCGCCCCGCCCCGCGGAGCGGTCACACTGTTGAAAGATTTCTCCACAGTTATTTCCGTTTTCAGATATAAAGTAAAGCTCTCTGTAAAAAAACAGACACAGGTTAAATTTTTTTGTGAGAAATTGCGTGGGGAAAATGAAAATATCTAGATAAGTTAAATCGAAGTTATATCAGAATTTCAATCAAGTTTTATCAACTTTGGACATTTATTTCCAAATTATTGAAAACTATATAATTTAATTTGGAGCTACGAACTTTTTTTTTCTTTTTTTTTTGCTAAAAAAATTAACATTTAGGTTGGAAGTGGGTCTTCATCATCCGAGTCGTTGAAGGTTGGAGAGCCTTCCATGAGAGTTGTCGTAGTCGAGAAACGCCTCGGCGGCCAAAAGTTCTTGTAGCCGGGCCATGATCATCGGGTCCGCCGCTTCCGACCTTCAGATTTTTTTGCGAAATCTTTTTTCTCCAGACTAACCCGCCCATCCACTTCTTGATCTGCTCGGTGATGTCGGTCTTCTGCGGCTCGGAGGATTCTGAAGGCCGGCAGAGCACGACGGCGAGCATAATCACGACGAAGAGCATCAGTGTGCGGATCAGCATTTCTTCTTATACCTGTGGACCAAAACCGTCTTTGTATTTCTGGAACAAGGTGAGTCGATAAGAAAACTACGGAAAAATAATGAGAAAGTTTCCTGAAAATAACCTCGTTGTAGAATAAAATTTGAACTTTCAGAGTTTAATTTTTGATTTATCTAACTTATTTATGAAAAAATAAATAAGAACTTTGGAAAGGAAAAAAAAAACGTTTATCTCGAGCAAAAAGAAAGGATTTAAATAGGGTGTTGAAAGCGGGGAGTATTCTCCTTATCTCATGAGGCTTCATTGGTTTTCGAATTTCGCGCGCAGGTCAACTTCCCCAAGCGATCTCGAGAGACTCGGCTTTCTAGTTTCCATTTTGCGGAGCCTTTTTTCAAAGCAAAAACCGGATGTCTTGAGAAATAATGAAAGCTCGTTCCCATCGCCCAATTTTCGTCCAAAGAAGTCTGAAACCTGACAAGAAGTCCAAGATACAATCGGAAGTAGGAAAAGGACAGTAGTCGTGGAAAAAGGATGTGTCGCTCGCATTTCGAATATGTGCATTAGAATTTTATGAATCCGCTCGTTTCCAACAAGCTTTTAAGACTCGATACACGCCTTTTTGAGAGGTGAGCAAAGTTTTTGTTTGACAGTTCTCTTCCAAAGTCAGAAAAAATGATGCTCTTCACATCTTTTTCATGATGAATTGCACCAAAGTGTCAAAAAGAGAGCGAAAACAAAAGTTTTGAAGGGAAGTTGGTCTAATTTGGTATCTGGTTTTTGAAAACGGGACAAGCTGGCGCGGAATGGGCTATGTATGAAAATTTGGTATGATGATAGCTGTTTTCACCCAAATCGGTCGTTTCGTTAAAAATATATATATTCAAAAAGTTTCTGAACTGTAAAGCTGTACTATATTAAATCAACAGGAATTGAATGTTATGAAAATTAAATAGAACCTGAGGAAGCTTGAATCAAAAATTCTATGCTTTATATATTGCCTCGGAAGCCTCAATTATTTTGTTGGCAATGATACACCTGAAAATGAAAAATGATCACCAGAGCGCCTTATTTTGAGCGTTCCAGCTCCCAGCCTTTTTCACAAAGAGTAACTCACAATGATGCTTTTGTTCTGGTTTGGTGCCACTTTGGTCTTGAATTTTTAAAAGAAGAGGTGGGTAGCTGAATTTAATCGGAAACTAATTACTCACCGACTGGGAGACTGTGACAATGAGGAAAATGGAAATGAATTTAGCTTTCAAGTAATTTGGACGTTTTTTGTTGCTCTTTTTGACATCCGTGTGAAGATTTCTTGAAGTCAGTTGCACAGAAAACTTTGCAAATAACTAGAAAAAAATAAACTTTTGTTCGCAACGGAAACTTGTTTGGGAGATACTCAGGAGTGAGAAACGAGAAAAATGAGAAAAAGGTGGACGATTGCAATCAGAAGAACGGATTAGCGCTTCGCGATGTTGCATTCTGTTGATCTCTAGTAATTGTCTTCCAGTAGAACAGCTCCTAGACGTTAACATTTCGTCGTCCATTCCAATGAGAAGCCACGACGGAAGAAGATGAGAAGAAAATTTTCCAAGTGAATAGATCGTATTTCGTTAAAACTTTCTTGAAATAGGTCAAAACCGAAAAAAAAATTCCGAAAATGTGCCCGCTGTCAAAAATTTTCATTTTTTGACATTATGGAGTATACACATTGGTTTATTATTTGGAAACCATATATCATTGACGGTCTACTCCGGATATATCAAGAGGGTTTTCAAATTGAATTTTTCAAAAAGCGCTTGCGTTTACCGACGGTTTTTGCTCAACTGTTTTTTTTTTCACTATTTTTTCCTGTACTCGCGTTTATTTACAACTGTTGTTTATTTAAGAATGACGTTTTTTGAGCAAGAAAACTTCTCGAAGAAACCGTATAAAAAGATTCGGCTCTCAGAAGCCCCCAACAATCTCCGTTTTTCCTCAACATGTTTCTTCTTGTAAGTTCCTTTTTCGTTCAAATCATCCTGAAAGGCTTTTTTGCAAAAGTTTGTCTTTTCAGAAAGCTTCGGTTTTTGTAGTCCTCCTTCTGGTGGCGTTCTCATCTGCTGATCGCGGTAAGATCCCTTCCAAATAATATTAGAAGGTCTACCCGAAGAGTTCATAAAAAGTTGTATTTTTGTACAATTTATTTATTTGCTTCTCAAAAAATCTTCGACCTAGCTCTGTATAACTTAAAAATTAACTTGGAGGTTTTTCTTCCAATTCATTAATCTAAAGGTTATATTCGTGTTAGTCAGAACCTTTATTGAAAGTTAGAGCTCCCAGAAAGCAGTATGCCTCAGTAGCTTCCAATAGGAAAATTCGCGTGATGAAAGAAAATTTTGTTTTTTGGGTTCAGTTGAAAGTGTATTGTTTAAAAAGAAGCCGTAGAGCTTCGAGGTGCGAGCAAGTGTTTCCAAGGCAGAGCGAGTTGAACAGAAGGCCTGTGGTTTGATTTGGAGTCCAGAGACAGTTGCAGACGACAGCGCAGAGTACAACTCGAACAGCAACCGCGGGAATCGGCTGCTGACGTCGTACCCCTACAACAACGGCTACAACAGCAACGGCTACAACAGCAACGGCAACCGAGCCGGCTCGTCCTACGGATACAGAGACTACAACTCCCAATATGGAAACACCGGCTACAACTCCGCTTACGGCAACTCCGGCTACAACGGCGGCTACAATTCCAACCAACCTCAGTACCGCGGCCAACAGTACTACGCGGACCGCTACGATAACAGTCGCGAATATGGGAAATAATAACTCGTCCTAACTTTTAAATTGTAAATTATCTTTTTGTTCAATAAGTGTTATGAATATTTTTTTAACGAAACGGCATCTTGATAAAGGAATCAAGCTGATCCGCTCGACGGAAGTCTGTAAATGTAGAATGGGTTTCCACTTAATTTTTTAGTTTTCAAATATATCGTTATGACGTTTTTCCTAAACCAAGATTTGTTTGATTCCATCAGTTTCACAGCTCAAGAAAGTCTGTTCGTCTTTGATGAAAACTGACAACTTGAGAGATTTTCTCGCTAGAATTTTTTTCCGTAGCTCAAATGTTCAAAAGAAAATAAACGCTATTGACAATGTCTACAGCCTAATTTTTCTTTCACGGTAAACTTTCGACTATTCGAGGAGAGATTCAACTGAATAATTAATGCGAAAGTTGAAAAGAACCAGCTTTAATTTTAAACAAACGCGTGAGACCTTTTGATCTTTTTCTTGTCACCTCAGGTGTTAAGTGAGCTTAGAATAGATCAGTAATGGTCAGAATCGCCTGAAAAGTTGAAGATTGGTAGAATTTCTGAGTGGTGTAACGGTCGTGAAGCGAGGAAAAAGAGAGACGGAAAATCACGATGGATTCGAAGACCACCCAGACAGCCGCTCAGCAAATACACACGCTTTCCCACTCTCGGGAGCTTGGGAACTGAGAGCGAGTTCATGTTGCGAACGCCGTTCTTTTTTCTCACTCAATCCAAGATAAATAACGAAAATATCCTTTCATTCTCTCAACACACATACCACGTGATAATGTTCTTCAAAGTTAAAAAGTACTTTTTATCTACCACAAGCCGGATACCGTTTGCAGCTCTTTTCCATAAAGCCTACACAAACTGACGAACTTTTTCGACATTCAGTGATCATCTAAAAGTTGAGAAATATGAGAGTACGGAAATCAACATGTAAAATTTATTTTGGACAAAGCAACAGATCAAAGAATATAAATTTAATTCCGATTATAGAGTCTTTTTCAAGTTTAAGTTTAAAAGTCGCAACATAGAAGTGTTGGAAAAAAAGTCGTGCAGTGACCGCGAAGATCAAAAAACAGCAAGGAGTGTGTGCACGAGAGGGAAAAAACCGTCTGGAAATACGAGATGAAAAAACCGACAGCGAAAAAAGGAACAAAAAATCATACAAACACTGTGCGGCCGCCTCGGGGCTCATTATCTTGTCTGAGCTCCGTACCTCGCTTTTGCGGTTTTTCCATTCAAACTCAAGTTCATTCTTTTCTTCTTCTTTTCTCATTTCCATAATGCCATCGCCATCATTTGTAACTCCTTAATGCAGTATTTTCAGTTGTTACGCGGAATAACCGATGCAGTTGCGAAAACTTTTGTTTCAATGTTAGTTTTTTTTTTCTGATCCTAAATTTTCAAGTTTTTGATTCTCATATGGTAGTAAACCTCACTAGGACCATTTTAAATGTGAAAATTTTTGCGTACTCAATCCCTATGCCGCATAAACGTTTTTATTTTTCATTCTCGAAAGAAGGTCACTTTATGAGATTTTTTCAAGCTCGCTTTCAAAACATTTCCATAGACCTCAGGATATAGGATCCAACTCTCATTCTCTCGGCTTTTTTCCCAACTTCTCGTCCTCTCAAACTGAAAGCTCATTGAAATCACCTCCCTCTTTAGAAAATCTAATTGGTACAAGAAAAACAGGTACAAGTAAAGATAGCGAGATCGAAAAGTTCAGCTTTTTGTAAACATAATCTGTAATTTTTTTGCTTGGTTCAATAGCAAACGCCCTTCATACTTTTTTTTTTGATCCGTTCAATTGAAAGCCAAGCAGAAGAAGTTTCCCCGGAAGGCGAATAACTGTTCGTGAAAAAAAAGGCGCGACCTCGTTAATTCTGTTCAATTTCCCTTTTACGCCGAAAAGTGTTTCTTTTGTCCGTTTTTTTTTTATTTGGGTGGATCGCAACATTTCTGTCTTGCACTCGGTGTTTTTTGAAAAGAGGAAATCGGCAGAAAAAAGGTAGAAACGGACAGGGTGGGCTGAAATATTTATCGGATCGGAACGGCGATCGCGACGACAAAAGGCCTTTTTTATGCCTCCGAGCCATTTTTTGCGCTTTTGAAGGCGACTTTTTCGAGGTCACTCACACGCGCCAGTCTTTTTTGCGAAGAAAGCATTTTCACAAAAAAAAAAAATGGATACATTTCAACACGGCGTCCTTGATTTTTTTTTTGGAATTGAGAGTGGAAAGGCCGTTTGAAGTTCGCAAGCTTAGGTAGGAAGTGAGTAGTTTTTGAACAACAAGTTTTTCAATTTTGATCTCGATAGCTTTTTTTAATAATAATAATAAACTTTTTTTACAGATCAGAATAGAATTTTGGTAAACTGTTTTTTTACGTGTTTTTTTTTTTGAATTTTGAATTTTGGTGAACTGTTTTTTTTTTTACGTGGATCGATCATTAATTTTCGGCGAGAATATCTTTTTTTCGGCTTTCTCTTTAAGGTATTTAATTATCTGTTCAATTTTTTTAAACTTCTTTTTCACTTCTGTCGCTACATTTTTTACTTTTTTTATCCGAAATCGAATTGAACCTTCAGAAATGGCGAAGTTTTTGTCTCTGGACGCACCTGAATGTTCGAGAACCTGCTGCCCGAGAGCGTCGATTGGTTAGTTCCAAAATTTTTTTTTGAACTGATCTTTTTTTTTACCTCAGACCTTCTCTTTTTTTTATCATCTTTCAAAGTTGTAAAATTTTTGTTACATATAGTCATATTTCTTATTCTAATATTTCTATTTGCTTTCTAATAAGGAAATGCAGAAATCACCTGAGAATCGTGAGTAAATGCTTCGGATGTCCTACCTTTTTGAGATTATCATAAAGTTATCGTTCTCTGAAGGGATTAATAAAAACCCCTTATAGTCACTTCTTGTGCGAAAATTCTGCTTTGGAGTTATGCAGCTTGTCTCTTTGTGAGAAATTAGCTTTGAATTTCGAGGAATTGAAGGCTTTTCAAATTTGTAAAAGTTTCATACTTGAAACAGAACGACCTTCCTTGAGTGATTTCATTTTTCATTTTGTTCTAGATTATAATACTTAGAAATTAGATTTCTTTGACTCCTTCCCAAAAATGCCTATATAACATTACAACCGTTATGAAGAATGTCAAAAAATAATCATTTAAAAGACTAATCTTCAATTGAAAAAAGTCAGAACTCTTCAACCAAAAACTCACAGTAACAACTAAAATTGGACAAACTCTATCACAACTATATTTTTCTCTGAGAAATGCAGCTGCGCAGAATATTGTTTCTCCTTATCCTCTTCATCACACCTTCCAGCTCTGGCCATTATTTTTTTACTTTCATTTTTTTATTTTTTTATTTTCTCTGTTTTCCATAGCTTTTTTTCGTTCTTTTCCAATTTTTTTTTTGCTAAAATCCTCGCTTCTGGGTGCCATCACTGTAAAAATCAAATTATTTTTAGAATTAAGGCAGGAGAGAAAATTCCGACTATGGGTCGTCCTCCGTCAATTTTTCAGAAAGTGAACGGCTGGCGTTATTAAATTGAAAAAATTTCCATCCTCATCCAAGTTTTCAAAACTCGTTCCTTGATTGACTATTGTGTTAAATTCATCTAATAAATTAAAAAGAAAAGTCACCAAAACAAAAACATGACTTTCATGAGAAAACATTTCTCGCCACGGCTTCGGCAACGTTGACAACGTTGACTCGTGGACCACCCAAACAGCCGGAGGAAAAATCCTCGTGTTGGGCTGAGTCTCTGGAGTTCTCTGACGTCTCCGCCTGGAAGAGCGTCGGATCGCAACTCGGCCACTTCACATGAAGGACCCCCCAGTGTTCATGTGTTGTGTTGCGAAACAACAAACGTCTGGCCCTGATTCAGAAAAAAAAACGCGTCGAAAGCAAGCGCCGGCGAAAAAAACGAACGGCAACGGCTTGTTTTTTTCCTCTTCTGTTCGTAGCCTCTTTCTCTCCTCTGCTCCAGACGTTAGCTGAAATTGCACTTTCTCTCTCCTTCTCTCCATTTGTGCGAGTGAGAGTTTGAGCGCCTAGGCGAGCTGTTTTTTTCTGCCCTCCCAGTGTTTCTATTGTACGTGAAGAGACGGCAGAGGCCACACACGACGTGAAAAAGTCGAGGCTCCGCCTATTTTTCGAGGCGGTCGCACGCTTCCGACGTCTTCTTCCACAATTCGGAATCTTTTTTGATTGGGTTCTGAAAAAAAAAGGTTTGAACTCTTGGCCTTTCTCGACCTTTGTGCTTTTGCATGGCTTAGATACACACATGTCGAGGTGAGAGGTTCATGAGACGAAAAGGAAAAAGGAAGAGTTGCGTCGCAAGTTCAAGAGTCGCTCTTAAAAGACATCCTTAGATTTCAATTCAAAGTACGAGATCTGAATTTAAAAAAAAAATGAAAAACCGGAGTAAACCGAGTATTTTTTCGAAATAATGATGATGATAACATTCACTCGAATAGTTCAAAGTATTATTCGAATAAATTTTATTAAGAACTTTAGATAAAAGTGAAAAAATTTTTTTTTTCTTATCTATGTGGCTTACTATCTTTATACTAAATTATTGTACTGGTGAAGCAAAAAAAAAACTTATCTTAAGTTTGAACTGCCAAATTCTGCCAAAAAATTTATCAAATAACTTTTCTTAAAACTAATTTCATCACAGCTGTAACGAAATTGCTTATTTTTAATTGAACGATGGAAAATGAAGATTGAGAGGTTAGAAGACAATTGATGATCAAAATGAATGACAAGACCCTATTTTTTTCTGTGCTGGCGAGGCTCGTTGATTCAAAGTTTCTTTCCCTCGAAATTTTGCACGTTACTTTCAAATTCGAAAAAAGAAAAAAAGGAAACTGGTTATTCAAACATTTCAAATTTGCGCAGACTTGTATATTTTTCAGTTGGTAGAGACATAACGTTAGAATTTCAAAAAAGGAAGTTCTGAAAAGAAAAATGCCATAAAATACTTTGGACTACTAGAAGCTAAACTTGTGATTTATGGAAACTGCAGAGCTTTCCTGAACCAAAGGACTCTTAGTCCAAACAAAGTTTTTGCGCCTTTTTCGAAAGACTGACGTGCAAAACTTCAGGACACCTATTTTGTTTTTTTTTCATGTAGTGTATATTTTTTTGGACTTTTTTAGTTGATCAGCTTCACGCATTCAGATTTTCTTCCACTCTAAGTGGTGCTCGGAAATCGGTTCGCTAAGCATCCAGCATTTACAGAAAAGGGCAAAGAGAGTGTAGAAGCGGCCGATAAGAGGTCTATCGAAGTCTGCTCGTCCTTAAGCAATGTTCCTATCAGAAATAATGTTTTAAATGAAGAGAAGAAAAACTTCAAAATTGAACAAAGTAACTTTGACATTTTTTTTCTTTTTGAGAGAGAAAAGTAGGGAAATTTATTCGTAAATACAAAAAAGAGCTGAGGTTGAACAATAATCTATATTGGCAAAAACGATTTAGTACTGTGTTCAATTTATAGAAACCCTTTTGTATCATGTTCATGTTAACTGAAACTGCAAACAAGTTTTGATCTGTTTTTTTTTTTTCATTATGGGCTTCATGCAGATCTCTGTCTAACTTTTTTTTTCCTCAGAAAATACGGCAGTGTCAAAAAATCAAGTGAATTTCATCGTGTGAACTGCTCGCAGACGATGAGTCGCGTCGGCGAACGCTGGAACGTCGCAGACGCGACGAATGGGCGGAGCTTCCGATTCTCCACGACCACCCTTCTAGGCAGAGAGACGCTGAGAGACCATGTTCAGAGCGGAGGTAGCATGAGAAAGGCGAAAAAAAAGAACGGCGGTGGTTTTCCGCACTGGCTTGGCCCACCCGCAACAGCCAGCCAGCCAAGCAGATACCCGTCGACCTCGTCGGCGGCTCTGTTCCATGTCCACTTGAGCCACGTCGTCTCCTCCTATTTCCGCTCCAAGCGGCCGTTCCTCACTCCGCTTCTGAAGCGACTCTCTATTGATATGATCATGCCAGGTAATCTTTCCTCATCTCCTTCTATCTACAGTAAACATTTACAGTAATGCTATAGGTTTTGATGTGAGATGTGTTTCAATTCACCTATTTTTAGTGAACCGGATAAAGAAGCGGATTTTGTGAGTTCAGTTGTTTTCGGTCGCGTCTTCGCAGACCAGTAGATTCTGCAACGAGTTTGAGTAACTGTTACCTTTTTCATTCTCAATTCGCCCATTCTCTAGTCCGGTAGTAGGTTTTAATCCCGATCGCATGAAAGTTTACAGTCTGTCAAAGTGACAGCAAGATTTGCTCTACATACAAATGTTTTCGGGTTTTCACTTTACCGATATCTGCTTCTTCGTGAACAACGGCCATTTTTCCAACTATCGCTTTCACGCGTCCGCGGACCGGGGACCTTCATGCAAACGGTCTCTGTCTTTTTCCATTCACGTGATTATTAGTCTTAGTGGCTTGAAATTTGGTTAAAACATCTTCAGGAAGCTTGAAGCAAGTCCTGTTTATTGCCGTTCTCATTGTTTCACTCCTTGTATTTTTTCCTATTATTTCTTCTTGCGAATCTTTCTATCATTCAATATGACCAGCCTTCTCTAGTCCTGATTCTGAATTTTCGGTCTTTCTCAACAATAAGCTTAAAAAAAAATTTTTTTGGGGGTTTTTTTTCGATTTGAAAAATTATTCGCCTTATAAAGGTCACGATTGGCCAGCCTATTTGAGATCGCGATTTCCTCTGGACTTAGTATGACACGTTTTTGTCGCGCACGTCGTCATTTTCATCTCGTGGACAACGCATCCATCACTCGCCAGCCGGCGACTTCTTTTCCACAATCGTTTTCTTCACCCCGTCCTTATCAATTTAACACTTCGAGTGTGCCGCTGGGGTCGTCGTCGACCGCGGTTTGTATTGTTTAAAGCAGCAGTTTTGTCTTAGCAAATTTATACCATCTTACGTTTGGATCTTGCTTCTGGATTGGAAAAGATTGGATAGTTTTTGGAATTGCATTTGATAGGAGCAACCGTAGCCGTGCTAAACTTATCATTTCGATTACAAGCGTGAAGCCTTTTTTGGGCCTTTTTTCGACTGACCAAACAGCTTCAAAAACTGTTATCCTTTATATTTTTACTTCTCAGCCGGTGGTCTTGAATAATTTGTCGTGCATATTGACGCCGTCTGCCCATATTGAATGTCCGGACAAAAAAGTTCTCAAAGAAGGGCTTTTTAACGATTTTTCTGCTGAAAAGCCTATCATCATCCGCTCTTCATAATGGTGTTTGCGCGCTGAAAAATTTGCGCCGCCCTTCTGTACGATACGAAGCTCTCCAGTTACCGTAACCTCGATCGAGCCAACGCGCTTTTACCTGAGTCGCCGCGAATCGCTCTACAGAAAGCCCAGCGTAAAGAAACTGGTTCTGTATTTGAACTTAATTTTGATTTCAATTATTTTCTCGACTCGTCCTTCGACTTCCTGTGACCTTCTGAAATATCTCATCCGATAGTTGAAAGACCTGCGCCTTTTTTACGATCACCTAAGTTTTCTTTAATTGCTCTTCTTTTTTGTAAAGCGGGTCGCAAAAAATGACTGAAAGAACGAGAAAGAGAGAGAGTTGACTTTTTTGCCGATTTGCGTTTGGCAATAAAACTTGCGCGTTTTATCACTATGGGAATTTGGAGCGTGTCGGTCTGTGGCGGGAAAAAAGAGTTATTGTCGTAGACCAACCGAGTACTGGAAAACCTTGATCATAAGAAAGGCTCATGAAACTCTTCAAAAAATGAAATTGCAGAAATCGACGAGATCGACGTGGTGAGCTGCTCACCAGCGCCGTCCTCGGACGCCGAATCAGAAATCGGCTCCGGCGAGACACGGCCGCCTGATGACGTCGAAGCGCAGCTGCTTCACGAGAAAAAATACTACTGTCAGCGCTGTCTCAACCACGATCTGCACTACCCCCGCAAAGGCCACAAGCCTTACTGTAGGTCTGTTTTGGCTTCCTCAACCTTTTTCCAAAAAGGCTCTTACCATCAGAGGATCAATCGAAGGACCTCAGACGCAGTAGTTGATCATTTCTATAAGGACAAAAACACAAAAAGAATCAATCCAAGCGTGCTAGAAATGAATCTCGACATCCGAGCTCCTAGAAAGGAAATATTTCACTTGTATGAGGTAAATTTCATCGTATCGCTGAAAGGGAGAAGTTGAGAGAGATGAAAATGTTTGAGCGCGCAGACGGTCGTATTTAGTACGAAAACTTTTTTTTTATCTTCGGATTGGAAAAAATTTAGCTTTGTCGGGATATTTTTCTTCTCTTAAAGATTAGAATATCCACTCAGCGTAATTAAAGTCAGAAAGTTTTTTGGAAACTCTTTGAGAAGAACTTTGATTTTTTGTTTTAGAGATTGGAACTCTAGCTATCACGAAACGTAGTCTCGCTCAGCTCCTTTCCTTTGAACAAAAGAGCTTTGGACTTTTTCGCCGGCTTCACCTATCGCGATACGAAGAAGAAATTGCTCCAGTCCACTTGGGTGTTGTTTCACTCGAAAAAACAGAAAGGACCTCCCGAGAGTCGATCGTTTTCTTTTAAGTGCCGCCCATTAAACGGCGCCGGCTCACCCTTTCTTGATGCCCTTTTAGACTGCCGTTCTCTTGAAAAAAATAAACGAAGAGGCTCAAAATGAAAGCTTCAGACATTCCCATAGATCTTATTGGAAGCCTGAAGTAATTAGGCTTTCTGGAAATCCGTCGAGATTTACGAAGAATTATTTCGAGCAAAAAGCAGTAGGAAAATAACTAGCTTTGATGAAAAAAAACAATTTTTAAAGATGGCTGAAGCCTAGAAGTTTCTCACTCTAAAGAGGTACTCACGTCGTCAAAATAAAAAAGCTCCGAAGGTTAACTTTTCCGCAATTTGGGATTCGCACAGATTGCGGCTGTTTGAATGAGATTCTTGGTCTGTTGAAAAATTTCATGCGAATTTTCATAAAACTTCAAGGTTTTTATCAGTAGTGGTTTCTCCTTCAAGGATTGAGCTCAGAAATTCCGGCAACCGGTAAGCTCTCCGAGGACTTGAGTGATTTGGCGGCGTTCTAACCGGCGTCGCTGAGCAAACACGGCGTCGGATGACCGCCAGGACCACCCAGTCCGCGTCGCCGCTGCAGCCTTTTCTTCGTGTGTGGCCTTTCCTCCTTGGTTGTCCCTGTATGGGTGGTCCAGTGGACGCGGCGTGAGGGCGGCGCCACAAGGCTGCGATCGCTGCGACGAGACCACCTAGGCAGGAAACTCTTGGCCGCTGGATCTGAGACTCGCAGACGCCGTTTCTTCCGGCGCTGGAGCCATGTTTGGAAGGATCCAAGAAAACGAGTTTTGAGACGTTTGGCAGGTTCACTGAGAGGCTGATGCTACTCAGAACTCCCAGCGTAGTCCGCAGTAAGATGACTTTTCTTGTCAGATTCGCGGCTCACGCAGAGCTAACCATAGTCAAAATTTTTTTGTTTTCCTTGTTTGGGGTCTGAAGTACGCTTGATGCGAAACATAAGAAATATGAATAATTAAGTTTGAAGTGGACATGAGGAAAATTTGATAGAAAGAAAAAAAGAAATTTTCTATTTAATCTTATCTGATCTCATGTGTTCATATTATTTCTTCAAAACGGAAAACATGAAAAAAATGAGTTTTCATGAAAAACAACCAAAAAAAAAGTAATGAAGAAAATAAAAGAAAACTATCTCGCAACTTATGCACGGAGCGTAAAATTGACGTAAACTTTAATGCCCTTTTTCCAACTTTCTTGCAGTTCAGACCAAATTTAGAAGACTCGTCCTTTTTCAAAAAAGACAGAAACACAAACTTTGCAACATTTTTAGTCACCGCAGGATTAAATTCATAAAAAGATGAATCGAAGATGTCAGCTGGCTAACATGCGATTCAGCGGAGGTCGTTTCAATATCTGTTTACGGCAATATCGTATATTCGTCGTTCAGACACGCGAATTGGCCTCGATTTTTGCGCGACCTCGGAGTGCAAAAAATCGTCGGCGCTTTGAATGCGAAATTATTCTCCTTTTCCATAAAGGCGCATCTCTTTTTTTGTCGTATAGAACCGCGTTCTCAGTGAAAAAATGATGGTGTGAAATGAACCAGGGGCGAAAAACTGATGCAAAATGAGAAAAAGTTCCAATTAACAAGTAATTTTTCTATATTTATTCAGGTTCTCGGTTTGCAAATGCGAGGACTGCAGTATGGTCGAGCAGAGACGGCAGCTCAACAACATGCTCAGTCGAAAACGCGTTCGTTTTTCCTTTTTCTTTCCTTTCTGCCGTAACCTGTCTGCTCCCTCTTTTCCCTCAGCGACACTCACTTTCAGGTGCGATTTTAGTTTTTATTTGGTATGGTTGAGGGAAGAGGGGGTGCAGAAAAGTCATACGTAAAACGAAGTAGAGGACAGGAAAAATGTAGTTTTTCTTTGTCTTTGGACTGTCATCCTTAGTTCTGCACGCTCCACTTTGAAACTTATCAATGAGGAAACTTCGTGGTCCCATTTCTGAGACTATTTGTGATTCACGTCAAATTTTTTACAAACGATGATTTTCTGCGCAATCAATTTCGAGCCTTATCACCAGCAGACAGTCCGGTCGCACTTTTAATTATGAATCGTTTCGTGCTCTCGGAGACAAACGTCAATGAATTATTGCGTATGAAACATACATTGGATGACCAAATCAAAGCTAAAATGAGATGTTTCTCATTCTGGAGAAGGTTGATCTTGAATGATCGAAGGTTTCAGCTTCAGCTTCCGACGAGTCCGCGAGAAATGGTGAACGGCCGTCGGATCCGAGACCCGCAATGCGCCCGCTGCGGAGCTCACGGCGTCAAAATCCCGTTGCGTGGCCACAAGAAGAGCATGTGCCAGTTCGCCACATGCAGCTGTCAACTCGTACGTTTCCTCCGACTTTCTTCTTTTCCGCCTAATTAAACGGATAAGGAGAGTTTTTAATCGAAGTCTAAGCTCAAGACAGATCTAAGTTCAAGGGGCAAGAGTGGACACTGCTTGATACGCTCGAAAGCTTCAATAATTCAAACGCAGTCAGCTCGGGGTGATGCCTTTTGTTCGTGTCTGCAAATTTCAAAAATATACGAACCAACTAAATGAAGGCGAGAGCGTGTTTTTTTTTGCTTCTTTTCTTACGGAGGAAACTTCATTTTTTTTCTTGTTTGTTCGCTTAATAAAGAACCAGACGAGACAATCAATCGCAAATATTTGCCAAACTCGAAATAGTGATGCCTTGCCTCGTATCCTGGCACCGATTGCGCTATCAGCGGCCTTTCAAAAAATTCTCGTACTTTTTGAGCAGTAGTCTCTGTCCAGGCTGATAAGAAACGAGTTGGATTAGATAAGAAAAAAAAAATGCGTCTTCAGAATTGAGAATGTTTTCTTTGCACAAGAAAAACAAGTTTTCGCGACAAACGGATGTGCCCAGGACTTTTTTTAGTTTGAAAAAATGAATATGGACATTTGGAAGTGGGAAAAGCGGGATTTTTCCGAGCAAAAAACTAGGAGCGCCCTTTGGGGCTTATAGCCGATCGATACCAACGTGGGCGCACCTTTCGGATCTGCGTGCAAAGTCAGAGTAGAAAAAACGTCCAGAACCAAGGGTCGTAAAAGTCGGACGAAAACCCGTGGTGCGCCAAAGAGACGGCCCCAAAAAAACGCTGACACACACTGGCGCGTTTAACGACACCACTCACAACGCCAAGGTTGTTGCCAATAGGCGCGGACTACGGTAACAAAGGTTGGGAGGTTAATAACCGGTTCGGATGGGCTACGGTGGCTGAGGAAACTGAGGATGTTTCGTGTTTCCTTGCATAATGGCACCCTTGGCACGGCGTGATTTATAAGCGACGTAGGAGAAAACAGCCATTTTCCTGCCGAGCCTCGTTTCAGTCTCGATAGCAGGCTTCGAGGTCAGGGAAGCATCATGGTGATTATAAATTGCAAGAAATTAGGCGAAAAAAAGTCTTCCGAGCTCCGAAAATAGGACTTTGTAGCCAGAGACAAAAATTTTCGTCTTTTTGCGTAATTTCACAATTTCTTGAGAGTAGAAGTAGATGAATACAGTACTGAAGATTTCAGTGTGCATTAGTGGAGAATCGCCGGACGCTGATGGCCAAACAGATCAAACTGCGTCGAGATCAACAACGCCAGCGCGACGGAGCTCCTGTGGCAGCCGCAATCAGCCGCCGCAGTTCCGAACGCGAGAAGAGCATCTCACCTACGAGTAAGCATCAACCTGCAGTCTCAAAAGGGGAATATATATTAGACGGAAAGGTCATAGGCCAAATCTGGAACTTGTTTGAGTTTTCTTCTTACCCTTTTCAAATTAAAATTTGCGATTCAGACACGGAGAGCAGCACGGCTAGCGGAGTGACGCCCTCTCCACCTCTAGGCACTGGTCCCAGCTCAGCCTTCCATCCGATCCGAATGCAACTTCCGATGTTCAACCTGCCGCCACAGACGTTCCCAGTCGCTCCGCAGAGCTCTGCCTTATACCTTCCCCTGTTGCCGCTGGCCTCTCCGGCGGATTTCCGTCTTCTAGCCACGCCGACGGGGTCTCCGGCGGCTTTGCCCATCACCAGCTCTACGCTGCAGCAGTTGCAGAATCTTATGTGGCTACAGCAACAGTTTGGCGTCTTTTCTCCAAAATGAGCTCTTTTTGCAATTTCCTATTCTGAGAATCAGTGACCGCTTGAACTCTCATCATTTCAATATACTTTAAAGATTTCACTTGTGAATCGAAAATAATTGATTGCTCTCTTCAAAATTCGAATTTTTTTTTGTTTCAGTCTTGAACTTTTCTTATTTATCTTTTCCATGATATTCACGTTTAGACCCAGGTCTCGGTGTCCTCGTTCTTCGTTAACCTAACACTCCAGGCTTTAAAAAAGCAAAATGCTGCTCTCCATAATAACGCCCGTTTCATTCACCCAGTGACTTTTATTGTTATTTCTAAGACCAAGTCTTGCTTTAATAGATGGCATGAAGATTTTGTGCAGGGGTCAAACCGCGGTCAATTTCATTGAAAATCATCAAATTGCCGTTAGACTCTGTAGACTCACGCTTTAAAAAAAATATTAGTTAAATTTTCAATCTTCGAGTCTGGGAGAAATATTTCGCCGGGATGTCCGATGTTTGCGTACCGAACATCTCATTTAACGACAGTTGGATTTTTTTATTGATAAAAATTACTCCGGTGAGATTTTCTCACAAAATCTTTCGCAATCTTTTGAGGACTGTTTTATTCTGTTAATTCCTGTTTTTGTTTTTTTCTAAGCAATATTTTTCTAGAATTTTCGTTTTTTCCATCGTTTAATTAGGGCGAAGCCCGAAAAAAAGTCTTTTTTTCTCATTTTCGACCACAGGTCTATGTAATTTTTCCTTCTCGGGAACATCCCAAATATACTCACCCACAACTCCTTACAGCAGATCTGTCATGACTATATCTGTTCTTGGTGGGGCTGTTTTTGGTGTTTCTATTTTTATTGCGTGAGTGTTTCACGTCCAGTTATCACCCTGTTTTTCTACCTTAAAATCATCTCACACCAATTGTAAACCATCTACTTCGCATGAAAAAAACTGCTTGTGTAAAGTTGTCATTTTTCTCACTCTCTTGAAAAATTAAACTTTTTCTAGTCTATTTTCGAAACTTCTAAGATGACGTCGCAGGAAATTGGCGACATCAGGCTTTTTGTCCCTATCCCGGAAAAATGTACTCTGACGTCTTCTTTTCTGTTGGCTCTATTTTGTCTCCCGGTGTACCTTGGTTGTTGATAGTTGAATATTTTCCCACCTTGTATGTTTAGACAGGACCTTTTTGTATCCGGGTGGATCAAATCCCAGTTGAAATATTTTCTCGAGTAATCATAGCCAATTTTTGTTCCCATACGACTTTTTCTTTCCAAAGTCGCTAATAACTTGAGCTCCGGTCCTACTCCGTGTAACTCTCTGGCGTTAAGTCCGAGTACAAACGAACGCGCTGCGTCAAAGACGCCCAAAACTTACTACTTGTATTTCATGGATCTTCCAATGCCAAATATTGTCAATCAATTTCCTGATAACCTCCGAAAACCCCTACCTTTTGGAGAAATTAAACAGCGATGTGGGTTCATGGCGATTTTCCCCTATGTGCTTCGGTTCCTATCTCGCATCTCATTGTTGCTGTTTGCCGTGCACTGGTAAATAAAATCTGTTTTCAAAAAGTCGTCATGAGATTAGGGAATTCCACAAAAAAAACTATAACAAACAAAGTTTTATTAGATTGTCATTATCTTTCAATGACAATAACATGCTATTGGGTTATTTGAGGAATAAAAACAACGATGAAGAAAGGAGAAAACAGAAAACTATGAGTTTTTGCTTTTTGAGAAAAAAAAACTGTTTTTTGTCGGTTTTTAAGAGAGTGTAGCGAAGAGTTATTCACCAGTTCAATGGGAACTCGCTGTTATGCAAGGAAAAAAAAAGATTTGATTTTTTTTTCAACGTTTTATAATTTTTGAATACCTTTTGAATGATCATTATAGCAATAAAAACAGATTAATAAAAAAAAATGTTTTTTTGTTGAAAACATCAAGCATTTTGAGCACCAAAACTCATTTCTCGGTGGAAAAGTACTTTCGATAACGTTGATGATCTCTCAGCCAGGAAGAGTGTCTAGGGTGAAAAGCTCCGAGAAATTCCGAACGACGCATTTTCTTACATCTAGATGTTCTCTTTGGCACGCCAAACAACCTCGTTAATGTTTCAAGGCGTTCCGTGCCATGCACTTTGCCTCGCAATGCGTCTTGATGAGATATTTCTAGTCCTGGAAAATAGCGAAAAACCTTTCACCTACATCTTTTCAAATTTCTTGTGAAAAGCTTCTAATTAGAGTCGAAAAACTACAAAAAACGTTCTCTTCTTTTTAATACTCCTCGCTACACATGTGGAAACAGGTTAAACCGATGAAAAGTTTGAAGGAAAAAAAAACAACAACAACAAAATGGGAGTTATAGCAGAACTTTTCCCCTTTACAAACGCTCTGACCCTCGAGAAGCCATGCTTCGCAGAGTACCGTATACCTTTGAGGGGTTGGCTCCTGTAAAATTTCCACAATTTTCAGTTTCATGTGAATAAAAAAAACTCATATTTTTTTGAGATGAAAGTTTAAAAAGTTTTTTTTTTCATAACTACTGTACTGAGAGGCTCTTTTTTAAAAAAGAAAAATGATGTCTCATTTTCTTTTTTATTCGAAATTACACTTCGGTGATTGAAACTTTTTCGCCACCTCTCAACGAAACACCGTTGTCGCTAAAGCTTGACTTTAAAAATTGAGACCGATTCCACTAATTTTTGCTTATTCGCGACCCCAGAACATCCATTCAAAAAGCTGAGGAAATTATATTTCCTCCTAAAAAAAGGAAACGAACCAAGAATTAGACTGGAGATGGCGTTTCTTGCTAACTTCAGATTTTGGTAGGCGCCTAGCAAATGTATCTTGGTATCTGCCAGGACTGAATTCAATTGATTGCAAGGGAAAAGGACGAAAAACGGACCAATACGGGTTTTTGTCGTGTTTTCAATTACAAGCTTTGTGCGTCCGTCTTTTCCCGCAATACGTCCAATTGCACGGCTCACGTGGTCCCCTTTCAAAGATGCTTTCACATCGGCAATCTGCAAACCCAGGATCCTCTAACTTTGAACTCCGCGTATTGAAAATAATCAGAGGTTTCATGCTCTGTATTATGAAAATTTTCAATTTCGAGAAAAGAAAAAAAGTCGAAAATAGAATCGTAAAACTTGATTTTACTACAAGAAACTTTTGATTCATTTTCAATTTAAATAGCTTCGCCCGTTTGACACAAAAAAAACGTCAAAACTCAATCAACTGAGGCTTGACAAAAATTGACTTTTTTCCATTGTAAGAGAAAATGAGTTGGCCTCAACTTTCGTAGCCATATAAGGTTCCATCTCATTTGATTTGAATTCTTCATTCTGAAAAAAAAAATGAATGATGCACGAATTGGGCCCGTTATCCGCCACGTGATAAGGCCCTTGTCGTTCGACTGTCAATCTGGGCAACAAAGCTTATCGCCTCGCTTGCTTGCTGTTTAATTTGACCGAAATTTCATACACACTCGCCTCGCGAACGCTGAACGGACAGAGAATCGCGCCGCCGCAACATAAAGATAAAAAAAAGGACGAGGCGAATTCGCCTGCTGCGCCGCGTTATTGGCGTGCGTCGTTTGGGTCTCTGCGGAAATATATTGCCGATGTGGCGCTTTGGTAAAAAGTGGTTGAGGCCTCGCGGCACTTTTCGTGTGCAACCGTTGCGATTACAGACGTTATTTATGTCCTGAAGCTCCTCGAGACACTGGGGAAAACATCTAGACTCGTCCGATCACGTGGATCACCTCATTCCAGGGGTTTTTTTTTAGAACATTCCGATGTTGCGTGCAACACAGACTCACCTCGAAAGTCTCCAAGAACAGATGGTCCAAGCGAATCAAAGCAAGAGCATCATTCACTTCGAAGCCCAGAACGAAAGCTTTCACGAAGTCACAAGCCTTTAAAAGAAATATTTCAATTGTCCGAAAGTTTTTTTATTCGGGATAGTTTCTAGATGAGAAATTTGGCAGTGATTGTGAAAAAAAAGATCACTACACTAATTATCTTGCTTTCCATTAAAGAAGCCTCTTACCGCTGGTTTCTAAACAGCTGATCTAAACTCTGAATCCGCTAATTTTCAATTTCATCCACTTGAGAGGCGTTCTTTTGAAGTTTCACTTCTTAAAATCGAAAAAAAATCTTTCGAATCGAATAATGACCACATATTTTCCCTCAATTTCCGGTTTTTAGCTCACAACTTCAGAGTATAAAGTTTTAAAAAGGATTTAGGGGATATTTTAACGGATAAATGTTAGTTAGAATCTTTAAGATAAATCTGCAGATTTTGAAAGCTGAGCCCAAGGCTTCAAAACCTGCAATTCACATCAAACAATAAAAAAGCTATGAGAAATCTATCTCTGAAGATGGTAAATTCGAAACAGAAAAAACCTTCTGCAAATCAGTGGTGTCTTCGCGGTCTTCTGGATTCCGAATCTCTACTTGACGTTTTTTCAGGTTGAACCTGAAAATATTCGATAAATTCCCCCTTACGGGAATTTTTAACCGGATCTGGAGTCCAAGATTCTTGACGACTGGTGTGAAAATATTCACCCAGTTGTCCTTGAGAGGAGTGTAACGATGTCTTGGAACTGGAACCTGAAAACAGAGTGGTAATAGGATTTATTTCGGGATTTCCACTAAGCCTGAGAAGATGTTTAGACAAATACGATAAAAAATAATCGGACCAATGTCTCGCCTTCGTTTGTCAGTTTTTGCTCACTTAAATTTCAAAAATCCAATCTAAATTCGGATTCAGTTTACGCTTAACACTGTTAATCTAACGAATTGAAGTAATTTTGAATGCCTAAATATTTTTTTATTTTTTTGACTTTTTTTGGCAAGTCATAAATTAATTATGCTCGAGCTTCCGGAAGCAGTTTTTTTTAAAAAAAGTGTAGAGCTAATTCTGAAACCCCGAAAATCGAAAACCAGGAAAAAGTATTTCAGAAAGGATTATCTTAAAACGTAGTATCTCTACATGAAAAAAATACCAGAAGAAAAACATTTCTTAAACCTTCTAGAAGTTATAAAAAAAGAAATGTATAACTTATCAGATGTCTCTGAAAAAAAAGCTGCTACCAAGCTATATTTTTTCACCTATTTAGATACTGGAACGTTTTTTTGGCCAGTATTTCATTTCATGAAGCTTTTTTTGTGCTTTCCCTCTGTTTTACATTTATTCTATCTTCAAATAAATTTTTTTGTTTGAAAAAGCGTTGGAAGGATATTTTTTTCCGGCTAATATTTTAGCTTCTTCTGGAGTTAAAAGTTTTTTCTGCGGGCCGTGGTCACAGCCATCCCATGCATAACTGAACCAAAAAAGCTCTCATATCGGTACTCATGAAGCACAAAAGATCATTCGGAGACGCACTACGCGGAGTTCGCCTTTGACGCCTTTGGAGCGTTTCTTGGAAGGTCCCTCCTTGTCTGCACTCGTTTCCATGGGCACATCTTCGCCCTCAGGCATCTCGCCTTCCTCGAACGCCGCCGTCGCCGCTTCCTCCGAAACGTCTTCCATCACTTCGTCCTTCGCCGCACTCTTCCGTTTTCTCTTCACCTTAAAAAGAGGAAATTGAAAAATTTCATCGCCATACTATACACTGGTCGAAGAAAAAATGTACCAATGTGAACTCTTCCTCTTTTTTGCCAGTGTTCTGCTCAATCAGTGACGGCATTTTTAACGGGAGTTCATCCTCCTCGATGAGATCGGGCACTCCTGAAAAAGATAAAGTCAAAACTAAGACGAAGTTCAAGCGAAGACAACCTTCTTCCATGGGCAAGTCGTCGTCGATGACGATGGCAGCGGATTTTTTGTTCGACATATTCGCGAGGTGCGAAGAAAGTGAACCCGAGTCTGTAAACCCGAATAGAAAATTTGCGTGAGACTCTGAAATATACAACGAGAAACATTCTTCATCATCTTGTTCAGAGTTTTGAAAGAATTTATGAAAAGAAAGTAAAAAAAAAGAAACAGAAATTACAGGAAAATTCAACAATAACAACAACAGAGCCAACAATCAACACTCAATAACAATAACAGCGACAAGTATGAAAATAACAAATTGATAAGAAAACAGTCTAAAACCCGTTGATACACATAGGCAGAAAAGAAAAGATTGTCCGACGACAAAAAAAAAACACAATAGACACCATAAAATGAAGCAGTTGGAATCAACCGATTCTCATTTGCTTCCACACAAATTCCAGCATCGCAGAGTCTTGTCGGGCCCTACTGAGACGGTCCAAATGTCTGCAAGTAAAAATTGAAATTAAAGCGACTTTCGAACCATTCAGCTTCAACATCTCTACAGAATTCTCTATTTCTTGTTTTGTACCTTTTAGTGTAGGGAATGAGTGACTCGACGATTCCACGAGAATTGGACATCTGCGTGAAATATTCAGGAGGACGGACCATCAAAATTTCGTAGAAAACTCTTTGCGCCGCCTGTAAAGAAGTTTGAAAATAGGAAAATAGCTGAAGAGGTAAATTTTGATTGAAAAGCTTGACATTTTTTGTTGGGACTTGAAAGGTAGGTGTTCTGAAAGAAACCACCTGTGCAGATCGGCTGTTGGTATTCCATTGGGTTGCGAAGTCGAGCAGCACCTTAGTGTTGCGGTCGTCCAACTTTTCCACTGCTTTTCCAACTTCATTCGCGTCCATCAGTAAGTTGATTACCTTCAATTGATTTGATTGAAAGTAGACCAACAAATATGCATCTTTAATTTCAATCAACAGAAACATTTTTTCAACTTGGATTCTTATCTCGAAAAAAAGAAGAAACGATATAATTTATCTTTTTTTTTCGACTACTGTCTTCAAAAAACTTTACACCTTACACAACTAGCACATTTTCGCGACCTTTAAAGCGTAAAAAACGGCTGTTCACGATTCGGTGCACTTTTTTTGGATTGGCGCCTACCTTCAGAGCGCAAGACGGTCGAATCAAAGTTAGTGCATACTCCAACGCTTCCTGATGGCGATTTTGGTCCAAAAGATTGACAAGAGTCTGAAAAGATTAGTTCCCAAGGTGACTTTCTAGATGAAGACACCTGTTCCTGTTCCAATGTTTCTTTCCTTTTCCGATCCTCAATGGCTTGCTTTTCCGTCGTGACATCCTTCCAGATGGCTATTCTTCCATCACTTCCAGCTGTCACAAACTCCGATTCCTCACTATTTGTGTCCAACGACCAAATCTACAAAATGCGTATATTTTTTTTTCTTATCATCATTTCTTCGGCTTGAAACAGCCGGTTGCGGCATCTGTTTTTGTTCTGGTTTTTTAGATAAGTAATTACATATTCACATAAAATAGTTTTAAGAGGTGACTTGGTGACCGTTCGGATAAAATTTTTCTTTATCAAACTCTGAGAATGGAATAGCTGTGTTCCATCAAGTTTTCTTGGAGCATTTTTCCGAACCCAACCCTTTTTTTTAATTTTCGTTTTTTTAACAATTCAATATTGAAACCTTGTCCGTATGAGCATCAAAAGAAGCTTCGCACTCTCCATTTTTAAGAGTCCAGATTTTCAAAATTCCTCCGCTGTCCGCCGAGAGAATTTGGAAGTCGTTGTTCAGAAAGATTATCTGCAATAATTTTTTCCATCAAAAATCCTGATATATTGTCATATTATACATCCTTTGTTTAAAAAATAAAGATTCCAGTAAAAGAACTGCTTGTGAAAAGCTAAGCTTTTTTTTCGTAAATAAAGCAAGAACCAACCCGAAACACTGCGCTGGGATGTCCTACCAAAGTTTGCAAACATGTCTTGTCAGGAACACTCCAAACCTTGATCGTCATGTCGCCGCTGCAGGATGCTAGTTTCTGAAAAACGGCGATAGTTCCCACTCAAATCGTAGAGAGCCTTTCAAAGTGCGAGAATTTGTTGATAGGATGTTGAATGAAACTGTGCGTGATAAACGAAAAAAATGAAACTCATCTTAAAATGGTAAACTTGAATCTTTTTTAAATAATAGGTGCATTTTATAAATTTCAGTGCACTCATTACTGAAATCGAACTTACGTTCACTTTGGTACGATTATAATCCTCTCTGCAAAAATGAACCTTTTTCAAATTTTATCTGAATTGTTTGCTACAGGATGAGCCTGTGAAAATATAAGGATAGGTAATATCTATAGAAGAGGAAAACCTGAGAAGTCGTTTGTTGAATCAGAATTCGTGGAAACAAAAAGAAGACATACGTGAGAGTTGCGAGCGAATTTGACATCGCCGACGCTTCTTTTGTGTCCGCTCAGAGATCCGCCGATTCCAAGTTGCATCTTGCCCAAGTCCACCTGCCACAGCTTCACCATCTTATCCATTCTGAACAGGATCTCTTTTGAGCCGTCGACCCACGGAGATCTACCCTCCAGTTGCGATGACACTGTCCGTTTCTGCAATCGATACACAGTTGACGTCTTTTGCGTGTGCCACCAAAGTCGAAGTACACGTCAGTTTCGGCCTGAAACTCGTAAAGTTCGGATGAAAGTGTCGGAAACATTCATCCAACAGTGAGAAGTCAGCCTAGACCTTTGATCTCAACTAGCCAACATACGCTGCCGAGACTGTTTCTTCAGCCCAACACTAAAGGAACTTTCGAAACTCATAATTGATCGGTGGTATGAAAAAACCACCAGCGAAAATTCAAACGGCGACTTTTCCGATTTTTTCATATCGCTAGGGAACTTTCCGACGGCCACCTTTCCGACGAAAATTTTTCCGACTTTTTTCCTTTATATTTTTCGGTTTATAAAAAATCTATAAACATATTTTTGTTTCTATTTCTTTGTGTTTTAATAATTAACCAACTACCTGCTATATATAGGAAGATTTAAAAACGAAGATTTTATCAAGAAAAAAAGTCGAAAAAAGATTCGTCGGAAAGGTGGCCGTCGGAAAGTTCCCTAGCGATATGAAAAAATCGGAAAAGTCGCCGTTTGAATTTTCGCTGGTGTTTTTTTCATACCACCAATTGATCATCAAACTCCACAGAACGTGAGAAAGCTATTGAAAATTATTCTATAATAAAAGTAATTTTTTCCGTTTTTTTTTCGCACATTTCATGGTTCTTTTAAGACGAAAATTCTACATTGAAATCTCATATAGAATATCTCTATGAACTTTTAATAACTCTAATAATCTCAATAGGTTTTCTCATTTCAGAATTGAATTAACTGAAACTGTTCCATGTTTAGATCTTCATACTTCGATCTCCAGTCCGAAAAAAGATAAAAAAGTTCTAAAATAATTTTTAACTAGAACTACTCTTCTAGTAGAGAAACTCAAATTCGTGCGTTGCAATTTTGTAGATAGCCAGAACGCTGAACATCAGTTCGAAGTTAAAAAACGAAGACATACAGAGATTCGAAGTCGTCGTGCTCGATGTCAAACTTGGTGTTCACTTTCAGATCTCCCAACGGCCAGATTTTGATAGTGCAATCCGTTGAAACGGAAGTGAGAAACGGGGATTTGCCGCCGTTGGACATGCAGATTGACGTCACGGTGTTTGCATGACCCGTCGCCATGGCCAACGGAGTCAATGTCGACGTTTCTTCGCCTATAAACAATGCAAAGAGGGAAATCTCAAGAGTGGCACCTTCAAGGAATTTCCAAACAATTATAGAATTGTCCTTGGAGCAAGAAGCGAGCAGATTCGAATCCCAGGGAGACGGCGCTATTGTCAAAACACTTTCCGAGTGACCTGAACAAAAAATAAATAATCTTGTGGTAGTGGGAAGTAAGTCGGAACCTCGGATGAGTTGGCAGTCCAAAGTTTGGAGGTTATAGACTCTGATTTCAGAAGTATTCGAGGCCACTGCAATGTGTGACTCTCTTTTGCCAATAAAGCAGCAAGAATAAATCTGAAATCAATTAATTAAACAAAAATCGTCACGCTAGAGAACCTCATCATGGAATCCGACAATCTGTCTTGAAATTTGCAGCTCCTCGTAGTTAACAACGTATAAATTTTCTTCGGCGGATACGATCAAACACCGATTGGTAAGGGCATTATAAGACACAGAATCGAGGCGAGAACTGAATGAAAATGAAAGTTTTGCGAGATTTCATGATCACCTGGTTATTTTCTTTTTCCGGACGAGTTTCGCCGTGTCAACGACCCACTCTTTCAGAACCCCTTCCTCTCCGACAGTGATTAAATTGCCGTTGTGAGCAATTGATGCACTTTCGATGGCTTCGAAAAGCGGCAAAACCTATAAAAAACTTTGACAACCAAACGTGCACACATTTTTTTTCAATTTAAACGGTCGTTTCACAGTTAACCAGGACGCTATTATTTTTTCTCACCTTGACCGTCTCCAGTGTTTCAGTTTCATGTATCGAAACAGTCTGATCCCTCGATAAAGCAACGACTTTTCTCGTATGAGGTATTTGTAAGACGCTCGTAATCTGGCTGAATCGGAACAAAGATATCAAAAAAGATGAAAATTCTCGAACCTTGTGTGGTTTTTCCATTCATGAAGGACTTTTTTTGGTGATCCTCGAACCAAGTCAAACAAGAGAAGCTGAAAACTGAGAATTTTACAAAGCTGAAGAAACAAATATACTTGTCCTTCGATGTAGCCCACAACCAAGCGATCGATATTCACAAATGAAATCGAAGAAACTACTGCAGGACCTTTGAGAGTGTGTGTGCATTGTTGCTTTTCCAGATTCCAGACCTGAATTTGAAAAAATGATTTTTGACTGAACAAAAAGATTATGCGGTGGTTAGAGACCCTGAGTTACCTTGACCGAATTATCAGCAGATCCTGTTGCTAATGAAACGCCTTTTTCGTCAAACTGCATCACAAGAATTGGAGCGTTGTGCATGGATTTCCAAGAACGAATAACCTCAGGCTTTTTATTTTCTTGCAAAGGAATAGAAAACTCGCGAATCTGAAAAAAAAACTCGAATGAAAATTTGATATAGACACCACGGGAGGGGGGACTCACAATCTGATTATTATAAGCAACCAGCAAATTATTTCTGTTTTTGTCAATACAAATACACGTAATGCGTAGCTCTTCTTCTACGTCGCCGATAGTAAAACTGCAATCAAAAATAACATTTATTATTGAGTTTCGCACAACTCACTTTGCTAAATTGTTTTCTAAATCAATAACTTTGACTACATTTGAACATGTAGAGAACAGCTTCTTTCCATTAGGACTCCATTCAACACTTCCACCTGTATAGAGAGCCTCAATACACCGTTTCAAAGCAACGTCTTTCAAGAAGTTCCTCATAGACCTGAAATCAAGAAAAGACCAATAAACCATGAAAGTTGGAGAAAGAAAAAGTAGGTGGTTGTGTTTCCCTGCAAGTGTCACAAATGAAATTTCAAAAAGGATTTCAAAAGCCTGAGTTAGTGTTAAAAACATATGTTTGTTTTTATCTTGTTCAATTTTTTGTTTTAAGAAAATGAAAAAGTTATTTTTTTAACAGAGTTTTAAAAAAAGTTTTTTTAAAACAAAACTATTTTTTTAATTTCCTAAGTCCGAAAAGTTGAGAAAAAAATAAGAGAAAAAAATCAAGCTTTATAAGAATATTAGTATTGCTGACCAATATAAATATAATTATTTCTTTTTTGAACCGCCTCTTCTTTACTCCGGAGTTCTCAAGTATTACTTCAAATTATGAAAAATCAAATCTTTTTTTTGAGGTAAACGATTTCTGTTGAGTTATTTTCAATACTTAAATGCCTTTTGAAAATAAGTCAACCAAATTTAGCCAAATTCATTAAAAGCTTTGCCAGGAAAAAAAAATTAAGAAATAAAAAAACCACTCAGCGTAAATATACTAGAGCCAGACAGCAGAATTTCCGATACAGTAAGTCGCTGTCTCGACGCGAAAGACAGCTCTCTTCAGCTTGCTCCTTTAAGAACAGGGCAGTTTCCGCGCTCAACGGGGGGTTTTTTTTTCTGACGCTTTCTGTGGTGATGGAGTGTTTATCAAAATCTTTATGACTCTTATTTTATCAGCGTGAGAGAACGGCTGTTTCTGCAAATTTCTTCAAAGCTTTTGTTTTTGAACAAAAATTTACTATTCTATTGACTTTGTTTCTGATTTTAGAGAACGTTTTGCTTTTAAGAGTATAGATAAAATTTTTGTCTTTTTTTCATGTAAATGTACACGTTATTGTTTATTTTTTTGAAATCCAATATAATTTACTTTCAAGAATATCATTGCTGTGATTGTACAAAAATATCTAGTAGCCACTTAAAATTCTTTTTTCGTAAATTATTTAAAATTAAATAATGGATGAATTTTATTTGTTTTCTTCAGTTGCTAGCAGAGGTAATGTCCGGACCAGCTTTTGCGCGTCCGGCAAACTATTCTCAACAGTCGACTCAACCAGCTGCGGCGCAATTCGAATTCACCTCCAGCGCTAACGGCGCCGCCCCTGCCTCCTTACCTAATACTACTCGTACCACTCCTGATTCGGGCTTAGGTACAGACGACGCCAACAAGCAGGAACGAAGAAAGGCTCCTCCTGGATTTGTTAGTTTATTTATCATACTTTTTACATGAATTGTTTTCAGACAGGACAGCCGACCACCTATTTTGGAGACAATATGAGATACCCAAGCAACGGTTCTTCTAACCCTAGTGGCGCTATGTACTTTCAACAGCAACAACAGAATCATCCTTACAGTCATCCTGGCGGTGCTGAAGGACCTAACTTCGAAACTGCAAAGGTTTGAATTCTTCAAAGAGTTTAGTTTTAATACATTATTTTTTTCAGAGTGCTTTTTGATTCTCAACAATATGTTCGTGGCAACTACGAGAATCGAGGTTATGGACGGGTTGGCATTCAAAGTAAATAAAAAAACTTAATTAATTTTTTTCAGCCGTACGGCGCTCCACCAATGTCGCTCGAAGGCTCTCAGTATGATGAATTGAATGGCAACGGGGCTCACTATGTGAAAAAAAAAATTTTTTTTCATTGAATGTTATTTTCAGGGCTCTGGAAACGTTCCTGAACATTTTGGAGTACAGTACGAACACCCTGGACAACATTACCGTAAGTTGGGTTTTGCATTTTCATCTGAATGAATCTTCACTTCTAGCAAACAGTAGCGTCCCGCCTATGGCAAACCCTGGGACAATAAGCGGGTCTTACGAAGATCAACCAAATACGTACATGCACAATCCGCAGCAGCCCTATGGAAATCAAGTTTTTCTTTTACTTTTTCCACTTCCAATTTTGTCTTTTTAGTTCATGTCTCATGGGCAGACTGGTCATCCTGTCTATGTCGCTCCACCGGGTCAGGGTCATCATCAACAACCAATTTTTGTCGCTAATGCGGTAAACTATAATTTGATTGAATTTTTTTTCAGATAATTTTTATAAGAAATTATGAAGTTCTTTTGCATATCGGTTGAAAAACTAAAGAAAAGTGAGAGAATCAGGGGCTTTTTTTTGGTTCTGTCTACCTACAATTAGACAGTTTTGATTTTTCTAACGTTCAAAGCATTGATAACTGTTTTCTAGCATGGAGGAGCAACGACGTTTGGAGGTTCGCATCCGGTGAACATGGCATCTGCTCCACAGACCACGCCAGGACAGGGTCATATCCCACTGGGCCCAGTTCAAACGAACATGGGGATTCCGCCGACCTCCATCAGTCATAGCACTCATCCCACCATGTACATCCATCAAGCCGCTCATCCGGCTACCCAGCCGGTTTTGCTCTACCGATCATTGAAAATTGAAAGGGAAGTTTAGGTGATTGTTCCGCCTGGTGCCGGTCCTTATGGAGCTCCTGCGACAAATATGTACGTACCTCTTCCGCTGCCACGTGTCTTCACAGCTAACAGACAGCCGCCGGCGCTAAACCCGACCGAGCCTCCACAAGGCTTTGGAAGAAAGCCTCGCGAAAGGCTCAACAACAGGCCGCCTGGAAACGGTTAAATTTTCATCGAAAGTTTTGCAGCAAGAAAAATATTTTCAACTTTTAAATTATTTCCTAGAAAATTTGTTTGAAAACGTCTAATACTCAAAAATAGGCTAGTTTTTTTGTTACTGATTCAGCACTCGTAGTCAAAAAAACTCATTCTTCAATCCTTTGAAAAGTGCTCGATTTGATCTTCTTCAGTAGTTTTGGCTTTAAAAGATTTTTTTGCGTGGTATTAGTGCCACAAAAAAGAAAAAGAATATTTTAATCACTAAAATTTCATAAAATTTTATCTGTATCAACCTTTTCAACGGCTCGAGAAACCGGTCAATCCTTCAAAAAAAAAACACTAGCCAATAAATATTGATGCAGAAACTTAAATCAATCGAGGGACTTTTTTTTATCATTTTTTCAACAGAATTGTGATTTGCAGGCCGAAAAAGTGGACAGACTGGATCTCAGCAGTCCTTGACGCAGGAGAATAATCATCAGGATGCCAGCAATACCACCGCGGAAAACCAACCGTTTTATGTGCCCCAAGGGCAAATACCTGGCCAGGTAAGATTCTCTCTTTCGCTCGGTCTTTTATTTTTGTCTTTTGAGGCGTCGGGAGGCGATTACCTTCCACCTGGTCATCCAGCGCAGTTCGGCCCTCCTATCGGCTTTGCAAGCGGAAGGATGGCTGGCCAAGTCGGCCCCGCAGTTCAGCCATATCCACCGCACATGCTGCAGCATCATCAGCAGTACGGCGGCGCGGCCTTGATGCACCCTAATGTCCAGGGCTCAGCTCAACATGTTCACAGCGTACCGCCGCACATCCAGCAACAAATGCAGCAGCAGCAGATTCCGCAAGGCCTCGGTCATCACTATCCTGGCTCTGTTCCGCATTTCGCTCAAGGTGGTCATCATTATCCGCCGACAGGAGTGCCTCCAAACACTCTTCCTATGATGAATCCTCAGTCGGCGCTTTATGGTTCTGCTGCTGCTGCTCACCAGCAAATCCAACAGAACTACCAGTACCCTAACAATGGACCTTCGCGAGGCAGAGGTGGAGGCAGAGGAGGAGGAGGAAGAGGAAGTTGGGGATCGCACTATCATGTACGTATTGTAAGATATATACCAAATGTATAGGCCGAAATCTTTTTACAAGAAAAAAAATCGTCATTTTTTTTTCTAACCATCCTAAAATAATAAAGAGAGAAAGAAAATTGAACTTTATATAGTTTTTGGTGTGTTTCAATCTTCAGGGAATCTTTTTTCTAGTTATTTCTAAGACTGATTTTTCACTAATAACGTTTCGTTTCATTTTTCATACCAATTTATCAGATTCTGTGTCTGATTCGAGAGCAACACATTTCAATAGTTCTGTTAAAGAGAATGGTTTCAGTCGCGACAGAACTCTTCGCAAAGTACCTACGAGACACGTCCTTGGCCCAACTTCAGCGGAGATGCTGTCGATGCATCTAAAAACAGTTCGCCACCCTCTGTCCAAGATGTCACTCACAAGGTCGAACATCTCGAGTTGGCAACAGTCTCTCGTGCCGGATCTCCCTCGAAGCAGCTGCTCCAGTACAATGGTAAGCTATTTTTCTTCAGCAGTGGTCGACAGTCTTTTTAGAAGTAAAAGGGAAAGACAAGTCCAGTAGCAGCAAGAGGGCCTCCAAGGTTTCTGTTCTCTCCACAACAGTGATCGCCTCCGCCGTCGTGCAAGATGCCGTTTTTGAAGTAACTAGTTCTGACGCCGAAATCACTGCAATTGAAATAGTCAAAGAAGAAAATAAAGAAGGTTTCAGCCTTTTGTCGCCTTCTCTGCTGATAATGTATTCTTAGAAGCTGTGACGAGCACGGTGAACGGTGATGACGTCACTAGCAACGCTCCTGAAGAGAATGAGGCTCCCGTTGAGTCGAAGCAAGGGAAGTTGCGATGTGTTAAGTGTGATACTCTGAAACGGTCACAAGATGTCGTTCAATCCCACAGGTTCATATTACCTTTACTCTTCCTCTCTTTCATTTTCCGTCTTTCAGTTTACGTCACCCAGATGGAACTGCATGGTGTCCTGAACTCCAAAAGGAGATATGTTCGTACTGTGGAGCCACCGGAAGAAGTGCTCACTCACACATTGTCTGCCCTCGGAAGAAAAAAGGTTTATTTTTTTCAAAATTTATAGGTTGTGAAGTTCTTGTTCATATTTCCTATAATTTTTTTTTGTTTATTTTTTCCACTGTGACTGTTCAGTACAGGCTTTTTCTGTCCCCTACCCTGTAATTTCACAGCACTGTGACACAGCGCACTGTTCGATTTTCAAATTTTTATTCTGCGTTATTCTAAAAAAAAAAACGTTTTTGAGAAATTTTCACCTTCAACACATATTTAAAACCGACAATAAACAATTGCAACGTGAACTAGGAACAAGAAAAAAATAGGAATAAGTTATGCACCCAAAAACTTGCTGCAAACGAAATTAGGAATTTTTAGCATGTTGCGTAACTATTCCAAAACTTTCGTCTTTTTTCAAGCGTTTTTTTTCAGAAGAGTTGAGCGCACCCAGCGAAAATCCATCATCTGTGAAAAGCGGCTCACGTGAATCGTCGGCTCCAAGAGAGCAGCACTCGGGCAATTACCATCACCGCCGGCAATCAGAGCGCGATCGCGGCGATTCACACCGACAGGGAGAATATCAAAACTACAATCAATACTCTGGGGGCCACGGCTTCCGAGGCAACTCCTCTGGACGTGGCGCTCGCGGTGGTTATCATTCAGGTCGAGGAGGGAAGTTTTCTGGGCCGAGGAATTCTGGAGGTCATTACGAGAATGTGAGCTCTATTTTTTTTCACCGGAAAGTGCTATGGTAAAAAAAAAAGAAAAATTTTAAGAAAGTAAGATTCAAGAGTTCATTGCTTCAAGCTTTTTCTATGTTGCGATCGGATCTCATGACTTCTTCTCGATCAGTTCGAAGTTTTTTTTTAGAGTGCTCTCAGAAAACGCGAAAGTTTATCTGAGTTAGGTCAATTTTCTCCGAATTCCTCTGTACTAATTATACACCAGCAACAAAATAGGTACCGCAAACAAGCTCAAAATTCTTCGATATTTAATTGCAAAAAAGGTGTTTCCACAATCGGAATCATTTTTGCTGCTCAATAACAAAGTTAGCCTTGAATGATTCTGGCAAAGTTCATTTTACTACAGGGTTATGCCGTGTTAAGTTTTTTTGTTGAGCCATATTTCGCTCTTATTTCTGCGAAATCCATTTATATGCGGTGTTATTTTATTTTGGAAACCTGTTTGAACTTCGTCAATTGAAATATGGTGCTTACTAGTAGAACTTTATTTGATTTCAGCGTTCGTCTCAGCCGTCAAAATGAAGAAGGGGAAAGAGAAAGGAAGAGCTTGCATTTCGAACGTCACGGTTTTTCAACACTGAACATCGTTTACTATCTTTACATCGTTTTGCAGCTGGCCACTATCCATTTTTTTTTTTTTTGAAGTCTTCATTATTTAATCACTTCTTTTTTCTTTTAAATAATTATTATATAACACCCGTTTTGCGGCCCTACTCGCAGTTTTAAAAAATTAGCGTCATTATATGTGGCTGGCGGAGGTTGGACAACTGTCAAGTTTGGGTTGAAGTCGATAATATTGCTATTAACGTGCTTTCATCAGAAACTTGTACATTTTCAAAGTTTAATTGTTCGAAAAATTGCCATTGAGCGAGCTTTCATGCGATCTGCACAATTAATTTTTGCTCTAATTAAGTCTATGGAAAACCGCCGATGAAAGTTACGAAATCTCCAAGTTTAATATATATTGTTTTGTTTTAACTTACCGTCTTGTCCGTCGATCATCATTGCGCCGGGTAGAAGATGCTTTGTTTTAATCTCGACATTTGTATAAGTGAAATTCTCGTCTTTAATTTGTCCTCCGCGACCTCGTAAATGTGAATATTTTCCCTTTCATCTCTTCATTTGCACGCTCAAAGTTTATTGTAATTTATATCTTGCAGCTTCCACTTTAACTAATGATGGAAAATAAAATCCGCTCGATCAATCTTTTATTACTGATGAGGGGATACCCACAACTTTGACTGTTTACAGTTTTGTATAACATTTTTATCTAGAGTACTTGAACATTGGAGACACCCGTGAAACAAGTAGAAAAAGATGATAGCCATTTTCCAAGTAAATGATCAAATCAAAATTTAAAAAAAAATTTCCACCAATTTTTTCCTAACAGTCCATCACACCTTTTTGGAGCTCAGAAATAAGAGATCATGGAAAAGCGTATTTGTTCGTCAATGTAAAAAGTTATTATCTAGTGATAAAAATGAATTATAGTAGTCTCATCTCAAATTCAAGAATTATACATAGCTGTTAAGGAAATTTTAGATCAAGATGGAATCTTTACGAAGATTTTCCTTTCCAAAAGTAGGGCGCGGAGATAAAAGACATTTCAAAAGTATAGTACGTCCATTGATTAAAAAGATTGAGTTGTGGTGGTAGAGTTAAAGTGCTCTGAGGAGCGGCGAGGAAGACGTGAGGAGAGCGGATCGAGCTCGCGCAGCAGAAGATTCGATGCTCGAGAGAGGCACCTGGTTGTTGCCGTGAGTGTGGAAGTTGGCGTACGGTAGCAACGGAATCGGGACTCTGAAAATATCTTCGATGTCGTCTAGAGCCTTTCGAATCATCTATTATAGTCAATGTTTCCCGACTTGAAAGGCGAGGGAGGCGGAGCAGGGGGCGGAACGCGTAGCGTGTGCGTACGCGGTTCTTGGCACGAGCTCAATTTAACCGCCATCGACTCTTTGGAAATCCTGTTTTTCGCTCTTTTCATTCCTTTTTCAATTATTTATTGATTATGTTCATGAGTTCATCAAAAAATAGTAGAAAACATTGAAAAAGAGCGGTTACCGAGCTTTTTAAATAGTCGGCGACAATTGAATTGAACTCGGGCCAAGAACCGCGAACGCACACGCTACGCGTCCCGCCCCTTGCCCCTTCGCCTTTCAAGTCGGGAAACATTGACTATACAAAAGTATATTTTTCTCACTGATGAGATCCCTGAACTCGAAGGCCCACCTACCCATTATCGTCTATGAAAGCATCCCGTTGTCGTGTCAAAATTGGTTCTCCTCTGAACGTTCCAATTGTATGAGCCTGAAAATCAAAATGGAAGCACTTTCGGAGAAAGAAAACTAAAAAAATTTACAAATGAGCGGATCGAACGTCGCAATTATTCCTCATGACTTCAACCATTCTAACAACTTTCTCAACTTTTTTTTTGGAAAATCTCGAATTGAACCCATTTCAACTCATTTTTCGAAGCGCCATGAATACCGAGCGCATTCCAACGTCGGCGTCCGTCGTCCGGTAGTCCGGAAGCATGGCTCTGACGTCTTTCCGGCCGACTTGCTCCAGAAGACTGTAAGCAGAAGCCGCTGCAAACTTTTCTTGGTTTTGATTGAGCCTTCAGGAGAACCACCTGTGAAGAAGGTGAAAAGCAGCGATAGAATCGGGGAAAACTGCATCTTCTGAAATTGAAAACCTTTTTTTCCATTTGCTTCCAAAATTTCGAACTAGGCGGAGCAAGAAGAAAATTTTAAAAATCAATCAATAAAAATGTTTTATCACAGATAAATAATAAACTGACGGAAAAAAGTGCAGGGAAACTACGAATCCGGAAATAAAATGGAAGAAGAAAGAAAAAAGACCAGGATTGCCGAATGACCTTGAAAGAAGACTTGCGTCACGGAGCTTCTAAGTAACCTTCACAGAATTCTTGAATAGTTCTTTTTTTCTCAACATATCTCCTTCGCACTCTTATCAAAGAGAACGAATAAGCAAAAATAATAGTTCAAAGCAAAGTAAATGAATTAAGAAACTTCATGAAAAGAAACGGAAGTCAAGTAACCGAAAAGGCAGGTGACCGTTTTAAAGAAACAATGAGACGATTGAGAAAGTGATCGATGTCCTCTCCTTATCAAATTCACCTAATTGGCGGAGAAAATTCGTCATAACATTCAGAAGGAAGTCGTGTTTCCGATCTCTCAACTCTTGAAGTTGAACGCTTAAAAGCCATGGAACGTGGACGAAAGGGATTTACATCTCCAGACCCGTTTCTACATGAAAAACGAGAAAAGTTCAACTGAGAACCCGCTTTCAAAATTGTTAATGGAAAAGGTTTTTTGAATCATCCTCAATTCCGTTCTTTTCCTTCGAAACGAGGTTTTTCCAGAATTGAGGGAATTTCTTAGTTTCTCGAAAAATACAATATCCTTGTTTTTTTGGCGAAGAAGGGGTCGGAAGTCTTCGTCCTTCACTTCAAGTGTTTCCTCGGTTTCTTTTTAGAAGTCTCCCTGCTTTTAAGTGCCAAAGGAATTTCTTTTCATTCGTTCAAACTTGTTTCCAATAAAATACTTTTTGCAAAGAGGCTGCTGATGGAAAATGCAAGTTGTCTATTCTTCTCTGCATCACTAATAATTCAGAAAATAATCCTTTTCTTTCAAAATTTATTCTAGATTCTAACTTGAACAAAATTTCGGTTCGCAAGTAATTAACCATCCAATTTTTTGTGGTCTCTATGCTGTGGAAGGGACCAAAAGTCGGAAGTGGCAACGCTTGGAACTTCCAAAAAAGGGTCACAGTTAGCGGTCCTCCTCGTGATTGTTCGCAAGCCTCTCTGACCTATGTCAACTATATTATCAACTTGTTTCAGACGAATTTTTTTTCCATTTTTAAACTTTCTCTTTGTAATAAAATTTTTCGTCTGTTCAGCAATCCGCTGAACCTTTGGATGCAAAACCATTCAAGGAAATTGACTTTACGCTAAGGAGTTTTTTGAAAGCCGGTCAGAATAATATTCGAGTTATTGCATAACGATTGTGAAATCTTCAACCGACATAAATTTTGAGGTTTTGAGGAAAACTAGCTGAAAGTCTCGAAACCGGCTTTTCAAAAGTTTTATGGTTATCTTTGATTCTTAACAGTTCTTTTTCGAAAACTGGGAAGTTGTTCTGGCTTGGAGTTTCGGGTTCCTCATTTCGCACATCGAAGGTTGTTCCCGCAAACATTTAGAAAATTACTAACCGCAAGTAAAATGGTCTTCTTTCCTACACGTGGTCTCTAAACAGCAAGATTTTCGACAAAGAGCTTTTTTTGATTTTGAAATGATTTATCCGTCTTTTCACGATTTTTCAGCCCCTACTAGATGATTCTAGTGGTTGCTGTTGTTCTGATTCTTTCTGCCAACGCCGCGACGACTTCGTTCAATAAGCCGAACATCTACAGTTGGCTGCAGCTGAACAGCTACATCTGTGAGAATTTCTCTTCGTTTTAGTTTTATGCACCAGGAAAACCAAAACTTTTTTTTTTAATTTTCTTAGACGCTACATTGAGATAATTATATTTTTTTCTTACCTATAAAAAAAAAATTAAAATTGAGCTGGACGTTGTTTTCAGGTGATCCTTCTCTGTCTGGCCAAGCGTCTTTCAGGTTCCTGACGCCGACAGAAGCGATTCGGCTGCGTTGTGCTTGCGGAGATGTTTCAGTGACACGCACAGCCTGCGGCCGTAGAAGCTTCGAGAAACCTTCCTGTTTTGCACGTGAGTACAGTTTTCACTTTCTGAGCTGAACGATTGGTTCCAGTACCAGCCATTTGTATGCAGGAGTACTCGGTCATTTTCGCTAACGCTGCAAATCGTATCGGCAGTTTGTTTTTGTTTGTTGCCTCAGACAATCGATCAATAGTTCATTTTGTTGTTGTAGTTACAGACTTAGTCGACTAGAGACGATCAAAACTTTGAAAGCTATAGCGAACAATACCAGTCATCTGTATGCAGAAGTCGCCTCGTTCTTCCGCGCGTAGTTCATCCAGTTGCTACTTGACAAGCTCAGAACACAGCGGATGTTATGCCGGGAACAGTTCTCTAGGGGGAGCCTCAAAACGAAATTAGTCACTTCGAGTGGAAACTTTTCACGGAATTTCAAACTTATGCCGTGTTCAAAGTAATTTCGCGAAATGCAAAATGATCTCTGACTTTCCAAAATTTAGTTATATTTTTCTTTCTATGACGGCTATTTTGCATTTCGCGAAATTACTTTGAACACGGCATTAGTTTACAAAAAAAAACATGATTCGAAACTTGAACGAAATTTAAAAAGGATAACTTGATTTTCAATGACATTTAATTCAAGACTATATCACATTCACCGTATTCTCGATGAATGCCATCAATTTCAGTTGTTTTTTCTGTATGGCTCTTCAGGTAAAGGACCGTCTGCAGCCCGAAGGCCTTCCAGAACTTTCACTCAGCCACGAACAAGACAAAAGACGGCGTTCCGATTCACAAAGTTTTTTTTATCCAAAAAAAAAATGCAGAGACTGGTTTCAGGAAGAGAGCGACAAGACGAAGGCCCATCCAAAGAAGCAGGACCAAACATTTTTGAGCATAACCCAGTAGAAAATGTAACGAACATTGCAAAAAAAAAGAGATAATTTTTTCGAGTTACTTCATTTCTTGAGGGCGAGAAGTTCTATTCTTCGGTACTAAAGCCGGCCTGGTAGTCTCGGAGGGCGTCTTTCAGGTAGTCGATGTGCAGTTTCTCAAACTCTTCTTGTCGGCTGCCGGCGGTGCGGACGCGATCCAAGGCGATGTCGAATTCCCGCAGCGCGATGTCAAACTTCTGCTTTTTCTCCTGCGACTCATTTCTGAAGCCAATGACTGTCTTCTCGTCTTCAGAAGAAGTCAGACTTAGAGAACTCGGCCTCGCTGGCGTCTCTGTCAAGGCGACGCGCCTTGAGGGCCGATATGGACTGTTGCACGTTGTGCAGCTCCCCGCTGATGAAAGCCTTCAAGCGGTTGTCGAGGTCCGTCCGCATCTGCAAAAGAATTGAAACTTTGGTTACTCGCTCGATTCTTTCAACCTTTTCTGAAGCTAAAACCTCGTTAGCCGCCTTTCTCGAGAGCAGCTGCGCGAGGTTATCCGCAGACTTTCCGATCTACAGTTATGTTACTGACTCAAATTTAGGACATAAAAGTTGAAAAATTGAACGTAAAATGTTTACGAGTACTGACCGAGCTTTCTAGTCCGCGTAGATCTTTGAGCTCACTGATCACATCCGACTTCTTGTTCTTTTTCCAGAGCTGAATTTTTTTTTCTTTTTTTTCATTGAGTCTTAATCACTACCTCGGTAGATTCTTGAAACGCCTTGATCACCTGTTTGTCTCGATCCGCCCATTTTGCAAAGTCGTCCATGATTTCTTGAACGTCTGCTGGCATCCTGAACCGGAAAAAGAGGCTGGAGAAAGAGCTGGACACCTACGGCGTGATGGAGGCGCGGCCAGTCTTCTCTTTGACCTTCTGCTTGAGTCGACCGAACATTAATAGAAACGATGCACGTGCAAAGTAGGAATGACCCAAAATGCGACGTCACCACGGCATTTCTCTATCACTTCACACAATCATCCGACCTCATTATTTTTTAGCAAGCTACTCCAAAGCTTGTTGCTCAGGTTTGGCTCCTTCTCCTCTCTCTACGTTGCCGTTCAGATTAAATGGCGGACAAAAAGGGGACCGAAGCAAACACCTCCACTGGAGTTGCGATCGTCGACGCCGGCCCCAGCGAAATCGCCAACAAGTGCAGGAGACTGAGTAGGAACCATTATTCTTGAAGTCTCAGACCCGGCGAGCCTGCGTTCAAGCTGGCGCTCTCCACCAAGCAGATCGTCTTCCCATGCCCAATCGAACGGAAGCCAGTCTCCGTTGCAATTAAGATCTACAACGGTAGCAACGACCCGCAAACATTCAAGGTTGGTTCTTTGTCGCTATAAATATGAGAGACTTAACCAGAGTAAAACTTCGAAAAAAAAAAATGAAAAAGAACTGGAAGGTCCTGATGCATAGGAAGTCAAAATGCTTGACACTTTTTTCGGCTAACAGAGATGGAGCAAACGGAAAAAACTTTTTGCGTCGTTCACTTGTACAGAAAATGACGGATTTCAGGTTAAATGCACGTCAGCCGAAGTTTTCCGCGTTCAGCCGCCTCTCGGGGTCATCAAGCCCAACTCGACACAGGAAATCGTCCTGTGGTTCCAGGTTCTTCCCTATTAGTAGTTTTTACGAGAAGAAGCAACGAAATTCAGAATAAAATGAGATTAGAAGCTCCAAAGCACTATTTTGCGTTCTATCACATGAAGGCGGACAACCGTACTCCGAAAGAAATGTGGGCCAACGCAAAGGCTGAGGGTATCCAAAGAAGTTCACGCCAGAAGAAGTCAGAAGAATTTTGCAGGCGTTCGACGTGTGCCGGCCATCTTCGAGGGTCCTGGAGCCGCTCCAGTTGCTCCGTCGACCATTTCTGCTCTCAAAAAACAATAAATCTCCAGTGCGAGTGTCGTTGAACGCCTTTTTTGCGGAAATATAGTTCGATAATCGAAGTCTTGAATTAAATGGGATCTGAACTGTAGACAGAACTGTGACTGAGGCCGGTGAAGGTCAGGAAAAGAACGTGAGAATGAAGATTGATCGTAATATTGTGAAAGGCCGACGGCATAGGAACTAAAGCTTTCGCTGTGTTTGGCGAGAAATCGACAGTTCTCTCCGTCTCAGGGGACTCGATCCAGCGACCCCGTGAAAGAAGTCTTGCCAGCTGAACTCCGCTTCCTTTGAACAAAGCTCTGACGAAAAGTTACGGCGCCAATTTTTGGAATTTTTTCGCCCATTTCTAACTTTAGTTCTTCTTTCTATGAAGTTCGATTACACTAAGAATAACTGACGAGATAAATGCGAGCTCGGTGGCGGTACATTGACTAACTCGCAAAAATGTCGCTTTTTTCTAGGCGCGATCCCGCATTTATCTCGGCGCGACCTCGCATTTTTCTCGGCGCCATCTCGCATTTATCTTGCATTTCGGAAATTTTCAAATTGCGAGAGAAATGCGAGCTCGCGCCTAGAAAAATGCTAGCTCGCGCCCAAACAAATGCGAAACCGGCGCGAGAAAAAATGCGAGATGTTTGCGAGCTCGTCAATGTACCGCCAGTGTCTCGCGTTTATCTCGGCAGTTATTCTTAGTGTATGCAAAGACCACTTTGACGAAAATTCTTGACAACTTCGTGAAAAAAATCTCAATACAACTAAAGTAGCACAGATCTCAGAGTGAATTATTATCATAAAATTTCTAACTTCTCAACATATTTTCAAAAAAAAGGAGAAGGAACCGGTTTCTTTTGTCATCGGCAATATGTTAATCCTTCGATCACCCGTACAGTTTTTCCTTTTTTTCCTCTTCTAAACAGTTTTTTTGTCTTTTTTTCGAGCTTTATTTTTATTTCTTAATCGAAAAAAATTGTCTAGAAAAAGGAAAAAAAGGTGTTAAAAAAATAAAATTTATAAAAAAAGTTTTTCTCACACCTTTTTGAACTTTGAAAGAATGTTCTGATGATTGATTCGAAAATCGGCGAAGACTGAGGCCAATGAACTTTTTCGGCCTTTCAACGTGACGAAAACCCTTTTTTTTCCTTTTTTTTTTTCTTTTCTTACCGACCATTTTTTTTTTCTCAGTTACGTAAAACAAAGAACTGAGGTTAATGATAATAATAGTTTATTCACTGCCATAAAAAAAAAACGAAAAACAATTGATATCATGACTTTTTTTCCCAGATTTTTCTGTCTTCAATTCTTTCAAAGCTATAACGAAGAACCGCCTTTGGCAAACTATAAGTCCAAGCGTGTAGTCGAAAGAGTTGAAAGCATGGTCTTACGGTCCTTCGCCTCGTTCTCCTGCACGTAGTTCATCCAGTTGCGCCTTGACGAGCTCAGGATCTTGTGCTGGAGCCCGGAGACCGTGCTCTAGGTGGAAGCCTCGTAATGAGTCTTCAATATGAAAACTTTTAGTTCACCAAAAATTTTGGTCCAAAATATGCGGTTCTGTCGGGTTTATTCATCACCTGAAACCTTGAAAAAGCAGCTTTTTTGAATTTCCTAGAGCAGATTTAAAGTTGATCTGTTCGATCAAAGTATTGAAAAAACTAATATTTCGGGAATTCAGGCTAGTATTTCGGGAATTCAGGCTTCTTTTTCTTTTCTATCGTCATTGTGACTGATTTTGATTTGAAAAACCTTCTTTTAACCCTGACAATGCGCATTATTCTGTTTTTTACTGTTTGAAAAAATGTTTTTGTCTTTGGCGAACTTTTCAGGTTTCTTTTCAAGTTTTCCCTTTGAAGGATAGTTTTCATTTACATTATGGAAATATAACGGGGCAAAATCGGCGCAGTTCAAAAAAGTATTTTTAACAGAGAAATAAAATTGATTTTTTTTTTCATTTTTTCGCGACGTTCAGAGTGCTTGGAATGTCTGTGGCAAAGAGTCCAGGACGGCTCTGGTCGTCGGTTCGTCGGAATCTTCTGCTGCTGCTCACCATGATGGGAGTGCTGCTCGGAATCGTACTCGGAGCGATTCTTAGGTTCGACCTTAGGCCTTTACTTGACTTTAATAATGTTATAGACTTCAAAAGAATTTTAATTAGTGTCAAGTAAGGTCAAAAGTGAATCTCTCGATGAAGCTTGAAATCGCAGATCCGCCAATTTCTCAAAGGAAGCAATCCATTACGTCGGCTTTCCCGGCGAGCTTTTCATGAACATGCTCAAGGCTATGGTTCTGCCTCTGATCGCCGCAAGCATAATTTCTGGTATGTCGAACTAATTTTTCGACAATCCACTTTTTTTCATTTAATGAGTTTTTTTTCTTAATACCGAAATTAATTTAACGAAAACTTCGTGAGCTTGCGAAATGATTCAGGGCTGGCGCAGCTCGACGGCAAAACTTCTGGCCGGTTGGGATCGCGAGCCGTTCTCTACTACACTCTGACAACCACCCACGCAGTTATCGTACATTTACTGTGGTTATTCCGAAGGAAGGAGTTGAATGTTTTCAGCTGGGGATTATTGTCGTCCTTCTGGTACATCCTGGAGATCCGCGCATCAAACAAAGTATGGGCGTCTCCGAAGACGAAAAGGCTCAGGTCTCGGCCGTCAACAAGTTTTTAGACCTGTTCAGGTATTTCCACGAAAAAATTCATTTTATTGAGAAGACCTTGAAGGAATGCTTTTCCGGAGAACGTCGTCCACGCGACTTTCGCGCAGGTGCAGACGGCTTTGGTGAACGAGACAACAAGGGGGATGACACATGTTGTGCCGCGTACCCACTACGTCAACGGAATGAATGTTCTGGGTGTGTCTCCTGGAACCAGAGCATCTAGAAGACCAACTTCAGGAATAATCGTGTTCTGCATCGTAATGGGATTGGTCATCTCTCGACTGGGAGCTCAAGCCAAGCCTCTTGCAGACTTTTTCCAAGCTCTTGACGTCGTTATCACCAGGATGGTGCTGCTCATCATGTGGTGAGACAGTCGTAGTAAACAAATTCTCATCGACTCAAAGGTTGGGACCTATTGGTATTCCGTCGTTGATCGCTCAGAAAATGCTGGAAGTGACGGACCTTTGGATGACGGCGAAGACATTAGCCATGTTCATGTTCACCGTAATCCTCGGTTTGTCCTGCTATACCGTTAGAACTTGAACTTGTTTGATTGTAGGTCTGGCGATCCAGTGTTTCATAACACTGCCTCTTATATTTTTCATTGGAACTAGGAAAAATCCTTATCCATTTCTTCGAGGACTCGGACAAGCCATTCTCACAGCACTTGGAACTGCTTCAAGGTTCATTCATTTCTAAAAAAACGACATTTGGAGGATTTCAGTGCTGCCTCCCTTCCTGTGACGTTTCGATGCCTGAGCAACCTCGGCATTGATCCCAGGGTCACCAAGTTTGTCCTGCCAGTAGGAGCAATGGTTAACATGGTAAAGAATTTACCCTAGCAAGTGAAATGAAGTGCTAGGACGGCACAGCTCTGTACGAGGCAACGGCTTCCATATTCATAGCGCAAATGAACGGAATGGACCTATCGATAGGACAGATAATAACTGTCAGGTAGAAGCCCAGGCTAGGAGCCTGGGAGTCAGAGACTTGCAGCATAACGGCGACGCTGGCGTCCATCGGAGCGGCGTCGATTCCGTCGGCTGGACTCGTCACGATGCTCATCGTGTTGTCTGCCCTGGGACTTCCGGCCAGCGACATCTCTCTCATAATTGCCGTCGATTGGTTTCTGTCCGTCACCTTCATCTCTTCGGCTTCAACTTCTATCCCAGAGATCGACTCCGAACGTCTGTGAACGTGATTGGCGACGCGTTCGGCTGCGGCTTTGTCCATTGGCTTTGCCACGAGCACCTCGCCGAAGACGTCAAAGAAGCAGAAGATAAGCAGAACTCGCTAGCCGAAGTCCACGTATGCAAAAGTGCGAGAATCGTTTTTACATTGTAGTTTAGGGTGTCAACTTCGATCAGTTAGAAAGAGAAGCAAGGGGAACCAACATCGAGATCGATTTCGCTGGAAATAGCCGTGTCTGATCAGATGAATTCACTTCTGATCAAGCATTGTGGTACTTATTAGGAATACTTTATCAGTTTTTTCCTTTCATCTCAAGCACTTCATATAAACATTTATTTTTAAGATTAATTATGTATAGTCTATCCACAAGCAGAATGAAAAGATATTTGAAGGCGATACACTGTGCCGAAAAGAAAAATAGCGGAACCGGAAATTTTCTCTTTTGCCACGCTCCTTCGTTGTTTGTTGTTACTCCACAGTGTCTGATTCAGCTTTAAAAACATTGTCTATCCCGATCGCTCCAACATTTATCAAACATATGATATACCCCTCACCGAAACTGGCCTTAAAATCTTCATTTTAAAAATTGATTGTTTTTTTATTGAGCTTTATTTTAAAATTTAAGCTTGCGAAATATCTTCAATCTGTTTTGATATTCTTAAAATTTCTCTCATTTTTTTTTTATTTGTGATCATTCTTTTTTTTCAAAACAAAGCTTCTTATTTTTGAAAAAAAATTATATTTTCTGTTTTCCAGTAACTCCAAAGAAACTGAAAAAAAAAAAGTTGAAACTGTAGTTTTTAAAAAGTTATTATTGAGAGGTTCGCTTTTGTCACATATCACGGAGAAACGGTCGCGTTGGAATGAACGAAGACGAGTTGGCGTATATTGTCGAAAGCGAGTTCGTCGAGCAACGTGAAGTTCAAATCGAAAGCGGAGGTCTGGTTCCAGACGTCTTCGCGGTTGATCGTCACCAACGCGTGGATCATCACCACATAGGCGCCGACTGCAAGAATGTTTTCAGTGGACTCTAACTCCTCAAACTTAACATTTTTTCATGGCAATGAAAAAGATGTATTTACGTGGAAAATGAACCTTTCGAACGGAAAAACATAAAAAAAGGACTAGGAAAGCTTTTTGTAAGTTTTCTCTAGACTCAGCTTCTGAGTCTTCAGGAAAATTAATCTAACTGGTGATTTTGAATTGTCATAAAGAGTACTCAGTAGGAAGAAGCCAAGGGGAAGGATGCAGTTCATATCGACGCGGTTGATGAACAACGCTGCCATACATGGAATCTGCAAGACCTCATTCATCAAGAATGTTAACTTGCCATTTCTCAAGAGAACAAAAACAGATTTCTACGTCGGGAGAGTGCGTCGCTAGGCTTCTTCGCTGAATGGCCAGAAAAAAGCGCATTGCTAGGAAGCGAAAAAAGGGCTGCAGAAACAAAAGACGCTGGGAAATAGAATAAAATTTATCCGAAACTCGACAGACAGAAATGAAATTCAAAACACGTCGAACTATACAATTAAAGTCGCGCCCTATCATTCTACCGTACAAAATCTAAGTTGAACAGAACAAAAGTTGAAAAAACAAATCCGTAGGTCCTTAAGAAGAGGAAAAGGATCTAGTTGACGGCTGGACCGAGGCTTCCGGCCACTTGTTTCGGCTCCGAAGACTTCTCCGCCAGAACCGATTTGTGGAACTCGGCCATTCGGCGTTCGAGTTCGGGCCGGAAGTGTCTGATAAGTCCCTGCAACACCAATTTTCACGGGAAATTCGAAACATCCAGCTTACAAAATGTTTCAAGTTTATCAAGAGTGAATTTATCATTTTTTGAGAATGAGAAGATTTTAGAAGAAAAGGAAAAATTAATCAGGAAAGGAAAGGTTAGAATGAGGAGAGACCTGAACAGGCCAGGCGGCGGCGTCTCCGAGGGCGCAAATTGTATGGCCTTCGATCTGCTTGCTCAGCTCCCACATCATGTCGATCTCGCTGGGTTTGGCCTTTCCATCGACGAACCGCCACATCATTTTGTTGAGCCAGTTGCAGCCTTCGCGACACGGCGTGCACTTAATTCATGAAAGTTATCACACATAAAATCAATGAGAACAGAAAGATTTTACAAAAAATCAATACACACTTGTTCACTGAATTTCATAGAGTTAACGAGAAAGACCACTTTTTTTTAATAAGTTGATGGCCTGTGGCCATTAAACTTACAAATTGCGAACTTTATTTATTTTTATTTTTTAAAATGTTAGATTATATGTGGAGAAGTCGATTTAGCTGTTAGAAAGCCACTTGAAAAATCGATCGAATGCAGTACTACATCGAAAAAAACTCTGACAAAAAAACCGTTATTCACAATAGTTTTTTTATATGCTTGAAATTAACAAAACAAATGTCCCGAACTCGGAGTACGAAGCTTTAAAAAAAGAGGTATTTAAAAGAACTGTTTTCAGTTATCAAATCAATATTTAAAAGCAACAGTTATGAAATTTTTTTTAAATTCCTGTTTAAATGAACTCCAATTTGACTCCTAAAAAAACTTTGAATATTAGTATTTTCGCCAATTCTTCATGACTTCTTAATATAAACTGTTTTTTTGTTCTCTCCCTAAGGAATCTTTATAACAAATTATGAAAATTTTCGTAGAAAAACTACAAAGAACTTCATCTTAAAATAAAATAACCTGTCCACAGCTTTCATGTTTGTAGAAAAGCGATAAACGAGCAATACATTTGACGACGTCGCTCTGGAAAAAGTGAATGTAGAGTGAAACACGAAGAGCAGTTCGAAAGAACCTGTTTGTTCATGACGATGACGGCGGCCGTGCCGAGACCCGACTGAGCGGCGACGAGAGCGTCGAAATCCATCAGAACCGTGTCGCAAACGCTTCTGAAATCGAAGATGGGAGTGAAATCAAATAACAGAATTTTTATGAAATAAATTCTTAAGCCCTTTTTCGAATTCTAAAGAGTGTGCTATTTCAATAAAAATGAAAAACAGGAAGTATTAATGTGGGTTTGTCAAGAAACGAGTTTCAATTATTAACTTCAAACATTCATAAACAAAATGAAAAATATTTTTGGCCATAAAAACAAAAATGAACAGGCCTCTTGCCAAAAATATAGAATCTTTATCAGCATTGGGAGCAGAGTCCTGAAGCTCCGGAGACTATGAAGACGTCGATTTCAGTAATACACAGATTTCTATCTTAATTCTCTCTGAGAAAATTCCATCGAAGTATTTAAATCGACACCCATTTCTCAATAGTTCAGTAGTCTGATTGTCGAATTCTGGTCGTAAAGTGACTTTGTTGACCTTTTTGAAAACCAAGCAACAAAATGAATATTTGCTCAGTTTTTCGAAATAAAAGCTCTATCCAAGATGCGTTACTTTGGCAGAAGAGGGACCGAAGATCCTCCGGGAATGATCGCGAGAAGATTGTCCCATCCGCCAATCACACCGCCGCAATGTCTCTCGATCAGATCCTGGGAGAATAAGTCGACGGCCGAAAAGGCTCCAAACCTTCAATGGAACCGACATCTCTTCCTCGACGGTACACGGGTTGTTTACTTGACCGGAGATGCAGAAAAGCTGAAAGAAAAGTTCAAAAAGAAGACGGAAGTGAGAACCTTGGTTCCGCGGTTGCGTTCGCGTCCGAAAGAGGCGAACCATTCTCCGCCGCGACGGCAGATCGTCGGCGCCACGGCCACTGTCTCCACGTTGGTCACCTGCGCAAAGTCAAGCCAACTCAGGTCCAACCAATTTGTTAAACACGTTTTACGTTTTCCTCATCTCTATGATATTGTTCCGTAAACTCTTTTTATTGACATACATTAAAGGTTATTTTTATTATTTCAAGTTTGAAATACTTTTTTAAAAATGTCTCGAAAAAAAAAATAACTAATTGACCTCCATTTTATGGGCTAGAATTGAAAAATTAAAGTTCCAAAAAATGAACGCAATATACTGAACAAAGAACCTTATAGCCGCCTTTTTTTCCCTCAATCAATTCATTCTTTTATTTTCTTCTCAACAAGCGTCCTTTTTTTCTACTCAAAAAAACTTCTTCATCTGATGAATTGATGAAGACAAAATTTGAAAACTTTCTTCACAAAAACTAATCTGAACTTAGGGAATTCATCGGAGAAAACATTCAATGAAACTTCTAACTCTCGCACAAAAACAATCAGAAAACTAACGGTAGTTGGACAACCGAAGAGGCCAATGTCAGCCGGGAAGGGAGGCTTCAGCCTCGGTTTGCCTTGTTTTCCTTCCATTGATTCGATGAGAGCCTGAAGAACCTTGAAACGGGGATCATTTCTGAGGCTCACAGTTTCTTCTCCGCAAATGTAGGCACCGGCGCCTCGATGTACGAACACGTCGAAATTGTAGCCGGTCCCCAAGCAGTCTTTTTCCGAGGAATCCCGCCTGAACATCAAAAGTTTTAATAAGTTTGTCTCTTCCATGAATCTTTTCACGAATAAGACGATAATTTTATATGAAAAAAACTAAAAAAATGAAGACGAGTAAAATATTCTCTCAAATATTTCTATATTTTTTTCAAACAGAATGAACCAAAACAACGTTTTCGTCGCTCGCTGAAGGTATTTAAACCTGTTTTTTCACATTTCATCTTGACGGCATTAAAGTACTTTTTCCTCAACTTAATGCAAAAACTATTAACAAGGTTATTTTTTTTTGCACTATCAAATTAAATTTTAATGTAATTTTCCTGTTTTTATCAATCAAAAGCAAGATAGGGAATGGATAAAATACCTTATAAGCTTCATTGATAGCTTCTTGAAGAATACACGCCTCATTGTAGAACTCTCCACGAATGTAGATGTAGGCGGCGCGAGCTCCCATCGCGACTCCGCCGATGAGACAGCCCTCGATGAGCTGAGAAACGCGGTTGGACAGTGAGAAGTGTGGCAACCTTGTGAGGGTCGTGGCGCATGATTTCTCGGTCTTTGCAAGTGCCTGGCTCTCCTTCGTCAGCATTCACAACGAGGTATTTTGGCCTGAAAGAAAATCGAGATGAACCGTTGGAAAACTGAACGACTGACCTTCCATCGAAGGGCTTATTCATGAATCCCCATTTCATTCCAGAAGGAAACCCAGCGCCACCGCGGCCTCGTAGACCAGAAGTTCGTAACTCGCCAAGGATCCACTCGGAGCCTTTCAAAATTATTTCTTTTGTTTTGTACCAATCTCCCTGAAAATTCCGTCATTCATCCATCAGAACCGAATCAACATACTCGAGCCATGGATCCCTTCAACCTGTAGTCGTGCCGGCCATACAGGTTAGTAAAAATACGGTCGGTGTCTTTGAGATTGCCGAAGCTGGTTTTTTCTGTCTTGGCAGGCTTTTCTGGAGCTGCTGTGGCTGCGCCTCTCACAGAAATTCGAGCAGCTGGAAAAAAATTAAAGCATCTTATCTTTCATTAATCTGAAGCTTTTCGTAAAAATTACCACTATTGCAGAGCAAACGTGCTCCCAATGCCACTGCCGCTGAACCCATTCCAACCCCCGTTCTTCTGAAAAGATTCAACTGAATCAAAATCAAAAATATTAATATAAATAAATTTCACGCGGAGAAAACTGGAGGAATGCGAACAGCTATACATTCGAATATGAGAGCTATTGATAACTATTCAAATAAAGAATTTTTGCTTTTTTCGAGCAGATAGTTCTGGTACTAGACTGGATGTGAAAATGTATCGAAAATCGATGAAAAACTTTCAATCAAGAATACTGAAAAAGAGTGAAAAATTTCTTATGAAGTTTATAGACATGCAATGGTTTAAAATTAGTAAGTAAGCAATGAATTCTCGTCTAAAGGAAGGAAAGTACGCAATTTGAAAGACACCGAAGTATTTCATACATTGCCAGACAAATACAGAACTTTAAATGTGCATAAATCATAGATGAATTTTATTTTGAAGAAATTTTCAACGTTATTAAAAACAGGAGCTAGTTTTTTTGATACGGTTTCGTCGTAGACTTTCCTGTTTCGACCGCGAAGTACAAGATGCTTGCGGGTGTTTACACAACCACCGTAATCGAGAAGCTGAAAAATACCGCAATTTTGCACCCGCTCACGCTTGAAACGCACGCTTGACACGTTCTTGGAATGTTTAAACACCGAATTTCATTTTTGTCCAACGAAATCACTTTCGCGTGCTCGCGGCGCTGAAAAAAAATTTAAACTTTTTCGACGACGAGAGCACGAGTGTTTTCTCGAACTAAAAATATTTTAAAATGCATGTGAGCGAACATTGTTAGCAATTGTGAATTTTTTTTTTCTCAATTAGATAGTGGGAGTAATTTCATTTTCTCTTATCATTATCATCTCAAGTAAATTATCTCTATTACACCGTTCTTGAAGAAATTGACGCGAATTGCAAAAATTGTCTTTTAATCTTTTCTTTCTTGATTTTTTTTTTTAAGTCGTGAGTTCGCTCTGAACACGGCATCATTCTTTTTGCAAAATATTTGAAAAGGAAAATATAAATGGTAATAATTTTTATTTTATAAGAATAAAAAAGATTCAACGAACACAACCCATAAATCTTTGAATTTCGCCGATTCTCAAATTCAGATTTTTCTAATAAAAAAATCTCTCTGCGTATGTCCCATTCTTTCAGTTTTACATCTAAATTTTTAGTTAAGATAACATCAAAAAAAGCAATTACATCGAAATCGGATGTACGTTATACTGCAAGAATGAAACGACCTCTTTGTCTTCGAACAAAGTTTATATTTTAAAAAGCGAAAATATATTTAAAAATATTGAAATATAGTTCACCGTTTTTTTATTCGAGTTTTTTTCCTCACGCAAAAAAATGACAATTTTAGAACAAAAAAATCTAAAAAAATTTCAAAATATTGCACAACGATTCCTGTAACCCATTGACAACTGACAGAGCTCTGGAAGGGTAAGTTAATAATTCAGCACCCGCAATAAAATCTCTTTAATAAGCAGAAAGCTGAAGCCCTTAGCAATATATCACAATAGAATGTATCACGTATTATATAATAAGTTTACAAAATTAATAAAAACGCGAAAAAGAGAAAAGTTGCGGGGAAACAGATAAAGTTGGGGTTAGCCGAGTTGGACAGTGTCCTGAATCCTTCCTCGACGCAAAGTCGGCTGGTGTTGCTCACGAAGGACAAGGAGGCGTGGCCCAAAAGACTTTCAGGCAGTTGAACGACCAAACATCGCTCCACATTGTACACCTGAAAGAATAGTTTCACGCTTTCCTTCAACCTAGTTATCTTCAAGTTAACTTTCAAGAACATCAAGAAAAACATTTGAAGCTTGTTTTGGCAATCGATCCAGTTATTCTGAGTATAAATTAAATTGCAGACCTCGTTGGGAGAGAGTCCGGTCAACTCGAGCGTTTGTTTTTTTCCAGCCTGAAATTTGTTTTACTATGAAGCTTTGAATCTCCTGACTTCTGAGCTTCTAAAAATGATAAGAAAGAACTAACAAAGGGTACGAGTTTCTCGGTTTTGACGAGAACCCCTGTACGTTGAACTCTGACTGTCAGTTCCACGTGGGAATTTTTTTCGAATGGGAACTTGCTGCCAACCTGAAAGCTTCATCAGTCAAATAAAATGATTGCATTTTGTATAGTACCACCACTTGGAAGTTTAGCGAACGGCATTCCGTTTTTCCGCTGCGTGCCCGGCCGAGCCTTTAATTTTCCTTTCATTTAAGAACTCAACCAACACGTGTCCCTAGTGGACCAGTCAATCTATCAGATATGAGAACCAATTCGAAGCGAGGACGTTTCGCGACGCAGCGAAACAGCGTAATAGCGGAATGTCGTTCGGTGAAAATTCAAGCCTTGGCAAACAGACTATAAGTATCCCGACATTTCCACAAAGCGAGATATTTTTTTAGGACTACCCAACGGTTTTTTTCAAAATCAATTTTGGAACTTTAGTCTTTCTTCACTTTATCTACGCCCTAATGAACAGAAAACCGGACCGCAATCCAATAACGAATCGAGTTGTTCGTAGCTGAAGGAGACGAGCCGAGAAGATAGATCTCGGCGCATTCTTCCGAAAGATCGTTGTCGCAAACCGCGTCCAGCCTGATTTTGTCAAACTTATTTCATTAGAAAAAAAATTTTACCTGCAGGCCATGCAGTCGCCTTGTTGTTCGTAGCACAAGACGTACCAGTTTGGCAGCGGGAGAAGATCTGAACGCATTACACTTGTTTCACAAGAGTTTGACTTACTAGGAGGTACATTGAGAGTCTGGCCGACACGATATTGACAGGTCACACCTGGCGGCTTCCCCTCAACCCAACCAATGCTGGGTTTTGAACGATCCGAGCAGATGGATAGCTCAACTTGATGGTTTTCCAAACTATCAAAACTGGTTATCAGATTTGTTCGTTAGGACCTATTTTATTTAGAAAATTCATCTAAAATTAACGGAATCATCTGTTTCTGAACTTTATGAATGGACGATGAACACCAGGAAATAGCTTGAACCTCGTTTAAAGTGCGTTGCGCGCGAAACATTCACGTTTTAAAAGAACAGCAGAAGAAATTACCGTAATTAAAACTTGCTACAGAAAACTGCTAGAAAGACAGTAAAAACAAAGATCTTGAAACGAAGGGAGGTAATAATTGATCCATATTGGTTTATGGTCTTTTTGGCACAGAAAATTGCGATAAGCTAGCGCGGAATTATTTACATCGACGTGGTTATTTTTCCTATTCTTTTAATTACGCATAAAATCGGTCGAAGGTAAATTCAATTTTTTCCGACTTGAAATGGAAGGCGGCGGGGCAGGAGGCGGGACGCGTAGCGTGTGCGTACGCAGTTTTTGGCACGAGTTCTTTTCAACCGCCAGTTTTGGAACGCCGCTTGCCCCGCCTCCCTCGCCTTTCGAGTCTCGAAAAATTGGCTATAAAAATTAAAGAGTTTTTACTCCCCAGCAAAACCATACGAGAACACAAAAAGAGAAAAAATAATGAATTTTTGTGATTTCTGCAAACATTTTTGCGAAGAAGTCCAACGTCCAAACTAGCAACAATTATGCTCCTAAGTAATATTCAGTCACATTTTTCGTTTCGAGCCCAGGCGTTTGTTAAAGCGCGTTATTGAAATAGATATGCGTTGAAAATATAATTTTCAAAAATTCAGACCCACAAAAACACGTTAACGGTACTCGACGTGGTCTCGCATCCATGAAAATTAAACTTTTGCAGAAGCCAACCTGAAGTTCGGACCAAATGTCTTGTGTGGAAACAGGAACACTTTGCTCGAAAACAGGACTTGAGCTCAAGGCGAAAGATTCTGGCGAAGAGAACCCCCATATGCGTGTTCGCGTCACATTACAGCACACTTGCAACTGAAAATTCAAACTTTTCTTCTCCCTAGCCTTTAAAGTTTTGCAGTTGAGTTTTTTTTTCTTTTGGCGACTCAGAAATTAAACAACTTCATACCAACCGCTTTGAATGCACCATTCAGATTATATTGAATGCAATTTTAAATAAAAAAATGAAAAAAACTAGTTTCATGTAACCGTCTTTCAAAATTTTTTCATCTATTTTTTCAACACCGTATGCACATTTATTTAAGGAAACGTTGGAAAAAAGCTAATTAATTCATACTCTGAATCTTTACAAATCATTTCAGCAAAAACCGAAATTTCCAAAATGAATTTTTTCTCTTTGCATCAATTTTATATGAATCTTGATGATTTAGAATGTAAATTCAGAAACCCCAAAAAAAAAGAAAATTATAAGCTAAGTTTTCGGCAAAAAAAAAGCTGAGACAATTTGATAAAATCGAGTCAATGAAGTAGTTAAAAGTGCAATTTTTCAGAACGACACACGCTTTTTCTCAATTGCGGGTCTAATCGAGGCTCGGATGACGGACGGACTGCGCCAATTGGAACCTCCGGAAGTGCTTCAGCCTTTTCCGTTTCTCCATTTCACAATCTGCTCTTTGCATCCCCCGACTCGAAAAAAATGCTTCAGAAACCGGAAAGGTTAAAGAAACAAGGTTAAAAGAAGTTGAGTATCGAACACAAACTTACAAAATAGATCGTTATCACAGCCCTTTTGCGTTTCTCTATATATAATAATAACTTTCTATCATTTTTCCTTCTTTCTTCTAAAAATGCTCTTGGAACAAACCTGAACTTCGTTTTTCATTTGTTAGAGCTCTCTCGAAAAAGATGAATGTATTTAGTGGAGAGCATCTTCTCAAGAGTCGAAAAAAAAAAACGAAGTGCTCCCGTGCGACCTCTCAAGGCGTTTTCTCTCTGCCTTGGAAAGAATTTCTGAAGGGAAAGTAGCTTTTGACGAAAAAAAAAAACAATTTTTTGACTGTTTTTGTTATTGGTTCAGAAAAACGAAAACAGAAGCGGCTGCTGAGTCATTGCAGATTTATCGAGAGAATCAAATTTTTTATGTTCCCAAAAAATTATCATCAATCTAGAATAAAATCTCACGTGTAAAGGCTTCTAGAACGATATAAGTGGAAATTTTTCACAAATTTATAGATTTTTTTAAAGTTTCGCAAGCTTTTTTTGGCATTAATAATTTCAAAATTGAGTTGATAAATATTGATTTAATGGTTCAGAAACTTTTGGGCAATTGAAAAAAACATTAATTGAAAAGCATAGATAACCTGGAGTAAAGAAGAGAAAAGCACTGCCCGAAAGTCAATTGGACGTTGAAGCTTTAAAATTTTTTTTTCAAATCGCCTCATCCTTCTTTATGAGAAGGATTCACCGAAAGATGTTTCGTAGGTCAATAATCGAGTTGATTACAATCTAATCATGAGAGTTCAAATAAACAACTATCTGAAATTTGAAAAACAAAAAACAACTGATATACCAAAATTGAAAAAGAAATAAAAACCTGAACTCCTTGGTCGTACCCAAGGTTCTGCCTGGAGTCCCAAAAGAGCGGACAGGAACTGAGTCGGGCGGTACCGAAGGCCTGAGCAGCTATCGCAGCGAGGATCAAAGCGAATTGCATCCCTTCAGTGGGCGCTCATGCCGTTGCAGCTACAAAAGCACTAAGAATAACTGACGAGATAAACGCGAGGTCAGTGGCGGTACATTGACAAGGTCGCAAACATCTCGCTTTTTTCTAGGCGCGATCTTGCATTTTTCTCAGAGCGAACTCGCATTCATCTTGCATTTCGGGAATTTTCAGATTGCGAGGAAAATGCGAGCTAGCGCCTAGAAAAGTGCGAGCTCGCGACCAGAAAAATGCGAGACCGGCGCGAGATGTTTGCGAGCCAGCGTCTCGCGTTTATCTCGGCAGTTATTCTTAGTGATGGACATGCTATGAAGTTAGCAAGTTTATAAAGTGCGACCTCCTATGAAAAACGACCGTTTTTTGTGATCAATTGCCAATTTTAAAAAAAAGGCTTTTCTTAATCTCAACGTTCTAAGTTTATATACATGGCATTTAAATAAAGATTCGAGAAGGTGTTATGACGACATTTATAAACTTAATGAAAAGTTATGAAAAACTTTTTTTATTAAAAAATTGACTTTTCATTGGGAGTTTTATTACAGTTCATGGATATGTATAAAGCGGCAGGAGGGTGAAAAAAAAATTAAGTTTTTGGCCCACATCGAACCTTGAAAAATTATTTGCAAAACGGTACTGTCCTTAATACGAAAGAGACACCACTAAAGTCATCAGAGAGCAATCGAAAAAAATTAAATTTTTTTATATGTTATAATGAAAATTCAAAAACGCCTGTTTTTTTTTTATGAATTGCATGAATTACAAAAAATAGTCGTTTTTATAGGCGGTTGCAGTAGTCGCATTTTGTAAACGACCGCACTTTATAGCATGCCCCTTAAATGGCGAAAAGACTGAGTTTTTCTGTCCGAGAACCACCAAACCCCGCCTACTTTCTTCTCCCATCTCTTTCCGTATACTTTTCTCCATTTGCCAAAAGCTCAGAGAGCGGCAAAGACGCGGAGACGCAGACTGTGGGTGGCGCTGGAAATTGGAGGCGCCCAGTTGTGTCATCGAGCCGTTGCGTTTCCTTTCGTCGTCATATCATCGTGTTATCGATCCGGTCGATCTACGGTTATCTCTGAACAAACACGTAAAAAAAAATAATTCAATAAAAACAATCAATCAATTCTGATACAAACCTACGAGGATTTATACATGTTCAAAGGACTTTTTTTGGATTTATTTTTGGCTTTTCCCGTGAGGGATGAGAGCTCACAGACATGACAGACCGTTCCATTCCATGGTAAGAAATATAGGTAATTACGAAATCGACGCAGCAACATAAATGATCAACATCTTAAAGTTGAATGCATTTTTCAAGTTTAAGGAGTATTTTCAAGTAAAAAATATCTGACCTCCTATAGGCATACAAATGTTTTCTTAAATTTTTTTTCCTGTTTTTTGAACTCGTTCGAAGCCTTTCGACAAAAAACAAAAAGCTCATGTGGTCGAAAATCTTCTTGAATAGAAAATGTTTGATAGAAAACTACTCAAGTGATCAACCGGCCGGCAGAAGAATACAAGTAGCGCACGGTGTTTTTTTCATTACGCAAGGTCATGACTTTTCGTAAATTATGATGCTTAGGGTGTAAGCACACCGAGACGCAATATCGCATACTCAAAAATGTTTTTCAATTTTAGAATTTGCGATTTCAGGATAATAGTCCTGAAATGTTCGAAATTTGTCAGTTTGAAGAATATGATGTGAAATAAACATTCACTTACGTTAAAAAAACATTTAGGAACGATTTCAAAAGGGGAAAAACTCTAAATTACTGATTACAAAGTAAAAAAACAAAAAAATAATATGTAGGTGAAGCAGCTCCCATTGAATAAGCATTTATAAATACGAAAAAAATATTGAAATGAGGAAAAATTCGAGGAGCAAATGACATTTTATATACCTCGAAAACCTAGTTTCAGAAAAAAACATATAATGGATAGAAAGCAGAAAAATTTAGAAAAACCCTCGTATGGCGAAATTTTTTTGTTTAAATCTGAAAAAAACCATCAAAAAAACTAGAAAAAAATAATTTAGATGATGCATATATCAAAAATCATTAAACTGCATCAGCAAATTCAATTTGGCTCTAATTTACACGAAACCGGTTTTAAACTACGTCAAAGGAACTAGATAATAACTTTTTTTATTATTAACTGATTAAATTAAAAAAACTATAGTTTCCGAAATAGAGTGACTCTTTTTCATGTCGCGAAACAGATTTCAAAATTTTGAAAAAAATTAGGACTTTTAGAAAAAAATCTTCAGCTCTTTTTGAGAAAAATAGTTAAAGATCTGAAACCGGTTTAGAAAAAAATGCGCAATTAAAAAGCTCCACAAGATGTACCCATAGAGAGGCGGATCACATAAATGCAAGAAATAGAAAAAAGTAAAAAACCAAGGAAAAAAGTGAAGAAATTCAAGTTTTGCATCAGAAACCATGAGAAGGGCGCAATAATGCGCCATGGATAATATGCCGCTGGGACCCAAAATTTCGCAATTTTTTTCATTGCGCGGAACACCGTGAGCGACCAGGTAGCTAGAGATCGAGCCATTCTTTTCAGAATAATTCAAAAAAATGTTTACACTATTCGATAGAAAATACTATCAACTTTTATAATCCGTTTAGTTTTTTTCAAAAAAAGGGCCACTTAGAAAAAAAGTTCAAGTATGATGTCAGTTTTGATGTGTGAAGAGGCGGGGCTTGGCTCTCTCTATATTAAAGGTCGAATTTCGTTCAATTTTCGGAGGGACTTCTCTAATCAAAAAATTTTCTCGTTCTTTTTTGTTCTATCATTTTTCCATTTTTTTTCCTGAAACGGAAACGGAACGGAGAAGATACACTCATGATGAAATTTTCGAACGTAGTGCGGGGATTTGTTTTTTCGGTGCTACGACGTCGCGAAAAGATATGATTTCCTTTTTCCAAAAAAGTTCTTTCTGTGAAATTCAAGTGTGCATTTTGCGTGTTCGCAGATTTTGACTGATCTTATTTTTCGCGTTTTTTTCCTATTTAAAAAAATATATGTTCAAAAATTTTTATTTTTTTTTTCGCATAATAAATCAGAAGAAATAGTTGATGTAATTCAACTGTTTTCTGTAGTTCTTTTTCATTTCGATAAATTTTTAGAATGTAACTGGTTTGTACGATTCAGTTAACTGGAAAAAAACGCGGAGTTGGGACCATTCAAAATCTGCAAACGCGCCTAATATTAGCTAGTGCAGACTTCTAGAAGTCTGCATTAGCTAATATTTCCTTAAAAGCAAAAAAAAAGCCTTTCAGCAACATTTTCAGTGTCAAATTAAATTTTTTTATTCGAATCAATCAATCTCTTCATTTTCGCAACATCAGAATGGTATGGCGATGTTGCAGAGGAGAAAAGATACCACTAGGTGGATGAACTAAACTAAATCTGTAAAGAAAACTTTTTTAAAATTTTCAATAAGTCGGGAAAGACACATAGAACCACAATAAGTCATTTTCGGCACAAAATTCCACGTTTTTCACTCAAAAAAAGGACTTTAACCAATTTTGAGGATGAAAGGTATGAAAGTGTTCAGAAAATAAGAAAAACTTTCACCCAAATGTTTTTTTGTCAACTAAAAAAGGAATTGTGAAAGGATCGTTTTTTTCTACGTCTATAGTTTTGAAAAAACGCTATTTTTCAAGGAAAAAAAATTATTTTTGAACTTAATGAGTATGCGAGTTAGCGTCGTTCTGTGTATGCACAAAAGACGTCAAATATTACGGAAATTGTGGGAGGGACGTCGTCAAAAGAACGCCGTGAATTCTGTACAGATATTACCCATCGAAAGGCGCGAAAACTCGCCCTTATTGTTTCTTGTTACTAAAAGACATCAAAACGAAGCGAAAATTGGATCGAGCCGGATAATAGCTTTAGATTTTTATTTCAACACAAGGGATTAAATTAATTTTCCATATAAAAGAGAGTTTTTCCTTCGAGACATATTACGCTAGATCTACCAATATTAATGAATGAGAGCTGAAAATTGATTCTTGCATTGCAAAATCTTCCGTTAAAACTCGCTTCGTACAGCTCTACAAGTTCAAGAGCAGACGTTTGTTTCTTCAGTTCGTCAATGTTTCTAAAAAGATACGGTTCATAAAATGGTATTTGCTCTTCCCATCCCATAAAACGCAGTCATTCTCTTTTCTTTCTTCTTACGCCATGTGGTGCAAAACGAAAGAAGACTACTCTGAGCAACAAATTATGCTGTTCTACGTCGCTCTATTTCTTCTTGCAGGCTTTTTAGCTTACTTTATCAAGTGCCTGATCGAGAGCGGATTTTTCGTCAAGGTTCAGGTAAATAATGCTTCAAATAGAAAGTAAACGAAAACAAAAAATAAAAAATAGATGCACCATGAAGAAAAATCTCTGAGTGAGAGCTTTTCAAAAGTTAGCCAAGCTCATTTTTGAATTAATAATTTTTATACATTCTTATATATAAGAGTGTATAAGAACTTAGATCTGAAAACCTCTCAGAACAGAAAACCGATTGAAAAAAGGTCCAGAAAAGCGCAATATGGGCTTTTTACTAAGAAGGTTTCGCTTATTTTTATTCAACTGTATCGTTCTTGCAAGTAAAAAACGATGTTCACAACATCAACAATTATAAACTGATTCAATTTTTTTGAAAATTCCTATTCATTTTTTTGGATCCAAAAATAACTTCATATTACTAAATGAGTGAAACTAAAAAAATTATACGAAATCGTAAAATGAGGTATGTGTAAAAGTACACACAAAAAGCCAAGAAACAAAAAAATACCCTTAACAAAAGGTAAAAAACTACGTAGGGAAACAATGATAAATGAGGAACAGTTTAGTTTGAAGTGAGGAGCATGTGTCCCATATCCTAGAAAACTGACAAAAAGAAAGGAAAATGTAGTAAAAGAGAAAAAAGTCTGAAATTCGACTTTCCATAGAGCAAAATTACGGCGTGGCCTAGTTTTCCAAATCGACCGACCGACCGACCGACCGAACCGACCGACTTTTCCAGCATGCCGTTGCTTAGCGCCGGCCACTAAAATCGTGCAAGATCGGCTCAAACTCAATATTTTATCCCAAACTAAAGTTTTTTGACTGTTTGACAAAATGCTCCCTCGTATGGTTTAAGTTCCAATGAGAAGTTCGCCGATTCTAGATGTGGCTTGGGGTCCCCAGACTTACTCGAAAATTTCAAGTTGATTTGAATTGGCCGCAGAGCTTAATTTACTGGATTTTCTCGTTGATAATTCCCACCATGGAGATAGTATATTCAATCGTCAGGCAAATAAGACAATAAGACGATCGACCTTATAAAGAATGGAAAAAAAAAAATCCTCTTTCGCCCTTGAGAGAAAAAAATTCAGCTTTTTGATATCTTTTTGATATCTTTTTGATATTTTTGATATATAAAAAAGCTGATTCAATTTTAAAAAAATCATTGCGAAATAATAAAAGAAAAAATAAAATTTCAAGATCATTGGAAGCATTGCAGCCTGTCGTACTGACGCCGCCGAAGTATTTGGGACAGGAGCTTCTCGTCTACTACAAGATTCATTTGGGCGACTATTCGCACTCCAAAGAGTACCTGCGGCGGGTACTCCTCATGATGATCTTTTAGGGACAACTTCCATTGACAATCCCTATTTTTAGACGTCATTTTTTGATGTTGAAAAAGATGTATTTCTAGAAATCATTTTCATTCTAAATTTAACAATTTAGAAATTAAAATTTTTTAAGAAAAGTTTATTGGCATTTTAGTCAAGCCTGATCGGTCCTAGACCGAAGACTTAAACTCTTAAAGTTTTAAGGTAGTTAACCTAACTATTCAAGTTCTAAAGGGCGTTAGAAAATAGTCTTATGTTCGGACGGAAAAGCAAGAAGCCAGGAAGGGCAACTGTCCAAGAGATTTACTACACTACCTACATTTTATCCAATTCAGGCTCGTGAGTTACTTCCTGGAGGAGCCACAACATTCGCGATCTTCTACGACGATCCAAAGGTATGATCTAACATCTGAAATGAGAAAATTGGTAGCTTAGATAGTAGCTCCATACTCGCTTCGATGTGCAGTGGGAGCCGTGATTGGAGGTCTGAATCTTCAATGAAACCGTTATTATTCGAATGATTGCAGCTGATGGAGAAACAGTTTACGAAGAGTTCTTCACGCAACGGTTCGATAGAAGGGGCTACGGAAAAGGAGTTTTTTTCCCAAGGTTTTGATGATAAAATGCATCCAGCGGGATATTTCTAATAAAAAGTAATGTTAGGAAACATTTTTTTTCTACTTTATATTTTATTCGTGACGGCTTTTAATGCATTTGTCGCTCTACAGATGAAGTAATCATTGAGGTTTCATGCCTGTCTTTTTTTCGATGCTTTCAAGATGTTAAAAAGCAGAACCAATTTTAATTTAAAACTTCCTTTTGGAATCCACGGTCAGAAAGTTTCCAGGTGACAAGAGCTGTCACAGCTAGTCAGGCAAACTCTCATGAAATTCTTTCCTCGGTTGTCTTGAACAAGAAAACCTACCCTGCACTCCGCGATTTTATCAGAGTAAGACACAACAAGTCCATAATATAAAATTTACTTCCAGGAGAACGAACTGGACGCTTCGATCGCCGCTGAGTTCCACTCCGAAAGTGACATCACCATCGAGTTCCCTCTGGATTCTGCTTCAGAATTTTTCCTCAAAGATGTGAGATTTCGCAGCAGCCGTATAACCGAGTTCATTTCAGCACGTTGAAACTTGCGTCCTGACCAACCACTGAACAGTCTCTACCGAATGCCGTTCACACCTTCTATTATACTTCACATTTATTCTTAACTTTTTTTGAACGTTCAAATATGTTGCGAAAACAAATTCCAACTGTTCATGGTTAAATATTCCCTTTTCTGGATATTCATTTTTGTAATGAAGTTCGGTGTTTTCTTTTAGAAGCTCTGTTTCTGCAAGCTGCTCTCTGATGAGATCAAAAGCAGCGTTTCACAGACAGTAAAATATAGTCTGTGTGCCACGACTTGAAATTTCACGGAACGACATTCCGATGTTCCGCTGCGTGTGTTCGCGAAGCGTCTTTCGAATCTAGCTTACGCTTTCAATTGATTATTATTGATGTGGGAACACATGAAAGTAGAGTACCTTGATAAAAGAAAAAAAAAATTAAAAGCGCGAAGAAGGTTCGCAAAGGCGCGCAGCGGCATAGCGGAATGTCGTTCCGTGAAATTTCAAGTCGTGGCACACAAACTATAACGTTTTTTGGTTTGGAAAATAAAATGCAGTTTTGAATGCGCGCCCAAAATAAGACTCTTTTCAGTGGAGCAAACTTTCCGCCTGACTCTGGGCCCTCCGTCTATTGGAGCTTATTTCTATGGCTAATAGGAACCGCGTAATGGTTGAGGGATTGATTGACCGCGGCGCGGCTGAGAGAGTTCTATGCGATGCGGTCAACAAAGAAACGAGAGATGGCCGGCGGCGTGGAGACGACAGACGGCTCGAAGACGCGAAAAACGTCCTCAATTTTTTCGAATTCACTAATTTTTTTAAAATTATATAACGCAGTTAATAAATTTTTTTTTCTTACAACTTATTTTATGGTTCTTTGCGGTTTCAGATTGTCCTAATCAAGCGATTTTATTTGTTTTCTAAATTTAATCTCAGATGTTGTAGATGAAAAATTTTTTTAACTTTTAAATTTTCATTTCATTTTTTTCACGGTTTTCAGAATTTTTTTCTATTATTTCTCAATTATTTCAGAGCCTAATCAGAAATAGTTTCTGACAAGGGGCGCCTAAAGATCACCAAAACTTTTTCACTGACGAACACATGCCGTGTTCAAAGTAATTTCCGCGAAATGGAAAATTATCTCTTGCCCTCCAAAATCTAGGCGCAGACTTATTCCGCGCCGTTTGGGTTTAGGCGGAGTTGGGCCTTAATGGGGGTTTCATTTTCTTTTTCTGACGATTAAAATATATTTTCCCACATTCTCCTCACATCTATTTTGTGAATTTTAGTAATTGTGTGAGAAATCAAACATTTTGATTTATTCTAATAGTGTAGAAAAAAAATATTTTGGATTTCGCGGAATCACTTTCAACACGGCATTACACTCTTTCGACTCGATTTTCTGAAAAAAAAATATTTGTTAATATTTTGGTTCAAGTTTAAACTGCAATTTAATATCAAATTAGATGAATTAAAAATTTCTTTTTTTCATTTTTTTCAATCTTTGAAACAATTAATAATTTTCCGCGACTTTGTTTTATTTTTTTTAATTTTTGCAATAAAGTATGAATTTTTCAGTAGTAGGAAGTTGATTGATCGTGCATTATTCAGTTTTAGCATAGTTCATAGCATTTCTGTATATCTTATGTAGATTAATTCCAATCATGAACCCCTGTTCACGAACGTTGTTTTTATTTAATAAGAATTGAAGAAAAAGTTACTCGCCGAAAATAAAACTTCTTGAGTAAGAGATATTGTTCAGAAATTGCTATATCAGCTGGTTCGAGGTCGGTCGAACCAAAAACAAAATTGGACAGGTTGGATCCATATTGGGCTGGTCTCGCCGGTGAGGCCTGAGGGACAAGGCACCTCATGTCAACCAACACGCCTAATGGAGGATCTTTGGAAGATTGTCTCTCCAACATCCACTCTTTGGTACTTTCAATCATTGTTTTTGAGCTTTTTCAAACTTATTTTAGAATTTATGCTCTTCCTAATTCTGAATTGTTTAGACCGAGGTTAACGGGTTGAAATGGCGTTGTTACCGTACTCCCAAAGGCGCAACAAACGTCATGACAGTCACAGAAGACCCGATTCTGGTTGCTTATTCCAAATGTTTGGCGGTCAGTTTCAGAACCGTTTTCGGTTGAGAATGAATGATTTTCAGACAAGTATCATGTGTGCCTGGCGACGACGTCCTCTTAATCTTCTTCCCACAGACGGCTTGCCGATCCCTATGTTCAACAGCTTCCACGCCAAGGAACTTTTCATTTTTTGGTACAATGACATGAATCCCGAGATTGAAAAGATTGCTGAGGGGCTCGGTGAGTTGATTCAACGTTTCTTATATCCTTTCTCGATTCTTGGCTTTTTTTAAATTGAATGAACTGAAAACGTCCAGATTTCGACCCCGAGGACGCGGTCAACTCGGCCAACACGAACAACTCGCTGAGTTACGAGGTCCGAGTGCTCTACTTCAAGGCCCTGAGCATTCTGATAGACCGGTGTCTCATGAAGATCGGATACGTTCGCTTTGGTCGTTGGTTCGTCAATCCAATGCAGCCGCGCTCCAAGGAGATGCATTTTATGTTTCCCACGTAGGTCTTCCATTTTTCAATTTTAACTAGAATCTGAAGTTCTCAGAATGAATCTTTTTCTTGAAATTTTGGATCTGAACCTCTTGTTTTTTTTAAATCAGTTTTTGATGGTTCGTCGTACTGATATTCATGAACTTTGAAATCAGAAAACTTTTTTGGCATTACTCTCGATTTTTGCTATTATTAACTTAGAAATTTTTTTTTTTGGGAAAATTGGAGGAAGCGTTGGTAGCTCACGAGGATTACAATTTGAGTTAGATTTTCGAATAATAGTTTATTCACCGCCATATTCAGCACTAGAAAATATTACAAGATAAGTTATCAATACTGGATGGGTAATAACAATACACGGAATTTCAAAGATAGTTCGGGTAATTTTTAATCGCGGAAAAAAACAAGAAAAATTCAAAATTTTTCTAAAGTTGGACTACAAAAAAAATTGATATAACTTGCTAGATCATGCTTTAAGCTTTCAAACATCATGTAAAGCGGGAAACATTTTATAATGATTTAGCATATCTCATTTTCGCCCACCTACTAACAGTAGCTGTGCATCGTAGCTGATGGAACGCGCCGATATGGCGCGATTTTCATATTTTTTGCGGTTTCCTGATGATCGTTACGGAATAATTTTTTAGAGAAGTTTTGCTTATATTCGGCCTCTCATGTTCTTCTGAAAGTTTTCATGAGACGACTTCACAGTGTTTACTTTCCATTTTGTTTGCCGCACCTCACTGTCTTAAAATTCATCGAAGTAAAAAACGTTACTTTGCTCAAAAAAGGGATTGATTTGAGGTACACAATCGCCCTTCACCTAGATTTCTTCGTCCACGGCGGCAACCAGGTCTGCACTTCCATTAGCGCGCAACGACAGCCGACGTTGATCCGACTTCACAAAAGGTGCGGCTCTCGTAGAACTTCCTGACTGAAGCAGCTCCAGACACCTGGAGTACGACTCTCTGAAGCGACGGATAACGGTGTTGGTGGGGCCGTGGTCGATGCGCGGCTACCTCGTCCGCAACCAGCTTCAGCTCCTCTCGCAGCCAGAAGTCGCGGCCGCCGCAGAGCGCATTTACGCCGGATGGAAGCAGTTCATCGAACTGAGTACTGAGGAGACAGTAGTCGAGGAGAGCGTCGAGGGTCCCGCTCCGGTTAGTCTTTCTCACTTTTTAGGACTGCCTTCCAATTTTTAAATTACTTCGATGTTTATAAAAATATTTGTTATCCAATACAGAAATCTTTTGTGACCTAAAACATAATTTTGAACGAAATTCAAAAAAATAAAACACTCAAATAGACTTTGAGGATATTTCCCGAATTTTTCTTCATTTATAAAATTATTCCCTAAACGAAAGGCCTTTTGAACTGGCACGAGATTTTTTTCATTATTTTTCGAGGAATTGAAATCTGCCTTTTTCAAGATTTCGAGCTTGCATACTGATTTCCTGTAAGCCATCAGTGTTTATACGTTGAACTTTTGTCTCTTCGATTCAAAAATATTTTTTTTTTTCGAAGTCTTAGAGGCTTTATTTCATTAAGATATAGTGTTTCGAGTGCAATATTTCGAATCTTTATGTTGTCCCGAGTTCGAATCAGTCAATATGGAAGCTTGTACATAGAAATTCCGAGTTTCGAAATTTTAGGAAATAAGTGAAGTGCCGAAGATGGTTCTTCTGGAAATTGACAATATTCGGATGTTCTTTCCTTCGGTTTTCGTTTGCGTGACCTTGGAAGACGACCGTTTGGCCTGGGACGCTTTGGGATTTAAAGTCAGCACGATTCCCGACGAATTATCCGGTTCGTACCTTTTTTCATTCTCAACATTTGTTCTATTGTTCTCTGTTAGGACTTTATTGAGGTAACTGAAGTTTTCGAAGGCATTTTTGATCGTTTTGAGGCTGCAGGATAAATTTATACTACAAAATATTCAATCGAGCGCAATCTTTGATTTTCCAAAAGCTTCATATGACTCCGACCGATAATCAAGAGAGTTTGTTTCATTTTTCAGTTCCCGGGGGCACGAAGCCGCGCAATAAGTTCATCGTGAGCAACGCCTCGAGTTCTATGGCCGTTCAAGTTTCTCTCATCTTCAAATTCATCAAAAAATCATTCGTTCCAGGGAATTTTTCAATCCGCCTTTGTGAACCCTCGGAAAGAGTACCGTCCAGTTTCTGTGCCTGTAGGCGGATTCGCCCAACCTTTTCCGCTCATCGAAGAGAAGGACTGTCGGTACGTCGGTTTTGTGGATTCATGGTAGTTCCTGTGTTCTCTGATTTCTTTTGCATTCTGTTTTTTTTTGTTCTAAATCATACGCGTTGAATAATTCATAGGGTTTCGTTCTTGTACTCTGTTTCCACGCTCGCTCTGGGAGAGCTTTTCATTTTCATTTTTTTTTTTCAAAAATCAGTCAGAGATTTTTGATCTTCGCTTTTTTTTCAATCTAATTTTGATGTTATAACTTGCGATAAAAAGTTCTCAACTGCGTTTTCCAAGCCCCTTTTTGTTGTACGGAGTTGGATTTCAGCTGGACCTTCACCGACAAAGACAAGACGGAATGCTCTATCACCGAGTGTTTGGCATGTTCAGACGTTTTGCGGAGAGCTGAAAACGGAGGTTTTCCTTTATATCTCTCAATTGAAAGTGATCCATCGTTTTTTCTCAGAGTCTTTGATGGTCCGAAGAGAAGTGATCGACCGACACTGGATGTCGATTTCACAAGAAACTGAGGACATTGAAAAGTTCATTCGAGACTTCTTCACTTTTCTGATTTTTTTTTCTTTTCAGAGCGTATCATCGGAAAACGTCTGCCAAGGCTGCAGTTCGCATGAAAATGAGAGGTGAGCTTTGTTTAATTTTTCATTCATTTTTGAACTCTGAAGAACTCTTCAGTTTTATATTTGTTGAAAATGATTGGCACCTGGGTGAAACTTGTTCATCTATACGTATATATTCTTTTGTTTGATTATTCAAAACGTCTGTAAGGTCTTGCAATCTTTGAAAAATTTGTTTTGGTTTCATCTCTTTTTCATTTTACGATATGAGATGGAAAGTAGATTTGCAAGAAACCGTGCTTCGTCTATTGTATACCAAAACTAGTTGTTTTTTTTTGCGCTTAAGACGCATTCGAAGAATGAAATGATTCTCAGAACGACAAAGGATGTTGTCGGGAAACGCCGGAAAGTCCTTGATGGACAGCGACGTGGACGACGGGCGCACTGACAAGACGGACGTCTTCGAAAATCCCCCGGATTGGAGCAACACCGTCGCTAAGGAGATGAACACCAGCATCGTCTGCAGCGTCGAAGAAACCTTGTGGGTTCTTTTCTCCGAATTTGAAAACAGCAGTTGGTTTTGTATTTTTTTAATATACATATAGGAGGTCGTATGAAAAGATGAAATAAGATATTTAGATGAATTATCAATTTTAGAACGAGCAGGATAAAGCCGAAGGTCGAAGGAGAAGAGGAGGAAGTGAACCAAAACTGGTCCCCTTTCACACCGATAAATGTTAGTTTTTTTTTCGCGAAGAATTCGTTTTCAGAAACTTGACATTCCCGATTTTTTTTTGCAAGAGGCTGTTTTTAATGAATTAATCTAGGCTTTATCCCCAGCAACGGAAGCGAATTTCGCGGCTGCAGAAAAAGCTGAGAAGGAAAAAGCCGAAGCTGCGGCTTCTGCTGCTTCTGCGTCACCTGCAAAAACGTTGGTTTTTTTTTGTCTTATGATAGGGTTGTCAAAAGTCTGAAGAAATAATATAAAGGCATAATACCGCGAAAGGATATTTATCAACTCGAAAAATAAAAGAAAAATTAGCTGAGAAATGTTCGACAAATTTTTTTCCTAATTATGCTGTTTAAGAGTATTTTCCGGTTATCCGGCTCATTGTTTTCAGTTCTAATCTTGTTCTGTTTACTTTTTCTCTTAATTTCGCACATTTTGTGCATGGTATCGAAGAAGTATATTCGAGTTTAAATAATTAGGAAAACGAAGAGACGTTTTGAGCGTTATTTAATGGAATATTTCTCTGACTTATCCATTTTAAAAGCATGTTTGAACATGCTGTGGATAAAAAATCAATCGGGACTGCTATTTTTTTGTTTTCTGCTTTTTCGGCTCTTTTTTTTCAATTTTGGGTTTTTTTCACAGGTCGAAAGGTGCTAAATCCAAGGCGACGACAGCGCCACCGACAGCGGCGGCGACGACGACGTCTTCGACTGGAAAAAAGCCACGAGAACTGATGCCCTACCATAGTAGGAGAGGAGGCGAAAAACGCAAGTCCACCTATCCGCCCGTTTTCGAAAGAGTATGTCTTTATCTTCAATTTCACCTCTATTTTTCGTTGAATTATTGAAAATAATAAACTTTGATAAGTTTTTGCAGCTGCCGGGATATGAAGACCAACGTGTCAGTAGCCCGGACGAGCCCGGAAGCCAAGAAACTGTTAGTTTTCGGCACGAACTGATACCATCTCTCTTTTTCAGATTCCTGCTAAGTCTTCGCCTCCTCCAGAAACGCTTTCCGAAGAGCCGAGTTGTTTTGTGAACGAGCGCAAAGTTCTCGAAGAAATGAACAAAATTGTATATTTATCTTCATTTTTCATATAAATATTCTCCGAAATTTGAGGTTGACGAGGCGGTTCCGAGAAAAAAAGGAGGAGGCGACGAATCCGCGCGAAAAAAGGAATTTCCGGAAATCAAGAAACTCGACATCAACTCCGTCAACAATGGCTTCAAAGTACTTTTTTCATTCTTTCCCACGAATTATGCATTTTTTTCGTATATAGTTTTTGATCAGAAATTATTTAGTTCAATGTTTCTTTTAAGTTTGAAAAGTTGCGTCATTTCATGCGGCGTAAAAAAGCTGATTTTATGGTCTTCGACCTCTAGCTTCACAGTTGTTTTATTCTACGGTTGCAGGAAGAGCTCGGTTTCAAGTTTGAGTCTCATAAAGACTTTGAAACTGTAAACGAGAACGGCTCGCCGCGACGAGAAGACGTCTACGAGCAGATGACGTGGCTCCAGGAAGTCGAGGTGCAGCCGGAGCCCGAGCAGAAGACGTTGAATGTCAGACAAAAACTCATCCTAATGCTTGACGATCTGGACATCGAACACGACATTGAAGAAGTTATTTCGGAAGAGCTTCCAGAGGATGGCACTCGTGGGCTTGGTCAGTTCTTTTTTGAGTGTGAGAAATAAAATATGAAAGGAGTCAATTAAAAATGAAGAAAAAGTCATTTGAATAGGAGAACTTCTCCATGTTACTTTGTAGTGTGTTCAGGTTTACCTTTGAGAAACCGAAAATACTATTCAGAAAGCTTTATGATAAGCGTAACCCGCATTTGACGGAGCAATATTCGTAGAATTTCTTTCAACTGAATCAAAATTTAAACAAACTATATCTCGGGGACGTGTTTCCAATTTTCCAATCGGAGTGTCCTTTTTCTCAACAATACCCCTCTTTGAAAAGAAAATTTTCAGGCGAAGGGACTTCTGAGCAGTTCATCGACGAGATAATGGAAGTGAACACGGAGCCGCCCTACCAGAACCGCCACACGGGACCGTCCATGTTCGCGACGGCGCGCCGAAGGTCGGCCAGCGACGAAGATGACATAATGGACGAGGCTCCTGTCTCCGGCGACTTGGGCCATTCGGATGGATTTTTGTCCCCGCCGGCCAGCAACGAGGTTTTTTTTCGCGGAGAATCATCTGATGGAAAAACGCTTTTCGAGTTTAGTTGCAAAGAATTTGTCTTTTGTGAGAAGTTTTGCTTCGAAAAAAGAGTTCAGAATACCTTGCGATTTACTGTTTATCATTCCGTACAGCTTCACTTTCAGATGATTCTTTCACGAGGGCCTCCATCTGTCAGCGATGGAATTGTGAGTTTTCGAATTTTTTTGTAATATACGGTAAAAGAAGTCATAAAGTTTATAAGAACAAAAAGAGAGGAGTTCTGATAAATCGGAATCGCAAAAAAGCTGTTAAGTGGCCTCGTACCGGAGGACCTCCTTCTGTGGAAACGCATTTGGTGATGAACATTGTCTATCCGACTCCGCCTTCGGTTCTGTCGGACGCGCAGCAGTTCAGTCCCGTGACAGGACTTCCGTCGAGTTTTGGGATCTACGCCGTCTCTTCGGTTGGTCAGCGAGTTCTTCGAGAGAAATGTCTTATGTGGCAGGATTCTGGTCGCGTCGCAGTACCTGGAGACGTCGGTTACCTAGAAGAACTGACCGACGAGGAGGGAGTCGACGAGGAGAACGAAGACCGCATCAACATCAAGTCGTGGAATTCACAATCTTGCAGCTCTCATGTCGTTCGTTTTTCTTTCCTTTTTTTGGCTTCCTTTCATTCAAAATCCAGAAGTCTGAACTGCGCCTAGGGAATGTTGATCAGGCTTTGTGTGAAGTTTGTAGTCTCTTTAGTTATTTTTAGATTTTTCCTTCTATGAAAAAAAAAAACAATGCTAATTTCTATAATTTTTTGCAGAAAGGACTGCTCGGTCGGGCGAAACGCGAGTCCTTGTCCAAATATCAACGCAAGTTCTTATTGCCGCCTTCGAAAAAGTTCACAACTGAGAAAATGGTTAGTTTCGTCTCGATATTGTTGAATTCAGGAGACTCTACGACATATCACTGTTTTCTTGCCAAAAGTTCGCGGAATTTCTTATTGATTGAATTTTTTAGATGCTGGCCTTGCGGAAAAAAGGTTCCAAGCCGCCGAACTACCCGAAGATGCTGGACAGCGAGTTCGAAGCTCCTTCCAGAGAGCTGTTCGGCAAGCTGATCGCGACTGAGGAAAGTGCAGCAAGCACGACGGCTCCTACAGGATTCGCGCCTATGCAGAACGCAGCCGCGACCCCAGTCGTCCAACCTCAAAACCCTCCCTTCGGCACTCCGCCACAGATGCCGCAGCCTCAACCTCTGCAGCATCCGCAATTCCCTCCGCAACAGCAGCAGATGTTCTTCAACGGCGGAGGCCAGCAGCCAGTTCATCCTTCGATGATGCCCCAGGCGTCGCAAATGCATCCGATGATGAACCAATTTCCTGGCGGACCTCCCAACCCAATGGGTTTCGGAGGCTATCCCATGCATCCGGGCATGAACGCCATGGGAGCTGGCGGCAATTTCGGCGGTCCTTTCGGTCCTCAACGGCCGTTCCCCCCAGGTCTCCATCAGATGCCAATGATGGGAATGAACCAACAACAGGGCATGATGATGCCTCAGGTACATTTTTATTCTTTTCAATCCATCTCTGACGAGCCGATACCAGTAGTTCTACACGAAAATAGGGACCAACTCTGAACAGCTCATGTATTTTCTACTGAGTTTAGTGATCGGTTTTTTGGCTCTGGAGTAGGGTTCAATATACATTTTTCACTGAGTTCGCAGAACTTTTATGCCGTTATTTTGAAATAAAAGTAATTCAAGAGAAAAGTCAAAATGAATAAATTCTTCGCTCATATGTTCTCTACTCCTGCAAAGTTAGCAGTTTTTCCAGATGCGGGGTCAGATGCATCCGAACATGGGGCCGATGGGCTCGACGCCCGGTCGCGGACCGATGGGAGCGCCGCCTTCCTACCAAGTTCCGTCCAGTGGCGGAGCTCCTGGAAACTTCTATCCGGGAGGGATGCCTCCCTTCGGCCCCATGAACAACGCGACGGGAATGCCAGCTCCTTATCCGCAAACTTCCGTTCAACAGCTCAACAACTTTGTGAATCAACCCCGATTTGGCAGCGGTCCCATGGCCAATCAGGGGGCTCCAATGATGAGTGGCGTCGGACCTCAGGGCCAGGTATTTGCTCCGCAAAGTTGCCAACAATCAATTAAGAGAAAAATCGGGAAACACAGTCCAGATGAAAAAAAGTTGAAAACAGTCAGCCTTAATCATAGATGTTCAAGTAAAGAACTTATTCAGCCCACCAGGAGGGGTTGAATTGAAATTTTTTTGGAAAATTAGGAAAAAAGATCACGTTTCAATCAGCCTAAACCCAAATGACGCAGAAAAGTCTGCGCCTAACCTCAGGTAGGTAGTTTTGGCCACAATAATACAATTTTCAGCCTCCGGAAGGTAGTATTATTATTTCGCAATTTGAAAGTGAGATGAATTTTTCGTGTTTCTTGAACGATTCAAAAACTTGGTTTTCATTTGGTACCTTCATTAACCCCTGAAGTTAGCTTCTTCTGAGTTTCTCACACAATGAACCTTCACATTTAACACTTCAAGTTTCAAAAATATTCGGAAAATGTACGCATTTACTTTTTCTTGAAGCTATGAAGTGAACGAAAATGTTGAAGACACGATCCAATAGAAGTCAGTTATAGTCAAATGAGAACGATTGGAAGGTTTTTGAACAGAATCTTATCAAAAGTTTTTCAATACCAATCTAATAAAGGAATCGTTTGGAAGATTCAGATGATGCAGCCTTCTGCCTTCGGAGGTCAAGGGCTCCACGGCTCGTTCGGAATGGAAATGAACAACCAAGGCTTCAACTCCAACCCCAACATGCCTTTCCAACCCCAACATCCTATGATGCCACACATGGCCGGCATGAATCCTGGAATGCAGTCGCCGAGTTTCAACCCCATGCAACAGCATCAGATGATGGCCAGACAGCAGCAGATGCAGGTTGTCCCTTTTTAATACTTCTGAAGAGCTCCTTCGACGGCTAGTAAAACATATGTTTTGGGATTTAAATTCATTTTGTACACATTTGCGTTGCTTTACCCAAGTATAATCTTGAAAATATATAGAACTTTCGAATTATTTAAACTGAACAGAAGGTCGTTTTTTTTTTTTAGGAAAACGAAACTTTAACTCCGCACCAAAAAACTGAAGAAATGGTGTGTACACCAATTTGCTCACAGTATTACACTTTTCACCGAGACAATTATCCTTAGCCGAAACTTCACTTTTTTTGTTATTTGTTTCTCAATCGGAAATATTTAAAAATGGCGAATTTTTTTGAAACTAAAAAAACGAAAGTCGCAAAAATTAAGAACCGCTCTAACAACTTTGCTGCCAAACTTGTTGCACACTTAAAGTTTCCGTAAGAGAGGAATTTCATTCAAGAAAGTTTTGATTAAAATATGTAAACCTTCAAAAAATGACGATCTTTGCCCGATTGAAGTGAATAGAATGTATAACTCAAAGTATCTTTTATTCAAAGTATGTACACTTTGTTGGGTTTCTCGAAACTAATCCGACTGTTAAGGGAATGATGGCGCAGAATCCAGGCGGTTTCATGCAGCCGCAGCCTTACCATCAGCCAGGACCTCAAGCGCTCATGGGACCTGGCAATTTCGGAGCGAATCCTTCGGTTCCTGCTCCGCCTCCAATGGTAAGAATAACCTGTCTTTCACTTTGTCCAACTCATCTCTTTTCACCGTGAAAATGTGCGAGACTGTTTCGAAAGTCCTGGCCGAAGCATTCCGAATAAATCTCCCTTAAAGGCGGTTTTCAGCTGACTCCCTACCAACAACATCAGCAGCTTTTGCACCAGCAGCTTTTGCAAAAGAACCAGATGCAAGCAAATAAAGATCCGGCAAGGCTCGAGGGCGACAGCGTCGCCTTGGCCGTCATGCTCTCCGTTGGTCCGACTTCAGGTCAAAAAGTTCAGAGGCGTTTTCAGGACACGATTCTCGACCTGCACTACGACTCGTTTCTCGACGCGTGTCCGCTCTGCTCCTGCAACGTGACGATAAGAGGCCGCGAGCTCGGTCTTTACATCACGCCGCACGAATTGTTGCGCAACGCTTCCCTCTTTCGAGAACGCGAAATCAGCAGTTGGAGTGGGTTCTCCACCACCAACAGCGGTTCCTGTACTTGCGGTTTCAGGTTTTTCTTGCATCTCATAGTACTAAATGGAAAAGTTTGAAATCACTAGGCGAACACGTCTGAGAATGAGGAAATTAGCAAACCTGGAGCGTTTATAATAATGTAAAGTATTATTTGAAATTTCAAATAATCCCTGGTAAATTAATACAGAGAATGTCGATTTTAGTGGAACACTTTCGAAAACAACATAAACTTTGATTCAAGCCATAAGATCCGATCCAACGAAAAATTTTCCTCATTTCTTATGTAATTTGAAGTTAAAAAAATTTAATTTTTTTGATTAATTGTTTAGGTTTTTTTTTTGTTTTGAAGAAGCTGAGTTGAAGTTCCGAGTCCAGTTAACGAAAAAACTGTCTGATTTGTTTTTTTTTTCGGAAAAACAGTCAAAACGAAAGCTTTGAAAAGTCTATTACTCGGTTGTGAAGAAATTTTCAAAAGTTTATGTCTTCCATTTAAAGTTAGATCAATATCTCAATTTCTTATTTATTTCTTCACCTGAATGTATGTCCCCAAAGAAAAAGACATCGGTTGAATATATCAGCTTCGGGGAAAACGGCCTTCTTTTTTTATGATTTTGGATCATCGCTTCTTTTTTCAGCGCTGTGCGTCATCGATATTTATCCTTCTGCTCGGGTCTTTTCCCTGACGATTCGATCGAAGCGACCGCCTTGGAGGCCTCTGTGGCCAGTGTGACTCCGATGGAAACTCCGTCTCAAGGTTTTCTTCTGGGCTGTTGGATGTTGACTGAACATTTCATAGGCGTGGAAACATCCAAAAACGTGATTTGGTTCGATCCGGCTTCGACGAACGACCTGATGTTGTTGGATCAACTCCGAATGCTCAGCTACACTCATAGTTTCGGAAAGGCGGTCAGCCAAATGTCGTCGATCTCCGATTTCGCCGACAGGGCTTCCAAGGTATCTCTGAGAGATCGACTCGAGACTTTTAATCTGTTTGTAGGCCGTCGAAGTGGGAATGGACGTTTCCTCGACCGCCGAGTACGTCATCTCGCAAGTCGACTCTAAGGAACTTCACCATCTTGGCAGCTCTGTTATCGACTTTTCATTAAGATGTCCGTCCTTCTGAGAGTTTGATTTACTGGAAACTTTTTTTCAGCTTCCGGAAATAGAACTTCGGGAGGCAGTTCTCAAAACAAGTTTCTCACTTATTTTCATCCTTGGGGACTTCAGGTGAAAGCATTTTTGGAAAACTTGTTCAACAGCAGTGTTTCAGATCGCAAACGAAACACGAGAGCCGACCTCGTTGGAGTGGAAAATCGCGTTGGACGCCGTGACGCCGGCCCTCGAGGAGGCTATGCGAATTGCCAGGTTTCATCTCAAAAGTCCATTTTTAGTGTATTTCTTTCAGAAACATCACTTCTCCGACAGGTAGAATAGTGGAGGGGCCTCTTTCTTGGAAAGACATCGTTAACAAAAGTCTCAAGACCAAAACGGTATTTTCTTAGGTCGTGCATTCATTTTTGAATTTTGTAGGTGAATTCGGAGATTCCCGATGAGTGGGCAGCTGCTCCTGAGCCGTTTCCAGGAATTGTTCTATCAACAGAAAAAGAAGCTGTTCGTGCAACTCCGCAGGTATCTATTTTCCGCTTTCTCCATCTCCTAGAAATACATTTTTGATCAATTCTACTTTTTTTCTTTTTTTGTCGTTGTCGCAATCTTCTTCGTTCAGCTGCTGCAATGGAGCGAAAACGCGAAAGTGGGGCCGATAGATCAGCCGAAAGACGTGATGTACATCGCGCTGGTCCCAGACTGTGACGCGATCCACGACAAAGCTGCCGTCTTCATGGAGGAGCTGAGCACGACCTACGAGCGGATGCGTCTCGGTCGTCACATTCCTTGGCCTTGTGGATACACGGCTCCTCCTCCTGTCATAGTTCCGTCAGAAACGGCCACTTTTTCCTCGATCGGCACTTTCTTGGTGCCCCCTATCGATGACAGCAGTGACAGTGACGACAGCGACGAGTCCAGTGAAGAGGAGGGCCCAGGAGGTGCTGTAGGAAAGAAACCTCAAGGAACTGACGACGGAGGCCCAACGGACAGCAGCGACAGTAGCGAGGAGGACGACGACGAGTCCGAAGAAGACACCTCGGGCAGTGACTCTAGCTGTAGTAGTAGCGGCACGAGCAGTAGTGATAAAGAGGATGCCGATGAAATGGACACCTCGAGTCCTTACTGCGCAGATGCCGCTAAGTCTCAGCACGATATGATGGCTTGTAGCCCATCGACGTCGTCGCAGGCGATCGAAGACCCCATGGACACGGGAGAGACGACTGTCGATCAGTCTGAGCCGACTTCTCCGGCTCCTGCTGCACAGCCTGAGGCGATCGTCACGAAAGATGGACTCGTTCGAGTGGGAGGACCTATTCGGCCTCCGAACAAGTACAGTTCATCTACAGCCGCGTCGTCTTTCGAGTTCAACAACATGTCCCGTTATATAGACGACAAGACTGGATTCATGACACGACTTCGAGTTCGTTTTGTTTTCTCGTGCACCGTTTTTGTTTTCTCGTGCACCATTTCAAAAAAAAAAGCGACGGAAAAGTATCCGTCGTATAATTCCTACAGTAAAAGTAAAAGTCCGAATTTTCAATAGACACGGGTAAATGTAATAAATCAAAGTATTTAGGTTCAAATTCATGGAAATGCTTTCTCTTTTGATTTAGGCGTTATGGCTGAGCGGCAATGGGTGGCGTTGGTTTAACAGATGAAGGGTCTCCAATAATGTTCTTTTGGGCAAAAAAGTACACGTTCAGTTTCGAGCACCTTTTTCGTTCTAGATAAAAAGAAACTCCGTTTTCGTTGGCGCATGTGGGCTAATCATATGAATAGTTTCGAAATTTCTCCATTCTGATTAGGAAACTTTGAAATGTTAGTTTCGCTCCATCGTTTAAATAGCCTACTTTGCAGATTTACACACAACAAATGGAGGAGTCTCTGTGCACATTGTTCGAAGAGAATCCTCAAATGTTCGAGCGAGACGCTTTCTGCTACCGCATCGCGCACGACGAGAAAGTGAAGGCGGCACAAAGTGCGGCGACAGCGGCGCAGCTCAAGAAAAACGCCAAGGAGGCTTTTGCCGCCGCCAACAGTTCTGCGACGGCGACCACAGAGGCCGAAGAATCCGGAGCTCGCGACTCAGGAAGCGCGACGCCTCCTAGCGTCGACCCTAACGCCAGTACGTCTTTTCTATGATCCTATGGAAGTTTAAAAAAACAGTTAGAACATAAAAAAAAAGAACTGTCTTTATGAATTTTATCTTGTTAGGAAATGAAGAAATTTATAAATACTAACTCATTACTTCAACGCATCTATTACTTCAACAAATCCAAATCAATGAACTCCTCAGTTACTCAATCTGATTTCTTTTGAGAGCTTATCAAGTTTGAAGTAAATATAGTTTTCATTGTTAAATTATTGTAGGCGTATTCAAAAGTTATCCTTCTCAAACATGTTCCTGGAAGATCACTTCAGACGCCGGTACGCCTCCTTCTCCAAGTGGCGACAACGCCGATGCGGCTACGGAAGAAGGCGACCCAACAAGACCTGCGATGCACGAGCCGATGTCGGAGCCAGCGAGTGGCTCTGAGTACGCGAAGACGACGTCGCTGAACCCGATGTCGGCCGGCTCGATGCCCCAATATCATCAGCCGACGGTGGCCGTCGGAGCCGTCGCCATGCCTGAAAGAATGTCTCCGCAGAACGTCCAGGACGCCGCCAACATGGTCGAACCCGAGGACATTCCATTCGACGACCCCGGAACTCTTCCTCATGTCATCGTCGTCTACATGGTTTTTCATTTCAACACAATTCATTGATCTTTTCTTGAGGTCAATCCGTTCACTTGGGGTCCGGACTCGAGGAGCGCATTCCAGATGCGTGTCGCAATTTTGTCTTTCATCCGTGCTTTCAACTCGGTCGTCAATCGTCTTCCCCCGAAAAAGTATGTTTATTATATTGCTCAAAATTGGTTCTTTTTTTTTCTTAGTGTATTAGTTTAAGTGAATTTCCTTTCAACATTTTAAAATTGAAAGTTTCTCGTTTTCAATTAATTAAAAAAAAAAATTATTCTCGAATAGCTTTCTGGAGCAGACAATTGACGACGTTTTCGAATACCTCTTGACAACTATTTTGCAGAAGAGCGCAGGTGCAGCTCGAAATAATCGGGTTGGAGCACATGGACGACACTTTGCGCGCCTACCCTGACTATTTCAACGGCTTCAAAATGCCCATGGAACTGTGCTCACGAACTCAGAATGTCAATAGTGAGTCTCCCCCTTTATTAATTTTTCTGAGCATCAACTTTGAAATTTCACTACGTTTTTATTTCAGCCAACGACGAACGCGACAAAATCGACGGTTTCCACTTGGCCGACGTTTTGCGAGTCCGTTTCTTTTCTTTGTTGGCCGAAAATTTTATAAATTTTTATTTGTTACATTATTCTAACACAAGTTTTTTTCCTGACTTTTTACCGAGTTTTTCGGATGATACTTTTGGAAAATGTTAGTAATCAGGAAGCATCAAAATTTCATGTAGGACCGTTTCGAAGAAATTTCTTTAGGTCTGGCAGGTGTTTAGGAAACGTTTAAAGCATTTTCATTTTTTTTAAAAGAAAATTTCCCATTTTATGAGCTCCATATTTTCTTAGTGAAAAAATCTGCCAAGAGTCGTTAACGAAAGAGCGAGTCTTCAAGAATTTTCATTTTTTCCGCGTTCAGTCCATAGTGACGGCAGTCTTCACACAGCCGCGAATCCTCAATCCGGACTGCTATAAGTCGATGCAACCTCGTGTCATGACTGCGTGAGTTGCCTTCCAGTGAAGTTCATACATTAACTCGTATTCAGGTTTGGCCCTGGGAGCGCTCTGATCCGAATCATCGAAGAAATGGAAGTGTTCGGCTCGGACGCGTACAACTGCGGACCGACGCTCGCCATGGGAAAGGATATGTTGGATCAGTTCGACATGCGCAAGGAGAGAGTTCCAGTGCAGTACAAGGTGGAGGGAGTGTTGGGGGGTCCGTAGAACCAGGAAGTTTGAGGTTCCGTCGAACATCCTGCAACTCTCTCCAAGCACGCCGCTAATCCCGCGCGCCGAAGGCAAAGTGACGGTGATGCCCACGGAAGAGATGGTCCTCTACGTGTCGTATTGCCTCGTCGGTCGACACTTCCTGTGTGCCGCCGTCACCGACGAACTCGGGAGAATAGTCGACAATTGCGTCATCAACTTGCGTCCCAGGGTCGATTCCCATCAGTTCGTCTTTTTCATAATTTGCGAAGAAATTAGCAGTTTTAGATAAAAATTTTTTTTATCCGTAGACTCACACTCATTATTGATTTTTTGCATTTTCATATCTTCAGCAGTTTTCGAGGATATAAAATATACTCATTTATAGATTTTTTTTAAAGAATAAAGCGTCAAAATCAAGCTTCCGTGTGTAAAAATAGGCAGAATGTAATTGTACACCCAAAAACTTAGAAAAAGTTGGTTCATTCAAAAAGTTTCAGTTTTTAAGGTTTTTTCTAACTTGTTTAAAATTGGCTAAAACTATAATTGATGTACTAAAGATAATATAAGACTCAACATGCTCAAATCATTGTTTTCGGAGACTGAAAGTTTTGAAATTATTTTGTTTTGAAGCTGAGGCCTCAGTTCTTCTTTTTTCGAAAGCTTCTATGATCTTTATTTAGTGGACCGCGGAGCGTCCGAGACATCAAAAACATGTAGTCCTACTAAAATGACTTTCATGAATGAGATTTAAAGGCGGAGATATGTTTAACGCCTGAATCATTTTTTTCAACTTTGACGTTTTTTTTTGATTTCAGTACGTACCGGTATCGACAAAAAACGCAGATCCTGGACGCAATGGGCCGACTGTGGACTTATGTCCTCGGAGTACTGAGCTCAGATGTCCGCAACTGGAGACTGGTAATCGGTCGACTGGGCCGCATTGGCCACGGCGAGTTCAAAGGTTTCTGTACTGTCCCTTTGCCGAGAACGTCGTGTTTTTCAGCTTGGCAGTACCTTCTGAGCAAGAATTCGCTGCAGAAATATTCTGCACGTCTCAAGGACATCTGCACGGCCTGCAGTCAGGTACGGCAGCTTCCGAGTCTCTGAACAAGTCTTTCTGGGTTCAGATGCAGGGCGTTATTGGAACGCCGTCGATTCTCTCTGCTTGCTTGGTCACCATCGAGCCGGAACCCAACGTCCGCGTTTTCTACGATTTGATCGACGAAGAACAGACCGGGTTCGTTTCCCAGGAATTTTCTGTAAAGGGATTCTTTTTTTTCTGATGCACATGCAACCAGTAAATATATTCCCATATCTTTTAAATTTTTGCAGAAAATCAAAAAACAAAATGACTACACCTGACGACATCTCATGCACACACATTCTGACATTCCCGATAGGTGCCGACATAAATGTGAGTTGACTGAATGTAAGAGAAAGGTTTTCGTCCTTCTCATTTTATAACAGGGATAAATTGATAATTTATTTGACAAATTCGTGCCCTAAATTTATTTTCAACAGTTGTATTGACAAGATCCCCATCTCAATTATTTGCTACGATTGCAGCTGGATATGGCGGACCAGACAGTGGAGAAGCAAAACGACAACTGGGACGACTTCAATCTCGAAGGCCTGGACATCGACTTGACGGAGAACGACATGAATGAGCTGCTGAACGTGGAACCGACGGGAATGCAGCCGACGAGCGCTTCTCGCGTCGGTGCCGGCCAAATCTTCTTCCAAGACGAGGTCGCCATCGAGTACCTCAACCAGCCGCTCGCCTCGGGCTTCTACATCTCGACGTCGCCGGCGCCTGAACTCCCTGACTGGTTCTGGTCGAGTTGTCCTTCTGCGAAGAGGAGCCTGCCGGTCCATCTCAAATCTTCTCTTCATATCAACGTTCCTGAGATCAAGGTATCAACTTTGTAGATCATCTAGCATGAGTATTTCTGAAAGTGTTTCGAACAAAAGGGAAGGTTCTAGACTCCGTGCTATATATTCGAAAATAGGAGTAAAGAAATGTAGTTTGCATTTTTCAAACTTCTTTTTTTTTCTTACTCTAATGTTTTTAAAACTTTCTGAACTATCTCATTATTCATTCGGTTTTGATATGTCAACGGTTGATCAAAAAGCGAAAAAAGCGGTCAATTTCAATGACTGAATTTTCAATTATTTCCAAACAAATATTTTCTTGACTCCTATTTGATTTGCCGTAGCGCGTCTTGCAAATAATTTGTTCATGGAACAGGATTTGGTTTGAAATGAGTCGAGTTGCAGACGGATGACATCTCGATGGAGTCGGGGAGCAAGGAGAAGGAGAAAGAGAAGGAGAAGGACCTGCATCCGCTGGAGTCGCACCAGACGGAGGACGTGCTCCGACACGTGCTCGAGACCTACAACGCGCTGTCGTGGCTCAACGTGAACCCCAGGACCGGAGAGCGTCTCAGCTGCCTTCCCATCCACATGCAGCATCTCTTGCGTCTTTACCACACTATCGCCCGACTCATCATCTGATCTCACTCCCCTTTCTTTTCACAAAATTTTCCTCAACAGCTTTAAAATAGCCTAATCCTATTCGAATATCTTCCCAACTGTTTTTCTATGGTCTTTTTTCGATTCGATAGGAACGATTGTAAATTAGTGGAGCCAGCTTCTCTTGCTATTAGGAAAGTGTTCCCGTTCTTAGCGAATTGGTTATTATATAAATCCGAAAAGCTAAGTTTCGTTAACTTTTATCATCCTACTATTGGTTAGATTGATCTCAACATCTAAACATCATTCTTTCACATATTTTATTCTCTTAATAATCTCCGCATTTAACACTCGCCTTCTATTAACTTTTAAGTGTGTGTTTTCATTTTTACTAACGCGGGTGTCACGTCTATCATTTCCATCGGTTAAGCAATCTCCTTCGTGGTTATTCTGAATTATCTTCCCGAAACTTCAAATTGCGAAATTACCTAGTTTGTTGAAATTTTACCATCCTCAGTCATCGTTTTTTTTTTCTTTAATTTATTGCTCTGATTGTAGTTATCACTACTTCGATTTAATAAGTTAATGTTCGTTGGAGTGATATTTTCTGTTCATTTGTTGCAGATATCCGGGTCCTCTTGATTATCGTTTCCCTTCACTTCCTGTCAAAATAAGTTTTTAGCTTTCAAATTTGTTTCGGAATCGAAATCTCACTTTTCGCTCTCAATTTTCTACCATAGTTCAAAATACATGCTGGAAACCCCGTGAATGTTTTATTCACGTTCCGTAACTTAGGACTGTTTTTAGGGTCCGTGCCACCGTTAGGTCCTAGAAAAGGCTATCCTTTGTTTTTCTCTCATATACAAGTACTTTTACCAACGGGTTCCCTACAACGTTACCTGTAATTCTTTTTTTTACCTTTATACACTTATTCTTGGCCTTCTTGTTCTTCTTTCACGCATACATTTCCTTTTTTTTGAGAACTCGTTTTTTTTTCTAACTTTTGGAAGTGAAAGTTTGTTTTCTTTTTCTTTTTTGAACTATATGATGATATCAAAAAAATGAACGAAAAAAGACGTTTTTATAAGTTTATTGAGCAGCAATCGGTGAAATGATAGATCACGTCGGAAAGAAGTACCTCGTGCTAGTTCTTCCATACGTGGAAGTGTCGTAAATCTTGCCGTGGCATTCAAAAAAGCACAAGATTTTTTGAGACCGTAAGGCTATTTTATCCGTTTGAATCGGCGCGTTCTGTTTCTCAGTTCGGCCATGAAGAGCTGATATGCAGGGAGAAGTAGACTTTCGATGACGTCATTCCAAGTAGATGTCCTCAGTCGGGTGCGCGAACGCCATGTACTCGTCGTAGCTGCGTTTGAAGGCTCGTCTGTCAAGAATACAGAATGACGTGGACGGAAACTAGGCTACTGTACCCAATAGACTCGACTATCGGCTGCGTCGAATCATTGGACATGAAGACGTGACAGGCAAATCTCGGTAGAAGCGGGTGCTTTCGTTATGAAACCGAAATATCTGTAAGACTTGTTTAGTTTGGATACTCTCATAAAAAAGTATTTATCTTGAAATTTGTGGGCTTGTCGTCTACAAAATAGGTCTGAAAACTAACTTGAGTTGCTTCGGATGAGCCCCACAAAAGGAAATGTTCTGCAGGCTGTAGAAGAAATCGAATGTTGGACATTGGAACAACTGAAAACTTCTTACATTACTAGATTTGAAAACTTGAACATTCCGGAGCATGAATGTGTTGAACACTGTCTTTCAAATGTGAAATGTGAAAGGAAAATTGAAAAATTGAATACATTTTTTCGCCGTTTGTCGATGACGTGGATTCCGCGAAAAGAAATTTCCAATAAAACGGTTTGCGGCACAATGATTTCATCCGCGTTTTTGTACATGGACAGAACCTGTAAGAGTTCATAGAGCATTCGATTTCGAGAGGTTGCAGAAGAAAAAGAAACTTTGTTCATGGCCTGGACGAGCACGTCGTTGCCCTTGTGATGCGCGACTTCGATCGAGGCGAGCAGGGTCAAAAAGAACGTGTCGCGTTCCTCCGTCATTATTTCTGCAGCTTCTGCGATAAGTAGAAATAATCAGAGAGTTCTGACTTGTGGCGTTCGTCGGCAGAGCGCCAAGACAAATTTCTTCGACTATGTCGATTTCGCAGACGACCGCCGTTGGGAATATTCCAGATTGGCCTGTCCGCAGGTTTGTTCCTGCAAGGTAAAAAAGTTGTGCTGAGAGACATTGCATGGCATAACTTGATTGGCTTTTTCAAAGAGAAAAATGAGTGACCTCAAAAATTTCAAGTGTGTCTATTTCTTTTTATGAAACTCAAATATTATTTTCCCAATGTATCCCCAACGCGGAGGTAAAAGGAAGGAAATATTCAGAAAAAAAGTGAACAGAGCTCTCAAATAAATACCGTAGGACCAGTGATCGTCACTGGAGCGATCTACGTGAAGGGCGTCGCCGATTTCGAGAAGGACCTCGTCGTTGTGCCTTCGAACGAAGAATTGGTGGAGAAGCCTCCAAATACAGACCTCGGATGGAAAGCCGACTGGACTCGATGTGTTGGATTGACACTGTCCGACGTCGTGCACGAAGAGACGCCAGAAGAGTCGTCAGGAGAGAAGAAGGCTGAATTTGAAGAATTATTTCTCTTACTTTCATGTTCTGACAAGTTTTTCGGGTCTGATTCCGAATTTTCTATGAATAATTTTCCGTGTTCCCCAAACAATGCAGTTCTCAAACGGTTTCACCAGAAATTCGAGACCTCCACATTCGTGTCAAATATTACAAAAGTTCGATTTTGGGCGACCCGTCGGGAGCTTGAATTGGGCTCGAATGAATATACAAGTTGAAGAAAAAAAGAATTCTATATAAGTCTCCTACTGGAGCCTTCACCGTTTTCGCTTATACCATGAGTTCGTTTTTATTTTTTTTTTTCGCGTTTATAAGAATCTCATTTGTGCATATCTCATATTTGCTAAAAAGTTCCACGACTTTAATTATTCACTGATCTGTGATTTTGAAAAAGTAAACAATGGATAAAAAATATAAAAATAAAAAATAAAAACATGACAAACATTTGCGGTTTGTGTGCCGCTGTTTCCGGCGGTTGCCATTGATGCTGTCTTCTTCGTAATAAGAGTCCTCGAGGCCGAGAGCCGTGCTTCTCTCCATCATCGAGTCGCCCATTCCTGAAGATTTCGTGAAAAAACAATCAAAGAAAAGATTTAGGCTGATGTACAATCTGTTACAAACGGTAACCTTGTTGAGCAAAAGATGATCATTTCGAGGCACCTCGAAAACTTTTAAAGCGAATCTTGACCAAAGAGAAATATGCTATGTAACTAAAAAGAAGCTCATTTTAGGATAATTTCGGAATTGTTTTCTATAACTTCGTAATGAACTAGAAATCGATTTCGACTAGCGGCTTTCTGCGCAAGTTTTCCGTTCTAGTGATATCAATATACAACGTATATTTCCTCAAGTCTTCCTTTTAACGTGCTCCGAGGTGACTACTCTCCCCTGTGTGGAAACGACAAACCGTCCATGAAACAGAGGGTGTGATCTGAAGACTTCGGGGGCAGAGACATGGCGGCGGGGAGGTGTTGGAGCAAGGAGGTCGAATGGATCGGCAGCGGCGGAAGACGTCGTCCGGATCCTGGCGACGGCAGGACTGAAAACTTTTTTTTGATTCCGGCAGAACCACTTTCTCATTTGGAAACCCAACATTCTGTGATTAAAATAAGAAGTATGAGAAATAACTAAGAAGATTGATGTATGGCAAGCAGAACGAATCTGAAGAAAAATTTGATCCAAAAATTTCTATATATATTATTATTATCAAATAGAGAATATGTATTTCACACAAAGAAGCTTTTTTTGAAAGCCAGGGAAAAAGGATAGCAGCTTAAAGTGGTGAAATAGTATTCAAGTTATGAAGTTTAAAAAAACTAAATTATTCCAAAAAAATTGATATGTGATTATTTTAGAATCTTAAAAAAACAAATGGAAAAAAATTAGTTCAAATTTTCTACCAAATTCGTTCTACATTTATTGTTCGCGGTGAGATCTAATGGGTTTTCGCCTAAAAAGGAAAAAAAAGAAAATGAGGACCGCAAAGCCAGATTTCCTGACGAGGAAAGGGAGAAAAATGAGACGACACATGGAATATGTCAGCCTTCGAGTTCTTGAGAAATCCTAAGGGATTCGGTTCTCACAAAATATCAATATTCAAATTTCGAATACTTGAGAACGGTGAAGTGTAACCTTGATCAATAGAAACAGTTCTTCTACTTCTAGATAAACCATTAAACAAGAAGAAAAGGATAAAAACGACAAAACGTGAAAGGCGCGGGCAGCGTGGATCAATGTGTTCGTCGCTGGAAGAGCAGACGCACAGAGTTGAGGGAAATTGAATTGGAAGACGTTGCTCTCGACGAAGCGTATAATGTAATTAGCAAATGGAGCTGCAGGCCTCTCGAATCAGACAAAAGCAAGATATCGAGATTTATGACCCAAAAAAGCAACATCATGTTTTTCTAAAGAGAAGAAGTACGTACACTTTTACCTGAAAATAAAAATTATAATTTCGAGGAAAAATAGAAAACTCTATGAACTTCGAAAACGAAATACTCGATTCAGTTGGAGTTAAAAAGCAGAAAATGAGAAATCGTAGAGATATTCGAGACAGAATTCCGCGGCGCGAAGGCCTATCAATTTCTAATGCAAACGCTTCGGCTCCTCCATGGAACGGACAGAAATAATGGGGGACTGGTTATTCTTTCATCGTTCTATTGTCTGAAAATGTGCATCTCGAACTAGAAAGAGATTCGATTCGAGACGAAATAAATATTCGTTAAGCGCAGATTTCAATTTAAAACAGCTACATTTTTTATAAGCTATCGAGAAAAGATACGTTTAAAAGATGAAAATTTTCAAAATATTTTGGATAATTTTTGAAGATACTAGATAGATAAAGGATAGAGATATTTTTTAAGCCGTGAAACCACATATTGTAAAAATTTGAGAAGATTTGAGATTAACTTTGAGATTGAAATTTGTAAGTTCGATTTTAAACAAGCTTTGTAAAACCAAAAAAAAAACCACACGTTCTCGCAAAAATTGTAAAAATGAGAGGTAATTTCAGGCAAGACTGGCGAGATTGGACAAGATCGATTGGAACTGCCAAAAGGAGCCCACATTATGGGCCTTTCTGAGCTTCTGCCATCATTTCCCGAAGGTCCTCAAAAGGACGAGGGCTGTCGGAATGGAAAAGCGGCCGTTGAGCACCCGAAGCTGCAGAGAAACAGAGGCCAATCGAAGGCAGAAGCTTCTCGTTTATTTCATTGCAATTATGTCGTCGAGAATCGATTCAAAACACGAAAAAGAGCCTTTTCCGCTGATAAGTCTGTTTCGATGTGTTTAAAAACAACTTTCGAGGTTTTGAAAAGAGCGAGGTATATGTCAGGTAGATCTTTTTCTTCGAATAACCATAACCTCACCGTTGAAAAAAAAAATAAAGATAATTATTAGTTCAAAAAAATTTGCGTCAAACTTTGGCATTTCTAGAGACTTATTGAGCGATTTAAAAAAGGACTTTGTCAATTTTTCTTTCCGAACTTGGCTGTTCTTGTTTTCCTTGATAGGTAGAAAGAAATTTTTTCCTTTTTGTTTGAAAAAAACTTCATGAAGGAATTCCATCGAATCTAATAAAATCACAACTACAAATCTTTTTAGAAAGCGAAAAAAGAAAGAAAAAAAAACTATCTTTCAGTCCATGTCAGTGCAAAAACTGCTACCGCCGTTACAGAAATTTCATTCAAAATTTCTCCCTGTCATAGGAAGAGAATGATGTTAAATTATGAGAGTAAGCTCTTTCCGTGTCCCACGAACTTACTTTAATATTGAAAAAAAAAACAAAATTTTATAAGGAGAGTCGTCCTCGACGTCGACAATAATCTTCTTTTCTTGTTTGTTAAAAAAAGCATTTCTATTTTCCATCGATCTCGTCTTTTATATCAAATGAATAAAATACGGAAATGTTCGTTAGAAAACTACCTCGAGGGGAAATCGGTGTCTCCAAATTCGAAAAAGGATCGTAACCCGCTCGCTGAGGCATCGTGGAGCTGCTGCAAAAACGTTCAAATTACACGAACAAGATTTGATTTTGAAAAAAGTCGTTTTCAGAAGATGTGGAGCATTTTATTGTTAATCAATTTGTGAATGAGGATCCGAAAATCGATGAATCGCTCCATTTTGGACCTCAACTTTCGAATCAACTTTATTTTGATGGAAGCCGCTCTCATAATGGGACCGCATACAGATATCCATATTTTAATTATCAGAAAATCACTTTTGAACGCGACCTCAGCAAAAGGCATCAATGAAAACCGATCAACAAATACTACATGATTCTTGAAAAGGTACACTTTACTTGAGTCAGACCGACCAAAAAAGAGCTCGAGTGGGGAGTGATTTCGAGGAAACCAGAACGGAATTCAAAATAATGAGGGTGAGCATTCTTCTTCTTCTCGTTTGCCGTGGCAGCCCCACCCCGTGTGCATCTCAGCCATCCATAATTCCTGAACCAATTGCCTCTCCTTCGAGCTCCGGCAAAGGCTTAGCAACTAATGATTTGCACCCAGCCACGCCACTTTGGAACCACCCGAATTCGTCTTTTGCACCATTTTCCCGGCAAAAACTCACTTTTTGCTTTCTATGAGAGTGTTCACCGTTTTCTGCAAGTCCAGCGAAGGCGGACGACGATCTCTGAAACTTTCTGAGCGTTTTGAAGCAGTACGGCTGTAAAGAACCTTCCCGAAACTTTTCTTGGTCCCAATTTTTTTGTATATTCACAATCTTTAAACTGCGAAGTGCAACATTATACAAACGAAGGAAAATTTTCAAAAAACCTTTAAAATGTTTCTCTTTTTGAATAAAGTTTGAAAAGTACTTCATGAAGTTTTTACAGAGTTCTAGATTTTCTGAATACTTTTCGAATTCGCCTATAATCGTCTCAGACGAAATGATTTTTATTTTCAAATTTAAAAATTCGCATCGCGTTTACAACTTCCGCCTGATGGCCAGTAGAAACAGTTGGTTCAACGAGAACTTACGATTTCATAGCCAGCTTAAGAATAAATCCACAAAATTATTTATTTTATCGCAACCTTCCTTGACAAGGTACTCGATTGTATCACAATGCAGTCTGTCTTTCATTCTCAATCACAAACCTCCTTTCGTGAGCAGCAGTCCGACGGCGCAGATCCAGCCTGGCTCCAGGGGTTTTCTCCTCGAACGAGTCTTGGTTGCCGTCAGCCTCGTCGGACGGCCTTTCGACAGTCGCCAGGAACTGTTCGCGCAGTGCCCGCTCGTACATCGACTTGGACTGCGGCAGGTCAACTACGACTACTTCTGTCGTTTTGTTGTGATCCGAAGATGACTCACTGGGCGCACAGAGCTCATCGGGCCTTCTCGGAAGACGTCGTCGTCCTTTGACGCGGAACTCTTCGGTGGTGCACGACCGTCGCATCGCTTGGCTTGGAGACGGAGACGGCGCTCCGGCCAGCGATGAAAAGCTTCCTGAACGCTGCCATGGCCAAGTGGAAGACGTTTGCAAATCATTTCGTTGTGCTTTCCAACACTTTTCTTACACACTGTCTTGAATTACTTAGAAAGGCATTGAGAGCAAATTTTCAACTTTTAAATAAATTATACCAACGAAAACTTTTAATTTATATAAAATTTATTCTTTGATCACACAAACTTTGATATCTCACTCATCTTGGAACTTTTTTTCCTAGCTTCAATAAAAATCATTTGGATCGTCAGAATCGCAGGACTGACCGTACTGTGACTGTACGCCGTTGCAGTGGACGACATCGAAGACTTCGGGATGGTAACGATTTCTGGCGGCGGCAAAAAGAGCCTCCGAATACTCGGGCGTCAGGCCCAAGCAAGCGATGCTCCCGTGTTCCATCCACTCTTGACGCGTCGCCAACGCCTTGCTAAAAAAAAATCTGTGCCAACCTCTGAGTTATAAAATGAAAAAAAAAATAATGGTTTGAGTTCAATGAACCTGTAGTACGTTTTCGATGAAATATTAGATTACTAATACAAAAACAATAAACACGACAGCAAAAAATAGTTAAAACTCCTTAGCTATTTTAAGAGCTAAACGGATGACTGGTGTGACACACATATTGACAAAAAAATGGAATAAATTTCAACCACAAAACTTTCCTTGGGAAAAAAGAATAAATGCTCATTGGAGTCGGAGATCACTTCTTTGTAGCCGGAAACATCTATCATAATGAGGAATGTGAAAAGAAACTCTTATAAAAAATGAAAAATAAATAGTTATGTTTCTTAACGATTATAAAAAATGGGTGTGTTTGGCCAATTCTTAGCAGCTGTGAAGATATGGCGGATGCCAAAAAAGAAATGCAAAAAAAAAGACTAATGGGTGATGAGCTGTTTTCTGGTGTCAAGCTGAACGCTACGATTTCCGAGTCTCTCCGATTCAAACGGAAGGAATCGGAGGCTCCACCCAGCCGTTGCCGTGATACTAACATGAAATTCAAAGCCGCTGCCAATTAGTGAAGCAACAAAGGCTTTTTTGTTTCTGTGTCTACCGCTCAAGGCTCTCCTTTTTCTCTAATTATTTTCTTTGTTCAATAAAACTCATTGATGAGTAAAGGTTGTGTCTCAGGAAATTGATATTGATATATGTTGAATTGAAGTTATGAAATAGAGAAGTAATCAGGAAAAATAGGAAAAGTGCACATGAAACGCTTTCCGACAAAGTCGTTCGATGTCATTCATGCATACCAAAAATTCCTCCGCATCAGTAGTATCTGCTTAGTTTTCAAACAACCCTATACTCATCAGAAGCGAAAAAAAGTTTCAGTGATTTCAAAAGCCTAGAAGACACCACGCTCAAAGAATATATGTGAAACTATGAAATATCAGAAGAGAACTAACCTTTAAAAAAAATGTCAAAGTTCGAAATGTACGAGTAATATATCGAGGATTGTTGTCAAACTAAACTCTGATTTGTATTTTTCGAAAACCGACAAGAAAGCCAGCTCTTTCATTCAAACTACAAAACTTTGTAGTTGGGATTTTTTTAAAGCAGCTGATGACTGATTAATTTCATTCGAAACTAACACTATCATTGTAGAAAAGGTCCTAACTGATTTACTAGAAAAAAGTCTGGCAGCTCAAGGTAAAAGTGGAAACGGAAAAGATGCCCTCGGGCGAGAAAGGATCGACAGAAAGGTAAAGTGGGCGAGGGAAGATGTGCGGCGAATATTGCTTCTCGCAAAATTGCTTGATTTTGTTTGAGCTTCGCGAGGAGGCGGAGTTTCTTAAAAGTAAAAAAATAAAAAGGATTATATTTTTTTGCACGTTTCGAAACTCTCAAAAATCAACGGAGCAAAAAAATCGATCTGCAAGTTTATTTTTTTCATTATTTTCAGAAAAATATATTTCCCGCCAATCAGAAAAATTTTTTTAAAAAAATGCTTTTTTTAAAAACTTTTTTTGGAAAAATGTTAAATGAGTTTTCGAGAAAAGAAACATGGATTTTTTTCTATTTAAAAATTTTTTTCTGTTTTTTTCATTAATGATATTCCTTGAATTTAAAAATTTATTTCACAATTCAAATAAAAAAATTCTGTCTCTTTTTATATCTCCAGTAATCTTAAATTTGTTTGATACTCTAATAGAAATTTTTCGAGAAAAATAGAGCTCTAAAATGAAGTTTAAAGACCGGTCGTTAATGTGAAATATTTCCTTGTTCTCCTAAATCGTTGAAAAAGCTCCAAATACGAAGATCGGACAGGGAAGTAACGAAAAGACAACTTTCAAGAAAATATATGCGCTTGGGCTCTCCTCTGGGGACACGTCCCGACTCTTCGTGAACGAGCTCTTCTCAATTGATGTCGACCTCGTGAAATAAAATAGTTTGTTGTGAGAAAATATTTTCTAATCAAAAAAATATTTTAAATATAAAAAGACTACGAGCTTTCAGTAATTTTTTTACACCGCAGTGGCTAAGACCTGACAAAAATAAAAATGCAGTTATTTCTAACACGAAATAAATGGTTTTCAAAATGAACGGAATGCGAAATTCTTTCGTAGAAGTCAAACGGAAAGATTGATTCATGAACTAAAAAAGAAAAGTAAAAGTGTTTTGAGAGTATTCATGACGAGTCGAACCACGTCCCTCAGGATCCAAGCACATCCATTCTCTACGTTTGTTTTTTCGTTACTTCCAGGCCGACTCTCCAAATTTGACGCCTTCTTGATCTTCTTCGCCTTTCGAACAAAACCAAGGATTTGAAATTTCAAAAAATAGCTTTTTACAGTATTTTCTACGTTAATACTTTTTTATCGACAAGGTTTTTTACAATAAGTGAACGGCGACTGAATTTGATGCACAAAGACCTAAAAAAAGACCGTTAGAAAATTAAGAAATATTTTCATAGTGAGCGAGTTCTTTTTATAAAAATTGGAAAAAAAATGAAAAGTATATTAATTACAGCATTCGGCTTGAAAAACATTTCAATTGCGGTCTTATTCGATCAGAGAAACAATTCACAAGAAGAGTTGGTTTTAGCGAAGCTGCGACGACTTTTTCCAAGCTAGCAGTAGATATGGCTTCCTTTTCATTATTATTATTATTATTTTTGTTGATATTTTTCAGGGTTTCAGAAATCGGCACTTATCTGTAAATACTCAAAATAACAATATCTTAATCTTTCAACAATGAAAAAAAGGAAATTCATGTTCGAGCGATGATCTATAAGAAGCTCTTCTAGATTCTTCGAAGGTTTCACAGCGAGAATGGAATATAAGTAATTAAGTATTTCTTTCGAGCGTGTCTAGAATTCATCCATTCCTTCGCTAAATAGCTTAAAAGCGAGTCACATTTTTCCAGAAAAGAAAGAGTTCGAAATTTTCCAGAATGAAGGTTTGAAAAAATATGAAAAAAATACAAGATTGTTATAAATACGATAAGTTATTTACTTTTTGTTTCAGTCAAAAACCTATTCGCTTGATTCGAATTAAAGGCGATTCAGATGAACAAAAATAAAACTCAGAAAGCGGTACTTGATAACTATAGAGATCTGAGTGGAGGAGAACTGGAGAAGAAGTTGAGAGCGAACCTCTCAAAATCGTCGAGAGCCGAGCCAGAGAAGTCGTCGTCGTCTTCGACGTCTCCGGGAGGCTGCCGACGTCCGAAGTCGTCCAGGATGTCTTCCTCTGTGCCCCAGTCGTACAAGTGCGAGTGGGCGGAGCGCGAGGTTGGAATCGTGCCAAATCCACGCGGTTCCGATTGGGCGGAGACTGCGACTCGCTGTCCAACTGGATGGAACGTCGCTGAACGGTGTAAACCGCCGCTTGCGTCTGTCCAGCACTCACGCGCCATGGCGAACTCAGGCCACACCTGAAACTCCTTCTGTATTCAAAGGAGCTCTGTTAGAACCTCTTGGTGAGGCCAAGGATCTCGTTGAGGCCAAACTTCTTCGTCGGCGTCTGATGTCGAACCGTCGTCTGAGGCCAGAACCAAGATTTCGCCAGGCTGATCCATGAAACTCGAAAGATCCGGCTTTGGGGGCAGCTGCATCGATTGCGATGATGAGATTTTCGCTGCAAACATTTCACATCTATGATTTTAGTGAATCTTTCCCGAGTCGAAAGACGAGTCCATGAGCTGCCGATCAGGTTATTAAAAAAAACAAGCACCTAAATGTTAGAAATTTGCCGGAAAATACTCAAAAAGATGGCAAATAGGAGAAAGCTGTTTCTCAAGTGTTGCATTTCTCTTGTGGGTTCAGGTTACCACGGACTACTGCAATTTTCCCGGAGAGAAGCTATGTTCCAGACTGAATGGTAGTTCGTGACCAGGAGGCGTAGTTTACTCTGTCTCTTCATTGAGTGTTTGATTCAGATATTTTAGTTTGACAATACAGATAAGGAAAAACAAGGAAAAACAAGGAAAAACAAACATGAAATTTTCGCAGGTCGGCCAAAAACGGGAGAAAGTGGGCGAGGAGGCGAAAGCGACGGCGCAGAACCCAAAGAAGATGGAAGACGGTAAGAACAAATCGAAAGATCTTAAAACTTTATTTCAATGAAGTTGAGGATTTTCCATATGAAAACTAGTATACTTGACTTCTTTTACTAGGACAAATTCTGATCGACTGAAAGTGCAATTAAAGTTCTGGAAAGGACTCACGAGCGAACTCAACGTAATTCCTATTTTACGCACTATTCCCTTAGGTATCAGAGTAGTAGTAAGATAGATGAGAATTTGGAAAATCTCTCAGTCTGTTCTGAAACCAAGCTAAATTCACATTACTTTAACTATTTTTTTCAAATTTAAGAAAACATTTCTCGATTATGTTATTGAGGGTTAAAAATCAAGGAACTTGAAAAAAAATGAAGGTTCTTTCAAATTAACGCGAAGCTGTTTCGGATCTTCGAATTCGACATGTTGAATACGTTGAAACTATACAAGCTCTCAAAAAGTTTTAAGTAAAAAAAAGATTAATTTGGCTTGAGACTTGAACGAGTAAAAAGCCACGCAAAAAGGTCTAACGAATTCCCAAATCGACAATAAAAATGCACACGTCGGTAATAAACGCTTAGACACAGAAAGAAGGCTGAAGCTAGTCCGACCAGTAAAAATAAAACTTAGAATTTCGTAAGAAAAAGTTATGAAAATAAGAGGAAATTCTTCATTTTAATCAAAAATTTCATTAAAAAAATTTTTTTTCTAGCATTCAGCTGAAATAAACTCGCTAAAAAAAGAATCACCGTCTAGCGAGAAAGTGAGAAATATTATTTCCCATTAAAAATGCATTCCGAGATCATTTTATGACTACATTTTTTTAATTCCTCCTTAACTTAAAAAAACCTGCCGGTCTTGGTTTCAGAACGGAAAAATATCATTCGAATCCAGCTATGAGTTATATTGTTTAGCCTTTCGACGAATGAGCAATCACCAGGGTCAGGAGTGTCAATGACAGGATAGCTGGTGGAATACGGCGGTTCCCGGAGTTGAACGACTTTCGGAGGCAGAATCCACGTCGTTGGCACATCCTTGCAGCCGAACTCTTCCTCCGGCGACGGCGGCTCGTCGTCCACAAGTTCCGGAGCCGACCAGCATTCTTCCCGTCCTTCAAATCTTTCCCTGATAGCTGAGAAGCAAGTAAAACCGACCTTGAAGCTGCGGAGACGTGGAAAAACTGCGGTCCTGCAGGACTTCCGGTGGCGAAGACCAACAGCCTGAGCAGCGCTTTCGAGGCTTCGTCGGAAGGAAGTCGTCGAGGCCTCCGAGCTCGGGTTCGGACTCGCTGGCTGAGTAGCGCTCCATCTTCTTTCCGCGCTTCTTACGCCTTTTCTGCTCCTTTTCTTCTTCAGAGTCGTCTGGCTCTGGCCATTTCGTGTCAAGGCACGGAATGAAGTCGGCCATCGAAGTTTCTGAATCCATCACGATGCTCTTCGTCGTCGAGTTGAGCATCCGCGACAGGTTTATCTGAGATGGATCGTCAGAGGAGGATTTTCTGAGAACTCGCCTCCTAGATTCAAGATATTCAATTTCAAGTGACTTAATTAAGAAAATTAAAATTTTAACGATTCTGAATGGCCTGTAAGTCCTAAATTTCCTCTAATCTTATAGGTATATGGGCAGTGAAAAACGGGGTTTGAAGCGAATGTATCCCGACTTTGAATAAAGACTTAAATTTTGAAAGAAGTAAAATTAAATGTTCTTTTTTATGAAATGAAAAATTCATAAAAACTTTATGAACTTTATCTTCATAGATAGAGAGGGCGGTGCATCGCAAACTTCAAAATAGATACCTCAAACGTAGTTTTACTCGGCTTCATGTTAGACTCGATCTTCTCGCGCGGAACTGAGTACGCGGACTTGGACTTTATGAGGCTCCGAAGACACGGATGTACGAGGAATTCTGCGTCACTGAAAAATAATTTTTGAATCTCCTCATTAAAAAAACAAAATACAGATCATCTTAACCTGAAATTTCTTTCTTTATCAAACCAACTTCTTCGAAAAAAAGTTTCAAAAAGAAGAGCTCCAACCTGTCTTCTTCGCTGGATTCTTCCTGTTCGTCATAAGTCCAAGGTCCGTCGGCTGAGAACGACTGTAACTCTTAGCCGATAAGTTTTGTCCCGAAAAAATGGTTTCAGGGGAAAAAAAAACTTTTCTTGAGAAGATCGCAAAAGCTTTTTCGAATTGATCAAAACAGTTTGAGCTCAACATCTTTAGATCTGTTTGTTTGTTGAATCGAAACAGACAAAAAGTCCACAATTTTTTTTCGGTATTTCTAAACTTTTAACTTTTAACTAGTCAAAAAAAAAGTACACAGTACCTTTTTGACAGGAACTCGCTGTTTTTCGTCTTCACTATCTGAGTAGCCTCCTGTGTCCATTATATTTTCGATTCTCTGAAACTACCTATTAAAATTAATTTTGAGAACAAAAATTTTTAAGAGATTAGAACAGATTAATTGTCGATTAGCGAAGTAATTTTGGGGATTGAAGAAAATGTGTGAAAAAATAAGGAGTTTAAGAAATAAAAAATCTACAAAGCCTTGTTCAATGAGAAGAAGCGAAAATTTAAATAGCCGTTCGAGAATTCATTCATTCATTCATTTCATTTCAAGTGTTTATGGAAAAGATGACTAAATTTTGGAGAGCCAGAGATATTTTTAAATTTAGTAGAAATGAAAAATATTAAAATTGTGAAGGAACATCGTAAAAAACGTTATTATGTTGAATTTAATAAAATAACCTAGCAAAAAAAAATAAATGAGACCTTCAAGCGTCAGGTTCCCTGTTTACGTACCGGCGCAGAAATCGACGTGAAATTTTGAATTTAAAAAAATTTAAAAAGGAAAAATTGCTTCAAAAACGCAATAAATAATATAGTCTGTTCAGATTCTAAATGTCAAGCAGCTAACTCCGCCCCTGCTGAGACGGTACCCTTTCGGGTCGATGTTTTTAACGCGCGGGACTAATTTTTGATCTTTTTGATCTAAAAAGATAGAAAAAAAGAAGTCAAAAAAATGCAGCCTTATTAAAGGGCCATCGTCATCTGTAGATCAAACATTGACGCGAAAGATATTGTAGCTTTGGGGGTGGAGTTAGCTGCTTGACATTCAAAATCTGAACAGACTATATGCTCCAAAACAAAATGAGTACTGTTTTGGAGCAACTTTGGCGCGCCGATGAACGTTTCTCCGATGAACATGTCCAAAAAAAAAAGCCAAAAACGAGTCGTTTTTCTTATATTTTATAACAATTGCTTTTCGGTTTTCACCACCGCCTGGCAAAAAAGGCAAGTTGCATTTTAAAAATAAAATTTTATAATTAGTTAGTTATTAGGTTATCAATTACGACTTTCTTAAAAATTTAAAAAATTCTCGGCGGATTAGAGATAAAAATTTTTGATGATGCGTTCTGTCAGGAAACCGAGCAAATGCAAAAAAGTTTTCGAAAGTTTTATCTTCGTTTTTTTTTGGAGCTCTTCTTACTATCATATGTAGTAAAAAAAAACATTCTGAACCACGTTTTATTAAGCTCCGCCCACTTTCAGGCTTTCTATAGAAAAAACACTTTGCAAACCTAAAATTTAAAAACTTTTTTCAGGGAGATGCATTGTGCATTAGAAAAAAAGTTTTTTTCACCTAGCGACATGCTTCAGCTTCAGACATCGTTCTTTCTTTTTTTTTTTATTAGGCAGGGCTTCTCGATTTCGTTGGTAATTGCTTTTTTAAGGCTTTCGGGACGCGAATTAAAACGAAACTTTTTGAAACATGATCCTCTTCCTTTTTGTTGGAAGCTTGAAGTTATAAAACGAGAAATAAGAACTGAGCAACTGAAGAATTTCGGGTTTAGAGCTTTGAATTGCATACTCCCGGAATGGGAAAAGGGTTCAGTCGGACAAGATTGTGAAATCCTCTATTCACTTGAGGATCAGAAGGTTTTTTCCTGTTTTTAGAAGTCTATGAGTCAATATATTTGCCCACACTCCATCTTCTATCACTTGGAAAAACTGGCGAAGATGGATTAAGTGGTGGAATTGCTCGGATTAGATGAGAGCGCCCTTCCGGAAGCCTTCAGTTGCTTAAATTCTTTGAGAAAAAAAAATCTTCGCAGCTCAGGAAGAACAACGTAAAATAGTTTTAAATCACAGAAAAAACTACAAAAGTCTGCAGCGCACTTGTAAATACTTGTTCTTTAGTTCTGGTATATATCCAGATAGCTTGGGGATAGTATCCGAGTGCACATAAATAGTATTGAAAAAGCAGAATGATAGACTCACTATGCTATTTTTGATTGACCGTTAGCCTATTATGATTTATTTTTATAGTTTACTTTATTGGCTAAATCTGTTGATGCGCCGATTAACCGGTGTATGAGATCAAAAAGGCTGAAAAAAACCCTAAACCATATATATATATATGATAGAACATTACTAAGACATAAAAAAAAATTGACTGATAGGCGAAAATAGTTTTGTCCGAATCCTCTCATTCATGTGGTCATGTGATGAACATCATTATAGAAAACAGATTAAGAAAACATAACTTTTTCAGGTGATGAATCTATTTCATATAGTTTAAGAAGCTCCATTAGTATAGCGCAATGTAAGAACTTGCGAAGGAAACATTAAATTTAAAAAATGAGATGACAAAGAAAAGTTTTCATTAATAAGCTGAAAAATAGCTAGAGGATCCCAATTTTAAGCGAACGTTAAAAAGCCAGTCTGAAGCTTGTAAAAACTAAATATAAACAAGTATCACTAAACTGCTGAAGAAACTTAGAAGAGAATTTTAGAATAATTAGACGGAGAAGTCGAAGAAGTGAAGGATTGACGAGAGAGGCGTCAAGGCTGAGCTGATCGATAGAGAGGTCCGAGCGGCGAAGACACGTCGAGAGAGGACGTGCTCCGCGGAGGGCGCAGCGTCTCTCCCTTTGCCGGAAAGCCACGGCTTCATCTAATTATTAACACGACAGGAGCTTGAAGGTCCGCTGCCACGGAAAAAAACTACTTCTCTCCCGTATAGCTTTTCTTTTAAGCAACGAAAAACGCTCCAAGAATTTGGCTCAATTTCAAATATTAAAAATATCTTCTTTCTCTAAGAATCATCACTTTCTTGTGAAATTCAGAACACTGCAATTCAGAACGCATTTTTCTCTAACCTTAATTTCTAAGAAACCAATATCCAACGACCTGAACAAGTTTTAGTATGCCCAAGATATTGAACATCTACAATCTCTAAGAAATATCCCAATCTGCTAATCTGCGTAAAACTTCTTTTTTTTCGTGCTCTCAGAACGAGAATAATATCAAATGCTCTCCGAGGCTTCGCGAATTCTTTATTGCGTTTTTTCTTGAAGTTGAGCCGCGAAATTCATTGTTTATTAAAAAAATTTTTGAAACACGTTTTTATGATATCGAAATACCGAACGAGGTCTCAAAGGGGCCAAGCTGGATTATACGGAGGAAGACACGAGATTGCCCAAAGCGGAGAAAGAGAAGAAGGATCGGATTCAGATGACCATAGTGCCGTCGTGTTCTCGGCGACAAAGGACCAGGAGCTGTCTCACCTGGCCTCCTTCCAACGTCGTCACCTTGCCTTCGAGGGCCACAGAAGCTCTCTCCGTGTTCATGTCAAGACCTCCTGCAACACATTCGGAGTCGTTCTGATATACTCGAAATAGGTTTTTCATTTACAAAAAGTTCTCTAGAACGAATACATCGTGTTTTCTGAGCCGTTGAAGCCAAAGAAAAGGCTCGAAAACCAAAATCATGATGAGAAATGTTTTGTTTTTAATAAATTCTCCATTTTTTTTCTTACCTTATTGCAGATGCAAGATGACCTTCGAATCGATTATTACGATATAGGCAATGTTTCCCGACTTGAAAGGCGAGGGAGGCGGGACAGAGAGCGGGACGCGTAGCGTGTGCGTACGCGGTTCTTGGCACGTGTTCAATTCAACCGCCATCGACTCTTTGAAAAGCCCGTTTTTCGCTCTTTTCATTCTTTTTTCAATTATTTATTGAATATGTTCATGTGTGCATCAAATAATAGTAGAAAACATTGAAAAAGAGCGGTTGCCGAGTTTTTTAAATAGTCGACGGCAATTGAATTGAACTTGTGCCAAGAACCGCGAACGCACACGCTACGCGTCCCGCCCCTTGCCCCGCCTCCCTCGCCTTTCAAGTCGGGAAACATTGACTATACACGGTGAAAAAATGGAAAGCTTTCGAAATTGTATGACCATTTTACGATAACTTCACGATTTTCGTTGGTTTAATACTTATTCATGTGAACTTTTGGAATCTGACCCAAGGCTTCATAAGGCCCGATTTTGAAAACAGCCGGGCAGACGTAGTTCATATGCACAGGGAGGTAGTCTTTGTCTCGGAACTGATAGGCCTCCAAGAATCAAAAATGAGATCAGACTGCTCAAAGGCGCCAAACTTGTTCGTAAGGCATCCAGACGTAGTCGTAGCCGACGGCTGTGGCGGGGAGTTGGATGAGCAGCTGAAGAGAGCCGACCGAGGGGCCGGAGAACTCGCGGTCGCACGAAGGACTGCAGCAAAGCCAGCAGATGGCGTTTAGTTGATTTTAGTTTATTTTTTTAATCAAAAAGTGTCCTTCTCTTTTCATCTTTCTTTTCGAAGTTCCGTAAAAAAAATTCATGAAGGAATTATAGAAAATAACCCAAGGAAATAACTCAACTCAAAATTTTCGGAAAGTTTTTTTTGTTAATTGTTTAACTTTTTTGGGCTTCCTAATTATTTTGCAGACTCTTTTTTAGACTGTAATCTGTTATAATAAACCAAAATGGCGCATAAAAAGTCTGCGCCTAATTATACTTAACGTATTCAAGCTTTAAGCTATAAATGGACCAAAAGGAGATTACTTGGAGAAATGATAGTCAACGGAGCTAGCTTACTCGACGAAAGAAGCCTCGATTTTTCCGGCGACGTTCCAGGCACGGCCCATGATCGGTTTGCCGTGACGGTACCACATCGCCACGTACTGTTTTTGGAATCCTTTCGGGTTGGGAAGCTCTCTTCCCAAAGCTGACATCAGCGGTCTCAAAGGAACAAGTCATAAACTAGACTTCAATTTTCAGCTAGCAGAAATGTTTCCCCATTTAATTATTCATTCTTTTTTTTTCTGAAGTTCAACAGTTTGACACTCTATTTCAAACTATCCTTCTCACGCACTAATGCATTAGTGTTGTTTTTTCTGACTCCGATCATCAGCTTTCGAGAAAAATTATGTGAATTTGATCTTCTTCATGTTTACTACTGCATAATACCGACTTTTTTCAACTTTTCTCTCAACGGTTCGATCAAAAAACGGCAAATGAGTAGCACATAGCCGCTGTCAGAAAACAAAAAAACCTAAAAAGGTCATTTTGATTAGAGTGATGTATGTACATCATTTATTTTTATTTTGACTAGCTTTTTTTCAACTGTTCTCAGCCAAAGTTTTATTCGACACAAGAGCTACTTCTGTTAGAGAGGCTGATTGGTTTGCATTGAAAACCTTTTCTGGGGCCATTCCGTTCCCCAGTTGTAGTCCTCCCAATCATTGACGCTGAGTGGTCGCTTGAGTGTCTTTTGCGCGTTCTTGTCAGAGGCCATATTCTAGAAAGCTCTGTTTTCCGTGACTCTACGACCGAATACGCAAAGCCGGAGAAAAAACTGACAGTGACGCAAGTTTCGCACTGGCAGTACGGTGGTGCTCCGGACGTGACCCGAACCAGCACCATGACGACAGAGACGGTCGGTTGCGAGAGTTTCACCTGCGCAGAAGGTAATCCAGCTCACTTTCAGCGATACCTCGGTGTGATCATCTTCGGCGAATGTCGCTATGTCGCTGTCGATATCGTAGTTACCGAGAAGTCGCCTCTCCTTCCAAAATGCTGGTGAAGCTGATCCGCAACGCACTATATCGTACTTCTCTCGGCTCAGTGAGGACTATAAATAAATTAAGAGCGCCGGCAGAAGAAAAATTCACCCGCCACGTTGTAAGGTTGATCCAGTCGTAGTAGAAACTCTTGGTTACGTGGTTTCCTTCATAAATGAGGAGCTGAATTCCGCCGCCGACTTCAGCACCCGTATAACATTTTTTGTCCATCGAAAAAGAACACTGCAAACGAATATGTTGGCAGCTCCCTCGCAAGGCCTTTCGGACCTGGACGACGCCGCTGTCGTTCCAAGCCTGACCCATAACCGGCTTCCCGTGCTTATACCAAAGCGCCACGTACTTGTTCGCTTCCCCCAGCGCCTGTTTGACATTCAACTTGAGCAGATCCTTGATTCAGAAATAGAACACGAGTCATCCAATATCTCTAACACGCGTTTTAGGTTAATCTAAACTTGAATCAGAAACGAGACTTTGAAGCTACTTTTACGTGCATACTTATTCGCTAATCGCGTGAAGACCCATCCATAAAATTTCCCCCTTTATATAATCAACATGGTCCACTAAAGGTTCACATCTGCATGCCTCTAATTCCAAAAGCTGGAGCTATCAAAGATCAGATCAGAGACCTTCTTTTCTTTGCCCGATCTCTTTTTAATTCTCTCTAGAAGACAGGAGAAATTCGGAGGTAGACTCGCTTTGATTGTTTTTTTAATTGACAGAGAGATTTTACTGACCAGTATATTTCCGGTTAGTTTATTATTGAACCTTTTGACCATGACAGGGAAACGGCGTGCCGACTTTTTGATAGGTCCAAACATCATCGATGATCTTCTGTTGAAATATTGCATTCGATTTGCGAAAAAGCAACCTTTGGAGACGTCATAGCGTCGTCTTCCAGACAAAGCGACGGCACTTTTGTAAAATGACTTTTTCGTTCGTATTATGATAACAATATTCACCAACGTTCATTTCTGTTTCTGAAAAGAAATACATGACCACAAAATTTATAAGAACGCAAAAAAAATAACAGGAAATGCATTAAAAAAAGAAAACCTGCTTTTCAAAGTACTGTGCTTTTTTTTTACTGTGCTTTTAGGAAATTCATTACATCCGTGTATCTTAGGCTTATAATTAGTACCGTGATTTCGAAGCTCAGCAATCTCACCTGTTCAAAGTGTCCGGTTGCCCTATGGTGTTTCGATTATTTTTTTTTTCATTTTCATTTTTTTTTTCATGAGTAACATGCTTCATGTACAGAACTGATATAACTGCTTCAGTCTGTTCAGATTTTGACTTTGAAGCAGCGAACTCCGCCGCCCAACGACGCTCTGTGGATGTCTCGCTTTCTGATTTGTTTGATCTACGCATAAGGGGCGGGTTTGAGCGATGACTTGACATTAAAAATCTGAACAGACTATATCTGACGTAAATTAGGTATCTGACTGAATACTATTTTTATCCTACCTGGCGTTTGCGATTGCTACCAGGTTGCTACCGGCGTATAATTATTCTTTCGGTAGCTTTACGACCACCGATTAGCTGACGCCGGCTGACCTGTGAAAAAAGATCGTTCTGTTGTTGAAAAACGGAAGAAACTTCAATAGACTTTGAAAGGCTTTATCAATATTCACAGGCAACGTGATGTCTTTCTAGTAATGAGATATTGGGGCAGATTGAGGGATAAGACTGAACGATGCCCTTGATGGCAATCGCACTGTTGAGATTTCCTTCCGACAGCACTGCATGGACGGTACGGCTTCGTTCCCTGACTTCTGTCTCGACGATGCCCGCAAGGTTTGCTTCTTCTTATTAAAACAATCTTTGAAACAAATAGTTCATACTTTATACTCCTAACACTACAGCTTGTGCAAAAGGATAGTCTAAATCAACAAATTTAACGGAAGTTTAAGTGAAATAAATTAGTCGTTTGAATGTCTGAACTTTGCTGTCGTGAAGAATTCTTTTTGAATAGACTCTGAGTACCTTGGATGGGAAAACAAAGGTGGAATAGAAAATGCAACGAAACAATAAAAATTTTGGTTTTCTGCCTGTTTCAACGCTGAAGACGTGATTTATAGCCGTGCAGTCGTCCCCATAAGATTTTTCAAACCGTCCGTCTACACGTAGCAGTGATCACCCTACTTTTTCTCTTCGAAATATCTCTTTTCTATTTTTTTGCCAAGACATGAAAAACTTTTTTTCTTCAAAAATTATTTTGTTGAAGCCGATGAAGTAAAGGTGCATAAATCTGGTTATCAATATTTAGAAGATTGAGAAAAATATCCGGCAATGATCTTCAGAGATTCGCAGATATTCCGATAGTTCATATCGATTTTTCGGTTTATCAAAAGGATGGCGGCTGAGAAGACCGGATCCTTGCCGTCTAGAGTCGCTAGCAAGCCATTCATGTGTCTAGGTTTATCACGGTATTAATCGAACTGCGAAATTTGACATTCCTCAAATTTTGAGAACCAAAAATATTTGTTTTCCTCATCTCTTCTATACATTTTGGCATCTAAGGGTAAGTGATTTCTTGCCAAGTGTAAGTCCATTCTGAATGGTTCATCACTATTTTCCATCCACCACTAGCTTTTCACTGATAATCCTGCAGTTACTGTACAATGTATATTAATTTCTTCCTCCGAACAGCTTTTCATCAGATGTGATTCAAAGCGACCTTTGTTAGACCATTTCTTCGTGGAAATTTACTCAGTTTTTCAAGGTTAATGACTGACAATTAAAGAATATTGCTTTTTGGAAAAAAAGAACTTGCCTTATCATCCGCCTTTTTGATTGGTTTCCTTTCCGAAGTAATGCGTCATTCTTCCCATTTTATGATCTTCTTCTATTTTTTACATTTCCTTCCGTTCTATTGAAGGGTTGTATCTTCCTCTTTCTTAATTGGACGTTGACTTATTCCCTTCCTGTTTACTGTCCAAGGGTTTTTGAAACGGAAGGAAGCGAGAAACAAGAACTTGAAGTCAATCAAAGCTCAAAAAGATTGTGGTCTATCCCAAGGTCTAGTGGTAGAGATTGTTGAGCCACTTCTTTAAATAGCAAATTGCATTTTTTTTTTTTCATAAAGGCAGTTTAACTATGAAAAGAGAAAAACCTTTAGTTACTAAAGGAACTAAAGGAACCTCTCCAAAAAAAGTATTTTTCTCAGTCTTATGACACAAAAAAATCACGACAATTCTTAGATAATATATTTCGCAGCGACTTTTTAGTTGACAAAGAAAAGAAAAAGAAAGTGAGATCATTCAAAAAATTACTGTTTTTCATATTTTTGTTTTATTCATGATCTTCAAATCTGTGAGAACTAGAAATGTGAGAAGATTCAACTTTCAACTCACAAAGATTGTTTTGAAATCTCGGTCTACGGTCTTTTTGTGTTGGCAACAGTCAGCCGACCACGTGGCTGCCAAAAAAGAGATGGTTCGTCTCCGCCCACAATTTTCTGCCCCTCCTCCTTCTGACGATAGTTCCAAACGATTCCATCTTCTGCAAAAAGCTTCCATTTGAAATCACTGAGTTTTCAACTCTTCCCGATGCCTCCTGCCGGTCAAGATGAAGATTTTTTGGTATGTTTCTAATGGAACTGAGTGTTCCCTCCTCAGCTTTTCCTTCCCTACTCGAGTGAACTCACAGCAATCGAAAGTTTTCAGTCCCCCTCCAATCTACATTCGCTCCTTCACTAGCCTTACTTAGTTTTAGTTATACGAAGTGGAAGAAAAACCAGAACTGATATCGACAGTTTTACTGACTGAACTGGCTCGGTGCTTTATAATGTGAAAGTTAACCGAAGGAGTGCCAACGAAACAGAGGAATCCATATTTTGTGAGAAGTTAAAAGTCCAGGAAATCCCTCGCAAAATTAGTTAGCATGGCAAGTTATTGAAATCAGGACAAGTTCGGCAATCAGGAGGAAGAAACCTTCGATTATATCGAAAAGTCTATGATAGTTCTCGCTAATTCTCAAGTCATAATAAATGCATCCAAAATTTCTGGCTTGTTAAGTAGGTCTCGTTCCATACATGACCATGAATTCAATAAATTAATTTCCGATTCTTTTTAATAATTTTATTCCATTCTGAACACTTCTAAGAACGGGAAAAGAAAATCTAGGGTTTCAGAAATACGCGATGGAGTCGTACGTGGCCGACGTGAACACTGAATTCGGCAAAACGACCATCGTCTTCACCCTTCGCGAGAAATCTGGAGCTCTTGCAGAAACATTGCGAGTTTTCCAGGTGAGAAACACTTCAAAAGCTTACTTATACTTATACTTCATCTTTAAAATAATTTTGGAGTGTATGTTTGACGAAGGAGTTAAAACTCTAGTTTAGTAGTTCTGTCGCCCATAATTATTTTTTCTTGGTACGACGATCACAATAACTACAAAAAAAACTTGAAATAGGGTGTGAATGTGGAGAAACTTTTCCGTCCGAGACAGGTCGAATGTGCTTTTTTTTTTAGCTTTTCCTTCATTTTCCACATACTGGCCAAACGCGTAGTTCATCTTTTTTTTTAGTCACATCACTTTTTTCGTGCAATGCAAACTTTTTCTCCTACATTGTCATTGGTTTTTCCAGCCAATCAGGATTTCTAAAAACAATTTCCTGTGACTGATCTCCGACGTAGGAAAATAAATCACAAGTATTGCTATTATTCTCCAAAAACCTGAAATAACCTCCTCACTCAGGCAGTTGTTTTCGTTCAGTTGGAAAAAAATGGAAACGTGTCAAGTGAATCGCTGTGCACGATACGCAGCGGCGTGTGATCTCGGAATTCTCCAGTCGATTGAAGTCAATTCACTAATTAGATGATGTTGCAGTGTTCGTGACTGCATTCTGAAGCCTTACTGTAACCAAATGAGATCAAATCAGGCGCGAAATGTTGCGATTCTGTCTTTTTTGTCTCTCACTGCGTTTTAAAGGTTTTCGTTTCTGTAGTGAATAAGAAATGAAAGAGTCTTCCGATCGATCAATTATTATACTAATCAGGCCCTTTGAAAGGGTCTTCTTAACCTTTTTAGCTAATTAACACGCAGTCTCCGTAATTCTCAAAAACAACCGTTGCTTTTGAAAATTTCTGACCAAATTTTCTTAAACCCCTTTTTTGGGTCGAGGTTGGGATCGAACTTGTGGCCCTGTGGACCGTAGAAAGGCACATAATGTGATAAGCTACGGAGCACCTTCGACAATATTTCATTCTAACAAAGGAAACTCTGCAGGCTCACGATGTGAACTTGTCCCACATCGAGTCTCGTCCGTCCAAGACCCACCAGGGCTGCTACGAAATCCTGGTCGAGTTTGCCGAAGACGAGCGCCAGCAAAAGATTGAGGAGGTAGGCGTGGATGGCATTCGAAAAGAAAAGGAAAAAAACTGTTGTTAGGTTATCGATTTGTTCAAAAAACAAGGAGAAAAGGACGTTCTCGTGCAGGACTGGAACACAAAAAACAAGCAAAACAAAGGTTATAATAAACTTTTTCGAAATAATCGTGGATAATGAAGATTCTGTGCCTTGGTTCCCTCAGCGCATTTCGGACATCGACCAATTCGCCAATCGAATTCTCTCCTATGGCTCCGAACTCGACGCCGACCATCCCGTAAGCTGAAAACCCTTTCCATTTCCAAAAGGAACCATCTCAGGGGTTCAAAGACCCAGAATATCGCGAGCGGCGCAAGTATTTCGCTGACATCGCCTTCAACTACAGGCAGTAAGCGATTCTTACATTGCGATAGGAAGTTGAAGAAGCTCTCAAAGTTTTCTTTTAGTGGCGACAAAATACCGCGAATTGAGTATAACGACCTGGAAATCCAAACTTGGCGCACAGTATACAATGAGCTGACGACTTTGTATCCCGAACACGCGTGCCGAGAGTTCAACTACATTTTCCCGCTTTTGCAGCAGAACTGCGGCTACGGACCCGACAAGATTCCTCAGCTTCAAGACATTTCCGAATTTCTTAAAGGTTTCGGAATTTCACTCCTTTTTTGCTGTTAAACAAATCTTTTTATTGATAGATTTTTTTTTTCTCTTATTCCGGTTAATAATAATAATTGACTTCTGTTAATCAATCAAACCTTCATTTAGGCTAACAAGAAAGAAATCTCGTTTCGATTTTCTTAATTCTAATGTTACGCTAAGGGGCGTGTCCTGTCTGCGCTCTCCACGAGCCAGGCGCTGTCTCGTGCATTATCGTGTCTTTTTTCGATGGCTCAAGTCAGCCGTGAATCAGATATTTCTTCGTTTTGCCCTCAGGAAAAAAAAGTCTTTTATAGTTGATAAGTTCGCTCCAAGGTATTTTTGAGGCACGCTAGGCAACCAAAAACTCTTGTTTTTTTCTGATTTTCAGTGGAACTCGGTCTTCTCAGTCACTGAAACCTATCACATAACTTTTGATCCATACGTGCGTTAGTCTAAAACACTATAAATAGAGGAAGCTGAATTGGCTTAAGAAAACTTACCGAATCAGCGATAATAAATTATTCCGGAGTTCAGGGAGGTAAGTGTAGCGAAAAGGAAAAAAGGTAAAAAAAAAAACAGCATTTAATCGAACCTCTGCTACTTTTTTTGGAGCTTAACATTTGCAGACTGCACTGGCTTCACGCTCCGACCTGTGGCCGGACTCCTTTCCTCGCGCGATTTCCTCGCCGGCCTCGCCTTCCGGGTTTTCCACTCGACGCAGTACATCCGACACTACTCAGCTCCCAAGTACACTCCAGAGCCGTGAGTTTCCATCCGATCACGAGAGGATGAACTGAGCTCCAGCGACATTTGTCACGAGCTTCTGGGCCACGTGCCGCTTTTTGCCGACGTCGAGTTTGCGCAGTTCTCCCAGGAAATCGGTCTTGCTTCTCTAGGGGCCACAGATGACACTATCGAGAAGCTGGCTACGGTATTTGAAAAGATGGAGTGAAATGGTCTTTTTTTAGCTTTACTGGTTCACAATCGAATTCGGGCTCTGCCAGCAGGACGGTCAGACTAAAGCTTATGGCGCAGGACTTTTGAGCTCTTTCGGAGAGTTGCAGTACGCCTTGAGTGACAAGGTTTCTACTCGTCCCAAAGGAACCGAGAAAAAGTCTTTCAGCCCGAAGTCCATCCTTTCGAGCCCTCTGTGACTTCCGTTACCAAGTACCCCATCACAGAATATCAGCCGCGATACTACCTTGCCGAGTCATTTGCGAGCGCTAAGAACAAACTCAAGTTAGAGAGAATAGATGTTTTTGTGAGAGACCTCTTCGAAAAAAATAGGTTCAATTGGTCTTTTTCTGGTCTGAAAATACGCCTTTTTGGTTTTTATGAACTCATAATTCGTTTCATGCTTGACTTTCATATCGTTTTTGAAGGTTTTGAATACGGGTTTGTTTCGATTTTTGAGAACAGAATCGTGAGAAAAGAGATTTTAAGCTAAGTTGTTCACTCAGATGAGCTCATCTGTTTGAGGACTTGGGCTTCGACGATCTCGCGTCCTTTCCAAGTGCGCTACAACGCCTACACTCAGCGTGTCGACGTCTTGGACAAGGTTTCTGCTCTGCAACGTCTCGCCCGCGACATCCGAAGTTCGTTTTCCGATCACAACATTTCTGAAAACATCGACTTTTCAGGCGATATGTCGACGTTGGAAGAAGCTTTGGGAAAAGTTGGCGTGGTCCGAGGTTGAGAAAAAACAATGAATTGAGTTTTATCGTATACACAGTTGTGAAACGTTTATTGGTTACGGAGCGCATTTATGTAAATAAATGTTTGTAAAGTTATAGGAGAAAGTAGGATTTATGGAAAAATCTAGAAAGTTTAAGACTGCTGTGATAGTTTCTGATGCGATTTCTCCAGTGGAAGCATGAGCATTTCTGAGGTGGGCAGGATACTCTGAATCTCTGCGAAAGATTAATCGGCGTCAGATTTTGCCGCAAAACGATCAATCTCCGGCGCGTCGTCCGCACCACTGTTTCATACGAACCGATGCTTTTTTATTGTCAATCTCTCAAAGTTTGCTTGAAGAATACATCCAACTTGTAACGCCTGAAAACATACGACAAAGTGATCTCTTTTCATTTGTTTTCGCAACTTTCTCCAGCGAGCAGTTGGCAGTTTACAAGTTGTCGGGTCCGACAACAATGAACCCTCAGGAAAGCATGTTGAAGTCGCGGACGACAGTCCAGTCATGGCTGAAGTTTTCGACCAGCGAAGCCCAACTCTGAACTCGGGCCTCGGCCTCGGACGAAGTCCGCTCTCTCAAAGGATCTGGGTCGAGGCGAACCGAGAGCTTCAGGAAAGAGTTCTGCTTTTTCCATCGTAAAACATCCTGATAAAGCGAACATAGTTTGGAAGAATGAAACGGGAAAAGAATGAAAAGCGGCTCACTTCAAGGACGAGTCCTGCAGTCTCTGGGTCGGTGGCATGATAGTAAACTTCCGCGTGGCCAAAAATTCTCCCACTGATCTCCACACAATTCCAATAGCCTTCAGATGTTATCTTAAATCGCAGAAGTTTTTTTTTCTAAATTCGCAAATTATCTTATATTCCATAAGAATCCATGAAAACAAAGAGTTCTGCTAAAGTTTTCGAAATTCAGTTTTTTTCATGTTTTAAATTTTTTGAGTCTCGCCTCAAGTGAAGTTTATCTACTTATTCAAGACTCAATTCACGTTAAATTCTATCTTCTCGAAGCTTCACATTCAAATTAGTTCGTCAGGGTTCACACAGATCCGTGAATAAAATTAAATATTATTAAAGTTGTTAGGTAATTTATCTTCATTTTGCTTCATTTTACCTATTGGTGTCTAGTTCAGAAGGAACTGGAAAAAATTTTAAAAAAATCAAGGAGACCTGCGAGAACTGTGGGAGTTTCACAACGAAGTGCAGGACGTTTCCGCCGACCGCCTTGAAAAAATTGGTAGATTCGTCTTCTTCTGCGATTGCACAAACTCCTTCCCACACGAACAAGTTCTTGAACGTAAACTTTCGAATTTATCCTTTAAATTTATTTTTGAAAGGAAAGATTTACTGCTGAACAGGAATTCATTCAAATTTTTTTCTTTCAAACTTCGAACAAGGTGTTCAACTCGTAATGACAACATTTTTCCGGTTGGTAACCAACTGTTTTTTTTTGGGGGTTTCTATAATTTAATTATTCAATAATTACCTCATTTCGTAGCTCGTACAGCCCAACGACTTCTTCTGAACCCATGAATGTCTCTCAGAGTGTATAGAAAAGCAAATATAAGCTCAAGAACTGGGAATTCCCGGGATAAACGCCACGCCCCCTGCGGCCCTGTGATTTTCAAGTCTTTTCTCACGAGTAGGAGGCTGAAGTGAAAAGTAAATAAAATACATATTCTTTCTACTCAACCAATAGTTTTTCACAAGACTCCAGTGATAACTCGGTTTCGATCAGTAATTTTTAGAATCGAAAAGCCTTCATTGATCTATTCAAAAGTATCGACAGACTTGTTGACTACAAGCTAACGAGTTTTTTATCACCTAGAAGAAACGGTTCGTTTTTATGAGAAGAAGAGAGAAAGTGTGTCAACAATAATACTTCAAAGAGAACCGTTCCTTATCTTATTAGAAGTTTCGTCAAGAATCACAACCTTAACGGAATTGTTTATCTTACCGAAAGTGTTTATTTACACTGTGTAAAAATTATCCGATGGATTTTTTTTTTCTTTCACACACTACAAATGAACAAGGACAACAATTTTTCAATGATGTTATGTATAAATTATCATAATCTCGAAAGAAGACAGCCGGCCGGACTTTTAGGTTTTAATATTTCAACATCTGGCCTGATTTCAATAGAAACAAACGTCTGAGTTGATATCGGTGAAATTTTTTCAGAGCATCCTACCCTATTGGACCGTAAAGGCAGGAGATGTTGTGGGCGTCACGCGACTTTGGCAGTGTGAGCCTCCTTAGCTCAGTTGGTAGAGCGTTAGACTTTTAATCTAACGGTCAGGGGTTCGAGTCCCCTAGGTGGCTTAACCTTTTTCTTTTCTTCGGTGCTGCTGTGAAAATGGTATTTTGATTTTTTCGAAAGGATTCTTCAAAACAAAAACCTCTAAAGAACGGAAACATGTTCTGCACAAAGTTTGTGAAAACGAATTGAGTGCCTAATTTAATGTAGTCGTCGGTGCTCGGCATCCGTTTCCTGCAATCAGTAAGCACGGCTATCGGAAGGAGAAGATGATCAGTAATGAATATGGCTTTGCAACTCTAGCTTGAAGAACATCGGTTGGGCTTGATTTTAAACAAATTGTCGAATTGTTCGTACGAGAGTTAGTGAATTCATAAGAACATCACCACGAAAAATTTTTTCCAGTGTTTTTGGCCAAGTCAATAACTCGAGTTAATATGAAACGAGAAAAAAGGATGAAGAGAACGTTTTCCTACACGAGTCAGCGCTTTCTGACCCTGGCGCTGCCTTGGACGAACTTCAACATTTGCATAATGTTTTGTGAGCTGTTCCTAGTTCCCGAAAAACTGATACATTGAATTCAGATGGAATGTAGCGACATTTGAATCAAACTCGAGAGTAAATCTGCCCGATTAGAACCGTAATCCGTCTAGTTCCTCTCGCAAACTCACAAACCGTTGTCTTTTTTTATTTCATGGGAATTCAAAAATCGCCTATGATAATCAGGTCTGGATGATAACGGAGTTTGCCAGATAAAAAGGCCAGCGACGCGTGATTTTCGGAGAACGTCTGCTCTACCGAAATGAGACTCCTTTTTCTACTGGGTACGGTTGTTACCGCGGCTGCCATAATCCCCATTCTTCCCCATCTGTTAGCTCTTTTCTTTTTTTTTCATGTACACGATCATTAATTTTCAGGCTGCATGAGAGAACTGTCAACTACAAAGACTCCAATGGAAATCAACTTGAAGGCTATCTGGCTTATCCGCTGTCCGTTTTTTAGTTGTTCGCCCAGGAAATTTCTTCAAACCTTATGCCTAAAAAGTTTCTCCAAACAGATATAATGAAATAATAAGGGGAACAGATTATAAACTATACGATTATGAGTGAGAAGAAGTTTTTTTCTTACTGTATGAGTCACAGTATGACCTCACTTCTTTTTTCTTTCAGTTTCTTTTTATTTAGATTTCTACTTCGGTTTGAAACAGTTTTACAAGTCCTTCATGCGAATTCGAAGCAAAACTCAAGTTCAGATGGGTGACACCAAACAGAAAGGCTCCCGCTGTTATCGTCTTCCATGCTTTCCTCGGCCGCACTCCTTTTGAAGAAGATCGAACTCGGCAACTTGCCAAGGTACGTATTTCTGATGTCCTTTCAGTTCACTTTCATGGAGATATAGAATAGAACGAAACAACTAAAAACGCCCCCAAAAGCACGATTTCGTCTCGAATTTCATCTTCGGTAGACATGAATTATAATCTAACAGAAATCAAGAAGTTGTCAAAAAATTTTTGCCACATCTAAAAGATAGAGTTAAGCTTGGCTACGTCGCATTTGCCGCTGATACATACGGAAAGAATGGCGCCGCCAACACTACAGATGGAAACTTTGCCATAATGAACGCTTTACTGGGAAATAGGTTCCTTTTTTTGCCTACTCTTGCGATAAAAATGGAGATTTAAGAACAACGGTTCTACGAGACCGAATCCTGAAAGCCTGGGAGTACGTCAACACCTTGAAATTTGTCGACAAAACTAAGGTTAGGATGAATAAACGTGAAGAAAAAGAGCTGCGAGTTTCAGATTGGATCCATTGGCTACTGCTTCGGCGGCCTTTGCACATTGGACTTGGCGCGCTTCAACGTCGGTCTCAAAGCGGCCGTCTCCTTCCACGGAACTCTTGATGACTATCCTGGGAACGGAACGTCAGTTCCTTCAAGCTTTCCACTCAAATACGACAGATTCCCACATAAAAAATAAGAACATAGAATGTCAATACGAATGACGTCGAAAATTTTAGGAATAGTTTTTGAAAATCGCCCTCTTCGAGTTCATGGCATTTTTTTAAAAAAGCAGCTTCGTGAAATTTTTTCCTACTTTTCACTCTTGAGAATAAATTATATTTATTCAGGGAAATCGACGCTTCGGTTCAAGCTCATCACGGTGATATTGACCCCTTCACTACTAATGTATTTTTTTGAACTTTTGCTTTTTCAATTTTCTCTTCTGCTGCTTTTATAGAGAAGTTCTTTTCCAGTCGGATCAGTTCCTGGAGGAAATGCGGCGAAGAAATGGAGATTGGGTCTTCGAACGATACGCCCACGCGCAACACGCCTTCGCCATGACATGTCTCTTTTTTTTTTGAAATTTTGTCCAACAGTAATAATTTTACCAAACTTCAGTTTGGCAGTTAGACTGAAAAAAAAATTTGCAGTCATCGACAGCCTGAACATCCCCGGGGCGTCGTTCAACCCAATCGCAGCCAACCGTTCGTGGACTGCCATGGAGGCTTTTTTGGCAGAGAAACTCTTTTGAGCCAGCTTTCTTACCTTTCTCCTAACGTCATGTACATTATCCGAGTAAAAAGTACATATATTATCTATCGTCGTGTGAAGTTTTTGTATTGGGTGTTTATTACCTGCTTTAGAGGGCAAAACTCATTTCATAATAAGCGGATAAACCTGCAATAGATGAATAAAAGGCATCGGAGTCAAAATAATAATGTTTTGTATGTAAGAAGAGTGAGATTCGGAAGTATAACACATGCAAGAAAATAATATGGAAAAGTAATAAATTAAAAGTATGTACAAACTAGAATAATCAAAAGAAATTTAAAGCCGACAGACAGATAGAAGAATTTTATCGTCATGCTGGAAACGACCTTACTTTCAATTTTTCACCTGAAAAGTCTCTCACCCAGACGATATTCGAGTTGGAACTCCAAGTAGTCGTATCTGGCGTATGCGCCCACGACGGCCAAAGCCTCGGCCGAGCGGAAGACCAACGGCCTTTGACTACGCACGTCGTCGTAGATGTGCTCGTCGCAACAGTACCTGAATTTCTCATAGAGCGAATTTCCAAAGAATGAAAATACCGATAGCCAGTCATAGTGAAGTTGGAGAGTTTGAGCTCAAGCGCGTTGAAAGAGCAAGACATGGAGCAAGGAGAGATAATTGACTTCACATGTACTTCGATGGTTCTGTCGTAGGGGGCCTGAAGAAAAAAGTAAGTTATTCACTACTTGACTTGCATGGGTTTGAACTTTGAAAATATAGCTGGAGTTTTAAAAGTAAGGAAAGCAAAAGTTCTACATTAATTCTTCTCCTAGATATCTGATTTTTCAGAGGCTCTCTATTCAAAAAAAAAATCAAAATGAAGAGATCTAGCGTAACGTGAGAAACGAGTAAAACAGGTCAAAACGACGACTCGAGGCCGAAAAGATCATTCTTCGTCCGACTCGCTCCGCCGACTGCTCGCTGATCAGTTCAAGGTAAGTCCAATTGTTCTGTGGGCCTCTCTGGGCATGAGAATGTGCCGCACAGGAATTAAATGAGATAAAATAAACCCAAATGACTTTTTCTGCGCCTATCTAGTTATGAACGGAACTTGATTGAAAAATCCAGTGAAATAAAAGTGAGGTCTTTAACAAATCAAAAATTTTTTTCTTGAACGTTCACTCCGTTTTCTCCATCTAGTTTTTTTCTCTCTCAGATGGTCCCGCTAGTTTGGATGGTTCCTCTCTTCGTGCTCGTCGCTGCTCCTTTATGCGGCGGCAAAAAGAACAAAGACGGTTTGACGGACTCCATGAAGACACAGGCGCCGCCAGATGGATCTTCTTCGACGCCGGCTGGTGCAGCTGCGGCTGGTGCTCCTGCTGCAGAGGGTGCTGGTGCTCCAGCTAATGCCTGAACTTCTCGACTTCGATTCCGTTCTCGAGCCCTCAGGCGCTGCATTTTCCTCGTCGCAACCGTCCAATTGCCATCTTTCTTCGCAATAAAAATGGTGCAACAGTTCCTTGTTCGAAATTTTTGAAAAGTCTGCCACAGACATTTTTAAGATGATGGGAAGTAAGGGATTTTGTGAAAATCTTCTTCAATTCTCATCTCGTTTAATAATTTTCAGCTGTCCGTTACAATTTTGTAAAGTAAAACCAGAATAAATTGTTATTCACGGCACAAACCTAGAGAGCGCAAGGCCTCTCACTTACCAGCAAAAAAAGAGACATTTTTTGCAAAAATTTTTTTTCTATCTTGTGCTAACATTTCATGGTCACTGTCGTTTCAAACATTGGCGATTCAATGGAGTGAAAGTTTTAAGAAAACCAGTGAAGGTTTTGCTCTATTACCCTAAACCCATTTCCCCTCAGTTGCCTGGGACGAACAAGGATATTATTCAACTGACCAGGAAAGTCTATTACACAAAAAATCGATAAATATAATTCCTTGTTAACTAAACCTCTGAACTAAAGAGATTAAAGATCTCGGAGTTTCAGCCGTTCATTATATTATATTCTGCGGAAGAGGCGCTTTGAAAAACGTCTCTGGACATATTCTAAACGATCAATTTCCGATTTGGTCATTGGACACATCAGTTACAAGCCATGGTTTCTAGACAATGAAAAATTTAAAAAGGATGTTTATGAGCTCCGCGATTTCTTTTTCACTACACACAAACAACGGAAAATATTACGTTTTTGGTAGATAAACAGAACAACGAAAAGTTGAAAACCCTCTAAATTTTTGTTTCAAAATGAAAAAACAAAGGTAAGCTCAATTTGCTGTAAGACACTCAGAAATTAACTTTTTCTCAAACTCCAGCCCCCAATCGGTATACATATAACGTTTTGGTTTCAGAGATAAAAGGAGTAGCTCACTCTGATATGCCACCAGCAGTATTCTGGAGTCGCCAGGAAAGACTGCGGACCCACTCGAGTTCTAACCGCACCAAAAAACGTCTGAGTCTCTTCGGTCGCCTGTCGAATGTGGTCCCGTATAAGACTTTTCTCTCTTTCTTGAAGACTCACCCACAAAATACCTCCGCAGTCGTAGTTGTCCCGCTGGCCAACCGACGACGGCTCCGGCTCGTTGCAGAATCTGCCGCCGAAGCCGTCGGGACACAGGCAGACGGAGCAGTCGCGAGGCGTCGGATAGCCTCCGTGACGACATCGGTTGGACGTTTTCGAGCAGTAATCTGAAGCTATCAATCATTCAAAAAACAATGAAAAAAGTTCTGCAAAACAGACTTGTCAGCGAAAAAAAATTTAAATTTTGGTGTCCCGAAGATTCGTGGCTTTCTCTACAGCGCGGTTGAAATCATTGGGACTTTCAACATCCGCAGCCGCATGAAGAGCTGAATTTCTTCATGTCATGTGATCCACTCAGCAAGTTGCCTTCGAACAGCTTCGCAGTTCAGCCCCGTAATCTCTGATAATCGCGGATAAACGCCGCTCTCCAGGCAATCTCGGGGAGTGCTGGAGCCGCTTTCTTTTCGAAACGGCCGCGTTTCCCTTTCACGCCTTGCTTCTTGTTCTGCATGTTTCTCTTGTAAACGTTGAAAAACTTCTTGTTAGTTAATTCCACCCTAACATACTGTACTCTGTAAGTAAGGTATGTCAGGAAGGTTACGTTGATTCGAGATTTGCCTTTTGAAGTGACGGTAAAGTTTCTTTCAGTAGTTCAGGCAGAAAAATGGCACGATTGCCTTCAAATGGCGACGGCTTCAACGGCTTGCAACTGCTAGTCGAGCAACAGCTTCTGGTGACGTCCCTTCTTACTCAGAAGCCGACGACGGCAGTCGCCGCTTACCAGAGCAACGTCTTCATGCAACAACTCTTCTTTGCCAATGTATTCAACAATCAACAGTGCCAGTACATGCAGGTAAAAGTCCATCGGTTAGCTTTCCGATTCTCCAAAGATCTTGTATTGTGTTTACCTATTCAAAAATCGTTATAAAAACACTTTTTCAAGCCGCAAGAACGTGTAACGGCGAATTGGACGCCGACGTCTGCGTCAGAGCCATTGGACCTGAGTCAACATAGCGCTGAGCACACTCACGACCTTTCAACTTCTGAATATGACGCGGACGACGATGATGATGACGAAGAAGAAAACGCCAACGGAGTCAAAAACGTGGCTCCCGAAGAGTGCCACTTTATGGAGATGTTCGCAGAAGCTGACCGACAAGAGAGCCGACAGAAGGCCGACGATCTCGCCGCCCGGAAGTCATCTTCCCGATCGAGACACAGAAATCATCAGGTCTCGAAAAAAACCCTCACCCGGGTTTCGAAAGTGAGTGAATCAGTCACTGTTTCACTATTAGGAAAACCTTGCAGAATTCAAAGTTCTGGGGGAACAAACACATTAGTCTGTGGTGTACAGAGGCAAGCAAGCAACGGAGCAAAGACGAGCAACGTCACAAAAAACACCGTCTCAGACGTAAGCAGCGACAGGACGACCAGATCCAGAAGTTTGTAGGTCTTTCCAGTCTTGACCACGTATTAATCAAAGATTTATGAAAAAATTTTCTTAGAGTTCCCACTATCTTTGAAAATTCAGATGAGAATCTACAGCGACGCCATCAAGAAGTTGGAGTTGGCTCGCTCTTCGCTGCTTAAGATGAGAGTACATTCGCCTGAGCCTTCGTGAAACAAATTGTTTCGGACAATAACTAGGAATGGAACCACTCGCAGAACAAGTCGCTGTTTTCCTTTGCGCGCAATTCTGATCTTCATTGACCCTTTTCTAATTCAAAACGAAATTTAACGAAAATTCATTTATTTTGTACATTAAGTTTTTTTTCTTTTCAAAATTAAACTTCAATCGACTTTTTCAGGAAACTCCTTCTATCCCGAAGACTGTTAGCTAATAAATCTTTTTTGGAATAAAAAAAGCATCGGTTAACTAAATAGAAGAGGTGGCGTCTTTTCCGCGCGTGTTTCTGTTTTTTGTCCGTTTCTGATACATAAATTGAAAACAGATGAAAATAGATGAAATATACAGTTTGCATCAAAAGTTTTTAATCTGTTAGAGAGTTCGAATAAAGTCACCAACCGTTGCAATTGTAAAGAAGATTCATCTGAAGTATGTCTTGGAACGTTGCTCGCATCCGATTTCCCATCGAGCGCTCATATTTTCGGTCTTTAGCATAAATCACTGGCCGACTCGCATCACGAGCAAACTGATCTGAAGTCGAAGTTCGAAAAATAGATCACCCAAGCCAACCGAGAGCATAGTGCATCACGCTGCCGTACTCGTAGCTCGTTCCGAGATTGTCCGTTGTGGATGAGTCTTCCTAAGAACTAAGATCATCCCCAGAAGTGATCTCTTCGGGAACCTTATTGAAAGCAAAAGTCAGATTTGCGTTTGTGTTGGAATAGTCAATGGAGATGTAGCGGTCGCGGTCGCTACGGGCGTGCTCGTGGTACAAGCCGAGGGCGTGTGCCAGCTCGTGCGCCACTACGAAAAGCTGAGAAACCTTTGTTTCTGTTTTTTTCATCGGTGGGTAAAAAACTTCGAATCAACGAGAGAAAAACTTTGAAATCAATTTTCTTTTTACTGAGGACGTTAGAGATGAATCTCACATGATGGGTGCAGCTGACATCGAGAGACAATGGTTGCGAGAAAAGTCTGTATTGCCGGCCGACGTAACTCCAACATCCTGAACCCTGAAAATAAAAAATTGACGAAGAAAATCAAATAGACATAAATATTTATAGATTTGGTTATTGATAAAATTATTACGGACTAATCAAAATTGAAAATAATTTTTCCGAAATCGAAAAAAAAAAATAGTATTTTCAGTTTCACCAGAACGTAAATTTTCGCTCCCCGTAAAATAATCAAAGAGTGTCTATGCCATGTATTTTTTATTTTATAAAGCGTTTGAAATGCTTTCACTGTTGCAATAAAAAAATATGAAAAAAAAATCTGGCAGCGCGAAAAAACGAATCACTTTGAAAACCGCGAAAAAGTGGCAATATATATTTTTTTAAATGAATAATAAACATTTATTTCACTTGAAATTTATATATTCAGGGGGAGAACGGCAGGCCAGCGCACTAGTAAGATCTTTCCAGGTTTACCGTGCGTGAAACTGATGCATGCGCGCTGGACTGCTGTTTTCCCCCTGGTACCAGCTGGTGAGTAAATTTTGACAAATTTCGCATGTTTGCGTCGGCGTGTTTGCGAAAAATGCATGTAAATGTTCCAGGAGCCGTTTTCTGTCATCAGTTGATGAATGACCGGTCGTCTTAAACAGGCGTGTCAAGTTTATTTTTTTTTTATTCCAAAACTAGAAATAAAAACTTCCTCCCGATCTTATTTTCGAAAGATTTTTGTATTTTGTTTGTACAATTTGAAACATATTAGAAATTTTTTTCGAAAGAAGGATGATAGAAATTTCTGGAATAAAAAAATCATCACGAAATTTTTTTGCGAATATCTTGTTCAAGTAAATAAAACTCATTAAAAAGATCAGACCATGACTAACGCTTTACAGTTGGGGATCAGTTATTGAAATCATAGGCGAATCGAGAAAGGGTATCGCGAGACCCTCTGAGGTATATCGCAGGCTCTGAAGTCTCACGATGGTACCTCGAAGATACCTTTGAGGATTTTAAGCAAAGTGAGAGGAACTTGAGAGAGACCCTGAAGTACCTCCGAGATGGCTCAGATATAGGCAAAAGATATGCCGGAGGTCTCACTATGGACACGTTATGATGCCTTCACGATCCATTTTGAGAGGTACCTTTGTGGACACATTATGGTACCTTCTCGATTCGTCTGTGATGGAAAGTTTCGGTCATGCTTGAGAAGTTGAAACAAAAAAACGATATTAAAAAAAGGAGAACCTGGAAAATCCTGACATTTCCGCGTTGACGACGGTCTTCTCGGAAAGTGACACACGTCTTCTCACTCCAGTAGCGCATCGCTTCGAGGACCCGCTCTCTTCCTTGCGGGGCTGGAAAGGACCGAGTCGACTCGACGCGCAGCCAACTCACGGAAGTTGCTGTCAAAGTAGTACGGTAAGGGAAGGCTCCACTTTGCTCTGCGGTCGCGAGTGACGGCTCTTCTTCCCCGCTGACGGACCTGCTCCGCCGTCATCGCTATGTCCCCCTGGGTTGTCAAAATTCCCAGTGGTCAGAAATTCTCCTGCACCTGGTACAGAAATTGACTGACGCCTTTGAAGAAGTTTATATCCTGTTCGTTTCTCCGCAGAAGTGTCGAGGAATAGGAGTATCTTCCTTTCCCCTACAAACAATCAAGAAAGTTTCTCTTGATAGTGGAGCGTTGGAAAAAAAGACCCACTGAGATGATTAAATTGACTGAATGTGTTTTACCTTAGAAGGAAAAGTCTTCGGTTGCCAGGAAAACATTTCGACGGCGTCTGCCAGAAGCATTATAGTCAACAGACCGCAGCTATGCATTTAGTGTTGAATTCTGAAATTTCAAACAACTTTTCTTTGAATAGAAGCATTTTTCCAGAAATTAAGTGCATAGAGATAGTAAAAAAATGAATAAGTTGGAAAATAAGCAGTCAATTTCAATGAAAACAGGAGAAAAAAAAATCAAGGAAGGGCTTGACAAAAAAGATCTGTGAAATCAAGTGTGAAATCGGCAATCGACGGGGTAATCTATTCGTGAAAGTACAGAGGGACCCAATAAAAGACGGACAAAAGGCTGTGAGTCAGGACGTCTGTATTTATGAATCGGCCTCGTCAAACGGCCTGAATAGGTCCAGGAAGCTCCCTAATTATCTTCCTGAAGATGAGACGAATTTCGTTGGAATGTGCAATTATTCTTACCAGCCGACTCGAGACTATCTTCGAATAAAGTCTGCAATTTTCTCGGGATTTGTCGGCCTACAGTTGTAAACCAGGCACTGAACCAGTTTTATTCGTTTTTTTTTCGGACGAGAAATCTTAATAGCTTTTGGTTATCAATGAAAATTTCCTTTGCAATTGGATCTTGATATCTTAGAAAAAGTCAGTCTGTGATATTTATATATATATATATATATAAATATCATAGACTATAAATATATAGCATTGGAGTTGGAGAACTACTTACAGGATAAGAAACCGAACCTGGTTTTTAAAATAAACCGAAGAGTTCAGCTTCAGCTTTTCGATTAAAAAGAGAAGAAAAGGGAAGCCAAATCGAAGTGAGATGTGACGGCATACCGAAGACCACATAAATGGTAGCCGCCCTTCAACTTTTTTTTCTCTTCATATACCAACTTCAGCGTGGCCGGAAGTTGACGGTAGGAAAGTGCTTGTCTGTTGGAGATTGATGCTGACGTTCGGCGCTGTTACAAAGATTCCAGCTGGTTTTCAAGCTTCTTTTCCCACCGTCGGGCTGATTACCGAACTTCCCTGGACATTGCAGATTTCCTTTTCAGCGGCGCCTATTTGAAGAGACGCCGCGGCGCCGATTGGAACCTATTTGGCTTTGCACTTTCTTCCCGACACGTGCTTTCGCCGATCTTTAGCCAGCGCTTCCAGAGAAAAAAAAAGCCATAAGGACTGCCAGAGTGGAGGAATTTTTCGTACTGAAAAACCAACAAGTTTTTACTTAATGTCGGATATTTTCTGAAACATTTTGTAAATACTTCTTGATGCACCAGGTTAAGATGCGAACAGGAAAACCTGTGACAGTGTTCAAGAGGAATTTCGAGATGAAATCGCAGTTCTGGTCAAAGTTTCTGTGGCAGTTGTCCAAGATGAGGAAACTTTAAAAAAAATTGGTTTATCGGATAAGCTTCCGAAGGTACGAAATCTGGTCTAAAATTCATATGAACTGCTTGGAAACTTGTTTTTTATTTTGGTTCTGGAGATCCTATCCTAATTCATGAAAGTAACTCGAAAAAAAACTATATTCCTCTGAATATTAGATGGGAACTTTTTGGAGTACTCTCTGTACTTTTGCGAGCGACTTTTCTTGACATCTTGATGCGCTCAGATAGATCCTTTTGTTTTCAAGTACTCTCTCTAGGACTGCCTACAGCCGAAGTTTGGACCAGATCTGCAAAGTTCACCTCACACATTGCCTTCGCCCTAAAGTTACAAATTTCAGGATTTTTATCTTTTTCTTCAGAGAAAACTTTCACAAGTTTTCAGCGGCAAAGACGACTCCATTGAAAAACACAACATTAGTTTCTTTTTTCCAGACAGATCTACGGAAAGATTTCCATACAGAAACAAAGCACTTTATAAATTTTTCCACGCTCAGCGTTTTTAAAGCGGAAGAATAGCTAGAAAGTTAATTTTCAATCTTTTTTCGGATAACTTGACAGTATTTTATTTGCTGAATACAGTAGAGAGAGAATCTTGAGATCTATCGGGTACACATTAATTCCGAATTACTTTTTTATGGCAAATTGGGCGAGAGATTTCTTCGGGCGGTTTCGCGTCTCTTGTCACTTCGATTCGTATCATTAAAAATCGATCCTTTCTTCCTTTCACTATTTTAGCCTCTGGTTTTTACAAAAACCCCAGTCCTAAGAATTTCTCAGATCCTTTTTTTCTATATCTGCAACATTTGTTATCTCTATTTTTAGTTGAAAAAAGTATCGAGTTCGAAGAAATACTGTAAATCTTATATCCAATGCTTTTCTCGAAATTGAATAAACTTCTTGATGAAACCTAGCAAAAAGGCTTCGACGAATTTGTTTTGTTTTTTTCTTTCGTGTTTGATGCCCTTGTTGATCACCTAAGATCAAAGAATATCGGCGGCTGACGTCGATCATTAATCTTTTTAACAGGGTCGGTCAAGTACTGTGAACTTCATATTTTCCCATGTATTTTTTATTTTTGGCTTTTTGGCAACTTTTCACAGGTCTTAAATATAAGCTTAGCGGACAGTTGATTGGAGTCTCCACCGCTTCATCGATTTCTATTTTTAAGTATTTTTCAGATGGCCTCTTTTGTCAAAAACACATCAATGTACAAAGTGCCCTCGGAACGAACGTGTAAGTATTTTTTCAACCTATCTTCGGTTTATTTTGAGTTTATGAACTTTATAGTCTATACCTATAAATTATAGACCAGATAAGATCAAACCTGCTACAACTTTCTCCATAATATACCCAAGGGAATGGTACTCCGTATACTATGTTCAGACTCACTGAATTGTTCACATTCAGTCCAGATGAGATAATTTTTTGGATGAATTGATCAGTCAACGACACATCTATATTCAAAATCTGTTATTTATCGTGGATATCGAAATTTCCTTGCAACTTTTTATAAGGATCTTGAGAAAGGGCTTAACTTCCTGAAATTGTCTTTTCATATCATTGGTATTGATTCAGTAGAAACGTTGAGTGAGATTTTGGAGAAGAAGATGTCTACGAAGACGCTATCTAAGTCTCTTCGGGGACTCTCGAATCCGTACGAAAGAGAAGAATCGAGCGCCAGCAGCGAAGACATGGTCTACAACCTCTTCAAAATTCCTGGAAAAGAGGAAGCGTCTTTTGGAAAGCTCCTAACTGTTTGTTATTGTCGAAAAGAAAAAAACGGCTGACTTCTTAAAGGTGCTCAAATCTTTCGGATTGAGAGAAGACGACCCTCGCTTGCGGCCGATGATGGAGCGGGTCAGAGAGCTCGAGAACATCGCGGAGCAGCAAAGCAGTGAGGCGACGGACCAGAAGCACTGGAAGCTCGAGAAGGAGGACTTCAAAGAGTGAGTCGAAAAAGGAAATTCAGAGAAAAGTTGGCTTGCAGCTGCGTGGGTCTGAGCCTGGACATCGTGTGTCGAGCTCTGCAGAACGACCTCGTGATTCCTCGCTGGAGCCCTTTTGTCGAAGATCTGCGCAAGATGTACAGAGAGGTTTCCGCTTCTCACACCCGATGACGTTTTCGGTTTGCAGTGTGCTGCTATAGAAGAGGGCCAGGTCGCCACGTATATCCCGCAGTTGGCCCGACAGTCGCCCAAGCTCTGGGGCGTCTCATTGTGCACGGTTGACGGACAACGAGTATATTTTCATTTACCTTTTGATTAGTCGGTTGACGGGAAAAAAAACCAAAATATTTCTCTGAGGAGCAGCTTAATCAACATTTAAGCGATCTTATTTTTCTAGAAGTATTGAAGAACACTTTAAAAAGTTGCATTGTTTCTTGAATTGCTGCAATAATCTGAAAATTTCTCTTTTCGGCCTCATTCGGCGACGTCAAAGTGCCATTCTGCGTACAATCAGTATCCAAGGCGTTCAACTACGCTATCGTCGCTTCTGATCTCGGTATTTGGTTCCAAAGGACTAGAAATGAGCGCTTGAAGGAGCTGACGTCGTCCATTCTTATGTGGGACAGGAGCCAAGTGGCAGATTGTTCAATGAAATATGCCTTGATTCGAAACGTGAGTCGTTCTATTCGGAATACATGGGCAACTTCTCGATTTCAGACAAACCGCACAATCCCATGGTCAACTCTGGCGCCATCATCATAACATCTTTGATAAAAAACAAACTCAACATGGCTGATAGATTTGACTTTGTTAGTTTTCTGCTCTTGAGAGAGAATAACCCCATCCGTTTTGTAGGTTCTGCAAGAATACAGGAAAATAGCTGGGAATGAGTACATTGGATTCGACAATGCGACGTCAGCTCGTATCAAAATATGGCAGAGTCGAGAACAGCTTTTTCAGATTCCTTTCGGAACGAGCGTCAGCCGACCGGAACTACGCCTTGGCCTACTACATGAAAGAGAACAAATGCTTTCCTCCAGAGGTCATCAAGGCAAGTCTTCTGAAGTTCTGAGCAAGGTTTCTAGTTCTTCCAAGATTTGCTAACCTTTTAGAGCGAGTCCCTTACTGACGAACTCGACTTCTACTTCCAGCTGTGCTCTATCGAGGCAAACTGCGAGTCTCTCAGCGTTATGGCCGCGACTTTGGCGAATGGAGGTTATTTACATTTGGATTTTTAGGAACGTAATAGAGCTTACTTTGGTTGGTATGTAAAAAAGAGCATCTACAGAATAACTTATACTTTTCATTCTCAAACTGTGGAGAACCATATGAAAAGAGTAGTTTTTAAGGCGTGTGTCCCATAACGAACGAGACTTGCATCAACCCGAATCCTTGTCGCGACGTACTCTCTCTCATGTACAGCTGCGGGATGTACGACGCTTCTGGACAGTTCTCCTTCAGCGTCAGAAGATCTACCTCGACGATCATCTCGGGCTCTTTTTCAGGTGGGACTTCCGGCCAAGTCGGGCGTTTCCGGCGCCATGATCGTGGTGGTCCCGAATGTGTTAGGACTGTGTCTTTTCTCGCCTCCACTTGACAAGCTTGGCAACAGTTTTCGAGGTGTTTCACTCTGCAAGGCTTGTTAGTTGAGGGATGCGCAGCTACAGAGACTTTTTCCAGAAACTGATATCCAGATTCAATTTTCACAATTACGACTGTCTGGTACATTCAACGAGTAACAAGATTGATCCTAGAAGGTTATTATCCTCTTCCTTTTCTTTGGACTCTTTGAAGCTCATCAAACGAAAAATGGAGTATGTTCAAACAGACGGGATATCCGTGAACGAGACCGAATAGTTCCTGTATTCCACGTGGCCAGAGCAGGCGATTTGGCTGCACTCCGGAGGTTTGGCAATCGATTAAATGGAGACGGACTCCTTGGTCAGACTCTACATGCAAGGTGAAGACCTCAATCTTGCCGACTACGACAAAAGGACAGCCCTGCACATCGCCGCCGCCGAAGGATTTGAACCGATGGTCAAGTTTTTGGTCAACGTTGCCAAAGTCGACGTCGTTGTCCTCGACCGGTGCGTTGAACTTTCCGCAATGCGAGATCAGCCTTCTGTTTCAGTTGGAACCGGACGCCACTAGATGAAGCGCGCTTCTTCCAACATGATCGCGTTGCTCGTTTTCTCGAAAAGGCTGTTGGAAGAGTTTATTATCTTCTGAGACTTAGTTCAAATTCAAAATCTTTCAGTCTGATCTGGAACGCAGGTTATCCGTTTCTTCTGTCGATTCCAACGAAAGTGATGGCCTCCAGAGACCTACATTTGGTCTAAAATGAAATCACCAACCAAAATATCTATAAGTAAACTTTTTCATGATCCTGCCCTAAAGTGATCTTCCAAAGTACAACATATATTGCTCCTTTATATCCGTGAAATGAATCTTGTGTTTTTGAACAGCAATCAGTGAATCAACACTTCATGATACATCTAGCTATCGCTCAATCGTACTTCAGAAAGATGTTCTGGAAATAGGGTGACTTTCTCTTGTGTATAATCTGACAGTATATCTTAATTTTTTCGAGTGCCCAGCGCTCCAACTAGTGAAAAATCGAGACAAACGACGACGCTTTGTGTGCACACTTAATTCATAAATAGTAGTGTTTTTTTTTTAGAATTATTTGTGACCACTACAGTGGTATTAATATAGCTGATTCAAGGCTGGTTTGAGTCATCGAATATAGGGTCCTAACGCGAAGAGAATAGACAGTGTTTGGTTAGTGGAGAGCGCAGACATGCCTTTGAAGAGTCAGAGACCATTTTGCATTTCGCGAAAATTACTCTGAACACGGCATTAATGTGGAACTAAGAAAAGTTTAGAGGGATAAATGTGGCTCTTTGTAAAGGCACACCCAGAGGGCCTTAACTCAACCCCTATCGGGGCCCTGAAAACCTGTTTTAGGGCCACTTAGAAGGGTTGAAATTTTTCATATTCGTCCTTTACTCTTTCAAGCAACGGCCTTTTAAAAAAATTACCCCCTATAGGATCCTCGAATAGTTTAGGGAGTTCAAGGGAAGTTCCAGGGACCCTATCGGGGCCTCCAAACTTTTCTCGGAATGGGCTAGCTACAACTGTCGTCAACTATTACGTTAGGTACGCAAACAGCTGACTTCACGCTAATTAAAGCTAGATTTTTTTTTCGCGGTAGCGCGCTCCAGCTCACTAGATTTTTTCATCTTCAAAAATCCGTTTAGAAAAAGTTTTCTTTAACGGTAAATTACTTTAATGGCGTGTTCATCGGACAAAAGGAAAATTGCTTCGAAAGGCAAAAAATTGCTCCAAAACAAAAATTAGTACTGTTTTGGAGCAACTTTGACGCGCCGATGAACACGATTTTTCGTTTTGAAGCATGTTCCGTTTCTCCGATGAACACGCCATATATTTTTAAATCTATCTTGTGAATTAATTTTCTCAAAATTTTCAATTTCTGTGATATACAAGGCATATTTTTTGATTTGTATTTGGAATCAGTTTTTATCGTCGAAGTGTCTTCCGATCGGCATTTAAATATTTGCTTCCTTTCTTGCTATGTTTTCTCGATGTCAGAAAAAAAAGCAAATTGGAGAAAATAAAACACGTTAAACATAGATATGTTTTACGCCAAAACAACAAAAAATGTTTCTTTAGCGTCCTTACGCGTTTGACGGAGAGAAAGAGAAAACCCAAGCTGATCAGATTTTTGCGAGCGCGCAGCACACAGAACGTTCATTTGTAATTTTGCTGGCCTGGCAACTGGACCAACCTATTCTGATTTGGCAATTTCTTTTATTTCCTTATTTTACCGTACAAAAGTGAATTCATCAGTTAGGCTTGTATTTCTTATTTATATCTGCTCCGTTTAATGAACGTCGCGAAGTAGTGAAGTAAAAATAAATAGAAGGAAGAAGTTTAAACAGCCTGGACATCTGTTCAGGGCACCAGAGTCTTTTTCCTATATCTCTTTGCGACGCTTTGGAATCAATTTTAACGATAAAATTCTTCGGACATATAGGTCCCTTGAAAAGAAGTTTTATATTTTTTCTTCTTTAATTTTTTTTTTTACATTGAAGGAGATAATCTTTTAATTTATTTTCCTCTTAAATTTTGGGTAAACAACTCTCCGAACTAGTCTGCTACAACTCGAATTTTTGATGAAATAAAGAGTGAAATAAATTAAATCGCTAAATGGTGAAATATCCAACAGGGCAACTTTTTTTGACTGAAGTGCCGAAGCGAATAAATATAAATATAATGTCTTAATCGAAATGGGCTTAAAATGAGCTATAAACGGTATCATGGATTCATACGATATTTCAAAATAAATTTCCGCTGCCATAAGGCTCAAAATAGGGCCTAACTGGTTGCATAGGCGAATCGAGAAAGGGTAACGCGAGGCCCTCTGAGGTATATCGCAGGCTCTGAAGTCTCACGATGGTACCTCGAGTATACCTCTGAGGATTTTGAGCAAAACGAGATATACTTCAGGGAGACTCTCAAGTGCCTCCGAGATGGCTCAGATATCGCTAAAAGGTATGCTGGAGGTCTCACGATGGACAAATTATGGTACCTTCTCGATTCGTCTGTGTGCAACCAATCAATTCTTTTTCTTGCTTTCGTTTTTATTGTTTTGCCGTGAAGCTGATGGAAAGAAAAAATACTTTGAGCGAGGCTCACCGCGGACTGATAACAGAAAATTTGCTTGATTTGAAATTCTCTCAAATTTTACTCAGCCTCTCTCACTCGACAAACCAGTAACAAAGTTTCACTGGGAAAATAAAATGTTATTTTGCCTTCTAAAGCCGAAGAGTGTCTTTAGCAAGTTTTTGATTAAATCTTCTCTTCTAACTTACATCTGTTTAATAGCAAGTTAATTGTTTCAGTGTGGAGTCGCTGTTACTCTTTTGTTGAACATGAAGTTTTCCAGTAACGTCTCTTTTTCCAAAAACTCGTATTTATTTCTCTCTCTCGCTCTCTCCCTCTCTCTCTCTCTCGATTCACACTGAGAAAAAATTTCACCTCTGTTCCCTTAATCAGTTGTTTGGTTTGTTCCTGTTTCAGTCGTGCAGAAATCACTGATATTTTGCATATTAAGATCTTTTTTTTTTTTAAAGTTATCTATTAAGTCGGTTACGTTTTAATTAATGGGTTTCATGATTTTTTATGCAATCTAGCCTTATTTTTTGTCAAACTCTCGTTTTCTCAGTCTTTAAAAAACCCTATTGTATGTATATCTTTTTTTTCTCACTTTGAAGCGTGTTTTCGAAAAAAATTTCCATTTTTTTACGTTTTTTTGTTTGTATCATTTTTTTGTTCAAATTTTTAGGAATGAACTCATGCACACCGAATCCAACGCGATGTCGTTGCCCAAGAGTTCCCATTTACCGTAACGAGGTCTGCCAAGCAGAAAAAGAAGACCGAATTCCAGAGCTTCCCGACGAAGTCATTGAAATGATACTCAGCCACATTACTCCTACCGAGGTTTCAATTTTTTCTCTCTCTATATATATATTTTTTTTTAAATTTATTTTCATTCTAATTACTCGACTTATAAGTGAAAAACTTGTTTTCCTAGAATATATTTTTTGGTTGACATGCCCTCGGGCAACCGCCCTTTCCTAGATAGCTTTCCTTCAAAACAGCCATTGTTTTGGCGAGCAGAGAACGATCAACTGAGACACTCGCCGTTTCACGTGATGTGAAGATACAGTTTCGAGTCTAGTTCATTGCGAGATTCATTCCATCGATTGGAGTGTCGTAAATTTCACCCAAAGAAAAATTAAAACGAATTAGTATTACAGCGCCTCATTTTCATTCTCATACGTTATCTTGTATACAAAATAAAAGAAAGGTTCATGACGTTGGTGTTTAGTGATCGATCTGTTTTCAAGTCAAGTTGCGCCGTAAGAAACATCGACCACTTATTTTTAGTGGCACAAGTTTTGCGTTTGCTTAGTATCGATTGATGCCCTCAGTGGATCTTTTGGTGACTTAAAAGCAAACTTTTCGCGTGAGAGAAAAGATAAACTAAACGAGGAAAAGTCAGCAGAAATTTTCAATATATCGTAAAAAAAGAAGGAAAAAGAAAAATTATTGTAATTTTTAATACATTCATTAGCGCAAGCAGATGTTTTTTTCTCGTCATAAAACTGTTATTTCAGCGCTATCAAATACTTTATTGGTTTAATTTTTATTTCAAGAAATCATCCAAAAAAATAGATATGGGGCTTTTAAAAAAAGCTTTCAGCTTGTTGCCTATGGATGGGATCGTGTTAGTTCCAGTTTCGCCGCCGCCATACATCGGAATCTTTGCTCGAAAACTTATTTTTCTTTCAAAGATGACATTATCTGGAAATTTTTCAGAAATGGATCAAGTTAGTTTTGGGGTTTTTGAGCACTATGACGATTTTTCGTTTTCAGAAAGAAACGTTGAGAAGGTTTTAGCTCTTCTCACTCGAAAATACCTGTGTCAAGTCCACGAACTCAGTATCCCCATTTCCATGTTTTCCTATAGTGAGTTTTTTCGAATGAAGTTTTAGTAGTTGAGAACTTTCTCAGTGCACTCTCTGCTGGAAAAACGTCCGTGGCTGGCTGCGACAAGCGGAATCGCCTGCTCGGCGCGACTCCCGCAGCCCGGCGTCGCCTTCACGAATCTCTCGAAAATCTCCATTCAGGTGAGCCTCAAACCGTCGGTGGTAGTAACTATACGTTCTGTACAGAGTAGGGAAAACCTGCTACTATGATGAGCTGCTTAGTTCCGACTTTTGTTTCCTTTTTCGAAACTGTTTTGATTATTATAGGGACGAACTCTTTAGTTTATCCTCCAAGAAAATTTTAGAATGCTTGCTAAAACATAATTTTAAGTGGAATTTCGGACAGTGAAACGTTCTTCATATTTTGAATGAGTTTTATGAATTGGAATCTGAATTTTATTCAATAATCTCTCTAAACATGTTCCTGCGAAGATGACGAACTGGTTTTATCAAACATTTTCATTGAAGGTATACTTTTACAGATTGGTAGTGATTTTGGTGATTTGTCTCTCTCCGACGACTTTGCCAACCTCAGAATACCAGCGTTAGTTGAGTTATCTTTTCAATTTTAGCTCGTCAGTTTTAGCATTATGTGCAAAGTTTTGAAAGAAGTGAACTTGAACGTGAGTCTTTCGAATGATGGCGAAGTCACTTGTGCCGGTTTTCGAGAGCTAGTTCGTTATCTCGCCGATGTGACTCATGAAAGCAGTTAGTTTTTTTTTTCTTATTTACACATTTTATGCTATTCAACCACTTTCTGTCTTTTCATTCATATATATTCTTCTCAGTCAAAGGAAGAAGTAAATGGAAATGGATAGCTCAAATAGCGAAGCGATTTTTTATCAGACGAAATTTCGACTTTTCTGGGCGTTTAGCGAATCAAGTCTAGCGGAACTGAAAATTCGAGATTCGGGCGCAGCTAAAACTTTTTGCTTAACATATTCACTTAAAATCTATGAATCGGAAAATATAAAAATATAATTTAGTTAAAAATTCGGAAAAAAATAGCAAAAACATAAAAAAATTATCTTCCAGCTACCTGGAACTTGACCCTCCAAGACTTTACAACCGCCGGCCAAGTCTGGTACGGTCCAGCTCAATTAAATCGGCAACGAAACAGAGTGAGTTCCCAATCGTTATCCTCGTTTTGACGATTATTTCAGTCGTTCATTTGCTATGTTCGAGCACTTCTTGAGCTAGGAATCACTATAAATCGTTTGGAGTTGATCGACCGCCTCAAAATATCTCCCTACATGTTGGTCATGTCAAACACGAAACGTCGCTCCATCTACATGTATCCGGAGTTCAAGGTTATTTTCTAATTTTCAACGTACATGGGTGATAAAATAATTCAAAAGATCACGAAAAGTAGTTCATATAACAACGAAAACTTTTTTTTCACATAAACTGATCTCTTCTCTGGCTCAAAGAGCTGAGTCGAAATTTTTTACGTTCTGAAATTTTGGACCCGCCATTTGCTCAATTTGTCTTATATGTACGGGCTTTTCAAAAATAAAAACTCGATATTCATTTTGAGCTGGGATTTCGCTTTTTTCAAATTCCAGCTCTGAGAAGAATTTTCTGACTGAAAAGGTATTCTTCTTCTTCCTGCACCTTTGTACCGCTTGAGCCGGATCGGCCCCCCCTTAGTCGATAAGCCGAGGTTCTGTCCTGATATCAGTGAACTGGCTCGAGTGACATATCCGTCCTTGTGTGTGACGGCGAAGGATTCTGAAGTCGTGGTTTCCCACTACCTACATTTCTTAAACCTCTTGGTTGGGTCCAGGCGGGGATCGAGCTTGTGACCCTGTGGACCGTAGACAGGCACACAACCTGTTGCGCTACCGCGCGTCCCGATTGAAAAGGTATCCAGGCACCGAAAATAATCACATACTCTGCTGAAAAGACAGGCTCTGCAGCGAGATGCTTTTAAAATCATTATCAGAGAATATTTTACATTCAAAAAAAAACTTTACCAAAAACCGTTCAAGAGTCAGTGAATTGCAGAATTGCCGACAGCTTTTCGTTTGTTACGACATCGGAATGATAGCTCCCATCTTCTCACACGAAAACGACCACTTCGACGACCTCACTTTCTTCGAGGCAGCCTTTTTTTTCTCATTTTTTTATCACAATCCTTTTTCAGGTGGACGAATCACACGTCCTCTACAAGGCGGATTTACTGGAATATTTGAGCAATGCTAAAAGTATGTTTCCGAGAACCTTTTTTTCCCCTAGTTAGAAAAAACCATAGCATAGAAAGTATACTGAATTTACAGATTTGAAAGACATTCGAATCGTCGTGCCCGCAAGCTGGGAATCCCGTGTATCTCGCTGTCAACGAGGCTGCTTTTCCAACCCAGATTTTTCTTGCTTCAAGTTGGTTTCTCATCTATTTGAAAGAAATGAACTCTGTAGTCACGCCTTTTACTCGGACTTGCAGGGCCGAGGGATGGTGCAGTGTTCCCAAAAAGCTTCCTCAGGCTCGCCTTTCCATTGTCGGGGCCACGATTCCTGTTTGCTGCGAAGTTGCCGTGGCTCACGTTTAACAAAATTTATGTCTTTATCCATCATCATTTTCGCTATTTTCTGTGAGGACTTCTTGTTCGAAACCTTATTCGGCAATAATTGTTTTATTTATCATCGGTTCACGAGAACCTTCAAAACTTTATTTTTTTGATGAGCATAAAAGTGAATCAGGTTGCAAAATGTATAAATTTACTGATAGATTTATTCTTTGTGGAATTTTAATATAGTTAATCACTTGTAAAAAGTTGTATCATATTTTTTTACTTGTATATAAATCGTTTACCTTTTTTCGATTTTTTAAAAAATTTCTATGTTTTCAATGCAAAATACTGAGAAAAAGTTTGTTGCTATCATTTTTTTCGGGTTTTTCGAAGCTTTAAAATCAGTTCATTCCGTCCATGTTTCATTGCCTTCTGGCGTAAACCTGGGCGAGCAGTCCACAGACCTTCGACAGTAAAACACATGATCTGCAGAAGCCGTTGTCACTGCCAACGAAACTTGTTTTTGTCTGTGACCATCGTTTCTTTTTTCCTCTGACTCTCCCGTTCGCTTCTTGGACAGACTTTTAGATTTTTTCAAACAAAAGACAACGACTGTTTGGCTTGAGGAGCTTTTCTATCAATTTGGTATGACTTTGAAAAGAAAAGTCAGTTTCTATCATTTGAAAAATGATTTTTCTACTTCATTTTCTACTTCTTTGAAAAGTCGCACTTTTATTTTCTCAAAAACTTAATTTAAAAAATTTCAAGCAGAGGATACCAATATATCGTCTGCTTGAAATTTGCGTTATAAAAATGAACGCACCTTGAACAGCTGAATTATTATTGTAAATTCTCGAATACATATCAAGAACTTTTTTTCGATTATTATGGAATGAGTTGATATATATCATGTCATGATGCGGTGGCGTCCATAACATTTAATTCGACGCGCATTGATGATCCTTTTTTTCAAAATTCTCGTATTTTTTGTGAGCTTAAGTTTTATAGTTATCCTTTACATAGCTCTACATTGAAGTTCAAAAAAATGAAGCATCATTCTAGATAGTAGTGAGAATCTAGCAAAAGTATTTGTATGTGTCATTAACGTTCACGGCATCTCAAGCATGTAAAAAGTGTGAAGTGTGCCGTTCAAATAATCAAAGTGGTTTTTTATCGGAGATTTTTTAATATAATTGAAAACTTGTGAAATCACACTACTTTTTGCCTGCCTCGTTTTTTTTTTGCGCTGTTTCCGTTTACTTAGTCAAAATTTAGCTACCAAGTGTACGTTTTTAAATGATGAATTTTTTAATCGAATAAAATATAGTTTCAATATTTACAAGGTTGATTTCTGAAAATATTAATGCGTTTCACCGAAAAAAATTTTTTAAAACTTTGTAGGGAAAATTTTGTTTGGGTCCTGATTTTCAAAAAATGGAAGATATGTTTTTAGATCGACCGTCGATTAAAAAGGTTACGAAAAAGAGCCTCAGATTTTTTTTTTCAAAAGGCGCCAAAAAGGGAAGCTATTTTGCTCTTTTTTTCAATTTTGTCTGCGTCTTATATTGACCTTTTTTTAGGATTTACTCTCAGACGTCTAAATATCAGTCATTGTTTTTCAGGAATTTTGCAACCAACCGAGAATTCAGAAGTTGAAAAAATGCAGAAACGTTTTTATGCCCGTTAAAAATTTTCTTCAAAATGCCTTTTTTCGATGGTCTGTGAATGATTTATCCTAGAAGAATGAGGATTACAAGAGTATACTCTATATGTATAGATAAGTGCGGAAAAGTTTGCTGCCACATGACCTCTCTAAACTGGTTTGCTTGCGCAGTTCGCCAGTTTATTTGATATTTTCAGAGTTCTTTCTGAGTATCATCTGCTCGAAAATTCCAACAATGTCTTTGGTATTTTTGTTTTAAACCATAGTGTGGATTATTTATATCTTCAAATGGTTTTTTTTTTCTGTTAGAGTACTATATTTTTTTCGAATCTTGAAAAATTATCTTTAATTAATCTTTTCAAATCATTTCAAGTGGTAAGCATAATTCCATGCCGATTTTGGCGCTCTCACTTTAATGTTACAGCTGCTTTTTTTTTACAAACGAATGCAGAAAGTTTTTTAAATGTCGGATCATTCAATAGAATGTAGTTTCAGAATTCACAACTCTGAACGTGTCATAATAGTTTTTTCGGCCATTTTCTCATGATTTTCGTTTACCAGGGTAGTCAACTAGGAGAAACTAAAGGACGAATTCCTGCCTCACCACGTGATGCGCCTGATAGTGATGGGATTTTTTTCTTTTTCTTTTTGTATTTCCTTCGGTGTTTCAAATAGATTTTTTTCATCGATTTCGTTCCTTTTTCAAATGTCATATATTTGTTCGAAAATTTTTCTTTTTTAGAAATATGCATTTCATAATTAAACGTTTTATAGTTTTCGAATCAACGTACAATAACCAGCGAATGTTTTCCACTGTAAAGAGAACTTCTCACGCGCGCAGTTTTGCGTTTGATAAGGTGCACGACCTGGGGAATCCTCCATCAGTCCGAACACCCACTTTTTTTTCTTTTTTGGTGACGCCGGTTCTGGGGATTCCCTTTGCTTTCTTTTACACTTTTTCAATCACTTTTCTTTAAAGTTGCAGTATTGCAGATAGTCTTTTCTTCTAGGAATACTTCCTTCACGTGTTGGACTTTTCGGCGTTTCGAGAAGTTCAAAAGACGTTTCGAATTCTGCGAAATCACTTTAAACGTATTTATAACTGTTTTTTTATTCATTTTTTTGTCTTTGCTTTTTCACATAACACTTAAATAATAAAGAAAAATATTCTCGAAATTTTTCAGAGCGCATTTTCGAATTTTGCGAAAGTTATTTTTACTAAGATATTTTTCGCGAATTAGCGTTATATGGTACTCATTATTCTTTTTCAAACCTGTTATTTTTTCTTGGAGGAGAAGAGAGAGATATTGAGCTGTATTTTCGACGTTCGTCATATGACCTGCTGTATGCTTTTTCATACTTGATTGGATATGGTACAGGAACCTTGAGAGGAATGGATAAGAATGAAGAAGGGATGGAGTTCGAAGCTGAGGCCGTGAGTACTTCGAGTATGCCTCGGCTGGCACGGCTGGCGGCCATCGCATTTGCCGATTTGATTGTTGAGGGTACCTCAGCATTTATCTCACTAACAGCACCGAAACATAATTTGCAGAACGAATTCCTGTGATCAGCTGTCCCATTCCAGCCCTCTATAGCAATGAGATAGTAGAGATTCTGCGTGAGCGCGGCCAGCTCACTGGGAAAGTTCTCCATCTCTTGACGCCACAAAGATTTCAAATCACCAAGGTATCTTTTCGAAGTTTCCCATTTTCAGTGATATCGGTTCAGATCGACCTCAGCGGGTGTGGATCTAAATTCGTGCAGTCCGATTTGACGTTTCTCCACGGACATACCCTCAGCTCTTTCTGCTTGGGCGACATTGATTACAAAGCTAGTGCGTTCTAATTTTGTTTTTCAAATTTTTAGTTGTGATATTAACCTTGATGATTTTTGCTCTTCGTGCTTCCCCACGGTGATATCTTTCAGACACAAACAAAATACAATTGGGAGAAGTTCTTTCGCGTTTCTGCAACAAAAAAACGAGGGCCGCTCTGAGACACATTGATCTCAGCGGAAGGAATCGCATCACTTCCAATTGGCCGAACTACGTTAGTTTCAAGATTTTATATATCAATCAAATATACCGATTCCTATCAAACTTAGACTCTGAAGCTCTCACTTCAATGAGTTTGAAGAAAATATCAAGTTGAGAGTCAACTTGAGGGATTATATGTTTTTGCAAATGAACTTGAATTAAATTGTTTTTATGCGTCCGGATATTGTTTATCATTATTGGAAATCAGGAACGCTTTTCATATACCTTTTTTGCGGGTGTTGTGATCCATCTTCAAAACAGTTCTTCTCTCAATGAAATAATTGATTAGTGTGACTGACTTTCTATTTTATATGGATAACTTGAAGTTTATTTGGTCCGAATTAATCATGTTTTTATTTTTTGAAGAAATTGTTTTTAAAGAGAAAGTAGACATTCCAATAAAGGAAGTTTTTTGAAGACGTTTTTTCACTTTCAAATTCCACGAAGTTTTGATTTTCCAGCATAAACAAAAGAATTCAAATTTTTTCTATCCTCTCGATCGTTTCGGCTCTCACTTGAGACGTCTCTTAAGATCCAGAGAGCCTTTTCGTAAATATATCCTTATATGTCTATTTATTTTCCTCATGAAAACAAAGCCGGTGTTGAGAGTCGTTGCGTCACTCTGAGACTAAAAGAACTCCTTCCGTAAAATCACCGAATTAGGTTCATCATTTTGCAGTTGACAAAGTTCTCTTCGGTGGTGTCCTTGTCGATCGCCAACCGAGTCACCTCCAGTCCGACTTTGGCCGTTTTGTCGTCCCTCACGCAGCTCAAATTTCTCGATATTTCCAACACACACCTCACCGACATATCTTCACTCGGAAATCTTGTGTTCGCTTTCCCCATTCATATCAAAAACAACTTCTCCATCGGTATAGCCCTCTTTAAAAAACTTACTGAAGAAAAATAGCGTAAGCAGAGGCAGAGTCACTAACGAAGCCTTTTTGCAATCTCTATGGATTTATTCATGCAAACCTTCAGTGAGAACTCGGGTAAATTATTAAAAAAGGGTCTCTTGGCGAAATTTTTTTCGTACATGCGCGTTACTTCTTAAATCAGGCAGGCAAACAAGTCTCGAAAATACAAATCAGCGTGATAGATAGAAAATTTCGCTTGAAAAGAAAGACAAAGATGAAGTATATAAAAAAAGGTTTTCAGAAACCTTGAGGTTCTTTTAATGTACAACCTCGGTCTTCGAACTGGAAAAGTGATAAATACGTTGGCTCTTCTAACCAAACTTCGAGTTCTCGATATTTCCCGCAAGACCAACACGGATTATCACATGGAGACGTGAGTTTCACCTCTGAACAGTTTCAGAAGGCGGCAGTTCCAGGAATCAGGACGCGACGATAGACCTGGCGCAGGCCTTCTACGAGGAGTCCTTCGCGGCCTTGGCGACGGAGAGCGGCTCGCCGTGGCCGGAGCTGAGGTCCCTCGATTTGTCCGGGCTCAACTTGGGCCACAGAGGGACCGAGAGTGCCATGAATGTCGTCCAGAAAATCATCGACGCTCATCCAAAACTTGAACAGATTGCATTGCTCGGTGAATTTTTTATACTTTCCTGACCATACCTAAAAAAAAGTGCTTTGGAGAATCATAGAAAGAAAAGCGTTTGGTTAAGTACAATTAGATTTTCCTGTTCTTGAATTTGATAAAACGATTTATGAATATATACAAATGATACTCAGTCTTTTCATGCCATCTCTCAATTTGACAATGACTATTCCCTCTTATGAATGATGTCAAATTGAGAGATGGCATAAAAAGACTGAGGTGAATGAAATAAGATAAAACCCGATATTTACAGCACCCCAAGAAGTGCAGTTACGGGGATTAGTTATACACGTGAATAGAAAAGATTGAGTAAAGAAAGTGATTGAACTATGCAAGTAGAGATCGGTTTTAACGCTGTAAAATTTGGATTTTTTTTTGTTGTTTTTTTCATTTTTGCGGAATTGACGTCTTTTTTTTCAGCGACGCCAGTCGAAGGACAACTCATTAAAGTGCCAGGCCGAGATTTCGAAGTGATAAACGCAGCGTCGCGTGCCAATATTTTGGACGCTTTGGATCATTACACGAAAAGAGATAGGTTGAGCCGCTTTTCGATCCTCCGATTCTGATGTTCTGATCGACAGGCCGGTTTTCGCGGCCCACGCTCTCCACTTCACGTATTACATCCTTCAGTCCAACTACGACGAGTTTTCGCAGGCTGAGTTGGGCAGGTGTCTGCGGCTGGTCGGTTGCATCTTTTCGATCTTTCCAACCCAGATCGTTTTAGGTCTGCGTTGCCATGAAAGAGTATCTGATGACTTTGCCTGTTCAAATTGCCGGGAGCGCCTGTCTGTATCACATTTGCAAGTTAGAATTTCTATGTAAACCATTGTTTCGTTATTTTCTTTCATGGTCAGTATAACGAGAAGTCCTATTCGTGTTTCAGATGATGAAATCATGAATATCTTATCTTTTTTGAGCCGAAATTCCCTGTAACTTTTGCAGAATGAAACGGATCCGTCGCCTGAGCAAAAGCGACGTCTGTATGTGCATTGAAAGGTCGCTCGACGCCGCCCAAACTCACCGCAATATGACTCAAGTTTGTTTACTTTTTTATTGTTTTACCGACAAATGAGCTCTATCTCCCTTCTCCAGCGTGAAGTATATATGGGAAGTTTTTTTGTCGAAGAATTTAATCGAAAAATCCGTGAACTGCTTGTTTTCAGCTGCAGAAAAATGTCTGGCTTACGATTTGCAACGATTATTTGCTGCATTTGTCTGGCGTCGACTTCTATCGGACTTGCAAAGTTGCCCTGGACACGATGCTTTTCAATCGCGACGCCAGTGTAGAAAGGTTCCAATTTTTTCTTTTCGCTCCACACATTTTTAATGTTTAAATTTTTTTTTTCCAACTGGAAATTAGATCCAGCTCTTTTCAGTGGTAGACTTTTATTCTGATTTGCTGCGAACATATTATCTATTTTGAGGATGGCGATCGCTATTGTTTCCATCGTCACTCCGAAAATGCGCACTCCTCAGACTCGCAAGTTGACTTCTGACGATCGCTACGTCAAACATCTCGTCAAGATCATGAATGATTATTTGGGTGGGCCTTTTTGGTTTATAAACTTGGAATGGGGCCAGCTGTGTCTGGAAGCACGGAAAAAAATTTCAGGGAATCGAGTATTAATAAAATAAGGCTCTTTGAATTTCGGTGTGCATTTCAAACTTACATGGGATAGTCTCGGTGGGACCTGAAAAAAGGGGAAATGACTTGCCAAAAAAAAAACGAGAAAGGGGAGGGGGGTGGTTGGCAAGTCCGATCTTATAAAAAAATCAAAAAAATAATTTTGTAAAGTTCAATTGACTGGCAGAGGCGATTTTTTTTTCATAGTCAAAAGGGATCAGGGAAAAAAAACGCCTTCCTTTTCGGATTCAGCAACATTGAATTAGACAAATTCGATGCTGCTGAGTCCGAAAAGAACAACGAAAATAAGATACAAAGAATTAATAACTGCTTATCATTCATGGTTCAATTGCTTGGCATCAAGGGGGGGGCTTGGTTGTCGCCAGTCATGCTCATCCCATGAAATTACAGAGAAAGATTTTTGAGATAAGGGTGTAGAATCTTTACGGTGACGATAGAGTCAGTAAAATGGGTTATTCGTCTCATAAAGATGTTGGAGAAGTTTTAAGAAGATTCTTCTTCTTTCGAGCGAAAGAGGAAGCATTTAGAGGTTCAATATTCAAACAGTTTTCGTTGTAGCGAAATTCCAACAACAAACGCCCCGTGATCACGACAACACGCTCTTCACGCTCAAGTTCACTCTCAGCGCTCTCTGGAACCTCACTGGTTGGTTTGGAAGTGAGAGAAATATTAAACAAAAACCGACTGAGGTAGTGGAAAGATGATTTATTCTTTAGAAGTATGACAAACATATTTCGGAAGTTCAGGAGAAGGTCCTTCAATTTGCTAACGCTATAATCTTTTATTTTGAAAGTATGGCTATGGATAACTTCAAAAAAATTTTTTTTGAGGAAGTAGAGACTTTAATAATATTGATCCAGATCTTCGAATAACGTTTGAATATTAATTTTTCAGACGATTAGAATCCGAGAATGGTCTTTTTGTAAGGTATAACAAACAAAATTATGATAATCCTTTCAAACTCGAAAGTTCTATAAAGATATCTTTACATCAAACAAGAGGAAAAAGAAGAACAGAAAAAGGGTGCAAATAAACAATTGATTCAATCCGTGCTCAAACGGAATAAGTAAAGTTTATATGAGTTTATTCAAACGAACACTTTGAAGACGAATGCTCGGCTACGTGCGCTGCTTTTCTGGAAGCCGGCGGCGTCCGCACGGCTTTTGAAATCCTTAACGCGTTCAGCGACCACAGCAACGTTCAAACAAAAGTTCTTGGAATTTTGGTGATTTCTTTGATTATAGAAATTAAGACTCGATGCAAATTTTGGTTTGATAAGTGATTTGATTTCAGAACAACATCGCGGAGATCGAAGATTTGAAACTAAACATACTTTGCCATATGGGATATGTACAACATCTGCTGTAAGTGGTGTTTTTTTTTCTCAGAATTGGGTGATTATTTCCTCACAAAAATATCTCAGAGGAGAATTTTTTATTGTACTATTAAGAGCTCATTGTAAAGATACACTTTTGATTACTCGTTTTTTTCAACTCCCAAACGCCGTCGACGTTGTATTGTCAGTTCAGTATGATTAATAATAGCATTGAAAACGGTAGTTTTGGAGGAAAAACGTTCTTGTGGGTCATTTCAACTTGGAAACCTTTTTTACTTTGAAGAAGCAGCTTGGACGGCGATTTCGACCACACGGACAACCGTGGACGGTTCCGCCACGTGGAGAGAAGCTACTTCGCGGCCGGGGTTCTGGCCAACATCCTTCTGATTTCCGAAAAGGAATGGAGTGGCAGCGTCAGTCGCGACGCCGTCAACGACGCCCTCATCACCTCCGTCTCTCGTTGGCCAACTCTTTCCTTCGCCATGGTCTCCTACCGGTTAGCAATTTGAGTCATTTCAACAGAAAAAACGAATTCCAAAAAGGTGCCTTCCGACCGACAAAAGGTGCTTGAAACGGAAATGTTCTGCTTTGAAAGTTTAAATTTAAATTTTTGTTTTTCTTGATTGGAAAAAAAGTATTGCGTTTTAAAAACAAACGTATCGAGTGAACGAAGCGCGAGTCTACAACGTTGTCTAGTTGGAAACAAAATTTAGTGACTTTTTTTTTTACAGGGCTGAATTCCACAATATTTGTCCTTTCATCGTCCATTAGGATATGATGATTTTTAAAAATAGTAAAAGACCGGAAAAGGATAAAAAAAGTTATATGCGGATCCAAAAAACTTTTGTTATAACTCAGGTTTTCAGATCATTTGAACCATTTGCAAGGATCATCACAAAGTCAAACTCGGATGGCGCGATTCTTTGGTGTCTTTGGGGAGTGAACCACGTGTTGGCCCATCGCGAGACCAATAGTCCATCCCATTGCGCCGTTGGCTACGGCGAGTTGCTGCGAACGAGCCCGCTGCTCGTCGAGTGTCGCAAAATCGTGCGAGGAGCCGCAGACGCCGTCTCAAGACATCGGAAGGTCGTCGAATTCGCTGAGAGCGTCGTTGAGGTTGCCCATAAAGAGGAGCAGGCTTCCACTGAACTCTCTTTCTCTGCTTTGTCCTGCACGTGATTCGGTTCTGTTTTTTTTGTGGCAAACAATCTTTTCATCTTTCAACATAAATGAGATAGTAGCAGTCTCTGGTCAAGGTAGTACTGCTCAATCCGAATGGAAATGAAAAGAATTCTCAGTATGAGATACTTGATCAACGACATGTCTACATTTAGGGAGTTTTTTGATTTTCATTTTCTTTAACCGTTTGTAAAATTGCAGATAAGCTTGTTTATTTTATCCTTTTTCCTAACTCTCCGTTAACATCCTAAATCCACGGGTTTGTAGTTCAAAGTTTCTCCTGTATTCTTCATTCAAAGGGTTTCTCATTCTGAAATAGGGCGAAACTCTCTAAAGACGTTGAGAAACGGGCACCGCTTGATCATTTTTTTTTCCAATTTCCCATAGCTAACGATATTATTGACCCTTTTGAGAAAGCTGTACCTAAATCGTATTTTCCTGTTTTTTAATCGAAAGCCGGTTTTCCCCTCATGTGAATTTTTCTGTATTATAATGATAGTGAAATTTGCTCATAGCATTATATTGTATCCAAAATTTTGTTGTTTAACTTGTACTATGATGTTTTTCAAATGTGAAACCAAGTTTTAAATGTGAATTCACAAATTGCTCTATTCTGATTTACGAAGTTAAACTTAGTCGATTTATAGAGGCGGGTAAATTCCCACCAATTTATGTGTTCTTTTGTGATTGTGTATGATTTCATCAACCTCTTGATCTTTGTGTTCGCTCGAGGTTCATTTGTCTTTTTCCATATATCGTGTGAAATCGCCTTCTTGTAAATAAATATTACGCTCCAAACACTAGATGAATGAACTTGGATGGAAGAGTTTTCGAACGATTCGAACGAGGTGTTTTCAAAGAAAAAATTGTATTTGTTTTACAGTATTTGTTTTTTTTTTCGAAAGGAAAATATTTCACGTTACACGTGTTTCGAGATGAGATAAAGCGATAAGAAGACTATAAAAAGGCGGGAATGTGAGGAGAAAGTATCCTGTCAACGACATGGCTCAATCCGTTCCTCCCGGCGACATCCAGACGCAGCCCAACGCGAAGATCGTGTTCAACGCGCCCTATGACGACAAACACACCTACCACATCAAGGTTCGAATCTCCTCCGAAAAAATCACCTGAAAACTTCGTGATTACATCTAACCTTTTTGTACCTATGGGTTGCAGGTGATCAACTCGTCGGCTCGCCGTATCGGCTATGGTATAAAGACGACGAACATGAAACGTCTCGGCGTTGACCCACCGTGCGGAGTCCTCGACCCCAAGGAGGCTGTCCTTCTCGCCGTCTCTTGCGACGCCTTCGCCTACGGCCAGGAGGTATATCTGGCCCAGCAGCTTCTTTAACACATCAGCTCTTCCCTGCAGGACACCAACAACGACCGTATCACCGTCGAATGGACCAACACTCCCGACGGCGCCGCCAAGCAGTTCCGCCGCGAGTGGTTCCAGGGCGACGGCATGGTCCGCAGAAAGAACCTTCCCATCGAGTACAACCCTTGAGGGTCACAAATGAAGATTTATTATTTTTATTTTTGTATTTTGAACTCGCCATCTTCAACCAAAAAGACTCATTTTAAAAAAAAATCGCTTGCTTCATATCGGAAAGTCGTACCCAATTCACAGAAAAAGAACTTTTTTCAAAATGCCGCGGCATGCTGGATAAAGTCGGTCGGTTCGGTGTGTTTAGAAAACTAGGCCACGCCGCAATTTTGCTCCATGGAACACTTAGAATTTCAAACTGTTTTTCTTTTTCTGAATTTTTTTCTTCTTTTTTTAAAATTTTACTAAAAAAAGTTTTCGCTTATTTTTTTATTCAACTGTATCGTTTTTCGCGAGAAAAAAACCAAGGTTACTACATTCAAAATTATAAACTGCTTCAATTTGTTAAAAATTCTTTTTTTATTTTTTTGGATCCAAAAATATTAGGTTGTTTACTAAGTTTCTTTCTTTTTTTGAAGGACTTTTTAGTTTTCAACCAGAAAAAGCACTCACAATTTTTGCTTCGTATATTATTTACTACTACACAATCTGAAGTTCAGATTAAAAATTAACTGTATTCCTATAACACTATGCAGAAAAAAGATACAGAACTTTGTCCGAACTCGAAAAATCTCGATTTTTGGAAAGTTTTGCGAATTTATTTTTTATCTTACTTTTTCAATCTTATTATTCGAACAAGTTACGTAAAACGTAAACTGAGGTCGTGTGCTTGCTCGTGAAAGTTTTCGTTTGCTTCCAAAAAATTTGAGAAATGAGTTAATTATTCAAAAGCCAGAGTATACAAATTTAAGATTGGCCAACATTGTTGAAACAATGCGCGTCCTGTTTTCGTTTTATTTTCCCCGAAGTACATTTGTAATTATCTATCAGATTTGAGGTTTTGAAAAAAATTATAGGAATAACATTAGCCACCGGCAGCTACCGTGAAACTCGAGGATTTAATTTTACAGCCTTTTTTTTCATCAAAAAATTTTTATAGCACCAGGGCGGTGGTTTCTATCCACTCTCAAACTTTCTGTTCTTTTGCTATTTCTCAAGTTAATAAAAAAACAAGTACAACAAAGTTCACTGCAGCCATGTGTCAAAGCAGAAGTGGTTCAACGGAGTTTTTCCGGCCTAAAATTTTGATAAACGGTAATCAACTGAAATGACAGCTTGATGAACTTCTGGAGGCTCTCTGACGGCGTCAAACGTTTAGACCTTCTGAAGAAAACGTGACTGATACAGACCACGTCTTTGCTAAATAACCACAAAAAATCAAAATCATCCTCAAAGCCGTTCATGAGAAAAGCGTCTAAATATTCAGCGACCATGTCATTGTCATTGATCACTGACCGAGACTTTTAAAGAAAAAAGATTTTAGGCTGGTTTTTTGTTTAAAAAGTCAGTTTGCCTACTCTATCTGTACTTCCATCCTCCCTCGTTGTCATCAACTACAAAACATAGAATCATAAATTTTTTTAGAAGAAACAAAAAAAATTTTTCTAAGAGGGGTGGAAATCGAGTTAGTTGCCTTTTTTTGAGTATATTGAGTATATTGAGTATAGAGCTCGTTTTAAAGTCAGGAACTACAAAATTAACAGTCATGTCAACAGATAGCTGAGGATGACGGGGGAGAAATTGTTTGCTGTTTGAATCCAAAATTGAAAAGTTATACACCAAGTAACTTTCAACCGAAAAAAGAAAGAAACTTGGTAAACGACCTAATATCTTCACATAACCACATGAGCGAAATTAAAAATCATAAGTAATCGAAAAATGAGATAATGTGTAAAATACACAAAAAAGGCAAGAAACAAAATTACATCCAGTAAAAGGTTAAACATTACCGAGAAAAAAAAAATAAATAAGGAACAGTTCAGCTCGAAGTGAAGAGCATGCGTCTCATATCCTAGAAAAGTGATAAAAAGGAAGGAAAAATATAGAAGGGAAAAAAGTCTGAAATTCTGTTTTCCATGGAGCAAAATTGCGACGTGGTCTGGTTTTCCAAACCGACCGACCGACCGAACCGACCGACTTTTCCAGCATGCCACACCGTGGATCTAAAAAAGACTACGGAAAAAAACCTCTTATAAGGTTCCCAATAAGGCGCCAAAGGATCTTTCTAACAACTGCTGAGTCTGGCGCGAGAGAAAGGCGAGGTCGGATGCGGTGCATTGACGAACTTGCAAACATCTTGTACTGTCCTCGCGCGGGTCTCGCTTTTTTCTGAGCGCGACCTCGCGATTCTCTCGCAATTAAAAAATTTGCGAGTTCGTCAATGTACCGCCCTGGCGGTATAGCTGATTTACGGCTGGCTTGAGCCATCGAGGAAAGGGTCCTGCCACGAAAAGAGACGAGACAGTGCCCTGGTTGGTGGAGAGTGCAGACATGCCACGCCTTTTTGCGTCCCAAGCTAGTCGTGAATCGTCTATACCAGCGACCTCGCTGTTATCACGGTTGTTATTCTGTCAGTGGCTGGTCAATATTGTGCCGTCAGTTTCGGAGCCGAGAAATTTTTTTAATTTTCTTTCTTTTTTTTGCAATTTGTTAAGGACCTATTTCTCGAGGTTACAAGGTAAGTTACGTCACAAATAAGTGCACAAGATTTCATTTAATCGTTGAAAAACGTATCCAAACTACCGTAATACGACCGGCCACCTTAAACAAGCGTGGGTGTGGCGTCGACTTAAGTCCCTTTTTTTCTATGTCTTCCGAAAAATTTTAAACCGTTCTGAATGAAACTATAATTATCAATAATAGATCAATTCCACTTTATCAAACAATACGAAAGTTTTTTTGCAACTTTTATACCCCTATGGGGACCCCCCCCCTATAGGGAAAGCGTAGAGGTCCCTCAAAAGTTTCTCAGAATTTGAAAATTTCCAAAAATGCTGGCTCGCGCCGAGAGATATGCGAGATCGCGCCTGGAAAAAAGCGAAATGTTTGCGAGTTTGTAAATGCACCGCCACCGATCTCGCGTTCATCTCGGAAGTTATTCCTAGTGGAAATGACGAAAAAATTCAATTTTTTTTATAATTTTTTTGATTTCCGTGTTCATTTATGCATCTTAGTGGTCCTAGAAATTAATTTTCATAATTCCTTTCAAACTTTTATAAGAAATTACTTTTCACAAAGATTTCATCAAAGATTACGCAGTTTGTGTCTCAAACTTTATTATATGTCGAGCACCAATCTTTTCAACCAGAAAAAGGCCAAGAGATGCACACTTGCGAAGAAAACTATCAGGCCGCTCAAAATGATCAAGTACTTGTTGAACTTCTTCCTGAAACAGCTCACTCCACAATCCTTTCCACTACATTGAAACTCACGCGCGCAGGATGTCAATCTCCGGCGTCGTTTCGATCCATTTATTTTTCGAGTTTCTCGCCAAAGTCTGAATAATTTAGGGGAATTACTAAAAAAAAAACTATATTTCCGTCAGAAATAAAGGCCTTAGACAAGAAGTTTTATATCTGCACTACTGAGGTATATATATAGGAAATTTTTTTGGGGGTAAGCGATATTTTTTTCGAAGACCTTGAATATACTTTCCAAAACAAAAATCATGGAAACCTCCATAAAAATTTTTTTATTTAACTTCCTTTGAAACATTTTTTTCGAGCGCATGTGGCGGTTGTAACGAAAAAAACTTAAAAATAATTCCATCATTAAATTTTTTTGACTTTTCGAAATTTTTCTCATTTTTTTGATCTTGACACTGAAGAGTTTATAATAAAAAAATTTGAAGTAATAATACATACTCCTTGTTCTTTTTCTGTGGTAGTTCCAAAAGGAACTGAGGTTTTCGCAAAGGCTGCGGAAGAAGTAGGCGAATGAATGGTTGGAGTCGTCGTCGCTGTTTTGGTCGTCGTGGAAGTCATCGTCACCTTCGTAGTACCGGATGTCGTCGTCGTTTCTGTAGTCGTTGATGTCGTCGTTGCTTTTGTGGTCGTGAAAGTCGTCGTCGCTTTGGTAGTCGTGGAAGTTGTATTGATCACTTTGGCCGTGGTAATGTTAGCATTGGGCGCTGCGATTTCTTAAACCGAAGTTTTGTGGAAACAGTTATTGAGTTGTATAGCTGATTCACGGTTGACTTGAGCCATCAAAAAAGGGTCCTGAGAAGATAATAAAAGAAATAGTGCCTGGTGGGTCGAGAGCGCAGAAAGGCCACTTCTTCTTGCGTCCGATAGTTGTATAGCCATGAATCGGCTATACAACTATCGGATCGCATATAGTCTTTTCAGATTTTGAATGTCAGCCACCTAACTCCGCCCCTGCTGAGACGGTACCTTTTCGCGTCGATGTTTCATCGCGCTGGACGGTTTTTGATCTATTTTGATCTGAGAGATAGAACAAAAAGTCAAAAATGCAGCCTTATTAAAGGGTCGTCGTCTGCGATAAAACTTTGATGCGAAAGATATTGTAGCCTTGGAAGCGGACTAAGCTGCCTGACATTAAAAATCTGAACCGCCAGAGCTTCCTTTTGTTTACTTTTGAAAGAAATCGTAGAAAGAATTAGAGTATAGCCGATTTTTCACATTTTACAGGATTTAATTCGACCTCGAATTCTGCACCAAAAAGCCGCTTCGCGTACGCAACGCTTCAAACTTGTTAATATACGCATCTCCCATTTTAGTTCCGGAAAACATGAGCCGAACTTTCTTCTGATTAAGAATAAATTGTGTGGTATTTTGAAGACAATGAGAGAGTAAAATTTGGTTCGGCTGTTTTCGGATAATCTAATTTATCAATCACTTTAATGGAAGTGGATAACATTGATGGTTGGAGGTAATTTTTGGACAAACCCTTCCTATAACTGGGGAAAATAATTCAAAACGTTCTATAATTGAGTTCCAACGCAAATGTTGCTTGAAATCGCAAAGACACAAAAAGAAGGATGACAGCAGCTCGAGAAATTCCTGAAATTAGGAGGCTCAGATTTTTATTGAAAACGAAACCCACTCATTGCTTCGTTTGCAAACTCTGAAATGAAGCCTTCAGACGTGAGTAGTAACGTAATTTTGGCGGATCTTAAAAGAAGATGAACTTCTTTGCTCAGAGAACTATATCTTTTTCAAACTTTGATCTCAGGAACAGGCGAATCGAGTCCATCGTGAGACCTCCGGCATACCTTTTGCCTACATCTGAGCCATCTCAGAGGCACTCGAGAGTCCCTCTCAAGTATATCTCATTTTGCTCAAAATCCTCAGAGGTATACTCGAGGTACCATCGTGAGACTTCAGAGCCTGCGATATACCTCACAGGGTCTCGCGATACCCTTTCTCGATTCGCCTATGCAGAATCTTCCCAACTTTTACCCGAGATAGCAATTTTACTACAAAAAAAAAATGAAGGGAACTCTAGTCTGAGTTTCAGAAATCAAATTCGAAACTTGGCTTATAACTTCTAAACAATCTAAAGAGTTTCAATTGAAGGATGCTTTCGAAAAATAAATTTTATTTTCATTTAAAAAAAAAGTTCCTTCACACAACATAATTGCCTATATCGCAGCGGGCCGCAGGTGATAGGCTTCTTGCTGCGACCTCGTCAAAGTCTCGCTGCCATATCGCTCCCTCAAAAACTTGAAAACTGAAAATACATTTTTTTTTTTTCATTATTTTTGACTTCTATGATGAAATGAGTAAATTGAAGAAAAAAAAATTTTTGAAGGAAAATTTTTCAGAGAGCGATATAGCGCAAGACGTTTGCGAGCGATATTGCTTGCGGCTCCCCCCGCGGTATATCATTACTATCGCTGCGAAATAGTCCGCAATATTGGGTGTTGGCGCCGCGTACCGGCCTCTTTGATTTTACTGTAAAGCGCGCTTCGGAGCCAATTTTAGTCAGCTTCCGACTCACGATTTAATTTTTAATTTTTAAAAATCAAATTTTTTTCTTTCTGATTTCATGGTTTCAAATTTAGTTCTTATTTTTCGCTATTTTTTTACATTTGGTCATTGTTTTTAAATTTCTGAAGTTATTTTACTTTTCAATAGTTAAGTCCACTAATTTCTCTTAGAAAAATTTTAAAAATATAAATGCTCTTCAGTTTGTGAAGTTTTTTTTTTCTGAGAAAGTTCTGTAATTTGAGGGCCTGCAGCAGCCCAGCTAGGAAGAGTGTTGTGGCTCAGCCCGCCTCTCTCCACTGGATACAAACCGGACGTGAACTTTCCAAAAAAACTTACTGAGAAAGCCCTGAAAGGGAAAAAACCTCTCGGAGGCGTAGAAATCTCTCTAAAGTTAGTTAAGGGAATACTCGTTTGGCGTTCTTTGATTACTGAGATTAGTAAAGTAGTGTTTATAATTACGTAAACCATCTTCGCTAAATCTACTAATCTGTGTAGTTACTATAAAAATTCATTTTTTTCTTATTCCTTGTCGTTTTTTTCCACTCCAGTTGTCATTGATATTTTTGCGAGTGACTTCGTGGAATTCCCCGAACTTTTTTTTCCAATTATTTCATTTTCACGATTTAAAAACAGCACTTTTATAAGTTTTGTTTCTGCGAAAAAGTATATTTCGAATCTTCAACTTGTCTTATACTCACTAAAACTGAAGTTTAGTTGAGAAAACCCCGCGCATGTTTTGCCGAAAAGGTTCTTGTCAATGGAGCGTATGAAATATCAACAGTGGGATATCCATTTTTGAAAGAACATTTCTAAATTTCGTAACTACATCATTTTTCTTCAAGTTATTTTCTTTCAATAGCTTTATTTACTTAAATTTTCAGGAGAATGTCAGAACTGGTACGGCCAAAAAAGCCGCCAAAAGTGGCAAAAGCAGCGGAGACAGCGTTTACACATAACGATGAGTCATCTACAAGGCCTACAGTTGTCCAAGGATTCCGCTTCCCTGATGTTCCAGCTCATCATCCTTCGAAAATTGTACGCCCAGAGCCCTCCGCATCCCCAGAACCTGAAGAGCAGTAAGTACTGATATGGCTGCTCTCCATTGGTGGGATTTCAGAGTTCTGAGTGATGTCGAGGAGGAAAATCCCTCATCAAGTGACCGAATGTTGCCAAGAAGAGCAGCCCCGTTGCCTCCGAGTGTAGTGCGAACGCCACCGCCGTTGCCTCCGAGAAATTTGATTTTTCCTCGTTCGAAAAGTGTCCAATCGGCCGAGGCATCTGTCGAAGCAGCATCGTAAATTTTTGTAATGAGAGGAAATGTTTTATTATATGTTTTCAGAATTGAGCCGTCGTCTTCAAATGTCGCGAGGTATCCAACGGTTCCAGAATTGGCTGAGCTTCCCGCTTACTCTGCTGTCGTCGAACCACCGCCGCCTTACAGTTTTCGCGAGGCTGGATTGGCTCATTCGCAGTCTGTGAATGCTATTCCGGTGTGTGCTCACTTTATTTTCCGAAAAGTCGATACGCAGGACTCCTGAGACCCTCAGCAATTCATTCTCGTTGGAATGTCTACTTTCACGAAATGAAAACCTTGCAGCAAAAAATACGGAGCGGGGTTGCGCTGGCCGAAGCGCCTTCTCTCTATCCAGCCATCGAGGACCTCGTCTTCGAACGCGATCGCCACGGCCTCCTCACGGAAGCCGAACTTCTGCACTTTTATCACAATCCGCTCTACGAAGCCGCCGATCAATTTGTCGATAACTTTGTCGAGGTGATTATTTTCAATTTCCGAAATTTCTTGCACTCTCACATGAATGTGAAATTTAGAAAATCATACAAATTTCTTCAAAAGAACGTGTCGCGAAAATCGCGACGTTGTTTTAAAAAAAACTTAATAATCGTCACTTATAAGGTAAAATTGGAACTCTCAGCTTCGATTTAATGCGTTTTTTTTACAAAATCCAAAATAACTAAGACTTGTAACAGAAGAAATGTGAAAATTGTAAGAGTATCAAAAGGTGAGAAGTTTGTTTTTTTTTATTTTTTGCAAGTGAGAGAACATATTCTCTGCTTAAACAGCTTTTGCGCTATTTCTCGGGATTTCCTATTTTTATTTTTAAGGCTCAAGAGCTTCCTAACGAAAGTGGTCCACTTTTCAAGCTTCTGAAAAGGCTGAAAGCCCTTTGTGAACAGATGGTTATCAGTCAGGTTTCAAATTTATTTCAGTAACACATAATCTGGATTCATTCAGATCAACGAAAAAGAGAATACGGAGGCTCTGCAGGTTTGTCTACGAGAATGCTGGCAGATCCAGCAACAGTTCGTAGACACTCGGGTTAGTTAGCGAGAAGAAGCTTTAACACACGTTCTCTGAGATTTTCGAAAATACGTTAGTACAATAATTTTCAAGTTTGTTTTTTCGAGCTGAAGTTCATGTCACATATACTATGCGACCTTCTTAACACATGACACCCGGTTTTGACAGGCTCCGCCCACTTTCAGGGTTATGGTGGAGAAAATACCGTAAAAAGCTAACTTTTTTCCTGGTCGAGCAAATCGGTTCAAACCAACTGTAACGCAAAGAGCACGTCATTTTGAACATTTTTCATGTTGGAAACTACTCTGGAAAAAATTTTCTTCTTGTGGAAAAAAATCGCTGAAAGTTGAAAAATGACGATTTCCGCAGTTTTTGAGCTCTACTAAAACGGGGACCCCCGATGGCCTTGATTTTTATTTTCTCAATCGATGTATTGAGGTCTTGTGTGTTCGAAAAAAATATCCCTATATTCAAGTTTTAAGTGTCGTAGTACATCACCATCTCAAAGAACGCGTCCAACTTGAAATTGGCCAAAACTTCAAAAAAATCCATAACTTTTTTTGAGAGTTTGATTTCAGTTGAGTTTTTTTGTTCTTGATGTACTACAACTAACTTGTTTTCAACTCAGGACAGTAAAAAGTGGAAAAACGAGAACTTGAAAAATTTTAATTTTCAAGTTTTTCGATTTTTTTGGACTTTTTTTGTTTTTTTCCCCCCAGCTTTTTCCGTTTTTAAGCTCTGCTGAGGAGAGGACCCTAGAAGGCCTGGAATTTTTATTTGATAAAATGAATAATCAGGTCTTGCTTAGTTCAGAAAAAATATTCCCGTCTTCAAGTTTTAAGTGTTGCAGTTGACCACCGAAGCGCCGAAGCTGGCGACCTCAAAATCGAGTAAAAATGAAAAAATTAATAAACTCAGTTTTTTCACTTGAAAGTGAAAGGTATCCTTCCCAAAAACTTTTCTTGAGTACATCTCATTGAAAAAATGCATTTTGCCTGTGAAAAAATGACATTTTTTCGTTTTTTCCAAAATTTTTCCACTTCAAGGTACATTTTCCGGCCTGAGAAATTTCAGTGTCCGTTTTTCTGAGCGAAACTTTTTTCATGTGTCTTCTGGACCTTGCATATACCTGAAAGTAAAAAAATTGCCTCAAAATTCCTTTGAAACTCGGAGAAAAAAGAAAGAATTCGCTCAGAATCAACCTTTTGCCAGAAGAAAGTATCAAAAAAGATCTTGAAAAAGTCCAGAAATACGAGATTCTGAGCGAATTCTTTCTTTTTTCTCCGAGTTTCAAAGGAATTTTGAGGCAATTTTTTTACTTTCAGGTATATGCAAGGTCCAGAAGACACATGAAAAAAAGTTTCGCTCAGAAAAAAACGGACACTGAAATTTCTCAGGCCGGAAAATGTACCTTGAAGTGGAAAAATTTTTGGAAAAAAACGAAAAAAATGTCATTTTTTTCACAGGCAAAAATGCATTTTTTTCAATGAGATGTACTCAAGAAAAGTTTTGGGAAGGATACCTTTCACTTTCAAGTGAAAAAAACTGAGTTTATTAATTTTTTTCATTTTTTTACTCGATTTTGAGGTCGCCAGCTTCGGCGCTTCGGTGGTCAACTGCAACACTTAAAAACTTGAAGACGGGAATATTTTTTTTCTGAACTAAGCAAGACCTGATTATTCATTTTATCAAATAAAATTCCAGGCCTTCTAGGGTCCTCTCCTCAGCAGAGCTTAAAAACGGAAAAGCTGGGGGAAAAACAAAAAAGTCCAAAAATCGAAAACTTGAAAATTAAAATTTTCCAAGTTTTCGTTTTCCACTTTTTACTGTCCTGAGTTGAAAACAAGTTAGTTGTAGTACATCAAGAACAAAAACTCAACTGAAATCAAACTCTCAAAAAAGTTATGGATTTTTGAAGTTTTGGCCAATTTCAAGTTGGACGCGTTCTTTGAGATGGTGATGTACTACGACACTTAAAACTTGAATATAGGGATATTTTTTTCGAACACACAAGACCTCAATACATCGATTGAGAAAATAAAAATCAAGGCCATCGGGGGTCCCCGTTTTAGTAGAGCTCAAAAACTGCGGAAATCGTCATTTTTCAACTTTCAGCGATTTTTTTCCACAAGAAGAAAATTTTTTCCAGAGTAGTTTCCAACATGAAAAATGTTCAAAATGACGTGCTCTTTGCGTTACAGTTGGTTTGAACCGATTTGCTCGACCAGGAAAAAAGTTAGCTTTTTACGGTATTTTCTCCACCATAACCCTGAAAGTGGGCGGAGCTTGTCGAAACCGGGTGTCATGTGCTAAGAAGGTTATGTAGTATCTCTGATAGCAAAACGAGCTCTGAGGAACCAACTTGAAATTCTTGTACCAAGACATTTCTCAGTTCATCGATTTTCTCGGAGAACGTGTGTTAAATAGTTTTGAAAAAATGCCAAAAATTGTTCTTAATCATGTGTTTGGTAGGGCAAGTGCCTCGAGAACAACGACGGCTCAGGCCGCGGCGGCTATCAGAGCACTGTTGCACAGCGGGAACGGATCGAAGAACTGCGGAAGCTACTGACGGCCAACCGGAGCAACCTGCTGGACCACATGCTCTGCGAGGAGTCTATGTTCCGTTCGATCGCCCTCCAAGTGGGTTGGTCGTTTCTCGGGCTGCAACTCAGCTTCTGTAGGTTCAATGGGAGGTGATCGTCATCAACAACCAGTTCATGTCCCACAACCACCTCAACGTCCAGAGCGCCCCTTGTCGTCAGTTTATCATCTTTTTTTTTTTTAATTTGTCCAAGCGCATCGACCGGAGTCAGAAGTTTATATCTCGCTCAAAAAGAAAAATATCTTTTTCTAATAATTCTCTCGTCACTTTTCTTTCACCTCCTTTTTATTAATTGAGAAAAATACTTAAAAGGTAATGGAAGGAAGCTTTTTTTTTCTTTTTACGATGGTAAATTTTATAAAAATGCATTTATATGTGTAAAAGTTATTTAAGTGGTGGAGACGTCGGCGAAGTCGCCGATGCACACGACTCTCCGAAACGCTCTTTCCGATTTGTTCTACTTCCTCCGTTTCCCTCGAATGCCCAAGAGATTTAGCGAAACCCTCATCCAGTGGGCTTCGGAGCTGGTTTGTTTCTTCTGATACAATGTCGAATCATCTGAATTCTCTCAGGTGTCCGTTCTGAACATGCGTCAGTCCTGCGAAGACGGAATTTTCCTTCTTTCGCATTTGCTGCGACTTCCCTCTCCGCATGGGGAATGGTCCGCCCCCTTGGTCCAAACTTTTGTTCAGGTCCGTTTCCTATGGCTTCACATCAGAAGGATTAACAAAACCTCATTATTTGAAGTAGAAATATTCAAAAAACGTTTTTGAACTATCCAGTAATTTTGCTTCAAAACCAAATTTTTGAAAAATTGAGAAGGTTAAATTTCGCTTTGAAAATTTTTCCTTTCTTTTTTGTTCGAATTTTCCGTTCTGTATTTATCCGAGAAAAAAATTTTTAAATTTCACACAGATTTGCTCTAACGGTAGTAAAATAGGTTTGAAGGGGAAGTATGTTCCGGGAAGCTCTTTTTGTTACAAAAAGTTATCGCGCGGCAAATCTATAAAAAAATATACAGTAAAGATTAACCGAAACAAGCTTGACGGAGTTTGAAAGAAAAAAGCTATTTTGTATCGTTTAGTCGCCCACGCCAGCAAAAATGAAGGTCGACTACTGTCTCGCACTTTTATCCCACATGCTCATTCCTATCAAGTTCGTTTCCACTCTTTTTCTTCAATATCACGCATTTTTCTGAAGAGGGCGCGAGAAGTTCTTGCGACACGTGGCACAGTCAGAGAAAGACGAATCTTCTTGGGCGATTCTGGGAAATGATGACGTCGACGAGCAAGTTATTCTTACGAATTTTCTGTAATTTCATATCAACTTTTGAGGAAGAGTTTTCTTTTGTAACGCTGAACGAGACGGATTTGACGACTTTGTTCGACCAGATTCCCATTTCGGAACTTTATTCTATCGCTTACCTCCACGTCTCTTCCTCGTGTGAGTGAAAGTATCGTTTATCAAGTATCTTTCTCAGCCTCGGACAAAGCTTCGCAATTCGTCTCGTTGGTCGCTTTCCAGTTGCTCCTAATGAAGGTTTTTTTCTTTATATTCATCTAGGAAAACGAAATTTGCTCCGAAACTCGAGAGAATTACCCCAAAACCAAAAGTTGAGACGGTTTCGAAGCAACTTTCAGGCCCCGATGAACACTCTTTCGCATTTCAAAACATTTTCCGTTTCTCTAAAATACGTCATCGAAATGTTTAACATAACGTTTTTATTTTTGGTTGAATAATGTTAAAATTTTGAGTTATTTTTCTCGTTGATCGAGTGCCCCACTCAAAATATTTCAGATTTTTTTTGGTTGGTAAAAGCCGTTTCATAGATAGAAATTGAAAAATAAAAGGAAAGTCATTAAAGTTTATTTTTTTATCTCACACGTGTAAGGGAAAAACACCTTCGAAAGCGAAATAAGCGAGATTCATGTTTTGGGGAGTTCATATTTCCTTTCCTTTTTAGATCCTCGACAATGGTCTCACTACATATGCCCGTCCAGGCTACAAGATGTTTTGCAAGCAGATCGGAAACAGTCTCCGGTCAGTTCAAATTAGTGGCTTTGACTTTTTTATCCGATCTCTGAGGTCGTGTGCATGAGCGTTCGCTTTGCGTGAACTTGATGACGTGAAAAAAAAATTGAAAACATGAAAACTTGCAATTTTTCAAGCGTTTGCAGATATTTCAGCCTGAAACTGAAAAAAGAGTAAAAAAAAATTTTTTTTTGAAACTTTAGAGATAGCTATGCAATTTGAGACATTTTTCAGTATATCAAAGACTGTTTGAGAAGATTTTTATAAAAAAAAAGTAATTTTATGTGATAAATTGGATTTTTCCATTTCAATTTTTTTTTTTGCTTTGTCCAGTAGAAATTTTTTCTGATTTAAAAAATGTTTTAATTTCTTTGGATTTACCACTTTTTTCTTTTGTGATCTTTGCAAATATTCCAGAGTTGACTTAAATTTTTTGATAGAAAATTATTTTACTCACTTTATCAACAGACAAAGTGTGCGGGAGATATGCGTTCACTGGCAGCTGGCCAAGAACATGTTGAGACCGTCGGAAGCGGATCAACTGCAGAAGGAAGTAGACCGAGTCGTGCTTCTGGCCCTCAACTATTTGGTGAACCGAGACAGGTCTCTACTTCCTCTGTTTGAATGAGTGCATTCTCTGAACTCCTTTTCAAATAGTCAACGACCTCGTTTTGTAGTGGCGGACTGTGGCAGTTCATCGTCGATCTGCCCTACGACAGCGTCTCGGAGGAGTGTCGCAACAGGTGCGAAATGGTGCTCAGGTCGACCAAGAAGCTCACGATTCACGAGATCTACGAAACTCCTCTTTCCGAAGTCGTCTCTGCCTGTAAAGCAAGTTTGCGGAACTCGAGAAACTCTCTTGAGAAAACCGATTAAGTGAGACTGAAGGCGCGCGCCGACGTCCTCGGACCGCAGGACGCCGTCTTTTTGGTCAATTCCCTCGCTGCGATAGCGGCCACTTCGGTCGCAGACATGACGTCTTTCCTGAAGGAAATCATCGATGTGACTCCGCACCTTCTTCTTTTATTGTTTTCCTCCTTCAGGTGTGCTTCTGCGAGGACTCTTCTAGGGAGGTCCTCTACAAAGTCGGAGGCGAGGCGATCGGCCAACTCTTGGCGCGTCGTCCGTCTGCTCTCGACCAGCTGTTGTCCATAATCGATAGAAATCTTCAACATATGGATAACGTATGTGAATTCTTTAAACAAATAAACTTTATAAAAATCGAAAAGAAATATAATTTACATGTACTTTTGCTCACAATTGAAAAAACATTTTAAAAAAACTCAAAAGAAAAGTCGTTTTTCTGTTTTGTTTTATGTGGAATTTTATGAAAATTTTTGAAAAGGAAAACTCATCACGGTCGAAAAAAGAGAAAACCAAAATCTTTTTTGTTTAAAGGCATAGGGGCAGTAAAAAACGGTGTTTCAGTTCAAAGCAGTATTTTGTAGAGCTTTTCATTGCTAATCGAACGGTGAACTTGGAAATGTACCAAACTTCCTAGTTTTGGAGAAAAAATAATTCAAAGTCGGAGAAAGGAAAGCTTGAGTCCCCGCGAAAAGGGCGCTTTGCAGTAAAGTTGCTCTATGGACAACAGGCTTCGCCATCTTCCGGATTTTCGCTTTTTTCTTCGTTTCTTTCAATTTTCAATTTTTTCTGTTGTCACCAAAGTTCTTTTCGTCACAAAAGCTTTCTATTCATGTATAATTTGCAAACTTTGATCGCAAAAAAGCTTTTCTGGTGAAAAATGATGATTTTACACATGTTTCGATTGGGATAGCGATTATTTGTGTTTTCTTTGTTATCGGTGTGTGTTTTTTGTGTTGTTAGTCAATTTTTCAGAGTTGAAATCCTTAATTTGAAGCAGATATCCGGTTATTTCTCACAAAATGCGAGTCTAATAAGACGTCCGCAACATCGCGTGCACGGCTACTGTAAACATTCGTCCGTAGGCCGATCCAAAGCATTTTTTAAAATTAAAGGGAAAGTAAAATCGCGTTTTTCTTCTAAAGTTGTCACATCTGTAATTTTTTTGAGTACACCATTCGATTCGCAAAGAAAAACTATATGAGATACTGCTTTCACCTGAAACCACGTTTTTAACTGCCCCTATGCCTTTAAAAAAGAAACTAAGATTTCCTTATTATACCTATACCGAGTAGAGTTCAACATTTCTCATTTTCTGAAGTGAGAAAATTAAATTCCACCTTTATCTCGTAACTTTTCAGTACGCAATCAACGTCTTGTCGTCGGCTCAGCTTTCTGAATGTCGGATTTCGCATCCGATTCTCATCATTTTGGGAAAATGGCTCATTAATAACGTTTGTCTTTTCTTTTTAATCAGAGCTCGATACCGAACTCTAAATCTAAAAATTTTAATTAAGTCGGAAACTTATCAGTTTAATAGAAAGTTTTAACAAAGATGTTTAGATAAAAACTTAAAGAAGTATACTTTTTTACACCTTTTTCTCAATGGGAAAAGGACGAAACAACCACTTATATTTATGCTTTTTCAAAAGCTTGAATGTTTCATGAGCTGTAAATAAAAAAAGTGTTTTTGGACATCCCAACGAACCATCTATTATTGAAGCCGCCGGAACACGCGGCAAATCGTCTGGCGCGAAGAGTCCTCTCTAGTTTGTACTGGGGTCCAGCGGCCGACGGATCCACTCTGTGGCTCGACGCCGACACCCACTCGATATGTGCTGAGACCGTCGTCAAGGTCCTTTCAAACTCTTTTCCCCAAAATCTGCTGTCTTTTAGGCGCATTCTGTGCATTGCAGTCGTTCCAACGGGATGATAGCCAAATCAGTGCGGCAAATCACGAAACTGGCAAGCAAGGTTGGAGACGCCGAAACTCACTTCCAGCAGTTTTGCTGGGACATTCTCGTCAAACTTAAGCTCTCTCACAGTGTTTGTTGTCGTTGATCTCACTTATAACTCTTTTTTTGAAGATAAATGCGAGTTTTTCTGTTCAAAACGACCTGACAGCTCATTACGTGCAGATCGTCCAAAGTTACGAGGAAAGGTGAATAATCTTTTCACGTCATTCTACTTATTATTTCTTCCTGTTTTTGGTTCTCACTTCTTTCCATACTCTTTGACCGCTTTCAGCTCTTTTATTCTTCTGAAGCCTGTATGGAATCTCTCTTTTCATCTATTCCGATTTCCAATATTCTACGCTTTTTCCAGCGTCGAAACTTACCTGGATAAAGCGATCCCACTACTGTCAGACCTGGTGCAGTCGGGGAGCGCGGTCGCCTGTATCGTGCTCATTTCGCGGTTCATCGCCAGACATTACACGAAAGTCGACGTCTTCTTCGGCGAAAAGACTTGGCTGGACGTCTTCGAACGGATTCTGCACGTCGACCAACTCTCGTATGCCTTGCAATGGCTCAGCGGGCCTTCTTCAACCCCGACGCCCATTGTTCGTCTCATCTCCTCCGGCATCTCAGTTATATTGTCCCAGTTCGAGTATTTCTAATTAGGTGAAATTCAGTACTACAGCAGCCGTCTGGATAGTACGCGCGATTTTATTCGATCTTGGGTTCAGTTGCTTTGTTCGAAGAGAAACGATTGGAATGAAGATCAGGTTGGTGTGCTTTTCTTACAGTTTATCCCAAGCAGAACTTTGCTTTTTATGGATCTCTTTATTGATTTTTCAAATTTCACAGGTAACCTATCAAATACTGGGAACAGTTGTACGGATAGCATTTATAAATGATCCTAAGCATCTTTTCGGAATACCAGAGTTGCTGCAGGAAGTTTACATGGTAGCGTCTGGAACCGTCTTTGAAATACTTTTTCTCATTTTCAGCAGAAACTGGAGACCGCAAGAGACACGAACAGAGGACTTCTCTCGGTGTTCTCAGGCGACCGACCCCCGCCTCCTCTAGTGCCCACTTCAATGTTTGGAGTCGCGCCTTTTGCCACTTACCTCATGCTGTTGGTCGAGCAGAAGGCTTTTAGATCGTTCTACAATCATTTTTTCGACGCTCTTGGCAAAAAAGAGAAGCTGACGCTCGAGGCTGCAGTCAAGGTCACCGCCGCAACCAAAAGAAATTCGAGAGTCTCCAGTTTTCAGAAGGCGGCTAATAAGTCTTCGCAGGCCCTCCCACTGCTGCGCCTTTCTGTGTTTCGCTGGGCCGAGTTTGTCGGCTTCTGCAAGGACTCGGCTGTGCTTCCCTTGGTTCTGCAGCAACTCTCGATCGAAGTATTCTCGCTGAGAACAGCCAACGGGTGAGAGGCTGCCTCATCGCTCCCCTCATATCGCGTTTCTCCAGGAAACCGACTCTTTTCTCCCGGCGCCTCCTCGACGACCCACAAGCGACTCCTCTCATGGAATCTCTGAAGTCGAGTTTGGAGTCTGCGACCGTTGAAACTAAAGGGTTTCTCATAACTGCTCTTTTTAAACACACAAATCCTTAAGGCTTGCTCGAGCCGTTTCTGGGTGGATTTTTTCGAAGCATGACGTCATGCGCACTGGATTCGACTTTTCCGTTTTTGACCTTGACTATCTCCTACAACTTATCATATCTGGGGATCTGGTCCGATTGGAGTTTTGCTTTTTTAAACTGTCATATCGTTTTTGCAGAATATCTGGATGGATTTTCTCAATATGGCCGATTTCAATTCGGAAGAGTTCAACGAACAAAAAGTAAACCTTTTAAAATTTCAGTGTTGATGCAACTCCAGTTTTCGATGAATAACTCTGATTTTTACAGTTATATGCCTCTACCTGTCATTTGAACCCGAAGATTGCCAGCACAAACCACTTGCGACTGAACATGAGCTCCCCGAGGTTCTCTTCAGATCTTGGAACTCTTTTACTGAACACTACTGACAGGATGATCTCGACTGCCAGAGGTTTTCCGACGCTTCCCAAGCACCCAGGACTTCCTCAGGCGCCTTCTGTGGAAGTTTCACTTCTCATGCAGCACCACGCCGTCTCAAAGCTGGCCGAACCTTTCCTGAAGTCTCTCAACTCCTTAGCCAAGTTTTGCCTCCACATTTCAAGAGAGTCAATGCGGATTTCCAGTCAGTACGTTGCCGGAAATGATAAGATTTCGTCCGACGACTCTTCCTATCACGAACTTGTGTCCGTTCTGTACACGCCAGTACAGCAGACGATTCCCGTGGAGATCCGCTGTGGAATGTCTTGTCGACAGCCTCGGAACACAACAGTTCAGGTTGAAAACCGGCTCTCACTAGTTTAATCGACTTTTACTTTCTCAGGTCCAGCCTCATGTCTTCAGTCAAACGGTCGACGCGCAAATGACCTCGAATCGCGAAAAAAGAGCCGTCGTCTGGAACGAGTTGACCTCTGGAGTCACCGACAAAGCTGCCGTCGCCACCGCTTCGCTAGAGCATTTAGCAAGGTTTTTCTCTCCTGTGGAGAAATCCTTCTTTTCAATCTCTTTTTACGGGAAGTGCGATCTGCGATTTGCGAGCAGACGGTTTCGGGAGTTATCCCAAACGTCATTCTTAAAATTTCCTCACTTTTCTGAATAGTTAAACACTTCATTTTTCTCCTATCTTATCACTACAAAGTGTTTCTCGAAATGAAGAAATCAAATACCATAATTCAGTTTGATCGCGCGACTCGCGGCTAGCTGTCCTTCACAACAGAGGAATTCGGCACAGCTAACAGGCAGGAATCTGCTTTATCTGATGACGTCATCTGTGGGCGACAATGAACTTCTGTTTCCCGTCGCCTCGGAGTCGTATCAGCAGTCGTTGTTCGCTCTCGCTGAGGTTCCAGTTCTCTCGGCTTTCTAGAAAATTCAATTTTTTCAAGGAGTTTGTGAGGTTCCGGCCGGAAGAACAATTGCCAGTGATGAGGTTGGTCCTCGACGGTTTCGTACTGTCCGATCCGCTCATAGAAGTTTTTCAACGTCTCTGAATCTGCCGAAATAAATGTTTCTCAGTCCTTCACCCCGGAAGTTCTCTCGCCAAACGATCTGTGCTCGGTCTACACGACTTTATCAGAATCGGTACGCCTTCCAGAACGGAGCCAGCGAGCATTGAAGTTACTCGGTGAGCTGGAGCACTTTGAACTGACAGATCGACGTTTGCGGTTGCAGCTAGATTGGGAATGGAGCAGACGGCAGCCAACCTCCCAGCACATCAATTCTCCTCGCTGCTTCCTATCGCATTTGCCAACTTGGCTAGTCAGCCTGATTCTGCGGCCCAACTCCACGTCCTGTGTCTGCAGGTTTTTCTTTTTCTTTTTAAGTTGAAAAATTCGTTCCCAGCACGTTGTTTTTTTCGTCTTTCACCACTTTCCGAGCAACTTTCCTGCTGGTCTCCAATTGGCTCTTGACGGTAAGTGTGAAATTTCGACATTAAATATTATTTTGCTGAAATTGTTTTTTTTTTCTAATTTTGCTCATTCAATGAGGAAGAGTTGGGGGCGCGCCGTAGCGCAACAGGTTGTGTGCCTGCCTACGGTCCACAGGGTCACAAGTTCGAAGCCTCGACCCGGTTTAAGAAATGTTGGTAGTGGGAAACCACGGCTTCATAATCCTCAGCCGTCACACACAAGGACGGATATGTAACTTGAGCCAGTCCACTGATATCAGGATAGGACCTCGGCTAATCGACTTGGGGCGCCAACGCCGCTGAAGCGGTATAAAGGCGTAGGAAGAAGAAGAAGAAGAAGAAGAACGAGGAAGAGTTGGGACTTCAAAACTACTCAAAAGAAAAATTTCTGACGACTATAAATTACGCCCCCAAACGCCAACTTTCCAGGTTGCAACACAAATTCCACTCCGACTTCTCTACTTCGGACTTTTGTTGACAGACTGGGTGCCGCGAATTTCACTCAGGTCAAACCCGATTATCAACTCGGAGCTGAGAAGGTTCTTGGACCCAACTCCTAAGGTTGAACTTTATGACGATTGAACAGGCGCTGCAATGCGCGGGAATTTTGACGGAGAAGCTAGTGGAAGCAAGGAAACGGCTGCCGGCGATGTACAGGTTCGTCGTCTCGCAACTGCTTGAGAAGAAGAGAACGATTTTGAAGCCTTTATAACACGATTAACCCGCAGATTGAGTTGCAACTTTAGTGTTTGGCAGACTTTTATTTATTTTTTTAGAGTACTTATATTCTCGCGAAACTGCGTTTCTTTGATTTTTTTTTTGTTCTTTTGCAATTTCTATCTATTTTAAATTGAGTAGTTGTTCAGCCGACATTAATATGGATAACTAGAACTCCAAAACTTCCAAAATATTGATTTTTTTAGAAGAGAAAATTTTTTTGATTTCTAGATCAAGAGTCAAAAACAGTAGTTTGAAGCAAACTTTTAAGCAACTTTCTTACCAGAAAACTGCGCGGATTCTTTTTTGAGGATCAAGTATTAACTATGGTCGTTTATATACATGAATTTCTTGGAGAAAAAAGTTCTTAAAAAGAAAAATGAGCAGGTTGAAATAATTTTCAAAGCATTTTCCCAAGTTAAAATTTGTTAAAGTTCTTGTTTTTCAGTGTCTGGGCTCGATACTTTGATTCGCTGACACGTTTGGCCCAACTTTTTCTGTATGTCCCAGTCCGGAACGATTTTCGGCCGACTGCACCTATTTACGAGCTGCAATCGGGTTTGATTTTTTTAATAAAAAAATTTTTTTATGGCTCGGATCAAAGAAATAATCACCGTTGAAATAATTTTTATCGGATATTTTTTTTTTCCATGATGATCTAATATTTATGGCGGAAGATGATTCAGACCTGAGCAATGTTTTCTCGCGAGTCGTCGCCCTTTTCTCGCCCGTCATAGCTCCCTTCACGCCCTCTCAACCTCCTTTTTCGCCTTCTCACGAAGCTGACGCCGTTCTGGCCCTCGAGCGCTTCACGGAACTTCTCAACTCGTTACCTCACAACTCTGTGATACCTCCTGGGATGCAGGTCTCAAAGTTTCTAGTAAGAGGAAATTGAAAAACTTTTTAGAATCTCCAATCGCTTGTTTGGCAGTATTATCATGAAAAAATTTCCAACTTGACTCATGGTACAGCACATTATTATGGTGTCATTGTGAGTTATACGGCTCGAACCAAATAAAAAATGATTCCTTTTGAAGGAGCGCCAATTTGCGAATCTAAATTGGAATTGTCTGTGGCCGTCTCCTCGAGGACTCGAAGCCATGGAGGAATGTCTGTGGAATCGTTCGGTTGATTGTGCACCCTTTGTAGGCCAGATGGTAGTGAGGGTACCCTGGAAAAACATCATTTCAACTCAGGTGCATTTTGATAGAAGGGAAGCTTTCTAATGGGGTTTTTTTTATCGGATTTTGATTTTGATTGGATTTTGAATGAGGATTTTTTTTTTGGCTCGGTCTATCCATTTTGAACCCTTCTGAGTTACCTAAACTTCAGGTGCCGGAGCTGCAGCGTCCTTCGTACTTGGCGACTCTTTTGTCGGTGCTTGTCCGCCTGATTTCCAAGCAATCCAACTACACGACTTTCCGTGCCACGCTCCTTGAGCTTTTCAAGTCTCTGTCTGCAAGAACCGACTGGTCGACGGTTTCCGCCGAACAGGCTGACAATCTCGCTCGGATCGTCTCTTCCTGTCTGCCGAGTGACGCTCTCTCCAATCCCGTTGATTTAGTAGCCGTCTTCCAAATGTTTGTAATTTTAAATGTTTATCCAGTCAAGAGTTTTTCGATTTGTCTTCAGGGTTGAGCTCTAGAAAAATGACTTTCAAACGGTATTACGTGCTTTCTTCGTTTTAAATCTTGCTATATAATTTAGGAAGTTGGTTCATGATTAAAAACACAAAGAAATAGGAAAAAAAGTTTATAGATGTTTTATAAACCGAAAAAAACATAAGGGAAAAAAAGTCGGAAAGGGATCTGTCGGAAAGGTGGCCGTCGGAAAGTTCCCTAGCAATAGGAAAAAATCGTAAAAGTCGCCATTTGAATTTTAGCTGGTGTTTTTTTTATACCACCAACATAGAATAATCACGTAAACAACAGAGTCTTGTTGAGAAGAAAAGAAAGCGTAGAAGTTGGACTGACTGAATGGCGAAAAGGCTAAATGTGGAGAGAAAATCTAGAAAATTAAGCTGAACTTTTTTTTTAAAGACATTGTTTCCAACTTTTGTTCATGATTTTTTGATACGTTTTTTTTTGTTGCAGAATCTGGCGTAAAGTATGTGGTTTCACTCCGCGGGAAACGTATTCTGCGGAGGTCCTGATTAAGCAAGTGACTTGGCTGAGAACAGAATGTTCTCTTCTGCTCAAATGCGACGTCGCCGCCGCTCCAGCAGCCTATAATTCTCTTATTTCCGACGTTAATTCGGTTGCTTCTCAACATTGTGAGTCCTTTTCTTCTAAGAAACCTTATTTGTTGTCTTTCAGCGAACCTGCGATCGTTCTGTGCTGTGACGCGAGAGTTGAATGCTTTTTGGACAAATATTCCAGATGAACGTTTCGGAGGTTCCAGATAACTGTTTCATCCTGAAACCCATTGATTTCAGAAGCGCTAGTGAAAGTTTGGACGGAATACATATCCGCAAACGTCACGTCGCCTTTGGTTCTCACTTCTTTGAACACTTTGGTTGGCTCTTTGAGCCTCGATCAGCTGACGACGGCTTTGAAGTTGCTCGAAAAGACGCTCCATGTCTACTTCCACCGTCAGTTTTCCGCCACAACACTGAGTTTATTCCGCTTCTCAGGACCTGAAGCTTCTTGGGCGGAGCTCGTTCAGTGGATCAATTTCCCGCTGGCGACGCTCAAATCAGTTCAGTCATACCTCATCTGCGTCCCCACGTAAGGATGAAACTAATTATAGTATTGTATACTTTACAAAGCTTGCTTGAACCAATTGAAGCAACAGTATCACCACAATTGAAAAAACTTTTAGCACGCGTTGTTTTTCGTGGAGACGCAGTCATGAAGCGTTTTCATGCCCTAAACCAATCTTGAACAGATTTAAAAGCGTCTTATCTCTGGAATAAAACGCCATGATCTTGCGCTTTTCCCTTGCAGAAGGAAAAACTACAAGATAACTATATTCGAAGATTAAGATTTTTTCGCAGCTGAATCATAGAAGAAAGTTTTTTTTTTCATTCGTAGAAGTTCTTTTTTAGGCTCTTCCCAGCTGTTCAGTATTTTCCCAGTACGTCCATATTTTAGATCTGAAAACAAAGTGCACACATTGATGCTGACGCTTCGAGTTTTCCTCGATTGCACGCCCCAATCGGACGAAGTTTTTTTCGCTCTGCACAACTATGTGATCAGCTTGAAGCCTAAGTGAGTTTGGCCATGTGAAGGAAGATCGCAAGACGTTCATAGGCACATCTCGGACGAGCCGGCGTTTGTGGCAGTGCTGGCTCGCCTGCTCCAGTGGAGCGCCAGAAGGTTTCCTTCCCTTCCTGCGACGTTGCCTCTGAGAGAAGACCTGCTGCCGCCTCTGATTCGATGGCTCGGAAAATCTTCCAAAGACGATTCTAGCTTCTTTACCACGCTCATCAGCAGCAAGAAAACTGCTCACTCCCCGAAGTAAACAAGTCGGTCATTGCTCCTATCCATTTCTTGGTTTTAGACTGCGGATTCTCATGCAGATCTTAGAGCTGTACCTAACGCAGCAAACTCTTGGCGAAGGAAAAAGACCGAGATGTGACCCCAACGCACCCGTTTTGAATTCGAGGATTCAGACTCTTCGCGATCTTTCCAACACTAAGGTTCTCGAAAGAATGATACGGATAGTATGTCTTCTTCGCTTTGAAACACTGGGAGGCTTTTCAGAGGCTTAAAAGTCGCAGAAATGCGTTCATAACTGAAATATTTCTAGAAAAAAAAAAACAATAAAGAAATATATTGACAATTTAAGAAAGGCCTGAGAACGGCAAAAAAAAGAAGCTTTTGCAGGCCAATCAGTCGATGGCTCCGGCATTCAACGCAGCGACTGTGTTTTTTGTCCAAATCGACATCCACAATATCTCATCCGCTCATCGATTATTAATTTCCGCGGCTACAAATACATTTCATGATCGTTTTCTTAGAGATTTATGATCGCCCAGATTGGAACATATTTGCGTCTCTTCAAGTGATATATAAATAAGTGTGAAAACTTTCACGGTTAAAAAATAGCTTTCTCTACGTTCGGAAACTATTTTCGGGGTCGAAAATCTCTCAAAATTTTCTACACGAGCTTTCTCATTGATGTTTCACTAAGAAATATTTACTTGTTAGTCATTTGAATATTCCATCATGTACTAAAATACTGGAGCATCCTACTTTGTCATTTTAGTTCTCACAGATTATCGCTGCTTCCATGTGTTTCATAAGTGATCCCTACTCATTTCTTTTTTTGAACAGTTTATTTGCAAAAAAGCTTTCCCGTTTGCAAGTCGAAGATCAGTTGTTTTTGATTCAGAAATATCAGAAACACATTAATTTTTTCTTGCAATGTTCAAAATTAAATTCTTTAAGAAGCCAACGGGATCAGCTTTTTTTTCTATGCAGTATCGCGCAGTGTTTTTTTTTTCGATGATAGGAGACGCTTTTAACAGAAAAAAGAGAGCTTTGACAACTAACGTATAAGTTTTATTGAAGAAGTTCAAACAGTGAGAGGCAAACTTTTCCAAATCTGTATTACGACTCACATTGAAAATCTGTAAAAAGTTTCTCCTCCTGAAAAATATGTATTCAGTTAATCCATTTTTGCGGGCAGCATTCAAGTTTTAACGAGTTAATCAAGATCGTGTATTTTTTGAAGATAAATTTATTGCCAGATTTCGAATTTTTTTTTAGCAAAAAAATATGGTAAAAAAATCTGGCATGTGAGAAAAGCGTTCCGTGTCCTGCGCCCCGATTGCATGTAGTGTTGTGGCGGGAAATTTAAATTCCCATGCAAGTTTTTTTCTTTTATTTTTCACCATCAGTTCTTTTTTTAAAAATTTAAATAACGTGTTCAAAAATAAATATAACTAAATTTGGGAGAGTCATGAATAATTTGCATATCGCGTAACTTAAAAAAATTTCAAGAATTTCTGTTTCAAGTTGATTATTATTGAAAGTTGTTTCTTTTGTATTTGTCATGTTTAAAAAGTGGTGTGTTTTTGAATTGCTTCAAGCTATTTTTTTTTTGGAGTTTACTTATTCATCGAATGATTAATTTTTTGGTTGGTTTTCTCAAAAATAATAATTCATCAACGTATTTTATCCGATCTTAAACTTTCAAATTCACTTCAGACATGACGACGGCGAATGGTTTCAATATACCTGTTCTCGATATTCAAACGATCGTCAATCACCTAGCGTTTTTAGAAGTTGATGTTTGTGCAGATGACATCAAAAATCCACGGGTATTCAACATCGAAAAAGTATTATTTTGAAAAAGATTTTCGAACTTTCAGCCACAAAAAGTCCAAATAATATTTCGAGCTTTCTGTATCAAAGTATTTGAAATTGAAGAATCTAAACTGACACATTTGCCTTTAACGCTCGAATTGCCGTCGGGATTCGACCCAGAGCTTCATGCGCGAAGTTCTCCACTAGCTATTTTGTATGCGATTTTGTAAGTTCTTTTGTTTCTGGTTTTTTAGCTCTATCTTTTTTTTAGAAGTTGTTTAATGGATTTTTCCGGAGGTAAACTTTCAATTACGATGTGCGACCTCATCAATCCTGAACCGAGGCAAATCAGGCAGTTGATGTCGTTACTTGCAGATTTTTCTATATTCTTGGGGGTGAGTTTCATGAAGTCATCTATACAAGTGCCTGGAAAATATTTTTAGACAGCGAATGAAGTTTTTCGTACTACCAGCTCCGAGTTCGAAAATCAGCGAGTGGAACTGGAAAACAAGACCGAAAAAGTCTTTACTGAATATGAAAATAAGTTAACTTTTATTTGAGATTCAACAATTAGAACAACGGAAACAAGAAATGCTATTTGAGCGAGAAGCTACGAAACGTCGCGAACATGAGGTTAGCTTCATTTCATTTTTCGGTTTTTTTTTCTTCTTGAAATGTTCGTGATTGTTTTCCTTAAATTTTAGTGATTGTCCTAGACTTTCAATAGCGGAAAAAAGGGGGTGTTTTTGAATTTTTTATCAGAAAGTTCCTGAATTTTATCGTTTGCTGCTCAAAAAAAGTAGTTTCCAGATCACTCTGTTAAATAAAAGTTGTCAGTATCTCATTATCGAAAATACTTTTTTTTTTTCATTCAATAATTTTGCTGTTTTTCACTTTTATAAAATTTTTTTGATTATTGTTAGGTTAATAAGTTCTAGTTATTATTTCTTTTTTTGATTCCACACATCATTATTTTTTTCGATTTTTCTAGCTGCTTAGCAAGCGTGATGAAAAAAATCAAAGTATCTAAACGCTCTTGTGGACGAATATCACAGCCTCCGAGAGAAAAAAATGAACTTGTCAAAGACACCGAACGGATTATCGAAAAAAATTGTAAGTTTTCATAAATATTTTTCAAACTAATTTTTTTATTTCTTCAGCAACAACAAAAAGACGAAGCTATAGTTTTTGAAAGCGCAATCGGAGCGACTATCCAGTGTGAGTTTTTCAAATTTATTTTCTTACAGAATCAAATAATGTTCAAAATGTCTTTTTTGCTTGGCTTCTTGATCTTTCTTTGGAGATAATGATAGAAGAGTCGTCATTTGAAGAAGAGGGTGATAAATAATGTTTTCTAAACTGTTACTAAACAAAAGGCATGCAAGTTTTATGGTTTCTTCTCCATATTAAAAAAGAAATTAGTTTCCAGAGACTATTGGTAGTTTGAAATAATTTTTTAATTACAGGAAATTGTCAGCTCACCTGAACGAGTTACAAGAGAAATGCGCGAAAACAAGTTGAAAATAAAGGAGACTTCTGAGAATCGAAACACTGCAAGGTGCGTGACTTAAAAGATTTTCGAAACGTTTTCTCTCAGAAATGAACTGGAGCATCTACGGCAGTGTGGCGACCGGTTCAAAGTCTTTGAAAATGCAATGGAACTCATGGAAAAGGATATCAAAGTTGTCTGCGGGGAGAAAGTTTGTATTTGAGATTGTTTTTATTCGTCAATTACGTTTCGCTGACAAGAAAGAATTTTCCTACTAGCTATAGCCAATTCACAACTCGATTAAGCCATTAGAAAAAGGTCCTAGCACGATAAGAAAAAGAAATATTATTTGGTTGGTAGAGAGCGCAGGCGTCTCTATGCCTCTTCGCGCCTCTTACCAGTCGCAAATTGCTCATAAATTTAGAAGTAATTGTTGTATTTTCAGCGGAGATAGGGAAGAAATTTTAGTTGTGATTCAGTATAACAATTTGTGTGAGAGTCTCACAATTTGATGTAGGTTGCGCCTTCCCAGTATCTCTTTTGAATGTTTATTTCGCTCACAGACAGATCTGTGGCGTGGAGGAAGAAAACCATGAAAGTTATATTTGCCTCCACTTCGATAAAGTTCCACTATAATCTAGGAATATTTTAGGTCGAAATCGAAGAGAATCAAAAAGAAAAGTAATCTATAAACGAGTTAAATCATTTTGTGATATTTGCAGGTTTCTTTTGGGAGAAGCCGTTTGGTGAATTTTATTTGAACCGATTCTAGCCTGTTTATGTCAGATTGGGTCATGGAGAGAATAGCTCCGATCCATACTCCAAAATTGGTAGAATTTTGGCTTTATAACAGTTTATAAAGTTTTCAACGGAAAAGATTATTGATTATACGAATGCTTTTTTTTGACTATTATGGCGATATGATGATGCATTTTCAGATCGGAACTGAAATTAACTCCTAAATCTCTAATCACCTCTCGAAGGATTCCTCTCCTATTCTATATTCGTTCCAAACTCCCCTTCTTTTACCATACCGCACATAGACGCTTTTAGAGCTAGAAATAGAGAGTTGCCTTTCTAAAAGCCAGTATCTTATTGAGTTAATATCTGATTGCAGCTTGAGGTTATAATTATCAGTTTCTGAGCTTATGAATAATTTTACGTCATCTGCATAAATGAGCATTTTGCTATGTTTTACGACACTAGTTATATCATTTATGTATATCAAGAAAAATAACGGTCCTAAGCAGCTTGATATTTATTCCTAGGGTTTTCAAATTCCGTTCCCTTTCTCAACTGAAAAAAAGCCGTTTAGAGCTTGAACAAAGTTTTCCTCGAATATGAAAGTGTGAAACTAATGTTTTAATGTCACTACATCATTATCGTTCATTTGTACGTATCTCAGTAAATCGAAAACATTGTTTTAAAAATTATGATGAAATTTCGCCATTTTTGACTCGCTCATAATATACTAATTTGATTCAAAACTTTCAGGAGGAACTGAAGTCGTTAAGGGAAGAACGTGAAGTGTTCGAACATGAACACAGTGAAACTCTGCGACAGTTGGATCAGTTGAAACTAACGAATAAGGTGAGAATTCCCTTTTTTGTCGTTGAATGAGCTCGATGAAACAGAAAAAATGAACTTTACAGGCGAGTGAGGCAACCGCCGAAGATGCTCGGGAGGCCCACAAAGCAGCTTTCGCCAGTCACGAACAACGCAAAGAAGATCTGCAGCATAGAGCTCATGATCTCAAGAAGTTTGCTTCCTTTTTTTTTACGCAACTTTCATTTTTTTTTTCTCAGTGAGATACAGTCGATGAATTCGAAACAGCCGGCAATATCTTCTGAAACTGAGAAAAAGGTGATTTTTCTTGTTTTTATTATGCTAATTCTGGTTTCTTTTTAGAGACGGGAACTTCACGCCATGAAAAATGAAAAAAGCAGAGTTACTCGGGCTGTTCACGAAGAAATCAGCGAATACGTGAATAAATCAGAAATCTTCGCTCAGAAGGTTTTTTATTATTGTTTTTTTCAGCATTTTCATCAATTCAGGATCTTGTAGCACGAAAAGTATGAAATGTCTTTGAAGATCAAAGACTATGGATTTCTGTTTTTTTGCGTATAAGATTCTCAGAATATTAGGTCTTAAAAGCGAAACCGAAGGAATAATATAAAAAAATGAATTTAAAAATAGTCAGGGTTTTTTTATTTAATTTCCGACCCTGCTTCAATTCTTACTTAAAATAGTAATTTTTTGAAAAGCGCTTTTTTCTCAATGCCCTTCGACGCTTATCTCATGATTTATTTCGATTGCTGTCATCTGGGTTTGTCTTCCCTAAAGTTCTGACTCACACTTAAAAATAGAATTCGATATTCAAATAAAAATGATTGTTCTCGTTAAAAACGGCTGAATTTCAGTACGAGAAAAAGAAAATCGAGTACGCGGAAATGGTCAAGACGTTCGAAGATGCGGTCATGTCTTTGAAATACGCTCTGTGCCGACCAATCGAGGAATCAAGCATTCGAGATATTTCGTGCACTTTTGATAATGTATAGTAACGAAGAAAAAAAGTTTAACTTCAACCAAAATATTCGTGATTGAATAAATCTTTCTTTACCTGGTGTTCCGTTTGAGAAGGTATAATTTTCAGCTTATTTGTTATTTATTGCTTTAAAAAATTTACTGGTCAATCTACCATTGCACGAGATCTTCTTGTCTATTCCTCCACGACTCAAATGATGTATAACTGTATAATGTATTTTCTCAAATTCTAGATCCAAGTGAACTCGTTAGGGTTCACGCTGATCTGTCAATAAATTATTCTTATCTAAAAAATTGTGATGTGGCGAGTTTTTTTTTAGCTTCGCAACCAAATTCTAGTTTAGTGGCCTCAAAAAGGCTATTTGTATAATAGATAATATATATAAGGATATATAGTCTGTGTACCAGGACTTGGAATTTCCCCGAACGACATTCCGCTATTCCGCTTCGTGTCTTTAACTTTTTTATATAGGAACTCGATCAACACGTGTGGAACAGCCCATCTATCAGGAATGAGAACCAATTCAAAGCGAGACCGAGGCTCGCAAAGACGCTTCGCGACGCAGCGGAATGTCGTTCGGTGAAATTCCAAGTCTTTGCATACAGGCTATATTACCTCACTAGGGAACTACTCGGGTACGAGTTTCGAGTTGAAACTTTGGTGGCTTATAGGCCCGGATAAGAGTACTTGGAAACAAGAGAGATTATCTGCTAAACCCCATAGGCTTTTGAGAAAAAGCTTATTGAAAATGAACAGTTTAGGCTTGAAAATTATCAAATTTTTGCTTTCCTCCTCCTTTTGGCTGGAAAAAAAGCTCTTCAGAGTTTATCATAGCCAGATCATTCAAGGCGATTGTATTAAAATATTAATTAAGGTAAGAAACAGTGTTCTGAAAAATTTCAGGCCTAATTTTCCCATTTTCTACTAATTTTTTCTCAGTTCTCTATTGGGTTTAGCAGATATTCTCACTTGTTTTCAAGTATTCTCACTTAGGTCTATAAACCACTAAAGTTTGAACTCGATCGGCGTACCCGAGTCCGAGTAGTTCCCTAGTCAGCTCTATTTTTCACCCTAGCTTGGGGTAAAAATTTATAGCTGACTCACCCCCTCAGCGTCCCAAGTCAGCCGTGAATCGGCCATATCCAAAATAAAACGACCCGCACAAACGTAGAAACCACTCACTGGTGCGCACGCGCGGGGGGTCCTAGTTCTTTTCGTATTTTCCTTGAAAATACAGTTCGATAATTGTGTTTTAACATTTTCATTTTTTTCTCTACTTAGAACTCTGCTTATTTACTTTTAAAGCTGTTCCGAGCACTTCTGAACAGAGGGGAGAAAACCAATTTCCAATGAAATCAAAAGTTTGGTATTTCAAATTTTAGTGCGTTCGAACTTTTATAAACTGAAGCAGCGCAATGAGAAAAAGATGAACAGAAACAAACATATTTTTGAATTTATAAAATTCGAATTATTCATAAATCTAAAAAAAGAAACACCCGCGCGTCTGGCAAAAAAACACGCGCCGTCAGTGCCTGAGGAAACTTCAGTGGCTGAAATGAACAAGTGCGCTCCAATGATTCACTTCATCGGATGTGCTCAAAAATGTTCCAAGGCAGATCAATAGGCTCTCGGAGCTCAGCATTTCCTGCCGAAAGGAGAAATTCTGGAACAATTCTGTCCGTATGGAAATAAATTTCCAAGAAGTTTTGAAAGCCTCTAGCACTTTTCTCTTTTTTGCTCTTCTCATTTTCGATTCAAGAATCTTATATTAGCTTTTATTAGAGGAGTGATATCATTCTGTGAGAAATATACGTTAAAATTATGAAAAAAGGACAATCCGAATCTAAATTGAACATCCGAAGATTTCGAACTTTTTTTTGACATCATGATGTTCAAACTGAAGTAGATCGAGTCGCGTGCTGGTCGTTTAGGAACCTTTTCCTATTTGGTGCATACCATTTTTCTTATTTGGGATGTTCTCAGAACCAACCTCATTTACATACGTTTGTGCTGTTTTTTTTTGCTATCAATTTGAAGTTGGAGCGTTCACAAGCGCGAACGAGATAACCGCATAAAAATATATTTTCGCGAATCATTCGAAGTAATATAATGAAATAATCAAACATGTTCAGGGTGTTAAATCTAAGGGCGCAGAGATGCGACTGGCGATTTTGCTGGCGTCGGCAGCGATTTTAGCATTAGCCGACTACCCAGAAGATCCATACGCCGTCCTCGGCCTCAGTCGGCGCGCTTCGCAGAAAGAAGTCAAAAGTGCCTACAAGTCTCTTGCCAAGGAGTGGTGAGTATCTTCTTCGAAGCTTGATTCTTCGTTTACATCGAGCCAAGTGTTTTTCTTTCTTCCAAAAGTTCTTTTCCTCAGTTCTACTCATTTTTAGGCATCCCGACAAGAACCAGAGTCCCGATGCTTCGGAGAAGTTCATGGCAATCAGTAAGGCGTATGAAGTGCTGTCTGACCCTCTGAAGAGAGAAAGATACGACAAATTTGGCACTTTTGACGAGAGTCCTCAGGGTCGCAACGCTCCTGGAGCCGGTTTCGATCCGTTTGTAAGTTTTCGTCATACGTCGGCTGGATCCCACCCCAGCCTTTTGCGCGCGAAAAAAAAAATTGAAAATGTACAGAAGTAGGCCGCACTTTTCGAGGGGTAGGCCGCACGCCGGAGTGGGTTCCAGCCGACGTATGGTTTTCGTCTTCACTGTTTCTTTTCCCATCAAGTCGCTTCAAAAATGTATTTGTTTCCAGTTCGGTTTTGGGTTCGGCGCATTTGAGGACGGATTCTTCGCCAATCACCGTATTTCTCTGAGGCAGTACACGCAGACCATTTTGGAAAAGTAATTTTTTTTATTTCTCCTATTTTTACGTAGCATTGAAATTTTCAAGATTTTTTGGTTACTGGTTTTTTTTCAAGTAATAAAGTTTAAATAATGTTTAACTTGCCAGATGTTTTTAGGAGTAACGAGCAGCCTTTCATCATTTACGCCTACTCGAACTACTGTCAACTCTGCTTCCGGCTTCAGAACGTGTGGAAGGCTGCCGTCCACGATCTCGAGCCCCTCGGTAAGATTTTTCCGCGATCTATTTTACAAATCTATTCAGTCCTCAAAGTAGATTTTTCGAGCACTGCTCATATTCTTTTTCGATCTTTTTTTCATATTTATTTCGGTCTTTTTTTTTCAAAAACTCGCTTCTCTTTATTTCAAGGTTTTCTTGTTGCAACAGAAGTTCTATTTTCTCCATATCTATGTATTGCTAGCTATGTTAAAAATCAAGTTGCTTCGATGTTTTTATGGTCTTTAGCCAAACTGAAGCTGAAATCGTCTCTACATTGAGAACCTGAATTTCGGAAACTGGATAAATAGTGAGAATGAAGAAATTCCAGTTCATTTTGAGCTGTTCACACAGACGGGATCTGTAGAAGGAAGGCTAGAATTCCTATATTTCGAAACTGAATTTGGTTGCGACGACTCGTTTTTGCCATACTGTCTGACCTACCTTTCACAATTTGTTCGATGAAGCTTATTGTCAGATCTTCACGGCAATGGAATTTTCAGGCTACGGTATAGGGACGGTGAATGCGATGAGTGACGGAAACTTGCTGGAGAAACTCCGCGTGACGCAGCTGCCGACGATCGTCGCCGTCGTCGAGGGCCGCGTCGTTCCTCTCCGTCATAACATGGTCCACATCAACGACCGGTTCCTCCTCCGTTCTCCACTTTAGAATATCAGTTCTGCAGGATAATCCGTCAGTTCGCACAAAAAGTCATTCCCACCTACTTCATAACGCGAGTCAATTCTCAGGCGTCGCTCACGAAGTTTGTCGAGCAGTGGAAGACCAGCAACAAGGTTTTTTTTTGTTTTTAGTTGCTTCTGCCGATTTCTGATCGTCTCTCCTTTTCTTTCGGATCGCGAACAGTTTTTATACGATTTTCGAAGCGTTCCTTCAACTTTTCCTCACATACGAGAAAAAAGGCTCTAGAAGTTGTTTTGAAATGAAAGTATTTTAGCACCAAATGACGTCACACATTTTCAGTTCGCGACATTATTGAAATTCCAGTCCTAATTTAAATTGAGTCTTGCTTTTGACTTTCGTTCATTCCCTATCTTCAAATTTCGACTTTAAAGGTATCTGTAGTGATCTTGGGGGCGACACCGGAGCCGCGAACGCGATATCTGCTCGCCGCGATGCTGTATTCGCAGTTCGCCAGATTCGCCTATGTCCATCTCGGCGACCCATCTGACGAGGTTTTTCAGCAAAATTCATTCCCTATGATTCTCTCGGTAATTTCGAAAGATGAAAAGTACATTTTTATTCTTTTTTCCTCTGCATGAATATCGAAACCCAGGTTGCGAGCCTTCGACAGTCGCTTCTTGTGAAGTGTACTCAATGCGAGAACGTTCTCATCTATAACGATTTCAAAGAGGTTTTTTCTTCTCTTTTTCTGTTCATTTTTTTTCTCAGTCTGACGCCGTCGGAAGATTATCGATCAGCCACGCGAATCAACTCACAAAAGAGAGTTTGGATTCTCTTATCGAGAAGCATAAACTTTTAACGCTTCCAAGGGTTTGTGTTTTCAAAGTTTCACCGCCTTCAGCGTTTACATACTAAATCTGAAATGCTTTTTTTCAAGCCAGTGAGAAAGGAAAATTTTATCAAAAAGTTTTTCACAACCGAAGCCTTCTTTCAGGGAAAAGTTGTTTTTTTACAACACAGTAAATCGTTTTAGTCTAATAGGCTCTCCAACTCGAACTTTCAGCTTCCTAAAATCAGCGATATCAAATCTTCATATCGCCTGAAAAATAGTGTTATGAAAAGCGCTTAGTTCATTAATGTAGCTACATTCACAGGAAAACCTTTTTTCGAAAGTCATCGCCATTTTTTTTCATCTTCGCGCCGAAAATGGCAGTTTTCAGCTGTCTTCGATGGCTCTCCTGGACGCGGTTTGTCCTGTTTCGTCGAGATCGCCCCGTCTTCTGTGTGTCATTTTGCCCGTGACCTCCAGCGGCGCCGAGGCAGTTCACGTAGACGCCTTCCGGGAGTTCGTCAAGGAGAATGGCGCCGCTTGGGCCGCCAAAAAGGTTTCTTTCAAAAAAGTCTCTTTTTCAATTTTCTTTTGAAAGATCCATTTCGCCTACGTTTTTGTCGACAAACAGTCGGATTGGATGCGGCCGTTCGTCGAGAAGAGAAAAGGACAAATGTCGGTGAGTTGTTGTGTGGGAGATTGAAAAAAGAGTACTCAGTAGTTTTTTTTTTGTTTTGAAAACTTTAATCTTTTTCAGAACTGAATTTTTTATGTTAAATACTTCCAAACGATGTTTCCTTGTCCGCTTGATACCTCTTCTACCTTTCAAGAAAGAAATTTAAGAAAGTTTTTGAAGTTGGTAAAAAGTTGATAATCTTATTCAAAAAGCAAAATAAGGTGTAATAAACTGCAAAGAAACATTTGCACATGCTATTTCATTCTCAGAGTTTTTACATTTCAACTTTGTGGCCGGAGTTTTTCCATAATGATGATTTTCGAAGCTTGATCGTTTCAATTGCTGTGAACTAAAACTGAAAATTTAGGAAAATTCACGCGATTTGTTAGTTATCTGGCGTTTGGAGTACGTCAAAGTGAAGTTTGCTTGGCTGGAAGGGGCTTGGACCGGAAGGCGTCAGCAAACGGAAGAGGCTATAGTCAAAGTGGTCGAGAACAAAATCCGCCTGGATGACGTCGCTCGTTTAAGCATCATGGTGACCTTCCCGGTCTCGAAACAAGAGTAAACGCGGTTCTGCAGACAAACGAATACGCGTTATCGTGGTTCACTCGATGGTGTCGAGCTCTGTGGCGAATGCTGGAAACGCTGTGGTTCTACGTCACCCAGGAAGAGGCCTACATTGTCCTCTCCGCCGTCGGGACTTTCCTTGTTATCATGCTCGGCGGCTACGCCCTCAACTACGTCAACCAATCGGAGGACTTCAAAAAGAAGCCCAAGACGAACAGAACTGAAAAAGACGCCGATTGGCACCCCGATGACCCAAAGGTCAAGAAAGACCAGGAGTCTGTGTCGCAGCTCAAGGCTCAGAGGTGAATTGACGTCGAAAGGCTATGAAAGGAGTTTGAACAACAGGATGATGAGCACAATGAAGCCGTTGATGCACGAGCTTCGCGCGGAGACCTATTTCGGCATGATCCGACTTCTGAAACCCGGCTGCCGGTCGCTCGTTCTCATCGTCGACGAAGAGAGCCAAGAACGTCTTACGCAGCAGTTCGCTCAGTACATCTACCCCATTCGCAAGTGAGTTTCTCGAGAATTTTATTTTGGCCTTTTATTATGTTCTGTTCTTCAAATAAGATTAGGGAGGAGACCTATTTATTGTTTTCGTCGGTGAGCTCTTTTGAAAAAAAAAAGGGTTCCATTGAAACTTGTAGCCCCCAAGTATAAATTAGAGGTCTTCAACTGAGAGAGCTAGGTTTCCTGAATGTGAAACTCATGAGATTATCTTTCCAATAGATTCTGTGGATGAGCTATTTTTTTTCCGTCAACTTTTTCCATTTCTTGGCTTTTCAGTCTTACTTACATGGAAAAGCTAGGCTAAAAATCGTTAAAATTTAGTTGCATCTCCTTTAATTATTAAAAAAACTATATTTGAATCTTGATGCAAATTTTTTTAGAAAAGTAGAGCCTCCATGAGTTTTTTTTGTTGTTGTTGCAAGATCACCAATTTTTCAGCTAGAAGCAAAAAAACATGAAAATTAATATTGCAAAATATTTGTTCACAAATTAGGAAGCCGTGCAGATTATTACTTTCATGATCTCGATTTGATACACCGAAAGTTTAGTTGAACTTTTTTTTTTCGAGCGTCTGTTAGTTTTTTCTTAGTATTTTTCTTATCTGCATTTTCTTAGTATCATCGGGCCGTGATGTATCATTTTTGTTTTCAGCAACAAAACTTTCTCGTTTGGTTTTCTGGTAGTCGACAAGAACCTTCCGTGGTTCCGCAAACTGTTGGAACACACGCTGCCTCTTGGGGAAGATGCGACACCAAAAGACGGGGAAACGACTCTCTACGAGAAGCTCAAGGTATTCGCTGATTTCATTGAATATATTCATTATTCTTTAGTCTATCAATCCGCGCCAGACGGTGGGTACAGTTCTCGCCTTGTGTGGCTGGAAACTCTACTTCTCGATTTACCATCCGAAGCACGCCGAGTGCAGTCGCCGGTTCCTCGCGGACAGCGACGAGGATTTTTCCGACAGCGACGACTACGACGGCGTCTTCGGTCGCGGCAGCGAGGAGCTTGGCGCCACTAGAGAAGAGGTCCGCCTGCCCTGAATAATGACGCTTCTGTTCCCTGCTGAAGAATGGATTATAAATCTAGCAATGAAAACGCTCAAAATGAGTATACATAAGGACAAGGAATAGCGAGATATCAGACCCGCGAGTTTAGAGCCACGCGAAATCCTGTCATATTTCAGAAGGCGCGGCTACAAAGAAACGTTTCGAGGCGCTACGTCAATGTTGAAAACGTGCTCAACGGCTTCCCGAACTGGCTCGACAGGCTGCTCGAAGGATCCATCAGACGGTGCGTCAGCCTATATTCATGATAGAAAGCCGAGAAAAAATAACGAGGGTTTCTGCGAGTAGAATGGTGGTCAGTAATTAGATATGGTAGGGAAACAGCGAAACTTGAGCGTGGAACTCGAAAAAGCTCATTTGTGAAAAAAAATATTGAGAAATATTGAGAGCTGACTTTGGAAATATGTAGCACCGAAACCGAAAATTTGCGCATATACCATCTATGCGGGATCGATATCTGGGCGAACAAACATTGTTTTTTAGCAAAACCACGGGAATTATCTAGCTTCACATCAAAGTGATTATCTTTGTTGAAGCTTTTTTTTTTAAAAAGTTCTGAATCTCGTCTGCCACGGCTCAAATTTCGAGCTTATCTGAGCTCTCATTTCTCTCTGGCGCTCTTTCTTACGTCCTTCATTTCATTCTAAATTTCACAAAAATTGCTTCTACCAGTCAAGTATCTTCAATTTTTGTAGATACTACATCCCGGAATGGCCGGACAATCTCAAGTAAGTCGGATGAGCCGTCCGTCTCTTGGCAACGGTCATCTCATCTCGTTGCTCTCATTCATTGCCCTTCTATAACTCGTCAGGATCCGGATCTTATTTTTCCCGACCAGAATTTTCTTGTCTGTGATTTCAGTTTATATTTTTCTTCCTGGACTACACTACACTTCTGTCAAATGAAGTCTCAAGCTTTAATTACATTTTTTTCGTGTTCAGCTTTTTTATTTCCTTTTTGAAGCTCAATTTTAAAATCTCATGTTGGTGTGTGCTATAAATCTTTCTCAGTGTACAAAGCGCTGTTCAATTAGATTTCAATCAATTTTTTGCTCTTTGCCGTCATAATATTTTTTTTTAATTATTATCATCTAGTCACTTTTTAACGATGGTGCCCTGTTTCTGTTTTTCTAATAAATGATTTATTTTTTTCTTAAAAAAATTTACAAAAACTAAACGTTGAAGCGTAAATCTCCAATATATCTTATCTGACAGCAAACAACTAAAATTCCTCGGGCGACATCGCATTTTACAAATTTGAAGATTTTCTTTCGGGTGCGTGAGAAAAGCTTTTTCTCGCCCCGGAGTAGGCATTTATCTTCAATTTGGTGCAAAACAGGACAGCGATTTGATGGTCCTTCTATCCTGCAGAGAGAAATTCTCTTTTAGAATGCCTGAAGCGAACCCGAAATGTGTGAAGAAGACACTGAACGCCGGCCGCGGCAAGCCGAGCAACTGGACCGATGGCACCAAAGCCGTCTTCCACTATCGTGTCCTCAAACCCGTCGATGTCGTCGATCCTCGACAAGGCATGCCTCAGCACAGGTTTCAGACTTCTCGATGTGAATACAGGATTCATTTGAGCAAGCGTTTAATGATCTTTCTCTTACTAGCATCCGAAAGGGTCCAGAAGATACTGCGAAAAATAATATATTCGGATACGTATCTGTTCTGTTCAAAAAAAGAGAAGCATACAAACTGAGTGGGGAAAAAAGGTGTAGATAAGAGCACAGGCCGAAGTTTCTTTTTTTTTTTTTTTGAAACCAGCAGTTTCACTATTTAACAGTTTGCTTTTTTAAAATCTAAGAAAAGGCTCCCCTTTTTCCTAGCTTGGGAGCAACTTTTATTCCAATTCAGTTACCGAACTTTCAGCGACGCTTTTGTGTGCATCGACGACACTCGAAGCCAGTGGCCCAATGGCTACGGAAAACCGCTCGAAATAGTTTTTGGCAAGAAATTCCAGTTACCCGTCTTCGAAACTTGTTTGCGTTCGATGTTAGTAGACGAGGTCAGTGAGTATTCCTAATCGGGAGTTTCGTTTTCTCAGATATCCCAGTTCGACATTGAGTTGACGGAGTTGGTCCCCTATCCGCTGATGTCGAAAAAACTGCGTGATATAGTGAAGCCTTTGGAAAACGGACATGGTCATTCTCATCATATGTGTGCCGCCAGCATGGCCAATGGGTACGAGATTTCCTCGCGAAATACGGATAGATGAAATTTTTTTGATTTGAAAAAAATTGCTCGAAGTTAAAGTTTGTTCGTCTGCCACTGAGGAAAAAAAAACGACTTCAGTACGGGATACCCTGAGTTGGACGACCTCATGAAGAACCCCAGGCCTCTTCGTTTTGTTTTCCACTTGCTGAATGTTTTGGATCCGGAAGAGTACGAGGCTGAGCCGTGGCAATTGAGCAACGAGGACAAACTGCTGGCGGTCGAAGAGCGACGGCTTCAGGGCAACTCTCTTTTTGCGATGGTTTTTTTTTCTTTCTTCGACTCTCAGAAGACCGCTTTACAGAAAAAGTTTGATCAGGCTATCCAAAAGTATCGCGAAGCTTTAGGATTACTAGACACCTTACTTTTACGGGAAAAGCCGGGTGATCCGGAATGGTCAGAACTCGACTCTAAGGTTAGTTCATCATTTTCCAAGAAAAGTTGCCGATTTGGACTTACTTATGCTTGCAATGTAACAGAGATTTATAGAATGTTCCACTGTATTTGAACCTGTCTCAGTGTTATCTCAACATTGGAAACGCCTATGAGGCAGAACAGACGGCCACTGAAGTTTTACAACGGGACAACCTTAACGAAAAAGCGCTTTTTCGCCGCGCAAAGGCGCGAATCGCCACCTGGAACCTGGATGAAGTCAGTTTCATCCACATAATTTTTTATGACTGTCGCCTTACAAATTTTTCTATTTCTAGGCAGAGTCCGACCTGAAACTTTTACAAATGCAACATCCAGCTTCGACTTCTCTAGTAGCAAACGAACTGCAAAATCTCGAAAAACGCCGCATTGAGAAACAAGAAGGCTGCAAGCAAACATACGGGAAAATGTTTCAATCAGCCTAACAATATTGCCTCATTTTCTCAACCTGTAGTGTCGTATTCAAAGAGATTTTCGCGAAATTCGACTTTATTTTTAACATTCTGAAATCTAGTTATCTTTTTCACTTTTAGACGACTTATTTGAGTTTCACGGAATCACTCCGAACACGGCGTAGAAATTGAAACGGGTCATTTTTCTTGTATTTAGAAAAAAACTTGAATTCTTGTGGCGTAATTACCCTTCCTGAATTTGTGAATTCAATCACCCAACATCCAACAAAACTTTCCTCGACCTTTAAAATTTTTTTTTTTTGAATAAATAATGACGACATTGTATAACTTCGTGTTTGAATGAAAAAAAAAACTTGAAAAATCAGATCGATTTTTCCCAACATCCAACTAGTCACAGCAGTCCAGACCTACAGGGACCCGTCCGGTTTGCACTGCGCCGTCTGCGCTGGTCATACTAGACCATTTTCGATAATTTTTTTATATTTAATAAAAATGAACAAGGCGATTTCCGGCATTAATAGATAAAAAAATTGAAGATAAAAAAACTTTTTTTATTCACTAAAGACGCATTTCCCAAAAATTAGGCCATTTTTTTGAGGCTTTCTAGCATTTGCAAAAAAATTAATTGTAAGAACTTAATTTGTATCATTGAGTGTTTTGATTGTGTTTTTCTTCAAATTTGCTCATTTTTTCGTACAAAAAAAACTCGTTATTAACAAAGATATCGCCGAAAAACCATTATTGGTGTATGCACAAGTTAAACATACAGTGTGCCAAATCGGACGGGCTGAACAGATGTAAACAAAACTTTCCCCGACTTGGAAATTTTTTTGAATAAATAATGACGACATTGTATAACTTCGTGTTTGAATGAAAAACTTCAGATAGATTTTGAAGACCAAGGAGCTGAAAAAAATTGCTTTTTGCCAACTTTTTAGAATTTTTCTAATTTTTAAAAAAATTTTTATCGTTTGAAAAAAAGACGAAGTAGTAACCTACATTCATCTGCAAGTAAAAAAATAATATTGTAAACTTAAAGAAAGTTTGGGGGTGACAAAGACATAGATTTCTGCTAGATTGTTAGTTCAATTCAAGTATAATCATGTGCTATTTTTTTAAATAAATTACCAGTAGGACACAAATTTGATGTAAATACAATATGTATATTAGCCCAGAAGAGCAACCGAGAAGTATTAAGAAGCCGGAATTTTTCAAAAATTGCAGTGCTAAAAGAAAGTATATTTTCGAAAGAGTAAAAAGCCGATACAGGTCACGGGCATGCAAAGTTCCATCAACGCAACTTGGACTTATAAGCATATTTATGTACAGTTCACATGCGCTTCATTATCTAGAAAAACTAAAATAAGCAAAAGCGAAAAAAGTTTGAAATTAAAAGAAACTTGAGCGAGGGCAATTTAGGCATTGGCCCAGCTCTCCAGGTCTGCAAGATCTTCATCGTGAGCGGCAACCTTTGCAGGACGGTTCGAAACAGCGGGAAGTCGGCTGGCAGGTGCATCCGGAAGATTGATAGGTGCTGGGTTCGCGTCCAGCAACTTCTTGTCCAGTTCTTCCTTCAAAAATGTCTCATATCATGGAGCAACAAGAGATTATGATAAAAAAAAAAGTTCAGATCTCTTGCCGTTTTCAAAGTGATTCCGCGAAATAAAGAAAAGCCGTCAAAAAGTGGAAAAGATAAATAGGGGGTCAGAAGATTTGGATTTCGCGGAAGTTACTTTGAACGCCATAAGCTACATAAGTATCCATCTCCATCGTTGATCGTTTTATTTTTTCTGTAAAAATAAACCTGTTCAAGTTCTTCAAGTTCGCGCATCAAATCGTCCTCGTCGATTCCAGTGTTGAAACCAACTGGATTCGAAATAGCGTCTGCGATTTCATTCGCCACCTCTTGTTGCTCGGCAATATCCTCCATCAGATCGTGGACCTAAATTTTAGATGCGATCGTATTAGCTGATAATAAAAAAATAAAAAAATAAAAATATTTTTTTGTAAACTTATCAACATAAAATACCAAAAATTCCCTACATAAGGTCGCTGAGAACGATTAGAAAAACAGAATCAAATAGATTCATTTTTGAAGAATGAGAGCTGGTGAAAGAAATTTGAAAAACAAGTTTCATAAAAAAAAAATTATTTTTCTTAAGTTTATGCTGTTTCGTACTTATTTTTTCACCTTTGAAAACGGAAATCAAAACAGAGCATTAGCAGTACTGAAATAATTACTTATCTCAGTCAAACTGTGAGTCATAAAACGAGTAAAAAAAAACGCCCCAAACAAAAAAAAATAAACGCAGTACCAGAAAATCACTTACTTGATCAACATCCATATTATTATGAGCAGCTTTTAGAGCTTTGCTCGCGCCACCCATCACTTGCAAAAACTTCAGCATTAGTAGAGGCATTTTCAAGAGCTTCTCGCTGGAAACAAAAAAATTAGAAAAAAATTTTTCTCTATCTTTTTTTCTTTCTCAAAAATTCTGGTCCATTATTCAAAGAAAGAAAAAAATAGATTTGTCAAATTACGAAAGTTAAACCAATTCGAAGTTTGGCAATGTAAGATCGCTTTGATTTTTTTCATTTTTTTGGGGATATTACAATACATTTTTTTAAAACCCGTTTACCGCATCAACTTGTTGCGGTCGCGATTCGGTGGTTTTTTTGCGAAAAAAATGCAAATTCCAACGCAAGCTGCCTCTTTTTCTGATAGCTTTTCGATCTTTTTTTGTATTCGTTGGCATTACAGTTGGATTGATAGTTGTAAAATAGAAAGTTTTTTATTCAAATATTTTTTTTTTAATTCGCATTTGAACTTCTCGCCAAACTTTTCGACACGACAGGAACAAGTAAATACGGTAAAAATGCTTTTAACGCCTTTCGATTCAGAAAAATTGATTATAAAATTCATCGTTTGCATAATTGAAGACTCAATTAATGCAAGGCGTATAAAAGTTTCGAAGCTGCCATGGATATAAAAAAAAAGAAGAAATGACGATCTAATTGATGCTCAAAATATTATTTACAAATATCCAGTTTGAAGACAAAGCTTATAAAAATAAAAATTTCAAGTTTGATAACTTGTACTGAATAAGCTGTATTCGAAAAAAAAAACCTGAAATTCTATCGTGTTGAGAACTCCGTCGATATGATTGAGCTGCTTTTCAAATTGCCTTTTGCGATTCAATGCGTGAAGAGCTAACCTTTTGTTCTTTGTGCCGTGTCTAACAGCCGTTGCCTTTTCCTGAAACTAGGAAATAGCTTTTCAATAGAATAACGCTTTCAAAGTTGTTTTCAAGTATCAAGAACTAGAGAGTTAAGCTATCTAATTTCAAGTTCTCAGAAATCGCTTAGGACGCGCCTAATCGTAAAATTTATTTCACAATAAAAAAATCAATAAATAAGGATGCTGACAAAAAAACTGGTCGGTTCAATTTTCTTTTAAAAATGAGACTCACATCATTAATCTTTTTTTCTAAGAAATCTTGTTTCTTAATGAGCATTTCTTCTGTCTCGCGAAGCTTTTGAATGGCATCTTGTGTGGATTGGACTGGCTCTTGCTTCTTCCCTCCGAAAATTTTACCAAACAAGCTCATCGTTCTTCTGAAAAAGTTTTCAAAGTGCTATAAAAATTAAATTTAAGAAAGACATAATAGAATAAAAAGAGAATGAAAAATCGAATGAAACGGTTCGATGAGTCAAGATAACACGAGGTGAACGATTTTTAAAGGCGCAGACATTTACTGGCAGCCTGCCCAGCGGCGCAGCCCCTTCCCATAACAATGTCAACTAGAGGGCTGTTACGCACAGAATCTTCGGGTTCACTTCTGAATCTTTTCGGTTTTCTTGCTTTTTTAACGATTTGAAGTTATATTTCGGCTATTTTATCGATTTGGAACGAAGAATCTCATACTTTGATCATTGCTCAAGCTTATTTCTCTTGAAAAACCGCTGAATTTTTAAAATTGTGATTCATCTCTTATTCAAGTTTTTTTTTCAGCAATTGAGCTTCGCTATTGATTTGTTTTACAAAAACCTGTTTCAAGTAGTTTCTCTGTGATGTATTTTTTTTTCAAAAACTACTCTTTTTTTTTGTTTCAAATTATTATTCATATTGATAGTAAACCATGGTGAAAAGTTAAGGACATCTTCTTTTTTTTCGCTGATGAATTTGTGTTTTTGACCTCAGTGTAATTAATTATATAGCTTTTTTGCGCTTTGAAGATATCTATTAGCGCTATGCCGTCATTGGAGTATCGAATAAACTTTAAATAGTGAAGTTCGTTTTTTACTTTTTTTTTTGAATAATGTTTATATATAGTTCAATATTTATTCAACTCTTGTTTGATGAAAAAGAAACTTTTCTTCGAGTTCTGTGATAATATCATTGAAAGTTATCTGATTCATCATGTTTTTGAGGTAATCACCTCAACATGGATAGGAAAGCTATTGCCGAGAAGATTAAGAAGCTCCAAGCGAATGCGGAACACGTTCGCATTGGTGGAAAGGTGTGTTTTTAAATAAATATTCACCTTCGAAAAATATTTTCCTCAAGGACATTTTCATAATAATTTATCATCTTTTCCCTCGGAAACAAAGAAATTGTGCGGAATGATCTTGATTCATTCAGCATTCAGCCATCGAAAGAGTAAGTACATATCTAAAGTAGTTTCAAAAATTGTTTGGAGGTATCTGAAATAGTTTTTTATCTTTTTCCATTCTAAAAGCTTTTGTGCGGTGTTGAAATGGACGTACTTATTTGTTGGCTTGAAATTGAACTATGAACTGCTACTCGTTTCGTAAATTTTTAAAAACAAGGGAGACTTTTCCAAACTTTAGGCGAGGTTCTGCAACAACAAAAATTAAAATGTGCTGGAAAAAAAAACTGAAAGCATAAGCGAAAATTATGCCTTTTTTCAAAGTGATTCCGCGAAATTCGAAACGACAGCCAGATAATGGAAAAGATTAATTAAATTTTGAAGAGTCACAAATAATTTTGCATTTTGCGGAAATTTATTTGACCGCGGCATAAAGTTTTGTCATGTTTTTTCTGCGTTTCATTAACTTTCAACTTGGTAAACTGGTTATCCAGCAAATGATATTTAAAATATTCCAACCTTTGCAATACATTACTTTTACTTTTTTCGCTATCATGATCTATTGAAAAAAATGATTATAGAAAAATTTCAAATCTTTTTTTATTTTCTTTATATCAGGGAACCCCTCGCCGAAAGAAGAAGGTGATTCACAAAACTGCTGCTGCTGATGATAAGAAGCTTCAAAGCAATTTGAAAAAGCTCTCAGTGACTAACATTCCTGGCATTGAAGAGGTTTGTATTTTATTTTTCTTTTCTTGATAATCTCCTTGATTAAGGTTAACATGATCAAGGATGATGGAACTGTTATTCACTTTAACAACCCGAAGGTCCAAGCGTCTGTTCCAGCAAACACTTTCTCGGTAACAGGCAGCGCTGAAAACAAACGTTGGTTCAAAGTTCAAAACAGAAAAAATGCCAATTTTTACAGAAATCACCGATATGCTCCCCGGAATTTTGAATCAACTTGGCCCTGAGTCTCTAACGCATCTCAAAAAGTTGGCTAACAATGTCACCAAGATCGGCCCAGACTCCAAGAATGAAGATGAGGATGTCCCAGGTAATTGTCATCTATCTCGTTCTTTTTCAAATTCTTTTTATTTCAGAACTTGTTGGCGATTTCGACGCAGCTTCGAAAAATGAAGCAAAAGCCGAAGAAAAAGCTTAAATTTTTTCATCCATCTGCAATGGACGAGTGCTGTAAGATATAGTTCGTTATGCGACCTATTATCTTCCTTCTCAACTTGTTTCTTGTTATTGGAGTCCACACTTGGTATCTCTTCGTATATTACATCCAATTTCTTGTTTTTTTTTTTTACTTTCACCCCATCAGTGTTGATTGTTGATATTGTTTTTCTTGCAAAATTTTTATCTGTTTTCTGTTCTCCGACAGCTAATAAAACTTAGCTAATCGTTAAGTTTTTATTGACAAAACATTCAACAAGCTGGGGTAAAAGATGTAGTCAATTAGTTTCGGTGTGTTAACTCCAACTTGGGTACCAATACTGATTGAACCGATCATTCATTTTTATCTTTTTTTGTTGTATTTTAATAAAATGTTGATATATTACTGAAAGTCTCAACCAAATTCGGTAGTAGTTCCTGAAATATTTAAGAGCTATTTGAAATCTCAGGCGTGGTTATTTTTAAATATTCAAGAAGATATTAGGAATGTCTGAAGCATTGTCCGGGCCCAATCAGCAACTTCTGGTTCTGAAAGGTAGACATTTTTTTCTCTTTTAATTTTAAAGAAAAGACGTTCCAAATGGTTTTTCGAGCGTAGAAAACGCTGGATAACTCACAGCAGTTCACACCTACAGGGACCCGTCCGGTCTGCGCTGGTCATACTAGACCATTTTCGATAATTTTTTCTAATTAATAAAATGAACAAGGCAATTTCCGACATTAATAGATAAAAAATTGAAGATAAAAAACTTTTTATTCACTAAAGACGCATTTCCCAAATTAGGCCATTTTTTGAGGCTTTCTAGCATTTGCAAAAATTAATTGTAAGAACTTATGCCGTGTTCAAAGTAATTTCCGCGAAATGCAAAATACCCGTTAGAGAAAGAGAAAGATAACTAAATTTTGGAGAGTCAGAGATCATTTTGCATTTCGCGGAAATTACTTTGAACACGGCATTAATTTGTATCATTGAATGTTTTGATTGTGTTTTTCTTCAAATTTGCTCATTTTTTCGTACAAAAAAAACTCGCTATTAACAAAGATATCGCCGAAAAACCATTATTGGTGTATGCACAAGTTGAACATACAGTGTGCCAAATCGGACGGGCTGAACAGATGTCACGCATGTTTAAGACAGTGCTACGGCGGCCGGTCAATATTGCGCCGTCAGTTTCGGAGACAGGAAATTTTTTAAATTTTTTTCTTTTTTTCCAATTTGTTAAGGACCTATTTTTCGAGGTTACAAGATAATTTACGCCACAAAAAGTACACAAATTTTTATTTTATTACCAAAAAACCTAGCTTGATTACCGTAATACGACCGGTCGCCTTGAACATGCGTGATGTGAATTGGGAGTTTTTTGGTGGCTTGTCACGATTTTATTTTTTTCCGAGCTAGTTTTTTTTCAATTGCGACTTTTCGATTTTTTCGTAACGCTAAGGAACTTTTTGACGAAGACGTTTGCGACGAATGCTTTCTCGATACCTTCCACGATTTGAATTTTTATAAAGCGTTATATAGTAAGGACAGATAACAAAAATATCTCGAAAATTATGTGCCCAAACCGAGAAAAATTAAGAGACGAAAATACAGAAAAGGTCAGGAAAAAATTAGTTGAAAATTTCGTCGTCGAAAATCTCTAGCGCAGTGAAAATTCGAATAAGTCGTCTTCGGAAAAAAAAGCCGCTATATTCGATTCGCATCAGTTACTGATTGGATTTAATAAAAATTTGAAACCAGTGAAACTTTTTTGTCTAAAACAGGAATTCATTGGGACTTTTTCATGATTTGAAGGTAGGAGTTTCGAAGAACTTCCTATGAAGTTATGAGAGATGTCACGTATGAGCTCTAAAAAAATTTCAAATTAACGAGGAGGAAGGCTTTTTAGTGATGCGCTTGGCAAGAGCTAAGTTGGCAGCAGTAGACGCGGTTTCTGTGGATCCTGTAGATCCCGCAGGATACGGCAGTTTGATAGAGGAGGGTATGGCACAGAAAACCGGTGAAAGAAGATTCGATTTGCCGATAGGAGATTTCATGATAGCGCCACAGATGTTCGAGTAAGTTTTTTAAATAACAGTAACGTTTTTATTTCCGAAAGCGGGTGATTAATTAAATATATTTTCTGGATGGATGGTCAGTTTGTTAATTTTAGAAATATCTATTTGGGAGAAACTTTCACTTTCTATGTTAACGTCGTGAATGAAAGCGATCAGCGCGTCTCAAACGTTAATGTCAAGGTTTTGGTTTTTTGTAATATTCATTTCCTTTCCTATCCAGTGCGAGCTTCAAACGGCGTCTCAGCGAGTGCAGTTGCCTTGTAATCTTCAAGATGTCCAATTGTCCGCAGATGATTCGGAAGGCCAAATAATAAGTCACGAAGTAAAGGAAATCGGTCAGCACATGTAAGATTTTTGCATTTTTAATTTCAAATAGACCAGTTTCGTTTTTTCTTCATTGGATTTCTGAGGATCAAGCCTTCTTGGTTTTGATTGATTCTAGCAGTAAGGAACTTGAGAGAGTGGTTGCTATAGCTACTTAATCCTTTTGTTTGCCTTTTCACGTCGATTCATGGATGATAATTCATTTTGCAGTTTGATTTGCGCTGTCACCTATAAAACGTCTACTGGAGAGAATATGTACTTCAGAAAGTTTTTCAAGTTTCCAGTCACAAAGCCGATCGACGTCAAAACAAAGTTTTATAGCGCTGAGGTTAGTAGGGGTCCGAAAATTTTTTTTTTGAATTCTTAAACTTGTTTTTTTTTAATTTCTGATTTTGAAGCTTTGTGCCAGTGTTATTAACACTAACTAGGGTATGGTCTCCCCTGAACATCGAGTTGAGAATTGAGACTATGTGGGTTTGATAGGCCTGGGTAAATTCTCGAACTCAAAAATAAAATTCTGCTAAACCCCTGCAGGCAACCGAGGAAAAGCTCGTCGAAATTTTTCCCAGCGCGTATATGGCAGAGCTCGGAGCCTCCGGCTAGCAACTGGCGGCGTGGGGTAGTGGTAGTGGTCTCCCGCAGATTGTCAATATTGGGACCAGGGTTCGAATCCTTTTGGCGGATATCATTTTTGCCGACTTATAATTTCATCATTTTCACATTTTTTTGAGAAACTTTTCAAATAATTACACTAAAAATTTTTTTGAAAAATGACAATTTAAAAAAATTTATGATTGCAAAAAAACCCTTTTCTCTACTTTTTTTCTGTACACTGGCGGATGGAAACAATCTGATCGAGAAAAAAATTCGAAATTTAAAAACTCAGGAGGCAAACTATTTTTCTGCGAGTTTTGAAATAATACGGAATCAAGTGGTTGTAATTAGCCTTGTAAACTCCAAAAAAATTTTTTTATAATGAGTTTTTGCAATCAGTAAATTTTTTATTGTCATTTTCTTGAATTGTTAGTGTGGTTTTTTGAAAAAATTTCTCAAAAATAAGAAAATGATGAAGTTATAAGTCGGCCAAAAATGATATCCGCCAAAAGGATTCGAATCCTGGTCCTAGTCGAAGGCTCCGTGCGCGGCCATACGCACTGGGAAATTTTCGACGAGCTTTTCCTCGGTTGCCTGAGGGGTTTAGCAGAATTTTATTTTTGATTCCGAGAGCTCTTACCCAGGGCTATCATACCCACATAGTCTCAATTCTCAATTCGATGTTCAGGGGAGACCATACCCTAGTAAGGCTGCATGTTTTTCAAAGATTTAAAAGTGGTATAAAAGTTTTAAGGTGAGTGTTTTAAATTTCAATAGATCAACAATTTTGACACTGAGTTAGCCATGTTTTTTTTTCATTGGAATAGTTCATATGAAATAAAAGTAGTTAATTAGGCGCAGAGTTGTTTTTTGGGTTTAGGATGTGTTCGATATTGTTTTGGCCATAAAAGGTAGAAAATTATACTCAGTTTATACCTTTGAAGTGTATTTCAAACTTTTAGAACAGGAAATGGTCATAGTGATCATTTATTACTAATTTTTTGATGAAAACAAGTTGTCAGAATAAAAGAAAACACTTTCTGAAACTTTCTTCTTGCATGCGTGCTTTCCGTGGTGCCTGATGTGTCTCAATTGACTTCAGGACAATGCAGTGAGTTTTTGTTTTGTTTTATTGAAATTCTTCATATAATCAAATATGTAAAGATGGCTTGGCTTTGAATGTTGCTATGAAGCGAAGAGACTCAAACCATGAACGTTATATTCTTTCATTTTGATATGTTAATTTTTTTTCCTTTCGTTGGTTAGATTACCGTGAGAAACCGTATTTCTTCATATTGGAATGGCTTCGACATGTTTTGTTTTTATTTTTTAAATGACTACCAAAGTTAGTCACTAATACTGTCCAGTACAATTATATAAAAATGATCATATACCTATAGCTGCCTTTTAATCAAATTTTTATTCTTTTGAACTCCTCGATCGCTCTGAATTAACGTTTTTTATCATCTCAGAACCAAGACGTTTATTTGGAAGCTCAAATTGAGAACACTTCCAATATCGAAATGTTCTTGGAAAGAGTCGAGCTTGAACCGAGCAAACACTACAAAGTGACTAATATTAAACACAGGTTTGAACTGCGAATCAGACTGAGCTATAAATCAAGAAATGAAGAACAGAAAACAAAGTGTGCGGATCTGCTCTTCGACCAAAAGATATACGCCAATTCCTTTTCTGTCTGTCACCTGTCGATGCCCAGAATACTTTGGGGTAGGGTCTCAGTTTGTCTTGAGAAGTTTAATAAGATTTCAGTTACAAAGATCTCACGAGTATAGGGAAGCTTGACATGTCTTGGAGGACGAGCATGGGCGAGCGAGGACGTCTTCAGACAAGTCCTCTGCAGAGAATTGTTTGTTTCAGAGACGCTTTTGATGAAAAATAAGAATGAAAAAAAGGAGAGAAAGAGAACTTGATTTTATGATGCCAAAATATTGACGTGGCTGTTTTTATGTCTGTTACTACTCAGTTTTACCGTGATTTTTTACTTTAAATGCGAAAATTGTCTAAAAATATTCAGTTTAGTTGATTTTTAGGCTCCAGGTTATGGAGACGTTCGACTTTCTATCGAAGAAACACCGGCCTGTGTACCAGTCAGAACGCCATTTCAAATACTCTGTCGTCTTTATAACTGCTCGTAATATATTTTGAGGCCCACAAGAATTCAGCTAAGAACTTTGAGCTCCTCTAATAGGAAAGATGTTTTAGCTCAGGACATCTGAGCTCGCAGAAAAAAAATCGCGAGAAAAAATAGTTTTACTTTTTTCATTTAGTTTTTGCTGATTGTTTTTTTTTTTGTTATTCTTATAACCAAAACAGAAAAGAAAGATACGTTGAAACGCGTTAAGATATAAAATTTATCGTAACCGAACTTTTATTTTATAGTATTCGTTACGAAAAAATTAAGAAATTTCTTCTTTTTTTTTAGTTATAAGGAGCACTAAGATAGATGATAAAAAAGAAATTTTTCAAAAATATTTTTATGCTATATTTCAGAGATTTCGAACGTTAACATATTCCAGGGAACGATCGCTAGACCTCCAATTGCGACTCGACCAAGTGGAAAACAAGCAGTTGGTCTTTTGCACTCCTTCAGGGACAACTTTGGGACAACTGGCGCCCTCACAACATGTCGATTTCAAGCTAGACGTTTTCCCTGTGACGGTGGGATTCCAGGTTCGTCTTTTTGTTCAAAAAAGTTTTTGAACAAAATTTCTTTTTCGAGAACGTTTTCTGAAATAAAAAAAGATTTTGCAGTCGATTTCTGGGATTCGAATAACGGATGGCTTCACCAAGCGCACATATGAACATGATGATATTGCCCAAGTTTTCGTTTCGTAAGCTTTTCGTGAAGATTCAAAATAGTTCCTGCTTGTTTTCATCCCATTCCGTCGGAAAAATGCGGGTTTTGTTACTAAATTCTTGGTAGGCATCGAATGTCATAGCTTTCCAATTATTATGCATGTGATAATTTATCGAAAGACACGGTTCAAAATGGAATAAATAAGAGAGGTGTATGAGAGGTGTACTTTGGACACTGTAATAATGTACAGAAACAATGAAGAGAGGGCCGGGCTTATTTGGAGCGTTGGGAAGCGTCCTGCCAAAAGCAGGCCTTCATGTTTTCGAATCGGTCGTAGCACGAAATGTAGGAATAATCGAGAAGTGTGACGTTGCCTGGTCGCTGGTCGCAAAACGTCAGACACTGAAATCAGACAGTTGAAATCGTGCGCCACGTCGACCAAGTAGTCCAGAGTCTCAATTTACACCGGTCTAGCTATTTGACTCGATTTTTTACTTTTACTTTCGATTTGAGCATTTTTGAAGGGATGTAAAAATGGTTCAAAAGTGCTGTCGTATATAAAAAAGGATAACTTTTGACAGTCTGTGAAGTTTCGTGAAATATTTGATTTAATCCATCATACAAAACAGTTAGATAAGGAATAGGAAATTTATTCATTTTTGAACTTGTTTTTTCTTTACGAGGTTGATCAGTGCCGAAGAGACTTCTGATGTACGCCTTAGTCGATTTTGAACTTTAATTTTGTCTTTCAAAGCCCACAAATTTTCCCTAAAGCTTAATATTCGGTTATAACAAAACCATACGCTGAGCTTAATGAATGTAAAAATGAGAGGCAAAAACTATGCAACTATCAAATTGTGGCAACGTACTTTGTCTCCGGCGAGAGTTGTGGCGACCCCGTTGCGAACACAGCAACTCGTATGGTCCCGTCCCTGGGCGGCGCAGAATTGGATCTCAGCCGAGGCGGCCAGTGGACAGGCGTCTTGTCGGAAGTACATCTTGGTCAGCTGAAACTCCTCTTTTCGATTCTTTGAGAAGCTGTCTCTCACCGCGTCTTTTGAGTATGTGTTGAATGTGCATTTCTGGAGACAAGCGTCTGGAAGACCTCTCTGTTCACAGCATTGCATGAAAAGAGCGTTGGGATCCTGAAAAAGTTTGGTTCATGAGCAAACAAGATAAGGCTCTGACTGAAATTGGAAAAAAACATGGGGCCTTTTCATGCCAAGTTTTTCCATTTTTTTTTCTCAGGAGCCGAATGGACTGAATTACATAACAAAAAATTATTTGATTCTTTGATGGATATTCAAGAGCTTCTAAAAAGGTGTCCCTCGGAAATTCTCCAAATTTGTATGACTTATTGGAAAATTTTTAGTTGATTTGATCATTTGTCGATGAAAACTTCAGATAAGAAAGCTCCTACAGAAAGAGCGCGGAATGAAGTAATTGAAAGCCAAGTATTGAAAGCAACTGGTTTGGCTGAACCGTTGTCCTCACTCGGCGACCGGATGTCGTTGCGCAGAATGTGCCACGCATCGACGGTTGCGGTTGCAAACCGGCGGGATTAAACCGCCATGTGGTCACTCGCTCGTTTCCCTTACACGTTTTCGCGAGTTTTTGTTGTAACTTCAACAGAGTAAATATCGCATAAAATCTCGTACTGCGGGCTTAAGTTCCACGGAGAAAAAACCAATGTCAGCTCATACGGAAGCAGAAAGTTCTAACTTGATATATATCTGACTGATTGCAAATTGAAAGAAATAAAAACTTTTCAAGGTGAGTGGTACTTTTCGTTCATAACGAAAGATATTTTAGACATCAAAAAACAAAAAAAACTTGCCGCAGTCTGCTTGCGGAACTGTGAGAAACGGTCGGCACCGAAAAGCACAGGTCCAGCCTGCCGAGTTCCGGCGCCGTGAACTCTGGCCTTAGTCCGGTAACATCCGTAGGAACCGCACGAGAATCCCACGCCGCAGCCTGAATGCCTGTGATCAGGAAATATAGACTTCCTAAAAGTTTTATATTTTAACTTTTTTTCACTTCGAATTCGGATCAAGCTTGCCTTTTACCTTTCATAAAAGTAATAGGCAGCCTAAGTTTCTGAAAAGAAACTTACCCCAGAAAATTATTTCAAAGCGTTACATCGTGTTAAGACTGTGGGAAAATTTACAAGATTTGGAAATGAGCTCTTGCGATGAATTTTTCTACTCTAAAAGCTGGGTTTAAACTTTATAAATTGAGAGGAGACTTGAAATAAACTTTATAAAAGTCTCACTTACTTTTCTGTAGATCTTGATTATTCTATATATGATTTTTGGAACAATTCAGTAAGCTTTTGCGAAGTGACCGTCGCTAGGAAAACGTACCGCTACTGGCACACGGCGGCGTGATAGGCGGTATCGGATTGAAGCAGGGTCCAAGACCGCAGGTTCCGCTGGCCACGCACTGAAGGATACGTTTCATCCTTTTTAGATAAGAGAAAAGGAAGAATTTGTCAAAAAGTGGGTAGAAGAGCTTAAAAACTAGGACGAAATTTATGCATTTCTAATTCAAATCAAGATAATGCTTCTTTGACAAATTTCAAGGCAAATAAATGACTTACAGCGTAAGTAACTGGCAAAGCAGCACAGATAGCAAAAAGGACGGATATCATTGCAGTAGATGGCTGAACGACAATCCGAGTTACAACAAGCCGATATTTTATACCTCGGCTGCTGTCCAAAGGGGGTGGAGCCTCGGTGTTACTGTGCCGCCGAGCTGAAGACGCGCCAACCGGTCGTCGAAAATCGGGTTGAAACTTTTGTGTGTGTTCTCTCCTTTACTAGGAAGTTGATAAATTAATGAATTACTGAGGTATCTTCTGAGATAACTTAAAAACATTCATTATATTGAAATTTTTCAGATAAAAGTGGGAGGATCAACATACTTCTCATCATTTCGGGAGTAATGCCAATCCTTTTCTCATTCGAAAGGTAAAAAGTTCAGTTTCGAACTTCCATTTCAGTTTGAATGAGAAACCAATTTACTTCTAGTGAGCAAAAAGAACCCTCCAAACCCTTGCTCCATCTTGTCTTGTTTGTAAACGTTCAAACTATATTATTCATTCGCCAAAATTTTTAAAAGTCGGATTTCTTCGAGGCTTGGGCCACATAGCTCAAAGACCAAAGACTGCATAGGAAGACCTCTTTGAAAAAAAATATTTATAGAAAGTTTTCTAGTTCAATAAAATTTTGCTCCGTTTATTTTTAAAAAATCAAAAAAAATCTCTTACTTTCATGTAATAGCTTAGCTGGCAGACCACCCATCTAAAAATCGGATTAACGGGATTTTTAAGCTCTCCGCGCCAATGATTTGCTGCTTTCTGACTCGTTTTACAATGTTGCGAGAGTTTACGATCTTTCTGAATATCAAACCATTTCGGTAAGGGAAGAACGTGAAACTTTCTTCGAAAACTTTCCAATGTCGATTCCACTATTTGCGTAACAAGTTTATTTTTTCGACATTACCAATCTTAACTTCATCATGATTTATTTTTATCACCAACTGATATTTTGAATGAAATTTCGAGCTAGCTTTCATTTTTCGCGGCCATAGATATGGACAATCAATTATATACGGGCCCTAAACTACCACGCAAAGGTTTCCATTACTTATATTCTCGGTGGTCGAAATACCACGAGCGCCTTCCTTGAGAAGAGAAAGCGGACAGAAAAGCGAAAGCGGAGCTCTTTGAGTCCTCTGATCCAGTTCCGGAAACATCGCCGGCCTTGGGAAACCGAGTTTTTCCTTTCTCCTTTGCTTGACCACTTACTTTTCCTTCTTTTCCTTTTTTCAAACATTTTGAAACTCACTCTTCTTTTTTTCAGAGAATGCGGAGTGTTTCGATAAAGATTTTGTACAAAAAGAAAGACTGTTGGCGACTTTGGAGAAAACTTCTGGATATGTAGATTCAATTGGAGAATCTCATTAGAGCTGTTACTCAACAAGAATAGAAGGTTTCGATGTGTATTGAAGGAGTCGAACGATCCCTGTGTTTGAACTTTCGCAAAATTCTGGACATGCAAATCAACAGCTATGATTTTCTGCTTTATGTAAATTTTCTTTGGGAACTTCGCTATGTAAATTAGTTTCTGCCAATTTTTATTCGTATTGTGGGAAAGAAAATCTGAAAACGATATATATGAGTCCTCCGTTTCTTATCATAGCTTTCCCTCGCTTTTCTTTTGAAAGAACTTTTTTCTCTTAATTTATCTTCCATTTCGGAAGATCTCGAAGCGAAAGGGAAACTTTCGTAGGCATATAACACCAAGGAATTCTCTGAAAATGTCGTCCTTTCGTTTTTGAAATGAAACGGCGTCAAAAAGTAGCCAAGAACGTACTGAGAAACTGAATAACGACAGTTCCTCGTCAGATAATTAATTGAAACTACAAATTGGATGACGCGATTCCGTGTGTCCTTATAAGGGTCGACTTCTAGTTGCTCGTTTCATTCTCTTTGATTAAACTCTCTTCTTTTCCATGTCACTTTCAAAATGTTTTCTTGGTTTTTGAGAAACGTCAGAAAATATCAAATCACTTCATAAAAACACTCCAAGTTTTCATAAACTGTCTTCGAAAGTTTGATAACGGTTTTGTAGAATGTGTATTCTTTTGAAAGCACTTTTCTGGACGACGGCGCTTCTGACGCTGAAGGTAACGTTGGCCTGCGTGAGCACGACGGGAACGATTCCAATCACAATCACGACGACAACTCCCCTCATGACGACAACGACTGAACGGAAGATGGCCGAAGATACCTCCACAACCACCACTACCACTACTAGCGGACCGCCAGGTAGGCTCCAGATCGTAGAAAGTTTTGATGGGAAAAACGGTGTTTCTTTGTGATTACATCAGAAAAGATTTTTGCTAGAGCTTTTTTGCTACAGTAAGTCGATTAAAGTCTGCGTTTCCTGAACCAAAATTTTTCGAAGGTTCTTTCGTTTTTTGAAGTTTGCTTCGAAAACCGAAAGAACCTTCGAAAAAGTTTGTTTTTTTAAACGAAACTTCAGTGGCGCTGATTTGAAAATTCTGGCCGAGAACTTTAACGGTTGCAGTCACGACACCATTGTGCTGCGACGGACGTCCAGAGAACACATCACAGGGGCTGATTACGCCGCCTTTCACCTCGGATACCTGCGAAACGGTGCCACACACGTTGACCTGCGCCTACAGTGGCGCCACCATACCTGTCCACAACGTCGGCATGTACATCAACGATTTCAATGTTGTGAGTTGACCGAGCGAACTGCAAAAACTTATCGAACTTCCAATTCCAAATGACGTAATTTCAAGTCGCGCTTAACGAGCAGTGAACAAAAAGTTTTTCAAAAACTCCCTAGAAGTAGTTTAATGGAAAAGCCAATTAAAAACTAAATAAAAAATTTTGGTTTGAACTTTCCAGACCGCTTTTGTAAACTTGGCTATTCAAAAACCTAGAAAAAAAAATTCAGGATAGCTTTATCTTTTAATTTTCAGCTCTCTGTTCTGACTGCCGCAAACTCGACAGGGTCTTGGCAGTTTGTTTGTGACACCAGACTCGGAAGGTTCCGGTTCACGTCGGCGCAGCTCAGCAGCAACACCTTCAACTTCATCGGCTGCGCCTATGTCGACGACATGAACAATGTGATAAGAAAACCAGCCAAAAAGTAAACCACCGACTCAGTTTTTTGTTGAGGAGAAAGAAAGCTTTATTCTGATTACAAGGAAAGTTATCAATTGTCGCCGAAAATGTTGGGGTGCTGGTCCAAATGAGATTTGAAGCACTGACGAATGAGGTCGAAGTTCTGCATGCAGAAGACGTGCTGCACGTGGTCTGTCGGCACGCTTCCCTCTGCCGCGCAGTAGGGCAGACAGGCCGGCAGAACGTTGCTGAAAACTTTTGGGTTGAGAGATGAAAGCACGGTGTGACTAGCACTATGAAGTGTTTAAAAAAGAAAATTATCTGTACGGAAGAACTAAAACAAATTAATGTCGGCTTCATATTATTTTGAAAATTCCGCGCTTTTATTTCTCTCGTTCATTTTCAACGAAATAAAAACAACTAAAACAATGGATTGCTAGGAAACGTTTGATATAAATCATTCGCCGCGTCTTGAAACAGGCCGACATTTCTGGGTCCTCCTTACCTGGTGATCGGGATCGAAAATCAATGAAAGATGAGAACTTTTCAAACTGTGGCGAATGATGTTTAGTATACATCTAAATGAAAATGCGCCATAAAGGCTCTACATAACGGAAAACTAGAGGGTTTTCATTGGGTTTTCGTAAAACCGTAATTCAAAGCAGTACTTTGTAGAGCTTTTCATTGCGAATCGAACGGTAAACTTGAAAACGTCCCGAACTTCCTATTTTTGGAGAAAAAATAATTCAAAGTCGGAGAGAGGAACGTTTGAGTTCCCGCAGAACGGGCACTTTGCAGTAAAGTTGCTCTATGGACAACAGGCTTCGCCATCTTCGGATATTCGCTTTTTTCTTCGTTTCTTTCAATTTTCAATTTTTTCTGTTGTCACCAAAGTTCTTTTCGTCACAAAAGCTTTCTATTCATGTATAATTTGCAAACTTTGATCGCAAAAAAGCTTTTCTGGTGAAAAATGATGATTTTACACAGGTTTCGATGGGGATAGCAATATTTTGTGTTTTTCTTTATTATCGGTGTGTTTTTTTGTTTTCTTAATCAATTTTTTTCAGAAAAAGAAACCCTTAATTTGAAGCATATATTCGGTTATTTCTCACAAAATGCGAGTCTAATGAGACGTCCGCAACATCGCGTGCACGGCTACTGTAAACATGTGTCCGTATGCCGATCCAAAGCATTTTTCAAAAATAAAGCCGGGAAAGTAAAATCGCGTTTTTCTTCTAAAGTTGTCACATCTTTAATTTTTTCGAGTACACTATTCGATTCGCAAAGAAAAACTATATAAGATACTACTTTCACCTGAAACCCCATTTTTTACTGCCCCTATGCCTTTAAAGTTTTTTTAATTCTCTGAATTATCGGAAAACAAAAGTAATAAACCCAGCCTAAACCCAAATGGCGCAGAACAAGTCTGCGCCTAACTATCCAAAATTTGAGCTTACTTCATTATTTTCAGCACATATCGCGATAGCATAGCCATTTCGTCCAAAATTTTACTTATTAGAACTTCAAGATCATTTTTTTGAGCGATCAGTCTTATTAAAAATTGATCTGCAGAGAGACTGAAGAAGAAAACTTTTTTTTGCAACATGAGGTGTGGTCAGCACGCGACGAAGCACAATCCCACATGAGCTGGACTGTGTCGTTCTTCGGAGAACAGACGTTGAGGTAGTGGAGCATCTGGAAAGTCCCTTCTGACCGACAGAGTCTATCAACCCACGTTGTTCTGATTGATGGCGTCGAAGTCGCAGAACCGACGTTTGCACTGTTTGTCGGCGGCCTTCTGCCTGGCACAGCACGCCTTCAGCTTCTGGTTGGCGTCCCGGCGCAATTCGACAGGAAGAATACTGTTTCGACAATACATTTTTATTTTTCTTGGTTTCTCTTTGAAAATCACCAAAACACTTATATTTCAGTATATTTTTATTCCCGGAATGATTTTGAATAAAATTTTTCGGTCGTTGCCTGAAACTACTCAAAAAAAAATTACTATCCACATAAAACTACAGAATGAAAAGATAAGAGATTATTTTTTGTTTCTATGATACCTTTTTCTTTATCGCTAAGAACTAATCTTATTACAATACGAGAAAAAGCCAACCAAAGCAGGAATACGTAAAGGAAGGCGAGAAGCAGCCTGAAACGCATATCTGAGTGAAGGGCCACCGGCGGCCGGACCACAACAGCCTTTTACGGCCATTGAACAATGCCCATGTGAGTGTTGTTGGCCGAGGAGCCCTGGTTCGGGACGGTACCCCGCAAACAGAATTACTTGTATCCCCCAAAATACAAAATTACTTTCTGTTCGATTCGGTGAGGGTTTTTATGGATAAATCCGTCTCGAAAGTTCGGCGAATCTGGATGCGGCAGTGTATTTGCTCTCACTGAGAAGTTTTTTTACTCCATGCCAGGCACCTTTTTTTTTTAGAGAGGTCAACTCTCCAAAAACAGGGAGTTTTGCAAGCTGAGACTTTCAGAATACCCATTGCGCAAAAAGTTTTTCAATGAAGTAAGAAAATTATGAAGTATCAAGTGACATAGTCACATGGCTTTCACATTTTTGAAATTATGATCTAATAATTTATTGATTAGAAAAAGAAAATCAAAGATATAGTTGAAAGTTTAAAAAAAGATCACGCCAGTCGAAAGTTTAAAAAACAGGTTTGTGCTTTTGGAAGCGTAAAAGTGAGATCTGCCTTATCATGGGCAATCCGGACTTCAATGGGGTCACAGGTCTCGATTTTCACCGCCATTCGCGTTTCGACCAAAGCTTCTCCATGCGCGTCTTTTGGCTGCTCCTCTCACTTTCCGGTCCGTTTCTTTTAAATCCAACCAAACCACGACCAGTTTCTTAAAAAAAACGATGAAAATTTGTTTTGAAGTTCGTCCTCTAATGAACTATTTTCCTGTACAGTTTGTTTTTTAAGGCTGAAATTCGTCTAAAACAAATCATGTACAAAATAAATCCAATATTTCGAGGCTTTCCTTCAAATCAATCTTAGTTGCCCCAAAAATTCACCGTAAAACTTCGAACTAGAAATTTTGAACATCACAATAACTTTTTCAGCAGCGGTTTTATGTGAAGAGTTGGTTCCCCATGCTCACGCTCTGGGAAGGAATCTTCGCGCAAGGCCTGAAATAAGGAGGTTGAATGTTCCATAAGACAACTTCAATCTGATTTTTTCAAGAGCACCAGTCTCGCGGACGTCGTTTGCACCCTTGGCCAAAAGTCTCCGGATGTCTTCCACAGGAGTTCGACGAGCGCCGCTCGCGGCCTCGGTCCAAGTTCGTCCTGCTGTCGTGGCCCGAGCGCCGTTGCCTCGCCAGCCACTGTCCATCACCCAGATGCAGATGGCTCCACTGCCGATTCCGCAGTTGATTCCAGTGCCAGTGCCTATTCTGCAGCTTCCGACGATGTCGCCGAAAGACCTGGCAACGTTGCCAACGCTGCCGCCACATACACTCCCGACATTCACGCCGCTGCCAGGTCTGCCGACGATGCCTGGACTCACGATGCCGCCGTCCTTCCAACGACTTCTCGGCATCACTACTTCCACGATGGAGCCTCCGGAGCGTCGTCGAGCCGAGCCTGAAGACGTAGAGCCACGCTCTTTCAGGTGATCACGGCTTTCGAGAAGAAAAATACACCTATTTTGTCGAACTGTTGAACATTCAGACTGCCCATCATTAGAGTTGAATGTAGCAGGTTGTGAATCCTCCTTTCACTTTTGTGTTAAAAAAAATTGGGTGTGTGTTCAGAGTTTGAGAACATGACACCTTTTTATATTGCTTATTATTTCTCGTTGTTGGATTCGATCAAAACGAAAATATTTTGGGGCTCTTGGTTAGAAAACTCGAAGATTTCGAACGAATAATCCGGTAACTTTCTCGATAATTCAATTCACTGCGTTGCAGCGCCGAACGAAGCTCCTCGAAAGGCGGAAAAGAACTTTCTTCGGTACGATCACGGCTTCCAAAGTTTGTGAAGAGCGACGAAGACGAAGTCCAGGAAGAAGAAAAGGCCGATTGGGTCGTCCCTTTCCATTGATTCCGAGAGTTCTTTATGCCTAATAATTAATAAATGTATCATATGAACGAATAATAAAAACTGAAGCGTGAAACTTCTACCACTCGGAACGACTCATTTCAAAAGAAAGTGACAGCGCTTTTTCATAACAGCATCGAAAAGGCTCGTTTTCCTCATTAGAGAGAGGATTTTTTTTGACCGTGTCAGGAGACATTTTTGTTATCTAGATGGATCGTATGAGCAAGGGAAAGACGGAAGTCGTCTTCGACCACAAAAATGTCGTCGTTGCCTGCGACATCGTCGCCGGAAACGTTTGATTTACAAAATTCAGCAAAAATAAGCAAGTATATCATTATATTTTACTGGCTGAAGTCCTTTCTAGTAACTGTAATTTTATGGTAATTCATGTATTTCTCTGATGAAAAAATGTATGACACATAAAAGGCTCAAATAGGTTTTTTTTTATTTACGTTGAAAAAGTGGACAGGATTAGTTTCTCAGTTGATAGTGATAGCATTGTAGTGTTTTTCTTTCTTGTTAAAATGTTTTTTCGTGAACGGGGAGTGTATTATATCAGACGAAACAGCTTTTTCCAGTACAATGTTTACCACTCTTTTTGAGACGATAACGTGTAGCCGATTCACGAGCTTGGCACGCTAAGGGGGCGTTTGTCATAAAGCTGATATCTGAATTTCTAGCTAATAGTTTGTCCGTCGGATTAACATTGCGCAAAAAATCGCGATAAGGAAAAAAACTGTAAAAGAAATAAGCGGGGCCAGTGTTCAGGTGAAGCACGTGGATTGCAGTAGTGAGCTTTTGGGTATCGTTTTTGCCGGTGACACGATCGTTTCTGTCAATGGGGATACGGTAGGACCGGAGAATGAAATTTATTTCTTCTTCTCTTGCCTCAGAATGTGAAGACGTCTAACGACTTCACCAGGGCGATCAACGCAAAACTTCCCGGCAAACTACTAATTGAGTATCTTCGTGACGAAGACTGCACCGTCGAATTGAAGGTGGAGCCATTTGTTGAAGTCGTTCTAGCCTCCAATTCCTATGTTTAGCCTTTGATTCCGCGGCGTCCGAGCTCCGAAATGTTCGAGATGCTACTCAAATACCGCAGTGGTGGGGCCACTGGTATTTTAATCCACAGGGTGAGCAAAATGTGCCTTTGTATCTTTTTTCTTTCTTCGAACAAAGATCCGAGAGCCTGCGTCGAAAGATAATGATTAAGGTTCATCTGATTAAGTTAATTTTTCAAGTTTAAATAAAATTTGCAACGGATTTTTTTTTTCGATGAGTGGGCATCCCTCGACGGTGATGATAGCAATGGTGGAGACGGGGTCTTTGGCTTCGAGGACTATTAAATCAGGTGACATCCTCGTCAAGGTCAACGACACCTACGTGTTAGACCGCGACGCTGCTAGACAGGTTGGTCCAGATGACAGGTTCAAGCCGAAAACTCTGTTGCAGCTGCTCTTTTCCAGCATTTCTGCCAACAAACAGGTCACTCTCACCATCGAACGAGCCATCGGCCTCATGTCTCTTGGACCTTCACCCCCTCCTCCTTCTGGGGTCCGTCAGCTTTTGATTGAAATTATTTAGCGATTTCTTCAACTTTCATCTATATTTCGATTAGTACTTCATATTTTGACGAATTTTTAACTAAGCTGAGGTGGGTACTCTAGGGAGAAAAAGCATCCTACGGAGGTATACAAAATGATCCCTTTTGGGCCCCCTATAGGTTCCTCTAAATGGTCATTTACGACCCACTTTAGCTTTTCTCGGAATAGGGAGCTTACTTTTGTAGGAAGTTTTCATAATATGAATTGATTTTTGAAAATTCAGATGAGTTCGACTCACAGTCACAACTTGCTTGAATTTGTTTCTGAGAAGCGAAACTTCGCTCGTCTTTTTGGAACTTGTCTCATTCTTGCAGGCCAGAACAACAGTAGCTGCTACAAGCAACATTTCTTTGTCCAAGGAAAAGTCCTCCACCATGACTGCAGCGCTGACCGTCAACAAATATCTTGACCAATCCCTCCCGGTAGTTTTTTTTAAAGCGCCTTGATTTTCATCGATTTGTTCCCTAGGCCGATGTTTTGGAAATATTGTCGAGCAACAAAAACTTTTACAAAGTCGCTTGCGCCCTGCCTCCTTGCCTTATTAAAAGCAAAGAGACGGGTACGAACTTCTCTCCAGACGATTTCTCTATCTCGTATCTTCTCAGGTACATTGAAAGTGGATGACGGAAAACTCGAGGTGCAGATTCCCTACGACCCGTCGCCGAAACCTCTCCAAACGACACCGAAGCGACTCGGCTCTTAGACATCATCTTTTGGTTTATGAAAGAGCGATAGACGTTCACGAAAAAAAAAGAAAATGAAATTCTCTCTCCGGATTTGGCTTGGATTTATATCCAACTTTTCTGACTACAAGACGAGGAGATGCGAAAATTATAACAACGTTTCCGTCTAAAAACGTTATTTTTGCAAATCGGTCAAGCTGAAAAGTTTGACTTGGAGGAGCTCTAAAAAAAGGTCGTGAGCTATCGATTCTCATATTTATTGAAGCTTTTTGACTCAAGGCTGGATAAGATAACTTTGATTGAGTGCCTCAAAAATCTACTAGGCAATAGACTTTAACTTTGAGATTTGGTTTTCGAGAAAGTGAAAGCTCATCGATGAGTTCTCTAACCGATTTTCGAAGAAGTGAGACAGAATAAAAAAGGCTAAATTGTGTGAAACTGGAAAGTACAGGTAGAACAGTTGCTGACGCCAGTCCTTCTTTTGAAAGGCGAAAGTGACGAGCGAACATGTTCTCGGGGCGGCCTTCTGGTGACCTCTTTCTGGCAACATGGCGCAATTCGACGCCAGACGACGGCTTCTTCGCCGCCGATCGATTATCAGTTGGTCGATGTTGTACGTCTTCGTGCTGTTGTTCCTTCTCCCGGCGGCTTCGACCGCTGCTGAGGAGCCCGAATTTCCCGCCGACGAAGTCATTCAGCTCCCGGTCGGCAGGTTCATCGTTTTCACAAAGACCTTTTTCTGTTTACTCTCAACGCGATTTCGATTACATGTAATTGTAAAAAAAAATGTTCCTTTATTCGTTTTCGTTTTTCGAGGGGAAGTGGGCGTGGCTCTGCGGCCTATTTCATTTAGACTCGTGCAGTCTACAGTTTATTTGGCCTCTGGAAAAGTTCAGCTCTTATCATTTGTTTTGTGAACTAGGAATGTAGGAGCATACAGTTTCATTTGAATATTAATGAAACTTTCATGAAATGTATGCAGTTTAGCTTCAGGAGTTTTTTGCAACGAGCGTATAACCGCAAAATTTCAACTTTACTCAAAAAGATAAGAAAATGGAATAATTTTTTTTCGATCATTATTAATGAAAATTTAGGTTTCCCGATCCCGATTGCGCTTACAGCGTACGATTCAAAGATAACAACGGGAGAAAAGTCGATAGGTGAGTATATCAGATCTGAATATGAAGAGGCTCTCAGATTTTCAGGGAAGTCAGCGTTGGAGAACAGCTTTTCCATTCTTGGAATTGCGAATACGGCGACCACGAGAACAATCTTTTCTGCATGATGGTGCACAACTGCACCGTCTCCAGCAACAAACAGAGGCAACAGCAAGTTTGTATTTGGTTCAGAATATCCTCAAAGAAACTTCACCATCCATTTTCTGTTTTCTATTCCCCGAAACTTCTTTTTTTTTTCTCAAAAAATTTACATGACAAGTAATTTTCCTGACTTAAAAGGAGATGGACGCTCGTTTGATGTGATGACTTTTCGTGGTCGCGACGCGGCTTTCGGAGAAAAATGGAAGTTCAAACGGGATCGTTAATGCCCTGTTCAAAGTGATTCCGTGAAATGCAAAATGACCGTCAGAGCAAGAAAAAGAAGATAACTAAATTTTAGAGAGTCAGAGAAGCTCCGCATTTCGCGGAAATTACTTTGAACACGTCACAAAAAACGTGGAAACAAGGAGTTCTGATATTTTAATTCACGAAGTTTAGGGCCGATACCATAAAAGCAAGAAAGCTTGAGTAACGTTGAACTATTAAATCGACCAAGGTGGTATTGAATAATTCGGACAGAGGCGTCTTACAGTCTGTTCAGATTTTGAATTTCAAGCAGCTAACGGCAGAGTATATAGACTTTCTTTGTTCAGCTTATTGTAAAAAAAAAGGCCTTTAGCTGATTTTATTCAACCAAATGTTTATCAAATGAATTAGGTAAATTTGATTGATCAGCATTTTACAAGAATATTTCTTTCTGTCCGAAAGCAGTCATGAATTTTCCATGAGCGTCTAGAGACCGAACCATTTACATATCATTAATTTGAAATTGATGAACTTGATAACGATACCTTTCATCATTTTATCGTTCAAGGTGGAAATAATTGACGAATTCGGCTGCTCTTTGTTTCCGACTATCTTGCCGCACGTGAGCTATTCCGGAGACCTCGATGCCGGGCTCCAGGTGCACGCCTTCTCCCTGGACGTGGAGCAGGTCGGACTACATTGTATTTGTTTCGTATCGATAAAACAAAGACTTCAGGCAGCCGTATATTTTTCGTGCAACGTGAAGATGTTGTTGAAGCTGAACGGCGTTTGTCGGAGGCCCATCTGCCAGCCTCTCGAGAAGTTTGGACGTCCGTCGAGACGACGCAAGTCTGCGTTTTATTGAAATAGTTCGTTTTTTTAATGTTTTATTATGATTTTGATTTTCGCAGAGTAGCTTTCATTAAATGCAGCTCTTGGTGCTCATTCGAAATATCGACTATCGTGTAGTTAGAAAAAAATTTCCTGAAAGTTGGAAAACACTAGTTTTCTTTGCACATAACTGGTCAGTGGGTAAAGCACTTATTGATTTATTGAGTGAAAGTATTTTTCTCCTTATCGAGTTGGACCAGAACAGAAAATATGATCAAAAGGGCTATTCACAGAGGCAAATATTCTGATGAAACCGACAGATCCTCTTCACCATATGTTTGTTTCATTCACATTTTTTTCGTCAGAAAAAATTCTATAAAGAAGCTCAAAAGGTTTTTCTATCGTTCAAACGATGTTTCCATCATTTATAACTTTCAAAAAATTAAAATTAATCTGAACCTTTTAAATTACTTTTGAGAGTTCTCAGAGAATTTTTTGTTTTGCTTATCATTAATTTTCAATTGTTCTTCATTGTTTGACTCTATTTCAGAACAAGCCGCTGTTGTACATTTCATGAGCCTTCTACAAAACTACCGCGGGTAATTTTGACTACCATTCCTTAAAATTTTTTTTTCCAAACCATAGTGGCCAATAAATATTATCGTTTACTTCATCTGGATAACAAAAATCACTAAAGAGACATCAAAAATGCGCTGAACCGGCAAATCGAAGAGCTCCGCGTGCTACCGCTTGAGTTTCCGGAATATAATGTCCGCAAACGGTCAATGAATAGAAATGTTTGCTCAAACATTACGGCACCTTTTTTCTTGGCTTCAAGCTACAAAAAATTGAATGAAATCTCGCTTCTTCGGGTTGAAACAAGGTTTAGTTGCGAGAAAAATATATGTACTTCACAATGTTTAGCGTGGTAGAAAGCGAATTCGCTCTTTATTCGGCTGGAAGAGAAAGTACGCTGATATGAAATTTTGAACTTCAGTGGCATTTTGAAAAGATAAGGTCACTGGAAATATAATCAAAGATAAAAGATGTTTAATTTGAAAAATCTCGAAAGTGTTTTTATCGACATCTGAATAATCTCATTACCGTTAGTTTCGGGAACTTCTCGCATATTCTCTAGCTTCATTTAGCCTTAATTGACCGAAAAACTTCATTATTTTCACTTAGTTTTCATTCCAGGTTCTTATTAATCAGAAACTTTGATCTCAATCTAGACTTGAAGTTTAAATATTTATCAAGCAAGGTTTTCATAATTTTTCCCTATTTAAATAAATATTTTGACTGGAAGTTCTAAACTCTTAAAAATTATAAAAACATAACAAAAAGAAACAAACGGGGAATTCCCACCTTGGCAAATTTGGATTGGTCCTTCCTGGCGCCGCCTTCGAACAAGCAAAAGCGTCGGAAGCGTATAAATACAAGCGCGAAACACAGTCCTTTTCGAAAAAGGACACCTTGCCGGACGTTAACTCGATCGCTTTGCTCTTTTGGACTCGCAATGCTTCTGGTCCTGTTTCTGGTCGCCAGTCCTTTCGCAGTTCAATCGCAAATTTGCGACGGCTGCTCGTTGTTACAAAAATACACGACTCCTCAACTTTACCCAGCCTACGAAGGGTATGTTTTTTTTGTTAGTCTTTGGAGATAATTCAGCTTCTTTTTTACCTTTATTTTGCTCGGCGCTTTTTAATTTTTACAAGTGTTGGAAGCAAAAATAAAAGTCCTTTTTGAAAAACAGGGAGCGAAATTCCTTCCGGAAAGATTGAAAGTAAACGCTTCTAACTTTCAGAGTTCAGCCTACGATGCAACAATATGGGACTGAACTTGGAAGAGCCATCGCCTACAGGATCCACGCGGTTTGAGGACATAAAAAACAAGTCTTTCCAAAACTATGGTTTTTAAGATGTACGGGGATATGTTTCCGAGACCAGGAATTCCTCAAAATTGGATGAACTACCGACCCCCACCTCCTCGACCGGCAGCGCCAACTTATGCCAACGAAGTTCCTCCGCCACCGCCGCCGGCATTGCCGAATTATGGACCTCTGGACTCCCCTCATCCGCCGATGGACCTCCCATCGGTCCGCGAAAGCATCTTACAACAACAGCCCAGTTATCCCCCTCCCATGATGTCTCCGAGTCCCATGGTACCGCAAATGGACGGTTATCCTGGACTTATTCCGACGTCATTATACTCGGCAAGCTACAGAGTCCCCAACCGATATATTCTACGTCCAACTTTGGCCTGCCCTTATTGTACTTGAAATAATTATCCCTTCTTTTATTTTGAAAAGTTATTCACGTATTTATGGTTATAAACTCTGCAATTAAAAATAATTCAAGCAAAGCACAAAAAAGTAGAAAAAATTTTCCTCGGTCTCACATTGGGGGTTTTCAAAGTTGAGATTCGTTAAAAAATTTCTGACCAGGGAACGTTTTTTACCCCCCGGTTGAACTTTTGCTGAAACTTTGCTTAAGTGTACTTTAAGACCTCCTGATTCCAGAACAAGAAAAAAATTTCTCGCAATAGATCTTGTTTCTGAGTTTTGGAGCTTCAAAGTGTGCAAAATACGCAAATTAGTCCAAAAAAGCGCTATTTCGGGCTTTTGAAGTGTCCTAACTCGAAAACGAGAACTATTGCTAGAAATTTTCTTTCTGTTCTGGAATCAGGAGGTCCTAAAGTACACTTCAGCAAAGTTTCAGCAAAAGTTCAACCGGGGGGTAAAAAACGTTCCCTAGTGAGTAAGTTTCATGTGTATCGTATAAAAAATATCCACGATGCAATATTCATATATCGAAAAAAATTATCGTGAGAAAGAAAAACCTGAATCTCTTCTTTAATCGGAAATTCTCTCTAGTATTCTCTCCGAAAAACCAGAATCCCGCGACATGTACCAGAGTGTCCGAATTATCACGTCGTTTTTTTTCTTCTTCCATCGTAAACGCGGCAATTTACGTTTATATTGAAAAATATGTACGGAAAAAAATGAAATCATTTTGAACGAATAACGCGTCTATTTTGAAATCGCCGAAATTACTTTGAACACGGCATGAACGCTGCATGCAGCATTCGCAATCACTAAGAATAACTGACGAGATAAACGCGAGCTCGGTGGCGGTACATTGACTAACTCGCAAAAATGTCGCTTTTTTCTAGGCGCGATCCCGCATTTCTCTCGGCGCGACCTCGCATTTTTCTCGGCGCCATCTCGCATTTATCTCGCATTTCGGAAATTTTCAAATTGCGAGAGAAATGCGAGCTCGCGCCTAGAAAAATGCGAGCTCGCGCCCAGACAAATGCGAAACCGGCGCGAGAAAAAAAGCGAGATGTTTGCGAGCTCGTCAATGTACCGCCAGTGTCTCGCGTTTATCTCGGCAGTTATTCTTAGTGTGCGTAAAAATAAAATCGTGTCGGTTCTGCCGAGCTAACGCAGGTTTTCTGCAGTTTTGCGGCAGACTCCCCAAGCAACTGTTCCCGCGCATTCAAAGTTTTTCAATTTTCTTTTCTTTCACACGCGTGTTAACATTAAATTTAAGACAGTGTTACGGCGGCCGGTGGCAGGTCAATATTGCGAAGTCAGTTTCGGAGCCAGGAAATTTTAAAATTTTTTTTCTTTTTTACAATTTGTTGAGGACCTATTTCTCGAGGTTACAAGACAAATTACGTCACAAAAAGTACACAAGTTTTATTTTTATTACCCAAAAACCTCGCTTGATTATCGTAATACGACCGGCCGCCTTGAACATGCGTGTTCAAGCCGCGTTCAAAATTATTTCGCAAAATTCGAAATCATTTGTGGCTGTTCAAATTGTTCGTTATCTTTTCCCCTCTCTCACGCTAATTCTGATTCCTGCGAAATCATTTTGAACACGACAACTCGGTGTTTTGAATTGCTCCCTAAAAACGCGAAAAAGTTCACTTGAATAGAGCTTTTTTTTCTCTAGTTACCGCTGAAATACGACGACAATATATCGATATATATATCAGCAATGTGATCGTTTCGTAGTATTTGTATATAATATCCGTATTGTCCTCGTATATTCTGTTGTTCTCAGCGAGGTCTGAGATACCTATAATAATGTATTCTGATATAATTACTATGTTGCTTTATTTCATAATTCCCCTTCAACAGTTTAAAAAGCTAACAGATGTTTTTTCTTATTTTAACGAGTGAAATTATGTTTTTATTTAGTTTTTAAATTTTTATTTTTCTATGATCTTTTTAAGGGGAAAAATCTTCCCATAATTACAGCATGAAAAAGTGACCCTTTTCCCTTTTTCTATCAGTTCGAGTTTTTGTGCTGCTTGTTCCGTCTGGTTCGTTTCAGTTTTGATTTCTTGTTTCACAGTTTCGGTTTCTGAATTTTGCAAAACTTTCCAGTATTTGATGTCCGTTAGTCCTGATGAAAATAAATTTCGTCAGCCGTTGTTCCAACATAGCAAAGTCGGAATGAAGCGCGCGACTCTACACGAGGATAAGGCAAATAATAACCTCGATGAGACAGTGCGCAAGAAAGTCAAAAGAGCCATTGAGGGAGAGGAAGAAGAAAAAGTTGCAGAAGAAACGATAGGAGAAGATAAAAATGATGGTTTCCGCAAATGCGCTTCTTTAAACTGAATATTCCGCTTTCAGGAACAAATGTAGCAGGTCGAGTGGCTAGTGTTCACTTGCAGAACTTCATGTGTCACGGAAACTTGGAGATCGATTTTGACACAGTCAACAATAACTGCTTTTACATTGGAGGCCCCAACGGAAGTAAGTTTTTTTTTTCAAAATTCAAGCAATTCCTATTGAAAGAGGAATTTTTTTATAGGTGGTAAAAGCGCTCTGTTTGCTGCGATAAATTTGGGACTTGGTGGACGAGGAAGCGACAATGAACGTGGAAACGCCGTCAGAAGTTACGTGAAAGAAGGAAAATCGTTGGTGATATTTTGTTTTCATGTCGATTTAAAATATTGCAGTTCTGCAAAAATTCGGATAGTTCTGACGAACACGGGAAGTAATGCCAGACGGGATTTTGGCGATTTCGTCGCGATCGAACGTTCCATCACTCAGTCTTCGTCTACATACCACCTGAAAGGAATCACTGTCAACGGAGACAAGCGCACAGGTTATCTTTTTTATTTTCAGTTTAAAGATAGACGTAAATCGACTTGTGTCCTAGGAATGAGAATTTCTCAGAAGAGAAAATTTTAATCAAGGGATAATGTCAAGATGATGATTTTTATCCCGAGAAGTTGAATTGATGACGCTACATATGACCAATCTTTCGAGTTTCTCGCCAAGATGTGCCGAAAAGACCAGAATAAAAATCATAATACTTTTTTTTCTTCAAAGTTAGCTAATAAATAGTTTTTGCATGACTTAAGCCTTGTCATGGTATTGAATATATTTGTTTCCCTTTTTGATTTACAATTTGTAGAACGTGTGATCTCAAAGAAGAAGTCAGACATCGATGAACTGATCCAGCACTTTAACATTCATCTCACGAACCCTGTTTTTTGGATGAGCCAAGACCGTTCGCGTAGTTTTTTGGCCAACATGAAGCCTTCGAATGTTTACAAGGTTTTCGTACCGTGAAGACATCATAAAAAGGGAAAATGTTCAGCTCTACATCGAAGCTACCCTCTTGGATGTGATCAAGGAGAAATATGTGAAGTTTGGCTGCGACTTGGAAGATCTCGAGACGATTCTACTCACCAACGAGAGAGACCTGTCCAGAAAGCAAGAGTCGGTTTTTCATAAACCTCTTTTTTTTTCGCTCAAGTTGCTCGGTAGATTTATATAACTTATTTTCTACAGGCGAATGCGCTTTGATCAGAATTAGTAATAGGAAGAAACAGGTTTCGAAATTATTGAGTATCAATAGACTTCCAGACAATTGTCTCGAATGCAAGAAGTGCAGCAATTGAACGATAAACTGGAAGAACAGAAGCAGGAAGTGGCCGAAATCAAGTGGAAGCTCATTTTCTGTCCTTCGCGCGATGCTCGCAACGTTTTATCTCCCCGAATTCTCATATCAATGTTTTTTGTTGCAGGAACTTGTAATCTGGGAAAATAAGTTCAACAAATTGGTCAGCAAGATCGAACACATTGGCAAGAAGACTATTGAAAATCGCACCGATCGGCAGGTTGGCCAATACTTTTTTTGCCCAATTCTTGAATTTCTCGTTTCTTTTCGGTATTTAACTTGTAGTCATTCTTCTCAGATAAAAATTTTTTTAATCCATGAATTGAATTTTTTTTTCTCGAATCAACCAAGTTCTTAGTATGTCTCTGAAAGTTTTCCACAGCAGCAACGGGAGAGAAAACACTTATTTTTGTCGCAAGCAGCAACGATGATCCAATCGTTCTCTGTAAGGCTTCTCAGTATTTTCGATGGATTTTTCGCGTTTCCTTCATTATTTCGAAAATAACTAACGCCCAAAATTCCTACTATTTCTTTCTTGATTTGAATATTTCAAGAGGAAAAATGGTGCGACCGAAGACTGTGAGAAACGGGTGATTGAGAAGAAAGCGAAGCTCGACCAGTGTCGCGGTTCGTTGCAAGAACTCGCAGACGAAAAAGCGTAGGTGACCTCTTCGCCGTCCTATGGATTATTTTGACTTTCAGGGCGGTTTATGCGGACATTCGACAGGTGACCTCAGAAATGAAGACTAAAGCCGAGGAGAAAATGTGAAAATTGAGCACACGACCTTTTTTTGAAATGCCTTTCTTAGGTCTCTTAAAAGGAAGATTCAAGGTGCAGAAAGGAATATCGAAGAATTGAGGCGCAGCATGGAGAACGACGTTCAAAAAAATCAGCTTTTGCTCGCGGAAAGACAACTCGAAACGTTGACCAAACAGGTGAAAAATTTTTTGAAAAAAAAAGAGAAAAGTTATGAAGGCCCTAGCACGTTTAGTTTTAAGTCTTTTAAGAAAATACAGAAAACGATTTTTTTTTTGTGTGTGATTAAAACGCATTTATTGAGGCACATTCAGAACTTTATAAAAAAAAGTACAAGAAAAAGTAAAATTTTGAAATTAGAAGAGAATCGATTTATTTTACTGAATGGTTTCAGCTGCGCGAGGAAGAACAGTCGGGCAACCAAGGGGCCTTCGAGAAACAAATTCAAGAGCTCATCGCCGAGAAAAACGTGGCAGAGCAGAAATCGAACGAGGCTAATGAGAAGATGTACCAGCTGCGACGCGATGTCGCGCGCGTCGAAGAAGATCTGAAGAGCTACCAGGCGACTTCCGTCGACGCTGTCAACAGGTTCTCTAAAAAATCCTTTTTCAATACTGATTCTCAATAATTCAATGAAGTTATTTGAATTTGTCTTTCAGATTTGGCTACCAAACACGCGCCATAATAGAGACGCTAGAGCGGAGCAAAAACTTGTTCGACCAGAAGCCTAAAGGACCACTTGGTGAGATTGGAAAGCGCTGAAATAGGCGAGCAATTGATTTAAGGCCGGTACATCCGTCTGCGAGACTCCAAATGGGCGATGCCGATTGAAGATCGCATCGGAATGGCCAACGCAATGTCGTATATCTGCCACTCGGCTCGCGACGCAGACACTCTTCGAAAGATTTTCGAAAGAATCCGGATTCCGCAAAAAGAGCTGCCCCAGATCACCATTATGAAGTGATTCATTAGCAAGCCCTACACCTTAAAGTCTAAGCCGGAGAAAACGTTGAAAATTAGATGATATGGCAAATCTCTTATACTCCGTCATCATTCGTTTCAAAAAAAAGTTGAATATCACACAGCTGTCATTTTTTAAATCAAAAACCGTCTTTTTTAAATTTCATTCAGTTCAAAATTATGTTATTATTAAATTTGTTTAAAGCTGAGATGGTTATTGTAAGTTGATCACGTAGTTTTTGAATATTCATAGTTTATTCAACTTTAACCCATTAATGGAAATGTTGTGGACTTTCATTGAATAATCAATGTTTTTTTTTCTCAGGTTCTCAGGCAGAAAATACGACAGACTGATGGAACCGCCGGCGGATTGGAACACAGTTTATCGTCAAATCGACATCGAAGATCCAGATGTCCAGTGAGTCCCGCCGTCTTTTCCGCCTACAAGTCGAATATTTTGTAGCAACGCAATTATTGACATGTGCGGTGTGGAAGAAACTCTGCTGATTGAACGAGATGATGAAGCGAGAAGAATTATGGATGGAAATGTATGTTTCTCTCCATATCTAATTTGGTGACCAATTAAATTTTTTTGAAAGTTTTGATAATTAGTAGGTCCTTATTTGACACATCGAGAAATTGTGCCGAGAGTCTTTAAAGTTCCCTATCAGAATATGAGAAAAAGCTTCAAAAGGAAACCGCGCTTTTTTCTGATCTTTGTCGCTTTTTTTCCTCATTCCCCTGCTGTCAGGCCGCATTAACAGCCCTTTCTTCAGTCTTCGGAAAAAAAAAATTCTGCTGAATCATGGAATAATTGAAAAGTTGTTTGTCGGTTCGCGAAACTGTCGTTGATCAAGAACGGCGCGCAGAACATATCGCACTTCTTGTGATAGTAGTAGCCGAGTGTTTTTTTTTTTCCGACGATCAGCAGCTTCTCCGTGTTCATGTCAGTTCGTCCTGAATTCCAGGCGCCGGACAACGCCTCAGTGGCCTTCACTCTCTCGGGGGCTGTTGCTCATTCTTCATCCGGAGGTCGTCAGTACCGTTTCTATGCAAATCAAAAGCAAAACGCGACGGCTCGTGGTCTTTTTAGTGATAACGTGGCTGATAAAAAATTCGACGTGAAGTAAGTTTGAGTGAAACTTTTCAGAATTTAGTTGATGTTCAGAGACGCCGAAGAATTTATTACGGCGAAGAGCCGGGAAATAGCGGATTTTCAGAGCAATTGTCAAAAGGTTGGAAAATTTCCCTTTTCTTATAGTTTTTGTCTTGATTGAAGCTTGAGAATGAAGCTGCTCGAAAACGACACGAAATAGTTCAAGCCAAGCTTAAGCTCTCTAAACATGAAGCCGTGGTCGAAGGTTTATTCGTACTTTGTTTTGGGTCCAAGGAGATTTTCAGAACTGAATAAAAAAATCAGATATGCTCGTGCTGCTGTCGAACAACAGCAACAAAAAGTTGAGCAGAGCGATGAACAAGCTGATATCGACAACTTGGTGAGTTTCGATTTCTCTCAGGTTATTTTCGAACAAATTCTTCAGAGAAGATGCATCGGGGAGTTCGAGGCTCAGTTTCCAGCTATCGAGGAAGAAAGTCGATAAGTTGAAAGAAGTGAGTTTCGCACACTGAACAGTTGGCCATCGATGAAATATTCAGAAAGAGCAAGAATTCAAAACTTCGCTTCAAAGTTTTGGTGACCGCCAAGCTACGTTGAAGTCGGATGAAGATTTGCGCCTGAAAGATCTTTTGTCGGAAAAGGTTGGTTATCAGGTTCTTCGAAGTTTCAGTTGAAATGCAGGAAGATCTGGAGAAACTTCGAGAAGAAATCGACGCTCTGGATGCCCAGTACGAGAAGTTGGACACGAACAAAACCTTGTTGGAGCAACAGCAGGAAAAGCTCTACGGAGAGGAGATTCAGCTCAAAACGGCGTTGGATGCGGCGATCGCCAAGGTAGTTGGAAAGTAAAGAGAGAAACCCGAAGAAACAGAAGAAACAGCGGTTCGGAGTTCATGTGATGATGTTTAACTTGGAAATGATTTTGCGCAAGTTCCGAATTCATACAGATTAAATGTTGAGGATTGGACAGGTTCTGTCAGCATTCAACTTTAAATAAATAAAGATTTTGAAATAAATCTATGAACAAAGCTCCCTTGCGAAAACGTTATACCACAACTTCTATCAATGAGCGGTTTCAGGTAGAAAAAAACAAGGCTTTGGCTGAGAAGCCTGTGGGATGCGACGACCCGCCAGAAATGAGCGAATTTCCACCGACGGAGCACGCCGAAAATCGTCTCAAGGAAATGATCAGGAAAATAGAGAGAGACTGCACACAGTAGGAGCCTTTCTTGGGTTCTCCGCAATTTCCGCTTTGTTGCAGAATCGATGGAAACGTCACTGTCGAGACGATCAACGCCTTCAAGAAGAAACTGATGCAGTCGAAACGTCTCACGGGCCAGCTTAGAGACTTCATTGATGTTTATATATTTCACACTTTTCATTCTGAAATAAAAAAATCAATGAATACACATTTTTTTCAGAAGTTGAAGCTGCGTTTGCGTAATCGAGCGAAACTGTACCCAAACCTGAAACTGATGACGGAACGCCGCGTGCAGCGCCGTTTTCTCGAGCTTTTGGACTACCGGTTGATCATTAGAGACGCGTTTCTTCTGTAGCGACAGTTTTGCAGCAAGTTCAACGGCGCCCTTCGTTTTGACCACGAGAAACGCACCTTGAACGTGGTCGTGCACAAGAAAGATGCTGGTCCCAAAAACGACGAAAAAGGTTTTCTTTCACACGGAGCGTGTTGACATTCTTTGCCTTCAGACGAAGACTTCGAGGAAAGTCACAGCGACAGTTCAGACTCTCCACCAGCGGCCAAAAAGAAAAAGACGCAGAAAAGGGATACAAATGAAATTCAAGACTTAAAAGGTCCGTTTACATTTGACAGTGCTTCTTTCAAAACTTTGGTTAGACCATCTTTAGATTTTTGGAGTGAGCCTTTCAGATTTAGTATTTTGGATGCTTCGTATGCATTGTTAGTGAATTTGAAGTTTTTACATTGAAAAATATATGAAACAGTCATTTTGTAGGTGCGGCTATGTATAGAAATTGACCAAAATCGGCAAGATGAAAAGAAACTTCCAAAAAATTATAAATGTATTAGAAATAGTCTTCCATTATTTCATATTTGTTTATTCGGCCAACTAAATTTTTTCAACACCGAAAAAAAAAATCGAGTATCTTTGAAATAATAACAAAAAAAAGAGTAAAACATGAAGCCTTTCAAGTCGAAAACTATACGAAGATCGAATGAATAACTTTTTTGGTAGATGTATTTTATGGACATGTATAACTATTTTTCTAGGTATTGTAAGGGACTACGTAGAAACGATCTGTAAAAGAGAGTGTACCGAAAAAAGAAAATTCGAACTGCGGTTCAGGTCTTTCCGGCGGTGAAAGGTCTTTTGTGACGGCTGCTCTGGTGATGTCGCTTTGGGAAGTAATGGACCAGCCTTTCCGGATGCTCGACGAGTTCGACGTCTTCATGGACATGCTCAACCGCAAGGTTGGTTTTTTGTTTCTATTGTTTTATAATCCCATTTTTCCAAGGAAAGGATATTCCAGTTCACTTTTCATTCACAAAACTCCTCGTAAACCCCAAAAAAAAAATTGGAAAAAAAAACAAGAGAAAAAAACAAAGAAACCATGCTTATGTTTTTTTTTACCTCTTGTTTTATGTTTTCCAATTTTTTTTTTTGGTCTTTGTGCCTTCAATATTTTTTACTGTGAAGGTATGAAGAAGACAACTTCTTCAGGTTGTTATGGACCTGCTGGTGAAAATGGCGACAGAGAAGTTCACAAATAACCAGTTCATCTTCTTCACGCCTCAGGGAATTAAGGAATTGGACACTCGCGAGGGTCTTCAGATTTTCGAAATGCCTAAAGTTCGACCCTAATTTCTCGATTTGCCGCCCTCTCTGTTGAACTTTATCCACCTTTTGCCTTTATCTCTCTCTCAAATACTTGTATAATTCATCTGAAAATATCATAACCTTTGATTTACTTTACGGCATATTCCCTTCATATACTCTGAAACTTTTAGATCATCAAAAAATGTATCAAAATCACCAGTACGGTAATTGCAGAAGCCGTTTTGACTTTGAAATGGCCCTTCTATTTTTTATATGTTGACTTGTTCTATTTTTTCAAGCCTTGTTTTTTTTCCTACCGATCTCTGTGTGTTTGGTATGAGTCTACGGATTAATCAATGCAGCCGGTCATGTTTTAAAAACGATCTTTCAACATCTTTTTCTCAGGAGAAATGCTATACAGTACGACTGTTTTTACCCAAAAAATGTTTAATTTTCAAAGCTTTTCAAATATAGTTTATTTACCACCAGTTGTGCTATATTTGAGTTGAGAAAGTCGTGGGGCGATTCAGTTAGAGATATTCCTAGCTAGAGCATGTTTAATTTAGAATTTTGAATGAAGAGACTGCCACGGAACTTTCCTTCTCCCTACATTATCTACCTTTTATAGGCGCGTAAATTTATTAAATTTTGCAAAGTGTCGTTATCACAGACGAATCGGGATCAGGTAATAAGATTATACCGAGCATATACCTCAAAATGGATCAGGATGCTTAATATGTTCATCGTCATACCTCCGGTATACTGTTCAGCACTATCGGAGCTCTACCGATAGTGCTGAATGGTATACCGCAAGTCTATCATTTTTCTATAATTTTGCAAGGTATTACAGTGGTACCATCGTAAGGCTTCAGTTCCTTCGATAGACTACTGTCACTATCCCGATACCTCTGCCTGATTCGTGTGTGATGGGTCAGCGGCCTCCTTTTTTCTTCTTTTGCATTTTAGAAATTTTTTGCTTTGTAATAAATATGTAGATGATTTTGTTTTGTTTCAAGAGAGTTCGGTCGTTACTCCTGTTACTCATACGGATATTAAAACACCTTGGTTGCTTGGTCCTTTTGTCATCACTGTTTCTCACGGCCTGTTTGATAGATTTTCCAATTTTAACGAAGGAGTCTCGACGATCAGATGGCGACTACAAGTTTGTTACTGCAAAACTTTGATAAAGGTTAGGAAATTATTATCGGATTTCCATCTTTGCCTTTCGTGTTCAGTGTTTATTTAGTATAATAATAAAATGAAATTTAAAAAAGTTTTGCTGGGTACTGGAGCCTGAGCAGTAAAAAGAAAAATGACTTTTTTGAATATCGATGAAGAAAGTTTTTTCATGTTCTATCTCTCTGGCCTCCGACCACGGCTATCATAATGTTTTTGTTTTCTTATTTCGATTCAATTGGACCTTTGAAAGCGCCTCACGGAACGTATTCAGGACTGAGAGCGCAGGTGTTGTCTGAGCAGTTAGCGACGGTAAGTAGCGTCGGGAAACTGTTCGACGATCATCCAGTGCCAGTTTTTGTGAACTCGATCTTGGTTCGTCTGGCCGAAGCTTTCAAAGATGGGTTCGTGTTTGCGAGGCCACCTCCTCTGCGAAAGCTCGATGATTTGTACAGATCGAACGCTTTGAGAGTGGCTATTGCTCGGGTTTTGGGTCAATGTGGACCACAGCTCACTTTGGCGTTTTCTTCGGGCGAAATATTCAGACGGATCTTGACTGTCAGTCATGCTAATGATCCGGAAGCTCGTGAGAGCACCCTCGAAGTGAGTCCCAACACATTCATAACAGAGAGATCGTCGTGGAAGAAAGGAAGGAAACCCGGAATGTGACTTTTAAAAACGAAGGATAACACGTTTTATGTTTGTGCAAAAGCATTCAAAGCTTAAAACACTCTTCTGAGAGAAGAATAATCGACTGAAATGTTTTTTGACAGTCTCATTCTTTTTTGGCAGAACCGGTTGAATGAGCAATTTTTTTATAGCCTTCGTAAGATCTTTTGCTGCTTTTTCTCTAAATGTTCAACGTTTCCAATTCAATTCAATCAATTTATTCAGTCTTCAGAGTAAGATGTAGAAAATCTCTGCTGAATCATGGTATAATCGAAGAGTTAGTCGTCGGTGCGGGTTACGGTCCACAACCGTTGCCCAATAAGTCCCGGCGTGACAGCGTTGGGGAATAATGTGGGCCCGTTGGTAGTACCAGCGAATAAACTGCTTCAAATCATTTATTTTGTTGGTTTAGTCATAGATGTATCGACTAGGCGGTGAACAAGAACTTTGAAAGCTATAACGAACAACCGCCTTTGGCGAGCTAGAAGTCCAAACGTGTAGTCGAAAGAGTTGAAAGCATGGTCTTACGGTCCTTCGTCTCGTCCTTCTGCGCGTAGTCCATCCAGTTGCGCCTTGACGAGCTCAGAATGTAGCGGATGTTGTGCTGGAGCCCGGAGACCGTGCTCTAGGTGGAAGCCTCGGAATGAGAGCTACCACTTCGAGTGAAGATTTTACACGGATTACACGGAAGCTTCACCATGTTTCCAGTCTTATTTATACAGAGTTCCAAATTTCGAAAAAAAAGGCATAATTTTGTGTCGCCATTATTCTAGGTATGCTTGGATTTTAGAGAGAAACAATGATCACATCGTACGTATTTTGACAGATCCTCTCCAGCCTTGCCTTGATAAGTCCCGACAGCAAGCAGGTAGTTCCAGCTAGAGCTGATCTCTCTTCACACGTTCCGATTCTCAGGCTCACCACCTGATTTCGGAGTCGCTGACGACGAAGCACGACGGAGAGTTTCGCGCAGCGTGCGTCGCTTTGGCGTCCTTCTCCCGACTGTCGCCGTTGGTCTCTCTCAATTCGCACCATGAGTTGCTCGCTTTTCAGCGAGTTCGCCGAATCTATGATCACACGAGTAGGGAATCTTCTCAACGACCCGACAATATCCGTCAAACGCAAAATAAATCTGGCGAAAGTTTTGGCTTCTCAGTCGGCCAACGCGAGGACCATGGAGGTCTTTCACTGTATCCTTGCTTACCAAACTCCTCGATCAGGAAGTCTTCGCCATCAGTCGATCCATGGTCGACTCGATGCCTGGAGATGATCTTCTAGCTGCCTTTTTAGAGGCGACGACGTCTCTTTCGATTGAGACGCGTTACGCTATCCCACAGCAGGTGAGGCCTTTTTTTTAAAATGAAACTGTGCAAAAATTACGCTTTACATGATCTTCAAAAGTATTAGGTTGTCCATAAAGATTTTGCTGTTTTTTTTTTTACCTCACCCGAACTTCGATTTGGGTTTGAAATTGAACGACTACACGAGAAAACAGAAACGGGCCATAATAAATTTTTTTTTTCGAGTTTGTATGAAAAGTTATCGAAATTCTCGAACTGTTTTTTCTTGATAGAGCTCCATGTGATCACGAAAATTTTTAGCTTGATTTTCCGAAGTTTTCGACTAAATTTTTGATTTTCCAAAGATTGGAGAGATAGTTTTTGTCTCCAAACGAGCATTCATAACTATTGAAGGCGAAAAGACTAGATAAATTTTTCTCAAGGCACTTTTGTTAAGTCTTGTTTAGGTTATAAATTTTTTTGCCAGTTTTTCAAATTCTAAATAGATGGATTGAATATGTTGGCAGCGTTTCATCGATTATTCACACAATTATTTTCAAAAATAGAAAAATTCAGCTCAACGTGCTGTTGACAGTACTGCAGCGTCGTTACTCTGCGAAGAACTTGTCGGCAAAAGAAAAGACTTCGACGAACTCGCCGAGCGACGCAGAAAAGCAAGAGACTCTGGCCTCGGAGGGCAGAACTTACAGCGACTACAGTGTCGTGATCGTCCTCCAGCAACTCCGCAGACTCGCCAACCTGGCCAGTCTTTGGAACGACGAACAGATTTCTGTCAGTTCGCTCTTTTTTGACGAAAAGAGGCAGATCTGTGGTTCTCTCAGAGACTGTCGCGACTCCAGCCGCCATCATTATCCTCATCTGACAGGAGACTTTTGCGAGTCTACTTGGACGTCGTCATTTCATTGTCTATAAACTGTGCCAATAACCAGCTCGATCTGATCAATCGTAAGGCGGCCTGCAGATGAACATATTGACCGTTGCCCAGAATTGCTGCTCCGTTCCACTTCTTTGGGCACTCTGGAAGATGCTCATCTCCGTATACGGTACATCGAATTGGCGACTAACGTCACGTGTTCTCGGAACGGCGCTGGAACGTCGAAAGTTGAGACCGTCGAAAACGAGAAATCAGAGGCGCCGCTCACCTCTTTGGCCCTCATCATTTCCGGAGCCATGGAAGAAAAGCTACCCCTTCCGCTGGCTAAACGAGTAAGTCAAATCGATATTTATTTTTATCATATATCGTGTAGCCAAGCAAAAAAAAAGTAGGATAGGGCTGCGGTGGATTATTAATTATTTTCCTTGGATGGTTTGCTTTTCCATCGAAATAACTTTTTTTTAGAAAGAAATTCATCAGAGAGAAAAATCTGGACTTGATTTGGAAAAAGCGTCGGAAGGTGTCTTAAGTTTGAAATTTTTGAAAACGAAGCAAAAATCTCTCGTTTTCTGAAGTTATCCATGAAGATAACGTACACAAAACTTGTTTCAAAAAAGTTATGTTGTTATGATTTTGGTGGTGCAGAAGCCTTACATAAAATAACACGAAAAGCGGCCTTTCGTCGCAATCCTTTTTCGGAATCTGGGCTTCAACATTTCTGCGAGACATTTCCAACATAACAAGTTCTTAAAATTGGGACATAACCTTGAATGCTATTCCCTGAATTCTTCAAAAAATATGAAAGAGTCATTCAAAAAAAGTTCAGCTCTACAAATCGGTTGGCGAGTTTCTCCTGGCGCAATCGCGTGTCGGAGCCGTGAAAACAGAGGCGACGACGATGGTGATCGACGCGCTGCTCTCGCCGTTCCTCGACAACGCCGACGTCCTGCCCAACAACGCTCCGCAGAGACTCGAACTTCTGTGCAGCCTCGCCGACCGCGACATCAACTACGTCGCGATGCTCCACCAGTGGGCCTTCCAGGTCCTGCAAGCCAACGTCTGACTTTCCCGATTCTCAATTGCGATCGTTTTATTGTTCAGCCGGCGGCGTTCCAAGCCATTCCGCAGCTCTTCGCCTACCTGGCTTTGGGTATCGGCACGGAGATGCCCTCGACGTCCAAGTCTCCGATTCTCTTTGACTCTGTGGTCGATCGTTACGGCATGGCGCGGTCGGCCCTTCGGAACGGCCATTGGCGGCAAGTAGCTCTACCCAATTTGAAGTCTATCGACACTCGAGTTAGTTCTGCTGGAAATGATTGAAGAGAGATTTTATACAGAATATGGGCACCTTCGAATCTAACTGGATAGAAGCGTTGAAGGAGTTGGCGGCGTCCCAAATAACCGAATCTTCGTTCTCCGCTCTGAACGTCCAAATCGCCCACCTGCAGAGAGCCTTGGACATTTTGACGGTTGGTAGAAAAGAAAACCTAGAAGGCCTCTTTTATGGTAAAAAGTAATTTTGGAAATTATTTTGTACATTGAGCTTCTAATTCTTATTTTTGTTCAATAGGTGAGCTCACGAGTTAGATCAGAAAAAATTCCTCAGGAAACTCAGCTCAAAATCCTCCGCTCAGAAAAGTTCTAGTTGGTATGCGACCCATTGGACAAATTGTCCTCGAAAATTAAAGTTTTTTTCATTTTTTTGACTTTTTTTCAATTTTTTTGAATCATTTTACTTTCCGGCCTTTTTTTGATGTGAAGTGGCAAGTTTTATGAAAATTTTGAAAGAAAAAAGCTACACGAAAAAAGGGTTTAAAAAAATGGAGAAAAGGGAAAGTTTTCCACAACTTGAAAATTTTTTGATAATACGAAAAAAAAACTCTTCTTGATGAAATTACTCTTTTTGTGATCTCAAAATTATAAAAGCGAAAATCTAGTTTAGTGGAGTCACGGAACAAAAAACGTGGCTGAAAAATTGAATTTATTTCAGATCATGTGTTCAAATGGAGGCTTTTCGGGACACAGAGATGATGCGTTCCGATCTCCGCGGGACCTCGTCGCCTGTTTCCTCGCCACCTCTGAAGTCTTTCTGCAGATTGTCGCAACGATTCAGCCATTCTCTACAGTACTCAACGCCGCCCTCAGACCCTCCGCCTATTTCAACCCGATCACGGCTCGTCGCATCAAATTCGCGGTACCCATCGGGAATATCTAGAGCTTTCTCAAGCAACTCAGTTCAGCTGCGTTTGCTAGAACCGAAAGTCAACCAAGTGCTCTTCCTCTGGTCCAATTTGTGTCATTCTTCGTTTGGCGCCGACGCTTGCTCCCTGGATCTTCTCAACTTGTATTATTCCCGTATCTCCGTTCTTCTCAAGGCGATCAGAGTTTTCGTGGGACGACCAGAAGCTTCGTCGTCAGTTACTTTTATTGGGAATCTGATAGTTCGGCACAGCAAATATAGCTACTAGCCTAAATCACCTTATTCTATAGCGCGAAAAGAAGCAATTCAGATATCTACCAAACCGATAGTTTATGAAGTACATTTTTTGACATCCGTGTTACTGCGCCTTATCTTCTTTCTCTGCTTGCGTTCCTGTGTTCTTATTTTTTAAAAAAACCAACGCCTCGAGAAAATAATGAGAAAATATTTTAGTGAGGAACATGGACCAACAGGAGTCAGCGTGATGCGATTTTAGGCTTTCTGGGCTTTTAGCTGATCACTCAAGGGATGTCAGAGCTTCTTAAGTGTTCATTTGTCCCATTTACGCAATAAGCACCACATTTTCTGTTTTTTTAAAAAAACATAAAAATATGACTTTTTCAAAAATTTATATACTAATACACTAATCATTTTTTTAATCGATTATTTACAATTTCAGAGCGGTTCAGTTGCAACCTTTAAATGCGCCAAGGACGACGACACAGTTTTATCAGGTTTATTAGGTCTGAAACATTCTCAGAAAATTTGAATTTCAGGAAACTTTGCACTGGGCGGTTAGAAATTTGGCAAGCTTGGCCTGTGAGGAATTCCCCAACTCTTCGGTAGAACTCATTTCGAGCTATTTAACAAAAGAGAAGAATTATCAGACGCTATCCGCGTTCCAGTCGATCCTCCACCAACTGATCGTTCTGCCGAATCTGCTCCCACGCGCCTTTTTCCAGCAGTTTTATACGGTCGACTTCAAGGTTCCACAAAAAAGAAGTTTTTCTTTGTCGAAAGTCTTCTTCAGCTGTCTGTGACCCCACAATCGGAGAATGGAAAGCTCTATGTTCCTCCGGGGCAGACGACGCCGGTTCGCGTCGACGGCGCCTTGACGTCCACACATCCGACGTCCGTCGTCGCGATCATCGTCATCGCTGACGTCTCCTTTGTGGCCAGCCACTCAGTCAAGCATTTTCTCGTCTTGGACTTTGGTTCAAAAAAATTGACGAAAATATAATTAAAACCTTTCTTAATCTTCTTTTTTCATTTTTGAGCTTTAAGAATCAACTGAAGATGTGAGTCCATAATCTGAAATGTGAACAAAGTAACGTACGCAAAGCTTTTATAGTTCGGTACATTTTCAGTTCCTATAATTTCTTAGAACTTCGAAAACTTGAAAAATAGTTTCAACGAATAGCTCTTGTTCTTTGTGATTTTCCTGGAATACCCTTTTCTCAATAATTTTTGTCTAAAAAAGAATGTGGCTTCGTGATATCGTTGATATCACAGAAAGTTATTCGCTACTTTTTTCTCCATTTGGCCTGCGTCTTGCCTCAAATTTTTCAGTAGCATTGGCTTTTTTTTTTCTAGACGTTCAAATATCAGCCTATTTTTAACTTTATAGAAAACAAAAACTGAAATTTCTGATAACATGATCTTTTTTTTATAACAAAACCCTCACAAAGTGCTCGAAAATTCTTCATTCTTCTTGCCTCACAAAAAGAAGTCTGCAAAAAGAAAAACTCTTGATCATCGGCTAAACATTGTAAAAATTTCTCTTACTAAGTTTTAGTTCCCCTTTTTCCGTGATTTTGTTATTTCTCTGTCTAGTTCTGGACTAACGCAGACTTTTTCTATAGTCTGTTCAGATTTTATTTGTCAACCAGCTAACTCCGCTTCTGCTGGCACAGTGCCTATTCGTGTCGATTTTTTATCCCGCGGGACAATTTTTGATCTTTTTTGTTTTAAAAGATAGAAAAAGAATTCAAAAGATGCACCCATATTAAGGTTTATCGTCATCTGTGATGAAAAATTGACGCGAAGGATATTATAGTCTTGGGGGAGAAGTTCGTTGCGTGACATTCAAAAACCGAACAGACTATAAACCCAACAAACCGCCTAGAAGATTGAGTATAAATAAAATTTTATTCTTTCTCATTTTTTCAGCAAAATTTCGAAATGCGAGTAAAAGTCGAACCGAGCGATCGAAATTACTTCCATGCACAGTTTTTGATTGAAGTCAGACAGGTATTTTGCCAAAGCTAGCCTTGATTTATTCAAACCTTCCAGTCTTGCGAGGTCAAGTTCCGCATCGAGTTCATAGATTCTCGACAGAAGCAGTGGAAATCGGCAGCCACTTCAACACTGGTCATCAACGTGAGAGAACCTCCGAACAATCGAACATTCTAGAGTTGCTTTTATCAATTTGTTTTGCTGAACACTTTCTTTAGGATCTGCTGAACCTTTATGCAATATAGTGATTTTACAATTTTCTTAGTATTTTCGAGTTGGTTAATAAATTATCACAATCAGTTTAATCACAATGTAATTGATATGTGAGTGGTGAAAAGTGCATGTGCAGCGAGTTATTCGACGGTGACTGATTTGGCCAAGTTACGAGGGCGGTCCACCTGGAAAATCGTTTTCAATAATGAAATCTGTTGAGTGAACTAAATCAGCAGATGGATTGGAAAACAGTGTTTTTCCTACGCAAAAAAGCCAACAAAAAAAAAACCAACGTTCTGTCCGTTGAGCTCGGCGATGTGATAGGACATGAGCTGGAGAGGAATGACGGTCAGGATGTTCTGGACGCAGTCGACCGTCTTCGGAACACGCAGGACGTGCTTCATGCCGGCCAGGTCCTCTTGAGGGACACTCGTGTCTGCGATGATGATCGGAGCCCCGTGTCTGGCGACAACTTGTTGCAAGGCGTTCAGGGACTTCTACAATCGGGGACGGTTAGAGGTCTCCAGTCACTTCGGCGTACTTTGTAGACGTGATCTCTGCAGATGACCATGCAGATGGGCAGGTTCTCGTCGACCATGGCCAATGGACCGTGTTTCAGTTCGCCAGACAAGATTCCTTCGCAGTGCATGTAGGAAAGTTCCTGAAAATCAAAAATCGAAATTCGAATTTGATCAAGATTCACTTTGATCTTCAGGGCTCCTTCAAGACACGTGGCGAAATTGAAACCTCGACCCATCACCAGAAGCGACTTTTCCTTGTAGAGCTTCGAGGCGATGGTGCGAGTCTCGTCGTCGAGTTTCAGCACGTCGCGGATCAACTCCGGCAACTTGTTCAGAGCGTCGATGATCTCTTCGCGCCGCTTCATCATCGAGATGCGGTCCTCGGAAAGCGTCAACGCGAACATGAGCAGGGCGATGATTTGAGAGGTGTACGCCTTGGTGGAAGCGACTCCGATTTCAGGTCCTGCATTGATGTGGATTCCGCAGTGAGATTCGCGGCAGATCGAAGAGCCCACCGTGTTGGTCACGCCGATGGTCAGCGCTCCTCTCGGCTTGCAGTACCTGAAAAAGGGAAAGTTGATACTGGGTATCACAGAAGTCCCCGATGAAATTTTGAAAAAGGTTCGTGAATATATCGAAAGTTTATGCCGTATATCTCAAAAGTTTTCGTTGTTTCTGTTTGAATATCCTCAGTTTTCCAAATTTCTGCTTATTGGGTTTCAAATTAAAACAAATCAAACAAAACCGACACGGGGGGCAATTTTAGTGAGAATTTTATAATTCTCCTTAATTTCGCTCAAACAACTCAAACGAGGGAGTAAACTGGGAGTAATTCAGCAAAACTACAGAAAATTACAAACTTCACACTGAAAATCCCTCCCCATGTGAGGTTTTGATTGTGACAAGGCATCAGAATTTTTTCAAGCCAAAAAAAGAAGCTTTTTAGTTTTTGCCTACTATTCAAAAAAAAAAAAGAACCGCAAGGCCATGAGGGTGTCGGCCGTCTCTCCGCTCTGCGAGATGAAGATGCAGACGTCGTCACGGAAAATAGGCGTCTGACGGTCGAGGAAGTCTGAAGCGAGTTCCACGACGACCGGCAGCTCGGACAGCTCCTCGAGGATCTGCCGACAAGCGATCGCCGAGTTGAACGAGGTTCCACAGGCCACCATTATCAGTCGGCGACACCGCTTGATGTCCGGCAGGAACTCCTGAACTTCCTCAAGTTCCAGGATCGTGGGACTTTGAATAACCTTGATGCCGCCAAGGACGACCTCTCCACTAGGAAGGAGTCGACCACGCATAGTGTTTACTACAGAGTCGGGCTGTTCGAAGATTTCTTTCTGCATGAAGGTTTTGAAAGAGCCCTGTGAAGATGCTGATGAGGTGAACTTTGCATGTAGCATTTATCACCTTCATGATCTCTTGCAGCTCCATCGTCAGCATCTGTACTTCGCGCTTCTGCTCGTCGTTCTCAGCGTGTCGACTGATTCGATGGATTGTAAGAGCACCGTCCTCGACGAAAGCGACGTCGTCGTCTTCCAAGAAGAGCACTTGTTTGGTGTGTTCGATGATGGCAGACGCGTCAGAAGCAACGAAGTACTCGACCTGAAGCGTTGAAAGGTTCGACAGATACTTGCATGTTTATGAACCTCCCAATCGTTCGATTCGAATGACTGGATTCCGTTGTTACTTTCATTCAGGTTGAGTTTTGCTGAGCCGATCTGCGAGCGGACTCCTAAACGAAATTGAAACGATTTCAGTTACTTTTCGAGCAAAGTTGAAAAGATGCTATTAGAATCTGAATGAATTGCAAAATAGAGACGCAAATTTTGACTTGAAATTCGCGAAACAGCTTTCACAAAAAAACAATTTATTCCGAAAAATCCCAAAAAGTTTGATACTCGTAATTTAGAATGTTTTTGAATGGAAAAATATTTTCGAAATATCTTTTCAACTATGCTCTCGCTGAGACATGCTTGTACAGCATACACACACACACACACACACACACAAACAACGGAAAGGCAAACATGCAGAATTGTAAAAGAAAACATTAAAAGTTGGACGAAGAGGAAGAATTGTTAGAGACGATCGGCAGTCCAATTCACCGTTCTCTACATGAAGGGACGCGAGGAAGGCTGAAAAGCGTCGTTGATTGTCGGCCACCGGCTCTGGCGAAAGGAGCGAAAAGCGCGGCACGACCCCTTCTTCCACTTCTTACAAACACACAAGAAATTCACGACGAAACAAGTACGGACACAAGTTCCCAACATTATTACCTATGGACAGATCGAGGACGTTGTTTGGCGTCTGCACGAAAGAGGAATCTTCCTGTCGAACTGCAAAAAGAACTCTTATAGACGCAGAAACAAAGTCGATTCTTACTGTGAGTGGCGTGGGTCGACACGAACCGACGCCCTGAAAACTTTTGATTTTTGAGGATATCCAGTAGAAATCGAAGTGCAGGTTAGTGATAACTCGCGGAGAAAACAACTTTGCCACCAGTTTGAACGTTAGTATCAGACAAAGTTGGGAAACACTGTAACTAGAAACGTTGAAAAATCTCCTTTTCCAACGCTGGAAACAGCAAGGCCTGTCTCCGCTCTCTTCACTCTCTTCTACGTTCTTTTTTATAAGTACGGCTTATTTTTCCATGATGAGGGAAAAGAGAGTGTAGACGAGTCATACTAGAATAGGTTACAGTAAAGTTGAATGATGTGTTGAAAAACTTTTTCTTGAGCTTTTTCTTATTTTCAAGGCGAAAGTTTTGTGAGAGAACGCGATCTGATTCTAAATTTTTGAATCTTCGAGCCTAAAACGTTAGAGTGAAAAATGCGGATACGGGGGAGAAAAAAAAAAGTTTGAAGCGAACAAAACACCACAGCCATACATCTTTGAGTTAAATCTTCAAATTTCTCATGAAAAAAACTTATGAGAGTTGGTAAAAGTTAATGATTTAAAAAAGAAGTTAGATGAAGCCAAAATCATCTGCCATGCAAAGAAGGATACACATGAACGATTACAGTCCGTAAATGAGTTGCGGTTATTTGGTTCATAGTAAAAAAAGTATTTGCTAGAGATTTTCAGTCAAAATCAAATTTTTTTTTCCAAAAAAACTTCCTTTTGAACCAATTTGCGGTTGAAATTTCGAGAACTGTAAACTTTTCATGGTTGAAACTTTTCATCAGTACGCGACCCCATTCAGAAAGAAGCACACCAAGCCCAAAACCAAAAATTAATAACACAACGAATACCGGTCTCGTTTTGTCGCTCATCACCCCACTGCCAGCCTGCTTCTACAACAGAAATCGCCCTTGGTCTGAGGAAAACCGCGCCGGAAAAGGACTCACCTTTGGAGAAGGAGACGGGGAAATGGTTGCTCTCTAGTCGGCTGTTGCTCTTGATTCCGACGAGAAGCGGAGATCCGCGTCGAGTCGCCACCAACTGTCCAGGGAACCGCAGCGACTTGAAGGCCAACGCGAAGGCTCCTTCCTGCAGACCCGTTCATCAACAGAGGAAACCAACATTTTGATTTAACCAATTGAGAGCTCGCCCAGATAATGTTATAAATAAGGCAATTTTTCACAAACGAAAGGTCTCTAAGCGATCGGCAAAATGAAAAGATAGTATTTCTACCGTTCTTTTTCCGCACAACATGGAACATTCAGCTCTTACAGTACACAAGTTTCTGGAAAAACAGTTCGACAGTGTTAACCAAGTTTTTAGTTTTTTTTTCAACAGATGGGAAAAAGAGAAACTTACCAGTTGCTGGATGACAGTTTCGACAAGTTGCCGGAAAGAAAGTTCGGGGTAGCGGTCGTGGATGTGCTGAGTCAGCTTGGCGATCACTTCCGTGTCAGTTTCCGACTGCAAATATTTCATGCGTGAAACCGAAACTAATGTTTCATTATAATCCGACTTGAAATATTTTTCCTTTCGGAGTATTTTTTCAAGATTTCAGAGATTAACTGGATTCTTTCAAATGAATGGTTAGTTGAAAAAACAACGAATTTCTAAACACATTTAGAACAATTTCGTTGATTAGCACTAGCTTGGAGTTTCACTTTTACCCGCCACGCACAAAGTAAAAAGTATCTTTTAATCAGCTGGTTGATGTGATGAAAAAGAAGGAAAAACCTCGAAAGTGTGTCCTTTTTTGAGCAAGTACTCCTTGATTTCCCGGTAGTTGGTGATGATTCCGTTATGGACAACCATGAAGTCTGAAATCCACATCTTTCGGAACCTCGGAGGTGCGAAAAAAAAGTTGTGAAAAACGGAAAAGAACTTGCCATTGTTCTCGCTGCTCCTCTGGGGATGGCTGTTGACGTCTTTCGGGGATCCGTGGGTCGCCCAACGGGTGTGAGCGATTCCGCAGTGGATGTTGTACTGCATGTCCATCTTGACGCCTTCCACATCTAACAATTCACTTTCAAACCAACAAAACGCCAGAAAGAGCACCTTTGACGGAATCGGCGAGCACCGAGACTTTGCCCGCCTTGCGCAGAAGAAGGACGCTCGAGTGTGGAGAGTCGACTTCGCTCGAGCCGTCGATCGCAATACCTGGAAACATTCAACTCAACTCACATTCTTTCCAACTCTTGAAAATACTTACTCAACCACAATAAAAATTATTTAATTCAAAGCATAGGAATCCCGAACTATGAGATCTTCAGAAAAACATAGAGAAGACATTTTCCAATAGCTATTTTTTTACAGCTTTTTGCGCTTTACAATCGACGCAAAAGCTTATGATACAAAAACATTTCTGAAAAAAATTGTATCTTATCAAAAATTTAAGGATGATCAAATGAGCGGTTAAATTTCAAAAATATTTTTTTGCACAAGCAGTTTTCCGAAGTTTTTTTAGAATTATCTATGAAAGTCCACTAAAAAAATTCTAAAAATTTTTAAAAATTTTAAAATCTAAAAATTTCAAATCGTGAAGAGAAATAAATCTAAAAATCTAACATAAACTATTTTAACGAATGCAACAAAAGGTACATAATTCAAATATTAACACTAATTACCTGCAGAGTCGTAGCCTCTGTATTCCATTCTCTGAAGACCCGTGATCAAAATGTCGATGATCTCGGCGCGAGTCTTCGGCGTCAGGAAGTTTAGGTAAGCGAAAATTCCGCACATGTCTCTTTACCTGTAATATCAACACAATTGTTTCAAGTAGAAAAACTTCGAAAAATGAACAGCAAAAAAGAGTTTGCTGATTCCGACGCGGTGAAAAAAAGAGCGCGATACTGAAGGCGCGATGTAATCTCAAGACTATCCGGGTCAAGAATCGACCTGCTGACCTCTGGGGATATCTACATATAGGAAACTCGGAGGAATGTCTCTAAACAGTCGGTTTTATGATGAGACGCGTGAGAAGAGACCGAGTGCTCCGCAAACGTTTCCCTCCACGGAGGCTCTTGAAGACGGACATCAAAGAAGAAAGTTTCGATGAAGACTCAATTCTAGGTTTATTCCGAAAAATACACCACAATTGAACTTTATACTGAATCAAAAAATATCTCTTCGAACTAATTAGGTAGAACTGAGAAAAACTTTTTTAATAAAGTACTAAATAAAAAATAAGATCGAAGTAACGTGGTTACAAGTAAAAAAAAACAACAGACAAGGTGGAAAGTGAAAAAGAAGAACGGAATTCAAACGAAATAATTCCAAAAAGAACAGAGATAGGATAGCCCCTGGAGATGCAGACATAGCCGTGGGAACAGAGGAAAGACGCAGAGAGGTGCGTCAGCCAAAAGCTGAGGAAACAAGGCCAGCCAACCAAGGAGCCGGCCGCTTCTCTTCGAAATTTATTCTTGTTGGTCTTTTACATTAACCCATAAGTTTTTATCAATTTCTCAAACCGCAGATCTGTATTTACACTCAAAATGGAAATTTCTGAGCCCTTAATCCATATATATATATATATATATATATATATATATATATATATATATAAGGCCATCAGAAAGCTCAAAAATGTCTAAGTTTTCAGTACTTCGAAAAACGTTACTTCGTGAGTTCTGTTCAACTGAAACATTTTTTACTGGATCGTGAGAACGGAATTTATTGGAAAGAGAAACGCAGCGAAAATGGTTGACCAACTGTAAATTGAAGCCTTGGCGGTCTTATAGTGTAAAGTATCATCACGAGAGATTTATATCATAGAGACTGAAAATGTGGAAGAGAATAGTTGGGCGAAAGATTCAAAGTACGTTGGTAAATGATTTTTGCAGAAACACAACAGTTTGGTTGAACGACAAGTTTACTTTGCAAAAAAGATATGTTGAAACAGAGAAAAGTTATGAAGTTTCGAGGCTGTGCTGGTCTTTTATAGCAGTTGCAGGGCTTCGCGCTAATAAGATGCCACACGAAGATTTGATCGGCGGGAATGGTAGACCAATACCAAGGCAACCAAACTATACACAGTTTTGCCGAATAGTTCCAGAATTTTTATTGAAAAAATCCTTCAATGACATCTTTGACCAAACATTGGACTAACCTTTGCTACTTCCATTTTTTATGAGAAATGTAGGTCAATGGAAACGCTTTCTTCCCTTTATCATTCGCCATAGACGCTCAAGAGAAAACTAACCTAAACATTTTTCTGAATTTAAATATTTAGATTGAAGATAAGTTCGACCGTCGCTGGCCGTGAGAATCTCGGAGCTCATTACCAACTACACTCAGTGATTCAAATAATAATCGGCATAAACTTACTCGACAGTTCACACGGTTCAAAGTTGTTCGAATATGATAAAGAAAATAAGACTTTCACTTTATTCTCGAAAGAAAATTCACAACTGCCTCATAAAACAATAGAAGAAAAAGGAGAAGATCAATATATAATACGAGGTCAGAATAAAACGAGCAACTGATGAAAAATTCAACATTCTAAAAGCTAAATAAATTAAACTACAACAACAACGCTTCTCAAATTGAGAAAACAGAAAAAAAAGAAAAATTGTTATTGCTCATTTTCTGCTGACGGAGCTCCGTGATCACTAGAACTCAAATCGGCCATCAGCGAATGTAAAAGTTTCAACTAAAAAAAAAGCAATTGAGATACTTTGCGAGTGGCTTAGCAGACCTGATTTCGCGAAAGAGCGAGATCCTCCTGAGAAATACTGTCGAAGAATTCGATGAATGCAGGGAACTCGTTGACTTCTTTCGAGGCTCGAGCGATAATTTCAATGATTTTGGGAATGAATTTGTTGCGAATGGCTATCATCTCGTTGCGGTGCTTCTAAAATAAGAATTTGCGAGGAGCGAACTTTTTCGGGCACCTTGTGATAGTCGGCGCCTCCACCAGGGGCGAGGAAAAATTCGACGCGCCAGCCGACATTACTCAGAAGAGAACGAATGAGTGGCTGAGAATGCTGAAAATAATCCACTTGAAGTCGATAAAATATTTAACTTTATTCGAAAGAAGAAGACCATATAAGACATGGAAAGATGGAAACTAGAACTAGAAATTGACTGGAACAACCTGAATATTCTGCACGACGTTCATGTTTCTCCGTCGGACGTCGACCTCCTTCTGGGCGGCCGCATCCTCTCGCAACAAAGCTTCGGCACGCGCTCGCAGCTTAAAAAGTTCGATATACAGTTCAATATTCAGCTTAAAAGCTTTTTTTCAAACAAATTCCGTGAGGTAATTTTTTTCGAAGTTAATTCTTTCAGACGAATTTCTGCTCTATTCATTGGTTCTTATCGAAATTTTAGAGATTTACTGATTTCTCAACATTCGAGCCCTACAATGATAAAAATCTTATAAAACAGCGATAGTAGTTATTGAGCGGATAATAAATTAATCAATCAATGAAAAAGACGAACTTTGAGTGTCGCTTCCCAGTCGACGTCGGGACTTTCCTTCGCAAGACTCTGGAGTTCTTCTTCAGAAAGAGGCTCGTGCAGGAGTAAAATTTTGAGCTTGAGTGCGATCGTTACGCAGAAGTTGAACAAATCCTGAAGAACACTGACGTCATGTCACGAATGAAAAGGAAACCAAGAAGGTGCAGACAGCGACAAACTCGTTGGAGGCGTGCTCGATGCGCTCAACAGTGACGTGCGATGACGTCGACGGAGCAGACACAGAGCCGTCGTGGAGGTTGTCGAGGAGCGAGAGCACTTCGACGTCGCTGGAAGCATCGAGGAGCAGCTTGGAAAGGGTGTCCAGAACGTTGAACCGCATCACCTCACGCACTATTCTCCTCGTTCGCGTTTCTTCTATCGGTTCTGAGAGCACTCTTTCAGTGAACCAATCAAAACTGAATAACTTAGGAAGCACCTTCCAGAATTTTGGAACAAACATAGACACTAATTGAACTAGGGGAATCATTGAAAAACAGTAATGGCTTTCGTGATCAATGGAATTTTTAACCAGTTATATGCGTTTTTTTTTCTATAAATCTATGCTTTATTGTTTTTTGAGTCTTAGATGTAATCGAGTAGGTGGTGAGCAAGAAGTTTTCAAGCCATAATGTTCAATCTACTTTCGAAAGATATATATATTAATAAAAGATAACGCAAACTATGTCGGAAAAGGAGTCGGCTTGCTCTAGACGATGAGGCGTACCTGAGAGAAGACATTTGCGGAGCAGCCGATTCCCTTCCTCCAGAGCCGCCAGCGCCGTTTCATCTCCGCCCACAAGAAGCCATTGCCATTGGTCGATTTGTTCGTCCAAACTGACGACGCCAGCCTCAACACCGATGTTTGGAAATCACTCAAGACTTCAATGAAATACCTCATCTCCGTCGCGAACACCTTTGATCACAGTGCAAGCATAGCGACCAAAGTCGAGCTCCGCAGATCGCAAAGATTTCATGAAGATGATCCGTTCCTCCACGCTCTCGACATCTGAACAGCTCCCATCAACGCCTTATCATTAGAATCCAACGAACTCTTCATTGTCTCTAGAATCTCTTCGTCCTTCTGATCGTCGAGCAGAAATCGCGAATAAAAAGCTGCCATTTCGCGATGATAAAACGTGCCGTGACGGGTTCTGAGGTCGGCGAATTGGCGTAGAACAACACTATTCCCCATATCCTTAAATTGGAAAATGTTTTTGCCGTGTCAGGGAATTATAACAAACGTTTTTATCTTGGCCTGTGAGATATTGAACAGCGACAAGATGGAACAGAAGGTCCAACAGGATCGGATTGACCTGTAAAACTGAAAATCCAGCTTTTCATCAATACCTGAACCCACCTTGCAGTTGATTTCGAATGGGACATAACGACTAGTTTCCTTCTCAGCAAATGCAAAAAATTCATCAAACTCATCGTTCAACAGGGTGTCAGCCAGACGCATTAAAACCAGAACCTCTCCCTTCTTTTCATTTTCCTGAATGAAACTATGATTATGGTCTAAAAACAAGCCTCAACTATCGAAAGCTCTTCGAAAATAGCTTTTGAAGTCGTCGGCACGTTGAACAAGCGGCTGAAACTATCGGCCGACATGGCTGATTCAGCACGAATGAGACTGAAAAGATCGATTTTCTCAAAAGAAGAAAACTTGAGAAACCTGGCCATAACGGCAGCATTGGCGTACGCCCAGACCTTCTCAGCCATTGTTTTGGCCACTGAAAGCATCGGCTTCAATGAGCCACGGAGGGCACCGAGCAAGGCGATCTGCGGGTTCGAGGCGTCCACGTTCTTCTGAGATAGAGCTGGGCTAAAAGACAGAAAGGCTAGAGAGGAACCTGCAGCAAGGTGTCCAAGACTTCCAAATACTTCGCACGACGTATCCTCTTGAAAAAAGCCTTGTTTTGGTCATTGGGCTCAAGAGGCATTTCTTCTGGAGTGCGCATCGATTGATAAATGCGCAGTTGAGCCGCCTGAGGTCCCAGGCCAACGCTCAACGCCACTTCGGCAGCCTGAAAAAAGAACACCTTGATAAGTTTTTTTTAGTTTTAGTAATCTTCTTCTAGAAGTTTTGGGGTTCGAATGAAAAGAAAGTAACTTGAAAAAAGAATTTCGCCCGAAGTAATAAAATGCATAGGCGAATCGAGAAAGAATATCGCGAGACCCTCTGAGTTATATCGCAGGCTCTGAAGTCTCACCATGGAACCTCAAATAAACCTGAGGATTTTGAGCAAAATGAGTTATATGTACTCGAGGGAAACTCTAAAGTACCTCCGAGATGGCTCAGATATAGCTAGAAGGTATGCCGGAGGTCTCACGATGGACACATTATGGTACCTTCTCGATTCGCCTGTGTGAGAAAATTTGTACAGAGTACGCTATTTTTCGAGTTTTATTAAAAATTGAGAGCGAATTTTACCATTTCTGTAATACTCCTTTATTTCACTGTAGGTATATCAGAGTTTACAGCGAAAATTTAAAAGACTTCAGTTACCTTGGCTATTTCGCCGCATCTTGTGAGTTGAAAGATTATTTCCAAAGCGTTTCTCTCAGTTTTTTCATCTTCGGCTGTTCCTCGGTCATCCAAATTCATAGATGGCCTCATTGTATGATCAGCGCTTCTGTATCCGGCTCGAAATGTCATGAGGGAATCCATTCTAAACAAAGTCAATAAAATATATCGAAGTTTCCGCTGAGACAATTGTTCAGTGTTCCCTTACCTGGTTGAACGAATACGGCCAAGCTCGACGACTTTCTCATTCAAGCCAAGTTCAATTTGCTGCTCACTGATCATTTTCTCTCCCCAAAGAAGAAGAGCATAAATACGGCGGAATTCGACATCTTCAACAATCATTCTGCTTAGAAGCGACGTTTTCTGCAGAATATCCATTTTCAAATGCACAAGAACTTTCAAAAAACCTGAGTTTCGATGAAGTGCTCGTTCTGGCTGAGAGATGTGAAACAAGCCATAATGCTCATTATTTGAACGGCTTCATTCGCATATCGCTGAGTTTTGGCAGAAATCCTCACATCCGGTAGCATCCTTCTTGTATGGGCTTCATATTCGACAAATATCTGAATTTTCCAGAATAAAAATAAGTTTTCTCTAAAAAAAAACCTCGTAAAGTTTTTCCCACATCTGAGATGAAACAGCAGAGGTTCCTCCAAAATCGTAGACGCCAAGAGCTAGAGAGCAAGTTTCCTCGTAAAGCTTTTCAGATAATGCCGAATGAACTGAATGAGAGAAAAATTCATGGAGAGAGTAAAGTTTTTCAACTTCTATTCAATTGCTTGAACGCTATGTTATTAACTCGTTGACGATCTTCATCTTCGTCTTGAAGCTCATAGGAACTTTCCATGTCTCGATCGCTCAACTTTGAATGTGAACAATTGAGGTTTCTCTGAAACTCCATCATATTCCACGGAGGTGGAAAATTGGACTGAAAAAAGAATTTAGTTTAAAAAAATCTATGCTACAATAAAATCCGAGACAACGTTTCGATGAGTGCCACAACAAAAATATTTACATCAAATATGACCACTACTTCAATGATTGAAATATAAAAACGAAACATATCAAAATTAGAGACAGAAAAAAACTTTCATATAAACTTTTTGCTGGTGAATTTTTTTCGTTTCTAAACTTTTCTAGCCATTTTATTAGTTTTTTTCATGGAGCTTGAATAGCAAAAATTTCGAAAATATATATTTATTAAAAATATTTATAAATAGCGTATGCCTAAAATGTAGCGTCTTCTTTTTTTGATTACATTTATAAAAATTACTTTTATCTAAGCATCTTTATTACAATTAAAAAAATTTTATACTATTTATAACTACCATAAAAAAATTTTTGAAAAACTGTTATAAAAATTCTGTTCGAACGTATTCGAGCTTCGAAAAAGCTAGGAAGCGTTGAAAGATTGAGAGGCCAGGCTTGATTTTTTTAATATTTCGTCTCAATACTATGACCCTTTCTAAACAAAACAAGTTTTTGGCCCTTCAATCTTTGAACGAAGCATAACGATCCGATTGAAAATATTTTAAAAACGAAAGAAAATTTGAAAATTTTTAAAACGAAAGAAAACGAAAAAGCGCGCGCGCGCTCTGTCGAACTATGTTATAGAGGCCACTCAAGGGATCCAAATTTTTTTTTTAAATCGACTATAGTAAAAAGAAAGCCTACGAGTTTCGATTCGGAGAAGTTCAATGGTATAAACAGAAAATCATTCGAGATAATGTAGGCATTGGAGGCAGTGTGGGAATTTTTTTTACTGTGTAGAAACGATTTTAAAGCTCAAAAACTCCGAATTTCCTTTCACGTGCGCGAAAAGTTTGTATCAGTACGTACTGATATTTATAAAATACTGTTTTTCTCTTTAAACTTAGAAGCGTAGAGTAACTAATTAAAATTACCCGCCGTCGTTCCGTATTTGCACGGCGGGTCAACCCCACCAACATGAGAGTTTTAAGCTTTCACCTTCAGAAGCACTACACTTTGATACATAATGAGAACTTTGACGCATATGGCCTCAGGTTTTTTGATAAACTTTCGTCTCCCATTCATCCTTTTTTTGGTGCCAATATAAAACTTGAATTTTTTTCGAATAGGACATAAACATAGGCAATAGTTTATTCTGGGGCTACTGTTTGACTTTTCGCAACGCTTTCGAAACCTTCTTTTTTTTTTTGTCTTTTTAGTTCATCATAATGATGATAGTCGATTTTCAATTCTTATCTATGCTGTAAACCAGCTTAAAATAAATGCACATGTGTGATAGAGAAAGCTTTGAGAGAGAGAGAGAGAGAGCCGATTGAACTCCACAATGTGTGCTGGAGAAAAAAATGTCAGCCGCTAACCCTTTACAACAAAAGTTTTCTATTTTCATTCGTATTTTTTCTCATTTTTTCTGCGATTTTCGTGGAATATTTGTATACCAAATAGTTAACTGATTTTGAATATGGACTATCAGTTCAGTTTCCTTCATTTTCGGTCGAACCTTGAAATAATTTTGTTTCTCAAAGCTTTGTCTTTTTCAGATATTGCAATAGCCTCAACTTGATCTCCCACCTCTCTTTTTCATCGGCGATGTCCGTTACTGCGAAAAACTTTTACCGTCGTCCATTACCCGATTCTTGCGTTGACTTTGCCAGCGCACTCGGCAAAAAGCTGTTTTCCGAATCTCTGCAAAACGGTATTTCTTTCTTGGACTCACAAAGTTTGAATTGCAATTAAGGTTGTGCGAATATTTATTTCAAACTCGCTTCGCAATTTCTCACTCAAGACGAGCCAGCGTACTGCGGTCTCAGCACATTGGGTAAGTAATACAAGGACAATGTTCGACTCAATTTCTCATTTTAAAGATTTTAGCGGTCTTAGAATTTAATTTTTTTGCCTCAGAGTGGGTCAAAAGACAAAAGTATTCCTTAGTAACTCATGTTTGAAAAGGGAAAAAGAAACATTCAAAGATAGAAAGAAACGAAAATTGAAAAAATCAAATTACAGTTATGGTGCTGAATGCCTTAGAAGTGGATCCGGAGCGAGTCTGGAAGGCTCCTTGGAGGTTTTATCACGAATCAATGCTTGACTGCTGCGTTCCGCTTGAAAACGTCAAAAGGTATAAAGCAGATATCTCAAACTTAATTTTTGTACGCCTTTTTAAACTTTTTAGGTTCATAAAGTTTATAATACTTTTATTGAAAATATTGAAGAATTTTACAAGCCTGTCTGAAAAGTTTCGGTGATTACCGAATTCTTAAAAAAAATTTTTTGAGCGATTACTCTACAAAGAGATCATAAACTGCAATACTCTATTAACAACCGACTGAAAACTCTTTCTCGAATTCTAACGGAAAAAAGAAGCCAGAGTTTTATATCTGTGTAAAGCTTTCTATAAATAGAGATTTGAAAGAACTTTCTGTGGATAACTCGAATTTAGATGCATACTACCTATTCTGAAAATAATAGATCCACTTTTGTTCACTTTTTGTGGGCTTTCTTGATGCAGAACTATTGCAAAACGCCGGCTCTTACATGTAATTTGAACAGAACAGGAATCAACCTGGCGCAATTCGGATGTTTGGCGATATGCAATCGCCTCAACACGCGCGTCATGTACGGCAACGATTCGAACGGTATCAGTGGAGCCTCTTTCTTCCCGATCCCATTCGGGGTTTGCAGAATTCCTGGTCAGTCTGCGGAAGACGCTAGTCGAGTCTGTTCGAGGGGACGACACCGTCGTCGTCGCTTCTTATGATCGCTCGGCTCTGGGACAGACTGGAGCCGGTCGGCCTTCTCGTGAAGTAAATATCGATGGAAGTCAGTTCAGGGCATTTCTCGCCGTTAGCCGCGTACCATGAAGAGTCCGATCGTGTGCTCATAATGGATGTGGCGCGATTCAAGTACTGCTGTGAATGAAATTTTCGATGTTCTGAAATCCCAGGTACCCTCCCCATTGGGTCTCTTTGGTCGACCTTCAGAAGGCACTCTGTTCTGTCGATCCGAGTACCAAGAAGCCTAGAGGTCGGAAAGAAACTTCTGGAATAAGCGAAAATTTATTTAAAGATTTGCAGGTTACGTCATTTTAAATCTACGGTCAGGCACACGACCACTGATAATGTTTGGCTTGAAGGCTAATTTGGCGATTAATGATTCTGAGGTTTCTTTGGAAAAATTTCGGTTCAACTCACGGCTTTACAGTATGCAATGTCAGTGATAGCGTGGAAGGAGTTCCTACTGTGTGACCCATTGTCCGACGAAAAGGAAGAATTCCAACTTTGTTGCAGGTTTTTTTTTGAGATTTACGAATTTATTGTGAAGTTGGACACAGGCGTTTTGGTCAGTGTTTTGCTCCTCATGCGCTCTGTTGCACGCAAAAAATCGCCGAGGCAGACCTAGTGAGTCAATCAAAAGTTGATTTTTAATACTTCTATCATATTTTGGAATTTGGATATTTTTTTGCATTTCAAATCTCTACAACTTGAAGCGGTCGCGCTGCAAAGAAGGCGTGGATGAGCACTCGGAGGCGTGCAAGACGATCTACTCTGAAATAAGACAGACGCCGTTCGCCCAAGTGTTCTCCAGCAGCGCCGTCGCCGCCCTCATGCTCGCTTGGCCGTATGAAGTCAGTCTTTGTCATTTCTTTTTTCCTTTCCGGACAGTTATTCAAATTTCAAGCAATGGTGAGAGATGATTAAGTTTTTGTGATTTGCTTGAATTTGAAGGGTTTTTGTTGATAGAAATAACAAATGGTGTCATAATAATTGTTAAAAATGGAAAAATAAGATAAATTTACTTTGAGAAGTCCGTATGAAAGTTATTTAGACTATTCGAAAGAGCGTCCCTTCAAATCCAATCATAAAGATTTTTCTGCCTTCATCAAAATTTTTTTTAAATCGCAAAAAGCGTATATTGTAATAACCACGTTAGAGGTTTTTAAATTTGTGAAAAACTACTTTGAGACCTCGATAAACTTAATTATGCATAACGTAGGAAGTCGGCTTTCAGGAAAATAACGCGAAATACGGCAAAAAAAGTTTTACTGCGTTATCGAGATTTCTCTGATGGCCTTCATCAAACTTTTTTACCCGTAAAAGTCTTGATTTCAGCCATCTTTCTCGGAACGCAGCGACCGCCTGTACATTTTAACGAATGAACAAAAATCGCGTTTCTCAATGGATACCCAAAATGAAATAGGTGAATCTCAAAGAATCGACCTGACCGACCATTTTCAGAGCAGCTGACCGTGCAGATCAGTACTTTGATCTGCTGCACGAAGTCGCCGCCACAGCTGAGTCGCAATGGCTCCGCCTCCTCTAAGTGCAGCCGGAGCAAGCAGGCCAACGGCCTCGATCCCTGCTCCTGCCAGTCCGATGTACATCTCTGATGGCCGAAGAAGCCGTGAATTGTTACTTAACACTTTCTTGCAATATAATATCGGTATTCGTTTATGGGAAAAATTTGAGTTTTCATTTAAAATCCTTTAAACATTTTGAAAAACAAATTTGTAGCTTCTTGTGGAAAAATTAAAAAAATATATGTGAGAAAAAAGGTCATTTTTTTCTTTTAGTTAGATGCATGTTTCTATCGGTTCTTTCGCCTTGCCGTTTGGAACGGAAATGCGTGCTGGCCGATGCCGTACGCAACGCGGTCCGGCTAGACTCAGCCTGCGAAGCGGTTTGCAAGAGAGTGGACAGACATGAGAGATTTTTGCATCATTCTCCGCCGGCTGAGCCGAGCTCGGTCGAGAAAAAATCCGCTAGCCGCGCCAAATAGAAGACAATTTCACTGGGCAGATCTTATGAAGGTCTTTCCAGGCATCCATTTTTTTTTTTTTTGGTTTTCTTGGACTTCGGCGTCTGTTACACACTTCGAAGATTTCAATTCTCACATAAAGTTTTTTGATCACTCTTCTCTTTTTTTCGGTCATACGCGGGTTTTTCAATCGTTAATTTAATAAACTGCCTGTTGTTCCAAAACGATTTTTCGTGTAATCATCAGAGTTTGAAAGATTTATTTTTTTCATTTTTTTTTTTTAGGAATGGAAGCGAGTGAGAAGAAATCAGCGTTCCTTTTGAAATCAGATGCGACCAAAAAACTACATACTATTTTCATTTTTGCACAATCACTAATTATCCCTTCACTGGCATCTGTATTGCATGATGAGACAATAGTTCTAAAATTATTAAATATTCGGAAATTTAAATGGAGAATATAGCACGTTTGATCGTTGGTTTTCGGAATGGATCGAAATATCTTTAAAATTCAAAATATAATTGAGATGAATGACAGGAGGTCAAAGTTTGTGGCTCAGCAAGATAAATGGAAGGGGAACTATGTGGAATCGTTCGAAAAGTGAATAATCTCTGGGAAAGTGGAAAGTCCTAGCTGGAAAAAAAATACCCATTCGAGAAATCGTGAGGAATAATAACAAATTCAGATCTACTGTGTCCTCGTTTCACGCTAAATTGATCTGAGCTCGGTCGGAGCATACTCAGATTGTGTTGGCTGCGCAACCTGAGTACTCTCTACCGAACACAAAAATGCGTATAACAACAAAAAGATAGAAATAAGATCATCGTGTGAGATTTTTCAAACCATATGCAAAAAGTGATAAATCGTTTACCAATCTGTCGTAAATAATTTGGAAGTTCTTTTTTAGTCTTGGGTTGCTTCGATTTCGCTTTTTTCTGTTCACGCACGACATATTTTTAAGCTTCACAAGTTTTTCCCAACGAAAGATCAAAATCAATAAGATAAGTTAACTAAGACAGATTGGTAGCCTTTTCAAGACCCTTTTGCATAAGGCTTCGGGAAAAGAATTAACATGCTGTCATGCACTGAGCCGGAAAACTGAGCAGCTTGATTCTACGTCGCGGGAAACTTCGAAGACGAAGCAAAGAACCATGAGGGTCTCATCCGTCTCGCTATTTGAGACCACCTGTGAAATTTCTTAGTCAGTCGAAAACAAGATAGAATAAAACCTGCAGGACTGTAAAGTTCTCCAGGACGCTGTTCATGTATTCGACGTTCTCTAGCTTCTTCAGCTCGGAGAGGAACTGCACCATGTAGTCGCACATAGGCGACGACTTGAGCGCGAACATGTAGTGTCCGTTTGCGGCCTCCGTGGGAGGGTACGCCTTGAACTTGTGTTCTCTTCGGAATGGCTTAGAACGACATACTTCAATTTTCTCGACGGCTTTCTTCGAAAAGGAGCACGCCATTGTTGAGACCTTCAGATGGATTTTTTGCGAAGACGAGTAGAACGAATCCACGGCGTATTGGCAATTCCTGAGAAGTCATCGATTGCACGGCTCGTCTGGATATATAGTTCGAATTACCTCACATCCTCAACGAAATTGAGGTTAGCCCAGCACTTGACGACAAAAAATTGATCTTTCTTGACACTCTTTTCGAAGAGTTCGCGCAGTACCGGAGGGTATTTATCAGTAAAGAGCGAAATCGGAACTGGCTGAAAAATTAGTTGGAAAAAATAGTTCCATTCAGAACGCACATCTTCTTCGAGGGTGCTCTCAATTTTGACTAGCTCGGTTCGCTGGTTGGTTAGGCTGTTGAAGACGTAGGCGGTGAAGCTGAGCAACGACAGCGACGAGGAGGAGATGCTTCTTGCTTCTGAAGACGTCGTTTCGCACACTTCCGCCTTTGGCACCACTAATCGCGACAGATCAACGCTGCAAACTTAACTTCGTGCGAATCACTAGAAAAGAGCAAGAAAACTCAGTGGTTGAGACTCACCTAAAGGGAAGTGTCGTCGGCATTCCGCCTGGTGTGAAATTCCAAAGATGAGGGGAAAGACCTAAAAAATGTCTTTACTTTCCGGAGCTATCCAAATACCATTCAGGAAGAGCTGTTGAGAGATCTGGTCCGTCGGTTCGACTTTGAGGGGTGTTGTCAGAGGCTTAACTCTTTTTGATGATCCACAATCAAAAATGCAGAAAAAACCTGTCGGGATGGAGGAGTTTGGGTGTTAGGGACGACTGTGGGCAACACAGGGATCCGTGGCGTCTGTGCTGAAGCAGGAGACGACGAAGAAGAGGAAGAAGCCGTTCCTTGCGGCACCGGCGTCACGGAGGAGCGCGGCCGCACCGATTCCGGTGGACTCGACATTTGCAGCGACGGCAAACCCGCTTCTCCCTGAATGAAAATAAGGTTAAAAAAGATGATAAATAATTAGAAACAAAAAAATCATCACGAAGAGAATATCTGGTGGGTGTATGAGTCTCTCAAAAAGTGTAATTAGATTTTTTTTCCGAATCGAACATGAGCAAACTGAAAGCATTCGAAACAGAAGTTTCATTATTTTTTTAAATTAATTTTGTTACTTCATTTTATTAGTACACTTTTTAAATTCGTAAATTTTGAGGGTTGACTTTTGGAATGTGTTGTCGCGCAAAAAAATCTGCAAACAAGGAGTATTTATGTATCTTTTTTAGCTGTTAAGGAAAATTTCGATTTATTTCTGAAAAACAATGAATCAGGCATAACCTCATTGTTTGAAAATTGTTCATAAAAAATCGTTTCTTGAGAAAAAAAAAACAATTTTGAAAGTTGAAACTTCCAATTCCTTAATTTACAAGTTAGTACATTCAGAATCAGATTTTCGAAAATTTCATTAGTTTCGGGATAAGATATTTTTGTTGTTAGGAAAATAGGTTGAACGATGGAAGGACCTCACCTTCTTTTTGGCTTGTTCGTCGCGGAGCTTCTTCCTTGCGAGGACCTGGATGTGAGAAGAGACCTGCTTCCGCGTGCGCGTCTTCCCACAACGCAGCTTGATGTATCGCGCAATCAACTCATTTCGACCTGTAATTTCAAAAAAACTATTTCACTGAATTTACACCTTCAGAAAGCTTTAGGTAAAAGTCATTTTCTCAAAATCTCCATGTATGCGCAAAATAGAATAGACCTCGGGAAATCTTTTACAACACCGAAATCCTCCGAAAGTACCGTATGACCTCGTTTCAACTGTGAGTTAGGATCGCGCCCTAAAAGGTCGTAGAAACAGGTGGAACTTGTCAATCGCTCAATTGCGCCGAGAGATAATTGTGTTTTGGACGGTGCAGGTGAGGCTCCTCGGATGAAGCTGCCAGCAAAAGTCGTCGGAAGTCCATCAATCTTTTCGCCATCTGGCGGCTCATTTCAATTATTTTTCTCAACTTGGGTTTATCAGACGCTTTCAACTACAATCACTTCATTTTAGGCTACAGTTGCAGGAAAGATTAGTCGTTAGCATATGTGCAAACTTGAGGTCAGCGGTGAAAATTAAGTAAAGGGTCATTTAATCTGCAGAGTCTCCAAACATAAAATCATCTCTCAAAACGAACGATGAAATAAGGTCAGTACAAAAACACATAAAAGCTGAACTATGAAAATAAGGTCAGAGGAATCGTCTGCTTTTCAAGACAGCCTAAGAAAACTAGTATTCAAGTAAATTTTGAAGTAAATTACAGAAGACAACAGCTATTGTACAGAACGCTCTCAGAATTAAGGTGAAATGATCTTTCGTGTGAGCTCCCTTTTATTGGATTGATCTGAATTGAGACTTCGCAACTGTAGTTTTCAAGCTGAAGTTCCATACACCCCGATGATGGTCTCCCAGTCGTTTCGGTGTGGAGCTATTGGCGACGAAGGCAGATGTTCTCGTGGAGCCGTGCGAGGCAGCTGCCTGTCGACTCCGCGGCGCCTTGTCAATGGGAATTCGGCCAGTAATCCGGTCGTCTTTCTTCGCAGCAGCCTCCGCTAATTGAGCCGTGACCCAGGCAACAGTCTCGGCTCGATCCAGTCAACGCCCCCCTTTGAAAATGGAACGTCCAGCTCACGAGCAACAACTTTCAGTACTGGGATATTATGAATTAGAGATTACTTGGATCAAAAAAAGCAAGCCCAGAGCCAAAAATATGAACTTTCTATTCAAACATCACTGGTATAATAGTTCGTTCAGAAGTCCTCGTCTGAGCGTTCAAAATAAGCTAAATAATTTTTTCCTGGAGGATTGAGTTGGGAACTCGCTTTCAAAGTTATCCTAAGTATTGCACTCATGAACTTTTGAATATATCATATTTAGAAATGAATCATGCGTTGGTTTTGAAAAATACCAACTTGAATTTTTTTAGCTTCAGAAAACATGAAAAAATTCTTAGAAACGCAACCTAAATGGTTTAACCTCGGACAGAAGCTCCAAAAGTGAAAATCTGAATTCAAAAAAAAAATTAGGAAATCGTATAGTAGTTAGTCACAAGTTCCTGTTCTCATTGGATTCGAAATCAAAAACCGCGCCTTGAAATTCCAGATGACAGGCCGAGCAGATGTTTTTTTTTCTTGCCTCGTTTGCATGCATTACCCTCACACCAAACCTACACAAACCGAAAAGGAAAGACTCCGAAAAACGGCGAGGAACACTGGAACGTGTTTCCTCGGAGAAGTGGTCTGGCCGCGCAACTAATTTGGAACCCAGACAAAGCCAATCTTTTGCCAAGGAAAGAGCACGTACCGTACATCTTGCCCTCGTCACTGATGATGATCTTCCTCCTTCCACAAGGCGGGTAGATCGCCAGCGCTTCTTGGAACGCCTGAGTATTTTAAAATAGAAATTGGAAACCCCTTGATTTGAAAAGGCTCAGAGCCGTAGGCTTGAACGTTCACGCAGCGTAAATTTGAAGGCGCAAATGGGTTTAAAGAAGGTGAAGTTGACTTTTTTTTCACGGATTCGCGAATATTGTTTGCTAAAAGTATTGAAAAAAGGTATAAATAGAGAAATTCCTTTTTGGAACTACATTTACGTCGTCGCATTTACGTTATTAGCTCATGTGTAAGGCCTCAGGTTTTGTTCAAAAACTTTTTCAAAAAGAAAAAATAATTAAGTGATCGGAATCAAAAACGAAAACTTTTCAGAACCAGAACTCTTTTTACAAATGTTCAGTTGATCAGCTCCTTTTCCTATGAGCTTCGCTCATTCATCTCTACCTGGTCGATGTCGACGCTCCAGACGCCTTCAGCGTCTCCGGAGAGATCAGAAGCCGACTGTGAAGACGTCGCTTCTGGCTGAGTCCCGGCCGAACCAGCGCCGTCTCCAGCCGGTGGGGACAACTGAAAAAAAAAAACGAATTCATCGATAGCCGAAGTTTTCGAAAACCATAATACGAAAAAACCAAAGATCCGAAAACTTCTAAAACAAACGAACAGTCATCATCTGGCCGCCGTTCTGGGCGTTGGTCGTCGGCGTGCTGGTCCAGTCCTTCTTGAATTCGATAAAAGACGGCGTCCCAACGACGCCATTCAGCAGCGTCGTCGCCGTCATCGCGACGTCTTCGCTCATCTGAACTCGTTGTTCTCACTCAAAGAAATGGAGAGACTGGGAGTTTAGAAGTTCGCGAAATATCAGGACTTAAAAACCAAAGAAGCTGGATGGAAAACGCCGTTTCGGGATGGGTTTATCTAAAATTGCAATCAGCCTTCGGATTTCTCGGAGCCTCCTGTTCCCGAAAATGCAACGGAATGCTAGGAGCTGGCAACGTCTTCCAGATGAGATGCGTCCAGATAAAAGCCAAACCCAAGTTTTAGCGAAACAGAAAAATATCTTTGGAGGCGCCTGTGGAAATCCTTTCTCCCCGATAAAAATGGACAAAAAAGAAAGCTAACTATGAGAAATAAGAAATGGAAAGTTTCGGGGTGAGAAACTAGAGAAAATGGGAATTTGAAAAGGAAACAGCTTCATAATCGAAGATCAAAATGATCAAATTCCCACGTGATCGTCATTCTCTAAAAGGCAAACGAGCAATGCGGACAGAAACGTTGGAAGCGGCCTCCGGGTCGAACAGGCGGTGAGACGCCTTATCAAATTATCGATTTCCGAAGACGCTGATTCATCCTCCAAAAAAGGCTCTCGCAACCATTTTTGGGTTGAAATCAAAGTTCCAAACAGCAGAAGTTGAACCAAAAGTGAGAAACGAAAAACGTAATTGGGATATAATTTCATAAATGCTCACAGTGAACTGCGATTGTTGAAGGAAACTGTGGCTTATAATCAACTTCATGTTTGATTTGAAATGGAACGTAGAAAACAAAAAAAAGTTACAGAAGAAAGTAAAAAGACAAAAAAAAAACAAAGAAACGAGGTTTTCAGGTGGTTTCTGCACATCAAACCACCTGAATGACCTCGCCAAATTGACTTGCGCCGACAACAAATTCGCGGCAGCAAAAAAAAGTTGAAGTGAAGAGAGCCGATCAATCAATATTTTGAAGGTATAAACAATTAAACTCTTTGAAGAATATACAGGCTGAGACCAACTTGAAAGCAAGAAAAAAGGAAGAACTAAAACCAGCGATAAAAAGTTCCTACAGCGAAAGAAAAAGGATTCTCAAGAGCACGCGTGTTTTTTCCATTTTATGAAAAGTTGTACGTTTTTATAAATTCTACGAGTATTGAAACTTTTTAGTAGGGTACGTCTCAAGTTGAAAACTTGACAAGGGAGGTTTGTGAGGTGAACTTTGCAGATCTGGTCCAAACTTATGTGGTAGGTAGTCCAAGGTGAGATTACTCAAAAACAGAAAAAATTATTTGCTAAGCACCACATAGAGTACAGAGACATAGCCTGTCGAAAATCAAAAAAGAAAAATCGAAAGAGGAAAAAACTGAAAAACTAATTTTCTTCGGGTTCTCGATTTTCAAAACGTTTACTGTTATTCACTATATCATGAGAAAAACGGAAAAGAAACCCAAAGATAATTCGTTTTTGAGCTTTTCCTGTACATTTTCGACAGGCTATTTCTCAGTAGTCCATGATGCTTAGCAGATGAATCTCTTCGTTTTCGAATACTCATATCTGGGACTACCTACCAAAGAAGTTTGAACCATATCTGCGCCCACTTCTCTCGTTAGAGAGGGTATGAAGTTCAAGGAACAAGTTTGCGATTCAATTTATTTCTTTGGTCGAGAAAAAAGGCGATATGTTGAGGGAAAATGAGAGTTCAGATCGTAATTTGTTGAGCAACACCTGGTTTCTTAGAAGTGACCAACTAATTACAAGCGTGCAATTTTTTCAGATTTCAAATTTGTTAAAAAATTTCTGCTTTTTGTTCAATAATCCAAACGACGGCACTAGAACACCTTGCAGGAACATCAATGGAAAAATAGAAGGAAAATATATCGTATATATTGAGTTCGATGAAAACAAAAACACAAAAGATACAAAAAAAAAGGATTTATGATAGACGCAGGACTTGGCCAAGCGACAACTGACTCGTGAGCATGAGCCTCGGAGCCAAAAACACCGGGATCCGGGGAATAAACGACGCGTCGAACGCTCTTCACCTACCAGCCTGAGCCGAAAATGTCTGAGAGAGTCGTAAGAGTCAAAATAGGTAAAAAACTCGAAGAAAAACTTTCAAATACGTGATTCTGTATTTTGAAAAAATAATTCCGCCGCCTTTTGTTTGATATTTTTGACGTAAACTTTTATTCTACCGCAAACCGATAAATCTTAAAAAGTTTCAAAGTTAACTTGAAAAACTTTCAAATCGAAGCTTCATGATTGATCGATCCATCTTTTTTCAGATAATTCTCTAAAAAATTCCCTACAAGGAATGTAATCACAGCAAATTGGCCTTGATTGTCATTTAAAAAGACGACAAGACCAGAAGATATTGAAACTTAATCCGACAGAACTTACCCTAAGGGCTGAATTTATTCTCATAAAAAATGCTAACTAAAAACAGAGAAAGTATGCATGAAAAAGAAGGAAAAAGCGGTTGAGTGACGAAACCAAAGGATGAAGTCGGGACAGTTGTTCCGAGTGATTCATTCGACGAGTTCTATACGTTTTTTACGTCTATCACCTTTGTATCAGCTGTTTCAGCAAGAAAGAACAAAATAGCCTCTTCAAGAACAAAAAATGAAGAAAAAATCCAACCACTTCATAATTATGTTGAACAAAACACAAAAGTCAGATCGATAGAAGCCTCCGTCTAGAAGCGAGCCAAACAGTCGCCGGCCAACTTTCCTTTTGTTTGCTTTTCTACCTAGGTTTCTAGTACCTTCGAAAAAAGAGTGAGAAAAACCGTGAAAAGATGTGTTTGTGACATGAAAAGTATGGAAAACCTTGAGAGTTTCCATAGAAATTATGAACTTACGCAAAAAATGACTAGAGACTCTTATCAAACTTGAAGAGAACATGTGGAAAACAACGAAAACAGGCGGGTCTGAATAATAACGTTGAAAATAATCATGCAGATCGGACAGTCAGATTGGAAACAGTTCAAATGATAAGAATATGAAAAATATCGAGAAACAACTTGAGGAAAATATTTTGAATTCAAAAAAGAAAGAAAGCCCCAGAAGGAGTCATTCGAATTTTTTCCTGAAAGATTTGAGGAGAATTGCTCTAGCGCTTTCCTAAAGGAATATCATGGAAGCTTCAAAATCCGTTTCATTTTTTTTAGTTAAAAAAACTCATTCAAATGACTAGAAAGATTTTTTTCAAGATTTAATCTTTAAATCCTCTGTTAAGGGGAATAGGAGTTGTAAGAATTTTGATTCATTCAAAAAATTTCGGCCGAATTTCAGACGTGTAAGAAAAAAAAAGGCGAAATAACCTTCCTTCTACTGAAAGAAAAAGTTGACTAACGGCGAGAAAAAAAAAACCAAAAAGCTTGCAGATTTAAAACAGACGCAGGAAAATTGCAGAAGTCCAGTCATCGCGATGATCATTTTCATGTCGCTCAACCTTGCAGAAGTCGAAAAAAAAGCTGGAAAAGAGCCGAGATCGGACCAAAAAGGGAGAACAGAAGATTGGTTTGATGTAATGACCTTGGATGGGCATGGGGACGAAGGGTCGTGCGTGGTTGCGTCGAGTGGACCGTGCCGAAATAGCGTCGCAGCCGGAGAGGCGCAGCTCTTTTTGGCGAGGTGAACTGCGGTGGCCTGCAGACCATCAAAATGCGCGCTGGTAGCCCAGGAGCAGATGGTTTCCGATGAACCGACGGCGTGGCCTCGGCCGGAGCCACCCGTTGCGCCAGTCCTTTCGCACGTCCTTTGTGCCTTTTTACGGCTTTCTTCCACGCTTCTCAGCTCAGATTCGTCAAATCCTTCACAAAAAATCCCGCACACCGAGAAAGGCTTCATGTGCTCCACCAACCCTTCACAGCATCTTTCAAAATTTTCAGTGAATCTGTTCAGAAAAAGTATGAAACAAGTAAGAAGGCAATGTTTGATGAAGAATTCAAAAATATTTATTATGAATTTAAAAAAATTTAATATTAATAAATAATTCTAGAAAAAAATTTTTTTAATCTTTGTAATATATTGTGAATTCTAGTTCAAACGCAGTGAAGCTGCTCTTGCTTAACCAGTTAGCGGAAACTTTATTCAAAAAAAAAGAACGAATTTGAGCAATTAATGCGAGTTCGAAAAAAGAATAATACAAGAAACTAGTTATAAATCGTTTGCAAATGCGCACTATCGATAAGTAGAAGAGGAAATGATGATAATTGCGATAGGTGAACGAGGAACACCTGAACGGAGACTGGCAAGTTGCCACAAGAAGATGACGACGGCGATAAGAGAACGTGGCAGCCGCCGTCAAAAGAAACCCAACAAGGAAGGTTGGAAAGCACTTAATGGGTCCTGAAGCCATAATTGCGTAGTGAAAGCGGCCTCTTATCAACGGAACTTTCCAAACTACCGTTCCATCAAATTCAGTCGCCGAACCGCGACGCCTATTTTAGGTTATATCTCAGCGAACGCGGGGAAAGGAAATTCTAAAAAAAAGACCCAATTTTTTCTGCATTTTTTTCTCTGCACTTGATGCCGTTAAATAAAGTTTTCAATGTGAACTTGAAATTTTTTAATTCGGAAGTATCGCAGAACCGGAAATTTTTGAAACTTTACAAAAATTACCGCTCTTCAACTTGGAGACGCATCCGAAAAATCAAAAAGCGTCGTCTGCTTCGAAAATCGATTTGATTTTACATTTAATATTTCAAAAATATACTGGATTCGTTAGACTCACAAAAAAATTTGAGAAAAAAAGTGAAGTAAATGAAATAAAAGCTTTCTACAGCCTGTTTTTTTCACACAGAAAGTGGCTTCTTCTGTGTGTTCAAACGTTCTGGTGGTTAAAAAAACATTTTTTTATTCGCCTTGAGAGATTTTATGACATGTAGATCAGAGAAATTACATCAAGCTTCTTAAAATGAAAAGAGTAAAGAAATGAAGAAGTTTTTTTGCTGACCACGAAAACAGAAAAATCTAATTGAAACCTACGAAGAACAGTTCAAAGATAGGAACAAATGAATAGATCGATTGATCCACTGCAGAAAAGAGATGAGTCGGCGACAAACACGGGAAAAGTGAGAGGAAGGAAGAGGGAGAATTCGAGAAGAAGAAGAAGACGTCGGATCGACGTCTTGGCCGACTTGGCTGCCTCCAAACGGGTTTCGGGCGGTTCACACAGGCTGCGAAAGTGTCGAAACACACAACGACAATACGCCATGCCCAGGTCTTGGTGCCAACCAAAAGTTCGGCAGTACCGACAAAGAGTACACCAAAAAATAAGAAAATTTGGCATGGATGCTTCACTTTTTGAGGCTGATTCCTTCTATTGAGAATAAGAAGAGGAAAAAAATAGTCTTTAAAAAAGAAAAGTAGCTTAAAGGTCCGATGAATAGAAAATTTTTTTTGACATCTGCTAGACATAGAGAACTGAATTTTAAAAAGTTAAAAAAATGGGTGCTCCATACCGTTTATTACCCTGTCATCATTATCTTATTATCGATTCATCGAAAAGACAATTAGTTTCATTGATAGTTGTGCTAGATCCTCAACTTGTCTGAAAAAACATTCTCAGGGAAAAAAGGAGAACGAAACAAAATCTACATAACTGAAAAAAAAAATTTCTTAACCTATTTTTGACAGTACGCGGACGGAGCGAACCCGGTTTCTTTGCCAATTAAAACTGAAGTCAAAACGAAACTGAGAAATGACCAAACCTCACAGCGGAGAGTCGGACTGAATTCAATTAAAGTATCGGTTACTGTGACTGACCGAAGGAACATTGAAACCTCCTGACTTTTTGAGGCGGCTGTCTATGTAAAGCTAAGAAGGGTTTTGTGTTTGCTGGGAGCAACCAAACGGCTCGAAAGCGCAACAAGCTTTCTAGGGACACGGTGTGTCTTTTGAGTGAAGGCAAAAGGGCGACCGTGTCTCGACGCCAAGTGCACATACACACAACACACAAACAGAACAACCGTCGGCGGCTTCCGACCTCCGAGGCTCTCCCTACTCTCGGCACGCCGTTTTGCACGTCCAGAACCTCTTCAGCTGTTTAACACGCACCGTTCGTGCCAAAAACTAACAAATAACCATTTATAAAAGGTCTGTCTTTTGAAAGGTTCGGAAAACTTTGCAAACTTGTTGAAAAGGGAAGATCGCTCTTAGTCGCTACCTGTGCTACCTTCCAGTTTTGGATGCATGAATCGTCAATCTATTCCAAATTTTAAATACACGGGGAGGCGAGAGTTGAAAAACTTTGAAATTTCAACACAACCCCGAAAAAAAAATTTTGCGCAGATTACAGTCTCTTTTTCACATCATTAGATTCAAAATTGACATCTGACGATTTGAAAAAATTCCGAGAAACTACGAAAATAGTTGACAACAACAAGAAATGATTTTCAGTTATAATAAAAATGCCGCCTTTTTACACCCTCGTTTATGATACTTCGATAACATATTTCAATAAAACAACGCAGTATTCGAAACCGAAAAAATCATTTGAAAAACAGGACTTGAAATTTTGAGATCAATACGAAATAAGAAAAGAAGGAAATAGTCAAAAAGCACAATTATTGATAAAATTGTTTCCTTGATCGAAAAAAATTTGAAATTTGAAGCTTGATGCATCATGGTAATCAATGAAGTTTTTTTGGAGCGACAAACATTGTTAGATGTTTGGATAGCTGCCAGGGTTACGCTCGATTTGAGAAGAAAAGAAGATGGAAGAAATAAGTCAAAGTGATAAAATAGATTGAGAATTTTTCCCTCTATCTGAATTCTTAATCCAGGCAAAATGAACGGAAAAAATTTTACAACTGACAAATTTGCGAAAACTTTGTTTTGAATAAATTTCTGCAAAAGTTTCTTTTCATTCGCCACCGATAAACAGTCACGGTTGAAAAATCGCGAATTCGTTAGAATATCTCTCGAATCTTCCAATAAAAAAATTTCAGCACGTGAAATTTTTTTTCGGAATACACACTCCTAGGGAAGAACGGGGAGTTCAGGGAACAGTCTAGGGGAAAATTCTGAAAAAAAGAGGAGTTTGTTGAAAATAATTGTAATTCGCGTAACTTTTTTCTCGTTCATGACCAAATTTTTTTGTAACTGTAAAGAAGATTTCGCCTGAACACCAGTTCTACTCGCGATCAAAATAACTGTCCATCCAAGAGGATAATTGATAGTTTAGGGCTCTCAAACTTCTTAATGTATTTCGTAAATCTTTCCTAAGATTTGAGGCGAAATTAGCCGCCAAAAAGATACAAGTTTGAAGAGTCTGTGATTCTGACCTCAAACCCTGACGGTAAGAGCATCTCCGAGCGCCCAAAGGCTTTTGGTAGCTCAATTGTCTCGAAGCAATTCGCATAGTTCTCGAAGTCGAACCAAAGCGACGACTCGCTCTGTCTGCAGCAGTACTGAGGCAGATATTCTTCGTCGGCCATAGGAAGGGGTTGCACAGAATCTCGCGACGTCTTCGAGTACGAATGGAGGTGGGCTCAGTTCTGAAGGCGTCGAACGATGCTTCTGAGCCTGCCAATTACAAAGGAATCTCCTTGAAACACACGGCTCATAGCTTTCTCTGCCTTGTCTTCCTTCTGAATTTCTTCCAGTTTGGCTCGCCAGTTCAAGCTCGTTTTGGCGATTCTTGGATCTTGGCTTTATTCAGGAGTCAAAACGAGTTTGGTCAATGGGAGATTCATGAAATTTCCGACGGACGAGTGACAAGCTCTGTGGAGAATTCAACTCCCAAAGACGGCTACACCTTTTTGCAAATCGCAAGGAAAGTTAATCGGAGAGGGTGGCTGTTAGAATGCTTCTCGTTTATGCAAAGCTTAGGCGGAAATAACAAAAAAGGAGGTCGGAAAAATCATAGCAAGTTCCAACTGTTTCTATCAACTGACCAGAAATGGAAACGCAGGGAAGACGGGGAAAATGGACGAAAGCGGAGCATTCATCTTGTCACTGAGATCGCGAAATGAGCCTGTAAAATCAGAAAAAAATTAGAGAATTCTTTTGGAGATAACTACTGATGAAGCCGATTTTAGAGTACTTTTATCTGAAAAAACTACCCATTCTGAGAAAAACCCGATAATATTGAAAAAGAGAGCAACGTGAAAACATGCTGACGGTAAATTCAATTAAATTCCGAGTAAATTCAAAGTGAAAATATTTTTCTTTCCACACTAAAAAAGACACAAGGATCCGAAAAAAAGAATGAAATCAGGTCGTCAATGAAATGGGAGCGAGAACAGAAGAGAAGAAGTAGCTGAATATCATTAAACAAGGAGGTTGTGTTTTGACACATAGGTTCGAAATCCCAGTGCCGTGAAATATTCCGAGGCGTCTAGGTAATAAATTTTTAAATTTCCAATGAGCATTTCATGCGTCTCTTTCTCTCTCTCAAAAAGGATTCATACGGACTAGCTATTTCAGAAGTGAGAATAAAGAAAAAAAGACTGACAGCGCGAGAATCAGCGGCCTGTATCATCGATTTACTCAAAAGATGTGAAGGAGAAAGACGAAAATGTTCCCTTGCTACTTTACGTCTGTGCAAAAGACTTTGTTGAGGGAAAATCGCGGATTCGAAACACAACAAAAATGAAAAGCAAGAAGAAACTGACAAGGCCCTGTTGGTGAAAGCTTTTGACCTCGCCCACTCCAGCAAAAGTTGCGATTTCGGCGACTATTTCTGAAAACAGATTTCGACTGTGGAAGATTTTAAAAGACACGCTTTTCTTTAACCAAGGAATGGTCTCACAGTGGGACCTTTTTTCTAGATGTATTTTTTTACGCTGGTATCTAATCTGTTCTCAAAAGTTGCCATATAGGTCTGTGAAAAAGTTAGGAGCTCTCAAAAGTCGAAAAATTTAAGTTTCTGCAATTGAGCTCATTTTAGGAGGGTATACTTGTCTCTTTGGTCACGGAGAACCAGTTAATTTTTCAAAAAAATTTAGAGCCTAGAAATTATTTTTTTCAAAGCTCAGCGCATGATAAGAAAAATGCGGGCGCGGTGAGCTATTGCGTCTCGGAGGCTTTGCGGAGCAACGGCAGCGAAGAACAGTTAGAAGACATCTTTTGAGGACAGATTTGGAATCAGAGTGAAAAGACACATCTAGAAAACATGGTCGTTCGAAAGTCCCACTGTGGGCTGAGACCATTTCCTGGTAAGTAGGAAACATGTGAGTTCTGGAGAGTCTCTGAAGCTTTGAAAAAACAGGGAAAGTCGGAGGTAGCGATTTTCGAGTTTTTCACAAACCAAATGGCCCAAAAATGCTCTTTTCCAAGCAGCTCTGAAAAAAGAAGAAAGCCGTTTTCCAGAGCATATCATCAAAATTTCGAATCGCCGAGTGCGTGTGAATTCAAAAAGAGCCGAGGGTCCATTTCGGCGACACCTTGAACCCTGTAATTTAGACCGAATCCGGCGTATTTTGTCCATTTCGGTCGTGTTTTTTATTGGTTTTGGCGTGAGTACAAAATAACCTGGTTGCTCAGAGGCAAACGGAGAAATATCCACGCTCGGTCTACGGTAGCCATTTTTCGACTAGTACATCGTGAGATGTTGGAAGCAACGATTGAACTCAATTAAAAGAAAATATGGAAATTTTCAGAAATGATTGTGTTTCATATCACAACTGATAAAAAAACCCTAGCGGTTATAATAATCGACTTACTAACTCATAGATTCGGTCTTCAATCTTCGAAAAAAAAAACTACTAGTCAAAGAGTTGAAAGAGTGAAAAAAAGAGCTAAAACCGAACAAAAAAAAAACAAACAAACACGATACATTAAAAAAAAAGAGGCGTTCTGGCGAAGATGTCGGGACCGCGGACCGGTTCTGCACGCTGGCAGCGTCTCACGACGTCGTCCAGATGACCCCAACCACTTCTGAAGGCCTCCGACCTCTTCGTTTTCTATATGCCTTCTGCAACCGCAAAGTTGTCACAAAAACGCCCAAAACAAAAATTAGTTAGTATTTTTAAAATTTAATAAAAATAAAACCTTCAGAACGATAACTGCTTCATGGAACATTGACGAAGAGGAAAAACAGCCTAAGGAGCAAGAAATTCTCTAGAAACACCTCTACACTTTTGATTTCTTCCTTGAATGCATCATGGGCCATACCATGACAGTAATTTTTTTCGTTTTGAAAAAAATATAAATGAATCTTCCGTCCAAATTTTATTAATGTGAATCGAGCAAATAAATTTTTTTTGTTAGTACCAACAATTGGAAAAAAACCGTCAGAGCAAAAACCAATATGCTAAAAGAAAGATAAATCACAATTTCATAGAAGAAGAACAAATCTGTGAGAACATGATAGAGGTATATACTCATACCTCCGCGGGCGACAAACGGGGAACTGACTCCTTCGAGCCCTTCTTAAGTGATCACTAGAGAAATTTGAATGTTCCCTCAAGCAAATTTTTTCTTCAGTATTCACTAAGATACCTATTTTTCCTTTTTACGGGGGAATATTGCGGTAATCGCCCACGAGGTCTGATTAATAGAAAACTTTGTAGCCTAAAAAAATGATCATGAGAAAAAAATTAGAGACTAAAAATTCAAAGTGTGTTTTTAAATAACAAAGAAAGAATCAATAAGTATCAGTTTCGAACCAAAACCGCCAAAAGTCGAAAAGAAAAACAATAAGTATGAGAATGAATTCCGAAAGATAGTAATCAAAATTGCTTTTAAGTCGATTTTATTTTAAGAATACTCGTGTTAAAAGAGAAAGAAACCGTAAGAAAAAAGAAACAGGAAAGGGTACATCTTTTGGTTCACTCAAAAAAATTATTTTATTTTTTTATTTTCAGATGATTTTCAGATGCGCTTCAAAAAAACTCTGTGGCTCGCGTCCCGAACACCTTTTACTTTGGAAGCTGCAAATGCGACTTTTTTTTTAAAATTCTACCCAATTTATTGCGTGAAGAATGCTGTGTTGAGTTTCTTCATTTTTTTTTATCTCTCGCACCAAAAAAGGAAAAGAATTGGAAAGTCTACTTTGACAAAACACCTCAGCCAGCGCTAACCGGCAAAATAAAGTCAGTTTTCTAGATTCATCACAGCCAAATCGAGAAGATACCATAATGTGTCCACAAAGGTACCTCTCGAAATGGATCGTGAAGGCCCCATAATGTGTCCATAGTGAGACCTCCGGCATACCTTTTAGCTATGTCTGAGCCATCTCGGAGGTACTTCAAAGTCTTTCTCAAGTCCCTCTCCTTTTGCTCAAAATTCTCAGAGGTATCTTCGAGGTACCATCGTGAGACTTCAGAGCCTGCGATATACCTCAGAGGGTTTCGCGATCCTTTCTCGATTCGACTATGATTTGATATTTTTCGACAAAGTATATATGAGGATTTGACTAAAAAATGAAGTTTCCGAGTCGCATGTTTTCAAATGTCAATATAAAAAACACCGTTCAGTTGTTGGGAAACACGTTCTTACAATGTCTTCAATGAAACCCATTATGAAAAACAGTAATTTCGTGGAATATCAAAATAAAAGAAGTAGATTAGTAAATGTAGAACTCTGGAAAAAAATAGTATCACATTGAAAAATGGGAATGAGGCTCATAAGAAATTGAAAAATCACAAGCAAGGAAAATGTAAGGGTTAGTAAGGACGTTGTAGTTTGATGTATTTCGGTTTATCAAGGAGATTTAGGCTCTAATTTCATTTGAGAAGCCTTCGAAAACAATTTATATATTCTACGCTATTTTTTCACTCGAATCCGTGACGTTCAGAACTAATGATAAAGGAAAGTGCTAGAAGCTTGATCAACTAAAAGAAAGTGATAAGAATTTCAGGTTTCCCGGAACTATTTGTAGGAAAGAGAAAAAGAACTATTTCTTTTTGGGAAGAACGGGAGGTGCCGCATTAGGAGACTTTTGAGAGGATCGAAGGAGACCCCGAGTTCCGGGAAGAACGGTCAGCTGACTTCCGTTGCTGCGGCTCGGCTGCGGAACGCTTCGTGGAGAAAGCGCAGCCGATGGAACCGAGGGTCCGATGTAGGCCATCGCAGGATCTGGCATTCGGATCGGCGGCGGTGGCGGCATTGGTGCCAGCGGCAACGTCGACGACGCCGTTTTCCCGCCTCGCTCGATTATCCGAACTACGGTATTCTGCAAGCATCCGCCACTAACTTTCTTTTAAGACGATCTTTTTCAGAGCGGGTTTTTTATAATTTTTACGGCAAGGTTTTCCTTTCATTAGATCAGACCCCAACAGATTAAAATAAACTGAGCATGAAAAAAGGCTCTAGTATATTTTATGCTTTTCAGAACAAAACTCACCTTATTGTGCTTCTGGATGTAGTAGGAGAGAGCCGAGTACAAGAAGCCGTATTGCTGATCGGTCTGCACGAGGCCGCCGCGGTAGTTTCTGGCGTGTCTTGCAGTCCTCCACACGTCGATGGGACAGTCACGACCACGCGTTTTGATCTGAGTCAGAAGCACGTCGAGGATCATGAAGGTCCCTGTTCTGCCGATGCCGGCGCTGCAAAAACGGATGGTTTCAGATCTTCTGACATCCTGACTATTCATGAAATTTTTTTATTACAATATAATTTATTAAAACAAAAAATGAAGTCTTCTTTTTAATCGTAAACTTAGGTGATGATTTTTTTTTAAATATTGAATTTGACATCAAGATCTGGAAAATGAGTTTTAACGTTCGTGCTAGTTTTATAAAGGCTCAAGGGAAGTGAGTTTTTCCTTTTTAATTTCAATTTTTTTATTCGCCATTCCGCAATCTGAACCGCAAGTACAAAGAATGAAAAAAATCAAAACAATCGAATAAATCTAACAGCTGTTCTTTGTTTTTGATATAAAGGTTTAGAGAAGAACTGTTAAATGGGTGCTCTCATATGCATTTTATATTAATGAATGACCATATCACTATTTCGATAGTTCAGACGTTTCATTTATAATAATTCGAGAGCATTTATGCAGCATCATTGTATCTGAATCATTCTTTTAGTCCGCCTTTTTCTTCCACATCGTGTTGAAAAATCCTCTCATAAGACTATAACCTTGAAATTAGCTCTGAGCCTATGAACATTGGAGGATCTTTTTGTACGGAAACTTCGCCGGACCAACCTGCAGTGGACGATGACTGGCCCTTGCTGCGGATCATCGCGAGCGCCGAGCAAATGAACTTCGTCGACGGCCTCCAGGAAAGTGATCACTTCGTGTGGATGAAACGGACATCCATGGTCGGGCCAGCTCACAAACTGCATGTGGTAGATTTTGCGCGGCTCTTCGCCTTGAAAAACTGACTTTATCGCACTGAACAGACTGCAGAGAAAGCAGAAAATTATTCTTTTCGCTTTCGTTTTAGGAGGATTTGGGCGAATTTTTTCGAAAACAATGTTCGCGGTATAATCTATACTAACACCTAAATATTTAGGGCCGAACCTAGTATCAAAAACTCGTTAAATCAGAATCATACATGGGCAAGTACAGACCTTAAAATTTTCTGTATGGAGTGACTTACGGAAATTTATCGAGACAACGAGAAAAAATGATTTTCAGATTCAAGAATGTAGTAGTGGAAGTAGTAAAAACTAGTTTCAACGATTCGAATATATAGACGAAAAAACGGATAACTTGTGCTTAATGCTGATTTTTCCAAAACCCTCCGAAACACAAAGAAAAGTAAAGCTAAGGAATTCAGCTACTGGTTCCGGGAAACCTCAAATTTAGGAATTCTTGAATTTTGAAGACCAGGACTTGGAACCCGATTTCCCGAAAACTGAACAAGTAAACAGAGCTTTGAGAAGTCCCTTCCTGGAAACTAGGAAGGTGCAGAATATGACTATCATTAACTTTATTCATGGTAAATCGAAGAGATTTGTTCAAGAAAACATTCAAAAAACTTTGAGATTCGCGTATAATTATCTAGCTTTCACTTTAAGAAAACATATCTATACAAACCAGCTTTTTTGATGAGGAACCGCCTCTCAATGTAGGAAACTTCCTTGTCCTCGTAGTGTTCGACGACGGCAAGAAGATCTTCAGGAATCTCCTTCATCACAGGATTTTCGGCCAACGTCGTCACCTCGTACTGTCCGAAGGTCAGGGTGTTCTTGAACTCAGGCCAGTATCGGCAGCACTTTTCCTAGACTCGAGTTGGAGGTTCAGAACTCGGCAAAAAGGCAAAACCCTGCGCTCGTTTTCACGCGTCGGCATCACAATCACTCGCGAATTCTCCTGCCAGACCATCTGCCAGAAGTCGTTGATAGTCGCCTCTAGACATCCTTGCGTCGCGATGTAGTTGCGGCATTCGCGCAGCGTTAGTGGCGGATCCGGGTGCAGGAACTAAAGCATTCTTCCTTTTAAGTTCATCAGAGTGAAAAGGCATAAAATTCATTATAGATTCGTGTAGTTCTTAGTTGCGTCGCGTGAAAACTTTTTTTCTACAGAAAGAGCATTTTTTGAGCCAAAGATCAAACGAGGTATTCACACCATTAGACACAGGATAAGAGACACGACTTCCAAATCATAAATAACCTTGGCAAGTAATATATAATTAGTATCGAAGGCACAGATAGTATTGAAATTCCAGAAAGTTAGCCTCTGTATGGTATTGATTGATTTTACGTAAGCATATTCCGAGTTTGAATTTGAGAGTGAAATTTGTTAATTGATTTTGTGGATGCGCCGATTGACCAGTGGAACTTCAAAAGAAGTAGAACATTTTTCTCCCCAGCCCACCGGCTCTAATTTGAAGCATATTGAAGTTTTTGACACAAGAAAAAGCCACGCAAGATGAGAAAATCAATAAGAAGATTTAGTGGAAAAAAAAGAGTTTTTAAAAAGTAACATGCAAAGAAAAGTTCAAAGAAAAAAAAAACATACGCCCATTTCAAAATTCAAAAAAAAAATGAGCTCACTCTAACGTAGCTGGCATTGATGTAGTTCATGCCGGTAGCTTTCAGGACAACTCTGAAACGGGAAAAAAAACATCAAAACAATCAAAAGAAAAAAAAACCGAGAGTGGTCGAAAGGCACAATATTCTTGTAACGGTTTTTGCCGATGTTAACTTCTCGACGGCCTTCTCTTTTCGTGAACATTTGCTCGGCTGGCCCTTGTTCGGCTTGCAACTTCTGCAAAAGCTCGATCAGAGCGAAAATCAGAGATACGACATTTCCTTCATTTATCTCCCTTATTCCTCTTCTGTGTGAACATGTAATAATATCCCTTTTTATTACTTCCCTCAGGCGAAAAATTCTTGAGATATTATTGAGAAAAACCAAAAACGCACCTCGTATTCCTCTGTCATTCCAGTTCTTTGGAGGTTCCCCTGCTCGATGGGCACCTTCAGAATTTCAGTGCGATCCGCGATGACGTCGGCCGGAACGTAAGTGCCAGTTACAGGCTGAAAAGACAGTGAATGAAGGAATACTTTCGAGACAAACGTGCTCCAAGTAGACGACACGACTGGCCTGCGCCTTCTCGACTATCGGATTGTTGTTGTATGCAGCAAGAAGCAGGGAAATTTCCTTGTACTCGGCCGTGTCCCCGTCAATAGTGTAGGTCCCAGTCTGACCATCAAAAGTTGTAAACTTCTTTTTCTTGACGTAATTTCAATGTAGGTTAGAATTTTTCCGAATTTCTGCATACTTAGAAGGTCTACATCAAGTTTTCGGAAGAATCTGACATGAGAGGTCATTTTACTTTGCGAGGGGGGGAATTCCTTATGCCGAGTTTGAACCGATTCCGCGAAATTAAAATTAGTCGTCAGAAAAAGAAAAAGATAACTAAATTTCAGAGAGTCAGAGGCCATTTTGCATTTACTTGAACAAGGCATCAAAATTGGTGAGAACACTCCTTGATAGACCACAAAAAAGATCTGAGAGTCTCAATCTGCACAACTCTTCAGAAATAAGAGCCCAAAACCTTAAAATGGCCTGCTTTACGGATTTTTAGTATTTTCTTTGACTTCAAGGTGTCCTTTTTCTTAAAAAATTGGAATTCATTCAGGTTGACATTTTCAGAATATTCACCTGGTACATTAAGAAATGTTTTGACTAACACAAGAATCGTGGAGACAATAAGAAACCTTTAAAGTTCCACGAACTGCATTTGAAGTGAAAAAAAGAAGAAGAAAACACATATTTATTCATGCTCCAGTGAAGATTGCAGAAAAGAAAACGTATCGAAATCCAGTGTGCTATGGAAAGTGTAAATTTCATTTCTACATTTTCCAATTATTCAATTTCATGAAGCGTTTATAATGTGGAAACCTGAGGATTTTGGGCGGCAGTGAGATGAACAACACTCGATTCGCTTTTTGCAGAAATAACGAAAGCTCCAGGCAAATGTTGGCTATTCCTGTAAAAGGAAATGATCTTCGAGCAAAATATTTGAGGTGCTGGGAATGGTCGAAAAAGTTCCAAACGGCACCTGACAAGAAAAGAGCCGGTCTTCTCCTTCTCGAGGATCGAAATGGCCTCGGAGGCGGTCATGTTGCCGTGGAACCAGCGCTGCACCTGAGTCACGCGCTGTTCATAAGCCGCCTTCTCCAGCTCGAAGGGGATGTAGATCGGCTTACTCAACAAGGATCTTTTTCTTTCATTGACTGGGCCACAAAAACTTGATGCAGACGACGTTGCCGTTTTTCTGAATCAGCCGGTCCGGGTACTCGATGTAGTACTCAAGGAGTTCGACCATCGTCGAGAACGATTCGCCTTCTGTCGTTCCATAAACGGAGAGAAGGTCGTCGTCCGTCTTCTGGATTTTTATGTGCATCGGACGCCCATCTCTCCTAAAAACTTTGTGATGACTTTGAAAGCAACAACGTCTTTCGACTCTCTTTTCGTGACTATTTTCACGTTAAATTTAAAGAAAAGGAATGCAGGGGAAAAGAACGAATTTAACGTACTTGGTAGTTAGAGAGAAGTTGCTCGACTGCGACTCACTGTAACGCGCCAAAAATTCTCCATCGTTTCCGTACTCGTTCATCAAACGTTCTGCTTCTTCGCCGGTCACCCGATAGTAATAGTTGAAAGACCTTAAACGAGGTAATTTCATAAATATTCAAGTCCATAGTTACAAAATATCCAACTTAAAAACTTCATAGAAAAAAAAAATCACTTTAGACATGTTGGCTTTGGTTTCGGCTCTGGAAGCGGCATCCCCTCAGAAATTATTAATTTCTAACGACTAAGGAAAGCCACGGGAACGACAAAAGCCCAAGAATAGCTAGAAGTCGTTCCCGTCGTTTGCACAACCTGAAGATTCTAGGATTTATCAGAAAAAGAAACTTTAACGAGAAAGAAAGCGAATGAAAAATTGCGCACAAAAAAAAGTCAAGATTATATGAAAGGATATTGGAAATTAAAAAAAACATTCAAACTGTGAAAAACAACTAAAATTTTTCAAAATGTAGCTGAATTCTCGAACAACTTTATCGAAATTATAACTAAAACTCAAAAAAAAATATATATATAGGTCAAATTCGGAAAAAAAAGGAGATAAAATAATTACTAAATGACGTCCATGCACAAACCAATATGGAAAAATACTCTACAGCCGATAAAAAAAAAGTCACAAGATAACGACAATGATAGAGACGGTAGGCGCGCTCCAAGGAACTCTTCTTGTAAAAAGGGTTACTTTAGGGGTTCGAGTTTTCAAGTTCTGTTATATTCATAAAAACTGCGGGAAATGAGGCATTTAATAGATGGCGATCAATTTTCCAAAAGTAAGATATCCCGTGAACCAACGGTAAATAAAGATGAAAACACCTATTTCAATTATTCATTTTTTAATGCACACTCTATATATGCCTGGAAAAGTCTATGTTATCAGATCCAAAAAAATCTTTCTGAATTCTCTGGTGAGCAGAACATCTAAGGCTTCGCCATCGTGTGTATAAACCCATCTGAACGAGGGATTGATTAATATTTCGATAATTAGAAAACTTTTTAGATATTAAGTCGTAGCGTTTGGGGCCAGATGCAGGGCTCGAAAGCCAAATTTGTTTGTTAGGCGATTGTTTGTTTATGACATAAGTACCTAAAATTTCAAAGTCCTCAACAAAATGAAAAGAGAAAACGAACCGACATCCTTCGATACGGTAACGGTCAAAACGCCCATAGCGTGTGAAACGTCGTATTGCGAGGAAACAGGATAATTGTCGGCAAGAGAGTCGAAGTAATCCGTCAATCTGTGAAACCAGCTCAATATTTACCTACGTTAAGTTGCTTTCTAGTTGAAAAAAAGGCTTTTTAATGTGCCTTTAACGATTCCATAATATATATATATTCTATTCGACTTCTGAAAAGCATGTTCTGAGCCAATATAGTCTGTTCATAATTTTAATTTCAAGTGCAATGACGTCATTCAAAAACACTCTGCAGATGGCTCGCTCTCTTATTGGTTTATCGCGCCATTAGGGGCGGAGCTTGAGCGACGACTTGACATGCAAAATCTGAACCGACTATAACCATTTTGGGCAAACGTATTTACACCACTTTCTTGCATTCGGCTTCAGAAAAAAAGTACAACTAAATTCAAAAAAATGAAATGAAATCAGAATGCTCATTGAAAAATTTATAGAGCATAAGGTTGGATCTTAGTACCATGATCAAATTTTTTATAGCCAAGAGTTTCTTTTTTAACTAATTTCGATTTCTCAAATTCCTCCGAAGAACCTCAGCGCTGAACTTCTTTGGTGTAACATTGAAGAAATACTTGAATGGAAATCACTTGTGAAGAGATTGTTCGGCTGCCGATTCGTATTCGTTCTGAGTGACGCCGCCGTTGCTGTGCCAACGATTGAGTCTGGGAAATCGACGGATCGACATCATTCCCAAGCTCAGAGCGGCTGAAACCCCAGGATCCTGGGCCAGTTGACGGATCATCTGAATTCCCAGTTTGAAACAAAACTTCTCTGGCGACGAATCTCGGGAAAAACGAGTTAGATGGACTGTGTATTATTTTTCTTTAATATTTGTTAATCAATAAAAGCGATTTACCCAAGAATTATTGTCCCTCGATTCAAAATATGACTTCATGCTTTCATGAGGTTTACACGATCAAACCAGACAGTCAAACGTAAACTTGCGTTCTGGAAATAAACAGTCTCGAGTTTGAAACGTTTTATTAAGCTTCAACAAATAACAATAAACATATGTGAACTGATGTATAAAACCCATTTCTTTTGAGTAATATATTAAAAAGGTATACGAAAAACGGTCGTGAGATACGTTCGATTTTTACCTCAAATTCTAAAAAATGAGAAATAAAGTTTAACAATCCGACTCCGCAGCAGTGAAGATTTTTAAAAAAAAATTGTTTTCAACACAAAAATTCATCATATATTCCAGTGCCAAAAAAATTTTTTTCAGGATATTTTCAAGCTGTTAAAAACTTTGCGAGGTTCTCTCGCAGCTTTTTCATATACCCGTAAACAGTAAAAGGGGTTACCTGAAAAATAAACTGTGAAAAAGTTGAACAAGAAAAAATTCCAGCAATGAACCCGTTATTAAACGATACACAGCAAAAAATGAAAAAGAAACAAGGGAATTTAAAGAGTTACTGCGTCAATTTAAAAAAAAAACGCTTATGTGCAAAGAAAAGTCTTCCGAAAATAATTTGAAACAAAGATCAGGCAGGTTTTTCTTTGCACACCGGATATGAAATGAGAGAAAAATATGTTTGTTTGATGTTTTATCACAAAGAAATTTAAGTGAACCTTGGTAGAGCAAGGAAAAAGTTCCAAACAAGGAACTCAGAAAATAAAACGAAACTATGGAAGCTATAAAATGTAAGTTCTCAAAAATGACCGCTGAGCAAATCAAACGAAAAATAGAAGTCCCACTATTTCAACAAGATTTGATTTTTCCTCCCCAGGCGAGACGAAAAGAATTGTTGCGCCAACGGATCGCCGGTCTGAACAGCGCCGTCGCGAAGACCAGAGGAGCCGACAATTCTCGAATGAGCCAGGCCAAAAGGAAGTATCTCGTCGGGAATGGCATCGGACCGTTCTGGAACCAGAAACATCAGGATTCTCCAAAAAAAAAACTCGAAAAAAAAGGAGGAAATGAATATTTTTTATTATTCGAACATCCAAAAAATGTATTTGCCCCCATCGTCTATTTTCAAGATATTATTGAAAAAAAGTGTAAAAAATGACGTGACAGATGATATTTTCATAGATTATTTTGAACAAGTTCATTTTTTTGATGAACACCTTAATCAAGAAAGTTTTATGTTTTTCAAAGAAAATTTCTACAAGAAAAATCAAAGACAAAAAAAAATAGTATTTTCAAGAAGCGAACTCATAGCAGAAAAACACAGTATCAAATCTTGGCGAATCTAGTTTTTTTTTTTTCTGTTAGAGATCTTTCTCTCCCGGCAAGTTGGTCGGTTTTAGACTTACCGATATTTGGGCGTGAAAAATCTGAACGTTCGAAAAAAAGGTTAAAAGGACCTGGATTGACAGCATCAAAGAGTAGTCCATAGTCAGCCATAAAGCAGTGTGAATTAAAAAATAAGTGAGTGGGTTAAATCCGAAAAGACAGGTGGCCGAGAAAGAAGCGATGAGGCCAGACGGGAAACAATCCTGAAGGAAACAACTTGCTAACAGGAAAGAGATAGATCGAGAACTCACTTGGAGAGGTTCCAGTACAATTATATGAGGAAGCATGGCAATACGGAGTTTGATCCAGCGACATATCCTATCCAGAAATGAGGCTATCGAGACAGAAGACGAGTTTTGAAGCGCCGGGTGCGTGGAGATGGCCGATTTGTACCCTCTGTATGAATTTTCAATCGTCGGAAGACAAACGAGAGGCTTTTTACCGTTTGGCGAGTTCGACGCCGAAGAAATAGTCTTCAGCGAGATAGCCGCCGAACGCCTGGATCCCCCCGCATTCGTCGAGGGCGCTCTTCCGCATCAAAGAAGACATTCCTGTCGAGCAGACAAAGTTGAGGCAGTTGCCGGCCAGGTAGATCCGACCGTGCGACGTCCCAAAGTACACCTGTAAAAAATGGATTTTCATGAAGGCAATCTGAACTGTGAAGTTAGAATCTGACTTTTCAAGCTTATAAAACCTTTTTGTGAGGAAAAGAAAAAAAGAACTGACAAAAGATGAAATTTCATTGTGATAAAATTAAGCTGAAAACTTCTAACAAGGCAGATGGACTCACCTGCTCTAAAGCCGCGGAGAGACCTGGACGGTCCTTGCAATACGGCATCTGAGTGACGAGCGCCGTCTTCGGGTCGCTTTCTATCGTCGCCACCATGTCTTGAATCGCGTCAGGCCGCATCGAAATTCCTGAGAGCCTGTTTCCCACTGACAAACATCGAAAAATACCGCTGTCACTGACGAGAACAAGTGGATGTTTCGCTGCGCGGTAGGCTGGCATCATGTTGTTGATCTTCGGATTCAGGCCGACCTTCTCGCCCTCTGAAGTATTATTTAATCATCGACTGGACGATTGGACACGAGAAACGAACTGTAGAAAATGCGAGCGTCCACTGCGGGGTATTTTTTCATGATCTCTTTCAAAACCGGGACACAGTCGTCTTCTGGAGAGTGAACACAGAAAAGGAGCTCATACTGAAACAACGCTTAAATAGAAAATGGGCTTCTGAAGAAGTTTACCTGATGATAAACCGAGGTGAAGAAAGTTTCAAGATTTTCTCTCAAGTTCTCCTCGACGCCTACGAGGGGCTTGATCACAGAAACGCCGGGTAGAGATCGATCAGGTCGGACTGGACGATGCAAACGGTACTTCCTGAGTGGAGAAATCCACGTCGGATAAAAAGATGCAGCTTACGAGTATACAAAGGCTATCATGTGAATGATGTAGAGACCAGAAACAAACAAAAGACCGGCGACGGCCAGCCAGGACCACACATCAGTCGGCATGGCTTTGCTGAAAAATTGCATAATGTATGTTAGAGACAGTACGATTAAAAATAAATGTTTTCGCCGTTCGAAATTATTCTCGTCATTACATCATTAGATGTTTTCTAATCAAGAAAGTCTTATTGTGAGTCTGAAAGCAAAATTCCTACAGATGAATCGCCGCTGGACAGGAACAGAAGATGAAACATTATTAAAAAAATGTTCAGTTAATTTTTATTTTTTATATGAGCTGTATCTGAAGATGTAGATTTACAGACCTGCTTAATGTGAAAAATTCTGCGAAAAGACGAGGGATTCGAGGCGGATTCTGGAGGATCAGCAACGGCAGCCTTTGCAAGGAGAGCGGAGAGCCCGCCGACGGAGCCGGATCGCCGACGACGACGGGCACGGCCCCGCCCGACGACGACGACACTGTCACTTGCGTCAAACGCGCTGCCGATTCCAGAGCTGCAATTTTTTCCCTCTTATTTTCAAAGTAATGGAAGAGGCGTATAAATAGAGCTTTTATAAATAAAACAGTCGATCACTGTTGATTTGTAACATTTAGATGATATAATGTCAATGTTTAGTGCAGGAAAAATGTTTAAAAAAACCCAAAAAAGGCTATTTTGGGGGAAAAATTGACATGAAAGTTTCTTGTTAATTTTCAGGAAAATCCCAACCGGAAAGTGAAATAATCTCCCTTGTGAGGGAAAATAGTTACACCTACTGCTTCAAAGACTGAAACTAACTAACTAGGCCCTCTTCTATGTGTTTGTCTTTTGCCTCCTAGAAGTTTAAAATGCGAGGTAAAAGAAATAATAGCAAATTAATCGTGTTAACAGAGGCAAAACGTTCTCTGAACCTTATTACAATGTCGTGAACGATAGCGGGAAGACGCATAACACGCCATTTTCAAACTATCAGCTCATGCAAAGTTTGATTGATTCAATGGCGCACAAGTTATTCGAATAATCGAGAAAAGATCTAATGAGTTCCAAATATACTTTGATGGGTTTTTTATTTGATAGGTAGCGTGAATATCCTCAGTATCTTAGCAAAATTATTACATTTCATAGGTATTTTTTTCAGTAAAAAAAAACTGTGAAAATGGTGAGCAAAAATATAACGAGGACGTGAGAGTGCCAGCATGACGCCACAAAATGTAAATGAGTTGAACAAAAGGGTTTCCGTTCAATTCTAAAGTTCTTATTTGTGTCGAATTATGAAAGTCGAACTCTGGGAAATGATGAGTTGAAAGCTCAACATGGGTTGGTACAGGGTGCGCAATAAATATTGAAACCGTTTTTTGTTTGATCGCTGCTTTTTGCACAATGGACTGGCCTTTGAATTTTTCTGTTTATTTCGTTTATTCATGCTCACTTATCATGTGTTTGAAGTTACAGCTCACACTTTTCAGTTTTCAGGTAATGGTGGCCCCATCTCCGTACCGTACCGCAATCATTGATTGTGTCAAAAGCGGAATGACAAATTCAGAGATCGTTAAAAAGCTGAAAGTGTCTTGTGTTCTCGTTTTTCGAACTGCACAACGCTATCGGCGTCTCGGTACTTCAGATGACATGCAAAGAAGGGGATTTCCAGTCACCGTCACGACTCCAGAAGCAGTCAAAGCCGTTAGAGAGAAAATCAGACGCATTCCGGGAAGAAGCATGAGAAAGATGTCAAAAGAATACGAAATGAGTCGAGAATCGATGAGAACTATTGTCAAGGACAAGCTGAAGATGATTCCCTACCGTATGCAGAAAGGAGCCTTCCTCAATCAAAAAAACAAGACATTCCGGATGAAAAAGGCTCGAAAGCTGCTCGCTGGCACGCAAGATGGCTCGCATCTGACGACACTATTTACCGACGAGAAAATCTTCACTGTGGAGGCGAACAAGAACGGCCAAAATCATCGGATCATCGCTACTGACTATCAGAGTGCCTGTGAAAAAGGAAAAATTCTGAATAAAACTTCGCATCCGGCTTCCGTGATGGTTTTTGCCGGAATTACCGCTGACGGCAAAACTCCGCTGATTTTAGGGGATCCTGGAGTCAAAGTGAACCAAGTATACTACAGGGAGACGATTCTGAAGTTGGGGGTGTTGCTCTGGGCCAATTCTCACTACGGAAACCGACCATGGACCTTCCAGCAAGACGGCGCCCCCGCTCATCGTGCCAAAGGGACTCAAGAGTGGTGTCGCGCCAATTTTCCCGAGTTCATCTCGGCTGCTGATTGGCCTGCTTCCTCGCCCAACCTCAACCCGATGGACTATGCCGTGTGGATATATCTGACCGAGAAGGTCTCTTCTAAGAACTACCCAAGTATCAAAGCCCTGAAGACCGCGCTCATCAAGAAATGGGACGAAATCGACGACGACTACCTTCGTGCCGTGATCGATGCGTATCCGAAGAGACTGAAGGCCGTTATCAAAGCTAAAGGAGGACGTTTTGAAAACTATTCTTGAATTTTGTTTCTATATTGTATGAATAACATTTGTTCCAAGTTTGGTGGTGTTTGGTTGACTTTTGAGAAAGTTATAACGTTTCAAACGCGTTTCAATACTTATTGCGCACCCTGTAAAGCGGCCCTTAAGGTTGCCCCTATAGGGACCGCTCTGGAATTCCTACATAGGCAAAATCGGAAAGAGTCGAAAAAGGCTTTATAGAAATGTTCCTTTCAGGTTGACAAAAGCTCCTTTTTTGCTTCTTTTTTGCGCCATTTCATAAGCTTTTATGTACTATTTGTGCTGTCCCTCTTATTTTTCTACCATTTTTTTTTACCGCGGCCATTATCTACTATTCCGACTTTGCCCGAGTAAGAAGTACAAAAAAAGGAATGTTTCTTTTGATATATCAATCGTTGTTGACAAGTGAGAACAGAAATTGTTAGAAAATGTGAGCAGATCAGACGTAAATGCAAAACCAACTATCAAAGATACTGGCCAAAACAAATAGCTGACTCATGCCTTCTCCGTATTCGAATTCTTATTTTTCAACTCAAATCAATGAAATGGAGACTGTATTCAGTTACATTCATCGATCTTCAGTAACGCCAAAAAATCAAAAAACTTCCCACTCAAAATTCTTTCATATTTCATATTGGAAAAAAAAAATTATTACTTGCCGGGAACAAACTTTTTCATATACTATTGAGACAAACTTTTGAAAAGAGAATAAGAAAAAAAAAGTTTTTCTCCTACTGTTGAAAGAAAAAACGTAAGACGAACTTTTGTGGCTGCAACACAGGAAAGGAATGCAAGAGAGTCGCGATTGTACGACTTGGAACACTCGTCAAATATTTGACAGCAAGCTTCGTCACATCTTTTTCTCATTTCATTTCCTTCACAACAATAATATACATGGTGGTCACAAAACAATAAGTCTCTGATTGAAACTATGAACGCCAGTTAGAAAACTAGAAAACTCTGGGGAAAAATTGTCGAAAACGGATGACTCATGGGCTCAGAAGATCAGAAGAAATTCGAAAAGCCATCATTGACTTATGAGTCATCGAGAGTAGTGCGTGACTGTGAAATATAAAACTTCCAATGAGAAACAAAAGCAATCAGTGATTCAATATTTTAAAGAAGGAAACCAATCAAAACAACGTCTCAGCACACTATCGTTTCGCAAGGCTAAAAAGGTTTGAGCGTGTGAACTGTGCGTAAATAAAGTGATGTTGAGAAAACAAACATTGAAGGTAGAAGCCTGAACAGCGAAAGGTGGTAACAGAGAGGTTTCCGTCAATTTACTTATTTTCGTTATTCAAGATGTTGTTAAAAGGAGTCTGTAGAAAAGTACACATTTCAGAAAATTGACATTTATGTGGGATATCTAACCGAAAGACTAAAAAAAATGAAAAAATCTTTTCATTTCCTCAACCTAACTACTTTCTCGAAAAAAATCTCCTGAATAGGAAAAATGAGGAAATACACTGTTTCAAAAAAGACTTTGAATGCGATCATTAGCGCCTTTTCATGTAAGGCTGGCGTCAGAGGGTTTTACATTATACTTGATGTAATAGAAAAATATATATAGAAATTGATAATGTGTGACAGGTAACCACGCAACCGGACGCACAAAACTCCATAGTTAGCGCTTTATTGCCCGTCAATTATACTCCTCAGGAAGAACTCAAATATTTCGCTTCAAAGCGTAAAAGGAGGATAAATTTAACTTACAACAACACAGTTAGGTGAAGAAACCAGTTTTTCAAATTTTAAAAGGAAACTCGATCTTAGCAATAATGCCAAATTTAGAGGTTTAAAAATGTGCTATGGAAAAAAACAGAATGAATAGAAAAGCTTTCAAATACAATAAATTCTATTTTTGATAGTTTTGTTTGGGGAGGAACTAGGAATGGCTTTACAACTAACCGTCAGAAATGTTGACCATATCGTGTAGTAGAAATGCAGAAGCTGACGTTCGAAAATTTTCAGAAAACAGAAAATGACACAGCAAGCTTTTATTAGCGAAACGAGTGAGAGCCTAACTGCTATCGCATGGTTAGCTTATCGTATGGTTTCTCTATCGGCAAAGCCCCGCCCATTCAAACAATTTTTCCGCTTTTTTTCTGGATATGCGATGAAGAATACGTAACCAAATAGCGTCAGTTGAAAGCAACAGACGGACAAACATCAAAGAGGTTAAACCGAAACTTCTCCTCGTAGAGCACAATGTCTTTGGTTTTTAAAGTTTGACGCACTACTCAAACTCTTGTGCTCTGCTTCGAAGCTACATGACGTGTTGTGTGCTCAACTATAAGACTTGCGCAATAAAGGTTGAAAGTTCAACGATCTGCAGAGTTTCTTTGCGAATAAGAGAAAATCAATTGAAATTTTCTTCCGAGCGAAATTATTAACAAACAACGCACAAGTTCATAATTAAATTTTTCGTCATGATGCGATGTTTTTAGTTCTTATGCAATTTCCTTCGGGATAGATTCAGGAGAAATTATTGCATGCGCGATGAAAATTGGGCTTAAATAAACTCAGTTAACTATTTCACAGGTGATTCTACGAAAGGGACAATTTTCGAATTCGCGCCAAAAACGCTTCGCATGTAAACTGTAAATATGGACTGTTCAGATTTTGAATTTCAAGCAGCTAACTCCGCCCCCAAAACGCTCTGTGAATGGCTCGCTTGCTGATTGGCTTGATCTGTACGGATGCCCCTGTTAAAAATCACGAAGTTTTTCAGCAGAAAATACAGTGTTTCTCAGGCGATCGCTTCGAACCAAATAAAAGTGAACACCAAATGACAATAATAAATTTCAAGAAGCGGCCAAAAAACCAACCAGAAGAAGTTTATCGAATCAGGAGAGCATACGAGAAACACTTCGAGTTCTTTGATTCCGCAAATGGCTGAAATAAGATAAATGAACAGTTTCTAGGTTTTTGAGATAAAGAGGAAGAGAGAGGTAAAATAACCTGTTTTGAAATCGTCTCGAAATGTGGTGAAATTATTTATTATGTTCGTGAAAAGAATGAATCGCAGCTCAATGAAAATTTGAACACAACGCTTTTTAGATGAATTTTTATGGAGAATGAAAAAAGTTTCTCCAAAATATTGGACACAAGTTTGAAAGGCAACGGGAAATATTTCACAAACGGAATCATTTTGGAAGCTATACAGCGGTGATTGGAAAAAAAACCCATCGGTAGGCTACCCAATTATCACAATTTAAAAAAATGCCACAAAGCAAGCAATACATTAAGATACGATCTGAAAACAACAAGGAAAAAAAGGATCTATGCACATCATCGTTAATTCAAGAAACTCGTTAAATACAAAATGGATGAAGACGAAGGAAATCTCGGAAGAAGCTCAGAGGTCCTCGTTTTGGACGATTTCCGAAGGCGGTGAAAGTGCGGCATCCGATTCCGCAGACTGTCTGGCGATTTTGAGCTGCTTGATGGCTTCGGTGAGATGCTTCTCCATCAAATCAGCTTCCGCGGAGACGTCCAATTGCACGGCGTTGTCCTGAGTCCGCGAAACCAACTCGTCGATGTTGTGCACGTCGATCTAAAAACAAAACCATTCAAATCAACTTTGCAAGGTCGCAGAAGTCATTAAAAAAAGTGCCAATGCACTTCTCCGTATCGAATTTGGCAACAAAATAATACTTTCTAACGAAAGTTCTTCGAAATTTCTGAAAATTTTCCCGCCTGGGTTCTTTTTATTTTTTCTTTTTTTTCATTCGCTTTTATAGTTGGTATGAAAAAAACCAGCAAACTTTCGAACGGCAACTCTCCGATTTTTTCATGTCGCTGGGGAAGTTTTCGACTGCGACGTTTCCGACTAATCCCTTTCAGACCTCTTCTCTCATTTTTATCGGTTTATAAAAGATCTAATAATTTTTCTTTTTTCTTTGTGTTTTAATCATGAACCAACTACCTATTATGTATAGGCAGATTCGAAACGACAATTTCATAGAAAAAAAAATTCGGAAAGGGATTAGCTGGAAAGAACCCTAGCGATATGAAAAAATCGCCGTTCGAAAGTTTGCTGGTTTTTATTTCAAACCACCCTTTCATCAGAAGAAATGTCTTTGATGGATATTATTCAATAAAAAGGAATGCCTTCGCTGCAGGACCCCCAAAGCGAGGCCGGTATTTCATGAAAATCAGTTTGTTCCTGCAGAGAAGCCACGCGTTATTCAAACGACCCAGAATTGTGTTTCGACAATTTTGTACGCAGGATTCAATCTACACCATCAGAGATTTCTGATTAATTTCCTACCGAGAAGCAGACGTCTTTTCATATTGGATAAAATAACCTTGAATAAGAAAAAAAAAGCTTCGTAATTGATTTCCTTAGATACATCAAGCATAAAAACAAACAAAGGTCTTTTTTTTCACGACGTGTCCCATTTCATTCAAGGGAAATCCCAACCTCCTTGCAGCCGTCTTCGTAGTAGTGAATGTAAGTGTTGAGCAGAAGAATGAAGAGTTGCTGTTGGACGAGAGGCTCCATGCATTCACTCGCTATTTTCGCGCTTTTCTTCAGGATTTCCACCACACGCTTTCCTGCAAGAAAAAGAATAGATAATAATAAAATCTGAAATCCCACCATTTTTCAATGGAGCGCCATTCGACTCTTCCACACATCCATTCCAATACAATGCAGCCACCATACAAAGAGAGCGTACTTGATCAGCCTAAAAAGGAAAATCATAAAAAAAAAAATAGGAAAGAAAAACTTTTTTGAACATCTTCGAGGCTGCCATGGCGGCTTGTGTGGCGAGAGGCTGCCAGTTTTCTTCGGGGAAATTCTTAGTGCAAAGAAGAGCGCCGACGGTGAGCTGCAGACAACGGACGCGGTCCCGAGAATCCGCAACGTCGTCCTCCATTATCGACATCGCCTTCAATTAAGCATGGGATGTCGTGGTTTCGGGGCAGGAAACTATAGAAATCTTTTCAAACATGGAAAAATGGTAGAAATCGGAGTTTTGTAAAAAAAAAAAAAACCACACGGCGGTTTTGAAGGAATTGGCTCATAAGAGATTCAAAATTTGAAAAGTTAAAATCTTACAGTGCTGACGAGATTGTTATTTAATCCTTTCTAATGCGAACGGAATCAGTTGCAAAAGAAACCTTGGAAATGAACTCGTAGACGACGGTGTAGTTCTCAGAAAACGGCACTTTGTCGGCGGCAATAGCACCTTCGAGATACAACTTAAGGGGCAACTCAGCGAGTTCGACTGTAGAAACGAGCGCTCCAATGGTTCCCATCGCACAGACGAACATCTTGCGAACTTTGGCCTCCCACTTGTCGTCGGTCCCTTTCTGCACGGCGTAGGAAAGCACCAGACGGTAGAGCTCGAAAACGATCGGAGGCAGAGTGAACTGCAGTCGATGACGTCCCCCGGACCCGAACACCTTCCGCGCGTTGTTCAGCAGCTAGAACCACATGCAAACGTCACTTTCTGGGCTTTCCCACCAAAAACTGTTGGTCGGCATCCTCGACCCTCAGTAGGTGCACCACTCGCGCCAAAATATGCTGCTCGTCGAAAAAATCTTCGCTTTCCTGAAAGTTTTTTGTCAGAAGAATGAGTGGAAACTGCAAAAACATGCGCGTCGGACGGTTGATCTTTTTGGTCTTCGAGAAGTGGACTGATCAATCCGCAGACGGTGCGGAATTCCTCTTCATTGGTGATCAACGTTTCTTGATCCAACATGTTCTGAAACCATTAGAATGTCGAATATTACTTTTCCGCATCTCGACCTGGATTATATAGGAAGAGATGACGCAGCGGCCACGATAGTCGAGAATTTGCATGACACTCCCGAACTCTTCGAGTGCAGCTACTCTCAGTACCTGGAAGCTGGATCTCTCCATTGATCGGTAGAGAAAATCTCACGTTGTTGTATTGGTCGACGGGAATTTTCAACAGCTTGATAAGTTCTCGTCCAACTGTTCCGAAAGCTTCAACACTGAAAGTTCGAAAAGGAATATAATGAATAAAACACTTCATGATCTAAAAAGGAAAATTAAAACCAACGCAGTTATTCCTTTTTCGTTGATTATGGTTCTCAAGGTGCCAAAAGACATGTTGGCGTAATCTGTGCGCGTAGCGTAACACTTAATCGCCAAGTTCACCAGAGCCACCTTAAAATCTCAAGACTGCTGAAAATGACGGAGAAAAGCTCAAACGTGAAGCGAAACAATATCCTCCATTGGCATTTCCGGACGATTTGTGATGAGCTCCTTCGCCTGTTCAGAGAATATTTCGAATAGTTGCATCTGAAGGGAAACTATCCGCTCGAAGGTTTCCAGCTACAATCTGAAACCTTTTCTGGAGCAGGTTCTCCCTCTATGGAGTTTGTGTAGAACGCGAGCCTCTCGATCAGACCGATGAGCACATTTTTCACATTCACTTCCTGAAAATATTACCTATTGAAAATCGAAAAAAACACTGAATACATACAGAGGTGAGCTGTCCACAAGCAGCGAGGAACTCATTCAAGGTCGAGAGATGGAACTCGTCGGCGAAAACTTGGATGACACATTCCATGAGGTATTCCTTCGGATGAAACCATTCAGACGAAACTCCTTTGGGGGAAAACCTGTGATATCGGGTCTCGACATGACACAATCTGCTCCAAAACGCTAGGCAGTACGTCTTTTGTGTACATTTCCTCCGTCAAGGATTCCAATTGAGACAACCGAACCAAATTCGTTCCAACGAGAATTCTGAAGGAAACTTTTGAGAAAATTTTTTTTTTCCCTGGAACCTCAGCTCTAAACGATCTCTCTCCCGCTTCTCTCGTTCTCTAGAAGGTCCTTGATGCTGCATCCGAACCCAGAGTTTGTTCATCTCGCCAAAGTTGGTCAAAACAAAGTTTACTGCATCTGTTACCGACCCTAAAGATTCTTCGAAATAGTCTTTTCTACAGCCAAATAAAGACGTTCAAAAAAAGAAAGACGTTTTACTAACCGTCTTGTTGATGCAAAGATTCCTTCGGTCCGCTGCTACCATTCCTGAAAAAAATTTTGAAAGAAACTCGGGAATAGTTGAAGATATAATAATGATCTGAAAAGGAAGGTCCTTTTACCTTACGGTTGGCGTTTTCCTAAAAAATTGGCCAGAACGATCCTTGATGTACCAGATGAAGATTCTGAAAGTCTCAACCTGCACAACTTTCTAGTTTTCGAGAAACATGGGCTTAAAGCCCGAAAACAACCTATTTTTTTTAAAGATTTCGAGAGTTTTCTCCGACTTTGAAGTTTCTTTTCTCGAAAACTAGGAAGCTGTGCAAGTTGCGACTTTCAGGATTTCCATTTGGTACCTCAAGAAGATTCCCAACCAGAACGTGAAATGACCTCCCTTGTGAGAAAAATAAATTACTTCGACAAAAAGTTCTCACGAATTTTTCTCGTTCATGCGAAAACTTCCAAAAAACCAAGAAAGTTATTTTAAATTATTAGGACTTCTAGAGATAATGAAATAAACCAATATATCGAGTTTATTTAACATTAATCGATTGAAAATAAAAATTCTTCTAAATAATTTGTTGCTGTGAAAAATAATGATGGATACTGAACTCGAATATTTTTAATATTAGAAAAAAATCAGTGTTTTTGCGAAGGAATTTACTTGAATCTACTGTAAAAAAATTGTTGAGAAATGTAATTAATTATCGGAATTGTCCGAACATTCACATTTCTTCAGCAAAAAGCCAAGACGAAAATCTCATACGAAACATTTTGAGTACGTAGCAGTTTTTGATATAAGTCCACATCAGAAATATAATAATGAAAAAAGCTGGCAGCTTCTCAGAAAATCTCGTCAGGAAAATATCACGACACCAGCTTATTTTATAAAAAAAAATCCGATTGAATGTGAAAAAGGAAGAAGTTACATGTTGGCATCGACGGATCCGTTTGTGCGACGTGCAACCGACTCGGGACGGTCTGGAAGAAGAGATCGAGTGGACTGCAGGAGATAATTGCGGAGGAAGAGCCCGCGGAGTGGATGCTGAACACCGCGACACATCTCGACCAGGTCGGCGAGCAGTTCCTGTCGCGAGCCGAGGCCGCACTTTATGAACACGACTCCCATCGTCACCAATAGGTACCTGGAGGCCATTTAAATCCTTATTAATCGTTCCTTAAGAAGCTATCAACCGTAGGAAACTCCAAATTGTAGAGACTCTCAACTAGTTGAGTACGGAAAACAAATTCTCAATTTTCGGATTTTGGTTCCGTCCAGTGGGGAATCATACTTGAACACTCTGATTGGAACAATATGTAGAATGTTCCTTGATTCGATAAAACTGAATGTAATCTTGATGAAGTTTGATCCATGACAGTTATTATCAATGAAAAACGTGAAATTTATCCTTCTTCCCAGCCAACAACTTATATATTAAAATAGACGTCGTAAAAAGTGACACAAAAGCAACCAACTCACAGCCTGGGAATTATCTGGCTGGCATATTGTACACATTCGTAGAGATTTGCCAGTTTGCCAGAATCTTTCTGAAAATCTTCCACCAGGAACGACTCCAAATGTTGCAACTCGTTGACAGAGTCCATATCTGGGAAGAAAAAAGGTCTTTACTGCTTATTTATCGAAAACTCACAGAGACGATAATAAAATTTGGGAGAAAGATCGTTAGTGCGAAGTTCATTGAGGAACGAAAGGGCGTGTTTAAGGGCATCCATAACCTTTCCCTGCGAAATGGCCCTTTGAATAGAAAAGAGAAAGGAAAAGAAACCTTGTCGAGACAACGTTTCATTTCGAAAGACTCGGCCTTCACCACTTTCGTCGCCGTTTCCAGCATCTTTTCCTGCTCGGCGGCGCTCGCCACGCCTGACCCAGCTTCATACATTTCAGCTTTGCGCAAAACTGGAATTCATTAATCTGATATTAACTTCCATATTTGAACAAGTATCTTCAAATCGCGCAATCAACGAAAAAACTTCCTCAGTAGGATTAATTTTAAAAACTTTAATTAGGGAACAGAAGTTCGAAAGCTAACTAGATAAAGCAGTATAAAGAAAGAAAAAAAGTATCATGGAATAAAAAAATTTCATTTCAATGCGGTAATGGTAACAAGAAAAAAATGCTATAAAAATTATTCGGAAAAAAACTATAAATAAAGCTGGACCTATTCTGAGGGATTGCAATGTAACAACATGAAGAAAAGGAGAGTTAAAAAACCATTTGTGCGTCTTCGATAACATATTTTCACCGATTGTTTAAAGAAACCAAAAAAAAACTCTGAACTTTCAAAAAAGAATTTTCATCAGAATGGAAACATTCTTTCACGCATTTTGTTGATAGTTTACAGGAGCCAGTTCTCCATAGAGCTAAACTGCCTATTTCACACATAAATGTTCGAAAATAGAAAAATTGTCGATGCTCGGACATTTGTAACGCGAAACGGACGTGCTCCGGACTTTCTTGGCACATCTAGGGATCACTAAAGAGGACTGAAGCTTCTAAAGTGGCCATTAGAAATGCCCCGACACGTCCGTTTCGCCCTACAGATTTCCGAGTGGTGTGAACCGCTAGAAAATCCTTCCGGAGGTATTTGAATGAGCAGAAACCTTGTCTGATCAAAAATGACGCTGAAATCGGCTCTTAGCGTAAATACTTTTATAAAATTCTTCACCTTCCTTCAAAAACCCCAGGAAATATTTCCAAATAAAAAGATATCATTCATAAAATCTACGTGTGAGGAAAATACTTAAAGGCATAGGGGCAGTAAAAAACGGTGTTTCAGTTCAAAGCAGTATTTTGTAGAGCTTTTCATTGCAAACCGAACGGTGAACTTGGAAACGTACAGAAATTCCTAGTTTTGGAGAAAAAATAATTCAAAGTCGGAGAAAAGAAAGCTTGAGTTCCCGCGAAAAAAAGGCGCCTTGCAGTAAAGTTGCTCTATGGACAACAGGGTTCGCCATCTTCCGGATTCTCGCTTTTCTCTTCGTTTCTTTTAATTTTCAATTTTTTCTGTTGTCACCAGAGTTTTTTTCGTCACCAAAGCCTTCGATTCATGTATAATTTGCAAACTTTGATCGCAAATAAGCTTTTCTGGTGAAAAATGATGATTTTACACAGGTTTCGATTGGGATAGCGATTATTTGTGTTTTCTTTAATATCACTGTGCGTTTTCGGTTTTCTTGATCAATTTTTCAGAGAAGAAACCCTTAATTTGAAGCAGATAGCCGGTTATTTCATACAAAATGCGAGTCTAATAAGACGTCCGCAACATCTCGTGCACGGCTACTGTAAACAGTTGTCTGCATACCGATCCAAAGCTTTTTTCAAAATTAAAGGCGGGAAAGTGAAATCGCGTTTTTCTTCTAAAGTTGTCACACCTGTAATTTTTTTGAGTACACCATTCGATTCGCAATAAAAAACTATATAAGATGCTGCTTTCACCTGAAACCCCATTTTTTACTGCCCCTATGCCTTTAAAATGAGCAAATGATGTGATTGAAAGAGAGAGTGATACGGCTTTGTAATTATACATTCACGATAATTTTTACATCTTTAGGTAAAACCAGAGAGTACTCGAAATATTTCTTGTAAGAAAATCTTTCAGGATCTGCCGTTGGATAGTCTTTGACACGCATCGTTGACTTTAGGTAGATCTTTATAGATGTTGAATCTTTCGGAGCAAACCCCGTTTCTGAAAAACATTTTCGACCTTTTGTGAAGGTTTTCAACTAAACCTTTGAAATCAAAAACACGCCTATCCACATCAAACTCAGACTTTTCGGGATGAGTACGGTCGCACTCCGTCACTAGAACGAATTTGTTAAAAAGAATATAATCAGTTGAAACCTTTTAAAAATTGAAGGTTTATAATAGGTATTACGGAAGGATGATATAATATTGTTTTTTCTGAGACCTGAAAATCCACTATTGAACGCCAACTTACTTGGTCGCGGGTAAACAGAAAAAAAAAACACGAAAATACCAATAACTCGCGAAAAAGTTCACCTTGACATTTTTTGAAAAAGCCTCCATACGGCTAAGTTTGACGTCGGTGTATTTATGACTACGTAGGAGGTAAATGGTGGTATGAGTCTCGGAAGGGAAACCTTCTTTCGAATCCTTCAGACCATGATTCGCGGAAACGTCTGAGAATGCTCCACATATTCCTCTCTCTGTTCAAAGAGCTTGGACGAACTCACGTTTTCTTTGGAAAAGAGACGGTTCGCTGAAAGAAACGACAGACTTTTTCGCATCGCGAACTAAAAATCTTTTTTTATAAATATATTAGTCAAAAATTATAGCTATTAAGTATCGAAAAATATGAAAAATTTTGAAAAAAATATGAAAAATGAAGCGAAAGCCTTTTTTGACTCACAAAATGTTTTTTTTTTCAGATTAGAACTACTCCAGGTTACAAAAGGATTAAAAATTGAAAAAAACCCTTCTTCTTCATGAATAAGCTTCGTTCCGAGTGGAATAGCCGATTCAAGTTGAGATTTACATTCAACCACCGTCACTTGATTTGGAAACAATGAACGCAATTCGTCTTTCACCGCGATCATGGGCCCAAAAATGCACAAAAAATTTAAGAAACAAAGGCGTATTAATTAAGTGTTTCAAACGCCGTAAGATGAATGTGAAGACATAGTCTGTTCAGATTTTGATTGTCAACCAGCTAACTCCGCCCCTACCGAGACGGAACCTTTTCGCGTCGATGTTTTATAGCGCGTGATGATTCAAGATCTTTTTCGTACCAAAAGATAGAAAAAGAAGTCAAAAAATGCAGCCATATTGAAGATTCATCGTCATCTGGAGATAAAACATTGACGCGAAAGATATTGTAGCTTTAAGGGCGGAGTTAGCTTCTTGACATTCAAAATCTGAACAGACTATATAAAAAAACGATCTATCACACACATGTTTAAGACAGTGCTACGGCGGCCGGTCAATATTGCGCCGTCAGTTTCGGAGCCGGGAAATTTTTTAAATACCGTAATACGACCGGCCTGGAGATATTCAAAATCTGAACAGTAACGGGTATTTTTCATTCCGCGGAATCACTTTGAACACGGCATAATAACTTTGCGTTTCTCATGGCGCGAGAAAATATCTCAGGCACTCGTGGCGCGTGCGCTGGGCTTCCGGCACGGACACGCTAGGTGTCACCGCTCATTTTTTGTCGTTTTTCATTCATATAAGCTCGTAAATTATACCCTTTTTTACTATATGCGTTTCCTCTCATAATGACGCTTAGCATAAAAAAAATTTGACGCATAAAACTCAACCATACCCATTTTTCATTTTAAATATGGTTCTTCGAAAAATCGCACAAATGGGCAAACCGGTCTTAAAAGTGAGCACGCTACTAATAAATATCATGAAAATACCAACAAAAAAAAAACCCTTTGAAAAAGGTGTTTCTACTCAAAAGGTTTATGCCGTGTTCAAAGTGATTCCGCGAAATCCAAAATGACCAACAGAGAAAGGAAAAGACAGCTGAAATTTGGATAATCAGGAATAGTTTTGAATTTCGCGGAAAATACATTGAACACGGCATTAAATACACCCAAAACTGTGGACTATATCGCAGCGAGAGTAACGCTATACCGCGGGGCAGCCGCGAGTGATATCGCTCGCCTCTCGCTGCGACCTCGCAAACGTCTTGCGCTATATCGCTCTCCGAAAAATTTTTGTTCAAAAATGTTTTTTTCTTGAATTTGATTGATTTCATCATAAAAGTCAAAAATAAAGCAAAAAAACTGTTTTACAAATTTCAAATTTTTGAGAGGGAGCGATATGGCAGCGAGACTTTGACGAGGTCGCAGCGACATGTTGACGAGATCGCAGAAAAAAGCCTTGGCTATATCGCGTGCGGCCCGCTGCGATATCGGCAATTATGCATATATGTTGGGTGTAAGAGCCAGAATTCGAATTCTGCAAGAATCTGCAAGAATAATAAGAATGCGCGTGAAGTAGAAGACTTAAAACTGCGCTCCATCGCTTTGCGAACTCTTCACATACAGTATATAACCCTATTTCCGCGCGCTCCCATTTCCCACAATGAAGTGCGTGCATCAGCCGTCGAAATCGGGGCGGTTTGGGTGTGGTGCACCCCTTTTTCACAATTTCGGCAGGCAGATGCACCCGCTTTTGTTTGGGTTGAACCGCGCGTGTACTCGAATCAGCATCAATCAATCAAATCATTTATTCATAGGTTGTTTTAGTCATAGATATAATCGACTAGGCGGTGAACAAGAACTTCAAAAGCTATAACGAACAACCGCCTTTGGCAAACTAGAAGTTCTAGCGTGTAGTCGAAAGAGTTGAAAGCATGGTCTTACGGTCCTCCGTCTCGTCCTTATGCGCGTACTCTCACATTAGTGGGGTGAACCCGCTGTGCTAAATATTTAGGAGATATCTCCTATTTATATTCTGTGTGCCAAGACTTGGAATTTCACCGAACGTCATTCCGCTCTTCCGCTGCGTCGCGAAGCGTCTTTGCGAGCTCGGTCTCGCTTAAGCGCGCTTTGAATCGGTTCTCATTTCTGATGCCGTGTTCAATTTGATTCCGCGAAATGCAAAATACCCGTTAGAGAAAGGAAAAGAGCACTAGATTTTGGAGAGTCAGAGATCATTTTGCATTTCGCGGAATCAAATTGAACACGGCATGATAGATGGAAATCAAAAATAAAGGCACGCAGCGGAACAGTGGAATGTCTTTCGGTGAAATTCCAGGTCGTGATACACAGACTATATCTAGATATAAACGTGAGTTGTTTTCATTTTGAGTAAGGATGTTTCTCGACTTCGTCGTTCTCTCTTCAATTTTCTTCTCACTAGAGAGTGTGAGTCGTGAAGTAATTCTCGAATATTCTAAATTTAATACTCAGATTTAACATTATTGTAAAAATATCTTTTAAGAGAGCTAGAAAAAGGAGAATTTTCTCTCATTTTGAATAAGCTAGACAATCGGTGGTCGTTTTTAAACTAACGCTGAAAAATAGTTACCGGATAGCAACCCGGTATATTATATAGCGTACTCCGGACTACTTGGTAACTTTCAGGTAGGCTTTCTTTTAGGGATACCGATGGTATCGAGATACCTCTGCAGTTGTTCTTTTTTTTTAATTCACGATATAGCTGATTCACAGCTAGCTTGGGACGCTAAGGGAACGTGTCTTGTCTGCGCTCGCCACGAGCTAGGCGCTATTTCGTGCATTATCGTGTCAGGACACTTTTTTCGATGGCTCAAGCCAGCTGTGAATTGCTATATAACTTACCGAGTTATGCTGTTTTTTTTTTTGAACGGAAATATCAAATTACTTCATAGGTGAAAGCAGAAGACCTACAGTTTGATTCGGACACATGTGGAAAGCTGAAAGGTTGTCTTTACTTTCCGAAAGGATGCGATCCTGGCTCTTCCTGTAAAATCAAAGCCAGCTACGTGGTGAGAGAGGTTATAATTTCTTTTTACATTTTCTTACAGTACGATAAGCCGTCGGGAATGATGGAGATGCAACTGTCGGGAAAGATATCCAAGGACCACTTTGTCGCTTTCGGATTTTCCGATGATGAGAAAATGGTACCCTTGATTTTTCGAGCTGTTTTCAAGAATTTGGAAGGGAAATGACATGGTGACGACGTGTTTCAACAACAATGGAGCAGTGAACGCAAGTCTGGCAGTTAACGAGCCCAACGTCAGGAAAAACAACTTCATAGTGAACTGAACGCCTTTCGGTCATTAGAACTTGACACATTTTTCAGAACGAAAGTGGCCTTTTCGAAGTTATGAAAACCGGCTCTGCTGATGGTTTTTCTCACTGCCACTTTAGGTTTTCTTCACTATTCAAGGGGAGTTAAAATCCTTTTTCGGACAGATTTCCAGCGAAAATGCCGACGGACAAGTTCACGGCTCTGAAACGAGGCAACGACGTTTACTATCCGTTGATGTCCACGGGACCATTCGTGAATGGCCGTGAGTCTTTTCTTTGTTTTGCTCTCTAAGCGAAGCTTCCAGGTTTGGCTTACCACAACTCGGAGAAAACAATACATAAAAGCACAGATTTCGGGGTTTATCAAAGAAAGTCGTCGGGGGAAGTAGAGATATTGGAATGTTTGTCGTTTTGAAGTAGTTTCAATTTTTTTTTTCATTCTAGCAAAAGCCAAAGTAGATGTTTCGGAAACAACGACGCTGTACATGGCCCACGGTACGTTTAGATTCATTAAGTCGTTCTTTTGTTTTCGTCGATAATCAAAAATATTGAGATGAAACGTTTACAATGTGAAAAATGTTCGGCAGCATACCATAACAGTTACAGGAAAAATCTTTTTTATCGCGCTGACGTTGTTGTGGATCTTTGGAGGCAGCAATACGTACTTTTTCTGAGAACCTGAATAAAGTATCCATTGCTTGTATACGTTTCCGTTTCGAGTTTTCGAAAATGAAAATATTAGATGAAAATAAGAACTGTCTCGAAAAGGTTCTCGTCAACATTTTAGGCCTACAAAAGGCTTCTCGAGGTGTCACAGTTTCGTAAAATATCCAGCCTTTTTTTCAAACTCGAAACCAAACTGCAGGAATTCTGATGACTTTCTCGTGGACGGTGTTCATTTCGACAGGAATTCTCTTCGCTCGACACTTTCGCGAACATTGGCCTGAAACTCCTATCATGGGAATCAAGATCTGGTTCCATGTGTGTATTCCGATTTGGTGGCTTTTTGTCAAAAGACTTCTGCAGCTCCATCGAACATTTAATATGATTGGAATTGCCTCGATGATTTGCGGCATTGTGATAATATTTATTGCGAAAGAGTGGACCTGGATTGGACCATCATTCTCGCGAACTTCCGAAGAGGTTTTTGAAAAAATCTTTCATCTTGTTGTTTATAACTTCTGATATTCTCTTTGGATCTGCCCACAACCTGTTTTTTAGAACGGCACCTGGTCGTCCATTCATGCTCTTCTGGGCGCAACTTCATGCATTCTTGCCATTTCGCAGCCGTTGAATGCAATGTTAAGGTGAGAGTAACAGTTTTCAGCTTCGCGCACAAAAAGGTTTGATAAGCCCATGTGTGGATTATAGGCCATTCCGCGCAAGCTTGTCACATTTTTCTTTCCGTTAAAAGGCCAGGTCAAATTCAACCAACTTTCGCTTCAAGACCTTTGTTTCTTGCCGTTATAAAAGCAGAAATTTGATCTAATTTGGTATACGGTCTTTTTGGCGGGAAGAAAAACATGACAAGCTGGCGCGGAATAGACTATATTTTGTATAAAAAAGAGAGAACAAAAGAAAAGCCGCGGCTTTTTGCTCTACCTGTGTTTTAGACACAAGTACAATGCTGTACAAAAAATTCTTAAAAACCAAAAAAAAAAAAATGATTTTTGTGATTTTGAAGAGTTTAGCTTAAAAAGCTTCAAAATTAGTGGGTGAAGAACGTGAAAAGTTGATCATGAGGCGATTTTCAGGAACTCCATATAGTTCAACAAAAGGTATTTGATTTCTAGTGGACTCCATATTGCAATGGATAATGATCTTCTCGCCATTCGTACTTTTATATGAATTCGAGCAAAGCCGAAATTTTAGACAAAAAAACTTCTAATAATTAAATCACTCAAACGAGTATTTTCTACGAGATTGAAAAATTTGGAAACTAAAAATGCCGGATTTTCGTGATGGCGCAAACAAGGCAAAACACACCTATGTTGTAGACACAGATCACAAAATTGATCATATCGGATCGTTCTGAGCAGAGCCTTTTGATACGAGGCATAGGGGCAGTAAAAAACGGGGTTTCAGGTGAAAGCAGTATCTTGTATAGTTTTTTTTTGCGAATCGTACTGTGTACTCAAAACAATTACAGATGTGACAACTTTAGAAGAAAAACGTGATTTTACATTCCCGCCTTTAATTTTGAGAAATGTTTTGGATAGGTGTACGAACAACGGTTTACAGTAGCCGTGCACGCGATGTTGCGGACGTCTCATTAGACTCGCATTTTGTGAGAAATAACCGGATATCTGCTTCAAATCAAGGGTTTCTTTTCTGAAAGATCAATTAAGAAAACAAAAAACACACACCGATAATGAAGGAAACACAAAATATTGCAATCCCAATCGAAACCTGTGTAAAATCACCTTTTCAATAAAGAAGCATTTTGCGAACAAATATTGCAAATTTTACATCAGATGCCATCCAGGAGCGGACCAACGTTTCATTTTCAATTATATTCATCGTGGATTGGGTTTTACAGCATTGATGCTAGCTCGTGAGTGTATGAGTGAAGTTTCGAGGTTAAATGAGACAATTTTCTAGTTATGACAATCATGATTGCTGCAATTCACTTCGAATCTTTGAACATGACCAACATTCCTCTGGCAGTTTTGGTCCTGTTTTTTATCATTTTCGTTTTGGTTCTGGCAGGAATGGAGTTTTTGACAGTTCGCCGTCAGTCATCCACTTGTTTGTTCAAAGTGAATCGTTCATCTTTCAGGAGCTCTTGAAAATGGTCCCAAGAAAATCGCGGAAGTCGACGACAGCTATACAGGTGACAGCAGTTCGCAACAACAGCAACCTTCGACGGCTGGAAATGAAGAAGACCGCAGAGTAAGGGACTTTTCATGAAAACTCTCATATTTCCAAGTTAATTAATCAACTTCCCGAATTGCAAACAGAAATGCTTTCGATCAACGAAAAGTTTTTTGTTTACCTGCTCTCAAAAACCTTCTTACTAATCGCGCGCTCCAAGTTATTTCGAAAAATAAGTAAAAATCAGTCGAGCGAATACTACGGGAGAAATATTTAACATCACTTCAGAGACCGTATGCAATAAAGGAAAAAATGAATTCCCGCCATGTTCCTGAAACTGGAAAACGACTACAATCAGTCTTTTTGAGACTGAAATTTTTTTTCTATCCGAATCCTCTTACAAAACCTTATTACATCAGATAAAGTCGAAATCAATGACAGATGAGCGAGTTTCAGGCATTCTCTGTTTTCAGGAGAATGGCGGAATATCATTTTCCACTTCATTTCATCAGCCTCAGGCAAATATTCCCTTTTCTTCCAGCGCGAAATCTCATCGAACGCACCAAAAAGCTTTTCATTTTAAGTACAATCGTGAGGTATAGTCAATCCATCCCGACTCGGAAGGCGAGAGGGCGGGATGCGTAGCGTGCAGGTACGCGGTTCTTCGCACGAGTTCAACTCAAGAGTCACCGACTATTATAAAACTCTCCTTTACCGCTTTTTTTTTCTCTACTATTTTGCAATTGAAAAATGAAAAAAAAGTTAATAAATAAATTTTAAAAAAAGGGAAAGGAAAAGAGCGATAAACGAGCTCTCCAAATAGTCGCTGGCGCGCCATCGCGGTTGAATTGAACTCTTGACAAGAGCCGCGAACGCGCACGCTACGCGTCACTCCCTTTCCCCGCCTCCATCACCTTTCAAGTTGGAAACAATGGATTATAGCTACCGGGTAGCTATTTATTAGCTACTTGCATGGTACCGAAAAGTGTACGCTCGTCAGAAATCATACCCGGTAGCATAGCGACACCTCTCCGGTCGTAGCTAGGGACCATAGAGATAGTGCTCTACTGAAATCGTGCAAAGAGCAGTGCCCGAGCCAGGATACTTCATAAAAGCTTCATGCATTCTGCAAATCAGTGCTTTGCATTTTTCACAGAAGTTTTGCGCTTTTCGCCTGTAAAAAGTGAGCCCAAAAGAGATGCAAAATGCGAGGAGCTTCTGTGCAAAATGCAAAGCTCTGATTCGTAGGACGCATGCAACATTTTTTGCAAAATGCCGGCATAGGCACTGCTGGTTGCAGGGATTTACTAGAGTACCCGGTCACATACAAACGATCACCGATTACCATACGCCGATTGACTTTGAAGTTGCTACCTACTTGTATCGATCTCCCGATTAACCAGCTGCTAATAAAACTCTCCGAAAAATGACATTAAAAGTAATTACTGAAAAATATTGAAATAAAAAGTACGGAAATAATAATAATTTTGTCGCAATTTTTTTTTTGATTGTATTCAGTTGAGACTCGCATTTTCTGGTTAATAACGCTATTCAGACGAATCTCTTCTTACTCAATATTTTGATCGTGCATCTGAGCGTTGCGATCATCGTGGCTGTTATTGTTGCCATCCACATCATAAAAAGCCATTCCTAAACTTTTTATTTTTCCGCTTCTGTGAACTGTTTTATCCTTCAGCTTTGAAATCTCCTTCTGTGTCTGCAATTATCATTGACTTTATCAATCGAAATAAAAATTTCTAACAAACTATTTTTCGTTGCTCCTGCTCCTCTTCTCGAATTTTTAGTTATAGATCATTAGTCAAAAATTGAAACATTTTTTTCTATGCACCTTTTTTTTTCTTGGCGACTCTTTTCCGTGCTATTCATGTTTCTGTGAATGCTTCGATATCAGAAAAGAAGACCCCAGAGAGAGGCGATAAAATAAGTTTTTACAAAAATGGTTGATTGAAAGAAAACTCATTGCATCTGGAATACAAGAAAAGAAAAGTTGGTCAATATGTTTGAAACGGAAAAAATTTATTCCCGGAGTTTCAGCTGAAAAATGAATCATGAACTTTATTTTAAAACTAGTTCTTTCGAAATAGCTATTTTGGGTGGAAGTTGATACTGCCTCTCACTTTGTTTCAAGTAGTGGAGTGGTGCAGCTCAATTTTGGCAGCTTAATTTTGGGATCCATACTCATCTATAAACGAGATATCTTTTTTAATCGTCAGAATAGTCTCCAGAGGTTTGATTCACAGAACACAGGGATATTTAGTAGACGTGTGTTATTTCATTCTTTATTTTACAAGCAGGGACTTGGAGAGATAGACTTGCCCAGTAGAAAGTCGTGTTTGCCGTGGCCAGGAAAGATCTGTCGGTTCAGAAGGGCGACTTTTCGACTCGGAAACGTGTTTCAGGAAAAGAAAGACGGCAACTTCAGTCATTTTGTCAATACAGTGTTGACTCGGAAGCCACGCCCACTTTCGCAGCCGCCTGAACAAATAATTTCCGGGCTCCGTCGCTCGAAACACTAATATTCCGTTTACCAACATCCCTTTTTTAAGATTTGAAATTCTCTCCACACATTTTCATGCTCTTTCTTGAATATTCTCGATTTTTTCGAGAAAGTTTAAAAGTTAGTTAGCCTCCAACTCTTTTGTGAGCTGATAAAAAGGCAAAAAACTACTGGGCGTAGGCATCTCGCACATCAAAATTTTTTTATTGGTCAATTTTTTCAATTTAAACTCTTTTGAAGATGAGTCTGTACTTTAACTTATGTGGATTTTTATCATTTTTGTTAAAATCTTCAATTGGCTCAACTAGTTTTTTGATTTTTTTCCCCCTTTTTATCCAATTGATGAGAAATTATTTATGTTAATTTTTGTTTCTATCAAAAATTGTTTTTTTCAGAGATGGATCCGCCGGTAACCCACACGCAGAAGCTTTTAATGGCGCACGGTAAATATTTTTTTCCTATTTTTTCGCAATCAATTCTTATTCCCAACATAAAATGTTTTTGGTCTTATGTACAAGCCAAAAAAATTTTCTACGGCATTAAGTGTCTCGCAGACATGGCGTCGTTATTGCAATCCATCAAAACTCTCAATTGGCCTCAAGGAAAAGTAATGGAGTTTTATCTAGTTTGAGTACATGTAAAGGGTTTCGTGAAAATGAAAAACCGCGAAAATTTGGTTTCGAATTTCAGAATTTCGAAAAACTAAAAAGAAACAAAAAGTCAAAATAAAAACTATTATTAGATCGATCCCATAATATCGGATTTCAGAATTACCCAAGTTCTTTAGCCTTGATAGTTTATTGGCGTACATCCGGAAAATCTTTGAGAAGCCATACTGCAATTAAGCTGATAAGTCCGACCGATCTCTCTATAAAACCAGACAATGGTCATGCTAAAGCTCTTCTTGGATTCAACCTTTCTGTATTTTCAATCTGGAGCCGTATCCGAAAGTTTTCTTCAATTATTTCATTGAAATCAAGAGAAAATGAAAATTAATAAATAAAGATGATTTTAGTGTTTGCAGAAATGTCGAAAACTATTTGATAAACCAGCTTGCACAAAAAACTTTTAGGCATCCTGATGACTTTTGCATTCTCGGTGTTTATGTCCACAGGGATTCTGTTCGCTCGGCACTTCCGCCATCACTGGCCCTCCACTCCTATAATGGGCATCAAGATTTGGTTTCATGTAAGATTCACAAAAAATTCATTTTCTAACTACCGTTTCAGCTACACCGCACTATCAACTTGATAGGAATCGCTGCGAGTATCTGTGGCTTCGCCATTATTTTCGTCGTCAACGACTGGCAGTGGGTCGGACCATCTCCCTCTCGTACCTCCGTCGAGGTATTCTTATTCTTTTCTTCTTTTTTGGAATAAGAAGCGTGACGATGTGATAATTTCCAAAGGAATTAAACTTTTTTTCCCTCGAACCTTTACCTAGGATGGGCTCGAGACTTCAATTACAGATCTGTTCCAAACCTTCGTAGTTAGTTCAAAGTGAATTTCTTCTAAAAGAAGAAAGAAAGGCGCATCTTGAAATTTTGCAGTAGTAAACGCTCGAAAACTTGCGTAATCCACTTCAAAACTATAAATTTACCCAAATTCGACTGGACGCCTCAGGAAATTTCCTGGCGAGGAATGACCGTAGTTACAGATGTATATCTAAAAGGGAGGTCATTTTTTTATATGAATCAGGGACCATTTCATAATTTTTTTGAATATTAACTTTTCAAAGTTATGAAATATAAAAGAGATTTTTAGGGCTATTTTTTTGTTGAAGGCGAATTTTAACAATCAACAACTCAAATATTTCGAGTTTTTATTTAAAACTCTAAGGAACATTTTGCGAATTCACAAAAGTATCCAAACTTCACATTGAAAGGACCTTGATAGTTGAGGTTAATCCAAAAAAATTGTTTGAATTTTTTAAAGAAAAGTTATCAGGCGAAAAAGAAAACGAACCAGGAGCGAATTTAAAAAAAACAAGAAAAAAAGAAAAAAACTTGATTCGAAGAGCAGCAACTTTTCCTTTTCGACTTTCTTTTCCAAATTGTGATACTCAGTTTTCGAGAAAAGATTTTTCTCCCCGTTTTCTGCCAAATGTACTTGAATCTTTCTTTTTTCTCACACAGAGATTGTTGTAATCTGTTTGATACTTCAGAACCGCAGATGGGGGTCCGTCCATTCGATGCTCGGTCTTCTGGCCTGCGTCGTCGCCTGGGCACAGCCGATCATCGCGGTTTTCAGGTTTTCAGTTGTCCAGTGCTATCAAAATATTAGTTATTGAAGATGCCATCCCGGAGACAGAACTCGGTTTATCTTCAACTGGATTCATCGGTTTTTGGGCTTCGGCGCTTTGCTAATGGCTGGTCCGAAACCAGTGGAATCACCTCTAATCAAGGGTTTCAGCTGCTGCGACGATGATTGCCTGCAAACACTTTGAGCTTTTCACGAACCACGACGCCGCCTTCGGACTCTACATCACGTTTTTGGTCGTCTACGGAGTCGTGCTCATCGCCATGGAGATGCTCAGCGTTCGCCGTGAGTCTTTCATTTTCAATGGATTTCTCGACGGCTGCCTACTATGCCACATGGCTCATGTTTGGTGTGACTGTCTGGAAATTCCTCGTCTTCTTGGTCGTTGTCGTCAACTCTTACTCTGTAGACATTTGAACATGTGAGATCTTTTCATATTCTCGCGGATTAAGTTGACTCGAGACGGTATTTGAAATAGCCGGAATGGTTGAGCAATGTACGCATTGGTCGACGCAGTATTTTCAGAGCTTTTCAGTTGACGGAATTCGTTTGCAGAAAGCCCAACAAGAAAAAGTCTTTTCATTTTATTTTAGCATTCAGGTGCTTCAAGGCATGTATTCCCTTTTAAAGGTCAAGATAATGGTTAAAACGGGGATGCCTTTTATTAACTTTTTGAATAGGCTCTTCTAAGATCTTAAAATTGAAAAGAAAACTAATCATACAAGAAAGTGAAAACTGTGAGGTATTCTAAGCGACGACGGGAAATGTCATGCTAACTTTCACCTCAGTACCTGCTCAGAGTTGGGCCCCATTTTCAATTTTTAAATTTTGAAAATTGAAAGGTTGTTGGACAGCTCAAAAAACTTTTTTGAGATCAAATTCGGACCAAAAATCAAAGTTTCTAGTGATTGCTTACTAAGTAGAGATTGAATTTATAATTTTATTTGCAAAAACTTCTACTAGAAAAAACAAAACAATTTACTTTTTGATAAGAGTTTACTTTTGAATATTGAAGCGCCTTAAAAGCAAGTCAGTATTTCTACTCCTTTCGTGAACTAGGGCGAATCGAAGACGACCACTTTTTTTTCGGTCAAATGTACAATCTCGGGCAAAGTCGGAATGGTGGATAATGGCCGCTAAGAGGGGGAGGCTCAAAAAAGGCAGCAAAAAGAGTCCCTTCGTCGAGCTTTTCATTTTTTTTCTATAATTTTAAAGGCTCAAGAAATGGTGAGAAAACAGAAAGACAGCAAAAAAAGAGCCTTTCTCACTCTAAAAAGAAGAATTTCTATGGAGCCTTTTTACACCCTTTCCGAATTTGCCTGTGATGTCAGCTTACTTTAGAAATTGTTTTTTTTTTTTTTTTTTTTGGAATTCCCTGTATGCAACAAAAATTGCTTTAGGTTGGTGGAAAAACCGGAAGCGCGTGAGCGAAATCGAGATGAGTCATTTAGGAGCTTCTGGCCGTACAGAGCCCATCGAGTACGTCGACGACGATGACAACTCTCGGGTCCGTTTTAGTTGTTCGACCTTTTCCAAATTTTTTTCAAAATTCAAAACGCGTTTTTTTCAACGTCTTTTTAAAAAAATTTACTGATATCCGCGATTTCAGACAAACACCTTGTTACTGCTCTTGATGGCTTTCCACTTGATCGTCGCCATTGGAGTTGCCGTGGCCATTTCTGTGATAATCGCCAAAAAGAAGTGAATCCTTCCAAAATACATTCGATTTTGCACAAATTCTGAGATTTCATTTCGATCGACTCAACTTTTTACGAGTTCAAAATCTTTGTCAAATACAACGTCTACTGTTTTGCTCAAGATTTTTCCACACTTCTTGTTTTGCCATGTTTGTTTGTACAGTTCCTTTTATAGAAAACCTAATATTTGTTAGAATAAAAATGGATAATTTCTATTTTCTAGAAGTGAAAACTATCGATTCTACACTTCAGCAATAAATGGAAAAGTATGGCTTAGTAATCCGAAAGAAATAAATTAGGGGCTCAACCCTACGAATTCATACTTTTCCGAAGGATATTCTGGCAACATTTGGATTTAGAAAAATGACAGGATCAAATCCACGAGACTGTAGACTTGTTCATGCCGTAGAAGGTAAGCGGCACAACTACAAAAAAGGCGAAAAGGCAAAAAAACAAAAAAATAAGGACGAGAGGAACCATAGCCAATCCCAGTGGCAAACTAGACCAGAAATAACAAGTAAACTACGAGGAAAATGAGCAGAACCACCGGAAAGGCGACGCGAGAAATGACGTCGAGCCCGTTGTTGTTGTGAAACGAGGCACACCTCGAGTCGTAGGCCACCTCTACCGTCTGAAACTTCCCCATCACTTGCGGGTTTCAATTTCGAAAAGAATGAATTTTGCAAGGATTTCTTTGTTTCGCACATCATTCGCCACGACTTTTAAAATTCTGACGCGTCTGGACCTTCTGTTCTATCGACGGCGTATTCAATAAAAATAGCACGTAGAAATGAATGCCCAGAGACGTTCAGACTGTTTTGAGTAGTGGAGAATATCTCAGGAGTGCGTATGACCAGTGACAATGGCCTTTTATATAAGATCTCTTGATTTTGAATCTTTTCGGGACCGTTCTGATGTTATTCCTTTCAAAATCACGGAACTGATTCAAAAAAATGGATTTTTGTGCTGTTCCAAGTTTATCGTTAGGCTTTAACTTAAAGAAGAAGCAAATCGAAACCTCTTTGGCTGCGCCCATAGGGTGCTCTTCCGAATGTCCGTTAGCCACATAGCGGATCGACCTCCGCACTCCGCAACAAATCACCAAAAAGTACTCAACCTTCAAGATATAACCTAACGCTTGTAATGAAAATTTCCCGTACAAAGGACAAGAAGGTGAGGAATAGACAAAACGCGAACCAACAGCACTGTCCAGACGAGCCAGCGACAACGTCTTGCCGGAAAACCTGTACTGAGAAAATGAGCGAAACTTGCTTCGAGCCTCACAAAAAGAGCCGCGAAAATGAAGAATGGCAGGGCGGCGGATGCAGTTCTCGGCACTGACCAGCTTCCATGCACCCAGAAGTGAAGCCAAGAGGAAATAACCTGAAAAAGTTTGTTTTCTTCGGGAAAGCCGCCTTCACTGACCAAAAACAACGAAGGGAAAAACCAGGAGAAAAGAGCTGAAGTGGTTCCGGAGCTGAAGGTCACGATCACGTCGATGCACGAATAAACACCTGAAAAGGAGGATTCCGTGGTACAACCCATCGGTCGACCGACCGACGGTGTAGTTGCCGACGCAATCGCCTGAGTTGGCTTCTTCGAAGGTCACCGAGCCAGTCAGAAGTTCGTTGGAAACCTGAAGACGTCGCTGCAAGGAGAAACAGCAGGAAGCTAACCTCGACCGGATTGATGAGAGGCGGAGAATTGGCCCATAGGTACACAACGTCTTCGACAGGATATTTGTCTTAATTGAAACATAATTTAGACTGCTTTCTTCAAAACGACTTGAGTTGGCAAAATATACACAAAACTTACGTTCTTGATCATAAGTAAGAGCCACACTCACAATTTCAGTTAAAATTTCCCTACCTAAAATATTTTAAAAGACGACTTTTTTGCTTTTCAGCGCCTGAATTAATTCATACAACATAAAATGTACAAAAAATGCCAATTTTTTTTGCATTTCAAATGTGTATTATAAAGTTATCGAGTCACTTCAAAAAACTTTAAAATGCAGAACGGCAGATCAGATATACCGAACGGTTATAATTGGAGCTTGGTTGGAATAGAAGCATAATTTTTCTTTTCCCGAAAAGTAGATACTTACAGCTTCCGAGTCGGAGTACAAAAGAGCGCGTGTTGATGAAAGGGAAAGAGGTCCCATACGTGAAAGGCACATCCACTGTTCTTCTGAAAAGATGAATAAAAAAAATGGATTGTTGGAAAAAAAAAAGAAAACAAACTGTTGAGAGTTGCGGACGTATCCGCTGGGTTCGACAACGTTGTTGGAATGTTCACCGTCGCCGACTTCGCTTCCAGAAGAAAAATACGTATCTGGCGTCCAGATTTCTCGGTTCTCCGGGATTGATATCTGCGAAGCGTGAACTGAGATTTCAAAATCTTATTTGAAGGATCTTGAAAAAAGCATTTAGTTTAAAGGAGGGGAAAGTTTTGAATCCAAACTGCTCTTGGAATCTGCGTCTCAGCAAAAAAAAAATAACTTTTCGAAGTTTCTGACTTGATTACTTAGACTCAGCCTTTGAAAAATTCTTCTTTCAAAAGAATTTTATTAACGAAGGAAAATTATTTTCAAAGAAAAAACCTCTTGAATTCCTTCACGTTGGTCAACTTCGTATCGCAACCGACTGTCCTCCCACTGTTGCCGAAGGTAGATATCCAACTCCTGAGTAATACTTTTTTTTCCCTTTCCATAGAATTAAGTCCTCGCTTCCTCGTGAAAAATCTTGAAACTTTAGGTACATATCAGAAGACTATGGCCGGCCGGGCTGGCCATAGCGGCCGCGAAGCGGTCAAAATTTGCCCCTTTTTGAACTTTTTCGTCTCAAAATGTTCACAGAGGATGTAAAAGGGATGAAATTTATGAAATTAGATAAAAGAAAAGTTTGCGATTGCGACTGACTGCAGACCGATTTGGCCACTGAAAAATTGGTTTTTCATGCTATATACTAGCTTTTGGGCGGCGTACGCAAATTATGAAATATAGTCAATGTTTCCCGACTTGAAAGGCGTGGGAGGCGTGGCAAGGGGCGGGACGCGTAGCGTGTGCGTACGCGGTTCTTGGCACGTGTTCAATTCAACCGCTAGCGAGCATTCAGAGAGCTTTATTTATTGCTCTTTTTCACTTGTTTTTTTAATTATTTATTGATTATGTTCATGTGTGCATCAAAAAAATAGAAGAAAAATACAGAAAAAAGAGCGGTGGCCGAGCTTTTTTTAAATAGTCGGCGGCGATTGAATTGAACTGGCGCCAAGAACCGCGTACGCGCACGCTACGCGTCCCGCCCTCTTGCCCCGCCTCCCTCGCCTTTCAAGTCGGGAAACATTGACTATTACAAAACTATGATTTGATAAAAAAATAATAATAAGCTCACGGCTCGATTTTCCTGCCATCGGACTCGGTTGATGAAGATGTTGGTAATTATGAGAATAGCCGAATGAGCAGCGCTGTCTGCAAGAATTTCCTTGAATTATCTCTTGTGTTTATAGGAAAAAAATGCGCTAGGACATCCTCCGTGACACACACAAAACAGTCGAATCCCAAAAAGTAATATCCATTTCAAATTCACATTCTCGAATTTTCTGTGAAGCTGTGCTGAAAGATTCAAATTAGATTTATTTTTTTTTAATAGCAGAGATGCGGTCGCGAAGCCTCTTTGCCTTCGCGAACCTCGGTACCAGGACCGGTCGCACTTTCATTTTTTGTTTTACTTTATTTAATTTGAAGCAAGACCGAGATTCCCAAAAGCAAAGACGCTTCGTGGCCGCACACTGCGAACGAGCGGAATGTCGTACGGTGAAAACGGAATGTCGTACGGTGTAATAACTTTATCATGATTACCAGCAAAAAAGACTCATTTTCTAGTCTGCGGCTCCATCGTCAGAGCTATTCTCTCCTCACTTCGAGAAATATCTCACCTCGGACAGGTGGTCGGCTGTGTGGGTCGTACTCGGCAAGGACGGTGTTCACCAGCTGACCCTCTGTGCCGATCTGCCGGGACCGCAGCGACTTCTGCGCGAAAGTGCTGAACGAGTTCGGAATCTCTGAGCCAAATATTTGAGCGCTGATCTCACTGCAACGTTCAATGTTGCTCAAAGTCTTTTTTTTTTGTTATTTCTTCAAAAAAAAAACTCGGAAATTGTATTTCCTACACCTCATTGGATTTTTTGGATTAGTCTGACTTTTACCTCCAAAGTCAATCGGAAGAAGGATACAAGTAACTGCCGGGTAGCTACTCCAAAAGCGGATGCTAGTCGGTGGTTGTTTATTAGCTACCGAATACCATCTCTATGGTATCTGGAAATACCGGGTAGGTATCTGACATTTGCGATTTCTACCGGATAGTCTGGCAATACTTCCCGGGTGTTGTATAGTGCGAATTACTTTTTTTTTTTGGTTAATTTTTTTTTCAGCGCAAGCCAATAAGACCTTTGAAAACATAGAACGGTTAAAAAAACACTAGTGCTAAATAAACCAATTTGCCGGCTGGTAGCAATCGCAAACTTTAGGTACCTACCCGGTAATATCCAGGTACCGATATGTTACCCGGTAGCTAATAAACGAATAACGATTAGCATACGCCGATCGACTTTAAAGGAGCTACTTATCTCCTTTTTCCCGATTGACCAGTTCCCAGCAAGGCTCTCTGTTCTCAATGTCAATATATCCACCAGCAATGATAATTGAAAGGGCATCCGAGATTCCCAAAAGCAAAGACGCTTCGCGACCGCATGCAGCGGAACAGCGGAATGTCGTTCGGTGAAATTTCAAGTCGTGGCGCACAGACTATAAGAAAACAACCTGGTTGAGGTCAATCAATAAATGAAAAGAATCTACAAAACATCTATATAGATTACAATCTGATAATTGCCTCTGACCAGGGAACTTTTTCCAAGTTATAGAGCTTCACAGTTCGTTAAATACGCAAATTACGACGAAAAAAAGCGCTATTTTGAACTTTTGAAGTTTCTTAACTCGAAAAAGATATCTATTGTGAGTTTTCTTATTGTTCTGGAATCAAGGGGTCCTAAAGCACACTTCACCAAAGTTTCAGCGAAAATTCAACCGGGGAGGGGGGTAATAAACGTTTCCTAGTGAGAGGAAATAGAGTGCAGACAAGCCAGATTGTTTCAATTCGTCAATGAGGTGCTTTTTCTTCCCAGTTGAACTATTTAACCCGATCAAAACCAACCAGATATTCAAGAGTAAAACAGGTATTAGGATGCGCATAGCGAGGCGAACGAGTTGGGAGAAACAGGCAGCCGGAGGAACCGCTTCTGAGATCAAGCCAACTGACTGCAGCACACCTAGGCATGTGTTACACTTCGTGCCCTGCTCGTTTTCTCGTTCGCCCGCACACCGATCCTTTTTGTGAGATCCGCGATGGACGCGGCATCAGTAGTTGGAGAAAAAAAAAAACAAAGAAAACACGAAAATCTCTGAACACCGCCCCACCAGCCATACCAACAGGCGCGCTTCCGGATCCTTTTTCGTCGAGAACGCTGGGAAATTTCAAACGAATTGAAGAATTTAATTTTTTTTTATATCGAAATAAGAGGAAAAAGTAAGAGAAAGACAGTGTATTTCCTACATACCGAAATAAAAATCATAAATCATCGTGGCGATTCAGACTTTCCAGGACGAAGACTTATTAACCCCACAATCAAATTAATTCAAGAAAATTGAACCTGAAAGATCAAATGGATAGCAAATCATACAGAAAAGAGTTACTTTGTAATTTGTCGACTGTAAATCAATTTGATAAACCTAAATCCGGATAAACCGAGCTTGGGTGCTTGCCTGTGAAAAATGAGTTTTTGCTGTTTGGTCGAAGATTTATTCCACGCAATTATCAAAGTTTTTTTCTCGAATTTTTTTAAATTTCATTCATTGGTTCTCATTACTAGGAATGGGAGTTCCATATAATAACGACAGCGAACTAATTTTTCTCGGCTTTTAATTATCAACGCTGGCAGCAGCTGTCATGGTTACGAAAAAAAAAAGTTCTCGTGCAAGCAATTGCATAACTTATCTTCATTGCTCTCTTCCGAAAAGTTGCGTCGGCAGCAGTTTTCAAAATAAATGAAAATGGTGGAAACCATTGTACAAGCGCTTTATTTGGAAGGTTATTCGTGCCCAATCAACTTGAGATGAATCAGTTTTAAAAAAAGATTTCAGTTTCCTGGGAATATACTATGTTCGAGACTTTTAATATATTTGTGGCAGCTCTGGGAATAGTTCTCAGCAGGAAATCAAAAGATTTCGTTGTCACACATGCTCGCTTTCTGATGATTTTATGTACTCCGCTGTGGATACTCAGGTCAATTTTTTTAAATCTTTTTCAATCAGGTTTTCAGAGCTATCAAAGCTTTCCGTGGAGTCCCCGAGTACGAAGATGTACTGGAAGAGAGCTCTGTCGACTTATTATTGTCAGTATAAACCTTTTTTGAAAGCAAACATGTCAAAAAATTTCAGCACTAATGTTGTGGACCCGCTCACGCAGATTGAAGTGACTTTGCACTACTGTTTTTTGATGTTTCATGCGATATCGCTAGTAATTCTAGAGTTTTTTCTTATGAGGGCCGTACGAGAGAGAAGGATACTCAGAACTTGGTAGGTTTGATCCAATTTTTAAACTGAGAATGCTGATTAGAAAAAATCCATTCATTGTTATCAATTTGGTCGATTCTTTGAGGAGCCATTATTTGACAGCACTTCTGTTGAGCTTATCATCGGGCACCATTTATTCTAATTTCAACAAAATGTTTTGGGGAGTGCCGGCATACGTGTATGCTGCGGCTTTGAACACTTTCTGCCTTTGCATCTTCCTTGGCGTTTTCCTGGTTTTTTTTTGTTGAAGCTGTGGAAGTCAAAAATACGCATAGATGACGTTCACTCTACGAAAGGAAGAAATTACCTGCGCTGAAAATTCGGAATCGTGTATCGTCAACGCCAAATATCGTGTGTTCTGCTCAATCCTTCCTATTCTGATCTCTTCCATAGGACCAGCTTTCTTGTCAGGTGCTTTCATAAAGAGCTGTAATAGTCAGTCTGTGTTCTATTCATACAACATTTTTAATCAAAGAAACTTCAGCGAGCTTGCTGCTGAATGTCTTTGCTCCGACAGTTCCAGAAGCAGCTCCTGGATTGGCAGAAAACAGAAAAGTCCTCTACGAGCACATGCACCTTTGGACCGGCTTCACCATCCATCCCTATTTTGCCTTTTTCGCCCTTTACATCATGCACCCGACTTTCCGCTCTGCCTTTTTGCCTTGTTTCGAAAGAAGCAAGGGGACAAGAATGCTCTGTCTGAACTAATAAAGATTGCGAAATTCGTTGAACGGGACAAAAATGTGAAAATAACATCTAGACCAAGGGACGCGCCGTAGCGCCACAGGTTGTGTTCCTGTCTGCGGTCCACAGGGTCACAAGTTCGACCCTCGACCCATCCAACGGGTTTAAGAAATGTTGGTAGTCGAAAATCACGCTTCAATAATCCCCAGCCATCACACTTCAATCTAATTCACAGTTCTTCCTCAAATTTCTTAAACTATATTTGAACAAGCATGTTTAAGACTGTGCGAAACGGCCGGTCATTATCGCACTGTCGTTACCGTAGTCAAGGGTGGTTTCCTTCTCCGCAGCTTGCTTAGAGCCTATAGTCTCTCGACTCGCAAAAATTAGTAAAGTCTTGATATCAATTATAAGTACAGGAGTTTCTATTTTGTTCCAAAAACGTTTCTAAACAACCGACGGGCGGTCTTGAACAGGAACCCGAAGTTGAACCAAAAGTTGTTCTGAAACAGCAGTTTTTCAAAACAATTTTTTCACATTTCGAAGCGAGTTTCGTTTTGTCCAATGAACACGCCATAGTGAAAAAATGCCATTTCGAAAATCTGAGGCAGTTTTGGCGCGCCCGCAGGAAAGCGTCTCTGTGTTTCTCACCAAAGGCGTCTCATCACACGATTTATTAGTTTTTTTTTTGAATTTTAAAATGCAAAGTTTTTCTTATATCTTTTTTATCTGTGTTCATCGAGTCTTTCATGAAGTTTTTTTGTGAGGCGGCAGAATTCAGGGGTTTTTTTTTAAAAATGTTTCTCAGCAAACTTGGTTGGGGTTCAATAATACTTTTCGAACGAAACTTTCTTCAATTAGTTCTTAAAACCGTCTTTTTTCAAACTATATTACTAAAAGGAATGAATAAATAATTTTTTTTTCAGATTGACATGATTGACTCGGAAGGGTTACTCAGGAAAAAGATTTTAGAGCGAGATCAGGCTTTGAAAAATATCGGTAAAGAGACTTTTTTTAATACAAAAAAATTGGCAGTTTTAGGTTCTGCCGAGTCAAGTTTTTTTCTGGGAAACGTCGAGCTGAAACTCAAATGCGTACATCCTACTCTTGATTTCTTTTTCAATAAGAAGGTACTCCTACTGTATTTTAATAACACTGTTTTTTTATAGATTATTTTAATAATTTTTTTAAAGTTGTTTATTCATTTCAGAGTAAATTTTCCATCAGATTTGTGGTCGCACAGATGCACCATCTTGGAAGCTTCGAACGCGATTTCGAAATTGCGATGCTACAGTTAGAATCGATTACCGTTAGTTTTCTATACTTCAATTTTTCGCTTTTGTAACAGTAATTTTTAGCTGAAAAAAGGTACGTATCCTACTGATCCTCCGGCGATTGTTTGCCATCTACTCGATGGCTGTGCTCAGAAAGTCTTGGCGGTTAGTCTCGCATCTCATGAACTTACTAGATGGGTTTTCAGAATTTGGGGGATGTGGAGCGGACTTTGAAAAACCGTGTAGGTGATCGTCCAGTGCAGGCCGACCATGCAATGAGGTTCTTGTCAGTTCCGCGAATTTTTATTTTTCTCATTTTCCAGACAGCTGATTTTCATACTTGAACCATTTCAAGATGTCGTATCTTCCGCTGGAGACACTAGAATCTTCGAAAATCTTCAGACGTTTATGAAAGTGACGCGAAATGAAGAAATCTTGGAAACTCGCAATTTTGAAGGGTGTTGCTCGCTTATCTGTAACGAGGTTAGAGCTCTTTTTAACTATTTTTAATGATACTAAGAATTTTTTCGAAAATTTAAAAAATTAAACTGAGCCGAAGAAGAAATGAGATACTCATCAAGAACTAAAAACTACGGAGAGTTCAGAAAGTTCTGTAAATTTTTTTCCCCTTTTTTCGTGACCGTAGTCTTCGAGTAATAGATAGCAGAAAAAAGGAGCTTTCTGCTTTTATTAAGCGCAGACTTGTTCTGCGCCATTTGGGATAAGGCTGAGTTGGAAAGAAAGGGCGTCTCGTTTTTTTACTTACTGACAGGTAAGTGAATGTCATTATTTTCTTTTCTTTGTTTTTTCTATCTTGTTCTGCTTTGAAGTAATGCAAATACAAAATATTTATAATTAGGGCCGTTTTTTAACTATCTGCTCTATTCTCGAGGAAAGCACACACTATTTCTGAAGTGGTTTATAATTATGCTTTTCTCATCTGCTCAGTTTATATAAAAGTGACATGGTTTTTCAGGTGCAAATTGTTCTTAAAAATAAAAATTCACATGAGTTTCTTATAGATACTTGACGAATGGATGAAAGATATGCAGTCGCGTTCGCAACTTCAGCGTGCAAGTAGCTTCACGAATCGTACATCCAATTTCTTCGGTAAATCTGAGTTCCAAGAAAACTTCATCTTTTTATACTTGTTCGAGATAATAACCAGTTTGTTCCAGAAATAATTCCGGAAGCGGATTGGGCTTTTTATACTTTCGATTTGGGACTAAAATTGGTGCGCGAGGATAAGCTTTTCAAATACTACCACTTTGACGTCAGCAACATGGTCAAGACATTGCGGCCTACGCCTTCTAAGCAAGGTTTTATCTTTCGAAAATAAGATTTTTGAACTGGAGATTGTGACCTTCGAAATTGTAATTTTAAAAAAATCATTCTATTTTTATTGAATGGTTTGAAACTCTCTCGGAACTTTTGTCGAATCTCTTCCAACCATTGAGAAGAAGTCTTCAGGCCCAATTTTCCCAATGCGCCATCGGTTCATACAGAAAACAGAGGAACCGCCTCCAATAGCTCCCCCTCAAAATGGCAATTCCGTTCGAAGGGCCCTCGATGCAGTATCACTAGAGTTTGTTCTTTTCTTCATTTTTTGATTTCATCGAATAAGAAATGCTCTGTAAATAAATATCGTTCAGGAACAAGGAAGAGGATGTTCCCGCGCAACCTTCAAATTCTGCCACAGAGGAGGTATGACTTCCAAAAAAATTTTGACACTCGGAAAAAACATTGAAAACTCTTTCTAGCCTGAAAATACTCACGAAATGCAACTTACCTGTTCAACTACATAATAAAAATTTCTGGTTTATTCTGGTTCTTTTTAAATTTGATAATAGCATTTTTTTATATTCATCAAAAATTAAATTCGATTATTTTTTTTTCTGAAAGTTTACTTGTACCAAGGGCCTCATGGTTACTTAAAATTGAGCGATTTCTACGAATAAAGTAAATTCTTGCTAGTGATAAAGAAAGAAGTCGCAGGAAAAAAAGTTTCGCCCTTATCCACTACGGCTTTACAGACGCCGCCACCAAAGAAACCTCGTCTTTCTGCAACATTCGTCCGGAAATCGGTCTCGAAAAGAAAAAAGCCTGAGCTTATATCCCTCAGCGATGACGAAACGAATCAAAACCCTCCAGAGGTATGGTTTCCTTTCCACCGAAATAGAAAAGAAGACTTTCAGAACGAAGAAATGGAAGAAAGCACTCGACGAGGTCCAGCGGAAACGGAAGGCAAGGAAAAAATTGGACAAAAGGGCGGCAGAATATGAAAAAGAAGACGATGTTTCTGAAGATGAAACCCTGCTCGTGTTCCCCCCTCTGCAGTGTCGAGACAAAGTCACCAGTCAGTGGAATCGTCTCTTTTCAAAACGTATCCTCCGACTTCAGTCTACATGAGCAATCTGAGGGCCTTGGCCGAGGGAGAACTTCTCAACGACGCCGTCATCGAATTCTATCTTCTTTACATCAAGTACTACCTGATGGACGAGGCGTTGTCAGTGTTCTTCTCATGTTTTCCGAGGCAATTTGCCCCTTTTCAGACGAAATCGTGTGCACTTTTTCAACTCTTTTCTAATTTCCACGTTGGCCACTGGGATACCGCCGTTATCCCTCTCTGTTTCTTCGAATCCTACGACACTCGCTCGGAAGAAGGTTTTCCGATCGGGAGTGTATCAAAAAACGAGTAATTCAGCTTCATGTGATGCCCAACTACGAAAGAGTCAAAAACTGGACGAAAAAGGTCGATATTTTCAGCAAGGATTACTTGGTCATTCCCATCAACGACGAATGTCACTGGTTTCAAGCGGAAATTCAAAAATAAAAACCAAAACGATAATATTTGAAGGCTTGTCATAATCGTTGTGAATCCAGGAGGATGTTTGGTTCCAGTGAATGACAAACCCAAATCAGGAGAAATCGGCACCTACATTGTTTACTTTGACAGTTTGCCAGACTTTTGCGGACGAAGGATGTGAGTTTTTTCATAATGTCAGCTCCTCAAATGGGAATATACACGAAATTTAGGAAAAAAAAAATCTTTTAATAAAATCATAACCCTGACCAGTCGTGTTGTTTACCCTCTTTGTTTCCAAATGGGTTTTTTTCGATTTTTTTGCGCTTGAGTCAATTTAAATAAGATATAGAAATCGAATCAACGAAAAGAAGTTTAACGCTTTTTTCTTCCTCTCTGTTGATCCTGTGGTCAACAAAGATAGAGATTGGGAAAAATCAAAACTTTGAAAGCTTGTTTTTCGATCGGTCGTGAACTCAAATTCAGGTAGAATTAAAAGAACATAAGGTTTATGAACGTTTTTATATAACTTCGACTCTGTATAATTACTCTCAATTTTTTTTTCAGGCGCCATTTGAAGACATTCGTCGAGTTTTACCTGGAGTTTGAATTTGAAAACAAGAAAAAAAGCGGGCGATTCGCTTCGGAAGTTGCTTTGCGCTTCGCTCCAGAAAGGATTTTCACTTTCCGGCCTCGCAACGTCCCACTGCAGAAGAATTTCATTGACTGTGGAGTCTACGCTCTTTACTTCGTAGAGTTGTTCTTCAGAGACAACAAGCTGATTCCTTTCGAGGTAAAAGTCTAGAAAAGAAAGGAAGATTGATTCGTGGACGCAGGAGTTGAACCATTTCGACTGGGAGGAGAAGTTCGTTGCCGCGCGCGACCTCCAGAGGTTCATGCGGGACAAGGTTTTCCTCAAGATGATGGGCTTCACTTCTTGCAAAGTGAGTTCCAGCCCTATTTCATGATTCTTGTTCCATTCTTCTCAGGGTCGGAGTCGTTTGGAGAGGTTTGAAAAAGCACAGGGCGGCGGTCCGACTCTCGAAGGTAACATTAATTTAATTTATCACCTGTAAACAATTATGAGTTCACCTGGAGCCTTTTTTTGACAGTTTCCAATATCTTTCGAGCTTTTTTAAAAAAAAATTTAAACTGAGTTTTTTTCGGTTTCTACAAAAATTTTGTTGGGCGGTTCTTCTTTTAGGCTTTCTTTTCCTGCGCCCTGTAAAACTCACTTATATACTCGCAAAGGCCAAAAAACACCTAAATTTATTAAATTGGAAAGTAATCGTTAAACTACATTTGTAGCCTCTACGGCGAAAACTATTTTGAGTATAAAACAGTGAGAAGAGTATGGAGAGCTGAAAAAAGATCCCAATGCTAGAGAGAAGGATCTGTAAAAAACGCTACTGTGAAACCTTTTATAACGATCCAAAAGAGGTGACTTCGTTTTTTTGGTCTTCAAGCCTTTGAGGCAGTTTCGTGTTGCTGATAAAAAGATTCTTGTCCTCACACAGGCACATTCGTAAGGGCCCTTCACGGGCCTTTTGAGCGGGGGGCAACGGTTTTCTTTTTACTGCCTTTTTCGGTCCTTTCACCGGCCTTCATTCAGCAATTTTGACCCCTTTGAGAAACAGAACATTTTTAAATTGAGAATAATCTTCACCAGTGACTGTGTATGAACTTAAATGTGCTACAGTAATACAATCGGGAAACATCAATAGCCGAGACTTACAGCACCCTTTTGCACCCTCACTACTTCTTCACTTTTTTTTTGCGGGTTCTGCCTTTGGTCACCCTTTTTTGAGGCTTTTTAGCCTTAAAAGAATGAAAGGCTCAATAAAGGTCTCGTCACTCCCTTTTCGCACCCGTTTTCCGCACTTCCCGACTTTGGCTGTTTTGGGCTGAGAAAGAAGTTCAATTTCAGGCAATCGTAAGCACCGTCGTCACAGTGTCGGCTCCGGTGACGGTCCTGATAAATCTCTGCGACTGAGACGATCTTACTCGGTCTCCGGATTCGAAATCTTCGAAGATTTCAATCCCGCCGAGTTTGCCGGCTGGGCCATTACTAAAAAGGCTCGCGAACTCGGTGATACTATTGTTCATTTCCACTTTTGATCATGTTTTTCTATACCCTCGATAATGGTCTCTCATTTTCTCAGAACTGTCCAGCGTAGCTAACTTTCTTTCTAATCAAAAAGTCCTATTAGAATATTATGCATTAAACCGTCGTTTATGCTGAAGAGCTTTTATTTACTGTTTCCAATAAGATATCAGATCAGCGTCTGGAATACCTAACTTGCTCTAAATTGTTCCCATTCTGTTTTATTTATTATTATTTTTTCGTTTTTGTCTCATTTACTACACGTATTTAATAATATTTTTCTATTTTCCACCTGCGGGTCCACAGAAAAGTGTGTTCTCATTCCAGTACTGTGCATACGATTTAGAAGTTTTTTATTGTTGTGTTATCATTGTTTTGGATGCTATAAATTTTTGAAAGGCTTCTGCTTTTTTTTAGAACTTTATGCGTTATAAATGTAATAATGTATCTTTTCTTCATTTTATAATTTTACTTTTGCGAAAGAAAATCTTTTGTGATGCCAGTTTTACCCGTGATGAATAAGGTAGCGAGTACAAGATTAATTTTAAATCGGGATTTGAAAGAATTTCAAGCCATAAAGTTATTGATTGACATATTTTAGTGGCTTCTTAATGATGACTCGGTAACTAAATCTCGTAGTCATGTTGAATACTGTTCTTGAATTTTCAATAAAACTGCGCGCAGATGGCAAAGGGACCACGCCTTTTTTGCTTTGCCGCACATTTGTAAGCGTTGAAGGATATATTTCTTTTCCGCACTTTTTTAAAATCATTTTCATGCATAGTTCTTGTTTTTAAAATCTTCTTCAGAGCTCAGATCGCTACGAGCGATTGGAAACGGTTGAAAAATGTCGATTATGAGCTATAATGGTGGTACAGTCCTTGCAATGGCCGGCGAGGAGTGAGTTTTCTGCGTTTTTTAAATGATAAGTTTACTTGAATATTTTTCTAATTTTAGATGTGTTTGCATTGCTACTGATCTGAGATTTGGCGAGCAAATGACGACTGTGGCCACAGACAAAAAGAAGGTTGACATGAAAAATTAGGTCTTTTGCAACTTTTGAAACCAGGTACACAAAGTTTCGGACAAAGTCTATGTTGGTCTCGCTGGATTTTCGTCGGACGCTAGGACCATGCTTGAGAAGATCATGTTCCGGAAAAACTTGTACGAACTGAGAGAGAGCCGTAAAATACGTCCTAAGGTAAAATAATATTTAATCTATTTCATACCGTGAACTTTTTTTGGAAGCTTAGAAACATGACGTAGAAAAAATGCTTTTCTCATCGGTTCATCTTGTAATTTTCCATGTTCTCGTAAATATCTTTCGAGAGGTGTAGGGGTGTTAAAATAAGAAAGGAAAAACGATTTTATGATGAAGAGAATTGAAGGAATATAGCTGTAAAAAAGGTTTTTCGACAGTTCCGTTTGTGGACTTTGCTCATAGAGCAAATAAAACTAATAAAACTAAAGTTTTTACAGAAGTTTTTTTAAAAATATCTATTCAAATTTGAAAAGGTTAGGTGTGATTTCTTCATTTATTTTATGGGAAATCGCGATGATTCCCTTTCAAGCTTGGTTTTTTTTCCCACAACTTCCTAGCAGGTGAACCTAAAAACTGTTATTTGTAGACAAAAAAAACTCTCAAACCATTACCTGATTTGAAGAAAAAAAAAACATATGACTTGAATGAAATGTTTATTTCGCTCACAGACAGATCTGTGGTGTGGAGGAAGAGAACCATGAAAGTTATGTTTGCCTCCACTTCGATAAAGCTCCACTTCAATTTTAAAATATTGAAGGTCGAAATCGAAGAGAATCAAAAAGAATAGTAATCTATAAACGAATTAAATCATTTTGTGATATTTGCAGCTTCCTTATCAAAAACCAATTTTTCAAACAACTTTTAAATCTTCTTTGGTCATCCTCAAAAACCACTTCGGCTTTTCCGACAAACAAGATTTCTCATCTTTTCAGAATTGATGTTGGTCGTAGATTTTATGGCTTTTCTCTTTTAATTTATTATTTTTTCAGGTATTGGGAGAAATGATTTCGAATCTGTGTTATCAGCACCGTTTCGGAAGTTATTTCACAGAGCCTCTGGTCGCAGGCTTGGACCCCGACACCCACAAGCCCTACATCTGTGCCATGGACACTATCGGCTGTATTGCCTCTCCTCGAGATTTCGTCGCCGTCGGAACTGGCCAGGAATATTTGCTCGGCGTTTGTGAAAGTTCGTTGTTCCGTTAACCGCCTTCTCGCTAAATATACTTGGCTTCAAAATTAACCAAGATTTTCTTTCTACACTTTCTTTGCTCATTTTATATCTTGCCGGCTGTCAGGCTACTGGCGCGAGAACATGAAGGCGGACGAGCTTTTTGAGGCGACGGCCCAGTCGATGCTCTCTTGTCTGGAACGCGACGCGGCTTCTGGATGGGGCGCCGTCGTCTACACTATCACCAAGGACAAGGTTCCAATTTTCAGTTTAATTAACAAAAGTGTCAACTCATTTGCAGGTTAATGTGTCGACGATCAAGGCGCGCATGGACTGAGGTGCAGCTTTTTGAGAGAGAAAACAGAAAGAAACTTTCTCCTATTTATTTTCCTTTCTTTATTGCGTCTTACCGGTTCATACACCGTTGTTCAGCCTTCACGCGTCAAATTCTTGTTTGTTTTCCCTCATTTTGCGTAACATATTTCACGGTAAATTTTTTTTCATTCTATCACCTTTTCACATCACGAAAAATTATTCAAAAATTAAAGGAAGTGATCAAAATTGATAAGGAAAGGGAAACTTAGAGCTCAGTGTGAATTGGCTCTCTGTAATGCAATTCATCTTGATCTTCTTCGGCGTGTTCTTCTGCTGCCGAAACTGTTTCAGCCGCTTGAAGCTGTTGCCTCAGTTGCTCTACGTACTAAACACTACGGATCGAATTTTTAAGACTTTTCTTTGTACCTCTTGAGTTTGCGCCTCATTTCTTTGACGACGACATTCCTGTTTGCATTGCTCGTATGCTGCCAGGACCTTCAAGTTTCGAAATTAGTGGACATGATCCTTTTGTTGTTGGAAACGTGAACAACTTTTTTGATAGCTGCTTCTATTTTCAACCTTGAGAGCTCTGGGTTTGAGCATTTGACGACGGCCGTCCGAAGAACGCCTTTGTTCTTCCTCGTTGCTGCTCGGATACTTTTCGTAGTGAGTGGGGCCTTCTTTCGCGGATTCATGTGATTCTAAGAAGACAACCTTTTCCGAGTCCACAGCTTCCAACTGAACAATCTCCTCCAGAAGTTTCATTAGAGTATTTTTACCGACTTTCGATCTTTTTTCCGGCTTGTCCTTCTTCACGTGCTTGAGATCTCTTATTTTCCTGATATTTTTTTTTCATTCAAAAAGTCGTACGGAAAAGTTTTTCAGCGTTGACTTTTAAGTAATAAAAATCTGTGTTTCTGATCTAAACTAATGATTCACTTGTAGCTCTTGACATCCTTGCTGTTGTTCTTCTTGCAGTCGACCGAAGCGATCAGCAGCAACCCGATCAAAGTGAAAGACCAAAGTAATTTCGGGTTCATTCTGTATCCCGAAAAAATTAAAAACTGGTTCAACGTTTTTTTTTCGGTTTTAAAAATCGAGCAAGTGTATGAGAACATTCTTTTGTTTTTACAAAGAGAGATATTGGCAAAAAAAATCAGTTCTCCAATAAAAAGCAGTACAAAGACAGTGAAGCTGCGGAAAAATATGAAAAAAAAGTGGTTTCCTATCGCGGAGCGTACTCGAATCAGTGCAGATAACACATTATCGACTTAACCGTTTCTCTTTTTCCTACCCAATTTGTTATCAATTCAGAGTATTTTCAAAATCATACAGAAGGAAAAAATTGAATATAAGTTAAGATTTCTTGTTCAACACTGTTGAGATTGGAACCGCCCACATTAAAATCCTGATCTAATAAACGCATCTCAAATGTTTAGCAACTGATAACAATAACAGTAAAAAGGACTTCGCGCTTAAAGAAGATGAGCAAAATTTAAAATAAGTCGTAACTCGTTTATTGACAAAGAGAATAGAAAAAAGGTACAAAAATTCATATCTAAAAACATCTATAACTAAAATGGAACCTTTTTATACTTATAATCGAAGATGAGGGACTTAGGACCAGTTTTGTTCGTATCTTGGCGCTGTCTCGTTATCTATCTGAAAGTTTAGTAATACAAAGAGATATTTCTAACCAAAGTTTCGCGTACTTTCGATTCAAATTGTCTTATTTATTTTCTCTAGAGGCTCAAAACGTTTGTTCTTTTGTTTTTCGACATGGCTTATTTGATTAATTTACACCGTTTATCGGAGAAAAAGTGAGCGAGCTCGTACATACATCTACATGAAAAACATGGTTCTAGTAGGAGCGTGAGCTTCGTTTCCAACTTTTTACTCGAAGTGTGTACTCTCATTCCGAGGCTTCCACCTAGAGCACGGTCTCCGGACTCCAGAACAAAACCCGCCGTGTTACGATCTCGTCAATTGGCAACTAAAGGACTACGCTTAGAAGAACGAGGGACCATAAGACCATGTTTTCAACTCTTTCGATTAAATTTTTGAACTTTTTGGTCGCCGAAGGCGGTTGTTCGTTATAGCTCAAAATTTAAAAAAAAACTCTGGAATCGGCTGCGCGGTGGAAACATTGCTTTTTTGAGCGGTGCTAACACCGCCTTTGGCGAAAAATAAAACAAAAAATGTAGTTATTTGAATAGAAAGCATGGTCTTACAAGCCTTCACCCCGTTCTTCCACAAGTAAATCCCTCAGCTTCGCGGTTATGGGCACGGCGGTGATGGTGGGGCTCGGGCACGGAGGCCGTGTAAACTCTAGGGCAGCCTCGACTGATTTTAATCTCTTAAAAGAGAGCTGCCACTCCGTGTGAAGATACACGGAATTTGATTGATATCAAGAATGAAACTGTTTCAATCACGACCATTCTGTTTTTTCAGGAGCCCTCGACAAACTTCAAAAAACGTTTTTTTTTTACAAGTTTTCAAAACTGTGGAAAAAATTAGACAGCTCATGAAGCGCATGCCTTCAAAAATTCTAGCCATTTTTTGGAAAATAATGAAAGTATAGAGTACCCTTCTAACGGATAACGCGAATTCAAAATTGCATTGACCGTCGGAGTTATTCAAGAGGTTATGCATGAATCAACGAATAAACGTCAATGTAGAGAACAAACCTGAGATTACTGAGGATAGTGGCCATGCTGCTCGTACTGGTTTTTAATGCGCAACTGGTGCGCCCTGCTGTAGTCGACCCACGTGGCGGACACCGGCTGATAGCTCCAGCCCTTGTAGTCCCACCGTTCGCCTTGCAAATGCTTCACGCGCTGCTCGATTTGTCTGCGTCAGAACTTGAGCTCACGTTGAGAGAACAAGATCACCTCCACCGGGCTAGAATTCCTTGCTTTTCGTAGTATGCGAGGTTCCTCTCGTGGTGTTCGACGTCGGAAACTCCAAACCACTTGGCCCACCACTGACGGACTGGCGTCCTTTCAAACTGCCAGTAATGCGGTGGAGGACCCTGAAGAACCCAAATAACATTCTTTTCATGTACTTTGTTACTTTTCAAATGAGCTGAATGCTCTAGCGGCCAAAACGTCCGCTTGGATTTAATTTTTCGGTTCACTCTTAAAGGATCATTCTCCTTAGAAATGTGATTTTTCATCATTATTAGTTTGAATTTTATTCTTTTTTTTCAATGCAATCTTCACTTGTTGAGTTTTTACTTGAATTTGAAAAACAAATAATTCCTCTTGACATATTTTTTGGATTCGAAAAAGTCTTGGCAATAGTCAAGGCCTAGTATACAAAAAGTTGGGAACGTCATTCAAGTACTACTTTTTTTCACAATTTAAAAAAACGCCGCGCGTGTATCGAAAAGCTTAAAAAAGGTGGCAAGAAACATAAAGAAAATTTTATAGTTTTAATTTCCAGCAAAAACACTTTTTAACCATTTTTTTTCTTTTTTTTTGCACACAAACTGTGAATAGATATAAAGAAAAACGCAATTTTAAGATAGGAAATTCCGAAAATGACATGCTGGAAAAGTAGGTCGGGTCGGTAATTTTTAGGAATATCCATTTTTTGAATTTTTTCAGTTCGAGTTTTTCAAGTCGCCAAAATGCACAAAATTCTCGATTTTGGTTAAGTTTTAAGTTTCGAGAACCCATATATTAGAGGCACAAAAATAGAAGATTATGTGTTTTTTTGAAAAAGAAGTTCGGTCAAAAACTTTTTTTTGATCTGAAATCGGAATATGATATGTGCGAAATAGTGTTAATTTAAATTCGAAAGCATTTTTCTGGCGGAGATGGGAGAATTCAGAAAAAAAAAAAATTTCAAAAATTTTTTGAACAGATTTATCAAAAAACGGAAAAATGACTTTTTCCAGCATGCCAAAATAAATAGGCCTAAAAACTACAACTTTTTCATTATACAGGGTGTCTCAAAAGTATTGTCGCATATAACAATAAACGTAAATTTGTGCAGACACAATGGATTTTGATGGTATGAAAAAAAAAACACCAGCGAAAATTCAAACGGCGACTTTTCCGATTTTTTCGTATCGCTAGAGAACTTTCCGACGAATCTTTTTCCGACTTTTTTTCTCGATAAAAACTTCGTTTTAATTCTTCCTATACAAAGTAGGTAGTTGGTACATGATTAAAACACAAAGAAATAGGAAAAAAAAAATGTTTATAGATGTTTTAAAAACTGAAAAATATAAGGGGAAAAGGTCGGAAAAAATTTCGTCGGAAAGGGGTTAGTCGGAAAGTTCCCTAGCGATATGAAAAAATCGGAAAAGTCGCCGTTTGAATTTTCGTTGGTGTTTTATTTTTCATACCACCGTTAAAATAAAGAAGAAAGTAATATAAAACCTCTGTGGGATAGTCTTTTAACTCGCAAGTGCCATAGACGATGTGGTTGTATGCGAGACACACAAGAACAGGCAGGAAACCGATTCCGATGAAGTAAAAGTGACAAACATCCTGAAATAAATCAGATAAATAATAATATTCCTACAAAAAAATTATAAACCCTTTGCGAATGTGAATGCGTGTGAGATTATGAAACGATTATTAAAAAATTATGAAACCCAATAGAAAAACCCACAACCAGAAAGACATCAATCCTTCGAAAAAATTTTATAACGCGTTGCAAGCATTGCAATTTTTTTCAAAAAGTTCTCAATACTTTACTCAAAGTGAAAAATATAAATATTATTCACCTTGACTCGATTTACAATAAGCTGGCCAGGACGTTTACGGAAAACGGCAGCGTGAGATTCGCGCATCGACGGCATAATGTAGGAAGTTGGTCGGAGCAGTGCTCCAGTTGCTGGAGCCAGCTTGCTCATCAACGCCATTTTGAGCCAATCACCTACAAATAAAAAGTCTGCAAATAACATACACCTGAGGGACCACTAAAAAAATTGAAATGTTAAGGGCCAGCTCTAATATATTATAATATCGCGGATATATCCAACAAGTAACACACATAGTTAGTTTTGGCGTGTTTAACGGAAGAAAAAAAAAAAAACAAAAAAGTGAGCTGTTCCGAAGCAACTTTGGAGCGTTACTGTTGTTTTCAAAGTAATTTGGCGAAATGCAAAATTATCTCTGACTCTCCAAAATTTAGTTGTCTTTTTATTTCTCTGACGGCTGTTTTGGATTTCGCGAAATAATTTTGAACTCAACATCAATTTCGCGTTTTTAAACTCGCATTGTTTTGCCGTTGAATACGACATTAAAGTTTTTAAAAAGATTCCGATTTCGGGCAAATTAGGAGAAAAGCGCGCCGCAAGTGGGCGGAGCCCGTTTGCGAACAGCACACTGACTTTACCTTCCAAATTTTTAAATTGAAACTCGATTTTTTTAAAATTTTGTATCTGAATCTATTTATATTTTCTTACCAAATTTTCAGCAGTCAGATTAAATGTTCCGGAAGCCTTTCAATACGAAGAAGAACACCAATCTCCGCAATTCTGACACGTAAAAAGCCTAGTTTTTATTTTTTATAAATTACGTTTTTCAGGCGAAAACTCATCAATCGTTTAAAAGAAGAGTTGGAAAATGAACTAGTTTTGATAGAGAAAAAGTCACAGGTTCTAATCTATCAGTGCTTTTGGTAATTTATTTTTAGGTAGCTCAAGTGAAGATTGTGAACTATCAAGGTGATGCCATGAACTTATATTTATTTGACAAAACTCCCATGTTATTCGACTTTTCTGAGTCTGGAGTTGTGTACCCTACCGTTTTCTTCCTCTGGTCGTTTCCTAAGTCATACCCGGTTATTTTGGTCCATGAGCCGGTTCTGCAGTATTTGGAGAACGGTGCTGACCTCATGCTTCCTGGTGACTTTTGGAATGATTAACGAAATTATCTTAATAATTCTTGAGGTGTTCTGAGAGGTGAAAATTACCCATTCCCAAAGTTCCGAAGAGGTGGCCCTGTCGCCATTGCGCTGTGTTCTGGCACAAAAGTGACGGGACCGGTGGCGGTCGGTTGCAGCATGATGTCCAGCGATGAAATGCAGGCATGTGGTTTTCAAGGAAAAGGCGTTCAGCTTCTTCATGTTTTCCGAGACTCACTCTGGTTGCAAATACTCTTTTTACGTCAGTGTATTTAAACTTTCTAAGGGAGTTCGGCCCGCGGGGACCACCTCCTTCTATGGGGACTGACGAGTTCTTTCAAGAGGCTAAGAATGAAAATGACGATCAATTCCTATCAATCGAAAATATATCTATTGAAGACAAAAGTGAGACTCTTATTGGGCTCCCTACAGGATAGAAAAGTTGCTAGACAACGAAGATGCTTCGACTGAGGCAGTTTCTTCCGTGCCGCATGCAGAAACAGAAGAATCCATCGAGCCAGTCGAATCTTTAGTATAATCCACCTTCTCATATTCCCACTACTCAGCGTTCAGGTGAGGCGATGTTTCTTGGCCGGGTTGAAATATCGTTTGAAAAAGAGTGGGAATCTGCCGATGGACGTCGGCCAGGTAATCCGATGATATTTTTTCTTTTTCTAAAATACTCTTTCAGTTTTATGCTCAATGCGTTTTGTCATGTGTTCCAGAAGGTCGAAGAATGGATATGAAGAAAACTAAATATAAGAAGTTTGCAACGTTTCTTGATGAGGTCAGTTCGGGCGCTTCAATCTTTGTATCACATGTTTCATTAGATCAATTCTAGCAGTGAACAATTAGTTGTGACGTTGGACAAGAAAACGAAAGGAGCCGAACAGATAATCGAGGTTTGACACTCATTCAGGTGTATCTCAGCTTTTGCAAGTCAGGTCAACTGGGCACATCCATTTATTCGCGAGTTCGAGCCAACTGATGAGAAATTGGTCGATGAAGTTGCGGATACAAAACAGAGTTTCGTTGCTCCTCTTATTTTGGAGTATCTTGGGGTTAGTTTATAATTAAAGTTTGTCGAAGAGAGATGCTGATTTTCAGGTAACAGAGCCGGTGATGCCAGTTCTGAAGCCCCAAATGCCTTCCCTGAGCAAAGGAGACCTTCTGAAAAGCGGCGAGGTCCGCGAACTGCTCACGCAATACGTCAAAGCAAACGTTTGTGGAAAGGAATTGCGTTTTCGTCCAGGTCACGAGTTTTGCAGGATCTTCAACAGGGTAAAGAAGTAAAACTAGATCCTTTCCTCGCGAACATCACTAAAATCAATTCGACAACCACCGATTGGAACAAATTGATGAATATACTTCAGGCTTGAAATTTATTTTTTCACAACTGCTCAGTTCAAAAATTTCAGTCGAAGTTCACAAAAGTTTGGATGATCGAGTGGTCGGATGGACGAAAGTTTGTACGTAAAGTTACTCCGCCCAAAATAGAGTTCAAAGTTAGCGAATTTTCCGAAAAAGCTCCTTAACCTTGCTTTAGGTCGAATCAAGGGCCGGTAACAAAAAAGTGACATTGATCAACAATCTTGCCGTTTTCGGTATTGACATCAAGACGATTTCTCATCAGATTCAGGTAAATACCTGAAACTTAGTGGACGAAGTGCGTGTTTCAGACGAAAGTTGCCACCAGCGTGACCTCAAACGCTGAAGCCGTCAATTGCGAAGGTCCGCAACTGCTAGTTCAGGGAAATCAGGTGTTTTTTTTTTCATTATCCTAATTTCTAAACAGAAAGATTTTGGTTCAAAATTGGAAAAAAGATTTTACTCTATTTTTTCAATATTTACTGGAATTTATAGGTTTTCTTTGTTGGAGAAATCTTGATGGGCGTGTACGGAATCGACAAGAAGTACATCGTCGGTCTTGACTTGGCGCCCAAAAAAAGAAGATAACTCTCATCCGACGAAAACCGCTATTTTTTAATTTTCGGTGTGTTGATCTGGGTATTCTTTTCCTTTAATCAAGCGCGCCATTCAATTATGGTTTGAATCAAAAATACACGATGAATTCATTGATAAATTTTTGAAGTCAGATTAGAAATTATCTCGAAGTTATGATTTGATTTGTGGGAAGGCTTTCGTGTGCAGCCCTGTGGCAACCAGTACATTATCGCTTTTTCGGTACACGTCCGCCTTTAAAAAAACGTTTTTTTCAAAATTTTATCACTGACCTTTGTGAAAGCCATGGATTTACCCTGCTTGGCTACGACAGAGTCTAGCACCAGGATCTCGCCAGCCTTTGCGGCAGCCATGTATCTTGAAAATCGGTTTTTTTTTGGTGTTTAGAACAAATTATATGGTTTATTCACGATATATTGTTGTGTTTTAAATGCATGACTTTGATGTTAGAATTCGAAATTTTTTTTACAAATGCTGAAATTATACTTTTCCGTGCTCTATCAAACACCTAGGAAAATAGATGTAAAAATGGCTGCAAAAATAGAGTATTATTTTTTTTTCGAGTTGATTCGAAAGTAACGAACGATACGTGGAGGTCGACGGAGACGCCAGGAGCACCGCGTTCCGTGCAAAGAAGAGCGCCGGTAGTGAATACGTCGATGAGTGTGGCCGTGCAGCCACCATGGAGCGTCCCAAACGGATTCGTCATCTCCTCTCGAACTTCGAGCTCGACTTTTAGACGACCTTCTTCCACGTGCACTGCCGTCGCCTTGAGTTTCCCAAGTCATTGATTTTGCGAAAATATGGTTTTCTTCCATTTCCTTTAATTTCAACATCGAGATGGTATGGCGATGTTGCAGGAGAGGGAAAAACCCATGATGCGGATTAACTGACCCCTTACTTATTCAAAGAAATTTGGTTAGGGAGAAAAGGAACATAATCTCATAATAAGTTGTTAAAAAAATATGCTTGATGAAACGTTTTCTACCTACACTTGAAACATGTGCTTGAACGTTTTTTTCACCATCTTCGGCCAATATTTGTAATTCTATGAGATGCGATATGTAACTAAATAGGAGAGTCAGACCAACACTTTCTAACTTTTTTTAAGTTAAAAAAAGAAATTAAAAATATGATACCCTTCCTGCACCAGCTGCTTGGGCGAATGCTTTGTTCGTGGCGCACATCTTAATAAAGTCTTTGGCCACAGACATGTACTTGTTCGCCATTATCTCCAAAAATTCATCAATGAATCAGGAATGAAATCCACTTACTTTTTCGATTTTTTAAGCGCTATTCTTCAAATATGTTTGAGTTTAAAAAAATAAAAAGGGATTTTCTATAATTTATCAGTGTTACACTAAGAATAACTGACGAGATAAATGCGAGCTCGGTGGCGGTACATTGACTAACTCGCAAAAATGTCGCTTTTTTCTAGGCGCGATCCAGCATTTCTCTCGGCGCGACCTCGCATTTTTCACGGCGCCATCTCGCATTTATCTTGCATTTCGGAAATTTTAAAATTGCGAGAGAAATGCGAGCTCGCGCCTAGAAAAATGCGAGCTCGCGCCCAGAAAAATGCGAGACCGGCGCGAGAAAAAAAGCGAGATGTTTGCGAGCTCGTCAATATACCGCCAGTGTCTCGCGTTTATCGGGGCAGTTATTCTTAGTGTTATATATTATAGCCCGCAAACACTTCGCAATTTTTCTGCACGACTTCTGAGTATCGTAACGCCCCAAAAAATCAACCAAATTTGAGCGTTTGCCATTTCTTGCGCTTAAAGCACTGGATTACATTTTCGTCAGAAGGAATTTTTTCTTACACGCGGCGTTGAAATAAAGGTCGGTGGGTCACGGTGTTCCGCGCAATGAAAAAAATGCGAAATTTTGGGTCCCAGCGGCATATTATCCATGGCGCATTATTGCGCCCTTCTCATGGTTTCTGATGCAAAAAAATTGAATTTCTTCACTTTTTTTCCTTGGTTTTTTTACTTTTTTTCTATTTCTTGCATTTATGTGATCCGCCTCTCTATGGGTACATCTTGTGGAGCTTTTAATTGCGCATTTTTTTCTAAACCGGTTTCAGATCTTTAACTATTTTTCTCAAAAAGAGCTGAAGATTTTTTTCTAAAAAGTCCTAATTTTTTTCAAAAATTTTTGAAATCTGTTTCGCGACATGAAAAAGAGTCACTCTATTTCGGAAACTATAGTTTTTTTAATTTAATCAGTTAATAATAAAAAAAGTTATTATCTAGTTCCTTTGACGTAGTTTAAAACCGGTTTCGTGTAAATTAGAGCCAAATTGAATTTGCTGATGCAGTTTAATGATTTTGATATATGCATCATCTAAATTATTTTTTTTTCTAGTTTTTTGATGGTTTTTCGGATTTAAACAAAAATTTCGCCATACGAGGTTTTTTTTTTTCTAAATTTTCTGCTTTCTATCCATTATATGTTTTTTTCTGAAACTAGGTTTTTCGAGGTATATAAAATGTTTTTCATTTGCTCCTCGAATTTTTCCTCATTTCAATATTTTTTTCGTATTTATAAATGCTTATTCAATGGGAGCTGCTTCACCTACATATTATTTTTTTGTTTTTTTACTTTGTAATCAGTAATTTAGAGTTTTCCCCTTTTTGAAATCGTTCCTAAATGTTTTTTTTAACGTAAGTGAATGTTTATTTCACATCATATTCTTCAAACTGACAAATTTCGAACATTTCAGGACTATTATCCTGAAATCGCAAATTCTAAAATTGAAAAAAAAACATTTTGAGTATGCGATATTGCGTCTCGGTGTGCTTACACCCTAAGCATCATAATTTACGAAAAGTCATGACCTTGCGTAATGAAAAAAACACCGTGGGGTGCACGCGCTCAATTTCGGTAAATTGGTATAGTCTGTTCAGAATGTAAATGTCAAGTACAATGACGTCATTCATGAACGCTCTGTGGATGGCTTGCGTTCTAATTGGTTATAGGGTCGGAACTTGAGCGACGAAAATATATACCCCTCGACATATTTATTCGAAACAATCAGATTCTAAAAAATCCTTCAAATTCAAAGAAATAGCCACAGTTATCAATATACATATTCCGATGTTCGCAAATTTCAGCAACAAGTTCTCACTCTCTTGAAAATTAAAAAAAAATTCCTATCTACATGAAAGACATGCGGTTTCGGCGAGATATTTCCGTAGATTTTCAAGCCTGGCAGTATTCAAAAATTCATAAAAAAAAAACGAGAAAAAAAACGAATAAAAAAAAATACAGCTCTATGTGAGGAGAGCGTTTACCGGGGGTGTTGCGCTACAAGAAATGAAAAAAATTATGAAATGAACGAGTCACGTCCATTTGAACATGAGGACACAAAAAGGAATGGATCAGAAGTCCTGCGAGAAGAGAAACTTCGATCTATTGCGGGGTCTGTACATCTCACCGGGGGGCATCCAACGCGTGGCGTGTCCGACGACGGTGAACCTGAATTTTCAAACTTGATTCCGGTTTGAACGATCTTTTAAGTTCGTAATGAGGTTAAGCCTTCACATCACGAAAATTCTACTTTTTCTTGTGGAATAAAACTAGTCTTAGACATCAACTCACCATTATAATGAATCGTCAGAAAAAAAAATGACGAAGAGAGAGAAAAAAAGAGGCTGAATATTTCAGAACAGATCGGAAGGTGTGAATATCGAAAATGCGAGCGAAAACTTCGAATTGAAGGCGAAGTCTGAAATCATCTCGACGTCGATGAAAAGTTTGAGTGGCCGAAGATCCAGGAGCCTCGGCGATTGCGTTATTTGGGCATGTTCTTCTGAATTTATTAGCTTTTGAATTTTTTGAGAAAATGGAAAGAGATCGATATTTTGATTTTAAAAGAAAATGAGAAGGGGAGGGGAAAGTCGCCGGTCATCCGAACGCAAGAGGGTGACCGAGTGCCTCGGGGCGAGGAAAGTGAAATCTTTTCCGAAGATCTTTTCGCTTTTCTTCTGTTTTTCCAACAAGTGAAATCATTTCACGTCTTGCTTGTGAAATCCTCGAAATCATGTCAAAAAAACCTTCAAATGAATGAAATAAAAAAATTCTTTTTTTAATTTCTTAGCCATTAAGGAAAAAGTGTTTTCAAAAAAATATTGTCTCGAAAAACCAAGAAGATAAAGCAAACTGAGACTTCCAGTTAAAACTTTAAGTTTTTTTCGATTTTTGGTTTTCTCACTTCTTGGGAAAGTAGAACTAGATGAATAAATAACAAAAAATCTTATTTTTCAGATTCTGAGTGTTGGAATTGTCGAAGAGTCTTCGCCACTCTCAAAATTTTCCTCGACTACAGGTTGTTCTCGTCGAACCCGTTGAAATGTTTGTTTTGTGTGGGTCTGGGCGAATGAGAAGCCGTTGGAAATGTTGCGAACAACGAGAGGATGAGGCAGTGCGGTTCAAAGTGAGACGCAGAGAAGTGCGTTGCGCAACTGGACGTTGCAAAGGAAAAGGGGGAGGTTTATTGGAAAATTGAGCCGTGGGTGTTCTCACTATGGAAATTATTCTGATCTTTTGGGATTTGTTCAGAATTTTCTCTTGAAAATAATCTACTGACATAAAAACTTATCACTTCTGAGAATGGAATAAAATAAAATAAGTGAACAGGAAAACTCAGAACTGAAAATGACACTTAAAACCTTTCTCTGTGTCAGTTCTCAGCTGCTCTAGAGGAGATCAAGTTGCTTAACTGAATTGACCCACTTTATGGTAATCAACGTTAAGAGAACTCTGATCAACTTCGAAAGTTATCAGATTTTTCATAAGATGGGTTATTAAAGGCAATTTTATCCAGTAAAGTGGGAAAGAATCAGCTGGAGCGTTAGTCTGGAAAACGAAACGAAACGAGGAGATGCATGTGAAAAACGGCGGCCGGCCACTCTTTCGAATTTCAGACTGGACTGACCGTCGTCTGTCGTCTACTCTCGTTCAGCGGACTCTCGAGCCGTCTGTCCGTCTGCGACTCGCCTCTCTCGCGACAGCCGGCTGACCACCAGACGTCGGCCTCCTCGATTACACGCTCTCTCGATGAACAAGGCGCCGCCCACTCACGATTCCGAGCCGCCGACATGCTTTTGCATTGCGCCATGCCAACACTCGACTAAACTTTACGATTGGGATCCAAAATGCCGCGAGCGACTGAGAGGAGTTTGAACGCACTGGACACATGATACAATGAGAACGAGCTGAAGAAAAGTGCAGCTTATGCGATTTGAAAAGATTCGACTCGATAAAAGGTTATTTTGGATATGCCCTTTTCGAACCACCTCAATTTCCTCCGATTTAAAAGTTTTTTTTTAAAGTTTGAACGCAATATACTAAAGCTCAAGGTTCGGCCCAACGTACTTTTCAAGACAACTTTGATTTTTGAAAACCTTCAAAGGCATTTCGTTTTGAAAAAATAAAATTTTTTGAAAGAAAGACTTCCTGAAACCATTTAGTACATTGCTTTGCCAAACTTCTGAAATTTCTGGAGTTATAAATATTTCTGTGAGGGTCGGGATAGCAAACAATGCTGAAACTCAGATTAGTGAAAAGTTCAGAAAAAATTTCTTTTTTTCACCTTTTTTTTTACAAAGCGGAAAACCATCGAGAAAGATTTAGAAGTCGACTTTTTTCCCACATTTCAAGTTTTCAGACGTTTTTTAGGGTAAGAAAATGCACGTACTACTGAAATTTATCAACTGGAAAAATGAAGGTATCAAAAATCGAAAATTTCAGGAATTTTGATGACCATCTCATATGAGTGAAGGGGATTTCAGTCATCGACTCTTCTAAAAATCGTATTAAAAAACTTTCATGGACAAAAGCCTCGTTTTTAAAATTTAAAAATAATTTATTCTGGTATGAGCAACAGTTGCAAAGGCAGATACAATAATTATATGAAGAAGGGGAGAAACGTACACGTGACGTCAGAAGGGACTCGCTGAGAACTGCGAGGTTTCATCCAACAAAAAGGGATTTCGGAAAGAAAAAATACGGAAAAATTACCGGTGGAGGCGAAAAATTTGGGCCCGCAGGAGTCATCAAGAATTGCAGTGGAATTGGTGTAAGGCGGTAAGATCGGACAAGATCGTGAAAGGAAAACTGACCGAAAATTGCACATAATACACATCAAATAAGACTTTGAACTTCTTACAACAGAAATACAAGGAAAATATCATTTACATGGATGAAAAGCCTGACAATGAAAAGTGGCTAAGGAAAAAACGAAGATAAAAGAAAGTAATCGTAGACTGGAACCCTTTCTTTAAACCCGAAGTATGTGGCTTAATATTCGTTCAAGATAGCTAAAAACATCTTTTTTTCAAACAATTTGAGAATTTCAGAGTAAAAAAAGAAAGCAGGGAATTTACGGGTTTTCCTCAAGCGTTACGGTGATTTTTCGTTACCGCTTGAGTGTCCTTATTGTTTTTCTAAACGTGTTTAGAATCTTCAACGTATCATTTTCGAGCCCAAAGACGGAAAAAAACGAAAAATCCTAACTCATTTCAAATGAAGAAATGTCAAAACAACAAAATTTTCAATAAGAGACATAACTAGGTCAGAGAAATATGTGCAATAATAAATTGAATAGAACTCAATATGAGGAAAACGTTGGGTAATAATAACAATGATTTACAAGACTAAAATTAAAGTTGATGGCTACAACCAAGGCTGCCAAATTCGAGGCGTCGTTGGAGGCGTAAGTGACTTCTCCAGGGGTTTCTGAGAGCCTTTACAGGTATTCTGCGGCGACTCCAGAGAGCTGACGGAGGCCTCCGAAGAGATGGGACTGCTCGAAGAGTCGTAGCCAGGCTCCTTCGGGCCCAGGTTCGGTGTCCAAAGCAGCAGGTTGAAGATGTCGAAGCGAGGCGCCAGCAGGAGCTCAGACTCGGGGTTGCGGAGCTCGAGTCCTGGATTCTGGAGCTCTGGCGGCGAGCCGTGGCACTGGTCCAGATAGTTTAGCACACCTTGCAAGACGTCCGCTTTTTCCAACTTCGCGTACATTCTGCTAAAAGATTGATGTGAAACCCGGTATGTCGTTTACAAAGACTGGATTTTTAAATTTTGAATAGAAACTCTGCTCTTCACGAGTTGCCGGAGTCATTCGAGAAGCAAACATGGTTCAGTTTAAAATATGGTCAAACTTGTTTCTATTTTGAACTTTCCTTAAAGTTCAACTTATCGAGAACTGGACCCTCCTCTAACGAGCTATTTGAAGCATTGAAATAGTTTAAAAATCGTAAGTTCTGCAAACTTCGGCACAAAATCAATTAGATCTCGTGATTGAGAACCTTTTGTCTTGCGGACGGTGTTGGACGAGAAATGAGCGCAAAACTTCCACGGCTTTCTTCATCCGGAGCCTCCGATCTCGTTCCAGTTGCTGCTTCTTCGCCTAAAATCTTATATTATTCCGGAGAAGATTTCAATTATCTTCGGAAGCGTATTATGATGGAATGAAGACTATTCAAGAGAAAGCTATACCCTCCGATCGGAATCGTTGAAGTTGGGAGAAGGAGTCGTTCGCGTGCTGTCCGAGAAGTGACTACCGTAACGGATACCTAAAAAACGCGGTCGCGAGTCAAATAATTCTATTTCTAAAGCACAGAGCGCGGAAATGAATCTGACTTCGAAACATTTCTAAGTCTTTCTACCCGAAACTTTGGAGTTTTTTTAGAAAAAAATAGTGAAAAACTTCTTTATTTTTTTCAAGACTCTCAAAAAAACCTGCAAAAACATTTCATTTGAAACTCGAGAGTTTTGACTTTAGAATTAATATTAAATAATGTGATTTATTTTTTTAGTCATTGTAAGAATTTAAACTTGGCCCGAATTTTTGAAATCAGGACTGATAAGAATCAACCGTTTTTTTGAGTTTTTACAAGGGAGCTTTTTCTCGATCTTTCGATGAAATTAGGCCGAAGATTACGTCAGGACCCTGTCATTCCAGAGAGTTTGTATCATCTCAGAAACAAGAAGACCTGAAGCGCGCTTAAACACAGTTTGATCGAAATTTCAGCCGGCCTTCACCTTTTTTTCTAAAAAAGAAAGACAAAAAACTTTGATGTTGGATTTTCATGAAAAAATAAAAAAAACATGTATATTAAAAAACTGACTTTTCCCAGGACCTCCATTCTGGGTTCTGTTGATGATAACTACGACTTTCTCCAAAACGTCGGCCTGCTCCAGTTTTGACCTGAGCAAAGATTGATTATTTGCGATTTTCGCGATGGTCAGAATACCCGTCCTGCGGAAAGTACATGACGACGTAGTTTTTGAGCTTCTCCAGAAGTTTGTTGATTTTGTCACGTCTCTTCTTCTCTTGGAGTTGCTTCTTCTCCATTTCGAATCTGAAAAAAGGATTTTCTGAGGGAAACTGAAAAAAGAATTGAAAAAACGAGCACCTCGAAGGATCTTGAAAAAGAAGAAAAGAAAGAGTCGATTGTTGCTCAAATCTTGGAAAAGTGAAAATTTTTCCCAACAGCTCTTTTATAGCCATATCCAAATGATTGCATACTGAATTCAAAGGAAAATTCTACGATATTGTCAGCTTAACTTATATATTCACTGCTAAAATTATGAAAGATTCATATGTTTTTCTTTAACATTACCCTCACATAAGTCCAAACTCTGGAAATGGTAAGGTTTACTCGATGTTTCAAACTGACTAGGTAGAGGGAAAAAACTTGTGCCAAGACTTTTCGATGGTACTCAGGAGCTGGTACTCCACTCGCTACAAAAGATCGAATGGACGAACGACGGAAGTCTCGACGCCTCAGGCTACAGTAAGCGGTCGCGTGTCGAGGCGGCGCTCCAAAAAAGGAAGGATTGTGCGACAGGACGACGCGAGGCGGAACGATTGCCATCTCAATGATGTGCGTCGTGCAAACGAGTACCCTGCGGCCCTCGGCTGAGTTATGACTTGGCCGGATCGCAACATTCACTGTTGCCATTTTTTCTTTCTTCTTCGCGGCTACGGTAGCTCCTCCGAGGTTCGTTTGTTGGGATGGTCATTCGAGAAAAAAGGGTAATTTTAAGCTGATTAGGAGACTCATACGAATCAGAGAAGATTACAACATAAGCCATCAAGGCGAAGGTACCGGAACTCGTAAAAATTCAGCCGGGAAAAATTTGATAGTATTGGAAATCAAAAACCCCTAGTCGATTATTGCTCAAAACTTTGTTTCAAAGAATTGAGACTTTGTAATTCAAGTTGCAGAAAGTTTTTTTTTCAACGAATTCTGCCTGCGCCAGTAGCGATTATGAGAGACCTTTTGCTATTTACAGCTTCCAATTTATAAACTTCGAAGAATAGTTACAAATTCTCGCCGGAATAACTTCTTTAATTAAAAAGTAACATAGTCTACAGTTTGCAAAGATATTTCTGCCCAAAGGAAAGCCCCAATCAAAAGTACATTACACAGAAACTCGTGAAGACCCAGGTGGGTAAAATGAGAATCTGAGCTCATTTCCTATCCTAATTCTCAGAAAGCCGAGATCTCCTGTCTCATCTCAAAAGAAGTCGCATCACTATCGTTAACTGCGGTTCCCATGGCAATCGCCTTGTTGCGTGCGTTGATTGTGCCGCAAAAGTGATAAGGGCCAGCCGGCGAGAACGTGTGAAGTTGGTCCAAGTGGCCAGGTTTGCACGACCGCCGCTTGGGCCGCTACTTGGACCGAATCCACTCGAAATCCATTAATGGATTACGGTTTGTAGCGGCTCTATCAGGCGCGTGCGGCTTTGCACCGTCCAGGTCATGGGAACCTTGGATTGTTTGCTTTCCCCACGCCTACAAATCTCTTATCACCAGTCCGTGTAGGACGACCTCGTCCGTTAGGCTAATTATTTTGAAAAGCAGATTGAATTAGAGTGGCTTCTGTGAATGTGGGTTAGTCTAACTAGGGAACTACTCGGACTCGGGTACGCGGATCGAGTTCAAACTTTAGTGGTTTATAGAACTAAGTGAGAATACTTGAAAACAAGTGAGAATATCTGCTAAACCCAATAGAGAACTGAGAAAAAATTAGTAGAAAATGTGAAAATTAGGCCTGAGAATTTTCAGAATACTGCTTTTTGCCTTATTTTATATTTTAATACAATCGCCTTGAATGATCCGGCTATGATAAACTCTGAAGAGCTTTTTTTCCAGCCAAAAGGAGGAGGAAAGCAAAAATTTGATAATTTTCAAGCCTAAACTGTTCATTTTCAAAAAGCTTTTTCTCAGAAGCCTATGGGGTTTAGCAGATAATCTCTCTTGTTTCCAAGTACTCTTACCCGGGTCTATAAACCACCAAAGTTTCAACTCGAAACGCGTACCCGAGTCCGAGTAGTTCCCTAATAAGTAAGCCCAGTTCGCGAAAAAAAAAGACAGAAAGTCAGAACTTCTTGTTAACAAAAAGCCGCGATAAAAGTATCAAACCCGAAATCGTTTTTGTAATATTTATAGGAAAAACTGTAAAAAGTTCAGTTATTATCAAGAGCCTCTGCATGTGAGAGTGACTGTTTTCAAAAGGCTGGCGTCTATTTCATTAAGAAGCTAACCGTTCCTAGAACTACATACTTGAAATTTGGTGCCGAGAAGTCTGATACTACTTGTATTTAAACTAACTTACTATATTTTTAAGCAAAGCGAGTGATGAGATTTTAGAAAAGCCATGAGAATTTTCGACAAACTTTTGAACTAGGAGGCCTTGAAAATGTTAAAAGATAAAAGGTGACTTTCAGGACAAGAAAAAATGGAGCAACGAAACTGCAGATGCAGTGTGAAAATAAACTCAAGGCAAAAAACGAAGAGAAGGGGAAAAACAAGAGATATTGTTCGGTGAAAATGAAAGGCGATGAACAGAAAGAGACTTCTGAGTGGCTCAAACGGTACAAGTGAAACGGTGTAACGAGACAACGGAGGCGGGACCTGGCGGTCCTTTTCGCGCGCGGGTGCCATCTAATTGCCATGGGAGTCTAGGAGACCCACCCAGGCTGGCGACACCTCGACCACGCCTACTTTTCCAGAACTGTTGGGAATCAAGGAGATCATGAACAGAAGCAGTGAGAATTGATATGTTCGGATGGGTGCACGTCTGAAAATGACTTTTCGGGGGCAGAAACTTAAATTCATTTCTTCTGCTGATCAAAAACAAAAAATATATCCACAGAAGAGGATAGTGAGACAAAAAATTTTTGATTGAAAAGACGCGTTGGTGAAAAAAGGATGAAAAATGTGAAGTTGAGCGATAAAATATTTAGATAAAGTTTTTCTTTTCAAAAAACAAGTAGAGGAAAATAGATGTTTTGTTACTATAGGAGCAAGGAACAACACATATACCATATCAATCCGAAATTAGTTCCTCCAGAGATTCAACAAGCTTTGATAGCGGAAAGAGAAACTTTCACGAAACTATTTCTTATCATTTATCAAAAAAAAAATCGCCGTTAGTCAAAAAAAAGAAAAGAAAGCCAAACAACGACGCGTGCGGAACGAGAAAATTGAAAAAAAAGCGTGTCGATAGATCATAAGAAGTGGTCCTGGTCAAAATTTTAAGTTTGTTTGATTTTTCGATCAAAAACAGCAGAAAATACCTAGATATTCAGAATGACTGCCTTTGTGAGTAAGCCAATGACATCTCAACTACCGCCAAAGGAAAAGTTGACGTGTAGCATGACGAAAATCTGAGTAGCCGTTTTTTAGTTCAAAAAATTGAGAAGACGGCTTATTCAGCGACGTTCGACCTTCTATGACTTTTTTTCCCTTCATTCGCTACAGATAGAAATATGACATAGGCCATAGTATCGCGGTCGCGATGGGGTTGAAAGCCGGTATAATAGAAATTCAATCCACTAATCTTTTCCGATGGTCCACGCGCAAGTAGTTTCAGGTCGGAAAAACGTGGTCAAGTGAACTTTGAAAATTTTTCCGACCAAAAGGAATTTTCTTTTCTCAGTGTTTACACTGTTAGATGAAGTACTTTGGTTTAAGTTGAAGGTTAGTTCTTTAAAAACTTTAGTTCAAGTATTGAACGTGTCTAAAAAATAGCAGCGCACTCCCGGACGCGCAGCTCGTTAGTTAAAGGTTAACTACCCGATAAGTTGGGAGTCGTGTGGTCCAAGAAGAAAAGGAAACAGAAGGTTAGGTGCGAGTTTGGGATGTCCGGTGAGGCGAAACTCGGGCCAATTCCTTTGGTGTCAACTATGAGAGCCGCCCGGACCTTCATAACAGATGGTCCAAAGATTAACAAAAACAAAGAAAGGATCTTTAACTTTTCTTTTATCAAGGAGAAGAAGCTCAGAAATTTACGATAACTTCTCTCGAAAATCAAAGCTGTTTGAGCTTTCGTGTGTGAGACGATCCTGTTCTCCCCATCTAGAGCTTCTAGAAGTCAAAAAAAAGAAAGCCGTGAAATGATAACAACGCTTCCAAAAAAGAGAGTTTGAGGAGCAAAAAGACATGGGCGGAAGGAGAATGAGGATGATCGGGGTCGATTATGCTTCTGGTGACAGCCGAGAGCAACAACATGTTTTGTGTCGGCGGATGGACGGCGGCGAGATCAAAGACTTGCGCGAGCCGCCAGCCGATGTCTCCGCAAGCACTTTCTCGAACCGCCCAATTGAAACACATACTCACTGGCGAGTTGACGAATGGCTCTGGGAATCCGACACGACCGTTCTCGTCTGTGAGACCCTGCAGTGGACACTTTGCACAAAACTATCACAAAAATATTCCAGGAAGCGCTGACAAAGAAGTCGAAAAGGAGAACTTTGACGACTCATAGACCTTGACTGGATGATTACTTTTTAGAGATTTTGACTTAAAATAACGGTTAGCTAAGTGACTTCTCACTGTCCAAAATTTCCAAAAAAGTCCTAGAAAATGATAAAGCTCTATTTTCAAAAAAAAATTTTTGACACACTCCTTTTTTGTCGTCCCAACTAGCATTTAGAATGTGTATGAAAATGATATCAGCCTCCAAACGTAAAAATTGACATCTTCCAGTTGTAATAATTTGGATGTGAAGATCTAAAAAAAATTTCTTTCTAATTTGTCGGCGACTTGAAAAACTGTTTCCGGAGGACCACAGAGGGAGAAAAACGAGCAGAGTCACCTGTCGGAGCCGCTTCAACAGGCACGCCACGACACGTTCCACCGCCTTTATGAGTCGCTCTGAACACTGAAATCCAGTGTTTTACGACGTTTTGAACAATATTTCCCAAGGCAGTTCTGTTTTGATGGTAGAGACGAAAAAGACGAGGGTTTTGAAGTTCTAGGGCTAAAAAATGCGACCGTCCATAGAATATAGTAGGTAGAAGTAGAATTGCAAATCATGAGAATAAAGTAAATGAAATCGGAGAGTTTGATCAAAAATAAATTTCCTCGACGAAGAAAAGAAGATTATCAATAAGGAATATGAAGAACTGAACAAAAATCTTGACTCCTTTTTTGAAAAGATTTTTTTCATTTTGATAGTTTGGCTTTAAACCTTTATGCAGTTTTTTTGAATTTCACTTACGTAATCAGGAAAAAAACGATAAAAAAAGCTGTGAACAAAAAAGCACAGAAAAAGTGAAAAGGGAGCGAAGACAAACCTTTTGAGTCGTGGCAAATGGCTCAATATGAACCTTTTTCCTATTAAGTTCCTTTTTAATAAATCACTATTTCTGTGATTGTCAATAGAACAAAGCTTTTTAAAACTGATGTGCTGAAAAAGAAGCCATTCGGACATGCCAGGAAAAGTGAGCAGCTTGGACGACATGAAGTTTAAAAAAAAACCGAAAAAAAAAAATTCGGAATTTGCTTTTTTCTAGAAAACTTAAAGTACATAATAAGAGAAAAGATAAAGAAGCGACTTTACAGAAGAATTTTAAAAGTGACTGGTATAAACGAGACGGACACCTCGTTGACCTTTTCTCGCCTGGGCTGGACGTTTACAGTCTGCGGAGCCTCTTGAAAACAACCTACAGGGTTTCTCACCTGTCAGAAATGCCAATAAATAATCAGTTATGTCAACTGCCAGTCTGGCTCCAGCTCTACATTCTTATCTGTCATTGAGGTGCCGTTTTTCGAATTTACTTTTTTCTGTCAATGGCAGGGGAGTGAGACGTATTTTAACCGTAGTTCATTGTGAACCTTTTCAATAAAGTTTCTTTTATTTTCTTTTTGAATTTCGCTGGATTAACCTTAATGAGATACAGTATGGCTGTAGAGCAGAAATTTCGAAGACCTCAATTTTTGGCACCTCAGACTCTCACGCTGGCAGCTCCTGACGTCGGTTCCCAAGAACACTTCTCACACCAAACGGTTACAAAAAGAAACCGGCACTGGGAAAAGACTTCACATGGTTTTTTAATAATGAGAAACGGAAGTGCTTAGAAAATTATTGACTTTTTAAAAAAAAACTCTTGTAAAGTAGAAAGCTATAAGTTATCAAGCAAGTAAAAAAAAAACTTTTCAACACATTTCCTAATTAATTCCACTTCATTTATTTGCGTAGAACCAAATCGGTCAAAATTTTTAGATTTTTTTTCTTCTGTTTTTCGAGGTCTCCAATATTGCAAATCGGTCTTTACACGCTTCCCAGACGCGCCACGTGTAATGTGGGTCGAAATATGTTTCTTCTATTGGTTTTTTTTTTCCGTCGACGATGGGAACGGACCTGCGGCGACAGGGTTTGGGCTTCGATAGCCTCTCAAAATATTGAACTATTTGTATGGACATTTGAAAAAAAATTAGCTTTCTGAAAAAGTTGCAAAAAAGTCTCATTGCAAAAAAAAAGTTAACGACTTTAGAAGGTATAACCTTTCTGCGCTCTCACTTTTTCACCGGCGTGATATTCATATAAGAACACGGAGATCAAAATTCCAAACTTGTTCTCCGCCCTTTTTTTTTAGCCCGACAATGTAGTATTGGTTAAAAAGAAAAGTACAGATGAATAAGAAAAGGTTATGTTTCCGATTTTTCTGACTACTTTTTTGGACTTTCAGTTTTTTCCTTTGAAAAACCGAAGAGTGATTAAAACAATGCTGTCTTTCTCTGATTACTTTTCAATTTCCGAGAAATATTTTCTTCGCAAATTTCAAACTTTTGCGTTATATTCAAGCGTAAAATAAGAAAAATAGAAAATGATACCAATGCAGATCACATAAAAAATGAGACGCTATTAAGCCCAAAAAACCTCTTTTGTGGCTCTTTTTTTGAGTCGTGCCGCAATGCGCATTAAGCGATTTTTTTTTTGCCACGGCAACACGTGCGCTGAACCCCAAAGGAGCCGCCTTTAGTTTTTTCTCCAACAACTGAACTTTTTTGAGGGCCACTGACCTAGTTAGCCGCCGCCGACTCAAAATGAGCCACAGCTTCCTTGTTTTCGGGGAAATGAGGCATGGCTGGGAAGCTATCTCAACCAGAAGAATCTTGAAAACTGCCAAGTCTTCGCTAATTAGTCTTTTATCTTGAAAACCAACTGAGCAGGTTTTCAAGATTAAAGAAGTGAACTTACTTTCAAGGCTCGTAAGGAAAAACTTTTTTTAATTCAAACTTTTATTCATTCGATAGTTGAGCTTTCCTTGTTTTCAAAAAGAGAAAAAAAGGGATTTTTTAACTTCATTATATATTAAGAGGCGTTATTTTTTTATGTGTCACGTAAATCAGTCGGACGGAGAGTTTTATTTATGAGGTGGACACAGCAAAACACTCTAATTTCGGTCACCGACCTTTAGGAAGAACCAGTTTGTTTAAAAAGTTCTCTAAATAAGTGAAGTAAATTTACAATTCTGTCCAATGCTGACACCCGAACTAAAGAAAACTGATCTCTCATGAAGATAAAATGAGACTTATGAAATAGATTTTTAAAAACTTCAAAAAGAACTACTCTATCAACTATTCTGTTTGAGATTTTCATGAACAATATCGTAAAATGATTCGATTCTCATTTAATCACAATATTCAGCGAACTGTATCGTTTCTGCATCTCCTATTCATAACATTATTCCGCTTCTTGATCTTTTGTTTTGCAAAAAAATTTACGTCCACTGAAAATCCCAAAAATTTTTGAGTTCCCCAAAGAAGTAGCGAAAAAATTCTGAAACTTTCAGAGATCTGATACAACAGGCTCCTATTTCCAGTTCAAGGGTTAGAGGTTCAAGCAATCGAGTGCGGAAAAAATCAAAGAAAAAGAACAAACGAGGAGTTATTGGCGTGCGGTCACGTCACAGATAGAAGACAGCCGAAGTTCTTTCCGGCGGCGGCAGATCGGCGCTCGCAGATAACCGACAAATCAGAGGGTTGCGATGGCCTCGCGCATTTCCACGCGGATACGGTCCATCCGTCAGCAGGGGACCGTTTCCGTTCGGCTCTTAACAAGAAAAAAAAACGTTCCTGAATATCAGTTAATCATCCAGAAAAAAAGTATAAGAGTAGGCGCTGATCTTTGGTGAATCATTGCTGACAAGATTTACAAATTTTTATCAACTTAGATCAGTTACTGTACATATTGATAATAAGAAAATCAATAATGTGTGTAAATTGAAATAAATCGTGAGCGTTGAGAAAAAAAAAAGAAAATTGGTCAGGAAATACAAAAACAATCCAGTTGAACGTTTTACATATATTGAAAAGGGAACTGACTATATCGCAGCGGGCAGTAGGCGATATAGCAAAAACTGCTTACTCCTACTTTGTCAAAATCTCGCTGCCATATCGCTTTCTCTTATAAATTTAAATTCTCAAAAAAAATGTATTTGCTTTGTTTTTTTCACTTCTATGATGAAATGTACAAATTTGAGAAAACGCTTTTTAATTTAACTCAAAAAAAGTTCTCCCGCGAAGTAGCCTTGCTCTCGCTGCGACAGATTACAACATTATTATATAATATTGCCAATATTGGCTAACTGGGTTAGAAAATATCTTTCCTAGAAAAAGTCGTCAGATATGAGGTTTTGTGCATGTATCCCCGACGAAAACTCCCACGTTGACGGGATATTCTCAGGAGGAGAACGGCATGCCAGCGCATGCATCAGTTTAGAGAGCACGGTAGATTGGAGAGACCAGACTCGTGTGATGGTCTGCCGTTTTCTGTTAAATTGGGAATGCCAGCGCGCAGGTCTTCAGACAGTTTGCAGAGCGAGGAGAGTACGAGTGTCTGGTCTCAAGTTTTGTTTTTTGAGGACTCGGGGGAAGAGCGGCCAGCGCGCGGGAACGGTATAGTCAATTCAACCCGACTTGAAAGACTAGGAAGGCAGAGAAAAGGGAGGGACGCGTAGCGTGCGCGTTCGCGGTTCTTTGCACGTTTCTTTGCAAGTTCAATTCAACCGCCAGCGACTATTTGGAGAGCTCTTTTTTTTATTCATCCAGAAGTTTATACTGTTTTTTTAATGAAAATTTCCAGAAATTTCTAGCTCTCACTTTTCTGAAATTGAAAGAAAAAGCGATCTTTTTCAGGCGCGCTTGAATTCATCCCAAGCGTATATTCCTCGTGCAGTCAAGAAGATGTTTGCTTGACAAAAATTTTACTATTATAGTCAATGTTTCCCGACTTGAAAGGCAAGGGAGCGGGACGCGTAGCGTGTGCGTTCGCGGTTCTTGGCACGTGTTCAATTTAACCGCTATCTACTCTTTGAAAAGCCCGTTTTTCGCTTTTTTTTTCTATCCTTTTTCAATGATTTATTGATTATGTTCATGTGTGCGTCAAAAAATAGCAGAAAAACATTGAAAAAGAGCGGTTGCCGAGCTTTTTAAATAGTCGGCGACAATTGAATTGAACACGTGCCAAGAACCGCGTACGCACACGCTACGTGTCCCGCCCCTTGCCCCGCCTCCTTCGCCTTTCAAGTCGGGAAACATTGACTATAACGAAGAATTTGAAAACTTCCCAGGGATTCCAATTTTTTCAATTTTTTCAACAAAAACCGCCCGTTATCGTCGGCGGAATCTTGGAACGTTTCACCTTGGAGTGTGCCGCACGTGTTCGTAGCGTTGAAAAGCGGTTTCGGTCTTTGGGCGGTGATACGGATCTGTGGCAACAAAACGCAAAAGAAGGAGGAGTGGACACGAGTCGTTGAGCAGCAGCGCGACGTCGTAAAGATTCTGCGCACCTCAAGAAGGACGTCGATCCGGCGCCAAGATTGTTTCGACCGTTTCTAGGGATACTATTCTCATTAAGGAATCCCGAAGACTAATGTATCTGCTTCACTGAGCAACAACAAAGAAAACTAAGAAAAAAATGTCTTTGAAACTTCAAAAATTTTTTTCATCATTTTAATATCAACTTATTATCGATGAATTCGATAGAATTTTCAAATTGAAGACGACTTTTAAGGTTTCCTGAGCACTCCTTGCTTGGAGTTCTCCGAGTTTTCCAGAGATGATTACTGGAACGTCTTGAAAGCTTTTCTTTGCTGACTATCCAGTTCCAATAGTGACTGGAACAGCCAATTTTTTTTTTGTTTTATAGCTTTGTAGTTTTTGCTATCATATTCTTACAATCGGAAAACTTCTCACTGACCAGCGAACTACTCGCATTCGAATGTTTTCGTATTCGAAAATTGAAAATTTTCAGCATACTGCTTTTCTGCAATTTTTTTGCTGTTATTTTCAAGCCTAATCTTTTCGTTTCCAACAAGTTTTTTCTCTGCACCTTATCGGGTTTAGCAGATAACCTCTCTTGGTTTCAATTATCCTGACCTCGTTCTATAGGCCACCAAAGTTTGAACTCGATCCGCGAATACGAGTTCGCGTAGTTCCCTAGTGAGTTTTAGAAAAGATGTAGACAGTCGTCAGTGAGGCTTTTAGCATTTTAAATAGACCAAATGTTTAATTTTTCCGGAAAAAAACCATGAAGTCTCATTTCCAATTTCAAAGCAGTGGCTATTATGATGGCGGCGAGTCTTTCTGCTCGACGATTGAAACAAGCGAAAGACGAGACTCGGCGCATAAATAACCGCCGGGGCTACAGTAGCGCCTTTTCGCGACAAATTGGCGCTGTTTGATGTTGCCGCGCCGCGCCGAACCGAAGACCTTGCTTGGATGTTGTAAACGTCCTAATGACCCAAGGGTGATATGGGTACAAAAGAACACTTTGAACCGGAGAAATAACTTCGAAAATCTTCATGTACTAGATCTCATTCGAAAAAAAAAGCTGAAGCACTCCTTCGAGAGCGAAAATTGAAGTGGACGAAAAGCATAACTGTACTTTGTCTTTCTCTTCGGTTTTTACTGAGAAAATCCCAGATTCGAAAATACATATTACAAACGTGATTGAAAAAAATTTTTTTTTAGCAAAATAAAGATTCGAAAAAAATCCTAAGAAGCAACAAAAAGAAAACAATTCAAAAAAATAATATAATATGAACTCACATACAAAAAAACTCAATGTTTCGTTCAATCAGGCCATGAATGAAGTTGAACTGAGATTAAAGAGTTCTCCGAAAAAAGGAGTGTTGGAAAAAAGGTCCTACTCGGAGACTCCAACGCGAGATTTTTGAGCGAGAAACAAGAAAAGAAAAAAGTAGTTTTTTTTTAAAAGAACCGGTCATGGAAGGATCAACTATTTACAAAATAATAATGTAAAATAAAGCTCCAAGAAATGTATTGAATTTGGAATTTAAATTAAAGAATGTAGTAGGTAGAAAAGTTGAAAAGTTAGCAAATGACCCGCTGGATACACGAATCGCGAAGGCACTGTAACGCCGCGTCAGAGAATTTCGGCCTTCCTGAAAATTACGTTTGAACTTTAAAAAAAGTGGAAGCAAAACCTGAGTAGTCGGCGTAAGAGATCCACTCGAGGTCGGGACAGAACTGTGCCAGAATGTAGATCGACTTGTCGGTGCAGGAAGTCCCCCGAATCCGAACTTCTTGCAGAGGACACCGTCTGGAATTCGTCAATAGAGGGCAGAAGTCGCTTTTCCAAGTACCTTGCCAGAACGGCCAGGCCTTTGTCGCTAATGTAGCGGCAGCCGTTGAGATTGATGCTCTTCAAAGAGCGGCAATTGCCTCCAAGAAGACACAGGAAGCGGTCGTCCACTGAGTACATGTGAGAAGTCTCGAGGTCCTAGAGGATGACTTCAGTAGAGCTGCTTTGAGAAGACAAACCGATAAGTTGCGAGCGCCTCGGGCTATCGCGAAAAGCACTCGGTAAGTCATCCTCATTCGGCAAATCTTCAAGGAGCGAAGGTTGCTGGCGCTCGACTTTGTTCCTCCTGCAAATGCAGAAAATAAAAAGCGAAATCATTCAAGTTTTGTTTGTAAAACTGCCGCTACCCACAGTGGTAGACTAACCTGCAAAGTACTTTTGCAAGATGTTGGTGTTGAGGTGGTTGACTTCCAACGCAAGATGTGTCATGTTGGGAAGGCCTTCCGTCACGAAAGTCAACGCCTCGTCAAAAAGCCGCGGCACGGATATCTCGAATGGAAATGAATGAAAGACGATCATCGCTCGAATACCTGCAGCTTGGTGATCTTCGTCCCCAACAGCGGAACTATGGCACAAATGAGGGCGTTGGCGTTGTCGACGGCAGTCTGAAACTCGTTGAATAGCTTCGGACGGAAGAAGCAAATGAACAATGTTAGCCTCGCGGACGGTGACGAGCAGGTTGATGCTGCTGAGGCATGGCTGGTCGAGCAGACTCGCCACGAGTTGCTGGGCGTCCTCGTCGCCGGAAACGGAGAGCCGGATCGAGTGGACCGTCTGCGGAAGTTGCGGCAGGTGCGAGAAGTAGTTACCTCAACTTTGATCTATCGCACAAGTTTCAGAATCAAAGAAAGAACAGCCATGACGTTCAGTTTTTTCCTCTCCATCTAACAGCAATAATTTCTACCAGGACTTAGAGGCAAGACACAAACTCGTGCTTCACTGTTTCAATGCCGAGATTGTTGGCTTGTTGATGGAAGGGCAGAAAAAAGGAGAACCTCAAGGCCATGCTTTTGAATTTATGACAGAAATTAAGTTTCAAGCTGAGAAATATTTTAGGAAACATTAAGAACCAACAAAAACAACATATTCTGAGTTTACGAAATAGATGCAAACTCTGATTTAGAAAAAGTTTTATTTCTTTTGGCTTGAAATTTTTTAGCCCCCGGTTGAACTTTTGATTAAACATGGCTGAAGTGTACCTTGTACCTATAGAACCTCCCAATTAAAAAAAAAAAGTAAAAGTTCATCCGGGGGATAAAAAAAAACTTTGTTCTTTGGAGTCTTTCAAGAAGTTATAAGTTTAAATTTTTAAACCTACCATATAGGTCGACTTCTCGAAGATTTATCCCATCAATGATATACTGTGGCGTTTCAGTTGGTCCGTCTTCAAGGTTCTGAAAACGGGTAACGCTGATTCAACGGTTTTTTTTTCACATATTTTCATCTCGTTTAGAACTCTTCTTCAGGTATTTATAGGAAATCCAAAAGAGAACAGAGATTCTTTGAGGACTGAATAGACAACAAAGCACGACAGGTGTACCTACGTCACGTTGCAAAAGACAACTGCTCGTTTTTCGAACTTATTCAAATGGGGCCCTTTTCACTCACATCGTGGAAAAATCGGGCTAGCGATAACTGGGACAAGTTCGGACACTGAGAAGAAAGATGTTGAAGAGCGGCAGCGGGATCGCTTAACGAAGTGGGGAAGTCGACTTCCAGAATCTGAGAAAGAGCGATTTGGGATTTCCAAACGATGAACTTACATGAAGACGGCTTCCAACGAAGTGAGCGATGTCATAAAGAGCCTGGTCGTCGAGAGAACGGCAGTGGTTGAGGTACAGACAACGGATGGATGGATTTCGGGACACAAGTCTTCGGATGCCGTGGCTGGTGATCTGGAAGAGGCTTTTGAAACGGACACTTTTAGGTGGCAGGACCCTTCCACAGCCGCTGAGGTCGACCGACACCAGGCACGGACTGAAGACCTCGTCCAGCGCCGCGTCACTCAGCTGGTTCATTGCTCGCAACTCCAGCTGAGAAAGTTCTCTCTGTCCTGACGTCATAGCTCGTGCTCCCTGGATAAACTTCTTCCCTTTGCTTTCTTTAATGATCAAGGTGAAAAGTGACCAAAAACACTAAGCGGTTCTTTCAATTGTAAGATTAATGACTTATCTGGAAATTCCTATTTGAAAAATATAGAAAAAGTTCCAAAAAGATTTATTGGATACTTTCCGAAAAAAAACCGAACCTTGTCGCTGACGTTAGGGCAGTCGACGAGGGTTATCTTCTCGACGCGCTTGTTTTTGGCCGTCAGGGCGCACAAAATCTCGTCGGTGAGCTCCGTCGACAGGTAAAACGTCAGCAGAGGGATGTTGCAGCCGAAAGTCGGAGAGGAGACCAACGAAGAGCAGTCGGAGGCCGACAGCTGCAACGGAAGAAGGTCAGAGGAGAAGACGTCGCCGACCTGGTCGTGGCTCGAGAAGAACTCCAAAAGCCGTTGCTTGCACTCCACCGGCATCATCACGAGGTCGTCGTTCAACTCGTGTTGGCAAATCGCCGCGAGGCAAAGGTTCACCAGCGACTTCACCATTCTTGCGGCCTACCGATGCATCGATCAGGTAGTTCTACTGTCTTTCTAGAAAAACTGAAGAATGTTGACCAGCAAAACTGAAAAAAAACGATCGAAAACTGCAAAATTAATGAATGAAAGAAAATTAGAGAAGATACACGTGACACAACCAGCAGGCTTTCGGGTTTGTTCTCGTGATTACTGCAAAATATTTTCGGATCCCTAAGATAAAGAAAACGGATCTTCGTGTACTATAGTCTATAGAAGAGAATAGAACTCTTTGTTTTGAAAAATATATAAAAAGCGCATTTTTATGAGGAATAATATGATTGTAACCACAGGAAAAGGACTTCCAAATCTGCAAAAATTATGAAGCGAGAAAAGCAGCTTTCCTAGAAGATGAAATCTATTTCTTCAATATATGAGTGAAATTTTTGGCTTCTCGGTAAGCAAAAGTCATCAACAAAAAAAAAGTTATTTGTTGAAAGTTTGAGCAACTCGATCAGCTTGATATCCTGGTTCATGGTCTCGTAAATGAAGGAGAGTCGTCTTTTGGATTCAAACACAAAAAATGAAGATTTCAAAAACGTAAAAAGACGAATGAGGAGAGAAAACAATTGAAGCGGAGAAGCCATTGAATGAAGTCGACTGACGCAAACACTTGATCCGCATTCACCCTCATTGTATGCGTTTTTCCTCACAGCAAACAAATTGTTTTCTTTTCCGTTCTTCTTTTTGAGCAAAACTTGAGGTGAATTAAAAGTGGTGAAGGTTATGAACGAGGAGGTTGATTTCGCCCTGTACAGAGAATATAAAACAAGAAAGAAAACCTTCTTGACTGCCCTGGAGTGAAAACTGAGAGAGAAAAGAAAGAAAAGAAGTTGAAAGGCGGAACTGATCTGCCGGTCGAGCATTACAACAGCTTGGATGACTCTTTTCTTCTCTGGACAGCGGCGCGAAATATTGCGAGCGGCGCTGAGCCGCCAGGCGACCGAGCAAAGATTCCCTCGGAACTCGGCATCCTTCGGTTCACAGCCTTGTTTGGGTACTCAGTCTCCCAAAAACATTGCTGCTTTCATGAGGAAAAATAAACTTGAAACTATAGCTATCCTCTATATTCACTTGCTTTTGAAGTCTTCGTAGTCATAAAACTTTTTATAGGAAGCTCTCATGATGCCTTGCATTGACAGAAAGGAATACGTCAAATAGTTATGCAAAAGGACATCACTAATCACAATAGAAGTAGGGAGAAAGGCCATTGTGACTTCACATGGACCAGAGACTGTAAACTTAGAATTCCAAACAGAAAAGAAAAAATCTATCTATGATGAAACCAAAAAGAAAAACCAAGAAAAAAGGAATGAAACAATAAAATCAACAAATTTCTTGACTTAGTTTGTTTTATTGCGGAGGAGGCTGTGGAGGAGGGTTTTGACCATCTAAAATACTTCGAAATTTCCAATAACTGAACCGAAAAATCACCAGGTCCAGCGTTGGGATCGCTGCCAAACTGTCTCCTCAGCTGTTCGATCATTTCGGGGTTCGTTTGAGCCATATGCTGCGCCATCTAAAAAAGTTGTTTCGAAAATAATTTTCTTTCAAGCATATCGGATATTTTGAAACACAATTACCAATTTTTTTTAAAAATATTTTTCAAAGTTCAAAGAGACAAAAGTGGGACCAGAATAACAATTGAAAAATATCCCGCAACATAACCAGCTTTTTCTATAATTTTTCAAAATTACAATGAGATACTTTAGAGAGACCAAGAAAACGAATGAACAGATTGAACGATGGAAGGAGGACGTTTTGTAGTTGATAAAACGCAAGATCAGAACTAATTAACAACTGAATTCAACTAACTCTTTGTCCAGCGGCGAGCAAGTCGGACATACCACCAGCTCCTCCTGTCATGATGCTGTTCATCTGAAAAAAAAAACATTCGCAACTTCTAAAAAAAGAAAAAAGAAACCATATCGTTGATTCCGGGGTCGCTGAGCATCTGTTGCGCGACATTCATCATATTAGGATCGGAGAACAGTTGTCCGATATTGGGAAAACCGGCAGGAGCACCTCCTGTAGCGCCTCCGAAAAGATTTGCCAGTGGGTTAGCCTGGAAAATAGTTGGAAAATAAGTTTTTCTCGCTGAGCTTCACCTGGCCAGCTGTAGAGCCACGAGCCGTTTCAATTTCTTTAACCTTGTCTTCAGCGATTTTCAGGTTGTTCTTGTAACTTTCCTGATTGGGCTCAAGCTCCAATGCCTTTTTGTAAGCCTCCACAGCTTGTTCATATCGGTTTTGACACGAGAAAGCCAATCTAAACAAATCTACAAATGAAATTTGTTTTACGAAGAGACGAACAAAAATAAGGGAAGTGAAAAGAGCTGCGTCTTTTCAAAAAACCAATGATCTTCTTTTTTAAATTATTATTTTCCTTACAGATGAATGAATCACCCCAAACACAATCCATGAAAGAGTTAACAAATAATAAGAGACTTGATCGAATTGATTGTGCCGATAAAAAAAAAATCTAGAGCGAGCAAAATGGCGCAAGCTTTGGTGCACACTGAAAAATATTGAGTGTTCGTTTTTGAAGATACCTAGGAGGCGCGCGTATCAACAAAAAAAAGAGTTGAAACAACAGAGAAAATAAAAATTTGAGAAAGAAAACCTACCCCATGCGCCCCCAAGCTTTGCTGTAGGAAGAATCAAGAGCCAAGGCCGTGCGGCAGTCTTGAATGGCCAAATCATAATGCTCCAGGCGACAGTAAGCCGCAGCGCTGAAACTTTCGTTACTTTCAAATCGAAAAGGAAAGACAATCTCTACCGATTGCAAAAATAGACAGGATCCCTGTTTAGCTTGATTGCCTCGCTGTACTTGTTCACAGCCGCATCAAATTGAGAGTTTTTCATCAAATCGTTACCCTGCAAGCGATACATACTTTTTGTGGTATGATTTATTAACCTCTTCTTTCAGCTTGTTCGCTTGCGAGATTTCAACTTCAGTAGGAGGCGGAAGCTCGGTTTCTCCCTTAGATTGATTGATTATTCAAGAAAGAAATAACAAAAAAAACCGAAGGAAGCCCTTCTGCAGATTTGAAAACTTCTAGAAGAGGGCGAGACGGTTGGAAAGCATAGTTGGCGTCAGAAAGACCGAACGAGTGCTCGAGACATTGAATAGCAACTGAATTTCGAATGAGATGGAAAAAATGAGTAAAAATACTCAATTTAAATTCGAAAAATTGGTAGTTTTTAATATGATTTGAAAAAAAAAATACGAGAAACCTTCTAAAGTTTCAATTTGATCCGGAGTGCACTCGTTCTGCGCAACTTTTTGCCGGATGAACTGAAGGAATGAGACTACTAAATTCTTTTCATCGCTTGACGCAACAGGCGTGGGTGCGGTTTCGCTAGCCATAACCTCTGAAAAAGTTAAGATAAAAAGTACCTACGAAAACATGAGAAAAACAATTGCAAATAAGAATAAAGATCATTACTTATGTCTTTTTAAAAATTTCATTGTTTTGTTGAAAAACAGGAAAATATTTTTTCAGAAGTAGAAGTTGAACGATGTGCAACTAAAAACACGCGCCAAGAAGTGAACGTGTCGCTAGATTTAGATTAAAATGGAAAGCGTGAACGCGAATTTTACTGCATATTAAAAAAATTTCAAAAAAATTTAAAAGTGATTAATATTGCACAAAAACACACTTTGAAGTTATTTCGCAAATTTAATCACCTTCAATTGCATTTTTAAAAACGAAAAAACGTCTAAAACTGTGTTAACTGGAACTTATAATCAAAACTCTCGAAAATGTCATTAATGACGAAACTCATCGAGAAAAAGGAAATATATTGAAGGCGCGTGCAGGCTTTCCAAATTGCGTCAAGAGAAGAAGAGACTTTTACGTGAGAGAGTAAGGGCCCCTCGGAGGGATGCGAGCGCTGTCGACAAGTGTTAAATGAATGGATAGAACGTTCTTTTTTTCTAACTATTTTTTTGTATATGGTACATAAAAAAATTTTTAAATGTACATATTTATGTGTATTTTGCAAGTTTAAACTTCTTTTTTTCGATTGTTTAATTAAAGTTACAAGTTCTGTAAATTTTTACGTTCAAGTTTGTTCTTTGTTAAATTGCTTCTAATCCATATTTTTGGTGGCTTGAATCAAGTTATTAGTGGCATGTTCATCGGAGAAACGGAACATGCTTCAAACCGAAAAATCGTGTTCATCGGCGCGCCAAAGTTGCTCCAAAACAGTACTAATTATTGTTTTGGAGCAATTTTCTTGCGTTTCGAAGCAATTTTCGTTTTGTCCGATAAACACCCCATAGAAATGGATTAAAATTTTCTTTGGATTTCTGACACACATGTCAGTTAAGTTTTTGATTGTAGTCAAAACCAAACGATATAGGTTGATTTTTAGTTACCTTGTTGATTTTGAATAGATTGTGAAAACAAAATCGCGATGCAAAATTTCACTTTCGTTTTTTTTTTCTCGTATACGTTTTGCCTTTGTTTCTTTTTTTTGTTAAAGTTTTTAGAAACTGGGAAGTTGAATCTGTTTGTATTTCTGTATATTTTTCAAATTCAATATGGAATCGTCCAAGGATAACAGCGGAAATAATTCTGCGCCTGGTTTGTTTTTGTTTAAATTCTTTTTTTAATTTGGTCAGAAAAAAACACCACAAGTTTTCGGCAAATAAGCTATAACGTGAATTAATGTTAAAGTGAAATTACTTTAAATCGATAATTGTCGGTTTTTTTAAAAATATTTTTTTCAAATGTCAAAGACCAAAGAAATCGATCTTTTTTTCACTTGTTATGTTGACCAGTTTGAAAAGATGTTTTGAAAAAATTTGATAAGGGAAACACAAATTACTTTTTTAGATGGTGATATCAATGAAAGTCGTCCGAGGCGGCTTTTCGAAAACGCGCCTTCTACGGATGAATCCGACAGTTCCACCGAAGGTTGGGCGCTTCTTTCTTTATAAAGTGTTCAAAGTGATCCGTGAAATTCAAAATAGACGTCGGTGAGTGAAATAGATAACTAAATCTTGGAGAGTCGAAGATATTTTTAAATTTCACGGAACTCGCTTCAAACACGCACCTAGCTTCGAATTTCCCTCAACTCGATTGGAATCTTTATTTTTTCATAGATCCGAACGGAGCGGAAACAGACGGCTCTTCTTCGAATCGCGGCTGTCTGAAGAACGATCGTTCCCGGAAAGATCAGCCGTCGACGTCACGTGCCATCAGAACACCTCAACAGGTAGTGCATTCCAGTCTTCCAAATTAGTGATTGGGAATAGTTCCTATCGAGTAACTCATATTCCACAGCTTTGTAGGGAATAAGAAGTTCCTGTTTGAGAAAGGTAGAAAGCACACTAATAGAAACTCTCACGAGGAAGGTCATTTTACTTTGCGGTTGGGAATTCCCTGAACATTGGTCAAAACACTTCTCAATGTACCGGATGAAGACCCTGAGAGAGTCAACCTACAAAACTTTCTAGTTTTCGAGAAAGGATATCTTCAAGTCAAAGAAAAAACTAAAAATCCGTTGAAAAGGGTGATTTTTATTCTTTGAGCCCTCATTTCTCGAAAATAAGAGAGTTTTGCAGGTTGAGACTTTCAGATTCTTTTTCTGCTAATTCAAAATTCTGGTCTATTTTTAGGAAGTTTCCAACCGCAAAGTAAAACGACCTCTCATGTCAGTTCTCTAATTATTCGAATTTGCCTTTTTCTTATTTTTATAAAGCGCTGTTTTCAAGCGAAAAAACATTTTTCATAGCTCAATTAGGCAATTTTTCAGCTTCATAGACGTAGGTGATGGTAAATTTGTTCGAAAAGTTCTTTTTCCAGGTATCCTGGTCTTTCGCAACGAAACCCGCCACCCCACACTCCCAACCACCTGCTGGAATGAAAGCCAAAGGTAATTGATATTTGATACTGTTTTTGGCATTCTGAGCAGACTTGCTCGCCTTTTTTTTTTCAAATCGGTATTCAATTTCTCAAGAGTTTTCTAAAAACAGTTTAGAGTGAAGATTAAAAAGGAAAAAGGGTGTGAGACTTTCTAAACTCCCCACGCTTTTTCATTTCCTTCGAAATGTTCAGCTTTATATAGAAAGTTAAAGAGCTCTCATTTTGCTCATGAAGTAATGATTCACAGTGTTAATGGTTCATGGGCTTGTTATGCACACCTTCAAAACCATTCCTCTTTACTTCAAGAATTTCAGTTTTATTTCAAATATGGAAATGTTACAACTCAAATTGGTAAAAAGCGAAAAGCCGGTCAAAGGTCATGTAATAACCGAGGAGCAGCAACTGCTCTTGGGTAGTCACACTCACGGCACGCGCTTTTTTTCTTTTCCCATCTCCCTCATTCAACGGTTATCCGGCACCTATTAATGGGGATTAGGCAACATTGATATAATCTATTCATCTCAGATACTTTCTTCAAATAGCTCGATATGACGCTCTATATGCATATCAACTATGAGTTCGAGGATATTTGTTTATTTTTTTACTTTTAACGTGATTCAACAAAGTTACATCGAAACTTTTGGTATATTCTGGTAAAATTTCAGATAAGCTCATGAATTTAAGAGTTTTATATCAAATAGTCTCAGCTCAGAATAAGGTGTTCGCGTGTTAGAAACCGCTCTGTCGAGCTTCATATCAATGTACCTGATCCTCGAGCTAAAAATTTCATTCACTCAATCGGAATTTTCGTATATTTTTAGAGTAAAAAACAAGAAAAGCTTTATTTTCGCATTTCCTAAACCCTCGAGAAATTTTTTTCTGATTCAGAGGGAAAAAAACTGATCATATTTTTTTTGAGGAATTTCTTCAGAGCGGGCCAAATAGACGCTAATCCCACTGATTTGTCAAAGTGAACTTTAGTTCGTAGGGAGGGCGGCCATTTTGTTGCATTTTTTTCTTTTTTTCAGTAGAATCAAAAGTTTATCATTTCAATTTTTTTAACCAGCGTTTTTGAACAGAAAGAAGCTACCCTAAAATTATTTGCAAAAAATTAGGTTGTTAATTTGGTGAGCGTCGAATCTTAAGAGAATCTATGAGGGTCTCTTTTAACTCTGAAAATTTTGAAGTTTTCAGCCGCCTCTTCCTCGGAACTTTCCACTTCGAGGTCTTCTTCGGCTTTTCGCAAATCATCTTTAGTCGGCCGAGGTTCAGCTTCTTCTTCTGGTCACACCAGTCCATCTGGTTAGTCTTCCCCTTTTTTTTGCTGATTAGAGTGGATTCGAAGAAAGTTAAGACATTGAAATTTTTCTTTTCCTTATACATGGATTACACTTTCAAAACTTCAGAAATTTTTCACCAAGTAGTCACAAGAGCAGGTCCGTCCCAACACGAAGGGAAACAAAGTTTTTACTCAATGTTGCTTTAAAGTAGCTATGTAATCGTTTCGTAGTATTTGGAATATAACGTTATATTTTGCTAGACAACGTAATTGTTGAAGTAAAATATGTGTTCAATCCTAATGCGTAGAAAATTTCCATTGAAGAGTCACCGGCGCGAGCGACTGGAGCTGGATCTTCTTCAAGCGAATCGGCGGCCGATCGTTCTTTGACGACGCCACCGCTGCCGCCTGCTCTCAAAAACTCGAGCAAGGTTCTTTCTTTTAAAAGAACTTTTTCGAAATTGGTTATACATATGAAACTTTTAGAAATCCATTACGGTTCAATAAGTGAGAACTCAGAATTGAACAAACTCTTCTTTCCATGAAATTTGTTTTTTTTTTGAGTATCTTGAAGATTCTTATGAAACTGATATCAGGACGTGATCTACCGAGGCCAACGGTCAATGTCTCTCGGTAGCTCGGCGCACGATTCCTTGATGTCTCAGCTGGCGGCCCGCCAAGGAAACACCATTGACATGTCTCCCGGCGAAGGTTTATCTCGCAAAACTTGCAAAAAAGAAGAAATTGTAGGGGACAAAGTGTGTCTCCTGGTAGACGGGACGCGGTTTCTGGTCTCGCAACGACTTCTGACGAGCAAGCCCGACACAATGCTCGGTCGTATGTTCTCCATCCGAGCCTCGTGTACAGACCTGGCCGCCGAACTGGTTGCTCCCAATGATCACGATGAGTTCGAGGTAACCACTCGCTTGTTTTGCCTCTTATACTGCGAAGCACTAGGATTTCAAAAAGATATCATATCATTTACGGAAAGCCGTCATAGAAAATGGAAAGCAGAAATCACAATATTTTTTATGAATGAAACAACAAAAAAAAACCGATTTTTCTCAGCAATAAAACTAGAATTAATTGTACAAGTGGTTTGATATATTTTTGAAAGAAGAGATGATAACCGAAAAAGTTTTGCGCTCGTCAACAAGGAGACATTTTGTTTCGGAAAAGTTACCTTCATTTTGGACTGCGCAGGTGGCTGATGGCCTTTCCGCCTCATGCTTTCGCGCTGTGCTGGACTACTACTCTTCGGGCACGATGCGCTGTCCTCCAAGCGTCTCAGTTTCTGAACTCCGCGAGGCTTGCGACTATCTGCTGGTCCCTTTCAACGCCAACACTGTCAAGTTGCTCGTTCCCGCCATTTCCTCTTCAATGAGGCTTTTGAGGTGCCAAAACCTTCACGCTCTTCTCCACGAGCTGTCAAACGAAGGCGCTCGAGGCCAGTTTTCTCATTTTCTCGAAGAGATAATCTTGCCTCAACTCGTGGCCAGCACCGAGGTTCGTCAGAAAAAAAAACTGCAACAAACAGTGATTGGTGCAGCACGGCGAACGAGAATGTCATCTGGTCGTGCTTCTGGACGACGACATTGTCGATTGGGACGACGAATATCCGCCGCAGATGGGGGAGGAGACCACTCACGTCGTTTACTCGACACACTTGTACAAATTCTTCAAGTATGCCGAAAATCGGGATTGCGCGAAACAGGTTTGATGGATAAAAGTTGATTATGTGACTGAAACCAATTTTAAGAGGGGAAAAGTTTAGAAAAAAAAACGTTGGAAAGTTTTGCCAGGCATGAAGAGGAAGAATTTTCATCTTTTCCTAGGAAAATATGGCGAAATTTTCGAAAGTCGTATTCAAAATAATTGAATTCATTTAACGACCCATCGGTTTCGATTTTTCTGAAGATTTTTTTATTATTTTTGTTACATATTAGATAAATGAAAAAAATTAGAAAAACAAAGGTTATAGGTTCTCAAAGAACGGGGACTGAAAAAAATACGCCTCGGTATGGAAGGCTACCCAACGCACAAAGAGAAGGTTAAGAAACGATTTAATCGAGCCGAAGGTAAAAAAAGCTCCGAAAATAAATACGAAAAGGATGATTTAGTAATTTACAACTACGTACAACGGCCCTTCGTTCATTGTTCTTGGGAAAAAGAAGAAGCCCGCAGTCGACACGTCGATTTCGCTTGCCCCATTGTCAAGGTCTACATCTTTTCAATCTTCTTGCTTTTTTTTTTTAGGTTTTCTATATATCGCAAAAAGTCCTTGGAAGAATGTGGAGAAGTTTTCTTTAGATGGGTTTGAAAAGCTTTTTTCTCTTGATTATTTTGGTTTTGTAGCACTTCCAACAAATATTCTTGTTTTTTTAGTTTTTCTACATATCGCAAAAAGTCTTTGGAAAGTTTGTTCTCCTTTTGCGTAAATACTCGGATGTTTTCCTTCTCTTTTCATATTATGAGTAATAACTTCGGTACAATTAAAAGAAACTTTCTAATTTTTTCGCGTTTTTTTTTTCATTTCTTAGCAACTGTTAACAATGATTAAAAAAAGGCGCAGATATGTGTTTAGAGTCTTTGTGAATGTAGCAGCTATATGTTCCGAGTAACTACGAAAAGATAAGAAGTGTTTTTTAGTCAAAGTCGAATCCATCGTTGGCTGCGGCGGCCTCGGATCCTCTGCCACAGCCGGCGCCACTCCAGAATCATCCCAACCGCGGCGGCGTCTTCAACGAGGCGGCGCCACTTGCCGCGGCCGCTCACGACGATCGTCTTCTCGGAGTCAACGTCCCTGGCAACCAGGCAAGTTGTCGCAATCTACTGTTTATGAATTTTTAATTTCCGGAGACCGTCCTATAAATGAAAAAACCAGCTTCAGGAAAATTATACCAGGTCATTTTCAGCAGGTTTTGACAACTTCCCATAACTCATTGTTATTTATGGATCAACTCTTTCGAAGAACTTTGAAACTTCATAATAAGATATATCTAGCACGGACATCCTCTCCACTCGCCTCCTGTGAACTTCCAACGTCCTGAACGAGATCGAGAAGAAGAATAAATTCTCTTCTCTTCGAACATTGAACATGTGCTTTTCGGGTATATTTAAGGAAGCTCATTCTTCTGACATTTTTGTAAAAGCATTTTTTTTACATAATTTTGATGATTTTTTTAAAATAGGGTATAACTTATTGTGAATATTTTTATTATTATGAAGTTCCCTCGAAAAATCTAAATCAAGCTTGAAAGTTGGCTTCGAATGCGCTGGTTGTGTATAGTTTCCATTTGAGCCTATTCATGTGGGAATGAACCATTTCTCCCCTCCACACGCTTCCCGCACACTCTTTCATTTATTTTTATATCACCGCGATTTGAACTCACCTTCTTCGATAATTTTTTCTCTCATCTATAAAAACAAGAGAAAGGAAGATGTTTTTCGAGTCGTTACGAATAAGTTTTCACTCGTGTGAAGCGGCAAAAACCGTGCCGGTGATCACTCTCTTCGTCTTTTCATTCTCGTTTTTTTATTTGCCTATTTTATCTCATCTGCTTTTTTAAGCCTTTTCGCTGACTGGTTCATCCAAATTGAAACGTATCAGCGCTTTTTGTTTCGAAAAATAAATTACTGTTCAGTTCGTTGCGTTTTATTTGAAGTATAGTGAAATTTCAGTCTAATATTTCATCAAGTTGACTTTTTCTGGTTATCCTCGATGCTGACGGGAGTCAGAGATTTTGCAAGCTTTTTGCACATTGGCGACCAAGTAGAATCCTGGAAACTGATTCGAAATTTTAAGTGTTTATAATAATTCTGCAATGACAGGGACTTGGGGAAAATAAATTCGATTATTATGTGGTCCTTTCGGGTCTTAAAAATTGAGGACTTAGAGGGCGACTCATCGTCAGAACTTTCGCATTAGTCAATCATTGACTCATGTTATTAAATTACTTTTTCAGGGTTTAATATAATTTTAAAAAAACCTCTTCAGTGTCTGTTCCCTCGGTTTTCTGCCAGGACGCCAAAAGAAGATCTTTTCGAACAATCATCAAACATTTTGTTGCGTTTTTGGCCTATAAATGTTCATTTATAGGAAAAATCACTATTTTTCAACTCAACCAATGTTTCTTCTACTGCAAACATCCTAACTTCGCCAGAAACTGTGCCTCGACAAACATCTGATTTGTTCACAATAGCTTTTATTATGGCAGACGTCAGTTTATCTATCAGATTTTCAGCCTGAAATGTTCTGACTAATTTTTTTTTTTCAATTTTATATGGTACGAATATATCGGTATGAGAATACGTCAGCACTTCGCTGAGACTTTTTCCAGAGCAGCATCCCTATGAGAAAGTTCTGGACTTTTGCTTTCGAGCGATTATGTCGCTTCGAAGAATTTATTTCAGCGCAGTAAATTTCTTCGTACGGTAGAAATCATGTCGGCGACCAGCATTATTTCGGCTCATTTACAAAAGTCGAGAATTTTCGATTTGGCTATGCTCAGGATGCTTGAGGACAAGTTCTCAAACCTATTTGTACTTTAACTGTTAAATTTTTGCCTCAGGGGGCTCTTTGGTCGTCTTGTCCTCGCAGAACTCTTTGAGTAGCGTCTGTTCTGCTGGTGAGCACTCGCCCTCGATCACCTTGACCATCTTGATCTGCTGCAGCATTCGCGCCGCCGATCCGACGTCTTCTTCTAGCTGACGTCAATTTTTGCTCTTCTTTTGTGAGTTGCTAAACTAACCGCGTCGTCTTCAATTGATTCTACGGATATCGTTTTTCTGGGAGCCTCCATCCTCTGTCTTGTCCCTTTTCTTCTTCGCTTTTGCAGTAGATCTTTTCATTCGTGCGACCACCTTGCTAATTTTATCATTATCGCTTTCGCCTGTGCCTACGCTCGCGCCTGAATTTGTCATACTAAAAATAAACTAAACTTGGTGAGGTTACTGGCTGAAGTTTGAGTTTTCCACCGCAGGTTCGATTTAACGCCATGGAGATGCGCCTGTGCAGGACGAGCTCCTTTTACCACCTGAAAAATTCGATCTTTGCATCTCGACTAAAACATTGTGTTTGCACTTGAAACGGCTCGAAGAAGTCTGGTTCATATTCGATTCTCTTTTAGCTAACTGCTCTGATAAATTTCTACTATGCTAGTGCCAAGCAGTACCTTCTCATATAACATATCTAGTCCGAAATTTTGTTTTAGGTTGTCCTACAAAAGAGTATGTTAAACAAAAAATCGTCCAGGGAGCGCTGCAGGGTATCAAGAAAACGTGAAGAGTGCCCAAAGGTCAATCGGGAGGAGGCTACAAGCTTCCGGGTAGCTACTTCAAAGGCAAATGCTAATCGGTGGTCGTTTATCAGCTACCGGGTACTATCTTTATGGTACCTGGATACTATCGCTTTGAAAGCTTTTCTACCTGAAATGTGCGATTGTTACCGGGTAGTCCGGTCATACTTCCCCGATAGTAATTTTTTTTCAATATTAGCCAATAAGATCTTGGAAGATTTGGAACTGTTAGCAAAAACACTGGTGCTAAAGGAACCGGTACTTATCCGGTAGTATAAAGGTACTATAAAGATAGTACCCGGTAGTTAATAAACTACCACCGATTAGATACGCCGATCGACTTCAAAGCAGCTATGTGCTTGGCCAACCTACCACTGATCTTCGGACTATATCTACGATTTAAACATCCGACATGTTATTAGTAAGGCGAGTTCGTACAGCCTCTTGATACCAGACCTCAAATGTACTATTGTCGGATTCCTGTTTCTTGTCCTTTTCCTTGTCCTTTTCTTTTTCTTTTTCCTTTTCTTTTTCTTTCGTTGTACTGACGACCTTTTGCTTGCTCTAAAAATGATTTTGGTCTTTTCAACATGGAGAAGGCTGTCTCACTTTGACTTTTTTCACATTGGATTGCGACTTTGTCTTTCCTAAAAAATTGTCTGAGTAGCTCAGAAAATTTGAGTTAAAGTTGGCTCTCACAAAACTATCGAAACTTTGAAATTGAAAAATCAACAAAAACCTGCTGGAGTTGTAGCGCTTGGCTGTTCAGTTCTGTCCTGGCGGTCCAAGTTCGATTTTTCTCTTTTCTCTAACTTTATCGCTTTCTCCCGGTCGAAATGACCTTTCTTGTTTTTCTTTGTCCGGTCTATCCCTCTCAGGTTTATCTTTTTCAGTTTCTTCATCGGTCAGACGTTCTTTTCTTGAAATAAAGGTTTTCAATTGTTCAAAATATAAACAACATTTTTTTTTTGGGATAAAGCGCTTTAGTGACTACTGATCAGAAATCGTGTTAAATTTTCTACTTCATCAATTTGAATCAGAATGTTTCCACTCACGAGAAAGCAGTGAGAATGTTCTCGCCTATTTTCTTGACGGATCTTCCGAGCGACCGGCTCGCTGACTTGGACTTTCCCATCTTCTATAGATTTAACGTTTTCCTATACAATTAAACTTGTAGTTTTTTTAGTGGTTTAATTATAAGATAATACGGTACGAAATTAGAACTAACCGGTTTTTGTGGTTTGTATTGTGAAGAAATGGTTTTAAAGATTTCACGTTCTTTTCTCCAGATTCATTTTTCCTTCTTCAAATTCGAGCGGTTTGAGAAAAAAATTCTATTAAAAAAATTATTCATTCACAGGCTTACAGTGACAATATACATAGGTAATTGCATAGTTCTTGTTACATAAATGAGTATCATTTAGAAAGGAGTTTCAGGGCGAGTCTCGAGCCACTTTTTAATGTTGGGAATAGAGTGAATTTTCTGCTGATGAGCCTTAACTTCAGGGAAAGCGTCGAGAACTTCGGGCGAGTTCTTCAGAAGATCAGCAGTGTGCTGAGCGACGAGCAGATCAACCCAGGTAACCGAGCTGCCGACGAGGAAGCCGGAGCCGTTCTCCTTCAGGAACTTGGTGAAGAAAGCGTAGTTCTTGGTGACGGCAGGCGCCAAAGTCTCGCGACGCAGTTTGTCGACATCACCTTCTCCGAACCCAGCGAACACCACGAAGTAAGGACGGCACTCGGACATGTGGTCCTTCAAATGATCCGCCAAAGAGTCAACCTACAATAATATATGTATAAAGGTCTCTTCATCCGTTAATTCTCACCAGAGCTTCTTCAAAGGCAGACTTGCCGGCGAAACCGAACTGACGCGCCAAGTAGCGGTTGATGGCGTACGACTGGGCCAACTTCTTGCCGTCAAACTCCAAATACGGCATCTGACCAAAGGGAGCCGCTGAAAGTGACGTCAACCTTTATAAATATTTACTGTTTCAAGCTTACTAGGCTTCAGCGTGAGCCATTGTTCGCGAGGCACTCGGTTGTCTTCAAACTCTTGGCCAGCCAAAGCGAAGATCTGAAAAAGCTCACCATACAGTTTTTTTTTTCCTAAAACTGAGTACCTGTCGAGATCCTTCTCCGGCGCCTCTAATGGGGAAGTACGTCAGTTTGTAGTGGGGCATTTTGAGATCTGAAAAATATTCGGATTGGTAAAAAAAAACTATAAATGATAGAAAAAAGAATAGAAAATGTCCAAAATAAGATAAAAAATGGAAACATGCAAAAGTTAGCAAAAATGACTTGCAAACAGTTTTGACAACGTAAGCGAAGCAAAGAAAACGCTCAGACTGAGAGAATTTCTAAATGAATCAAAGCGGCATGTATTGTTTGTTGAGACCACGAAACGTGCCAAGAAACTGTAGTGCACATTTTCGCAGCCTTTTCAAACGCCATTCGAAAATTTCAAAAAGTATTGTCAGCATCTTTCCAAGCGATGATAGGAGAATATGATAGGAATTTCATAGCGATTATCAATAAAACGAATACAAAAACTACAGACAAAACCATGTGAAAAGAAAGTCTCAAAAATTGTTTATCGGCTTCTTGCATCCTATGAGGTCTTTCCTATCGAGCGTTTTTATAGTACGGCCAGCTCCTCCCCAAATTTCCACATCTTGGGAATTGTCATCATTCCTAGAGTGGTCTTTGTGATCTGTGGCCGCAAATAGAGAACTTTGCAGGCTCTCTCGCGAGCGCCACATCAAATTACACGTGAAAAAGGGCAAAAACTTGAGAAACTTCGAGATTTTGTCCACAAATTCATTAAATATCTTATACAAGTAATAAAAACGACACTACGACATATTATATAGTTTTTTTTTCCCCTGAAAACTACTCAGAGGTACGTAAAACCATTCTTGTGAAAAAATTTGATGCCGTGTTCAAAGTAATTTCGGCCAAAAAATGGTCCAAAAAGTTCAAAGATTTAGATTTTGCGCGTAAAAGACACCTTGAAAATTTCGATATACCGTTGTAGGCCCCATTTTTTTTTGGCTCCTGTAATTCTGATTTTGCTATTTCGCAAAATAGTTTTAAACGAATAAAGCGTCAATTTCGAAATCGCCGGAATTACTTTGAACATGGCACAAAAAAAAGCCGAAATCCCGAGCAAAGCCATATTGAGTAATTACTGAACAGTGTGTGCGCTCAGTGGACGGGGTATGCAGTTAGTGCGCGGAAGTAGAAGCCTATTCTAATTTGTAGATTAAGTAGAGATTTCTATTGAAAAGTACGGTTTTCCTGCCGAACAGTAGAATTACGTATTTTTTTCCACATTATCGAAGACTTTCAAAAAATGTTTCTAACTCAAGTTTTATTATATATGTATACTTTCTGTTCATGCTTTTTTTTCCCGTAACGTTTTTTCATAAAAAAGTGAGTTGTTTTTGAGCTTTGAGATTCCAAGTTACATGTCATTTGAACTATAGTGCGTTTCGCGTAAAACGGTCATATTTTGAAAAACATAATAGAAGAAGCTACTGTAAAAAAAACGTTTGCCCAAAAAACTGCTACAAAGACAGCCAAAAAACAAAGTTCTTGCATCCATGATGCTCAACGTTGTCTAATTTGATTCACGGTATTTTGGCGGAAAGAAAAGCGTGAGAATTTGGCGCGGCATGGGCTATATATGCTTAAATAAATTTCTATTTTGAAGAGTTTTTTTAAATTGTTTTTTTGAAATAGTGTTTTGCTCTAATAAAGTTTTCAAAGTAAGCTCCTCGAAATTAAAAATTATCTCTGACTGTCCAAATTCAGTTATCCTTTTCACTCACTGACGGCTATTTTCAATTAAAAAAAATCACCTTTAGTATGACATATACAATTTCGGCAAGTCTTTTCAGTCGCTTTTTTGACTTCCTCTTTGTTTTTTTCTTGCCATTCTGAGAACGCGCTGCGACCTGGTTTCTCTGCACTCTGCGTTCTTTCCCAGTTCCAAACAAACAACTCAGCGACCACTCTGGTCTTTCAAATTTTCGTTCATTTCAAGGTTTCTGCCGCTCCAACACGTGGCCCATTTCTTTTTTCATACTCTGATAATTCGTTTTCTAACTATATCTTATGTAGTATTCGCAAAACTGATGAGATAACTAAAAAAAAACTGATAGAAATGTTTGTTGCTGTAAGCGCTCGGCTTTTTTTCCATTTATTTGTCATCATTTTCGCTTTTTTTTTTGTAATTCCAGGGGCATACGTTTTGACTCAAGTCATCATTTTTTTTTTTATTTCACTAGTACCTCTTGTTAAATAAAATATTCAGAACTCGATATGACGCATTACAAGCTTACCTACTTCCCGATCCGTGGAGCTGCTGAATGTGCTCGCCAAGTAAATACTCTTGCCTGAATGAGACCGTAGATTTCAATTTATCTTTAGATCTTTGCTTTGGCTGGCCAAGAGTTTGAGGATAACCGCGTGCCACGTGAGCAATGGCCGACGCTGAAGCCTAGTAAGCTTGAAAACGAAAACAATAAAGATTTGCGTCATTCCCAGCGACCCCCTTCGGTCAAATGCCGTATTTGGAGTTTGACGGCAAGAAGTTGGCCCAGTCGCACGCCATCAACCGCTACTTGGCGCGTCAGTTCGGCCTGGCCGGCGCGACTGCTTTCGATGAGGCCTTGGTGAGGCAACGCAGAGAGTTACTCACAGAAAAGGGAAGATTTCAGGTCGACTCTTTGGCAGACCAGATGAAAGACCACATGTCCGAGTGCCGTCCTTACTTCGTGGTGTTCGCTGGGTTCGGAGAAGGTGATGTCGACAAACTGCGTCGCGAGACTTTGGCGCCTGCCGTTCTCAAAAACTACGGCTTCTTCACCAAGTTCCTGAAGGAGAACGGCTCCGGCTTCCTTGTCGGCAGCTCTGCCACCTGGGTTGACTTGCTCATTGCACAGCACACTGCTGATCTTCTGAAGAACGCACCAGAAGTGCTCGACGCTTTTCCGGAGATGAAGGCTCATCAGCAGAAAGTTCATTCTCTTCCCAACATCAAGAAATGGCTTGAAAATCGTCCTGAAACCCCCTTCTAAATTAACTCACCATTATGAAAACAATTCAACTGCTGTTTTATATCCCAAATTTTGTTTTTTTTTTTTAACTTTTAATGAATGAATCATCTTTATTTTTTTGGATTTGAGGAATGCATTTTTACAGTGAATTTATCAGGAAAAAATATACCCTTTCAGAAGATCAGTGATGTTAATAAAACACATGTTCTACTAACTGGGAAGGTGATTTTACTTTACGGTTAGGAAATATCAAAAAATCGGGCAGACTACTTCTTGATGTTTTTTATAGTATGTGTACCAGGAGTTGGAATTTAACCGAACGACATTCCGCTGTGCCGCTGCGCGCCTTTGCGAACCTTGGTCGCGCTTTTAATTTTTTTTTTTTATCAAGATAATCGACTTTCATGTGCTCCCACAGCAATACCGATCAATTGAAAGCGTGACCTAGATTCGAAAGACGCTTCGCGATTGCACGCAGCGGCACAGCGGAATGTCGTTCGGTGAAATTCCAAGTCGTGGTACACAGACTATAGATAAAGGTCCTGAAATTCCTTACCTGCACAGCTTCCTAATTTGTGAGATAAAACGGTCTCAAAGGAGAAAAGTAATTGGTCATTTTCAGACTCTGAGCCCTCATTTCTCAAAAACTGAGAAGCTTTGCAAGTCGGACTTTCAGGACGTTTATTTGATATTTCAAGGAGTATCCCGGCGGATTTTAAATAACTCCCGAACGTTCGGACGATAGGCGCCTATCGTTACGGATAAAATTACGTCACAATTACACTGAACATTCAACGTTAATAACTTGTTTGTTCGATCGCCTTCGGCTGAAGTACTGTAGATTTCAAATTTCGCGCCAAAATTTTTTTGACGTCTTGCCACCTCGTTTGGGAACGCCGTGAGGCATTCCGATGTAGTCTCCGAGGTCGGTCGGCCCTGTTTCGCAATTTCAAGTAAATGTGCTCCACTGCACACCGGTATCCCCTCAAGACCCTGCTCAACTATTTAACTCAAATTTACTGAAATGCTTTTTGTTTGTTACTTATTTTTGCTTTCATCGTTAATTTAGGGAGAAGTTCATAGCTTTTGAATGAAAGAGCGTTTTTTTTTGTAATCTAAGGCGAATAGGGTATTTTACCATCCCAAAAAGTTTACGAGGATGGACCATAGGTAAAACTGAAAAGTTCCTTTGATCAAAAATTGAGGATCCTCAAAGGATCCTGAGAGGGAGATAAAAAGCTTCCTCTAAAAGCTCCTAAAATGATGTAAAAAAGCTTTTGAGCACCTTTTTCATAGCCTCAGAGGATCCTTTTTGAATCCTCTCGGATCTTTTTAGTTGCTTTCCAGCATCCTTTTTGTCAGAGGATGTGAAAAAGACGCAAAAAAGAATTGAAATGATGTAAAAAAGATCTGCTGGGGACCCTTTCAAGGTCTTTTTTTGAGAAAAGCTTTTGGGGAGCTTTTCAGTTTTGCCCGAGACCGCAAAGGGAAATGTCCTATCTCCCTCTCAGGATCCTTTGAGGATCCTCAAAGGAACTTTTCAGTTTTACCTATGGTTGGAAATTTTTTGAAAATTTGCCAGAAATTTCATAGGAGTAACAGAAGAGGTTTTTGAAAGTCTGAACCTGCACATATTCTTAGCTATGAGGAAATAAGGGCCCAAAGGCCAAAAAAAGCCCATTTTCGCGGATTTCTTTATTATTAAACAATATCGAATCACGCATGTTTGAGACAGTGCTACGGCGGCCAGTGACCGGTCAATATTGCGCTGTCAGTTTTGAAGCCAACTTTTAAAAATTTGTTTTTATAGAAATTTTTTCAACTTTTTTCTTTTTTGTAATTCGTTATGGACCTATTTCTCGAGGTTACAACATAAGTTACGTCACGAAAGTGCACGAGTCTTAATATTAGTGAAAAACCTATCTAAACTGCCGTAATACGACCGCCCGCTCAAACAGGCGTGCAATTGCCGTTTGTACAATTGTTAGCAGTTACTTGAAACTCGCATTGATTTTTTTTCTATATTTTTTCGTGTAATCATGTTTATTATCAATTTTTTTTTCTCGCCTAAACAAAAATGTCTTTCTTGCATCGAGTATATACTATTGTCGTCTTGCAGAGAAAAGGTTAAAAATATGGCGGACGATGACGATTACCAAGATATGGGTGACGATGACTTTGGAGACGACAACGAAATGGAAGACGTGATAGAAGAAGAACAAAACGGAGAAGAGGACGAAAGCAACGAACGGATAGATTTGATCGACGGTACTGGGAAAGCCGTTCCAGCTCAAGATCGCGTCACCACCACCTTCATGACAAAGTACGAGAGAGCAAGAGTTCTTGGCACACGAGCGCTGCAAATCGCCATGGGAGCTCCGGTGATGGTGGAACTCGAAGGCGAGACCGACCCCTTGGAAATCGCCCGCAAGGAGCTCAAACATCGTCGTATACCAATCATCATCCGCCGCTACCTCCCGGACGGCTCCTTCGAGGACTGGTCCATTGACCAGCTGCACATTACCGATTGGTGATTCGGGATCATAATTGTTTATCTTGTTATATTTGTGTATTTTTGTTCCATTTCATCTGTTGTTCTCCTTTCCTCTTCCTTTTATCCGTGGAATTTCCTGTTACGCGATCGTCGATTTTTCTTCTGTCTCGCTTCGAATGTTAATGAATAAAAAATTTTAGAATCGTCCGAATGGTGAGCTCCAAGAATTTTTCGAGAGAAGAGATTGACAACTTTGGCGTAGCGCTCAACGATAAGAGGTATTTTTTTGTAAATAATGAATTTTTTTAGAAAATAGATTTTTCATCTCTGATTTGAAAAAAATAATTTTTCTGAGTTATAAATGAATAAAAAAATTGATTACAAGGAAAAAAAGACAGAAAATCGAAGGAAACTGAAAAGAGTAAACGACATAATTTTGAACAAGGAAGATAAATGTTACTTGGTTCATGAACGGGGCTCTTTTCAGCCGGCCACTTGCGGCTCGTTTTCGTGCTTTGTTCGTTCTTCGTAATATTAATTGTGATCAATCAGTTGAATGGATCGGCAAGTGTTTGAAAGTTTTTCCTTTTTATTTTTGAAGTGTAAGAGTGTTTTTCAAAGGATGAATCTGCTTTACTGAAGCATGAGTTGGCCTATTGTTTGGGGCAACTGCAAAATCCCAGTGCTATTCCGATTCTCGTTGAAGTGCTGAAGGACGAGTCTCAAGGTTTCTCTTGGTCTGATTAATCTTTTGAATTGTTTCTAAGAGCCGATGGTGCGACATGAAGCTGGGGAAGCTCTGGGAGCTATCGCCCATCCTTCGGTCAAAGAAGTTTTGTTGGAATTTTCTTCGGTTTGTCACTTCGCTGTCTTCTTTTAATTTCAAAGCGTCTAGGATCCTTGTCCTGAAGTTTCCGAAACATGTCAAATAGCGTTAGAAAGGATCGAATGGGTCGAAAAGAATGGGAAAAATACAGAAAGCCCATACGACAGTGTTGGTGATTTTTTGTTACTTTGTCAAAATTCCTTACAATAATCTTCGTATTGTCGCGCAAAAAAGTTCATGAAAAATGAAAGTTATTTGTGGTGATTCTACACAATTCTTTTCAGCATACCATTTTTTGAATTTTTTCAGCTTTTTCTCTCATGAAGGCGAAAAGGAATTGGATTTTCAGCGAATTTTTCAAAGCTATACATATTTTATCTTTTTCGTATTTTTTTTGAGATGGAAAAAAAAAATTCATAATTGGGATTGTGAAAGGGACTTTTTTTCTTGTCTGAAAAATATACAGTTTGTAAGATCCTACACCTGCTGCGACATCCAACGACGTGGAGGAACTTGGAGCGACTTTAGTGGACCCTTCCCGATCGCTTTTTGAACGATATCGCGCCATGTTCAGCCTGAGAAACTTCGATACACGAGAATCGATCAAGGCGCTCGCTCAGGGTCTTTCCCTCATCCCTCCATTGGATTTGAATTGGTTTTCAGGATTGTACTGCGAGGATAGCGCTTTGTTCCGACACGAGGTCGCCTACGTTTTGGGCCAGCTGCAGTCTCCTGTTGCCATCAAAGAACTTTCCGATAGGCTTTTTCTCGATTCCGAGGTCCTGAATAATCTTTTTCTTTTAAAACATACTGGGGACTTGTAGAACTGTATGGTGCGGCACGAATGCGCAGAGGCTCTTGGCGCGATCGCAACCGATGAATGCACAGAAATTTTGAAGAAATACAGCCACGATCAAGAAGTGAGGAAAAGGAAGCGTTGAGTATTTGATCGTGATCAATTTTTCAGCGAGTTGTGCGAGAAAGCTGTGAGGTCGCCCTCGATATGGCCAAATACGAAAACAGTGGAGATCTTCAGTATGCAAAATTGCAGTGAGATTAACTTTATTTTTTTCCACTCTGTTGATTTTTATTGTTTATTGTTTTTTTTTGTTGGGGTTCTTGACATCCGGTTCAAGGGGAAGGAATACGATAAATTTTTTGTTTGTTGCTGATTTTGATCCTTCTCAGTGTTATAAAGCGCCTTCGTTCCTAATTAACCGTTAAGTAAAGTATTTTGGAATTCGGATTCTATAGATATCCAGATGAAAGCACGACTGCAGCAGTTTTTATTGCCAGGTAGTATACTAAATGCTTTCAACCAAAAAAAAAATTTTTTTTTGAGGTTTGAAACTGAGGCCCACGCCGATAAATATTCGACAATTTTCCCTGGCAGCCGTAAAGGTTTTTCATTTGCTAAAAAGTATTTTTTTCGTAATTAATGAAAAACGAGTTCTGTTCCAATTTTTTGTCAATTAGGCTGTCTTCCCATAGAAGTATTCTTTTGCAGCCGGCCTTTTCTTCGGCGGACCTTGGCAAAATGTACGAGATTGACAAAAATACTGCGAAGCAACTAAACCTGGCGAAATATTTGCCGTCGCCTCTGGCCAAGCAAATGGACACTCTCGATGAACTCGTCACTCTCGTTCGGTCGCCCTTCTTGGAGGTCGTGTTTCTTAATATTTGTTCAGATTCTCTTCGATCTTCTTTTTTTGATTATTTATCGAGTAAAAAATTCATTTTCTCTGGAAAAAATATAACGACTCGAGTGTATTGGCTGGCTTTTTGTGAATTTAAAGTTTTTGCTACGTAGTTTTTTTAACGTCATTTCAAGGTCTTTTTTGAGAGCCCATAAACTTTCGCCGATTATCATTTTTTTTTTCCGTTCAAAAAAATATTGAAAGTTGATTTATTCAGTTTTTTTCAAATTTCAGTTTTGTTTCAAAAAAGTTATAGCATTATGTTCAACTGAGGATCAGAAATAGAAGATAATTTTTTTAAAATATGAAATGGAAAATGTCAGAAAAATGCGAAAAAGGCTTTTTCGCTTATTCTGAAGACCCAACCTATTTTCTCAGATTTTGGCTTGCATGCGAGTCGTGGACCGGAGTCTGCCGTCTCTCCGTCTCGTTCTCTGGGGTGCCTTTGGAACAGGAAAAACCGTCACATTGAACCAGGCCGTTCACCACGCTCAGCAGAACGGCTGGCTCATTGTTCAGCTGCGGAGCGGTATAAGATTTCTCGATTGAGCTCTCTTGCTGACCAGGTGTCTCAACGGGTGCACTCGTAATAAACCCGTGTTTTTGAAGGCTATTGGATTCTCAGTTGTGCTTAAACGGTGAAAAACGGATGTAAGAAAAAAAATATTTTTTCTTACATCCGTTGTTCGTATGGGGGAAAACGCTGAGACTCCGTGTTAGCACGGCTGGTATACCCTATCAGCAGGAGATATAAGTCGTGAAATTCTCTCTCGGGTTTTCCGTGTTTCAGAATTTTTTTTCTTCATCTATCTATACGGAAAAAAAAACTTCATCTATCTATAGCACTCTCTTGTGATATGATTTTTGTAATTTGGTGTTTTTTTAAAAATCCCTTCAAGCTCTTGTGATCTTGTGAATGAGATATATCTTATATAATCGTCCGCTTGCAGCAATGGATCTGACGAGGAACGTCTCTGAGGTGGAGATGTCGACTTTTGCCAGCGGCCGGATCAACGATCCGACCAACGCCGTCGTCATTCTGCAGGACTTCAAGCAACAGGTATTATGCCTCTCTTCTCGATTCGATGGTTGAAAGAAAGGATTGGAGGTCTTTTGAAGAAATATTTATGGGACCGATAGCGACATTAACACGAGGATCGTTTAGTAAATTATGAAATACTTTTAAGCCAAATATCATGTAAATTAAGAGCCTTGGAGTCGCAAACTGTAAAGTTCCCTATTATTCAGAAACGAAAGCCTCAAAGCAGTGAAAGAAACTGTATCTTTTGACTAGAAGTTTTCTGAAAAGAAATACCGTCTAGTTATCCCTTTGATTTTCCGTCTGTCAAAGCGTATTTGAACAAATTTTTTGAAAGTTTGAAAGTAATGAGTTTAATAACTTTTTCTTTTTCAAGCTTTGGATATTTTCTGTGTTTCTATTGTTGTGTATCAATTTTTTATTTTTGTGTCAAATTCAACTTCGCACTTAAAAAGTCAAATATTCTTTTGTTGGTAGAATATGTTTAAAAAAAGATAGAAGAGAGAGAGAGAGGAAAAAATAAGAATTAAACGTAACTTCATTAGTTTCAGAACCAAGCCGTTTGGAAGCGATTGGCCGAGGCGAAGACGAGCCGCGACTACGAATGGTCGAAGAGCGAGCGAACGCCTCAGGGGAAACCACTCGTCGACATTGTCGAAATGGTTCAAACTTTATTTTGTACGCCGAACCTTGAAGCATATTTGAAAAAAAAACAGCTGTGAAAAGTGTTTGCAGGGTATCTCAGCTCCCTACCTGGCCACAGACTGTGTTGGAGCGCTTTTCCGCGAGTTGAGGCTTCATTCTTCAAATGCCGCTGACTTGAAGGTCTGACTCTGACTGAGACGACCGAAAATGTTTTTTTCTGAAGGTTCTCGTGGCCATCGACGACGCCAACTCTTTGTGGGGGAAGACATTGGTGAAAAGAGCCGACAGGACATTTGTATCGTTTGACTGGCTTGTGTAGACCCAAAAATGCAAATTTCAGGCGTCACCTTCGGATTTGTCATTAGTCGTGCATTACAGACGTCTTATCGCTAATGACTGGGTTCGTAAATCCGAAAAATTCATAAAGTTTGTGAAGCTTGGAGTTGAACAGCTTTTTTTGCAAAATGTTTTTTTTTTCTGATTTCGAATTAGCTTTGGATGCAAAAAACTTTAAGTTGAAGCTTATCGATTTTTTTTTTCATTAGCATCATCCATTCTGCTGAATTTCAAAACTCTTTCTCTCTTTTTTGAATTCTCAAACTTCATATTAGAATAAATACTTCACGGTCGGTTTTTCAGACGAATGGTTGCGTTTTGCTCGTTGCAGACAAGAAAGAAATCGCCGACGCGAGAAAAGAGCTTGAAGGCGAGTTCCGTTCAGTTTTCATTCAAAAAAATGGGTGTCATTTTTGCTCTACATGTTTTGAGTCGGATTATCCGGGCCGAAGCTTTCGGATGAAACTGCAATTTTTCACATTAAATGAGAAATATCTCGTGGGCAGAGAAAGCTATTCAAAAAAACATTTGCTACCGCGTTGGCCAAGTCTCATAATTTCTCTTTTTGAAGTATCTTCTTAGAAAAACGTTCAATATTAGAATTTCGCGATATTTTATAAGCCCATAATTTATTTTTTTCCTAAAAAGAGATAAAAAAATAATCTTTGCCCTTATCGAAATTGAACGAATAAATAACTCAAATTGTGCACGTGTATTAATCTTGTGATGGATAGTAGGGAAGCGTTTTGATAAGGATTATTTCTGAATAAACATTTATTGCATATTGATATTGGTGTGCAAATGATGTCAGGAAATAAATATTAGTAATGAATAAATTAGAAAATATCACTCGGTGCAACTCTAATCTGTTTTTGCAGTGAGCCGAAACACGCCGTTGGAATTGTTCGGCGAGGAAGGCTTCGAATTTATTGAAGTTGGTTTTCTGGCTGAAAGTTGTTGGTAGTGGTTCAAACGAGGCTAACCTGAGAATCACACCGAGAGATGGAGTTTCGAAAGAGTACAGAGTGGCAATTTTGAAGGAAAATTGAATAGAAAATATTAAAAAATTATGAATAATGATTTTAAAAACACCGTTTTTTGAAACGAATGCCAATAAAAATAACTAAAATCTCGATGTTTTCGATTAAATTAGTTTCCCTTGATGTAAAATTCCACTTAACATAAAACGAGTTGGTTTTTTTCCAGCCTTTCTTGCCGATTGAAACCTCACAGTACACAGAAGAAGAAGCCAACACCATGTACAAGTATTATGTGGAAAAGAACTGGCTCACCACCCCCAATGGTTTGTGATTTGGACTCATTTAGCTTTAAGAGCTTGGACGTGAACATAATTTTATGAATACAACTCCAAATAATTATACAATGACGTTTTTAAAGTTTTAAAGTTTTTAGAATTTTATTTTTTCAATGGAAACTTTGTTGTAAATTACTTTATTTGTGTGATTGAAATATCCATTTTGGATCAAAAAAGTCGATTTTTTAAAAATCGAGAGTTAATGATTATGGGGAGCACTGAACTACTTTGAAGCTTTTCAGCTCGAAGCGAAGAAGGCAGACGACAACTGATGCATCTGAGCGCTTTCAACCCCTATTATTACGAGAGACTTTGCGCATTCAATTAGTTTTTTCAAATTTTAGTTTTGAATGGCTTTGTTGATTTTATTGTTGAAGTTCGACTGTGAAACCTTGTAAATGGCAAGCAACTGAAAGTTTTTGTCGATATGGCACAACGGAAATGCGAATCCTCTGCCAACTGATCTTTAAGAGCGATTTCTAGTCGTTTTCGTACAGAGAAATGGAATGAAATTTTTATAAACGAAATTATGATGTATAACAAAGAGGAAAACGTACGAATGGGTCAGCAACTTTCCCATTCCGATTCACAGGTTTCAAGCCCAGAACAGCAAAGAAGAGGCGGAGGTCAGAGGTCTTCTCAGTTCGGTTTCACAGTCCCACATTCCAGAAGCACTCCAAGTTGAAAGCCAAAGGCTCCAACAGCTGTAGACAAAATTTTCGAGTACGAAAAGTTGAAAAGTTCACTCGATCGCCCGATTTCATACATTTTTTATTGAAAATGACCGTTTCGAACTGCACAATGCTGAGTTTGCCAAAATGGTTTTTTTTTTTTTTCATTTTTTGAGATGTATAAACTTTCTGGTTTCATTCTCTTTGCGTTCGATTTATTTGCGCTTCTACTTCATTTTGGTGTATCAAAATAATAACTTGAAAGTTCGTTTTTTTTTTACCAACGGTAGAATTTATTGAACTGGCAGACGAAAATGAAGTTAATGTGTCCGACAATGAAAGTTTCTTCTCTGCGTCTCTATCACAACCAAGGTTTTCGGAAATCTTTTAAACCACAACCGTAGTAATTTTTCAAAACAAGCCTTATCCGAAGCGAAACGTCGGTCGAGTGACCTTCGCCTGAAGACGTCGCACCTCTCGTTTTAATGCAGACGAAACAGTACGGCCGCTGGAGAGACGTCCAAAAATCGTGCGTTGGAATACAGATGGCCTTGGCTACTTGCCCGTTTTCTTCTCTCTTTTCTGCTTGCGTTTTGTCGAATTCGCGCTTGAACGCCTTCGATACCGGTCAAGCGTTCGAATTTTTGTAGTCATGAACGTTGTGTTCATTTCTTTTCACTTTTCACGTTTGCATTCGCGAAGGTTTCAGCATTTCTACTGCGTTGATCTTGATGCTTGTTCGTAAGGTATGGTTGGATTCACGGAAAATAATAGCAGTGGTCTGTCCAAGAATGTTTCTTACCTCAGAAGTTGAGCTCCGCAGAATGATTTTCGCGAGGACTATACTCAACCAGCTGGCGGGCGGATCCAACGGTGACCTTCTCATTACCTTTGCAATTACCGGCCTTCGGCGCATTGCGTCGCACGTCCATCGATTTTGCTCCGGTCGGCCTTCGCTGACCTGACCGTTTGCCCCCAATTCCTTTCCTGATTTAGGAAGAAAATTCAAAAATTGACTGCAATCATCTTCCGAAGTGAAGAAGAATTTCCTCTCAAATGTTTTGACTTCAATTTTGAATTTACTCAAAATTCTTTTCAGGTCTCATTTCGAAAGGGTATACTTTTGTAGTTGGCTTTTCAGCTGTACCGTAGTTTTAGTTATTTTTACGGATGATTTCAACTTATTTTTTTTCATTCCAGGTAAAATTATATTTTTATGAGGCTTTTTAACTTTCTGGTTCAACCTTTTTCAAATGAAATCTTGACTTCGACGTCAGAAAGAATAAAATTTTGGATGAAATTCCGCTGCTTTTTTCTATCAGTTACGCTGGGTAGAAGAGTTTTGGGACTGGCACCAAGTCATCAAAGGAGGAATTAACCGTGGGGTCGGAATCTCGACGGGAGGTCCACCTATCTCCTCACATATCGCCTTTCCCATGACGAGTGTCCATAAGTGAGTGGATCATGCAAATTCCAGCCCATTTCTTCGCTCCTGACCCACTTCTTCCAATCGATTAGTTCGATTGGGCTTTTCCTTTTTCTTCCTCTACTTCTGAAACTAAAGAGTTTCCTCCAATGATCGCTCCTGCGTTTTTTTTTTGCAAAGCTTTTCTGATAATAAGAATGCTCTCTGATTCCAATGAGAATTCTGACCAAAAGGCTTCCATTATCAATAAGTAAGATCAGTTGTTTTTCCCAAATGGCCTTTCAATCCCTGAGCCATTGAAAACTCGATTTTTGAACTGAATTAGTCTGTTTTGGAAACCTTTTCGGCTTTTATTCCAACAACAATAGACCTGATAAGGAAAAAAAAAACTTTGCGAGTCGGGTCTTCTTAATTAATACATAATCGCACATGGCTTCCGTGTCTTAACTCCGACCAGGGGCTTCTTTAATTTGCACTTCCAACTTTTTGTTCCTTTTTCGATTTATGTTGTCAAAATTCAGTGTAGTTTTGATATGACGAGTTTTATGGAGGATTAACATTTTCCTAATAAAAAATAACAGTGGCGGTTCTGATTTTTGAAGGAAAAAGCAATTATAACAAGTTGAGATGTTTCACCTGTACGCCAGAGCCGTTCCTCAACTTTTTCGATGAAATTGACGAATCTGAGAAGTTCAGAATGACGCTGGACGTGCGGACGCCGCAGATGCCTCCGCCGCCGCCGATGCGCGGAGCCAGCAATCCGCCGACGGCCAAAGTCACGTTCAAAGGCGCCCAGACGTGGAAGGAGTCGATCGGCATGGCTCTGGCTGTCGTTTTGGGCCTCGTCGTCGTTGTGGGTTTTTCTTGGAACCTCCAGCCACCAAAGGAACCTTTATGTATTCCTCTAGTTCATCTTGAAGAGGCCCTGATATCTCTTGAAGGATCCCTGAAGGACATATGTGATATCTACCGATAAGTTGATCGAGGTTCCATAAACGCGTTGATCACAGTGACTTTTCTGAGCTTTTTTGTAACTTGTACAGAAAAAAGAAGAAGAAATTCGTGGCGAAGAAAAGTACGCAAACTGAAGAAAGACAAAAATGCGACGAGTTTTCTGTTTTAAATTCTTGACATTCTCCAACTTTTTCAAAATATCTGTGAGAGTGAGTCTCTGTTAATGAGTGAAAAAATCCCCTAGGGTTCGGTTCATGTTTTTACCTGAAAGGAAAATACCAATTACAGATATCGATACTCGTTCTGCTGATATACGTTTGGCGGGACAAACAGGTCTACGAAGAGCTCGTCGACTATCTCGACAAAACGATCAGCATCTCCAAGATCAACTACAACCCAATGATCGGTCTATACCAACTGAGCGAGAAGGAGCTCGGATCTCTCGGCGAGGAACGAATGGTGAGATTTTTTCAGAAAATCATCAACTTTCCGAAGGTTCTTGCAAATTATCAAGTAGAATTCTTGAAATTGAATTTTCTGCAGAGCTCTGTTGTGGATCAAACGAGTATTATTCCAGATTTTCACGTTTGTCCGAGTGAATCAGGCGATTTAACTACGTGGCCTCTAAAAGCCGAAAAATTCTAGTTTTTATTTTTTCGTCCTACAAAAGATTAGAAACAAAAACGATACGAAACACGTGAATGTGCAAAAAATTAAAATTTTCCGAAAACAAAGTGGATTTTTTGGACGGGGAAGTAATTGATATGATTTTTTCTTCTCAAGTTTCCGAGTGAATTACCATACGGTAGGAAATATTCGATATGATTCAGTACAAAAACCTCCTGCGGACGTATCTTCTGACCGATTTTGGAGTTTTGATTTTCGTCGTTTTGGTCACGTTACTGTACTTTTCTTCGGACGTGGAGTCTGGAACGCCTCACGTCGTTTTCTGGGCAAGTTGATGTTTTTTTTCCCAAAAGTTGAAAAATGAGATATAGGCCCTCTGTGTACTTACCTTAGCTTGCGTGTTCCGAAGCAAATTATTCATATTGTGATTTCTGAAAAGATCAGCCTTTAATGGCTTTATTCATGAAAAGACCTAAAGCCCAAGAAAATGATGCCGGCTTATCTAAAACGCATTAACATTATGTTGCCACTTCTTGCTTTCAAATCCTCGGCACGTGTAGTTAATCCAGAAGATATGTTGAAAAAACAACGGAACACCTGATTTTTGCAACATTTTTCTTTCAACTAATCAAAGAATATTATAATGTTCCGGTTCCTTCTTTTAAAAGTTGTGAGATCAAAGAAAGGGAGTAAAACTGTGCAATGCTCCCGGAGACTTTCAAATAACATTTTACTAGTCTTGAAGTCGGTTTAAGTTGAACTTTAGAAGAGAAGAGAATGGTTCAAGCCCGAGCTGTGCTCTGGGCCAGCCGGGCTGGCCATAGTGTTGCACCGCGGTCGAGAATTTGCCACTTTTCGAATCTTCTTCTCTCGAAAGTTTCATAGAATGTGTAAATGGGGAAGTGAGTGATCCAAAAATATTTTATTTAAAAAAAGTAATCTGAATTATGAAAGGAGAGATAAAAGTTCGCGATTGCAACGATTTTGGGCCGATTCGGCCATCAACCTCGGGCCAACGCATAGCTCGGGTTCAAGTCTATCAACATTTCTACAGACTTCCATATCAAATTCACCACGTTTGGACAAAATTTCGAATTTCTTTGAGCTTTTTTGCTTATTTGAACACTCTTCTTTTTTAATTTTTCTCATGGCTCTTGAATTCTTCAAAATTGTCAAGGCGGAAGGAAGACTTACCCAACGCGATTCAAATGTTCGTTCTCTGAAGAAGTTAATCTAGTCTGGAATATTATTCAGCTGAAGGTTCCTTTCGAAATTTTTAAGAAGCTTAACTCAATATATGGGCTTCTTGTCGAGAAAAATTCAAACTTCATGGGAAAGTTATTACTGGCTTCTCAATAACCAAAACCAATCTGCATGCGATTTTCTGGGAACTTTAAGAGTAAGAATATTCGGAGATTTTCAGAAACTCGCTTTCAAAAAAGTACCCAGAATAGTTTCTCATTCACCCAGTTTAAAAAAATCAAAAATCAAAAATAGAATATCTTTATTTTTAGTTAATATCTTCAAACGTTATACTTTCAAATCTGTCGCTGAATTCGAATAAATGGAAGTCAAAAATGAAGCGAGTTAAATTTCTTCAGCAAATTTTTATGGTAATTCCTCTTTTTCTCGTTCAAAGTACAAGGGAACACGATTGTTTTTATTGAAGAGCCTTTCTTGCTGTTCGCAAACCTCGAGATCGTTTTTTTTGTTTCCCAAATCTCGACGACACAAGATATCCGATTAGGAATGTTATTCCATTCTTCAAACCATAGCTTCATAACAAGTTGATTATCCAAAAAAAGATAATTCGAGTGGATTAGCAAAATGTTTACAAATCGTCTGGCTAACGAGCTCGAGGGTATTGTAGGTTTTGTTGGCCATTTCTTTCTGAAACATTTTCTTGTAATGCTTTTAATCTGTCTGAAAAATAATGATAAACAGGTTTTTTATTTAAAAAGTATCACAACATGCGAAGAAAGATTGATGGAAAGCAGTGGCGACTTGACTTTGAAACATTTATTCAAGAACCAGAAAAAAGTGCGCTTTTTTGTCTAATAGAAAGGCCGATCAGCATTTTGTAGATCCCATTCGTTGCTAGCTTGTGATAAACCTGCACAGTTCGCACGGAAGTGTTTTTTCACATCATAAATCTTCTACCTTAAAAAAGTTTTGTTTTTCAAAAATTTCTAAGCGTTTGGTTATTCAATCCTGGGAATATCAGCTATTGATCATGGGAACGCTCGAACGCAAATTTCAGGTGGTGCTGTCTATTGGAGTGCTGTACGCGGTGGTGCAAGTTCATGTGTTCACCTTCGCGTTGTCGCCTTACTCGGCGATGCTGCCGAACGCGACGGAGAAGCTGCTGAACCACGCGATTCCGCACAACCCGGGCGGTCTGCAGCAGATGGAGCAGCGTCTCGGCTGCACCTTCGACCACAACCTCTACGCCGCCAATCGCCGTCGCATGAATCCTCAGGTATTTTCCGCTTCAGCTCTTCCAACTTCTCGAAGAATGTCATTTTGGGTTGAAGTTTCCGTGTTTTTCCACATTTTCTCCCTTTCGAAGGCCCCCGTACAGATGCATGCATTCCCGGTTTGGATTTTGATTGTCAATGTTTTTCCATTTTCGCCTTAGGCAAACATCTGTGGAGAGTGAGGGACTCTGAAACTTCATCATATCTTCGAAACAGGAATCTCTCAAAAAATAGAGATACCCTTTGACTTTTGAAGAAAATATTTCCAAAATTCCCCCCATCGTTTCAAAATTTTTTCCATCGTGCCAAAGATTTATTTTGAATTGCCTTGTTTTGTTTTCACTCTCAGTTTTTTTCTGTAAGGTCTGTAATCTTCAATTTTCTTTTATTTTTTGGGCGAATTCTTGCTTTTCATCTCCACCCGCACAACCCATGTTTGAAAAAAAAACGAAAAGAAATAACCTGTGATTAGTTTATATTATATATTTTACTGATCGTTGGAAAAAAACAATTATGAATTTTTTTAAACTTGAGTATTTTTTTCGAAAGTTATGAAGAAACGTTGGTTGCTGACCGAAACTTTCTTCCTGTTAGAGACCTGACTTCATTATTACCTACAAATACGGTGGCTACAATTTACCGCCATTCTGTTTCTTGTAAATGAACGAAAGATTTGTTCAAAGCTCTTTCAGTGAAACAATTTTAATTTTATCTATAAAGGTAGTAATCTTCTTACCTGAACATTGGTGTTCCGTCGGATAAAGTTTCAAACAGTGGAGTAATAACTAGAGATGTTTTTTCACGAAGAAATAGCCAGCGCCGGAAATCCAATCATACTACACAGCGGCCGAACGGGAAGTTTTGGAAGACCACCGTGAACTTTGAAAAAGTTGAAATATCATTTCTTGTACGATTTTGTTGTTTTCTCTAGTGGTGATTGTTCTTCGAGGTGCGGGTGGATTTAGCGTCGAAGCCTTACATTTCGAGCAAACTTCGAAGAATGATCCTATATTCCAGAAAATCCTAATCCCCAGTCAAATTATATTTCTATAAATAGCCAGCTGTGAATACCAATCCAGTTTCAAAAAGCAGAAATTACTGAAATGATGACATTGAATATGTTTCAACCCCTCAGAACACGTGCGATCCCCAAATCGAGTCGTCGTTCATCCCTCGGACGGTGCTGTTTGGCCTGCTCGGCGTCCGTCTTCTGCCCGTCGTCTTTTTCTTCCTTCTGCTTCTGAAACGTTCGCCACTTAGTGAAGGGGTCGCCCAGGTCGTGGAGAAACTTCGGCGTCAGGAAAAGAAGCGGTCAGCTTTTCAGGACTTGGAATTCCCAAAACATCTTTTGCCAGTGGTGCTGTTCTAGCTGTTCAAAAGTTTCTACTCGGAAATAAATTCAAAATTTTATTTTAACGCCTTATGATTTTTTCGACCTCAGTTGAATAAAGTTGGAAACCAATTTCTCTTACGAATCGCCTTGATTGGATTCTCGGAAACTGAGTGAAACTTGCAGACTTTACGTGAAGAAGCAGCAAGACGACGTAGGACCTATCAAATCCACGACTTTCGGCGTCACCAACACTCCCCCAAGGTGATCCTTTCCAGCCGAAACCCAGTTTCTCGAATTGTCAATGCCTAAATATAATTCTTGAACCAATCAGGACTTTTTCTCATTCAGAATAACTTCGACTCCTCTCCCGCCGGTTCCTTCGCCGTCGCAACTCGACCACAGTATAAGGTGGGCTTTCAGTTCTTCTGATAAATTCTCAATAATTTGCTGAGTTTTTATCGATGGACCTTTAGCTACAACAACGCCGCCTACTTTGCGACTTCCGGCGCCTACAATTCGTCGAGGTCTAGCGAGATTTCCAGAATCGACGCCAGTGAACTTTTCAAGTGAGAAAATTGAACTAAATATTGGAAAATACAGAAATTTTATGAATTTTTACTAAAAGAGTTTTTCCAGTTGAATCAGTATTATTTTTAGGAATCCGATCAACCGGCATGCTTCCGGCAGTCTACAGTCCGAAGTGTAGAAGCTCAGCCCACAGCTTTTTATTTCTGTCATATTTATTTCAATTACGAGTGCTAGGCATCTCGAAGCTTCATGTCAAAGCTTGTTCTGAAGAATTTTCGGGTCCGAGAGCCCAGCACTCTTCGCGAATGCATCCTCTAACTGTGTACATACAAGTCGCTAATAAGTTGGGCCCAGATACAAAGTGTCGGTTGTCTCCAAACACACTTGTTTGCGGTCAACGCATCAAAGTCGAGTGAACTTTTTTTTTCCTCAGATTTTTCTCCCTCAATCCTTCTGCTCATATTTCTTGCAGTTTCAATATTTTTATTTGGAGCCTTCTAATTTTATTTTCTTACTCTTGCATCAAGAACCCATGTCGTTCCCACTTTCTTTTTCATGATCTTCATTTTCTCCATTTTATTGCCATGTGATAGTTAGCCTTATTTTTTTTTCTTCAGTCGCCTTTTTTCGACTTTAATAAAACAAATTCATCTTGTCATGTCTGGAAAATCTCATTTACTTCATAAAATGAAAAAAAAGTTTGAAAAGCAGCGTCGTTTCCGTGCGGGAAATAAACGTTTGCTTTTTTTCTGGAAATTCATACGACTGATGAGTAGGATCGCAATTTTTTTGAGATCAGGAAGAAAATTCTGAGCATGATATCAGAGTTGTAGCCGTTGTTCAAAGGAAAACTGTCTGAATTAGAGAGATTTTCTGTTTCTTTGTTTCGCCTACACAGCTTTTTTTTTTGTTTCCGTACAATTCATTAAAGTCGTTTTGTCGCTCGCTCAAAGATCTGCAAACAGACTACAACCGGAGGAATTAAAAAGACAGCTCAAAACAAAACGAGGACCAACTCGACTATCGAAGCCCCTAGTGAGTCAAAAAGAGATGCCGAAAAGTCGCTGTTTGTTGATCAACAACGTGCAAATCCTGGCATCAAAAATCCAATCCGAAAGGTCTCGGTTCTGAGGCTCCTAATCGGATAGATGCGCTTGTAAACAGCCTTTCTTCCGTTTGACCACCTGAAAATAAATAAAATTCCTAGGTTCTTCGTCAGGTCAATTATTTTCTTGAGTTGGGAAAAATGAGAAGCTTTTTTTATAGATTCACCTGCTGCCTTAAAAAACTACTTCCTTTATCAAATTTGATAATTTCAACTCTCTCACTTGATTTGAAATTTTGACATTAACGAGGTGGTTTCTGAAGATATGGAAATCCTCAGACATGATTGAAAACTTTGATAACTGAGACAGAATGTGTATTTTTGGTAGTGCCATGATGTCTAATGCTACGAATCCCCAAAAAGAAGGAAATAGTCTGGAATTAGCCAAGATCAGCGGCGATCTCTCAAACTTGGCTCGGCTCCAAATGACGGCGATCGCCGAGCCCACGTTTCTCTTCGGGACCAGAGGAATGGATCAAAATCGTATTGTATGATCCGCTTGGGAATCGACCTCTGAACAGGCTGAGAGAGGCGAAAAAGCAGGATTAATTTGACGAAAAAAAATTTGAATATTACAATAAGAAGCTGCTGGATCAATAAATTTCTAATATAATTAGAGTTTATTAAATCTTACAAGGGAACTCCAGGAATCTGCGAAAAAGTGATAGAACTTTTGAAAAAAAAAAAAGGAATTCATCTCTCATTAAGCCTTGGATTTTGCAATGGTTGCCCTAAATGTTTTGCTTCGTAAAAAATGTTCCGAAATAAAAGAAGAAAAAATTAACTTGTCATTTTGGATCTGAAACGGCCATGAATCCTCGTTATAGGGTTAGAATGTCATTAATACGGCTTTTTATTTTTCATTTTCCTTTTCCTAACTTTTGATTCAACTTAACATTCCACTCAAATGTTCTCCTCTCGGAGATCATTTGTTCAAGTGTTCTTGCAACCTTTTATTGTTCCAATTAGCAGAAGCGCAAAAAACCAAACAAAAAAGTCTGATATTCACGCAGGCTTCCCTGATTCAACAGTCAAATTGTCGGCTTCACTCTATCCAAGGGGAGGAGAGGCTGGACATGAGGCGGAGTCGGAGGCGTGCTCAGCCGGCCATATAAAACGGCAAAGTGTCTGGACGACTCCACCGAGATCCTACCGTTGCTCTCAACAAACCGACCAAAACTCTCGATATTGTCCAGAAGTCGTGCAGGAATCGACGACAGTTTACTTCTTGACCTTTGCCGTCAACTTAAATTTTCTGACTTTGACTCGTTCAACTCGTTGTTCAACTTCATGTTTCACATTCCGGAGAACATCCTCGACTATCCGGACGCCCATCACCAGCGAGCCCAGAGGTTTCTGAAGATGAGCTTGGCCGAGAGGCGAAAAGGCTTCCGCCGAAGTCTCACCGCCATCTATTAATTTACAACATTCTACCTTAGTTTCATCTTTTACCTAGTTCGTCATGTTGTATAACCATATTCCTACAGTTACTTGTATCTTTACGGTTTCTCGACTGTTTGCGATTTCCCCCGTCGATATCCCTGCTCGTCGCCGATGCGGCCAAATCTAGTTTTTTTCTTCTTTTTGCCATTTATGTTAAATTGTGCCAATACGGGAAACCTAAGATCTCAAATATTAGGTAAACCAACCGGTATTTCAATTGTTTCTGTTTTTTTCTGTTCATCTTTACTATACATAGGAAGTTTGACTGTTGTTGTTCACGTTGACCATACATATTTTGTTTTCCAAGAATTTGAGAAATAAAAATTTGGTTATGAAAAGAGTTTGAATGAATTGCCAACGAGAAAGAAAAAAAGATGGTTGTGTATGAATAATGGGTAACTAGAGCACCTTTTCTCGCACTTGGCGATGTGTTCCAAAGTTCTAGTTCTATTGGTGGATCTAGTCCAAAAGTATCGGAGTTATAAATTGAGTTAACGATACCAACTTCTTCATCTTTTATCTTATCCGGCAAAGAGTCTCCCATTGAGATTCCTCGGAGGTTCTCGATTTTTAACACACTGGCAAGCACTTCGAAGTCGAGCTTGGTCAGAGGATTCAGGTCTTTTGTAAAATTCATTTATTAAGATTATTTCCAGTCCGATTCGTATCCTCGACCATCCGTTTCGACCACATTTTTCATTCTGACCGTTTGACCATTTGACCATTTTTGAAAACTTTTGAAAATCATACATTTGCAAAGAGTTGTGACATGTTTTTGATTAAAATATTCCTTAGACTGGATCAAAATCCGTGAACTCGCTAAGTGGGCGAAAAGGTGAGCTAGAACGGCCAAATACCTTCTATTTGTCTGAAATTCTCAGCGAAGAAGACGAACTTTCTTCAAAATGCTAAGGTATCAGAACTGGTACCAGCTGCTGGAATAATATCTCATCTTCGCTCCGATTGAACAAAATACATCTCAAAATCATGAGAAAGTTCAAAAAATATACAAGATGAGTTGAATTCCAAAGATCGAAAACCTTTTCGAGTTATTTTAGAAATCCCAAAGTCCTTCAGAAAAATTTTCAATATGAGGCTTCGCGAGTGTTCTGATCCTTTAAGGTTGTGAACTTCTTCAAAAAATTAGACTTTATTTTTGCAGAAATGTCGGCTTTTTCGACTGACCAGTGAGAGATCACAGCTTCTCACCAAGAAAGGATCCGATAAAGCTGGTTTTACTTTGAACGATTTCCAAACTAAAAAATTTTTTAAACCGGAGAAGTAAGCTTTGAACTGATTAATGTCAGAAACTGGCGATCGAAAAGAAAATTTCTTTTTTCTTCTTTCTTCAAAAATCTGATTTTCCACTGAAGATTCCGGAGTCACATGGTCCGAAAAATAATCTGATATTATTATGTGAGTATAAAAAAGTTTCAATGAGAACGATTTCTTTTGAATCATCTCGTTAGGTTTGAAACCACCCTCTTCTTATTCTCTTCACAGCTCTTTTTTAGTTGATCATCTGAAATATCAAGAGATAGGTTTTTGAATTTGAATAGAAATGTTTTCCACGCGCCCTACACCTTTATTATATCTTTTTTTATCGAAAAAAATTCATAAAAAAACAGCTTTTTTTAAACTTACACAGTCTGCCTATTAAAATGTCATTTAATTGGGTTTTTGCAAGCTCCTAATGCCAAATTCATCATTTCTGGGTTTCCGTCTCGCCTTTTCGACCTTTGATAAAAAGCACTCGTTTAGGAAAAAAAGTTGACGTTTTGATTTCTCTACAAACACGATAATTGAGATAATCAGTTTTTCAAATTTATTGGATTATGTCGAGCCGGAAATTGCTCTTTTCGTACTCTTGAACATTCTGAAAAAAATCTGAACGTCTGCTGATTAGGCGGAAGCATTGAAAAAACAATTTCGTATTTTCTATTCTTTTTTCGTTTTCACAGAGGTATTCTGTAAGAAGAATAAAATTAATAGTTCATTCATCGCCAGATCGATCTTATAACAAAAAAATAATATAAAGTTTTAGAATATTTTTGACGCGTTCAAATTTCCAAGTATTCTCCACTTGGACACGTCAAACAGAGTCGTACAACTGAGCAGTGACAACTAAGCGGATCAATTTCCTGATCTGTTTTCACGGACATCAAACTTGTGAGAAACTTGACAGTCAGAAAACTTTCAGAGTACTGGACAAAAATCAGTCTAATTCTGATTATCTACTATTTAAAAATAAGCTATTTAGTAATGTATCACGAAACACGGAGATGCTCTGTGAGCAGTACAACTTTTGCATCTTCGCTGACCGAGAATTGATTTCATATCAACTTATCAAAAAAATAAAAAATAAAAAAAGGGATTAAAAATTAAGAAGATATTTGGGGGTTGATTTTTTTCTCTTTTTCTAGCACAATTTCCAAAAAAAGTTTTTTTCGCGTTTTTTTCAGATAGAAGTTATGAGTGTATTGGTCTATTTTGTGCGCAAGAAAACTATAATCTTTCCGTTCCGTGGGCTCGAAAGGACGATAATCACGTTGAGACCTTTCACTTTTTCACGGCTCAAATAGTTTTTCAAAGGAACTCGTCTATTCAACATTAATTCTTTTCTTTTCCTGGTATGACAAACTTCCCTCTTATTGAAAAAAAAACCATTGTTACCTTTAATAGGCTCGCCATATCATAGAACAATCTTGTATGAAGTCCATTGTGTTATAACTTAATCCGAAGGAAGAGATTACAATTATTTTATTCTCGAAAACCCTAGATTATTTGATTAATCTCAGTTTAAATGAAGCGAAGTTCGGCATTAAATTGTATTTAACTGCCTTATCTTTTCAAACTAAACACAAAATCTACAAATTTTTAGCGAAAAATGACTTATTTGTTCGCCACCCACAAACGCTGCAAGTAACTACAAAAAACGATACAAAGCTGAATGGCGAATATAATTTTTGCAAAAAGTGACCAAGTAAACAGAGTTTACTTTTTTTCAATCTGAAAAAAACAGCCACAGATTCTGACCCAATGCAAATGCTACGAGATTTCATGGTAATTCTCTCTAATCTCTTCTCCTTATCCTTATTCTAAGCTTTTGAAAGTGTGTAGATAGACTAATTGAATATTTCAATTAATGAGCCACCTTCTACTCTGACATTCACGTTCGTCTGATGGATGAACTATTCCTGGCATAAAAGGAAGAGATTTGTTCGGGAGAAGGTGGCAAGCGATAATCTCTTCTCAATGGGGAAACAATTATGAGAGATTAGAGACTTCTCCTACGCTTTCTTATCATTTTTCGAGCGCCATCATTTTCAATCACAAAAAGTTGCGGAACCAACGACCTGCAAATGGAACAAAAATAGAATTTCAGGTAAAATGGATATGATTCGCAAAGAATAATAAAATGTGAACACTTTTGAATCTGAACCTTATTATTTTTGAAAGTCTCTAACTTTTCACCCAAAGTCTGTTTTAATTAGATAAAAATTACCTCCTCGTCGTTAAAAGATTGCTACTTTCGAATAGAAGAGACAATTTACGTCAGGAAGCAAAATTTACATCCAATTTCAGATCTTTTGCAAACCACCGAGTTAAACATTGTTCCTGGGGGAAAAGTTATTCGTCAATTTATCAAAATTCAATCACTGAGAAAGTTATCAATGATTAAACCAAACAAAAAAAAACTCTTAGTGGAACAAGTTGTTCTTTGTCAATGCCAACTGAATTCAATCTTTTATCAAAAAGTATAAATTGCAATCAAGCAGAATAAAACAGTCGGGAAATGGAGCAAAACATGCAAATAAAGCCTGTTTTCGTTGTATCAAATATAAATATAAAAGAGGATCTTCCTTTTCGAATAAAAATTCCATTTTGGTGGGTTTTTTTGGAGCAAAAGTTTTTTTTTTCGATTTCCTTTTTTTTTCGATTTTCGAATGCCATGCCTGCGCACAAAGTTTCGAACACACGTCGGACAAAAGATTTTCAAGGTGTCGGAAAATCACTACGAACTACAAATTTGTGTTTCATCGAAATTCAGCCGTCTGCTTTGAAGAACACTGGCTTATCCGAGAACTCTAAAAACACAAAAAAACATGTTCTTTTTTCTTTCTGATGGAATTGAAACTAATGTAAAGACGTCAACATGGGCAAGAAGTAAAAAAATACATATAATTATTAAAAAAAGAAATACCAAAGTTAGTGCAGGTTAAAAAGATAGCGTGGAATTGTCCTCAGTTTGATGTCACGACATCTGGAAGTATTCTTTACGAGCTTCGCCAGTCGTCTTCACTCTGTAATTCAGGCAAGTTGGAGTCAGTTGATTATTTCAAGATTATCACTTGAAATACAACATACTGATATGAAAAAAATTAATAAAAAGAAAGCCGTTGGAATTATTATTTTTTCCACTGTAGATTTAGCTTAAAAACTCCTCGCAGAACATAAAAATAATTACCTCCCCTGTCTGTTGCATTTCAAACACTCGAAAGGTTTCGGCACAGAAAACTCGTTTCAAATCCTTTTCTAAACTCTGAAAGCCCTATTTATTTTTCTCATTCATTCATTTTTGTCACTCAAACACAAAAAAATGTGATCTGACTGATTGGGCGCTCTTTGAAACAGTAGGAAAAGCTTGGAGAAAAATTTATTCTCAAATAAAGTACAATTCTTTTTTGAATTCTGGCGCATAGTGACTCGAAGCGAACAGAGATTTACAACATCTACAAATATTAAAGACGCCAAACACGTTGACCTCACAAATAAAGGACAAAATATCGCAATCAACGATTTTTAATCTCGTTTACTTATCAAAATTTCGTCGGTCAAACATATTTCTGAACGTTGCAAATGAAAGATTGCCTAATAATAAATATTTATGACCTTGCTCAGAAGAAATATTGGTTGCCTTGAATTAAGACATTTTATGTGGCGGATTTATTTAGGTTCCATTCTACGCCTTCAAATCCGACAAAGTAGGGAAGATGCATAAAAATTTGAACTCTTATCCTGGACCCAATGAAATCGCAAAGCTCGTCGTGAAAAATGGAAAGTGGAACTGGAAAAATGTTCAAAGACGAGCGGGTTGAGAGTCAAAGGAGGCACTCATCCAGGAAGGGTCCGACCGCAGCGACATGTAGTCGGTGCGGCCACTGAGAGCGCCGGCGGAGGTCGCGTCCCAGTCAGCCAGAGCCGAGTAAAACGAGATTCCGTCGGTGAACGACGTGCTCACTCGGCTACTGCAAAAACGTTCTTCACCGCGAGTTTCGGGGCGGACAAGCGCAACAAGAAGAAGAAGAAGACGTTGAAGACAAGGACCGACAGGCTTCCGTTATACAAGCGATGGAGGTTAGAAAGGCTCAGAACGATCCACTAACTCAAAGGCTATTCGCACGCCGCTGTGGAGCTTCGATTAGAAATCCAGAAAGATTTATTACATCAATCTACATTTAAATTGGCATTTCCACACGATGGGTCCGTAGTCAAAGGCGGTTGACTTGAATGAAATGGGGCGGTTGTTGGTCAGCGGCCCCAACGCGGTTCGCTGCTCTACAACATTTTCGATTTGCTTTTTCTGACAAAAAGAAAATAAATAAACGACGAACTACGCACTTCTAACAGAACAAAGACGAACTAAAAAGAAATTGGCGTGGCAGCATCGAAAATGAGAGAAATTGGAAAAGTGGAACTAGAGACATTTAAAAATAAATGTTTAACAGTAATTAACAGAGAAAATCGAAAAATTCAAATAGAAATGTCGAAAAACAAACAATTAAACAGTTCAAGACAAGTATATTAGAAAATAAAATAGATATAGAAATGCAGGGAACAAGAAAAATGCAAACTGTGTACGAAACATCCGTGCGGTTCACCATTGAGCAGATAGCAAAGAACGACAAAAAAGGAGAGAAAGCCCCTTTTGAGACGTCTCAGTAATGGTCCATGTAACGCATTTCGGTGAGCTCTGTTCGGTCGTAGGCCAGAGGCGAAGGCTGTTTCCAGAGACTGAAATCCAGACAAGAGAGTTGGTCCAGCGGATGCGGGCAACGGCCAAAAGCACAAGGACATCAAACTGTTGTTGGAACGGAAAGCATTCACACAACACGAAAAGAAAACGAGAAAAAAATGGAAAGACAGCAAATTTCACAACGAGTCACCGCATTCAAGATTCTTTCTTTGGAATTTCAAGATGAGTTTTAAACATTTGAAACCTCTCACTACATACAGTTCGCAAACAGACTTCACTGTGTATCCATAAACAGCTTATCATTTTCAGTAACAACAAAACTGTTTAGCTATGGAACGCATTTGAAAAGAAAAACGTCAAGCCCTTCGGTTGTTGTTTTTCGGCACGCCTTCGAAAACCCGAAAAAAAAGCCGTTTTTGGATGCATTATATGAAAAAAACTGTGGCCCTATAAAAACATGCGATACATAATGGATAGAAAAGGCTTTTCGAAAAAAAAAACCAAAAAGAGAAACTAAGTTTTGGGAAGGAGAATGGTCCACCCTGGAACAATAACAGAGGAGGAAACGACTAAATTTTAACAGCAATCAATGGATCAAGCCGCAGCTCGTTGACAAAAGGCTCTGCGCCCGACTTGAAGCTGCTTTGCTGGCTTCTTGGCGAGACGAGGGTGAGATGAGGCGTCCGCGGCACTCTGAACTATCAATCGCAGTTCATACGGCGACCTTCTCCACATAAATGACAGTTAGCCGTGCACCAGAGGGTTGTCAAAATCATGCATTCCACTTGAACCGATGCAGTAAACGAATATGATAAGAGAAATTTCAAGAAGTTCAGAAAACAGAGGAGTAGGAGGAGGAGAAGGAAGAGGAGAATTAGCGCAGAAGCCTTAAGCCCCAGTTGGAAGCAGAGGACGGACAAGTCGGCGAGTAGTTAGGAAACCGCGAACCGAAATGAATGGCTTGAATTATGAGCCATGCCAGAGCCCCGGTTATTCCATCGTACCTTTTACCAAGAACAAATCCCTAGCAGAATTCGAAATCGTTCAAATTATGTCTTAAATTATAACACATGTAGCGTTATTTCTTGACAAGCATAGCCCAGTTCATGATGTAAATAAATAAAAGCTTGATGGTCAATTGTTACAGAGTTAACAGAAGCGTGTTCTACAGCCGAGTTGGGTGGACGAAAACCACGAAAATAAATTGGGAGATAAATCTGACATGGGGAGTCATTTTACCGTTCCTACTGGAATTTTCTATAAATTTGCTGAAACAGTCTTTGATGGACCGGGAATCGATCCCACATATTGGCTATCTGCGCAAACTTTTCGTTTTGGAGATATGAAGTTTTAAAGTTTTCATCGGTTAACACGTGACCTTGTTGCGAAGGAATGTGGCCGCGCCACAACCACCGAATGGCAGCTAGGAGCGTGGTGCCGTCGGTAGCGAAGTAGTCTGCGGAGCCCATGACGAGAGTTCGAATACTTTTGCCGCTAACTTTTTTTTGCCGATTTTTTTTTGAAGTTATGATGAAACTACGAAATTTTTAGGACCAAACACGTTTCAACCAAGTTCGATAGCTCTCATTTATACATAAAAGTGCACTTTGGTATTAATTTTATTCTGAAGCTATCGAACTTGGTTGAAACGTGTTTAGTCCTAAAAATTTCGTAGTTTCATCATAACTTCAAAAAAAAAAGATCGGCAAAAAAGTTAGCGGCAAAAGGATTCGAACTTTCGTCATAGGCTCCGCAGTCTACGTCGCTACTCACTGCGCCACGCGCCTATCTGCCACTCGGTGGTTGTCAGTGCGGCCACATTCCTTCACATCAAGGTCACGTGTTAACCGACGATAACTTCAAAAATTCATATCTCCAAAACGAAAAGTTTGCGCAGATAGCCAATATGTGGGATCGATTTCCGGTCCATCAAAGAGTGTTTCAGCAAATTTACAGAAAATTCCAGTAGGAACGGTAAAATGACTCCTCATATGAGAAAAAGATTTTCTCACCGGAGAAGGGTAGCCAGTAAACAGACTTCTACTGTTTTGTCCCTTTTTCTTTTTGAAGAGATTCCTCTCCGATTATTTCATAGTCTTTTCCCATCCAACCCTACTCTACAGGTTTAAAGGTGAAAAATTACACTGATGAGCATTTCCAGAAGCTTATAAAGGGTTCAAAACCAAGTGAAGTCAGCATTGGTTCAAATTCACAGACAGTTTGAACCGTTTATAGGCTTGACGATGGTGACTGGAAGAGGAACTCACAGCCGTTGGTTGGCGGGGTCGACCTCGTTGGTGATGATGACGGATTGGGTGCTCACCACATTGCTTCCGTTCGTGTGGTCGTTTACCGAAGGCCCAAGCGGCCTCATCTTTTCTTGCCTGGAAATATCGAGATCTCGAATCTTTTCTCAAAAATTTGGTCTTATTTTTAGATTGATTAGTTTCAAAAAAGCATATTGTGCAAACTATATACTTTCGGTCTGAGATTATGATGCACCAAGAGCCGATTTTCCCTTCAAGCATTTTTCAACAAATGTTGAAAACATTTTTTGATTTTTGCTTCTGTAAAAATGTCCCTTAAAATGAAAGTAAATCCCCGTGGATTTCGTTTTTGATGTAAAGATCAACAGATTTCATTGACAAGAATTCTCAAAATCCTGTATTGAAGCTTGTCCTCCACCTATTCAAAAAAATGAAAAAAACATTTATATGCTTTAATTACGCTTATCCGACTTTGATAGTAATGGAAATTTGGACCGAAAAATTCCCTTAAGTTACAGAATTTTACAAATGTTCATCTTAAAAACTTTTGAAATGCCTTCTGAAGTTTTTGGCAAATTGAAATATGATAGAAGCATGTTAAGTAACATTAAATCTACCAGAAAAAATTAGTAAATCAAAAAGAAACCAAGAAAATATCGTCTTTTGGAACATTCGCCAAACGATTCTCTTTAAAAGTTCATGATGCCAGTTAATGTTACCGAATCAATCCAAAGTCGTTGACTGGAACCGATGATGGAATTTCCCGTCGTTTGAACACTTCGGCGACGAAGAATGCCTACGAAAGATCTGATAAGATAAAAATATTCAAACAGCCAGTTTTTATATTTGCTCCTCCAGAATGGATTTTTTTTTGAAATTTTGTGAAACCCAACCGATTTGAACCTATGAACCGCAAATAATTTCAATGATTCATGACAGAAACAGCGAAAATCTGAATTTTTTTTTGAATAAAAAAAAACATCGGTTTGATAAGTAAATCCCTAATAAGAAGCATAGCAAATTGTGGATCATAAAACAAATGTCATTCGAAAAATGATCTCACCACGAAGATTCCAATGGCACTGCCCATGAGAGCGCCAACGAGAACGTCTGACCAATGGTGCTTGTAGTCAGATACCTAAAGAAAGGGTTTTCGAAACATTTCAGGGTAATTCAAGATTCGCAACGAACTCTGGTTAGTGCGACGTAGGCGGCGCCGCCAAAAAGAAGGAATTGGATGACGGGAATCAGAAGACGCGAGAAGAGGGGCCGGAAAAGACGAGCTTGCAGGTAAAGCTGAAGAAATCTTTTGAAAGAGTTCTGCGCTCATTTCTTGCTTTTTAGAGTACGCAGTTTAAAGTTTATTTCAGAATGGTGTCAAAAGTTACCGAGGTGAACCAGGCGCCGTAAAAACTGAAGGCGGCGTGTCCTGAGTAAAAGGAGAGCTGAGACTCGTGGATCAGCTTCAGGTCGGACGTCGTGCAGTTGAAATCCGTGATGTAGAGGTCCGGGTTGACGCACTGAAAGCCATTTTTCTCTCAATTAGAAACAGAAAAACCATTTTGAAGAAAATCTCGAATGAACTAAAAACAGCGTCTAAAGAGATTATCAAACGTCTGGCCTCACCTACTCATTATAAATTCAAGGAGCTGTCTCTCTTCTTCTTTTTGTCTAAAAATGAATACCTGAAGATATCCTTGGCTTGGGCGACAGACGTCCATAAAGTGCGGCCTTTGTCGTCCGATCGTGTACTTGGCAATGTCCACCATCAGTTGGTTGAAGCAAACTCCGACGAAAAAGTACCCTGAAAAAAAAATTTAATATACGAAATATGTGGTTTTGTACCGATGAAGCAATAGAGACGGACGAGTAGCCGGTGTACCGAGTGGTTTCGCACCTAAAAGCTGATTTGACAGATCCACTGGGGTGTCAAAAAAAGATCAGTTGAAAATTGAACAAACATGATAAGTTTTGAATTGGCCTTCGTACTTGCGCTCCCAAGCGATCGCGCGGAACAACTCTGTGGCTAGAATCTGAAAAGATGACATTATAAAAAGAAAAGAAAACAGAAATGACCAAGAGAATGGGAATCAGAAGACCAACGACGATGAGCATCTGGCGAGTGACGGTCGACGGCCGGTACGGATATCGGATCGTCTCGTCGTCGCAGTAGAAGCCTCGTTTGTACGGCACGACCCATTCGTGGAAGATCAACAACGGCGCCGCTGAAATGTTCAAACGAACTGCGTTGTCAGAATCAGTTTTGGCAAATCTTTTGCAAAGATATACTTCTTTTGGCAATGAACATTTTCAGTGATTTCACAGGCTTAGCGCAAATAACTCGGAAAATATTACGACATGAAAAAAGACGTGTAAAAAAACTCACCGACGAACAAAAGGACGATGAAATCGCAGATGACGCGACCCAGGCGAATCGTATTGTTCTCGTCAACCATGGCTGCTTCTGGAGCCCACGCGGAGACGTTCGCCAAGAAGCGGCCCGCAGGACCTTGAATTCATAAATTTCAAATCGAAAAAATCACTTACTGATAGCATAAATATGAAACGACCTGCTAAATAAAGAAAATAAAGCATATAAGCTTATCTAGACAGAAAAAAAAAACAAAATGTGTTCCAGTCAAGTTTTCTATCAATTTTTTTTTTGCATGTTAATATTTGATCTCGGATTGAAGATTCTATTTGACACTTTATCGGTAGAAATGAACATTTTATTTTATTCATACAAATTCATAGAAATATATTCTAAGGTTTACTGACAAAGTAAAGAATCATATATGAACTTCTTTCAAAAAATTGTTCGATAAGCTAATTTTTTTTTGGAAAAAATTAATAAATAACAATTTGATCAATATCAAAATTGTATTGCTTTTGAACGGGAAAACGAATTCAAAAAGTTTCTTCATATTAAGTTCTTTGCGAACTAAAAAAGTATTATAAAATAAAAAAAAGTATACGCATTGTGTCTCTCTAAGTTGACACGGAAAAAGAGCACAATAGTTTCCGCGAGCGGTTAGAAAGCAAACAGAAAAGAAATAGAGAAGAATGCGTTGTAATCTTTGTGAGACGGAAAATTGAACCACGAAATTCATTTCTGTGAAACTTTTACGATTGAATCTAAATCATTTGTGGTACTTTCAAGTTTTTTTTAATTATGTGAATGCATTCCGTACAGGTCAGAAAAACAGAAAATCGATAAAAAAAGGCACCGGCCGCCAAAAAAACGCCTTGTTTTCGAGACCGCAATGCGACAACGAGAGAAAATAGGGTTGAAGAAGGAGTGGATGTCGCAGTCGATAACCCCACCGCAACCACTCAAAAACAAAAAAATATTTTGAAGTAGCTATTTCAAAACTAATAGTCGTTCTTGAAGACAATTGATTCGCGTAGATATCATGAATAACTTCGATCAAAGGTAAAAAGATAGTGAACGCGAATTAAGTTGGATGAAACTGATACGAAGCCCCGTGCAACTATATATTTAAAGATTACAAATTTATTTCTAAACTTTTTCATTAATGGCAAGATAGCTTGTCAATAATGTATTTTCCAGAATAATTGGAAAAATGAGCAAAAAAAACGTAGAGGCGCGAAAAAGAAGCAAAAAAGATTTTTTCGGACTCAATTTTAAAATCTTTGTAAATTTGCCACAAGATAGCGTGAAAAAAAGAGAAGGACAGCGAAAAGCATGAAAAAATAGAAAAGGTAGCTAAAATATATTAACATTGTGAAAAATTTCCCGAGAGAGGGGCGAGTATGAATATATTTTCACGTTATTTTACGATAGTTTCAACGTCTTTATGCACAGCGACGCATTCGCTGATGCATTCAAAAAATTGCAATTGAGAGAAATTTCTTTCAATTTTAATTTTTTCAGAAAAGGATAAACTTATTTTGGTTTTTTCTCTACTCTAAAGTTGTTTTTATTATTGCTGCTCCCTCGATGTTTTTTTGGCGCTCTAACCGAAATTATTTTTTTCAAGTATCCGTTGAAAACATTTAGAACCACCTTTTCTCGTCGGCTTTTCCTTATTTACGCACTGTTTCCATTTGTCTATGAACTGGAAGAGGAGGGAAAACAAAAAAGACAGGTGTGACTGTGAAAATTCAAGAAAAACGGGATATAATAGCAAAGAAAACTATAAAAACTTGCAAACTTGCAAAAATATTGATTCTTCATTGCATTTTGAATGAATCAAATTTGATTTTAGAACCTAGAATGTGACCTGTCGAAAAACACAGACGAATCGGGAGAGTACCACAACGTGTCCACAAAGATATCTCTCAAAATGGATCGGAGACCCCATAATGTCCTTCGGGAGACCTCCGGCATACCTTTTAGCTATGTCTGAGCCATCTCGGAGGTACTTCAAAGTCTTTCTCAAGTCTATCTCATTTTGCTCAAAATCCTCAGAGGTATCCTCGAGGTACCATCGTGAGACTTTAGAGCCTGCGATATACCTCGGAGAGTCTCGCGATATTCTTTCTCGATTCGCCTATGAAGATGGACTCACCACCGTAAAACAGCCAAAAAATTGAGCGCTAAATGTGTTAGTGGAAATTTTCAACCAGATTCTTTTCTGTGAGAAGTTTATTTTTCAAACCTCTCAAACTTTTTTCTTTTGCGAAGAAAAGGGAAAAATACTCGATTCTTTAATCTCACAGTGGGAGATGAAAGATGCAGCTGCGTGAATGGGAAATCAGCTTCATTCGGCTGAAAAAAGTTTCATGAAGTTTGAAAGATCTGTGTAAATTCATCTTTTGGATTTTAACAGACTTTTTGCCAGTCCTTCGAATTCTTTCTATCAAAGAGTTTCGAAAAATAGGTATTTTGGAAATTCTTGTGAAAAAAACTACTCTGACATAAAGCGCGACAAGGACGCCACAACTCTTTCTCTGATACGCACTATTTCGTCGTTTTCTCATATAGATAGTGCGCATCAGAGAAAAAGTTGTGGCGTCCTTTTGGCGCTCCATTTCTGAGCTAATAAGGGAATCACTGAACTGTTTATTTTTTTTTTTCGATTTGCTTCTTGGAAATTGTTTCAAATCGTAATGATTTTTTGCTGTCGGCTTCTTTCTGACGCTTGTGACGGCGGTCCTCTTTGTTGGACCAAGACCAGATCTCGTTTCTACTATCACTTATCCACATATCATCTGCCAAGTGGTTTCGCAGTCTTTTTCTCCACACGGTCACTCAAAATTATTTGCGTTGTCATCCGGTTTTGACGGTTCTCACGCGATTGCGAATACGATGGCGCAATCCTCCCCGGAGGCGTTTTTGCTTCAAATTTCACCAAATGACCTTTTTGATTTTTTCTTGTGCAGATTCCTGTTTGAAGATCGAAGTAATCGTAAAATATGGCTTGTCTTTCATCTCTGAAAAATTGACATACATTTTGACGATCTCTTTTTTTTCGCTTTCCGAGATATGAACTTTTCAAAGCATATGAGCAGTAAAAAAGTAGGGTTTGCTGTGAAAGCAATACCGTGGAGAGCGTTGTGCATCGAGCGGTATTCTTGAAAATGTATAGAAACTTTTTTTCAGATCTTGGCACACTCAAAAATTAAAATTCAGCCTTCATCCCTTCTTCAAGAATCTTCTTTCAAAGTTTATTCGTTTATTAACCGTTTTTTATGAATTCTGAACGTTTCTGCCGAAGAGCTAGGTTTTCCTCTCAACTCTTCGGTGAGCTGTCACTAGTTTCGTTTCAAAACTCGAAACACGTGTTCTGAACGTCTCTGGTTGCCACAAAGGAACTTGGTCGATCGTGTCGAGAAGCAACGTCAGACGGACGACTCCTAATTGGCAGCGATTGGGCGAGCTTCTGCCGATTGTTCAGCCCGGATTACAGAGGTCCGCGATGGTTTACAGCGACAAGACAAGGTCACGAATCACGACGGCCATTCCAAAGAGGTCCCTAATCTCTTTTGTCCTCTTGAGTAACTTGTTCTGTTGCAGTAATGTTATTTGTTCACTTCTGAACCCTTTAAGTATTACTAAGTCCAGTACCAACAAAATATAATTCATGCAAATCTCGTAAATACCAAAACGCACATCGCGCCGTTCATACACCGAGCCTCAAAAAAGTTTCGCTACGTTTTCACCGGCGCTGAATCCGCATTAGCAACAAGTGAATATCTCGTCCATGCAGTTTCCCTACCGTTTTCACTGGCTTTCGCTGATTTCCACAGGGGGATTCGTTTTTCTTTTCTCGCTATCGGGTTGGGATTTTTTCTCACGACTCTTTTCAAATGCTTTAATTTTCATAATCATGCTTGCTGTTTTTGAAATTGTTTCTTAGGAGTTTTTGTTTTCTTTTCAAGCTTTAGACTGCGTTTAGATACAGGTGAAGATATTGAAATATCAGACTTTAATAGGAGTTAATGTTCGATTTGAGCTCCGAAATTTTAACCTCGTTTTTTCCAAGCTTCTTCTATCTGGACTGACATTTCAAAGATGTCTAAAGTATTACATTTTTTTAAACCTACTGGGAATCTGATTTTTTAACGACGCGTTTTCAAAGAATGCGAAGTAAATTCACTCTCTGCTTCCCACGGCCATTCACAGGTAGCTTTGTGGAACGCCGTGGGAAAATAAAATCAAATCACATCGTTTTACGAGCACCGATGTTCACCCGAAGCGCCAGAACGACTCGTTCTTAGCCGCTGCAGTGATTTATCGTCAAATTCTTCGAAGGAACCATTCATAAAAGCATTGATTGTATTTCCTTGATCAAATGTATCATACTCAAAGCTTTTCTGTTTTTTTAATCATCGAAAAAGAAGCTTAAAAAACTTTGCCACTTAAAACTTTTATGCCCCTTCATAGGCAAAGTCGGAAGGACCCTCCGAGGGTCCATAAAGGACCATAGAAATGTTCCTTTTAGGGTGATGAAGGCTCTCTTTTTGCTGCCTTTTTGCTCCATTTTCTCAGCCCTTATGCACCATTTTTGCTGCCTCTCCCTTTCTCCACCATTTCTCGAGCCTTTAAAATCCCAGAAAAATGGAAGGCTCGTTAAAGGGAGTCTCTTTGCTGCCTTTCGCTGCCTTTTTGCTGCCGTTCGCTGCCTTTTTGCTGCCTTTCTGCGGCCTTTTCTGAGCCTCTCCCTTTTAGCAGCCATTATCCACCATTCCGACTTTGCCCGAGTTCTAGGAAATTTAGAAAATTCCCAGTAATGCTAATCTTCCGATCAGCACTTTCATCGATATTTCAGGTTGGAAAAATCTAAAAAAAATAGAATAGGCGGAGTTTCGGCACTATGAGATAGTCGCTTTTTTCCTGGGTGGTCGTTCTCAGCGCGTGCCTTTTGTAATATCCCGACTCTTTCACACGTTCTCTATCATGCAATTTTTTCCTATAAAGCCGTCAGATGTCGCAATTTTTCTCTTGAAATAATGTTTTGCCTTAGTAGAGGTCTCATATAGAGCAAAGGTTCTGAAAAAAAAATTATTATCTTTTCTCTGACGTCCTGAAAAAAACTTGCATTGATAATTCTTCAAAAGAATTTATTCTGGATCGATTCAACTCATTCCGTCATCAGTCCTTTTTTCAATTCATTCAGATCAGGGTGGACTTCACAGGTTCGCATAAAAACTATCATTTCATCAAAGTTTTTCTTAGATTCGAAACAGGTTGAATGAGTCGTACCCTTGTTCATCGCGGTCCATCTGAGAGCATCAAAGAAACGCATAAATACATGTGGCGGCTCTTCTGCGTGTGTAAAACACACAAACACGCCTCTTCAGCTTTTCCTTACAACGAAATCAAGCCGTGGCGATTAATTGCGGGCTCATTTTGCCGCAAGTTTCCTCTTTTTTTCAATATGACCAGAGGAGACAGTTGAAATACTTTTTGACAGAAAAAACCTCAAAAAAAAGAAAAACGTAGGAAAATTTTACTCCTACCGGCTGTTTCAAAGTTTCGCGCGTCAAAAGTCTGAAATTGAAACCACATGTGACGAAAAAAAGCTCTCTTCTCAAGTTTTTGCACAGAGATAGCTGCAATAAACTTTCTCTAGACTACAAAACGAGAAGGCAAAAAATATTTTTTTTTATCTTTTGATGTTTTCAAACTTTCTCCGGATTCACGTGGTTGTAATTTTAAAAAATTGAGAAAATGAGAGAAACTCGCAAAAAAGTTAACCTTTAGATGTCCATTGGAAACGTTTTTTTTTGCATTTTATCTTACGGGTTGTTGCAATAAAGAATTTTCCGGTCACCGAGTTGAGTAATGCGCCGAGTGATTCAGCAAACAATGGATATTGACAATCTTCCCCCGCTTTTTTTCATCCCGCCGAGATCATTTTCGAATTCTGAAAGTAGAAAAAAGAAGCAAAAAACGTCAAATCTGCCAAGCACCTTCGTCTTTCATTTATATCCATATGCCGTGTTTGATTGACTCGCCGCAGCTTTTCTTTCATCTTCTCGTCAAGATTTCGAGTTTTTGTCTCGTCTCTACTCTGTCCGCTGTTCAGTGCTGAACATCTAACTACTTGCAAAAAAGAACAGTAAACCTTTTTTTTACGTCTTTTAATTTAATTTCATAGCTCCTGCTGCTTAAAGGTGAACACATGCTTTTAAGTTAAGGCTTGAAAATTCTCACCAACTTTCTAAACACCTACCAAACAGAGAAACACTTTTTAAATATAAAACGTTTCCGAATTAATGATCTCTCTTGGCAGTTCTGAAAACTTCTTCAGCTGTGAAACATAATTTTTTAGCCAAATTTTCAAGTCCATAAATCTTTGAAGCTGCCGAAGCGGCAATAAAGTCTTTGTTTGGAAGCTGCCGCGTTCTTTTCGAATACTTCTGATCTTTCCTTCAACCTTTCTTCTGGGATCTGTCGACTATATTTTCTTCCGATATATCAATTTTCGTGTGACGAGTGATAGTTCAATTTAAATCGATATGAGATCAGAAGAATTCCGATTTTCACACCTCAAAACTGGCTTGAGACGATTGAAGCTCGTTTATTTTACAAATTTGCCACTGGGAAAAACGCATTTGTTTGCGTTGGGTCGAACTTGCAAGCGACAGATTAGCGGCTTGAGAAACACTGTGCATGTTTTATTTATTTATTTCCCTCAAACAATTTTTTCTGTAAAATGTCTTCTCGATTCTTTTTAGTTTTGTTTTTGAATCATTTTGAATTATATCTGGTGATGATAATCCGCGGTCTCTAGTCCTGTACTATCTGCTGAATATGACAGAAACATTCTACCAGAATGATATAAGTCTTTTTAAATATCAAACTACTTTTAAAATCTAGGATCAGCCGACCGAAATTTCAAGACTTCTTCTCAGGTTTTTTTTTGGTTTTTCGAAGTTGTAGGAAAGATTCGAAAATCAAAAGAGAGGGAAATTCTTTTGCAAATCCAAGTTCTGAGCTCTGACAAACCGCTTCTGAGGAGTTCATTAAAAGGTATATATTCTTAAAGTTACCAACAAAAACCAGGTATTCATTTTCCCAGTTGTAATCGAAATTTCCGGCCATTTAAAAAGGCGTTTTCTTCAGCTGGGCGTGGAAAATCCATGCAAAAACCCCTTTACTGGAGTCCGATTTCATCTGGAAGAAATCCGGCGATGGCTCCTTTCCTTCGTCTTTTTATTCTCACTTCTCATTCGTCATCTCTGTCTTTACTATCCGTCTGTCAGATCAATTATTCGATTTCAAGAAGAACTCTTTTTGGAAGATTTTGTGCCTAACTTTTCTCAATTTGATCCAGTTCAACTTAAAAAGCACCGTTTTTTTAGAGCTTTGTTAAACAAAAGAAGTGGAAAATATTCAAACTTCCTAGTGAAAATCTAAGGTTTTTAGAGACAGTAATGTACGAAAATTTCTACGAACAAACAAAATTTTCGATAAATCTTTGAAGAAATATCAAAAATTAGCATATTTTTCAAAAGTTTGAGTTTCTTTGATACTGGCCATTTAATATTTTCACCAACATTCCAAATATCCTGCACATTTAGTTGAGCTCGGAGTCCAGAAAGACTCTACTGACCAAAATACTATTTCCTTTTCAAACTACTTCCTGGTCATTTTTTTAAGTTCTGATTTTTGTAAACAGTAAGAAGGAATTATAACTGGTGTAAAAATTTGATTTCTTGTTTTACATGAGATTCGAATAGGTCAGGAGCGTTTCTCAACGCCTTCGAACGCCACAACCCACAAGACGAGGCACTATTTTGCGGATTCGAAGTTTTTTGACGAGTAAAAAGACAAATGAGCGTTACCTGAAGCTCATTTTCGAACTGCGTGTCGGCTAGATCTGTCGAACGCGTTTTGCCGGGCCGAAACCTGGTACTCGACGCTTCGTGTTTCTGCAGCGCCACTTCACCTTTCACAAGAGCCGTTATGACTTTCTGCGTTACCTTCCTCCGCGCATCTCGACTCGTCAAGTATTTTTCATCCTCTTCCAGTTTCTTCTTTTTTCGACCGTCCATGTAGCCTGTATCCATGAACCACCTGTTTAGGAATTCAATCGTTCTTTTTTTCGTTGGAAGTTTCTTCCAAGACAACGGTTCATCATGATTTCAGAGGCAACCAGACGATGTCGGACGCCTCGGGCGGATGGAACCAAGGCCGGAGGCAGTACCGTTCAGTCGCTTTTGGGACCTGGAAAGTTGGCGGCGCCAGACAAATGACGTCCTCGCGGAATGATTCCGAAAAAGGGAAAAATCTGGATGGCGGGTAAAAATTATTTTTCGGAAACAGATTCAATTGAGTTTTTGAAAATCTTTTTCCGACTAATCTCATTCCCGTGAACTCCAAAAATATGTCCTCAAAACTTCATTATCTTTTTCACTTAGTTTTACCCCTAGATATATGACCAGTCTGCGTCCCTTTTCCCTCACCGCCGAGGTCAGAGTAACATGGAAATAGCACGTTTACACGAGAGCGTCGCCGAGAGAACAAGGGTGCAGAGAAATTCGGCTGATTAATGATGTGGCGAATTTGAAATAACTATTATAGTCAATCCATCCCGACTTGAAAGGCGAGGAAGGCAGAGAAGAGGGCGAGACGCGTAGCGTGCGCGTTCGCGGTTCTTGGCACGAGTTCAATTCAACCGCCAGCGACTATTTGGAGAGCTCGTTTATCGCTATTTCTGTATCTATTATACTGTTTTTTAATGTACAAATGAAAAAAAAAAGATAAATAATCACAAAATGAATGAAAAAAAAAATCGATAAACAAGCTCTCCAAATAGTTACTGGCGCTTGGATTGAACTCGTACCAAACGCGCACGCTACGCGTCCCGCCCCCTTATTCGCGTCCCTCGCCTTTCAGGTCGGGAAAAGTGGACTACAATCAATTTCAATTATTTTGAATGTTTAATATGGATCTTTACTAAAAGTATAATCTTTATACTTATGAAGTAGTGGTTTGGAAACTTTGAATCTTTAACGGAACTCGTTTTTTTTTTTCAAAATTTTCGAATTTAATACTTCATGCTATAGTCAATGTTTCCCGACTTGAAAGGCGAGAGAGGCGGGGCAGTGATTGGGACGCGTAGCGTGTGCGTTCGCCGTCCTTTCCACGTGTTCAATTCAACCGCCATCGACTCTTTAAAAATCCCGTTTTTCGTTCTTTTCATTCCTTTTTCAATTATTTATTGATTATGTTCATGTGTGCATCAAAAAATAGTAGAAAACATTGAAAAAGAGCGGTTGCCGAGTTTTTTAAATAGTCGGCGGCAATTGAATTGAACTAGTGCCAAGAACCGCCTGCGCACACGCTACGCGTCCCGCCCCTTGCCCCGCCTCCTTTGCCTTTCAAGTCGGGAAACATTGACTATACCCCTTAGCTGATACAGTAAAACGTTAGCAACCGGCTTCATCAGTTGACTTTTGACGTAATAACTTTTAGTGCGGAGTTAAAGTTGTAGATCTGAATCAAGATTTTTTATTTTTGGCGGCGATTTTTCTAATGTTGGAAATCACTTCAAAAAATGAAAGAAACGAGCTTTTCATACCTCTAGGTATGAAATTGTGATTAACCTTGTGGACAAGAGAAAAATTTCTCAACAGTTCTGCTACCTTCCCACGTTTTAGTTGATCCTAAAAGCGCTGCGCAGATCAACGTTTTCTTCCAGTTTTTTGATGAAAAAAAGAAGGTTTCCGTTTTTAAGCTGTTTTGACATCCTTAAGAGTCCGTATTCTTCGAAAAGGGCCTGAGTATTCTTTTTCACCAAGTGTGTTACTTATTCCGAAAAATAGCATACCCGACAGTGTGTAGAAGTAAATTGGCGGAGGAAAACTTGCCCTCGCGCCAATTTCGCCGCCAACCGTCAGCCTCTAATGGCTTCTAGCCTTCTTATAACTTTTTTCTTTTCGTTGAATTGTCATTTTTTGTTTTTGAAGTGAGCCAAGGCTGACCGTTGCAATTTGTTAGTTTTGCGAGGCTCAGTCTGGGGACTCGGCAATTAACTCAATTCGACGCCACCAAATCCGAAGGAACACTGGGGAGTCGCGTTCCATCAAAGCGTTTGACGTTTTGAGCGATCGCCGATTTCTCGCGGCCTTTGCCTTTTATGCTAATTCGCGTCAGTCTTTTCGGATTTTCTGAAGCACCTTCTCCGTTTTTCGTTCTCAAGCCTTTTTTCGTGATTTAGAATTTGAATCTACACTCTTTATCATGATTGGAGATGAAGTTCAATTGAGGGTTTTTTCAAAAGAATTAGAGAAGTCGGTAAACCTACCACACTTTTGATAAATTTTTTAAAATCCCGAAATGTTTTAGATGTCTCAGGTGCCACATTCTTGAAAACTGTGGTTTCGCGGTTTTTATTCAGACTCCGCAAGAAATTTTTTTTTAATCTACTAATTCCTTAGGAAAAAGTTGATTTTGAGCCAAAAAACTCCGCCGCACCTCCCTCAAACAAAGATTGTTTGTGTTTTTTTTTTCATCGCAACTGGTTTGAATTGACCTCTGAGCATGAAGTGAAGCAGCGAACAACTTCTCTCACGTTCATTTTCTGAAGCTTCCAAGTTCATACCTGTACTCGATGGGGACGGCGAAGCACGATTTGGTGGCAACATCCACAACCAGTGTGGCTAATTGCCTTTCCATCGCTTCCCATTCATTTCGGCCGTCAAATCGTCGGTTTTCATGGCCGGCCCTCTGCTCATTTGTCACGTTTCGGACCTCCCGCCGCTCTTTTTTTCCGCATGAAAGGCGCCACTTTTTTGATTTTTACAGTGTCGGGCAGTGGTGCAAAAGTATCAATCTAATCAAATCAGCAATTTTCAGTCTCGCCCGAAAAATTCTTGAAAAACATGAAACTGTAAGAATCTAAAGACAGTTTCGAAAAAGTAGACCAATCTTCATAAGCTCCAGCTGATTAAATGAAGAGCAGATTTTTAATTTTCCCTTTCTAGTTTTTTTTTAAAGCTGTTTGCTGTTTGGAACTTCTTGAGGAGACTTATAATCACGAAAACCAATTTATTTGAAATCTTATAATCACGAAAACCAATTTATTTGAAATCGCATTAAAATTTGAGCTGATCCATCGGAGTCTCATTTTGTTACAGCAAAAAACTTGAATTTCTTTTTCAATCAAACTGACCACGTCAACGTTTGAATGGAGTCAGAGAGAGCCAATGATGCGCAACGAATAAATGTGACTGACGAAAACCTTTTCAGTTTGAAATTGACCCGGAAAATAAGTGAGGGTAAATAAATGAAGCGAGAGATGCCATATGGAACCGTGTTCACGTTTCAGGCCATATAGAGCCACATGCTCCCGATTTCCGCAGATTTTTCGCGCACCGGTCTCAATTTCGGTCTCTTATTGGTCGAAATCGTCGATTATTTAACATTTTATTTTAAAATGACAACAAGAGATAATTTAGAGAATACTTTCAATTTTTTTAGAGATGTAACTTTTTCTTTTCTCTGTATTTTAACAATTTTGTACACGTAAACTGCGGGTCAAACGGAAAAGGTCATTCATCCTTCAAGTTTTTTTTTTTCGCAAAAATGATTAAAGTACATGTTAGTTTGCCTTGTCAAACTAATCTGGCCCTTCTTTCATGAAAACTTTGTCACCACACTATATGCGTATGAGTGGAAGTCAGAGAAAAGACACAACTTCTTTTTTTTTTCAAATATTTGTGCTTCCGTATATAGAAATAGCGGAAAAAAACACTTGAAACAAAAAAAGCAAATTTTAAATTATTGAAATGATGTTCTTGTTCTTTTTCTCTTTTTCTGACGAAACCCGCATCATAACGTTTGAAAAAGTTTTTAATCCAACGAAATCCCGAGGTTATCAGGCGGCAGTCTGGCGGGGTCCTTCAAAGGCCTCTCCTTTTTTGGGCCACTCGTGTTCGCTCAATTGTGTTGACACATTTCGGTCACTTGCTCGGATTATCCATTCCAAACACTGAATTCGCGTCTTCAAGGCTCCAACCAGAGCAAATACAAACTCTGCGTGTCTACTACTGTTTTGTCTGGTTCCAGTCACCCTCCATTTGAATTATTTCACAATAGAAACTGTTTTCAGAAGTTTATATAAAAATAATTTATTCAAAAATTTTTTTCCTACTTCTGAGGAATTTTTTAAACGATTTTTTCTTTTTCAAAGTAAAACCTTTCGGAGCATTTTTTGCTCTAGGTGAGCAGGAACTATCTGTTTTGAGTGCTATCTTGCAGCCAAATTCGTTCATCTCTCAAAAAATGTCTTTTGAAGAGCCTTTTTAAATAAAATAACGGATATCAAATTATGAAGCTGTTCTCATTTTACTTTCTTTGCTAAACTTTAGTTTGTAGCTTCCTGGGAAAATCAAAGATCCCATTCAATCGGAATGGAGAGAGCTCAGTATATAAATAAAAAGTCGAAAACCCAAGGCATGTGTCGGGCTGTTTTCATGCTCCACTTCTCACATCTCTTCCGTTTCACACGTGCTTTTATTTTGTTCTATACGTTCATTCATAAAACGACAATAAAATATAAGTATATATGATTCACACCACCACTTTTTTTTTCTCAAATTGGACCTGCTTTTCCGAATTTTAAGCACTTTCTTTCCGTTTCTAGCTTTTCACACTTCCGGCTTCGATTCGCATTTTTATGGGCCAGTCGTATGAAACAAAGTGTCGTTTAAGCAAATATTCTGTTTTCATTCGTGTTTCAGGCGTTTCAGAGCTCTCAGTTTTTCTTCCAATAAGCTTAGTTTTTTTTTCATTAAATTTGTTATCAATTTCACTGATAAGGGAGTTCATAAATCATCTTTACTTAAAATTATTCTTTGGAAATGAAAAAAAAAACTTTTCGTGTGTATCTTATCTTATTTTTGGAACGACGGCTTTTTTTTTGGCTTGCGCGTTTAGAACGTCAAAAATTCCCGTTTGCTATTTGAAAGCTGTCAAGAACAGAGCGCGAACCGCAGAAAAGGTATTTCAATTCAAAGCTTTGGTCTCCTTCTTGATACAGTTTATCCATTTTTGATTTTAAAACTTTTACTTTTCGGACAGTCTGGGCGATTAAAGACCTTCCATAGTGTTCCTCTCTAAGGAGGAGAAAAGTTGTCGCGAAGTTAGTATTGAGTCGAATACTTGATTAAATACTTCAATTATTCATCAAAAAAATAGTTTAATATGTTTTTTCGGTCATAGATTTTATCGAAATTTAAACATCAAATGATGTTAATATCAAAAATCACAGTTTTTCTAGCGTCAACTTTGTTGCTTGCGGACTCGACATAATAGTCGACGACAGTCTTGAAAAGTTAATTGACTCACTAGTCAGGCACTGGTGCGCGCACGCGCGGGGGTACTGATTCTTTTTTTCGCTTTTTTTCCACTGAAATAAGGTTTTTGAAATATATTTTTATATATTTTTGTGATATCACCCAGTGCCCCTGCTCACGTTTTAAAGTTGTTCCGAGCACTTTCGAAGAAATTTATGAAAAAAAGTTGCCAAGTGAAACTTTGATATTTCACATTTTTGTGCAATCTAATAAACTGGTGCAAAGCAATGTTAAGAGATGAACAGACATGAAAAATATTAAATTTATAACTTTTCAATTAGTTAAAAAGCTAAAAAACAAAAGAGACACCCCGCGCGTGCGCGCAGCAGGCGGCGCGCATGCGCACTTTTGGCAACAAACACGCGCCGTCAGTGCCTGAGCGAGTTCAGACGACACGGTGTTCCGCGCAATGAAAAAAAATGCGAAATTTTGGGTCCCAGCGGCATATTATCCGTGGCGCATTATTGCGCCCTTCTCATCGTTTCTGATGCAAAAATTGAATTTCTTCACTTTTTTCATTGGTTTTTTACTTTTTTCTATTTCTTGCATTTATGTAATCCGCCTCTCTATGGGTACATCTTGTGGAGCTTTAAATTGCGCATTTTTTTCTAAACCGGTTTCAGATCTTTAACTTTTCTTCTCAAAAGAGCTGAAGATTTTTTTCTGAAAAGTCCTAATTTTTTTCAAAAATTTTTGAAATCTGTTTCGCGACATGAAAAAGAGTCACTCTATTTCGGAAACTATAGTTTTTTTAATTTAATCAGTTAATAATAAAAAAAGTTATTATCTAGTTCCTTTGACGTAGTTTAAAAACCGGTTTCGTGTAAATTAGAGCCAAATTGAATTTGCTGATGCAGTTTAATGATTTTGATATATGAATCATCTAAATTATATATTTTTTTCTAGTTTTTTTGATGGTTTTTTTCGGATTAGACAAAAAAATTTCGCCATACGAGGTTTTTTCTAAAAATTTCTTATTCAATGGGAGCTGATTCACCTTCATATTATTTTTTGTTTTTACTTTGTAATCAGTAATTTAGAGTTTTCCCCTTTCGAAATCGTTCCCAAATGTTTTTTAACGTAAGTGAATGTTTTTTCCACATCATATTCTTCAAACTGACAAATTCCGAACATTTCAGGAGCTATTATCCTGAAATCGCAAATTCTAAAATTGAAAAAAAAACATTTTGAGTATGCGATATTGCGTCTCGGTGTGCTTACACCCTAAGCATCATAATTTACGAAAAGTCTTGACCTTGCGTATTGAAAAAACACCGTGACGAATACTTTTTCCTGCACAAAGAGAAATTTTCTGTCATGCCGTGCAAAGTAATTCCGCAAAATCCAAAACAGAGGAGAAAAAAAAAGGTAACCGAATTATCGAGGGTCAGAGATAATTTTGCATTTCCCGGAAATTACTTTGAACACGGCATTATCATTTAAAAAATCGATCTCAAGACGTTGCGTTTGTCCCATTGCATGTGCCACCAGAAAATCCCTATCAAATTTTAACTTGATGATTATGAGCTTGAGCTTTGCCAAACAATATTTCTCATGCGGTTTTGCTATTCCGCTGCCTATATCCTCTCAACAGTGGCACTTCAGATGGGCAAACACACACGCAACTTGCAACCAATTTGCGTTTTCTCGTGTCTTCCTTTCGATTATTTTCTTTTTTGTTCTCGGAGCTCCCATGTAAATGATAAACTAATTTTCTTCAGCTGTTTTTTCATCACTAGTTTCTTCTGAACTGTAATTTTACTGTTGAGTGTTAAATAGTTTTTATCTTTTCAGATTCTTCATCTCCAAGCTTACTTTTTCTTTAAATGGGTTAGAAGAGAAGTTTGTCGTTTTCACGAGTGTCTTTTTCTCAAAATACTAATGGGCCAGTCATAGAGAACATTCTTCCACTTGGCTCATATCAAATTTCCGTATTTGTGTGACCCAGGCATCCTACATCGTTTTCTATTCATTTTCGTTTTACTGCTCTGATCTTTTTTCTCCTTCGGTATATTTTCCACACTCCAAACTTTCGAGAGAGAAGAGAAAATTGTAGAAATGCGAAACAAAAGAAAGTTTTCCACGTTTATAAAATTTTTATTTCTCCTTTTTGAAAAAAACGTCAAAAGAAAAAAAAAACGTTAATCATGTGGTTGTCCGCAATTGGAAGAGATAGAGGAAGTTTCATATTGCGCTTTAGTATTATTTCTAAATAAAAAAAACCACTTTGAAACATAATTTTTCAACTATTTCGCAAGTGTAAGTACTCCAAACAACACGTGTTTTGGTTGCCTGGGAAGACGTTCCAATATAACCTTATCATGAGACCAGCTGCTCGATAAGATGAATTCTCTATCAGTGAATCTACTTTTGCTTCTTTTCAGAACCGCTGCCTTCAATTACGCCGGAAGTCAGTTCAATACGATTGACGTGAGGCCGCCCAAGAAGCGACCGTTGCTCGACGTCGACAGAAACAGCCGTCTGGGCGAGAGCAGTCCCAATCTTTCGCGGATCGTTCACCACACTCAGACCACCCTTTCGCTCGGTCGGTTCACAAGAAAAACTGAAATCTTACTGGAAGTCTGATCTGTACTGCTTTGAAAAAAATTCATGGCCTTAGCTCGGGCAGAAAAAATTTTATCATGTGTGCGTTCGTAATGGCTATCACCTTTTTTTTCGATAAAATGAAAAAGAATCCGATTTCCTCACACCAAAAGAAAAATGATTGGACACCATTCTCAAATATTCCTTTTGCTCTACCTCTGACAACAGATCATTTCCTTCATTTTCCTTTATCTTTCCCATCAATCTCCAACTCCTTATAATGATAATTTTTATCTTTTTCTTCTTGAATTTAAATTATTTTTTCATAAATTATACCTAGGTTTTTCGCAAGCGATTCCTAAAGATTCTCCAGATTACCGACTGCAAAAGGAAAAAATTCTGAGTATTTGTTCACATCTAAGCCGTCAGTTTTGAAGTTCCAAAACGTCTGAGTTTATAAAAAAATTGTCGTTTTCAAGTTTTCCTGAAAATCTTTGATCTATTTTTGCAATATGTAGAAAAAACTCAAAAGTTTCATTTCATTCATAATAACAAAGAAAGCATTTCGTTTTTCGGAATTTCAACGAAATATTTGCCTTGCTTTTTTCAAAATTGTACCGGTTAAAATAAAATTTGACTTTGCGGAAACAGAAGAATCATCAAATTGTCTTCACTTTTCCTTTTTCATCTCAAACACTTTCCAGGTCTGCCAATGAACCACAGGTCCTCGAACATCGACCAGAGACTGGGCAACGCGGCTCAGGACTTCTACTCGAGCTCTGAGTACTGCGAGTATCTCCATGATCAGGGAAACGAAGACTGCGGTGCGCAATTTTTGGCTTCTTTGGCTTTCAAAACAGAAAAACACGCTTTAGGGATTCATTTTTCATACGAGACTGCGTCAAAAATCGTTTAGGCTCATAAAAATCATTTCTTGTTTTTCGCTTAGCAGTTTAGTGTATCATTTATGGCGTTCTCAATGCAGAAAAGGGAAATTTCCCGAAACTTTCTTATTGTGCTTCTAAAATTGCTCTATAAATGTGAGCTTTTTTTGAAGTTTTCCTGCTTCCATTTTAAGATTCCCTTTCAAAGATGAAATCAATGTTTTCACTATTTTTTCTGCTTTTTGTCATTCGTATCGTCACTGAATGGTTCTTGAAAAAGCGTCAAGTGTAGGAAATTTTAATTTTTTTTTCCTAAATACAGAATTTAGGAAAGGTTTATTTTTTAGCTTATATGAACTTTCAAATTTGGAAATTCTCACACAGTAGATGATTTTCTCATCTTTTACTTTACATTAAGTTTGTATGCGCCTATCTAGGTTTAGTTCTTCTAATCGAAACAAAAATACTTAGGGTTAAGAACGAAAGTTGAAATGTTGGTTTTTTGTTAGGGCGAAAAAGCGAACGTTTTTTTTTTTAAATTTGAGATGATTTTTTTCTAGCCGTTTTTTTACAAATCATGAAAGATTTATGTCAATATCCAAACATTTTCGAGTGCAGTATTTCATTCGAAGTTATACTTTTCTTGTTCAGTTCACTTTTTTGATGCTCTCCACACGGTTATGGTTATTTTTGTTGCTTGGTCGGTTCAAACTTCGTTGTTGAATTATTTGAATCAACACTGAAAGATCTCGTAATGATATATGTAGCGTTTAAAGCTTCTTTGGATATTTCTGCTTCTAGACCGTTTTTTTACTCCTGATTGTAGTGACCAACTACATGTAACTACATAGATCGTTGGAATCAGTTTGGACTCCCACGCTCGAAAACCCCGGCTAACTTGTTTTTTTTTGTTCACGTAGAACTCGTGTGCCTACAAAAGACAGCTAAAAATAAGGTGGCAGGAGATGGCGCCAAGTTGGTCCAACAGATTAGGTCGCGTCCGATTGGGGCTTTCCGATGGGCCGCGGCTGCTTTGTTTCCACTGAATTTCGCGTGAGAGAACTGTCTTTTGGAATGTGTGCTCCTGTCTGTTTTCGTTGTACCTTCGTTCTCCATATTCGTCTCTCTTTTTCTTCAACTCTTGATCATTTCTGTTGGGTCTTCGAGGTCTATCATTGAAATTTGTTTTTTTTTTTGAATCATTTTGCTATAACAAAGTTTAAAGGTCAACTTTTAATAATTTCGCCTCACTTCCGGTCTATTCACTGTTAGCTGGAAAACGTTTAGGTTTTTTTCATTGTAAGTTATAACAGCTAAGATTCCGGTAGGCATAGAAAGTTGATAATAGGTTTTTTCACTGCAAATTTTTTTTTCACTCTCACTAAAGAAAAAAATTTTTCGAAAAGTTCCGCTTGTGAAATTCAAGTTTTCAGTTTTTTAGCATCTTGTTTTTTCAAGAAAAAGTGCACTTTTTCTATTATCAATTCATGAACTTCGGCTATGATATTCGAAGAAACGTCATCATTTAGAAAGGAAATCAGCCTTCTATTTGTTTGGAGCATGGTTTTGTGCCGTTCCTCGAGTACTTGGCGACAAATGGAGACGGCAAGGATGTACACTTGAAATGGGAAAAGCGGGAAACAGCGTTCTGGCTTTGGAGCACTTTGATAACATGTTTCCTGTCTCTTCGGCCCTTCTTCAGTTATTTCCTGAAGACCATATTCATTAACAAGTTTTTATGCTAGAACTGTATCTCTTCTGTTTTTGGTCTTCCGAGTACCTTTTTTCCGGAAAAAAATGATACTATGGACGGCGCGCGGCCTCTGCCAAAGAAAGGAGACAGGTCCGGTCCGCCGTGTTGACGCTCCCAGCATGACGTGAGCTCCGTCACGTTCTTTCTCAATTTTCGACTTTGAACCTTTCATATACGTCAGATTTCTTTCTTCTTTCTGCACAGAAAAAAATTAAATTTTTTTTTCCCGAGAAGCCTTTTTTGAAATAAAAATTTAAATATAACTCCAGGACGATTATTTTTGTTGCGATGACCATGTGCAATTCATTAGAGACACCCCTACCCATATGTTCCGTTGTACTCGACTGGCGACCTCCGTTGACCCTCGGCTTCTCCTTTTTTCTTTTCCTGTTTTCGGCTTTCCCCACTTATTTCGCTCCCTTTCCTGGCAAAAAGAGCTCCCGAAAAAGCCTCCAGGCTTAACCTTCATTACTTTTCTTCTCCCTTTTGTGAGTGCCGCTTAGTCTTAGTTTCGAGCTTCAGAAAATGGCAGTGTACTTTACATATTTTCTTGTAATCAAGATTTACCTGCGATTTTTATCTAGTCCCATTTTTTAATCTTTCAATTTGAAGAACTTCATTATAGTTTAAACCGTCTTTGAAAGATTTCTGCTCTGCCCCGGTGGAAAATATATTTTTAGCGATAAAAAATCTTTACAAAACGATTTGGCGTTTGCTGCAAGGAGTTCGTGTAATTCACCTTCAATCATGAAACTGAGAAAACTGTTTTTTTTTTCAGTTTTCAGTTTCTTATTCTTTCCAGTTTTTGAATTCAATGTTTGAAAGAAAATGTGATTGGCTTCAATTTTATGGTGGTATAAAATGAAAACCAGCAAAATTTCAAGTGGCGATTTTTCCCATTTTTTCATATCGCTAGTGAACTTTCCGACTTTTTTTTTCTCGATGACCTCTTTTTTTCGAATCTTCCTATTGAAAATAAGTGATTGATTCTTGATTAAAACACAAAGAAAATGGAAAATAATGTTAAAAGATATTTTACAAACCGAAAAAAATATAAGAGAAAAAAAGTCGGAAAGTTCCCTAGCGCTATGAAAAAAATCGGAAAAGTCGTTGTTCGAAAATGCGCGGGTTTTTTTTCATACCACCAATTTTATCTGGGAAATGTTGAAAAACAAGCTTCAGTTGTTTGAGTGGTTACACACGACGAACTTTAGTGCAAGGAAAATCAGATTTCTTTATTCTTGTATTTTTAATAATGTTTTCTTGGCCTGGACATTTTAAATTTTCTTTTTCTTCCGATTGGTCGTGTTTCTCTGTTGGAGGATAGTAATTGGCTTCAATTTGAGCCGCAAATTCTTTGAAAATAAGCTGCAATTTAGTTATCTACTTCAAATGTATGAGTTCTTCGGACTGAAACTGATGTAGTCAATTTTTCTGCCCTTAATCTGATATCATAAAATACTGGTTTTATCTTCTTAGAGCTGTTTTAAATAGAAGTATTCTGATTATCTTTTGCCTTCAAAGCTGTTTTTTCTAAAAGTTATTTGATTTTGAGCCCGTCCTTGGACCTGTCGGATGTTGTTTGTCCTTGAGGTTGATAAAACTTTTTTTACGCCAGAGTGCGAGTGAAGCCATAAGTCACCGACAGTTGCGTCGTTGAGGCTCACAAATCGGGATCCTCTCGTTTTTCCGTGTCCCTTTTGCCCCTTGGACACACGTTCGTAATTCGGCCTACCTCCTCAGCTTTTTATCAACTGCGGTTGGGTCGAAAAAAAAACCATGGTTATGGCCTATCAGTTGACGTATTTGCTCGCCGAGCCTGACGACAATGGTGAGTTCCCTTTTCGGCCCAGAAAGATGTTAGGAAGACAAGTTTTTTTTATTCTCACCTTTTCATCTTTATTTTCCTTTTTCTTTAGTTCTCTTCAGTAATGATCGAATTTAAGCGAAATAGATGTACAAAGTAATAGAAAATAGTTCATAACCTTGCACGTTCGCGAATTTGTATTTTTAGTTTAAATTTGCGTTCATTTGTAAAAAATAAAATACATTCTTTACCAGTTTTCCGAGAGTTTTGGTAGATTTGAACGGCACCCATGTACAGATAGCCATCTCCAGGACCCTTGACCTCTCGGCTGGGTTCACCGGTCTGCCGCACCTATTTCCGCTGTATTTATGGCCGCATAACTCTTACGACATGCGTCCTACGATTTCTTGCAGTTTTCTGCTCTGTTGCCGAACTTTATTCTATTGTTCTTTTCGTCTCTATTTTTTCTTTTTTCCTCATTTATTCTTGAATTGAGTAGTACTTTTTGAAGGATCGACCTTGACGGCACAAACGATGGGAACGAAAACTGACCTAGTCCGATTTTCGGGCGTGTGGAAGTTTACGCCTTAGCTATTAGAGCGAGCCTTGGAGTTTTTACCTTTTCTATTACGATAACTGTCCTTGACTTTATATGGAATGCATTTTCCGCTAGTCTTTGGCTGAGAATCTTTGGTTAATCGAAGCTATAATCATCTTGTCAATCACGCGCCTCTTTTTTCGCATAGAAACATGCAATTTAACTTTCCTTTTTTCATTACATTTTCTCTCGCTGGTTGTATTTTTGGGATCTCCATGCGCTAAGCATGCTGCTGTCTGTTTTAAACAAGAGATCCCTTTTTTTTTTTTGAAAAAAGGTATCTGGCCGCTCTAGAAAACTCGTGGTTTTGTGCTGGTCATTTGAAACTTCCCGGTTCCTTTTCGTGAGACGTCTAGCAGCGCAACCTTGCTTTGCTCATCGTGACAGAGTTTTATCGTTTCAATTGTTGGATTTTCACGGGAACAGAAAATGGTCCAAAATTACCATTATCATCGGGATTAATTTCAATCACAAGCTAGGTGCAGAATCAACAGTTTTAGTACTTTTCAAGTTAGATTTATTTTTTCTGCTTGTTTATGGATTGGCAGAACACAGACGGTTCTCCGTAGCGTTTCAATTCAACGATAGCCTTTTAGGAGAGAGCAGGAGAATTGCTTCTCAGATTTCTTGCGAAAACGCAAGCTAGCGCTCTTCAGACGCATCCGTTCCAATTTGATTATGTCTGAAGATTCTCACGCCATGAAACTTTTGTTCATTATTAGTCATTTTGAAAACGTAGTCCAAAAAAGTTTCCAGATTGCAAAAATGGGAAGTTTAGAGCTCCGGTGTAAACTCGAGCCAAGTTTTCGCGGCAAGAAGCTGTTTTTTTTTTCAAAAACCAATTTAAAATTCTTGAAGTTTCTCCAATTTCTGTAATACTTTTTCATTGCTCCCCGGCTTGAAAACAGAGTTCGTCTTATGCTATTTTCCCCTCAGTTGGTATTAGGCATAGAATGAGTATTTTAGAAATTGCTGCTAAATGAAAGGTGTCTAGAAGAAGCTTTGCAGATTCCTGCAACGGGAACACCATCTCGGAGCCGATCCAGGCCATTTTCCGAGCCTCGAACAACGGCTGCGAACGGCACAAATCGGTCGACCGGCAGTTGAAACACTCGCTGAGCAGTCGTCGCAAGTCTCGTCGCGACGACGTCGACCGATCTCATCACAGGTTTTTTCTTCTTACCATCCAAAACGATATTAGGCAAAAATAATGAAGATGTATTTCTGTTTCGTTGATAAATTGTTTCGCGTGAGGTTTGCATTTTCAGCTTTCACGCCGGAAAGAGCCTATTCATTTTTATACAGTTGTGGCCCGAATACTGTCAGTTTTCACGTTTTTATTTTCATAGAATGATTTGTGGTTTTTGTTCGAGTGCCAGAATAAAAAACAAGTTGGCATATCAGAAATTGTCGTCATAGATTAGTCTTGTTTATCAGTTCACTGTTATAAATAAGTTGCTTGGCAGGTTTTTATCTATTTTATTATCTTCCATTATTTAACTAAGGAGGTCTTTCCACTTTGTACTTTGAAATTCACTGAAGTTCGGTTTTGGCTTTTCATTAAAAAATTTATTTTCAAGATATGTAAGTCTCACCGAAATTGCCTATTCATGTTCTTACAAATATAGGATTTCTGTCACGTTTAGGCAACTTTTGAGGGAAAATTTCTTGGCCTTGTAAGGTTGTCAGTAGGGAATCATCCGCGATATTCAACTTTCCTTGGAGAAGTTACCTGTTCGAACCGGCTGTTCAGGTCGCACAGCGCCGGAGCCGACACCAACTTCGCGATCGCCCACAGTGCGTCGACGTCAGCGATGAAGCTGACGCGCGCCACGACGGCTCAGCCGACGGAGCACCACGGCTCCAACGTCAAGTTCCTCCGAGCCACCAAAAAATTCTTCAAGAAAATCTATTCCTCGGCAACACTCCCCAAGAAGTCGACCAGTTCGTCCAACGACAACTTCCAGAAAGCCGCCGCTTTTTATGAAAATCAGTGCGTTTTTTCCCTGTTTTATAATTCAAAGCGTCGCAATTATCCCAATTAATTGATTAACTTGTTTATTTTTCTTTATTCTCGCGTTTCCGGCCGAATTTTTGAAGATTTAATTTAAAAAGTATGAATGATTTTTTTTGAGAAAGAAGTTTTTGAAAAAAAGGAGAAAAAAAGACAAAGATTGACTTTTTTTCTTATAATATTCAAGCAAGTTGATCAGAGCACCTTTATGTACCTCTCCCAAAGAAAAAGTCTCAGAAAAAAATTTGAGTGTCTTGGGAAGATTAAAATGTTTAATTTCTTCATCTGTGACATTGAAAGTTGTTCTAGTCAGCTTCAAAAAATTTAAAACAGAATTCAGAAGAAAATTAAAGGAATAATCAAAAAGAAAGACTCTTCAGCTTCATCAATTCCTAGATTGCGGCGCTTTATGTTCAGATCTTCTGTGATCATTCAGTTGAACCTTACAGATGTCGACCTGCAACTTTGGCAGATGACGACGAGTTCAGCAGCAGCCATGACGAGGTTTCCTCTCCAGCTTTTGGCTCTTTTTGAAACTTTGATTTGGCAGATGATAACTTCGAGAAACGGAGATCGGCCTCAGACGGCAATGCTTGACGTCAGTTACCCGGACAGCGGACTTGAAATGGATCGGTTTGTTTATTTTCTTTTTCAAATTTTGATTTACTCCTAAACTCAGATCTTCCACGCCGGACCAGTCGCTCGAGTCGATGACGTTGCATTCGAAGTCGGACTCGACGTCTTCCGATTCGCACAGCCGAAGCGTCACCTCACAGGAGATTCATGACATCGGCTGGTCCAACATCTTCGAACACCTCCGTCGTGAAATGGTCTGTATTAATCTATCTAGTCCGATTCCAACAACTTTATTTTATTAAGTTTTTCTAATCATCAAACGTTTTTTCGCGCAAGTGGATGCAAATGTATACAGTTTTAAACAGCGGTGAAATAGTTATTTTTGCTGTTGGAGATTTTCTTGAGAGCTGGCTGAGTATTGATGTTGCAGAACGAGATGCGGGAACGCGACGCGCAGATTCTGGCCGACCTGCACAAGGTGGAGTCGCAGCTGCAAAGCGTGAAGCTGTCCCAACTCGGCTATGCGGATTCGAGCTCGCGCTCCAACCTCGAGCTCGTCGAGAGCATGCAGCTCTGACCTCTTCTAGTCACTTCCCAGTTACCAACTCTTCTTCTTTTTTCTCAACTTCACGCTTTTCTCCATTTCCTTGTACTCACCGGATCAATTAATAACTATTTGTACGGGTTTTATTGTTCTTTTTCCTCATTGTATTTCGTTTATCACTTTTTTTTTTTTTTTTTGCAACTCTCCTGATTGGTCGCCACCGGTACAATATGCGACAGACACAGTATAATATGGACATTTTCGCTCAAATCCTCAATTTCTTTGTTTTGCAAAGCTGAAAATCATATCATACGAAGTCTCCTCTGTCGGATCGTTTTGCCGAGTCCCCGTGCAAGTCCGCGCTTCAGGAGACGACCGCGTGTTTTTTTTCTTTCAAATTTGTTTTAAAAACTTTTTTGTAGACTTTAATACAGTTCTTTATTTATATTTATTAATAGCGGTATTAACATAAAAAAAAGCTGAACTATCGATTGTTTCTTCAGGGGTACAAATTCTGTTCTTGAACAACTTATCAACGGAGTATTTTTAGTAGCGAAAATTATTTTTGAAGTTGATGACGTAACCTCGCTGTTTTAAAGCACGAGGGTGAATTCAAATGGGTTCCTGAAGGGACGGAAAAAAGGTGTTTGTTGTTGGTCCAGGAAATAGGGCGAATTCTGAAGAGGATTCGAAAAAGCCTGGGGTGCCTGGAACCATGAAGGCTGCATCCACGGCGATGAAGGCATCGAAGACGGGAAGAACTCCTGGGCGACGAAGGAACTCTGCGGATCGGACATGGATTGAGGCGCCTCGACGACAGGCGCCGCGAATCGAGTAGTCGGTCTGGACGTCGACGTCGGCGTCTCATCCGACTGCAGCAGCCAGAAAGGAGCGAAGATGGGCGCCAGCAAATGAGCCACTAATTTATCCACTTTCTGGAATTTATATTAAGAGGTCAGTGAAAAATTTTACCGCAAGATCATTCTTCCATGAGATCTTTAGAAATATCGTTCGAAATCAAGAAAAAGATCAATTTTTGTTTGCTTGTAACAGCTCTAAAGGCGTGTACGTAAACTTTTTTCGCTCTATTATGCCGTGTTCAAAGCAATTTCGCGAAATGCAAAATAGACGTCAGAGAAAGGAAAATATAACTAAATTTTGGAAAGACAGAGATCATTTTGCATTTCGCGAAATTACTTTGAACACGGCATCAGAGAAAGTTTAGAAAATATTTATAATATGACACGCAATGTGTTCAAGAACAAAGTCACCCTCAAGTACTTCAGAAGGTCGCAAAATTCCGGGTTGATTTTACACAGTGTTTTAAGTGAAATTGAAATTCGGAAATTCTCATAAATCCTGTCTCAAAAAAGTTATCTCACTACTACAACTACTCGTTAATGTAAATATATCAATTTATTGAATAGATTTGAAAAAATTCGGACTTTTTTGTGGTGGAGGCCAGTAAAACAAATAACGAAGTTGAAAAAAATTTTGATACACACATTTTTTTCCAAGGATTTCTTCAAAAAAACTGGGGTAAATATTGGATCAAAATTGATTATCGTTTTATTTTAACTTTTTTTTTTTTTGGACCAGGCTTTTTGGAACAGAAACATCAAAAAAATAAATATTTAAATTTCACTAGAGGCGGCTGAATTTGAGCTATATGAGAAGTTCAGATTCGAACAAACAGATAGGGAACTCTAACAACTCCCTAACCTATGAAAAGAATGGAAACTTCATGCCCTACGTTTTTTTTTTTGATAAGAAAGAAAAAAAACCGACCTTTTTCAAAGATGAGTAGTTTATGCGCATGCCGGTGCGGAATCTGTGTTGGATGCGCCGGATCTGAAAAAGACGTTACTGGAAACATTTGCGGAGCTGGACCTGCTGTATGTGGCGCTGGTCCGTTCCTCTCTCGACGGCCTTCTGCACCGGCGAAAAATCGACGACGTACATCACAAGTCGACGTCGCAGCTATAAAACCGAAGAACTGGTGAATTTGTATTCCGAGCTGAAAGTTCTGTAACTGACGTCTCCGTTGAACTGTCGGCCGCTTCTGACGTAGTCGATGACGAGCTGCTGAGCCTGTTCCTCCAGACGCTGGAGCTTCTCGTCGAGGTCTTCTTCTGGCGCTTCCGTTGTTCTTGTTTCTGTTGTGGTCGGCGTCTTTCTCGTAGTTGTAGACTCTTCAGATTCGAAGTCTTCGACCACCTCTTTGTGTTCGGCGGCCAGAACCAATTGGCTCACAGCCAAAAGGCCGATTGTCAACGCCCTCGGCGATTTCATTCTAGAGAATCGCAGGAAGAATATTTTTTGTGTTCAAAAATAAGCTTTCCAGGTCGTAATTAATTCATCCAGGAGGTTTTAACCTTGAATCGGAGAAAAATAAGAGGAACGTTTATTTATTCGACAAACTTATAACAGGAAGAGATAATAAAGCATTGTATATCTATGAGAGAATTTATATATGAAGTTCTAGCGGAGAGTTTTCTACAGTGAGAAGATCAAGAAGCTACTGGATTTTTGAAAAAATGTGCTGTTAAAATAAAAGATGTCTCGTACAATTTCAGCCACTCACGAAAGCAGCAACGGAATTGACTGGATCACAATTATTTACCGTTTGCGATTTATGGCCATAGTCTCGAACAATTAAAAGTGTCTCTTCTGGTTTAAATCACCTTTTACTCGAAATTGATTTTAATTTAGCAGAGTCGCGCAAAAAAATAGTGGAAATTTTGCGACGACCTCTTTGCAGGAAAATAGGGCAAAAATAGTCGAGGACCTCCACTTTCTAAAAAAAAAAAGAAAGTGAGTTTTCTCGATTCTCTCGATGTTGGAAATTACCACTAGTTTCTATTCAAAGTTCTCTGCAGAAAAAAAAAACGTAAAAAACTGTCCTGAATTTATTTTTAGAATCAATTTGTAATAAAAATTCGGAATTTAACTTTAAGAAGATGATAAATAATTGAAGTTTGGAAGGCCGTAACATTTTTCCAGGAGAGATACTGCAACGGAAGGAAAGTCTCAATAATGGAGCCTGCCGCCGCAAGAAAGGCGGGAAGGACTGGCCGACGACGTCGACGGCAATTGGGAGCTTAGCGGTCGACGTCGCCAAGGTTGCAGGTAAGCGGTTTACCAGCCGAACTCCATCCCGACTGTTGACTGTTTGTCGCCCCACACAAATAGCCCGTCATTCCACGATTCGACGTAAAAGGAAAGAATTTTTTGTACTTCTGAGAGTTTACTCCGAGCAATCGACATACAAGTGGTGCCAACTTAAAGAAAGAGTGAAACGTTTGAATTTATTTCTCTCCAAAATTGAAGTTCGAGTTTTAGTTTACTGTAACACCCCTTATTATCCGGGATCTGATATCGTAGTCTTTTTTTAAATATCCTTTTGACTCTTGTGATATATAGATTTATAAGCTTTTTCCACTAATTTTTTTGCCTCAAGTACTTTTTTTATCGGATTATTTTTGCTCAAGTTGAAAACAGCGCTGTTTTTTTTGAAACTTTCTTTCAGTTTTTACCGACGCCGTACAAGTACTGCGTCAAAAAGTGTTTTGGTCAACTTTCGAAAAACTTAAAAGTGCAAAATAGAAGATCTTCATTTTTTCAGCAAAAAAACTTGAAACGTTTGAAAAAAAGTAAGATTCAAGTCTTTTGACACTATGGAAAGAAAAATCAAGAAATGTTTCTTCAAAGATTGACGTCTTTAAAAAATAAATGATACATTTTTTGTTTCCTAAAAGTTTATCATTCAAAATCAGAACTATTTTTAAAAGGCTCAGGTCCTACATGGGAAATGACATGGAACTATATGAATAAGGTGTGCCCCTTTTTCGAAAAATGTTCCCGCAAAAATTTCTCGCGATGCCTCAAAACTCCAGTTCATTTTTTTCGGTTTTGACGGGTCCGCCCAATCTCGTATTGAGATTTGAAATATCGTCTGTGTGTCTCTAGGAAAAACAAACAGAATCCGTGGAAATTCGCCCTCGCAGAGCCTTTTTCTCGAATTGAAACCCATTTTTCACACACTTTTACCTTTTCATATTCAGGCTAGCTATCGCCTGTCGACTTTTCTTTTCTTTTTTCAACTTCTCTTCGTTCTTTTTGTCTCCTTTTAAGCATCGAGTCGAGACCATGTTCCAAGATAAAGGAAAACAAAGGAGAGCATCAATCAATCAAAAGCTTGTTCTTTTCATTTCCATGGGAGCATTTTAAATGCGAGAGGTTCCGTCGGCGCAAAAAGCGGTGTCGCATTTCGGAATGGCCGAATTAGGCCAACAGACAAGAAGTGGGGGCGTCTTTTACGAGCCCGAATTCTGCATTTCGATGTTTGTTTGGAGTTGGAGCTTCTGAAGAACTCCGTTTGCATCTCCCAAGAAAGGTGTTTTTACTATGCAATCTGGAACTTTCCGAGAAGTCGTTCTCATTTCTCAATATCGAACGTCTCGAAGATTTTCATTTTGAAAACTTCTGGACAGTTTTCGAAAGAAAATCGTGGGAGACTGGTTCGAGAAATGGTTTAGAAACAATTTTTCACACCTAGTGTCGTAGGAACTGTACACAAACATGATTTAGACAATTTTCCAGAAAACCTTGAAATCTTTCGGAAACTGCTCCCTTTAAGTGCAACTTTTCTTTTGAAGATGTTTTAGATGAGATTTTTTTGTCTTTATTTCTCTTCTGTTCGAACCTCTATGACGGAATAAAAGTTAAACTATTACATAGGAGAAAAAATGAACACCAAGGAGGATTCTGAAAATCAAATTTGCTTTGGTAAATAGCTTCATTCGAATGAATTCATATTTGAAAGTAAGTAGTCGGGATTGAAACAGTTTTTTTAGAAAAAAATTGAAGAAAAATTTTTCAATTGTGTGTTATTTTTTTGGAGCTTTTGACAATTCCAGAAGTGGTTATCACTTGAACTTTTCGGAAATCCAATGAACTCAAAGATATAGTTTGAGCAAGTCTCCACAACTACTTATTTTTTGGAAACTGAAACATCCGCTTCGATGGTCAGAACAGTATCGAGGCAACTTGTTGAAAAAGAAAAGAGAAAGATCTGTAGAAGAATTTTTCAATTTTTTTTATAGTGGCCTTTTGTTTTCTTGAATTCATTGCTCGAATGACTTTCTTGTTAAAGATAAAACTCCCAGCAAGGAACTTTTGTTTGCTCATGATAGCCGGCTATGGCTCACTCGGCTCCGGCAGAATCGCTCTTTCCATACTGTGAAGCGAATAGGCCTCGCTTCGAATGAACAGAGTGAAACCTCGCATATTAGGATTGCTCGGCGAGTAACTCGCATAACGAACGAAGAAGCGAGAAGGAGAAGAGCGGTGCGGCGAAAATTGACGTCGTCGGCGAAGTTGCCACACACACACACATTTGAATTGGTGAGCCTGACTCCGCCCACTTTTCCGCCGCTTCACGCGCCTTTTTTCTTCCCCTGGGCCGTCATCCCTTGAGGCTTTCCACCATTCCCAAGTTCCTATTGTTTTTCCAGGACTCTAGAACACGCTGGACACTGAGTAATTATCCTTGGAAGGCGTTGACCTTTCGATGTCGCCTTTTTGGAAGCGTAAAACTTGCCTCAAAAAAATGAGAGATTAGCTGTAGGAAATTCTGGTATTGTATGCAACTTAATCAACTATTGCAGTTATTATGTTTGAAAGAAAAAATAAAATTCATTTTGAATTTAATTATTTCGTGGATATAATTCAGACTCTTCAAGTTGGTTTACTAGACTACCTGTGTGCCTTTTCAGTGCTTCGAATTTTTCCTGATTGCAAGCTGGGTTAGTAGGAAATATATGCTTAACTCTCCAGAAGATAAAGACTTTGAACTTTCCAAAAACGCCCTTTTAAAGTGTTAACCATGTCCCTCAATTATAGCCTATTCCAATCAAAATTCAGATGGCGGTCCAAAATCGTCTTCAGGAACTGTTTCTTGTTCTAATAGTAATGCTATCGAATATGTAATGCAGTCGAAAGTTATGTAATGACACTCAATAAGTTTATTATTTGTATATTTCAACAAGAGTCAGTTTTTTTTTCACTAACATGAAAGTTTAAATTTTGAGTTTGTTTTCAACAAAGGAACGAAAATTTCTCTTTCAATATTTAGTTCAACAAGTCTGTAAGAAAACCATTTTTTCCAGAATACAACATTTTCTAAATAAAAAAATATTTGAATAATTGAGTCAAATTGTCGACTGGAGTGGAGAAAGTTGTGTATGCCGAAAACGGTTTGTTTATTTCAAGTACACGGAAGAAAACGAGAGCATCGAGGCTCGAAGTCGAGTTGCTGCCATAACTCATTCTACTCGGTCAAGATGTGTAACTCCATTAGCGGCTGTCTCTACATCTTCAGAATTATTCGGCCTAAGTTATTTAGTTTCCGACCGTCTTAAGAAAAAGTTCGCAACGCTGGCAAGGCTGGCAAACTCCCATCTTTTTTGTAACGGTCTTAGCAAACATATAGAACATTTTTTCCATAAGCAATACAATTTTTAGTCCTAATTGTGAGTTTCTCAAAATTTCTTCTGTATACAAAATGTATTCCTGAAAAACATTTGACATATTTAAAATGTTTTCAACGTCTGCTAAACAGCGTTTTTTTTCCGTGGCTCAGTACTTTCTTCTATTTTACTTTTTTTTTCAATTTGAAACGAACGAAAGGAATATACAGAAAAAATTTTGGCTGTAATCATTGCATACATTCAGAAAAACTTCTCCCTACTTTGCGCGAGATTTTTTCCAGCAATCCTAATTTCAAAAAATTCCTTGTCGTGCAGTTTGAGTTTTTATGTTTTGAGTAGGGTTCGAGGGAACTTGCCAATAGCAATTTTTGGTTGATTTTCAGCGGAGCGTGGATGGCGCTTGAATGGCCGCTTTTCGCTGCTTTGACTCCATCTTTCTCAGACATCATTTCCTCAAGTTTTCAAATACGCACCTCTCCTTCCATTCCTCAGTTCTTCTCATCGCTCCTTTTTTTTGTTTTTAACACTCTCAGTTTAATGGAACTCCTTTTTCACACGAGGGAACAGTCATTATCATTTTCAAAAAGAACATCTGAAATGAGTTTTTTTCCAAGAAAAAGTTTCAAACTTTCTAATTGGCGAGCTCTACGATCTCTCCGCGCAATATAAATTCTTTATTTTATTTTTGACAAAAAAATTCGGGATTTTTCAACTTTTTAACGGCTATACTGCACATAAAAAGAAGAAACTTGTATGAAAGAAGAAATAGAAGTTAGTAAAATTTATCACGTTTTTTTTTTTGGTCACAGAAGATGTTTAAAAATCCAGAAAGGTTGACTTTTCGAACGAAGAAAGCGGAATAATATATTCCTCTTTTTTTGACTATCATTTCCAAAATATTTTATTTTCGTATCAGCAATCAATTGAGTCATACTATTCTAACAAAAACTCAAGTTTCCAAAAAAAAGTTTATTGAAATATTTTTTTCGAAAACTAAAAAGTTTCATTCCACGCGAATTCGTTTCATTTTGTGGAATAAAACGTTCCTAGAAAAGTTAGAAGTATCTACTGGGAAAGAAGAAAAACTGGAGGGAAAATTATAATTGGAAAATCTAATTATATTAAACTGGCGAAATTAAAAGTTTTAAGTGGTGTTCAGGAAAAAGAACTCTCATTTCAGATGCTTTTGAAAGGGAATTCGTGAAAGTTTCAAGGTGTTTCAAAACTCAATTAAATGAAAACCTTTTAAACGAAAAAAACCTGATAATTGTGAAAAATGAGTTAAAGCAGAGTGGACTGATTTGAAAGGAGCATTTGAGGCGGCGGAGTTGCAAATGTGAAGGACGGACAAGTCGAGCGGAGAAAAAGGAAGGAATGCCCCGGGGACGTGGGCAGTTGCCGTGGCGTCTCGTCGGGTTTGTTTTAGTCGGCCTTCTGATGCGATGGCTCAGCGTCGTCGTCTTCAGGCTTCTGCTGGCGGTGCTCGCCGCGCAGAGCAGCCAGGACGCGCCGACGTCGCTCCCTCAGTTCGCCGACCAGCTCCTCGGCCATTTCGAGACCAACTCTCGCATAGGATTTCTTGAAGACGTTTGTTTTTCTTTTTTCAATACATCCCTTTTCAAAAGATCTTCAGTAAAAAGCGCAAAAAAATAGAAAAAAAAATGCAAATCTTCTTTTAGTAGTAAAAAAATTATACGATCAAAAAACGATTTTTATCATCCATCTTGTACAAAATGTTCCATCTTGTTCCCAATGCATGCCAAAAAAACTGGAACGAGCGATTGCAATGATGTTCGGAAAAGAAATAATAAGTGAAGGCAGAAGGAATGAAAAAGGAGGTTTTGGATTTCGCTGCGGGCACATTCGAAAAAATTGGCTGTCCATGTTCCAAATGCGTTCGCCAAAGAAAACACAATTTATGGCCTTTAGACATGCGTTTTGGGAATCATTGCGGCGCGTTTAACGTCTCAGGTAGAATTTTCCGTTAAATCGACCAGAAGGGGATCTGCAAGAGGCCGTTTTGCGGGTATTTCACTTCGAAAGAAAAAAAACCGACCCCAAAAACAATTAAATTACATTCTGAACTATGCCCAAGACTTCAAAATTTCGGGATTTAAGGAGATAGAAGAGCTGAGAGAAGAGGTCCGATCTAAGTCAGAAGATCCGGTCGCTGTACTTCGAAGGTCCACGGAGGAACTTGAAGAACTTTTTTCGCGTCGCGTCGTCGCTCTCCGAGTTCGTTTTTCGGCGATTTAGAAGACAAACGGCAAAAAAAAAAACGCCAAACTGAAATTAAAACACGGCTCAATCATAAAAAAATATTTATTGGTTTTTTTCTTCGATTATCAACTTTGCCTGAATTTCAAAGCCTGGCGGCTGAAAAGTTCCGTTCATGAGCCTCGTACTCTCCATTTTCTTTTGAAGAAACAATCGATAGCCAAAATATAGGGATATAATCATCATTCCAGTTTATCTCTCTAGTGCATGCTGAAAAAGTCCGTCGGTTCGGTCGTTTTGATAGTGGCCATTTTTTGATGTTTTCAAATTTTGGAAGCTTTTTTGGGCTTTATAAAGGTATGTTTTTCTTCATAATATGACTAGTTTTGAAATCAGTGAGAAATTCGACCTTTTGGTTCCCGAAAGTTAACTTTTTCTGAATTTTTCGACTATAAAACAGACATGGAAAACAGTTAGTGAGTCTCAGCTCAAGTTTATTCAAAAAAACTTTTAATTATTTCCAAACTACAACAATAGAAATAGCGATATGCCATTGTTGGATAAACTAATATTCCATGCGTGGTCGGAGCTCAAAAGAATCTTCTTTTCGGAATAACGAGCATCGACTGCCGTAATTAGCCGGCGCCGCAATCCTTCGGATTCTTCGAGAGCCGCGAAAACAAGGACTAAAGATGTCCGAGTTTTCACTAGCTGGAGACCTCATCAAATGGACGGATTTGTTTGGGAACGACTCAGTTTTACGATAATTTCTCTTGAAAGCTTTTAATTGAAGTTTTACTCCATTACCATTTATATTACTTTAAAAAGTTCAAAACGCGTTCCCAAGCTTATTTCGAGTGTAGAGGAAGGTCCCAGGAAAAGAGTTTTCCCGCATTCATCCACGAGCTCAAACGCCTCGCTCGAAGTATGACCAAGAGAATCAAGGGCGGATTTCGTACGAAAATTTCAATATGTACTTTGTTTCTTGAAAAGAAAAAAAGCTGCGTTCTTTCTTACTCGGTTTTCGATGATTTCAGAAGTTGGCTGCAAGTGCGGAGGCATCGGCGAAACATCATGTTTCTTACGATGACCGGATGGTAAGATTCCAAGAAAGTTCTCCAGTCAGATAGTAAAATGGATTGCTTTGAATCATGACTTCCAGGAATTTTTTTTTCAAAAGCGTGAAAAACTAATTTTGAGAAAAAGACTTCCAGGAGTTAGGAATTATCTTGCGTAAAAACGAGATCGATATTTTGAATTTTATGTTGAAAATATGTTTCTTGATAAAAGAAGGGTTGGAGGCTGCCATCACACACTTTTCATGGAATAAGTTTTGAATATTTTCGGTTTCAATAAGGTCGAATCCATTTTAACTTTTGATCGTGTGTCACGATTGTTTTATAGAAACCTTGGAATCTTCTTTCTTGCAGTTTGGAGTCCCACAGGACGAGGCGCGATGCGAGAAATACCAGCGAGAAATGAACGAAAAGGACGTTCACTACCCGTCGAACTCGGTGGCAGAGACTTCGGGAGTGCACATCAACCTCGTCTCCTACCAGTGCGGTGAGCTCCGTCCTCTGTATCCTGTTTTCATTGGTTTTTCAGACCCGCAAGTGATGCGCGACTTTGACTGGACTGGATCAGATTATCTCGAAAAAACGATGGCCGAAAACAAAAGAGACTCGCCGGAGATGGGCCACCAGTACATCGGAACCTACTCAGGTCTCACTAGGATGTACCCTCGTGAGGACAGAATGGAAGGCGGCTGAATAATCCGAGGCCTAGGAAGGAAGTGGGAGATCGAGCCGGCGCAGATCACTATCGACCTGTTTGACCCAACTTTTCGGCCGTGGTTTGTCAACGCCGAGAGCAAGCCCAAAGACGTCGTTTTCCTGGTGGACTAGTGAGTCGTGTCCGTCTTTGAATAATCGAGGAGAGACTACAGCTCGGGCAGCGTCAAAGGTCCCACCATGCATCTGATCAAAATCACGATGATGTACATGTTGTCGACACTCAGTCCCAACGACTACTTCTTCGGTGCCAAATGTGGTTTTTGATTTTCATAAGAAGTGTGTTTGAGGCGTCTACTTCAACAGCGACTTCAAACCCATCGTTTCATGTCGAAACGAGACTTTCATGCCTGCCACAACCAGCAACAAGAAGGTAAAGTCCCTCTTGAAGCTCCCAGTCGTCGGTTTGTTTCAGGTGTTCTTCGAAAAACTCGGCGAAATCGAAGAGAAAGATCAGGCTCATTTCTCCACGCCGCTCAATTTCTCTTTGTCCCTTCTACACGGGGTACAAAGCGAACTTTATGTCTAAATTGTTTTTTTGAACAAGAATTGCAGAACCTGGACTCGAATAATTCGCTCTTCACGGGTTACCGATCCGGCGGCCACAAGCTGTTGATCGTATTCACCGACGGTGTCGACGAGTGGCCGCATCAGGTTCTCGAGGAAGAGTTCCGCACGCGTGGCAACGACCTGGTGAAGCAGCCCTCAAGTAATAAATTCAGTCTTTTTCAGGTGCGCATTTTCGGTTTTTCGATGGGTTTCTCGTCGGGACAACTGCCGCTACAGCAGTACATGGCTTGTAACACCAACGGCGGTCATACTGGTCTGTTTTTTTTCTAAAGTTCTTTTTTTCATGGAAGTGGAGCTCTTTATCTTGCTCAGTGAAGTTTGCATTGCACTTTTGAAAGCTATATGAATTCAATGAATGAAACTTTTACTAATCATTTTTGCTCGCGCTTTATAATGGTAGCTTTCGTTGAATTCATCTTAAAACAAGTAAATCCTAGTTCTCAACGTAACAATGTTTCAAATGGATAGCTGATCTAACTCTTACATCCAGGGAATATTACTTCATTCTGAGTAATGAAAACTTCTTGGAGAAATTAAATTTTACGCCGCTAGATCTTGTGATTTTGTGTGACAGCACCAAATTAAACGTAGTCTTAAATATTTCGAGATTTCATTTTGTAAATCGGCTTTCCTCATAACTATCAGAAAAAGGAACGAAAAATTTTTTTAAAAAAATTATAATAACTCTTGAAAAAAATGAATGTTTTAGTCATCGATTCGATCATGGATGTCAAACCGCAGTCGAGATTCTATCTTGATGTTCTGAGTCGTTCGGAAGGCGAAGCTCTCAAAGACACGAGAGTAGAAGATCGAGACCCAAACTGGTGGGTTTCTCGAAAAAGGCCGATGACTTTCACAATGATTGTTCAGGACCCAACTCTATATGGAGGCCCAAGGCCTGGGACCAACAATAACGCTCTCGATGCCGGTTTTGGCGTCGGAAGAGGCAAATGCGCTCTGGGGGAAGCAGAGAATAGCGGGAATTGCTGGTAGGCCTGAGCTGAGTGCTGGAAAGGAAAAAGAGAGGATGCAGCGATCGACGTCGCCATAAAAGAAGTAACTTCGGTCCTTCCTGTTGGCAGCGACCAGATCTACGCGATGATCGTCGACAACAACGGCGTCCTCATCTACCATCCCAGGCTTGCCATTCCGGTTCCTTTCCTTTATTGGAGAATCGCAACAGGACGGTTCAGAAGACGGAGGTCCACTCTGTCAGGAGAAGCGCTTGCTACGACGCCTCGCAAGTCCGTTCCAAATACGCTAGTGGATTGCGAGTTCGTTTCTTCCAAATTACCCGGCTTTCTTTGAAACAGCCCTCGTTTCCCTATGTCCGATTTTTGCAGGTACAATACGGATTCAGCGATGAACGTGTCTATCGGCTTGTCGGTCTTATTGATAGCATCCCAACCATCGACTTGGTAATATATTTGAGAGGAATTCGATCGGAAACTTTTTTCAGTTGCAAGTTATTTAGAATATTGGTCTTTTTTCATTTTTTGGACACAACAAAAATTAAAATTTTCTAATTTCGCTCACTCTTCTATGAACTTTGAAGTCTTTGAACTTTCTCCCTTTGACTATTTTACATTTAAGAATTTTCCTCCGAAGAAGGTGCAATACACTTTTCAAATTTTTTTGAAGTGCATAATGGGAAGAATGAAGGTTTCATCAAGAAGTTTTTTTCATTTTTTTAAATATAAATCATGCAGTTCCTGAAAATGAAAAGTCACATTTACATCCATTGAACTTGTCAAAATCCGTTTACAGTACGAGCTGGAAGGAAACTCAACGGCGTGGCAGGACCTGCGACAGAGGATCATCACCAAATCGTGTCACGACACGCCGATCTCAGCGGTTCGCGGCCTTTTTCCTCCTCGGAAAAGGATTCTTCAGGGAACTCGAGAACTTTACTGCACCCACCTCAAGAACTCTCCGTTCACCCTGGTCATCGTCAACGATTTGTCTCTGGAGACCGTCGTTTATCCCCATGAAGTCCCACAGGTGCACGTCGGCCACAACGCTCTTCTCGGATACTTTTACGTTCCCAGGTGAGCTTTTTTTCGTTTCACCCCTAAAACTCAGTTGAATATGGTCCATATGTTGAAAAAAAAAACCGTTTTTTGTATTCTCGATGTACTGATATACATTTTTTTAAACCTAATTTCTATGTTAAACGAAATTTTAAAGTCGGACAGAACTTTGTCTCAGGCTGCATTAGTAAATCATCACAATCAATCGTTATTCCAGTAACTTGTTCAGATCTACCTATCCGAAAGCTCATGGTGATACATTTTTTGGCCCATTTTGATTGTAGAGTTTTGATTATAAAACACTCATCGGATTTTTGAGGCTCAAATTCAATTTATCAGATAAAGGGCAGAAATTCCAGAAAAAAAATTGGAAAATGTTGAAACCATTCCAGGCGAATAGAAAAGATTGAAAAATAGAAATTGATTACGCTTCAGAGAGACTTGTGAGTGGAAGCTGGACAAACTGTCGGCGCGGGACCGATTCGCAGGATTCGCGTCTCTTTCCGAAGACGACTGCAAGGAGAACATCCGACTGGCTCGTGCTTCGATCAACGCGATCCGAGGCTGGAGAGAGTCTTGGCCTAGCCTCGGTAGCCCTGCAGTCCTATCCTCGTTCATCCCGCCTTTTCTTCAGAAACTTTCAATTCTACTTGCACCTTGGCTCCAGTGCCTCAGGGCATCGAGCCGCGTTCTTTTGTCAACTCATTTGTTCACATGCGCGGAAAAATAACGGCTTTTTACCCAGCTTGGTAGGTTTTCCCCGACCTTTTTGGAGTTTTTAACCTTCTTCAGTACCGACGAAGTGATGAAGGCGGTCAACCGGAAATTTGATCGAGAAGTTCTTACGAAAGATGACACGGGCTCTCTGAGAATAACTATCGGAGACAACGCGATTATTGGATACAAGTGAGTTTCCGTTCTGTTTAAACAACGGGCTGAAGTTCTCGAAGTGGACTTACAATGGCATAGATATATGTAGCTTGAAAACATGAGAAATTTTCGTGTCCATTCTCTCGATTCTTCAGCTTCAGCAGCCGTTTCAATATGAAATTCAAACTTTTCGTCTTCCAATTTCATAATATCGGAAAAAGACTTATAAAGACAAAAAGACTTATAAAGACAATGTAAAAGGCTTTTGGTCCTTTCTAGATGTTGTAGGTATGCCTTTCGGTGCTGAGGACTCGGACTGGTATAGTAAGAATATTTACTGGCTCATAGCATCATATAGACAATAATAGCGACCCATCCTGGTCCGGTCTGTCTCTTCCTCCACTCAAGCTCTCAGAGGCGGCGCCTTGGCGCCGCCCAGGTTAGTTAAGCTTCTTGAGAGACGAGTCGGTGGTGGACGGTGTTAGACATGGCACCTTTTACAACATTACCATTACATTCACTACGGCCCCAGAAGACGCTTCGTCCCCGAAGCCTAAAATAAATAAAAGGGAATAGTAAGAACATTTTTAAAAGACAAAACAATTCAGAGAGGGAAATAATGTATTAGATATCAAATGAGAAATAGTCATTTTACTAAAGGTGTGTATGAGGAGCGGAAGGTGAGATTATTTGTTGGGATTGAGGATGAGTTTCCGAGGCTGGTTGAGCTGATGACGAGAGTTTGAAAGGCGACGGAATTGATCGGCTCAACGGTGGTTTTTTGCGATTGGATGTTAGACGATGAGGAAATGTTGATAGACGATGTTTGAAAGGTGATGGTGTTGTCAGGAGATGTTTGTATGATGCTGTCAAGGAGTAGAGGTAGCTTTCTCAGATGGAATATGAGGAAGGCAGGAGTAGATCTTCTGCCGGATGGTACATGACGGAAGTTCCTGGGACCTCCGTGAAATGAATGGAATGATGTTCCTCACGTACGCCACCAGTGCGCTACGCCAGAGTGATGTTGTAAAGAAAGTTGGGGCGAATGCCCACAGGCCTTTTTTCACTCAAGAGTGCTCTCGTTAAAAAAATCAGATAATTTTAAATGATATTTTGTAATGAAAAAATCTGAAATACAAAGAAACCACTTTAATCTATTGTATGACAAAAGATGAATTTTCAAGAGCGGTCCAAGACAAGAAAGGGAACCGCCTGATGGTGGTGGGAACGCAGTGGAGGATGAATTTCATCGACCGACTTCTGAATGACTGGCGCGCTCGTCACACCGACTGGGACTTCTGCCGGAATGTCAGCCGTTACCAAGAACTTTCATCCATTCTTAGTTTCCAGAAAGATTGTTTGTTGGTGACCCGAGAAGCCTTCGTCGTGGGCTCGACGCCGCAGCGCAAGGCCCCCGGCCACCTGTCTTCCTTCGATTCACAGCTCTTCGAGTCACTCGTCAAAGCCGACGTCATTAGGAAGTTGGTCGTAACTGGCGATGTAGACAATGAGAAGTTTGAGACAAGAGTGGGTAGATGTGCAAGCGGAGTGCATGGCGAGGAAGGTGGCGCCCTGGACGAGTGCTTCGCCGACGTCGTCAAGTCTTCTGCGACACGTCTTCCGTTCTTTCTTCAAACTCTTCAAGATGTCCTTCTGGTACCTTCGAACCTTTTTCGTTTTTAGCCACTTTCTTAGGGTAAACCTATACGAAGCCCTTGTCGGCTACGTGGCCGGACAACCTTCGATGAACGGTGGCATCTGTCGTTTCCAGCGGATAAAGCCTTTCGAACGCTGCTCTCTCAGGCATTTCCAGTACCAACTGAGGCTCAATATCACCAAGCAGATCAAGCTTCAGGTCGGCTACGACGTCTGCTCCAGGTGAGAAGTTTTGTTCCTTCGATATTATCATCCTTTAACAGGTACGCCAACATGTACCCGGTTCCGATGACGACTCTCACCCTTATCGTCGTTGGCAAGTCTTGTAACCAGTACAAACCTCACCTTCTCTACGAATCTCAACCTCAGAAGCGTGAGTTTCTCGAAAAATCGATCATTGGAGAATGTTATATTGCAGTGGAAGGATGTCAAGTTATGCAGTCTCGACCAAGACGGCCGCCCTTGTCGTTAAACAACTTCTCCTCCGTCTTTGAGGTGTGATAGTTACAGCTAATCCGAAAAGTTTGTACTTACAGCAAGAGCCGGACGATCTCTGTTACTTCTCAGGTGCAGACCGGTCATTTTTCCGAAAAGAGCTAGTCGTCTTGATAATAATCTTGATATCATTCAGTTAGAGCCAAAGGTTTTGCTAAAAATTTTATAATATTGCTTCCTTTTTTTTCAATTTTGCAAATTTTTTCTGATTTTTTTTGTGCCTTCAACATCAAATTTCAACGATTTGAACTGTGGCTTTCCAATTCACGTGTAAAATCTCTTCTATTTATCATTCACAATGAAAATTTGACTTTATGAAATTAGATCAACATCTTTTTTTGATGAATTGTAAAGAAGTCTGAAATGAATTCAATCGGCTAAAGAACCTCGTGCGACTGTGAGAAACGATCAGACCGGTTAGGAAAACTTTCCACGGGGGCAGTAACAACATGAAATCTAATAGAAAAAAATAAATAAAATAACAAAAGAAATAAACAACTATAGGGATTTGATCATTTTTTAAAAAGGAGATAAACCAAGGCGATTTGCGATATGAAAGTAGTACAAACGAAGAATGCAATGACCATGGTGTAGAACCGATTGGACGAGTTTTCGTTGGTGTGTTGGCTGATAGATGTCATCATCGACCTGATTATTTACTGATCAGACGCCAATATTGCTCTTCGAAAAAAAAAAATTTATCTGGTCTAATCAAAGGCTGTTTATTTTTCACGGAAGGATCTCTAATCGCATTCTCTGGCGTGTTATTTTAAGAGAATACAACCTGGAAAAGTAGTTTATTAAGAAGCGTCTTGTGATTTTTCTTGGAATAAAATTCTTTATATGTACTTTCTGAACTGGTTTTCACACTTATTGATGATGATTTTACAAACCTTGCAACGGAGTTGGTCGGAGAATGCTTGAGGAAAACGTTCCTCGGTGCCGGTGTCAGGAGAGATCTCGCTCCTTGAGACGGATTTTGGGCCTAAAAATGGTCGTTTCCAACCTGGAAAATAAAATGAAGTAACCGAAAAAACAGATTTCGAAGTGGGGAAAACAGAATTTGCGGTGGATCCAAAGCCGATTCGACTGTTGGCAAGGGGAGCCGTTTGCAGCACAGTCGATGAATTGGAGCCGCCAAAACGCTTGAGAGCGGAGAAGCCGCTGCGAAAAGAAGCGGCTGTGACTGTCGACGCAGAGTCGCCATCGATAGCCAGGGAAAGCGACCGAATCGACGGAGCCAACTCGCGCGAAGGCGTCGTCTCTCGCTCGAAACCGTTTCTCGCTGTCAACAAGGTTTCGTTGTCGTCCCAGTCCATCATCTTAACCATCAGAAATAAGCAAAAAAAAAGTTAAAGCTAATCCTTCTCCATACTCACATGCTTTTGATAGATGGCCGAGCACCTCGTCTTCACTTTTCACACTTTAGACTTCCTGTTCTTGAAATCCTCACAAAGTTTGTTCTCGAAATTCTAATCATTTCTCAACATGTAAAAATTTTCTCGAGATACAAAATTTTCTTTCCATTGTAAATCTATTTTTAATTTTTTGTAAAGGACTGAATAGCCTTAAGTGCGAATCTTGTTGCGTTCAATTTCCAAACCCTCTTTTTTGGCCTCACGTGTTTTTTTTCCCCGTTTTTTGGTCATTGTCAGAGGATATGTAGAAAAAGAAAGATCCAAAAAAACAGTCAGACCCCGCGCGTTGCGGCCGAGATGGTGGACATTTTCAGTCAAATCTAACGTCTCTTTAAACCAGAAGTTTTTCATTTTTTAGGATCGGAAACTACTTTGATCGCGGCATTTGAAAACGGAAAAGCTTTTTCTGCAAAGAAGAAGATGTTCAATGCAAACCTCGTTATTCTCCTTGTCCTCTCCCCTGTTCGTCGTTCTGATGGGCGTCACTTCACGGGCTCGTTCCCTCCACATCATCCGCGAAGCCGAGGAAAAGTTTGAGACGTCGGATATGACAGATCGAGAGGAAAGATCTGATATAAAACGAAATGAAGAGACAGTCAAGAGGAAAACACCTGTAGCGCCTTTAGCAACGTTCCGATGGAAGGCACTCTGGGGACTGTTTTTTGGGCTCTTCCTAGCATTTTTCCGGTCTACAGAGCTCATTCCATTGACAGTTGTGTTGGGACTGTCCAGTCGCGAAGAGCACTGAGAAGTCGGAGTTGACGCGACGGAAAAGGCGCTGGAAGCTTGGAAATTAAGAAGAAAAGCAGAGCTTCGGTTTTTTTTTAAATTAGAAAATCACTTTTCAAGATTGGATAATTAATTTGAGAAGTGCCTAATAAAACCTGGATATAAAGTTGTTGGGCCTCTTTTTGTGTTTGAACTTTCGAGGAACAAACAAGATTGCCGAAGCCAAAATAGCGCTGAAAGAGGAAAAGGCGCACCGACACAGAACCACGTCGTCAGCATAGTTCTGGAAGAGAGACAGGCTCAGAATACGCGGAAAACGAGTACCTCCATGAACCATGGGTGGAAAGTTAGTGCTTGAAGCAGAGTTGTGAATGGCAGCAGCAGGTCCGGGAGAGTGACGCGGCATCTCAAACCCTTGTTTTTTTTTTTTGATTCTGAGTGAACAAGAGTGAGTTTTCAACTCGAATACGCTAAGTAACTCTCCTTTCTAATTTTTGCTTCGTGATTTTTTCCATTCAAGACGCGGAAGCCGTAAAATCATTGCGAAATAAATAGAGCAATTATTGCGATTAGAAGCCGTTATCATGTATCATCTATAAGCCGTCAAAAGGAGACTCGACCGGGCCGTGAAGCAACTATTCAGTTTTGAACTACTTTTCACGAAACCTACTTGTTGAGCTTGAAAGTGGCCAACTGCATGAAGAAGATGGCAGCCACTATCCAAGACGAAACTTCGTAAACCAGGGGCAAAGTTGCTCGCAGAATATGAGGAATCCGCAAGACTTCCAGCTCCCCGTCCTGAAATTGAAAAAAAAGATAGAGAAGCTCGTATCACAAAAAAACCTCTTGCAAATGGTTGAACTTTGCGGCGAAAATCACCAGTGAAAGCAGGAAATTGATTAAGTGCAGCATCTCGCTTGCACGACCACCCGCGAAGAACCGGCGACGACTTCGCTGAACCTTTCACTCAGCTCATTGCGTTTTTTTTTTGAAGGTATAGGTATACTCCCTCTCAAACTTTTTTTTCCTTCACTCAAAATTTTGAAAGTTGCCTTTTAAGAATTCTCTAGAAAAATGGAAAATCAATGAAATGATACGTGAAAAATTGAAAAACCAGTTTTTCCGATAAAACATGATACTCGACATTTTATTTGATAAATAGGAGGTTATTTAATCGAGCACTTCCGAAAAATAAGATATTTTTCAGAGCGTCTTTTTTGAAGAACGAAATTGTGAAACATTTGAACCAAAAAAGAAAGAGGTTTTACATTTCTTCTAAGGGGGTTGAGAAGGATTTCTGGTACCTTTTTATCAGGATTGAGCGCGTGATCTACCTTCCTCGCGAAGTATGCAAGACGTTCTTTCAGTTGAAGCAAGTAGGAGTACTTCACCTGTAAAATAAGCGTAAATTATCTGCTCTTTTGGAGATTCAAGAAAAAAAGACTGTAATTCATAACAACTTCATCAAAGTTTCAAAGGAAGAAAAGATAATGTCTTTCCCAACATAACACCTTTCCAGCTCAAGGACTGAAACGGCAACGCCTATGAGAGAGGAACGATCTGGCACATCATGCGAACCAAGGCGCTAAATTAGCGGACCGGAGTAAACAATGTGCACGTCGGGTGGCGGACCCGATCTCTCGCCCTTTTAACCACAGACAGCTGTTTTCGCGTTGCGCCACGCAACGCATCACTCCGTTGGGAGACTTTACGCGCTTAGTTTCTCACCTTCTCTTCTTCCATTTTCCCATGGACGGTTAATGTACATCGAGGACAGAGCTGGTAGAGCCGCTCAAGCTTATAACGATACTCGTCGAGTTCTTCGTTCCATCGACTCTCAAATAATGAGCTGTTTCCCTCTTCTGTCATTCTTTCCCGTAAGTTTTCGGACAAAACCTCATTTTTCGGTTCAAACGCCGCCAAAAGATTGACGATTCTTTCCTGGTTCCGGTTGCAATGTTCACAAAGACCGTTACCCCCATTCGAAGCTGAGAAACAAAAACTTTGAAATTTTCGAGTAACTGCGAAAAACCATCTTCGGTCAGGGATATCCCACCGAGAGTTCTGACTGGCCCTTTATGCAAAGAAGCCGTTCTAGCACAGTATCTGATGAAAATTTCAGGATGTTGTATGGAAAATCAAGAAAGATTCACCTGAAACCGTGGCCATCCGGGTTGAAAGAACTTTGGCCAGGAACTTTTCTGTTATAGTCGCCGTCCTCCGTGAAACCGTTATACTGATGACAAGAAGAGCATACAAACGAATTACTGGCGAAAAATATTTCGAGAAAAAGACAAAATCCAAACCGGTTGGAATAGGAAACTTTCGTGTTCTCATTGCAAAACCAACAGTTGACAGTCGCTGGGAATTTTCTCCTGAAACTTCGAAGTCCTGTCAACCAGAACAAATCTACAAAGAAACCTTACAAAAACGTAGAGCAACGGAGCAGCCACAGCGGCTCCAGTGACCGCCAGAGCAGTCATAGACTTCAACAATAAGTTCACAAAAAAGTTAACTTTCAAAAAAGTACTTCGGAAGTCACACCGGAAAAGATAAGAGCTGATCTCAGATCGTCAAGTAAAATTTATTCTTCACACTTTTGAAACATCACGTCGGACATATTTGAAGAAAAAAAAATTAAATACAAAGAAGAAAGTAAAAGGAAGTTAGATGACTGGAATAAGCAATAAAATCAAAGGTACAGAAACTAGCGTTGTTAAGGTAAACCGTGAATTCAATAAGAAGAAAAAAAAACATATAAGTGAGGATTAGTAACAAAAGCATGCGGAAAGGCATATATTTATAATAAACTCTGTACATGGAAAAGCTTCGGAAATATGAATTTCTTTCTTTTTGTTCAAGTCCTGAGATAAACTCGAAATCCGTGTCACTCAAGTCGAATCTACTCTAATTTCTCGAAATGCGGCCGGGCCAGTTTAATGTTGAGTTGAGTGGCAGCGACGGACGCATTGCCGTCCCGCAAAACCACCTGAAGCTCAAAATGGAAACGGAAGTACATTCGAGATTCTGTTCCTTTGCGAGAGTTTCACCTTACCAGAACGCTCCAATTACCGAAGGAATGAAACGAAAATCCTCGAACGCACCATAATGAAAGTGTTGGCCGTGAAGGTGTCGATGAACGCCGAGAAGGAGCTGTTCTTCACGTGCATCGATTCAAGCTGCGAACCCATTTCGCTATAAGCCTAAGTAGTTGGAAAAAACCTCAAAGTGACACCTGCAGGACAACTTGAACTGCTTGATAATGTTAGAAACTTTCTCGAAACGGTGCGAATCTTTGTGTTCTCTTGTTTCCGCGTGGGCAATTACCAGAAAGGTAGCTCTTTCGAAAAGAATTATCTGAAACCGAATGATAGCAAAGATTTCCAAGTTGAAAAATGTGAAACTGTAACACTTAATCTCCACGAAACTCCGAAAAAATTTTCCTTTTAACTCAATCAATGTATGAAATCATTCGTTTTGTACAAGTTGTTTCATCCTTACTGTTTCAGTAATGAACTACAGCACAAAAAAGTCTCTAATAAACTAAAAGACAGATCATTTGGCCTCAAAAAACTTTCTACGCTCCTGACGTGGCTTTTTGCCATTTCTCTACGCCTTCACTGGAATAAATTGATGGAACGTTTTCTTATGTGACAGATTCCCGATAAGCAATACGTTCTTAAAGTAAATCTCACCTCGTCGGCGTCGAGAATGGCGGCGAATTTCTTTAGTTTCTCCTCCATTATGCCCACATTAGGCACCAATTTGTACACAATTGTCGACCAAGCCTAGAAGAAGATTTGTGGAAATGAAAAGAGAGACGAAAATGCCTTGTAGAGGGTCTCGTCCCAAATGCTGCTCTTGAAGCACTGACAGACCGCGTTTTCCCGCTCAACTTGGTGAGGACGCGCCGCCAATTCGCTGTACCGCAGAACGTCGGCTTCGCGCTTTTTGAACGTCTGAAAATTGCCGTCAAATCTGCGCAAAACAGTGGCAAATTTTGCTTTGTTAAAACTACTTTATCAAAAATTTAGTCAAGTACTTCAATCATTTAATTAACCAAGACGCTTCAGATTCCGTTCAAGTATGCCCTGTTACTTAGCAAGTTAAATGCAAAAATGATATTTTGAACTGAAACTATGTACAGTTTCGTTTGAACAAATATTTTTTTAGACTTTTTTTACAAATATTTTTTTAGACTATTTTTTTTCAGAATTTCTTGTAAGTAATTTAATCTTTCGAAACTTCTTAGAGCTGCTTTTTCTGCAAACCGGAATCTTTCTTGACGAAACTGTACCTTTGATTCTCTATTCGTATACCAATCTTTCTCTATTTCACTTTTTGTTTTCTAAAACCTATTCCTGTGCCAACCTCTTACAAGGCAGGCCGTTCAAGTGTTAGGTTTGAATTTTTTATGCGAAAAAACTCTCATTTCTATCAGAAATGGGAAACTCGATAAGATTCGAGGGAAAATGAGAAAAAACCTCTTCACGGTGATCTTCTTCGATGAGGTCCATCTTGTGGATCAAACAGAAAACCTGAAGATAGTTGATGTGAAACTTGAAGAAAATCTTCGACACCTGTGCTTTTGGCGAGTTTTGCAGCAAAGCTTCCAAACAGGACTGGTAGTACCGAAGATCTTTCTCGAATTCTCTGCTTTCCACGTCGAAAACGTATATGAGGACCTAAATGACAGAAGATAGCAAAGGCGCATTTGCCAGAGAAACCTGGACGTTTTTGAATATCTGGTCTTTTTGAGAAACAAGAAAGTTCTCCATGAAAGATTCCTGCCCACCGCAGTCCCACAAATGAAGAACGAGGTTGCCAAGGAACCTTAATTTGTGCGAGTTGTTGCCTCGATTGCAAAGATGAACCGTGAAAACAGAGCAGTTCAAACTTTGGGCGGTTCAAAGAAGGAAAGGAACTTCCTTTTTTTTCTTCGACGTTTTCAAAGTTATTTGGCGATAAATGAGTAGTAACGAATAAAATAAAAATAGTTATATTTTTTTCACATTTGACTGTCGATCTAGTCGTCTTTAAACATTTTTTTTTTCATTGTTTTAGGCGTGATATTATGTTTTTATGCATCAAAGAACAATTTCTAAGAATAGAACTGGAGATATAACCGATATTACTGTACCTAACGTGAGCGTGTTCGACCTCGATGGTCGGACCTAGACGGGAGCAGTCGCGAGCGATGTAATTGGCGAAGATGATCGACCTCATCGAGGTCTTGCCGGAGCCGCTTTTGCCCATAAGAAGTACCTTTCGCCGCGATGACATCTCTCTGTAAAAAGCTGCGTTCACTGGAAAGAAGATGCTAACCATAGGTGTCAAAATATCGATCGCTTAAAACGATTGAAAAACAAAAAAATAAGGAAAAAAAATTGGAGAAATCACCTTAAGGTTTATTAAAAACATCAAATGTCAAAACAAAGATCAAGAAAAAAGAAGAAAAACGACAGCAGAACCTTGTTCATCGACATCACCATATACACAAAGAAGCGAATTAGTTCAACAGAAATTTTGAAGTGAAAATGAAGTGAACAAACAAAAATTATTAGAAAAAATAGAACAAAGTCCTCACGGGAGGTATCGTTTTTGGAATGATGTTTGCTGTCATTATGGAAAAAAAAAATGCAAACAGCAATTGAAAAAGAACCGAAATCAGAGGAAAATCGAATAAGTGATATGAGTACATGTAAATATAAATGAACCAGCAAACTCTAATCACTCCGGTCAAGCCTCAAATCTTCAATCAGGAAAAAGGCATTGTTTTGCGAGAAAAAATGAAGAAAATTGTTACTGATCGAATATAATGCAAAGTGACCCGTGTAGAATCGCCTGCGGATAAAAAAAGAAAATAAGGAACTACAAGAACAGTCGATACATTGAACTGAGTGACAAAAAAAAGAAACTCATTCGAAAAAAAAAACGTGATTGAAAAGAGAGGGGTAATGGTAGAATCTCGAAAGCGGTCAGGCATGGCTTTCGTTGAGATTTGGCAAGGCGATGCCGTTGGCGAGGCCGCGTGTGACCGCGTCGTTGGGATCGGCAGAATGAGCGTCGTTCAGAGGCCAATCTTCCGATTCCTGCTTTTCAGATGAACTTTAGGCATGATAATAATGCTGAACGGAATATTTCCAACGTCGGTTTTCATTCTTTCCTAGAACTAGGTCGTAAAAAATAATTTTTATATAACAAAAAACTTCAGACGCATGCAGTATAAAAAAACAACGGGCAATGAAATCATATATTTTTTTATCATACCGTTGTGACACAACTAAAAAAATGTTCCGTTTTAAAGAATCTGATGCGTTTTAAGAAATTTTTTTAATAATATTTAAAAGCGTACCTGTGATGGATTTATTTACTTTCAAGATTTTTATGAACTGTTTCCCAGCTGCTGTATGCGCAAAGTTTATTCGAAGCGTTGAAAAAAAAAACTGACCCCTTCTTCGAGGTTTTTCACCCCCGGCCAAGTTTCTTCCGACACTTGCGACGAGTCTTCGGCTTTTTTGGGCGTCGCGCGAGGATCGAAAGCGAAAGAAATCCTCGTCATCGCCAATTTTTGCCGTCGGCTGAGAGTTTTCCTTCAGTTCGCGTTGCAAATCGGTACTTATAGTAACGTCTTGCATCATTTTGTCGAACATTTCCATAGCCTTCGCTGCTGGAAACAAGACAGATTGGAAGATTGGAGAGTTTGGGAACTAACAGTCAGAAAATCCTTCGAAACGGACTGTCTCTTCGTCGGAACTGTCGTTATCCGGCACAAAAATGGAGGCATGATTGCCCGTTTTAAAAGTTTCAGGAGGTCGCGTAGGGGAGACGCCAGGCCACGGCCACTCTTCAGATAATTCTGCAGGAAGACAATATTCCAGAAACGCCTTGAAACGGGGAAATCACTCTTGACGCCTTCCGACTGGGCACCAGGCCAGTCGTCGTTTTTGGTGCCCATGGAGGTTTCGGAAGGCCCGAAGAAATTGTCGAAACTCGGAAGCTTTTTTCTCTCTGAGCAAATCTTCTCGAATTCATTATCGGCGTCGTCTTTTTTGTTGCCTTCCGTTGGGCTTTGACCGAAATCAAAACTGAAAATATGTAAAATGAATTTTAAAAAATTATGTGATTTCCTTTATTTTCAATTCAATTTTACGCTTATGATTTTAAAGTGGAATAACATTGCTGAAAAAAATTGATTTTTTTCAAAGACTCCTTTATTTTATTCTCCTTAACAGATGGCTTGTCAAAATTATTTTCGAAAAAATTTTTTTGAAATCCGCTTTTAAAACATTCGAGATGCGTTTTTGTTTCGCGACACTAGTTATAAACATCTTTTCGAACGAAAAACTTTTTGATAAACATAAATTTAAAATGAAAATTGAAACGAACCTGTTTTCGCCCGATTCATCCAAGTCCTCAGTAAAGCTGTCATTCAAAAAGTCCTTGTCAGTGATATCAAAGGCTGAAAATCAAAGTCATGTTGATTCATAAAATAACAAGATACCGGAATAGTCGATTTCCTGCTTCTTTTTAGAAGGTCGTACCTTATTTTTCGCCAAGTACTCATCGACAAAAGGTAGCAATTCCGACCAAATGGTGCTCGACTTGATCAAAAAATAATTCTCCAAATAGTTGTGCTGCTGTACCTCCAAAATCTTGGGAACCAGGCTCGTGGCAGCAGCGCTTTTTCGTGCTTTATAGATTCCAACAAGGATATTTGTGTAAAAGGTTCTCAATGCCGCCTTTTCAACTCGATTTCTGCTTTCCAATTGGTCCAAAGACTTCTTAATGTGCTCCAACAAACCACACGTCTCCAAAGAAAAGATTTTTAAGGAAAAAAAAAATTCCCTAGGAACCTTCAAGTAGTACTCGACAAGTGGCGATGTTCTGCGATCTTCGCATTTGGTATATAAGCCAAAAATGACAACTCTCTGCACTAATGTATGGAGCATGGACGACAAGGGCAACTTTTCGGCTGCTTCGACAATCTGCAGAGAAAGGTCTCATTGTCTGAACAGGAAACATACCTTGAGAAAAGAAGTTTCTTGGAAAGCTTTGTAAATGGCGAACTGTGTGTGGGTGAAGTTGGTGTTGCTGATCGCCAAGATGAGATTCAACAACGGCCTCCACAGAACTTTTTCGCCCTCAAAAGAAACAGTTGAAATTTAATTTTGAAAATAATGAAAACGTGAAAGAAATAAAAACATTATCATTGAGAATGAAATATCAATTTATACCTGCAAATCTTCTAGAAGGAGCTGTAGAACAGCAGGAAGAGCTTGCGACGCGATAGTTTCAGCTTCTTTCAGCGGATCAGGGGCAGAATGCCTGGAATGCTTATTTTCAAAGAGAAAGTTAACGCAATTAAAACCAGAAATAGCTGAAAAATTCATCGCCTATGAAATGAATTATGAAATAGCTCAGGTCAAAGGAATCAAAGGAAGCTCAGGAAAAAAACTCGAAAACGCTTCAAAAACCTCGTAAAAATAGAAAATGGGACGTAAAAAATCGCAGAAAATAATTTTCGAAAAAAAATTATTCCGCATTTTTCCTCCCCATGTGCAAGGTTTCAAGGTTTCTACAATTTAACTTTTCAGTATACTTTTATTTTAAATTTTCCTTTCTCAGAGGAAAACATTCATATTTCTTTTTCCCAAGGTATACATTTAAAAAAATTTATAATTAAAGGAAAATATGCTCTCCTCATACTTTCCTTTAACTACTCTATAATTCACCATGTGAAGTTTCCATCAAGAAAAGTATGGAAAATGCAGAACTATAGTCTGTTCAGATTTTGAATGTCAAGCTCCGCCCATAATGGTGCGATAAACGAATCAGAGAGCGACCCATCCACAGAGTGTTTTTGAATAACGTTATTGCACTTGACATTAAAAAAATATGAACAGATTATAAATTTATTTTTCAGCCATTTTTGGATGCATATTTTCCGCTACAATTCACAGGAGCTCAAGAATACATACATTTGGAAAATTCACTCATATTCGAAAATTATTCGCCGTACAAATTAGGAAAAAAACACTGGTTCTGAAACTTCACTAAAGGAGGAAAGTGTTTACATGCTTTTCTGAGTTTTTCCGCCGTTAAGAAAATACTGAGACTCAGCGTGTGATAAATATGAAACTTCAAATAAAACTTAAAGAAAATCAATTTGTGAAAATCTTTTTTTAATGAAAGTTAATTTTTTTTTTCAGATAACAGCTCGATGAGTCTAAAAAGAAACAAAACGAAGTCTTACGTCTTCTTCAAACTCGCTCCGTTCGAAGCCTTCCTCTCTCCCGTGTTGGCCGCGCTGCCGATCTCGGTCCTCCAGTTCCTGCAGGTGTTCAGCCTCCAACTGTTGAGATGGAGCGTTCATAACGAAGTTCGTTTGGATTAACTCCTCCAAAATCTGCAAAAAGAACAACTTTAACTCAAAAACCGCAACTCGTCAAACCTTTGCGCAAGCCTTCACTACGGAGTTCCTTGACGGAGAACTCTTATTCTCCACCGCAGCCTGAAAATGAGAATAACAGCCTTCATTGTTTCGGAATGGCTACCATCAGCTTTTCTGTGACGGAGATTATCAAATCGGCGTTCTTACCAGCGTTGTGGAGAGCGTCGCCAACTTTCAAATACGAATACAACTTATCCCGAAGTTCCCTGTAAATGCAAACAGTCACTCGGTCTCTCCTCTCTACTAAAACAACGCACTTCATGATCTCGATATAAGTGTCCGCGGCATTTTCATTAACCGCATCTGGCGATGAATAATCGATGCAGTTTATCAACCGCGACATGAAGGATTCATCAACAAACCACTTGAAATGATGATTCAGATAGTGAGCAAGAAAAGGAAACAAACCTGTCTCATCAGATTTCCGTCGTTAGCAATAATAGGTATTTTGATCAAATTCTCTAGCAGTTCTTCGATGGACCCAAGGTGCAGGTTCTTCAGACTTTTCTCGAAAAAAGACGACGATTTCAACAACTCAAAAGTCTGAAAAAACACGATCATTAATAGAACTTTTCCAATTTATACCGCGTTAAAATTTCTCATTAAAAGATGTTCAATTATACGTTGGTAGAATCCGGCTATCAAATGATCGACTGGGCTGTCGTCATTTAAAAAATCCCGCATGACGGTTTTCACTTTTTCGTTCTGACATCATTACTTTTTCATCAATAAAAAATTAAAATGGAGCCAACCGTCACGAGAGCTTCGTAGATACTTTCCACACTGCGAACTGTCAAAACTTCCGAGCAAATATGGGCTTTCCTTAAAACTCGACTCACTTCAGAGAATTAGGAAAATTACATGCATAGTGATTAAAACTAGAATTTTACCCAAGCTTTTTTTTCAATCATCTGAAACAAACCTATATTGCAACTTCAACGGAAGAGACGCGTCAATTTTCGGTCTTAAAGCAGTATTTACCAGTTTCACGAGATTCTCTTCCTTAGTGAAACTGAAATAAACAACGAAAATAAAGAAACAACAAAAAAACTTACAATTCTTTCAAAGCTTCGTTCCCATATCTCACTTCTTGTAAAAGAAAAGGATCTTCGATGACTTGTTCAAAAGTGAAATTTTTGGTGTTTAGCAGTTTCACCAAAGAGTTCTGCTCTGTCTGCAGGTCCCAGAACATCTGAATAAACTAGTTGATGAAAAATTTTAAGAGCAAAACTCTAGAAATAATGCCAAAAAAGTCAAAAAGTCAAAAAAATTTCTTGGTTCGAAAAATGTCAAAAAAACTTTTTGGCTTCACGTAAAATTTCCGCTCAAATTTGACAAAAAAATATTTAAAAAAATATTTTTTTTCAAACTTTTAAATAGGCTAATAAAAAAATGAACTGAAAAAAAGAAAGCAGGGGCCGGGAAACTTTACAGTTCTTTAATTTTCAACTGCGAAACGCAAATAAATAATAAGAGATTCAATTACCACTATTACATTTGTCTTATTTTGAATTGATAAGCTATTATATATATTATATATATTAGTATAATTTTTTTTACTATCATGCTGTGTTCAAAGTAATTTCCGCGAAATGCAAAACTATCTTTGACTCTCCAAAATCCAATTACCTTTTTCTTTTTCTGACCCTTTTTTTTGTATCTCGCAGAATCACTTCAAACACGGCCGAAAATGTGACAAAATAAATGTCTTTCGAACGAAAAAATGCTTTAAAAAGGAAAAGCGCGCCGCAGGAAGTTTTTTTCTGCAAAAGGGGCGCAACTTGTTCCTCATTTCAATTGGCGTGTTCATCCGACAAAACGAAAAATTGCTTCTAAACGCAAAAAGATTTCTTCAAAACAAAAATTGGTACTGTTTGAGAGCAACTTTGGCGCGCCGATGAACACGTTTTTTCGTTTTGAAGCATGCACCATTTCTCCGATAAACACGCCAAATTAAATTTTACTTTAAAAAAATTTAAAAACAAAAATTTCCCCCAAGAAATGACTTTTCCAGGCTCAGCAAACCGAATGAAGATTTAAGAAAAAAACAATGGGGATCGTCCCACTTACGCTAGAGCTCGTGTTGGTTTTTTTCTCTGACTCTGTTTCTAATCAATAAGGTTTGTTCTGTTCATTTTCGGAGCTGAAGCTTCTTGTTAAAAAAAGGGATATTATGAGAACGTAAGTTATTTTTCTCCTTTTTTTCTGACTCCAAAAAAATGTAAAATTTTCTTCTTATCATGCGTTTAAGAAACATTCAAAACTAATCTTCCTTAGTAAATGTTCATGTTTTTTTCAAAATCGGATTTTTTAGTACTCAAATCCGAAAAAGCAGAACTTCATCGTCACTATTTCGACCTTTCTCGGCTGGTTTTTTTCGTTCATAATCATTTTTGTGCTTCCACGCGATGTTTCTATTGTAAGTCAACAGGTAAAAGTCTTTTACGGGTTTTTCGAACTGCAGACTTTTTACGAAAAATGCGAGATAGAACGAGAGCGAACCTTCAACGCGTCAGGAACGGTGTTGGTTTGCGAGCTTCCTGGCGGATACGTCAAGGACAACGTTCTGTTGAATCTTTGGCGTGTCGTTTACTGGACGGCTCAGCTCCTGACTTGGTTTTTTGAAGTTTCTTTCTGGCTTACTCCAAGTTCTATACACTTAAGGATAGTATTGCCTCTTCTTCAAAGTTATGCAACAGCCGGGGATTTTACAAAAATCGGCAAAATTAAAGCTGCAGTGTACAACAACGCCCTCTATTACGGGGTCTATGCTGTTTTCTTCGTTTCACTAGTGATTTACGCCCTTCTGAAAGGTGTCGCAATCAACGCGTCAGTTTTTCCTAATAGCGAAAGTTGAGAACGTAGAGAATTTCAGTGAACACATGAAAGTGATATTGGTTTCGGCTTCCAATACATGGGGTTTGTTCCTGCTGGTTGTTCTGCTCGGCTACGGCCTTGTAGAGCTGCCGAGGTCGCTCTGGTATACCGGAAGACGGAGTTGGTCTCTTTCTTGTCTCCCATTCATTTCTTTCTATTCACAGCTTTTCGTCTGAACAAGGTTTATTTCGACATAGAAAAGTTGTCTTCTGACAAGAGTGAAGCCGAAGAAAATTTCAAAGATGTTTATAGGTTAGAGATGACAGTCATTTTATTTTTCTGTACAAATCGAGTTCTTCAGAAAAGCTCGTGCAGTTTTGAATTCTCTGAAAAGTGAACACGAGCATCTGGAGAAAGCGCAGAAAATATTGTCGACTTTCCCTGATAATGTGGGTTCTGAAAGCCTTCATTCGGTTGAGTTTCTCCATTCAGGTTGTTTTCGAGTTATTTCCTGCTCGTAACGCGACCGAGTTTATCTCGAGTAATGTTGAAGTCAAAGTCGTGGGATCCGAGAGCTATTTGGTGTGAATTCCGAAGAAGATTTATCTACATTTTGATCCATTCCTTCAGATTCGTTTGCACAAGAAGGCGATTCAGGCCACACAAGCACATCAGAGGACGATCGCCCAGTGGAGGTATCAGTTGGTCTGAAGAACGAGAATATGAGGCTTTTAGCGTTTCTAGAATACGCCGATAACATAGAAATCTGATGTGTTGAGCTCAGTGGAGTTATCTTTTTTCGTTGCTATAGTCTGTTTAGACTTGACTATAGGAAAACATCATATTCAAGGGTATGCATAGAGAAACTTTCTGGCTCATTAGAAGAGCATCCAAGATATTTTTATCTTCTTTTTTTTTCACAACACTGTTCTCGTTTTCAACTATCCCTGTTGATCTATGAATTTCATAAAAGTTATCAATAAGCAAATGTTTGATTCATGACTTTAAATTTTTCGAAGGGTGTACAAAAAATGTAAAAAAAAGACCGAAACTATTTTTTTTTTGAACGTCTGAAACGATCAATGAAGTATTGACATTTTGAAAGATGATTTCAGGAACCTCATCGACCACGCGCTGTTTCTTGAAAATGTTCTGAAAGCCGAGACGACGGGGACTTCTTTGCATTTGAACAGCAATTGCTTGATTCCGACGTCGCTGCGGCGTCTTTGGTTTGTCGTCCTTCAGAGACCCGTTTCTAAGGTTTGTCGAGTTTTTCCAGAAAATCTGCCTTCCTGTATAGGAAAAGAACACAAAAAATTGCTCCAAAATGATATCTACAACAACTTTTCGGCTATTCCATGATTCAGAAAAATACCTTCTCGGAAGACTGAACGAATGTGTAAATGTATAAATATGTAATACGTATGAAGAAAAATCATAAATTTTTTTCTGGAGCGCACTTTTTTTGTTTTTTTATAGTTGCGAGAAATCGACAAAAAGAAATCAGTTTTAACGCGTTTAGCACATGGCTTTTTTTCTTTGTAATCCTTCGGAATTATCAAAAAAATTGGTGTGAGATGGAAGAAAAAAATTTAGGAAGCATCTAAAAATATTCTAAAAAGAATTTATTGATAATTTGAACATATTTTTGCTAAATAGAAAAGTTTTTGTCTTGTTTTTCATTCGAAGCCTATGAAAAAAAGAAAAACCTAGCAGCTGATTAGTTCTGTTATGTTATGATAATTAAACAACAGCTCCTGGCCTTCAATTCCGATACTTTGTAAATTGAAGGTGTGCGGGGTTCTGCTGGCCGGAATGACTTTTTTCATCCTTTTGTCCGAATGCACCTTCTTCCTAGTGTCTCCGACACTCTCACCGGCGGCCCTCCTCACAGATTATGCTGCTCAAAGATTCCACTACAAATACACCCAGGTTTCATCTCAGCGATTCCCTCGAATCCTTCCAGTCTTCAGATCGTGGCGATGGCCATTATCTTTTACCTCTGTGCGTGCGCCTATTTCACCATTTTCCGTCTGAAAATCTACAGATACTACCATCTCGATCCACATCGAAACACTGACGCCAACAGTCTCCTCTTCAGTGCCATGTTACCAAATAATAAGATGCCTTTTATCTGGATTTTTCAGACTTTTGTGTCGGTTGACGCCGCCGATTTGCCTCAACTTTCTGGGAATGATTCACTTGGATTCGCATATCTCGTTAGCCAAGGATTTCGGCGTAGAGACGCAGTTCACCAAGGTTCTGAACATGTCGATTCTTTGTACAGTCCTTTTCACAGCTGATGGGACATCTCGACGTTCTTCCTATCCTTGCCAAGGGGATCAACATTTATCTGCCCATCTGTATTCTCTTCTTCTGCGCTATCAACTACTACAGGTTTCTATTGTTTATCTGGAACTTGAGATTATTCACTTCATATTTGTTGATAATGAATATGTTAGACCAGTCGTCTAGCGCAACTTGGCATGCGCTGCGCAGCTCTATTTTTTTTCCTTTTTTTTTCAGTTTTTTCTCGCTGAAGAAAGTCAAGAAAGTCAAAAAGGTCGTTTGAAAGGTGAATGAATTTGTAGACTGAGTACCTATGTACTGCACAGTCTGGGATTCGACCAATTCGTGGAGGAAGACGATCTCACCAAAGATATGATCAACGCCGGACGATCTCTCGTTCAGATCGAAAGAAACGCTCTGCAGAGGAAGACCGAAAGGTCCCTTCGAAACGAATCTTGGGCGAAGAACAGCACTGGTCAGCTCTTTTCTCTTTTTTTTCGCTTTCTGAAAGTTTCATCATATTTTCAATCGAAAATTATTTCTTCTCATAAAAGGTTTTTTGGTGGAATAGTGCCAGATTTATAATCGGAGATATTTTGGCAGAAACAAAGTCTTGATTCGAAAATATAAGTTTCAACGACATATAACTCTTCTCTTTTGCCTATTGATTCAATCTCTTGGTTTTCTTAGATTATGCCATATTTTTCAAAGAAAGAAGCGAACAACAAAGGAAAAAATTTCAAGGAGATAACTCGCAAAAGACAAATTTATCTCAAATAAAGAATTATAAGTGTTTTAACTGAAGATATATCATCATCTTTATGTTAAAGGAAAGAAGGGCGGCTCAAGGAACAAGAATTTGGCGGAAGACGAACGGCCGATGATCAACGGCGGCGACGAGGGCGACGACGAGTGGAGCGGCGAATGGACGACGTCTTCTCTCCAGCCAGGAATCGCCTCTTCGGAAGCCTCTCACCCCGTGGGCCCCACACAAAAAAGCCAAGAACATCCCTCTTCTGTCAATTTTTTCGATGATATGTAGCGTATGAGACTTGGGTTTGTCAAGGTCGCAGAGTCCGTTCGAAAAACTTTGCTGGAGTCTCGAAATCGCAAGAAAATTTGTCCGAAATACGCTTAACATCGTAAAGATTTTGATGTTTCCTGATTGTAAAATATGTTGATAATATTTTCGGCTGGCCCTGTTCCGTTGCTCTGTAGACTCAGAAAACGTTGTTGAACAATCTATTTATTTGAAATATGTTTGAATTAGTTTAAAAATTTTTCATATTTATCAACCGGCTTCTTGTTGTCATATTCTACCCCACTTCTCATGCAATTCTAACTATGGTGACTCTAACACGAAGATCTCGAAATATTGTTTATCTGATTAATGGGTTCTTTATATCAATATAGATCTTTTAACATGCGGCTTTAATAAACTGTGTTGAACTGTTGCGATTGTTCACGGAAAGTTGTCATGTCTCCTGAATACCTTCAAAAAGATAGACTTGATATTCGATGGAAGTTCCAGAAATGTCGATGACAACCACTAGCGGCGTCGCACTTGAGGACATCTTCAGCAATCCGTTTGCGCCTAAAAAGCCAGAATCACAAAAAGTTGACAAAAAGGTGAGAAAATTTCAAATACGAAATGAATATAACTATTTTTCTACAGCCGTTCGTTTACACACCGTCGCCATATGTGCAGATGATAGATCAGATGTTGGGTACCAAGTCGCGGCCTTGGAATCCCGAAAGAACGCCTATAAAGCCTGCCCAGGTCTTTGAGCTGCCTCGTTTTCTCACAGATAACCAGCAAAAACGTCCTATCCTTTTTTTTCAAAGTATGAAAGAAAATATCAAAGCAATTTTCCTTGATTATCAAAATCTTCTTTGAAAAAAGGAGTACAATGGAATGTTTAAAACGATAGTGGCAAGTATTCAAAAAAAAAAAAATTCAACGGCTATGATTTGATACGCTCAAAATATGACCAAGTTTCCGGATAAGTGTGAAAAACTTTGACAAATTTCTAAAAAAATACAAGAGAGTCCTAGTTTAATTGAAAATTTTTTTATTCTTTTTTTATTAGCTCCTTTCAGAGATTTATCATGTCTCCGTTAAAAAGAGAGTCTCTCGATTCTAAAAAAAAAGGCTTCAGATGCTGACATTGCCCGAAATGACGCGAGAGGAACGGTACGTGGCCTGGGCGATGGAGAATTGCGCAGTGAAGGCGACAATCTCTGGAGTTCTGGGATTTGGTGTCGGCGTCGCGTTCGGACTGTTCACAGCCTCCGTCGATCCGTCGCTCTCCATGGTCGGCGGTGACCCCACCAAGCAGGTCAGAAAGTCCCTCCAGCTTCTGGCATTTCTTCCCATCTGCAGTTGACACTCAAAGAAACTTGGAAGGAGATGTCGGGAAGGATGAAATCTTACGGAAAGAACTTTGGATCTATCGGCTTCATGTTTTCTGGTTTTTGTTCGATTTCCGTTCTTTGGAGAATCTTTATCTTAGGGACTGAGTGTATTCTGGAGACAGTACGAGCGAAGAGCGACTGGCGCAATGGAACTTACTCAGGAGGTCCGTTTTTTTCTGTTTTTGATTGGTGGGAGACATGGAAGAAAAAGAAGAAAAGTGACGATAGGTAATCAGTTTTCTTTGTAAGATATTTTAAAAAGTAACAAAAGAAGCGTGAGAAAGACACAATCGTCACGTTGAGGATTTCCGGAGGGCGAAAGTAGTCTTGCTGAAGTATTTCGTCAGTTCGGACCAATTTCCAGGCATCGTCGGAGCCATCTTGGGCCTTCGAGCGGGAATCGTTCCGGCGATTTGGGGAGCCGCTGGTTTTGCAGCGTTTTCAACCGTAATAGATCACTACATGAGAGGCTAAGGTCCTGAGTTTCCTTCGATAGACGTTATTAGATTTTTGTTGTTATTTCCTCCTTGTTGTTCGTGTACAGTGGGTTCCTTACTACGTTTTTGACTTTTTCGTTATAATCTCGTGTTTCAAATCTCACTTAACAGGGCCTCAAATTTAGGATTTTCGATGTTTAGAAGTAGCAGGTTCTCCTTGAAAAACTTTATTTCGATAAGAAAAAAGAGTTTGTACAAGGAAAAATATGTCAAGGGAGCTGTGTTTTGAAAACTAAGACATTGGCAAATTTTTTTGACCTTCCTTTCGAATATATATCTTTTTTTGATATCTCTAAGTTTTTTGCTCCTGTGAAGCTTGGAGCTCTGAGGTGTTGATGAAAGTTTTAAACTTTCTGAACTCGGTAGTCCGCTTGGCGCCATGTGCTTTTTTCCCCTCACACGACGGTTTTGCTAACGGCTGGACAGCAAATTGATGGTGGGAAACTTGGGTTTTCGGCCACCGATGTGCTCCATAAATTTCCGCTGTCTCTGCCGTCCTACTGTCCTTTGCGCAATTTTATCGCTTGATATGATTATGTTAATGAGCTGTGTTCTGTTGCGCAACACGATTTACCAATCTCCTCCTCTTGTTTGCATGTTTGCGAGCATTTATCTAACATCCACCACATGTTCGAGATTATTTTTATACGATTTTTCGGTCTTTTTTGTCCAGAGCTTCAGAGCTCTCACGGCAATTACACAGTTCTATTTTAAAAAAAAACTTTATTACCTTAAATACCTCATAAAAAATTTAATAATCGTGTTTTGTTTTTTGTGGAGATGGTGGGAAGTTCCAGCTGAGACTCACAAGTTTGAGTTTGATAATCTGTTTTTTCTATTTTTGAACTTCCAGAATCTAAAGTATCTGAGGCTAATCGACTTCCCTCACATCCTCAGGCTTCCCCCAAAAGTTATAGGCGGCTAATTGGTAACACACAGGTGTGTACTAGGCGCGAGGTCGCAGTTGTCGTTGCGGGACCTTTTGATGGCGGCTCTCTGGACTACACGTCGTAAATCGGTCGGGTGCGACCAGCGTTTTTATCCTAGTAGCACAAAGAAGAAGCCGTGAGTGACAGCCCACTTTGTCGCACAAGTTGTTCGGTTCGACCCGCTTTATGACCGGCTACGCTCGTTGTAACCTCTTAATTGAGACGGATTGCCGGCCAAACGGTCTTCTCCACTTGGCTTACTGTGGATGTCAGCCTGAGGTTTTGAATTCGCTAATGTACGGTACTTTTAATTTTTCATGCATTTCAAGTCCTCAAAAACCGAATATTTCAATCCCTTACAACAACGAGTTCACAAACAAGGTCTATTTTTTTCTCTACCAAAGTAATCAATTATTAACGGTGTGAAACTTTGTAGCTTTAATAATCCAAAAAAAAAGTTTTCCGCAAATTAATAACAGGAAGGCTGGATTATGAATTCATCAAGAAACTTTTTTAGAAAAGTCAGTCTCATATAAAAACTTACCTCCCTTGTTAATAGGAAAAACAGTTAAAATCGAAAATTAGGAGGACGATCAACTTTTTCGATAAACAAGACTAGTTAAGCCAAAATAAACGTCTAGTTGTGAAAGAAAAAAGTTAATTTTTACGCTCCAAATCACCTAGAAACTATTTTTATAGTTAATTTTTTTCGAATTGAATTTCAAGAAGTGTTGCGTAGTACTGATTCTGGGAAAAATCTATATAGAGGATAAAGTTGAATTATTCATGGCTTGTTTGAAAAATATGGAAAAGATCCTGGCTTCATCGTATCGAGTATGCTTTTAAAGCGCGTGTTCACATTGGCGAACTGCCGCTCAGCTGGGCTCTAACTAACTTTTTTTTTTGGCTTGGCCTCGAAATTTTGAATCCTGAACTATTTTAGTGCACAACTCCCAAGGTGCAAACTTCTTCCATTCTCTAGGAACCATCGAAAGACGTTGAGACGCATCGATGTGTTGCTGTTACAGCGCCGTGTGGGGTCGACGACCAGGACCGATGAGGCTGACAAATTGCCGGGAGATTGACGACTTCTCACAACTGTTTACATTAGAGAACACTTGCCAATGGTTCGGCGTCTAGGATTCAAGCCAATTTGTAGCTATAATCCATGCATCTGTCTGCCTGTCAGCTTGAGTTCATCACTTTTTGATTCGATCCCTTTTTTAGAATCTTCTCGAGTAGAGAGGCAACCAAACTATTTCGAGAAAAATATTTCTCAATTTCTCAAATTTGTTGGTAAAACTACAAAACGCATTACTCTGTGAACTTGCGCTCAGGCTGCAACTTGAAAAAAGCTAAAAATGAGCACAGTATGACTCTTGAGTCCTAATAGCAAAGCTTAATTCTCCGCAGGAGGTTTCCATTGCGTAACGTTGATATCCTCCCGGGGAGCTGTGCAGAAGTTGCGGAATTCGAAGCCATTAGACGATAAGCATCAGAAGGACCGCGTGCCGAAGATCCGCTGCTCGCTCAGGCGTGTCGCCTTCCGCCAACGACCTAGATGGCTGTCCGAGCTGATACTTTCTTTTTCTTCGAGAAGATCTTCAAGATAAAAGCTTTTTTAAGTTTTTTAATTATTTTTCCGGCGAGTAACTTGTTTTTCCTTTTTCATGGGTATACTGGGCTGTGAGCATTTTTATTCGATATTTTTTGACTGAATAAAATCCATCAAAAAGCTTTCAAACTTATGTCGATTACGATCACCTAGAAAAAAGACAAAATTAAGATTACAGGTTATAGAATGTCTGCTCCTTCTTCTTCTTCCTACGCCTTTGTACCGCTTGAGCGGCGTCGGCGCCCCAAGTCGATTAGCCGAGGTCCTATCCTGATGATAATCAGTGGACTGGCTCCAGTGACATATCCGCCCTTGTGTGTGACGGCTGGGGATTTTGAAGTCGTGGTCTCCCACTACCAACATTTCTTAAACCCCTTGGTTGGGTCGGGGCGGGGATCGAACTTGTGACCCTGTGGACCGGAGACAGGCACACAACCTGTTGCGCTACGGCGCGCCCCAGGTTATAGAATGTCTGCGAATACGTCAAAGTCTCAATAAAAGAATAGTTTAATCCCAATAGGAAGAGTTTTCGAAAAAAAAAGTTATTAGAAAGCTGAAAATTGTTAAATGCTATATATTTAATGCCGTGTTCAAAGTAATTTCCGCGAAATGCAAAATGGTCTATGACCCTCCAAAAAATTTAGTTATCTTTCTCTTTCTCTGACGGCTATTTTTGAATTTCGCGGAATCACTTTGAACACGGCATAAGGCTGCAAAATCATTTGAGCTAAATTTTTTTTTCAAAATTTTTCTAAACTTTTGAGTTAAGTTTTCGGTAAAACTGTGAACCAGTCATTCGCAAAACAGTAACGACTTCAAGAAAAGCGACGGAAGCGAGAACGTTTCAATTAACTCAACGTTTCTGCCGGAAATCGAACTGTTTTTTTGTTTTTCTGCACTTTTTAACGTTTCGGCATGGTCTCTAACTATATAATTTGCGAGAAGAAATCGCAACAAGGTCTTCAAAGACGGTGTATGTGGTTGATAAAAAGCGGATGGGCCTCGGTAGTGTTGTGTGTCTTCTTAAATCAAATTAGAGCGGCCTGGAGTGAGATGACGAAGATGCGAGTTGGCGTATCGGTCGTCGCATCCTCACCCAAAACACGTCGTCTACAGTAATACCGTAACACTAATATTTGTTCGCATTTGGCGACGACTTGAATGTTGCGAGTCGAGGTTAATCGGATAGAAATTGAGAGAAGACGGAACGGTCAGCTGCGAAAATGTTGAAACAACGGAGAAAAACGCAGGTCAGGCATCAGTTGGTGCGCAGCCAAATTTGCTCCTTTTTTGGGCTTTTGTATTTTATTCATCGTCAGCGATTTGAGACAAAACCAGTTGGTGTCCTGAAATCTTTCGGAGCTTCGTTAATTTCAATAAACTTTCTGACTAAACATTTTTACAGTATTTTTTATTTTGAAGTTCTTTGAGAACGAATATTTGAATCCGCTGACTTTATCTGAAATTTTGTTTTTTCGGCTTTTTCTCAGTCATCGTTGAAATAGAAGAACCACTGGGGTTTCGAGGAAGTTTGAACGAGTAGAACTTCTTGATGAGAGGATCGGAACGAGCAAGAGAACGATCAGGTGTTTACGAGCCGCTGCGAGTCTTTTGTTGGCGGATCAGAGATGTCCGCGTCACTTAATAAGAGTGGGCGAGGCTTCCGTTGCGTCACGAGATCCCGTCCAGATCATTGTCTCTTACCGTAATCGCCAATTGTGCAACTTTCGCCGAAGATACTTTAAGTGGAAGTTCCTTTTTTTTTCTGTGCTACTGTACCTCACATGAACCTTTTTCTGTTTGCAAAAAGTGCATGAATCTGATTTGTGAGAAACATTTTTTCAAGGGAACCCTATTCTCTTTATGACTGAACCGCGACTTTTCGCATAAAAAAACCCGAACAGTTCTATAAAATGCACTAGTACATGTTTCCTACACGCAGCGAGAATTGCTCCTCCAAAATTTTTCAGAAATTCGACACACCAAATTCGAACTTTTTCTTCCTGTAAAGGAAATTTCGCCACGTACAAAAACTATATGTGGAACTCTGTTATCACGAGAATTTTCCAAATTATTTTCTTTTCCCATTTCTTTTTACGTTCAAAAGCATGCATGAACTTCGACTAATGCGCTCTGGATTTTTTCTGAATTTCTACGGATTGCCGCAATATGAACTATGGTTTTATAAGCTTAAATTTATACTTTTCATAATGCAATCTGTGTTTTGCAAACTCATGCGCAATCTATTTTTCATGCCTAAAGTTGGTAGCAATGATTGCAAAAATGAAATCGTAGTGGCTCTGGAAGGGAAAGTCGGACGTCAGGTGTGCGGCCTGCCAATTAGCGTTATCCTATCCAGGCGACCTCCGTCGTCGGCGCGCATCACTGTCACCCGTCGACGGATCCGACTCGTTGGCTCCTGATAACGTCCGCTGTTTGCAGCCAACCACGATACCAGCTGATAAAGACGCTAAGCCGTCGGGCGCCCGCTGACCAACCGCTTTGAAGTAGCCGCGGATTTTTCTCTTCCGCAAAAAAATCTTTTTGATCAGAAGCTTTCATAATTTCTTTCTTTTTTTCTAATCCGTACATGTCCTTCTTTTAAAAGCACACTTTATTTACATTATTTCATGCTAAAAAAAAAAGAAAGTGAAGTTTTTATTTGGTTTGACCGGTGTTGTGAAGTGGAAAACTGTCATAAATAGGGTGAAAATTCGAGCACGTAAATTTTTTTATTATGAAATGAGAGATTTTTGAGTTATATACAGTAGAAACAACAATTATTAAGGAAACTGAAGCTCAAAATCAGATCATGGAAAAGCCCGTTTTATGGAATTATCGACCGATACGCCATCAAAGAGGAAAATGTATATTGCACAATGGTCAGGGACTCAAATCATCAAATTATGCAAGTACTAGAAAATCTACGAAGGATACGTACATTGAAAGAAGAGTTGGAGCTCAGGCAAGCGAAGTTACATTTTTGCGAGGGCCCTAGACAAAAAAAAAGACTTGCTCCTACTCAGGTTGAACACCGACTAAAGCAGGCTGCGACTCCGTAGACTCGACGAATTCATCACCGAGTTTCGGAGATTGACAGGAGGCACCGGAGGAGATGCGCGAGGCCATCATTGCCAGGAGCTTCTGATGCTCTATGTGAGGCGGGAAGAAGAAGCCTGGCAGCGGAGGTGGCCGCATCAAATGGAGTGGTGGCGGCGGCGGTCCCACCATCATCGGCGGCCGAAGTAATGGAATTCGCGGCGGCAGAAGTCCTGCCGGCAGGAACGAAGGGTACTGCATCGGCACGATGTCGTGTCCGCCCTGCGACTGCTTTTTGTACCTGAAACCGGTCTGATGTCTCTTGACTTGATAACTTGTTCATTTTAATCAGACGAGAATGGTCATAAGGATACATCCTCTTGGTTTCCTGATCACGGCTCTTTCAGACTGACGATACTTTGAAAACATTGTCATTCACCAAAAAGTAACTTCTGTTGTTTATAGAACGCGTTTTGTTAAAGAAAATGCTGAAAACGTTATGTTCTTGAATAAAAATATGTTCCGCATTTTCTAAGCTCCCACTTTTTCGGAAAGCGAGTTCGCAAGACAATTCTTGTTTCTAAATATTTCTAATAAATTTCAATAATCTTTTTTTCGTACTCAGCTCGTTTCCTTCAGAACGAGAGAAAAACTATGAAAATCCATTCCAAAGTTGTTTTCAATGATAGTACGACTCTATCAAATTTTCAAAAGATAAACTGATTATTTTCAGAATTAGTGTTTTGGTATGCTTTTGTTGGAATGCACATGAGCGTGAGACTTGACGCAACAGTGAGATGATATCGGACGAAAAACGGCCGCAAATATGTTAATTCGCATTAATTTGAACCCGTTTCCAATGCTTGGGAGAGCGGAAACAATTCAGCGCCGATTCCCTCAGAAATAAGAATTGAAACGGACTCGATAGAGTGATAACGGGGTCAGTTTCAGTCTCAATAAAATTTCTTTTACGTCGATCCTCTAACGATACAAGCTGTGCAGTAAGTTCAGACCCAGTCTTCGAAATTGTTATGATATAACCGCTCCGACAATTTTTGGACGAACAAAACCAAAACGAACCGTTTTCTCCGCCGCAAGAAAGACCCATTGTCGAACATGTCTTCGGCGTTTGGATCGAGGGCCCAGTAGTTTCCTTTCCCAGGATTTCCAGGCTCTCGCGGGACTTTCACGAAACAGTCGTTGAGACTGAGGTTGTGTCGGATCGAGTTCTGCCACGCGGGGAACTTTTCTCTGCAAGATAACTATTTTTTTAGCAAGCTCTCCTCCAAAACTCACTTGTAATATTCGAATTTGTTCATGATGAAGTCGCAGATTTGAGATAAGGTCAGTTTTTTGTCCGGAGCGTTCAGGATCGACATGGCGATAAGGGCGATGTAGGAGAACGGCGGCTTCGGATGTCCGCTTTTTGACCTCTGTGAAGCCATGGTGGATCGACTGAAGACAAAAATGAATTCGAGAAGAGCAAATCGAGTCACTTTGGTGAACAATCGCCTTCGTCTGATTCAGCACCGTCCGAAGTTTTCGAGCAATGTGCCAAATATTCTTCTTTATCGCTTTCTTTGCCTTCTACGTGAGCACTTTCTCTACTACTCGACCGGCTGGTACCGTCACTCAGGGAAGACTTTGAAAAATTTCCAGAAGAGTCTAAAGAACATATTCTGAACGGAAAAAAGAGGCGACAGTACCACTAAAGACTTTGTCTATGCAAAAGCTCTTCCGAGGAGGTTCCGGCGTACTGGAACTTGCTCTCTCAGTCAAACTTCGCTTTCGACTGATGACGGGCTCGAGAATAGGTGGCGGAGACGTGCTCGGCTGCTCCTCGAGCCGATCATTCGTGGCGGCCACGTCGTCCGAAGCAACACTGTCTTCTTTGATTGACGGCGCTAGGATGGAGTCTACTGAGAAGCGCATCGGCTGCAACAATACAGTAACCTGGGTGATAAGAGCGCATTGCTTAGGGAAAAGCTAACATTTATGTTAGGCAAACGTTATCAGAAAACGAAAAAAGGCAGCCATGTTGCGAATTGCAGATGGAAAAGGAAGGTGTGGACGGATTTGGGTGATAAGAAAGGTTGTAAACTTATAATCAATCAATAGTATCAAAAGTAAAGTATTGGTGCAGTTTCTTGCATGATTGAGGGAAAACAAGGATCAGCGACACTTATTTAGTCGGAGCCAGTGGTTCTTGACCTGCAGAACAGGCTATTGTCCCTCTCAATGGCTGGGTTGCGCGGCGGCTCTCAGGATCTTCGCGTACTGTAGGATTTGAGCTTTTGAAGTGGGAAAATGCTAAATTTTTCTCAACTAAAGTAGCAGAGGATTCTAGAAAACGTGCGGAACATGAGATGAGTTTAGTGCGGACCAAAGTTCAATCAATTCACAAGGTTTAGCGATAAATTTACTCATATTTCTAGAAGCTCCACCTTCGTTATAAGTGTTTATATAAATTTGTTTTTTCCACAAAAAAACTTTTCCAATCTCTTTTGTAGAATAATAAGCTCGAGAGACTAAAGTTTGCCATTATAGAAAAAAGAAAGTCGTTCTGTGGTTTAACTCGATCGGTTTAAAAAAAAAAGTTTAATTACAAAATTCTCCTGATGTACAAATAACAGGTTCAGTGCAATACCGCTCTCTGAAGTACAATTGAAATATAAAAACCGATTGAATGTTGGAATTATATAGGTAAACTCTGAAATGTTTCAGACTCCCAGCGGAACGGTAACTCCCATAGTTGTTGTTGTTGCAGTTTTTCTAAAGATAAGAACCAAAAAACAGACAAAACCAAAGAAAACGACACTTGTCGCCGAGTGATTCGGTTGAACAAACAGCGTCGAATGATCCCCTCGGGCTCGGATTTCGTCGACTACGGTGCATTTAATAGCGCAAGATCGCCGACGGAAAGCTCAGCGCTAATCGTAATTCAAAGAGGCGATTCTTACACTTTGTTTGAATGGCGCCTGATTGTTTTGCATCAAAACGTGGAAATTTACACAATCAGGTTCACAGTATGCTGGATAAACGGCCGAAGGAGACCACATTTTCTATGCACAGACGCTTTCAAGAAATCACGATTCGTGGTGTATCTCGAACTAATCTCAAAAATGTGATGAAAGCTCCGAAAATATTATGGCATTTTTAACATTTCTCATTCCATTTCAAACCTTTTTTGAAAACTAAAAGAAGTTCTTGAAAACTTTCGGTAAACTAGAGCAGATTTCGTGAACAAATTCATGCTTTTCGACAAAAAAAAAATCCTTTTTGGTCTATTTAGGTGCAGTATAAACTAGCAACAGAATTTCGATATTTGAATTTTTACACTTTTCTCTTAATAAACGTCGTATTTTTGAACATTCGGATTGATTGGAAAGTTTTTCGTCCTTGTTTATGTAACCGTAAGAAAAGAGAGACACAATTTACACAGCGGCGAGCAGAACCACAATCGCTACTGAATTGATAATTCTCTTTTCGTTTTGATAACGAATTAAATTCAAATATGAAACTGAATAACTCTCGAACAAAGTTAAAAGTTATTAGCTCTTCATTTTATATTAAAAAAACAAAAAAATAGAAAAAAACAATATTTAAAAAAAGGAACATTAGAAATTAAGTGAAGTGAAAAAAGCCAATTAAAAAAATTTCGAAAAATTTTGGCATAAACTTATGTTAATATTTTTCTCTCAAGTTGCAAAAAAAAATTTGCAAATTGCAAAAAAAAAAACTGACTCTAGTTTAAAAAAAAGTTGAACGGTTTTACAGCAGCTTGTACTCCCGAAAGAAAAGTAGCATAAAAAATAAATGAAAAATTTCCGCCAAAATGAAGAAAAATTTATAATAGCAAGAGAAAGTTGGAATTCAAAGCGAAAATTTGGAAATGTGGAAGGTTTTTATTGTGTAATATAAGTATCTACTTCAGATGAATAATTAGGAGAAAATGTAAAGAAGAAGGGAAATTTTTTTAATACGGTATCCTGTTTTCATAGAGGGTGCCTATGTTGACGGATCAAAAATAATAGAAACATGGAAATCGTTGATAGAGCGACGGAGGCGTGGCTACGCAGGGGGCGGAGCTCGCGACAACCAATGAGAAGCCTCCGTGGCCGCAGTCCTCACGCCTGACCAACTTGAGGCTCATCATTGTTGACAGTAGCGACCTTTTATCACCTGTCTCTCGATATCACCGTCCACTTATCAGATGCCCATATTCCTTGGTTTTTTTGCGCTCTCAAAATTTGGCGATTTAAGTTTCAGATGGAATTAATTGATCCAGAGGAGCAAGAATGTCGATTTGTCCTATTTCAGTCGATTTTTAGGATTTTTTATTATGTAAGAAGAACGATTTACAAATGGCTTTCTGGAAAGTGTTTCAATAACTATTTACGGTAAGTTTGACGTTTTTCGTAAAAAATTTTCGCCAGTCTTCCACGGCGCCTTTCCCTGAAGCGAATTTCAAAAAAATAACTTGTTTTTCTGATACCTTTTTCGATTGATGTCCATTAAGTATGTAGATTCAAACAATCAGGAAGTTGAAAATTGTTTTCTTCTCATATTTTCTGATTTTCGACTCAGGGCTGACTGAAAGATTACATATGAAAATGTTTTTTACAAGTTTCAATCTGCCGATAATCATTAAAATGTTCCACAGTCGTCGAAAAATGGTTCCCTTTGTATTTAGGAAAACCATTGAAGTAACTAAAAATAAAAAAGCTTTTTTCATTAATCCGGGCTGACTCGATGATTAATGATAATAATTATTTTTCGGAAGCAAGCGGCTTCTGCTGTTGCTTTTTTGGAGCTTTTTCAAACTTATGATTTAGAAAAACTTTTGAATTTTCACTTTTTTTACATCTTTCAATTAAATCAAAACTGTTTTAACTCAAAAAGTGGTATTTTCGTCACCCAAACGCCAATCAGCTTGACACTAATCGCTTTGATACAAATCAGTTTGACGTAGAAAACGGAAAGAATTCCAAAAAGTTTTGGCGACTCGGCCGTCGGTTCAATTAACGCTGACACGATCTGTTTGTTCTTTTTCATGCGGCCTGGAGGTGGCGGCACGGGCCTCCGAGTACGGTAGCGGCGACGACAAGTGCGCCCCAGGGAGATTTCTTTTCGACACTCGATCAGACTCGTCTTGTCGGAACAGTTGCTCAGCCTCGGCTCAACCCAAACATTTATTCAGAAGGGCAAGCCGTCGTGCCGCGAGAGAGATCCAGGGACCAGCCGATCAGTCGCCTTTATCTCTTCGTTTTTTCGCTTCCTTTGATTTTTCAGTAGGTGGGAGCAAAAAATAAAAGCAGCTGGTTTGGTCGGAATGTCTCATAATGTTGACTGATGAAAATGAAAAAAGACAGAACACTGTGCGAAACGTTTTGTGTTCAATTGACGAAGATCTGCTCACGGACTTCATTCGCTACGACTTGAGCGGTCTGACTAATCTGTGCTCTCTTTTCTCTCACCAATGAAGTCGAAGAAAAACGAGAAGAGCGCTTTTACATGAGAACCGTGCAGAGAGCAAGAATATGGAGACAGACCACAGTTTTTCGAGCTTCGAATAGGAAGTTACTGACTGGAAATATCAACAAAATTTTCTCGCAATCAAATCTTCAAGCTTCACCGGTTTTTCAGTTGGTTTAATGCATTTGCGTAAAAGTATTTCTACAAAGATTTTCTTCCGAACGACACGTCTCAATCGGAAAAAGAGGAAAAGGTGCAAACCTGCGAAGAAAACTTCATTGGAGGGCTATTGGGACAACAAACAGTTGTAACGGCGGGGCCGCCTGCGGACAAATCGCCGTCGATGATGAAGCGGCTGTTGTGATCCGTCAAGTATGCGCGACCGACACCGTCAGCGACGCCAGCGCGACAAATTGCGACCGCAGAAATGTTGGCGAGTGTTGAGAGCTTCTTCCTCACAATACTAGTAGGGAATCTAAAGTCTGGTGCAAAAACAAGAAAATAGATTGAAAAAAGTGCTAATTACTGGATGTTTTTGGAAAATTTTTCCAATGCGGTTCGCAATGATCCTTCAAAAGTCGATACCTCAAACACGAATGTTTGGTTTTCTCGAGACAAGATTCTTATCGTTTTTCAGACCTGTTCTTTAAATGAAAGGTCTGGTATATTTAATAAGAGCAACGTCCGCTAGAAACTAATTAGTGCATTAGGAGGAGAACGCGGCGAGCAAAAAGGTCTTATCAGTCATAATCTACAAAAGAGGAACTTATTCGAGCCTTTGGATCTGAGGTGTGTGAAACGGAAGAGTAGAAAGAAAATACCGCAAAAAGTCTGAAGAAAGTTCTTTAAACTTGTTCCAAAATGTTGACCAAAAGAAATTGTAATACGAATTGAGTACAAAAAAAGGTAGTTCAGGACTATATGTGAGATATTATCTACCTGAAAAACCAAATTTGTATATGTATTAGTTCCTTACAAGAAGATCATTTTAGGGCTGTTATTATTTCATGTACAAAATGAGGCGAGCGATAGTAAAAAAAACTGTTTTTTTAGATAACTGAAAAGTCACTCGCATCGACACTTTACAAGAAAATACTTCACGCCTTCTTATTAAAATAGAAAGTTTTGCACGTCGAAGATTTCATTAATTTTGATTTACAGAAAATTCGAAAGTTTCCTGCACAATAACAGTTTCGATTGAGTTGAAGAATCTCAAGTAAAGGGTAGATAAAAGAGATGGAATCGCAAGTTGAGGGAAAACAGTTGGCTGCGACCGAGCGACAGAAACTAGCGATAGCGATCGCGAGTTCGTCATAAGGAGTTTGGAAATGGAAAGGATTGGCGGAAGTGGTCGGATGAGGCTAATTGGCGGTTCTGAGGAACGTGGGAAGGCCTGCCGGCGAGCTGAAAGACGAGCCTATCTGAGGACGACGATCGTCGGTCGCCTTGTCGCAAACTGTCGCCTACACACCGTGTCGTCAAACTTTCCGAGTGAAAGATCGCTTCGGGGCGATTGCGTTCGGCGCTGAGACGAAGACAAATCGCCGCCTCGGCATTTCGTCTTCCTCAAAAATGCAGTCAGGACGTCGGAACGAGGGCTTCGTGGTGGCCGAAAAATTGCACAGAAATACTGTAGATGTAAGCTCAATATATTTATTTGAGAAAAAAATTGGAATCAAAAAAAGAAATTTTTTAAAAATTATAATTTATAGTTATATGTTATGTCAGTATGCCGATATTGTAAACTTTGAAATGTGTTTTGAAGATGAAACGCAGAAAAAAATTATGATTATAAAAAAACAGGGAAAAAAACCACATTTCTAGCAAAAGCGCTATTGGCAGCGGAGCTCCACAGAATTTTTTTCCTTATTTTTTTAAATTTTCATTTTTTTTTCTCGAATAGTAATTGTGATATGCAATATATAATGAATTATAGTCTGAGAATTCTAGAAAGAGTCTTAAATTAGCTGTTGTTTAAAGCAAAGAAATATAAACGAAAATGAACTGTTTTTGAAAGGAGAATTAATATTTTGACAAGTTTTCTGCGAATGAGTGGCAAATCATATTTACGGCGATTGTGTTTTTTACTTTGCAAAATAAATCGCGACACAATTAAGCAATCGCCAGGAAGGAAAATGAAAAATAACCAAAAAAGGCGTTTCTGTAATTTGTGGAATAAAGATATCCGATTATGGGGCTGGTCGCGGTTGTTTTTGGGAGCGCTGGAAAATATTTATCGTTTTCCACGGGTAAACGGAATTGAAGATTGAAACGGCAAACTTTCGCACGCTTATCGAGGAAACCTCCAGAATTATTCACAGTTTATTGGGTCCGTTCAGGACGATTCAATATTATTCGATTCTTCTCTTGACACACCTCAGGATTTTTAAATATTGAAAAAGGCATTAGAAACATAAATCTCCTAAGCATTTGTTTTGAGGCCTTGGCGCCTTTCAGAATCTCGTTTGTTGAATAACTTATGCAACACAAACAGGAGGGACAATGGCTGTTTGCCGATCCTTCGCACCGTAATCCGAGGCAGCGGCAATTATTATGTCAGTATCGTGAGATCCGCTTGAGGGAAGATATCGGAGTCGGACTTCCGGCCGATCTTCTTTGATAGATGCCAAGAGTACGGTAGATCTCGCACGTGGCTGATATCATCTTCGGAAGCCGCCATACTTTGAGCCGAGGATCGGGGAGACTGATTTCTTTGACGTCGACTTAGGTATGGTTCAATCTTTTTAGATCGCTCTGAAAAACTTCAACCGAGACGGATTAGTCCTTCAAATTGTGAGGAATTGAAAGTTGAAGATGGTGGAAGACGCTCGATAAGTTAATTTTTTGAAATGAATAGTCTAACCACAAGTTGAGGACTAACTGTTTGAAAAGCAGTTCTTTTGCATTTTATAACCGCCACCGTTCATCAAGCACGTTCAAGAACTCGGCGAGGTTCAATAAGTTTCCAAATAACTTCCTACAAGGAAATCCGCAACTCAAACAGGTTGGCTCGGAAGCCTTTTGTAGCACTTCAGACAGTAGGACAATGCTTTTAGGAGCAAATCCGGCATATCAAGTGTTTGTCTAACCGACGCCGTCAAACTCCAGCCAAAGTGCCCGAATGCAACAAGATTAGCGCCCTTTTCTCGGGAAAGAGGCTTAGGCCTTTTATGGGCAGGTGCCGCCGATAGAATCTCTGTTGGGAAACTCGTGGCGCATCCGTTGCTACAAACAGAAAGAAGAGAAGGTTTGAGCTTCTTTCGAGTTTTGAATCAAAAGAAAGTAGGATGAGGCATGTTTCGATATTCCATTTTTATAGCTGTGAGACGAAAAAAAAACTGTATAAAACATTCTCGAGAATAAAGGCGTTAGCACTTCGAAAAATTGACTGATTTTTGGGATTTGTTTTCGAAACAGGTAAGTTTGGCTTGCTCAAAAGAACTTGATATTTGAAGTCCTTCTCAGAATATACCCAGATTACGTCTCGAATCAGTCCGACATTTTTTGCACTCTTATTTTCTCACCAGTCACATTAAAAGAAAAATAGAAGGCGAAAAAGTGAGCTTTATCATAAAGCTCTCTTTTTCGTATTCTTGAAGCCTTAAGAAGGTATTTTATTAGAGACTGTCTCTCTTTTTCTCTTTCCAAAGGCATCTCAAGAAATGAATTTAACTCAGAGAGGTGATGAATCTATCGAAAAATCGGCTTTCGTGTACCGTGTCGTGTAAAAGAATTGACAATTATCATGGTTTGAAGTAACTTTTTTTCTATCTTTTTCCGATTATGGTAACCTGCGCAGGTTCTATTCTATACAGCCAACTTTATCAGATGAAGGAAACCGTCTAAAACCTGTCATCACCGACTACTCACACAGAGTCTTTTCCAACTGTTTAAAATAAAAAAAGTGAGCGCGACAAGTTTTCGAGAAAAAAAAAAGTCTGAAGGGCGAACGAAGAGAGGATTTATGACCGACGACGGCAGTCACTTATGTCGGCTTCAAAGAAGCCGCGACGACTACAGAAGTATTGGTTGTGCAACAAGTGCTCGCCAAGGTGATAACGATCGACGAGAGCCGTTGGCGACAGATCCACATCGGACTCATTTTAGGGTACCGTAAAACATTCTCGGTCGACCTCTTGCGCCAAAATCTCTTCTTGCCTTTTATATCCGTCGTAAAACGGTTAGGAGGCAAAAGATAAGGAAACCAGCGAAAAAAGGGCAAAAGCGAAGAACATTTAGTAGCCACTTTTGAAGATGAAAATTTTGTCAAAGACTCGGACTCAAAGTGGAAACAAGAGTTGGATCATAGAACACGTAATGAAAGTAAATACCGTTTATTGTGATTGACAGGTTATGTTTGTCATGGTGATCTTACCTTTGAACTTGAAAAAAAGAAAATCGGACAAGAGACGCCATCATCAGCTTTTGACTATCGTTGACTTGTGTGAGCTAGTCATCTCCTCGATTTTGAAAGGATCAGAATAATCTTACTGTTTCTACATAATTCCGAAAGGTTCAAATAAGATTTTCAGGGTTAATATTTTGTTTTATCTTTTTCCACTTTGAAGACTACTTAAAGAGATACACGTTTCATAACACATTTGATAAGAAAACTGATCAGAAAAATACATTTCCTGGAAAACCTTATCTAGTGTACTACTTTTTCTCTTCATAAAAATTCGGATTCCTTGACTTGTGCTCTGGTTGAAAAACTTATCAACTGAATTTTTCCAGTGTTTCCAATTTTGTCGGACAAGGTCGAGGCGGAAAGTCAAAAAGGAGTGGACCACAATGAAGTCGGAGGAGATCTCTATCTGAGGCAAACACAAAGGCGTCGAGTCCTTTGCGGCCGTTGAAATTAACCCTCCGAATCTTCCCAAAACAACTTGTCTTGACAAATGTTTTCGCCATGATCTGCGTCAAATAGACAAATGTACAAAAGTGCATGAAAATCTAGGAAATTTTTTTGAGGATGATATACCAATATTGGAGCGAGTTCTCAGAGAGGAAAAATAAAGTTAAATCATTATTCTTCAATCATTAAAAAAAAATAAATTGGTGGAAAGAACAGAGGTTTTTCCTTGGTGTTCTACTAATGCTTTCAAGGAGCCTTCAAAGGCGGAAAAAAAAACTGTAAAAGTGGGAATAGATCTGTGGAAGATGAAATGAATTCTTCACCTTTCACAGATTCGTGTCCAAAATGCTTCGAAACAGAAAAGAGAAATGAAGCGAATGCAGCACAGTCGGCGTCGAGCCGAACCTACAGAATAGGAAATGACGCTCTCTCACGGCGGCGACTTAAAAGAAGGCGAGAAAAAAAAAAGCAACTGGGTGGCCTGTATATCGCACGTAGCCGTATCGGGCAAACGTCTGGCGGCGCGTTTCATTTTGTTAGAACTTCTTCGTTTTTTTATGGCCTGATAACCGCCGTAAATCTTTGGCGTCCGTTTCGGGTGCGTTCCGTCGACTGCCAACGCTGAAAAAAGCAACGACTACTGGAAAACTGCTGGGCGTTTAGTTTTCCTTTTCACTAAGGTAGATGTTTTCAGAGCATTTGAAGACTGTAATTATAAAAAAGAAGTAGTGGATATTTACCAGAGTCAAGGGTTTCGGGTCAAGATGCTCCGCCGGCTGTCGGCTCCGCTGGTCCAAGGCCGCCAACAGCTCTTCTCACCTGCAATTATGCTCTTCACCGCACAATACTTCTGCAACAATTGTTTTTTATAACTACAACTTATAGTTTTAATTTTAATCTTAACGACATTAGATTGAGGAAAAAAATAGAAAAAAAAAACTTCAGATCATATTTATAAAAGCTCCAATCTCTCATATTTTCTCGGGAATACAATCAGACTCGAAAAATTTTAATTAAAAGTTGTTAACAATTGATACACCTGTCAACTGTCATACGAACTTTGGGCCTGCGAATCGCGTGCTATTTAGCTGTAAAAAAATTATAAAACGTTTAATTAAACATGTTAATGTAATTTATTCTTATTTTGATTTCTGGGAGATTACTGTATCTATAGATTACGTTTACACATCCGTACGAGAAGAATAGAAACGACAGTTGGATAAATCTCTGTTCAAGATTTCTACTTTGTCGACAAGACATGTCTTCATTTGCTGTTTTCTCTATACTTTTTAGGTTTAATATTTTCGCGTAAACGTGTTTAGAATGAATTTTTGATATCCTCATGATATTTTTCAGAGAATTTTGAAAAATCTCTTTCCTTGAAATGGTGAAACGTCGTTTCAAGTGTTCTTTTTGTGTCTTCACACGCTTAAAAAAACTTATTAAATAGCTAACCCTACCATCTTATCCAGAAGCCTCAAAACGCCGATATGCAGCTAATCGGCTACCGATATAAACTTTCAAATTATGGATTTTTGCCATGATGTGATTCTGATTTTAAAAGCAATCGAAAATTTCAGAAGGATGCCGATAGAATCCAGATACATACCCGGTAGTATTCAGATACCATAGGGATATCATTCGGTAGCTAATAAACGACCACCGATTAGTTAAAGCCGAAAGACTGTGAAGTAGCTACTCGGTAACTACTGCCGATTGACTTTCGAAGAACCTATTTTTTCTAAAATTTACTGCTTAAGTTCCCTGCAAAGCTTCAAAATCATAAACACTGGCAGTTTTGAATGGTTTACTGAATGTTTTTCGCCCACAGAACTTTTTTAATTAAAAAAAACTTCTTTCTTTTCAATTTTTTAACAATTCCTGCGATTTAAATCTTCGTTTCTTTTTTTCAAGTTTATTCTGGCCGTTTTGATGTAGCTTATATAATCAGTGGGATATTTTTTTAAAGCTATTTCATCGAAAAAGTTATACTCAAAAATGTCGTAGCTTGTATATTTTCTAAAAAGGAACTGTATTTCTTGGGCGAATTTCAAAAAAATGAGCTAAGAACAACAATTTATATATTAAATTTATATTTTGAAGATGATAAAGTGAATATCGCACAAAAAACAACCAAAAAGACTAGTGCTAATAATTTATTGCACGCATGGCGGTACAGAGTCGTTCGTGAAGGCGAATAGATTAAGTAAGGCGAGTGTCATGTGAGGCTCAGGCCTTGTAATGAGCTGGTCGAGCCGTGTAGAAGAGCATGGCCGAAAGAGCGGTGGCGACGGCAGTGCCGATGCCGAGGAAGGAAGCGAAGCCAAGAGGCGAGAGGCAGATTCCGCGTGAGATGCCGTCGGAGGAGACACCGCTAGTCGAGAGGGCAGCTGCCTGTGCAGACGAGTCGGAACCCTGGAAAAGCTGGTTAGAAAAGCCATAAGACGGTCACACCTCAACAATGTCCAATGCACTGAGCTCCACTCGGACGTCGAGAACGTTCTCGTTGAGAGCTTGACGCTTCTTACGAAGGAGACGGAGCTGGGCGAGCTGTGCTCTTGGAGCGGCTGCGGTGGCCGCAGGAGCTGCGGCAGCTGGAGCAGCTCCTCCACCGCCTCCGCCCTGCTTGACGGCTCCGAATCCTTGAGGCTCGGAGCAAGTGGGACGTGGGCATTCACTTCCTGGGTCCTTGATGGTGATGCTGATCTGGCATTGGTAGAAGAGCTGCGAGCGGTCGGCATACTTGTAGACGTGGGCTTCCTGAGAGATCGTCGTTCGGGTTATTGTGGACAGACTTCATACTTGACCGGCCATCAGATCAGTTGGATACTCGAGATTGTTGAGCAAGAACTTATCGAGGGCGCAGCCTTCTTCGTTGAGGATCTGGACCGTGTCGCCGTTTCCGTCATCAACAGTGCAAGAATGGACGACGGCGCAGAAAGTGTCCGTTGTTTCGGAGTCGCAGGTCCATTTGTGGTACACCTTGAAATGAGAATTCGAAATGATCGAAAGAGAAGAAAAACCTGTTGACCGATTGTGGCGAATTGGATGGGCTGTCCAGAAGGTCCTCCGTCCAGGATCTCGTACTTGCAAACAGGCATGGGTACAACCTAAAAATTAAGAAAAATTTTTCTTATTCCTTTCAGAGCTTATTTTTCTTATTCCTTTCAGAGATCGCATTTTTGATATTCAATTTGAAATTAATGAAAATTATTCTCTTTCCTCGTTTTTTTTTGAGTGCAAATAAATAGAAAGGGAATATTGCACTGCAAGCGAACTTTTAATAAAACTTTTGCCATTGAAATATGTCAGGCACGTGTGAATTCTTCCGAAGAGAAAAGGTCTTACGGCCAACCGAACTATACCTGAGTCTGGAAGGCGGTGGTCAGATCTGAAACTTCGATCTGAGTGGAGACAGTCTTGTCGGACTCCATGTAGAAGCACTGGATTCGGTAGGCTCTGTCGACCTTCGTGACGAACTGCGGATGGAAGGAGATGACGACGGTCGTCGAGACGAAAACTCCCTTGGGATTGAGGGACCTCGTCCTCGCCGTGTTGCACGAGTCAAACGGCAGTTCGATTCCGGCCACCTGCGAGGCTCATTCTCAAAAGGAAGAGCAGCAGCTTGGCCTACCTGACGTCCTCCGTCATCACTGCGGCATCCTTCTTGGTCGTAGAGCCCTTTCACATATACGTGTCCTTCGAACGGATTTCTCGTGTTGAAGTTCACTGCGAAATTCAAATTGAGAGGAGGAAAAAAGTTATACATTATTTGAGAAAAAAAGAGCTGTTTAGTCATAATTTATAAAAAAAGCCATTTTAATAACCTTAAAAAGTTGAAAAATGAGGGCCGTGTTAAAAAAAGTTTAAAATCTTAATTTTTTTGGAAACGAGTGTTTTTTTTTATTAAATTTTTTTGTTTCTTTCTCTTAATTCTCAATTTTCCCTATCTTTTTATAATTCATTTTTTTAAAAATAATTCAACCTAAAATTCACAGATGGTTCATGAACGCCAAACTTGTAAAAAAGCGGAAGAGTTTTTCTGAAATAAAGAAGTTCCGTGCTTTTTGAAACAAAGTAAAATTTTGAAAAAAAGGACAAAAAAAGTAGTAGGATACTCTGATGAACTTTTTTTTTAAGTTGTAAAAGAAACAAATTATTTCCTCTTTAGATAATAATAATGCAAGGACGTATTGTAAAACAATTTTTTTTAAACTTGGATATTTACTGCGTTCAAGTTCCACAACATGAGGGAAAGATGATTAGATGGTTATTTAAAGGTAGTAAAAGCACTGCATTGACCCAAAAAAAAAAAACGGTTGAAAAAAGAGCGAAAACTAAAATTCCACAATCCCCTGCATATCACAATGAACTCGGATCAAAGTATGGACAAAATAAAAAAAAAACAGTCACAAATGAAGGAAAGAAGGACGAACCTGTGATGGAGTTGGGGCCACACTCGACCTCTGGCTCTCCTTCGACGTTGTTGTCGACAGGAATGGCTCGGACGAGAGCGACAAACGCCGTCGCGACGACGATCCACGAGGGTCCACCAAGCATCCTGAAGTGGCTCCTGATTAAAAGATTGCAGTCAGAGGGATTAACGGCGCGAATGTTGTTCCAGGCGCTGATCGAGATACTTTATAGGCGATCCAGGGTAATGTATCATTCGACAGCTAGTTATTGCTTACTGACGAGATGTGGGTCATCAGCTTCTGGCGCTCTCTTTCTCTCCGTCTCCACCTTTTCGCGACTTTCTCGTACGACGCCACCGCCCAAAGTTGGTTTTTCTGCGCTTTGATGCTTCTTAAAAAGTTGAAAGTCGTAAATTTACATGGATGCAGCTCTTACTTGGACGTTCTAAGCAGTACAGACAAAATTCATGGAATTCTAGAGGCAAATCATCTTCGCTGATTCCAGCAACGATTTGTGAGCCGATTCGCACTTTTTTCACAGGATTTAAATTTTGAATCTAGTCTAGATTTATTTTGACCTCTTCTTTTAGAATATTCTTTGATCGAAAAAAAAAAATGTTTATTCATATTTTCTGTTGAGATGAAGGCGAAGGGAGGTAGCAAACGATATCAGAAAGCCAGCGATGAGGAAAGCACCGAGAAAGGTCGCCGTCAAGGGTCTCATGCAGATGAAAGAAGACGTCGAGAGAGCAGACATCAGGCGAAGTGGGGTCGACGTCTTCTGAATTTTTCTGTCTCTCTATTTAAGTCTAAACAACCTCCTGGAAAGATTCTACTGCATTGAGCTCTGTTCTGACATCGAGAACGTGCTCTTCGAAATTGAGAGATCTTCTGCGACGGAGCAAAAAGCGCTGGAAACTCGGCGGAATCGTGGCTGTCCTGGTAGGAGCTGAAGACGTCGAGTTCAAACTTCGCGCTTCTCCTCTGGTCTGCAATGGACTTTGTACAGATTGTGCCGAGTTCGCCCGTTTCTACCTGAATAGCACCAAAGCCTTGCGGCTCTGCACAGGTCGGTCTCGGACACTCTCCGTTAGGTTCCTTGAAAGTTGCATGAGTTTTTGAGAATTTTGGAAACTACTGGGATAAACTATCAATTACTTTCACAGTGATGCTGATCTGACATTGATAAAAGAGCTGAGCGCGATCGGCAAATTTGTAGACGTGAGCCTCCTGTAAAAGAAAGTATAAAAGATTTATATTCTGATGCTTTGAACCTGTCCCGCCATGAGGTCGGTCGGATATTCGAGATTGTTGAGCAAGAACTTGTCAAGGGCACAGCCGGTGTCAGAAAGAATCTGCACGACGTCTCCGTTTCCGTCATCAACAGTGCAAGAATGGACGACGGCGCAGAAAGTGTCCGTCGTTTCAGAGTCGCAGGTCCATTTGTGGTACACCTCAGAAGACGTTCATCACAGAAGAAATTGAAATACCTACCTGCTGGCCAATAGTCGCGAACTGCGTAGGTCGGCCGGTTGGCCCTCCATCGAGTATTTCGTAACGACAGATTGGCATAGGAACAATCTGAATAATTATGTTAAAACGATTAAAATTCCGAAAAAGTTTTTTAGCAACTTTCTTTGCCTACCTGCGTTTGGAAAACGGTGGTCAGATCTGAAACTTCGATCTGAGTGGAGACAGTCTTGTCGGACTCCATGTAGAAGCACTGGATTCGGTAGGCTCTGTCGACCTTCGTGACGAACTGCGGATGGAAGGAGATGACGACGGTCGTCGAGACGAAAACTCCCTTGGGATTTAGGGACCTCGTCCTCGCCGTGTTGCACGAGTCAAACGGCAGTTCAATTCCGGCCACCTGCGAGGCTCATTCTCAAAAGGAAGAGCAGCAGCTTGACCTACCTGACGTCCTTGCAGGTCGCTTCGGCATTCGTCCTGATCGTAGAGACCTTTTACGAACACGTGTCCGTCGAATGGATTTCGCGTATTGAAGTTAACTTCAAAATGAAAATTATTCTTATTAAAAAAAATTATATTTAAAAGTTTAACATCTTAAATCAATGCCGAAGTCGACTTGTTTCAACAGAAGCCTCTTTTTTCCATCAATCATATTTACGCGAGATGCTTTCCTCAAAATCGCTTTCATTGATTTCTCTTGATTGAATTGAAGCTAGATTTGAAAGCCAAAGTAATTTTATTTCTTTCAATAAAGTTTTTTGGCTTTTAAATTTTTTTTTTTTTGAACATCGGATTTCTGAATGATTCAAGAAACTAGGTAATTAGTATTGGCGGTAAGTTAAGCATTTAAAAACGGAGTTTGCAATGAATACATATTTTAAGGTCTTCCTTCAAAAGATCTATCGTTGAAATTTCTAATTCTTCCGTTTCCCGAATCATTTTGTCTAATATATTGAAATTGATTTTTAAAAAATGGAAAAAAATCAATAAGAAAATGATCAGTTGCTGAATGCGAATTTTCCAACGCGACGAGCTGAATGAAAAGAGCTCCAACTCGTTGAAATGATAACCTGTAATGGAAGTGGATCCGCACTCGATTTCAGGCTCGCTCTCGACGTTGTTGTCTACAGGAATGGCCTGGCACAGCTTCAGCCAAACCGCGAGCCACAGCCAGCGGCACATCGGAAGGAAAAGAACCCCAGGATTCGTCTCGCATTCTTAAATACTTCGAGCATCAAGAGTCCTTCTGGCAATTGTTTCTCAAGTGCTTTTTCGCGGTTTTCAGCCGTCGCTTGCACGATCTCCAGTCACAGAACAACTGGTATCCCGAAACAAAAGGCCTGGCGGCGACTCGAAACCCGTTTCTCGGGGGATTCTGACTGACTTGAGAGATGTTTTCCGCACGTCGCGATCACTTTCAAGCGTTCGTCGATATCCTGATCCTTGGCACTTAGACGGCGTCCAGTGATTTAGTGTTGATTTGGGGTCTGCGGCATTAAATAAATAGATGATTTTTGGCAATCCTCATCGAAAGTTTTCATGAGCAACCTCGGACCATTTCAAGTGCCATTGATAGTGTAAGGATCTTGTCAAAAGTTTTTTTGCAACTTTTTACAGGTGGGAGCCTCCAAATTTCCTTATAGTACAAATATGAAATCGGTTCGTTTGTGAAATGTATTATGCGTCGGAAAGATAACTAAGATTTTTCTGTTGTTAGATCTCTTTTTTTTCTGATTTTTGAACTAAAAATCCTGATTCACAATGTTTCACAAAGTTTCAAATTATTCATACCGAAAGAAAAAATATTTGTTTTTTTTAATGGTTCCTCGATTTAAAAAAAAATCCAAAACGAGATTCAGTCGTTCGCCCGGGCACTTTGTTGGTTGTTGACTCAAAGCTCTAAAAGGCGTCGAATTTTTCCGGAGGTATCTTTCGGAGGAGCCGCGCTGATGTAGCGAGAGATGGGGCACAGTCTGCCCCGATGACGTGCTCTTTCCGCCTCCAGGCGCTCCGCCGCGTCATCCATTCAGCCTAAATCCAAACAGTCCGCCACGCCCCGCCGTTTTCCGGAGCCGCGTGAGCATTTTCTTTGCCCTGATACCTTTTTCGGAGGTCGTTTTTTTTTCGCCAGCTATCTTTTGAATGTTCAAAGATATTGCACTTCTTCTTGTCGGTTTGGCAAGTCTTTCTATGGCAGGTTCGTTTCAGAATTCTCGATAGGCGAGCAGATCAGAAAATAAATCCATTAAAAAGTTTGCAATGATGGTTAACACTATCATATTAAAAGCTACTAAGAAAGGTCTTCAAACAATCAGAAAAAAATTTAGTATCATTTTCCTAACGAAAAAAGGATAAGCTTTGTGAAACTTCCCAAAATGTCCAGTTTCAGAAGGTCTGAAATGCCAAAACTGTTATTCTGCCAACTCGCAGGCTTGTCTCACTGCTCCAGACTGTGAAGCCGATTTTTGCCTTTACGGTAGTTACTTGAAACTAATAAAACTTTCAAAGAACCAATCTCAGAGCAAATCGTTCAGTCCGGGGGACGAGTCTACATCCGGAAGACATGCGCCACATCCGACAGTTACCGGTTCGACGACGGCGTCGCTGTCACTCAGTACAACCAATGTGTCACCAAGTATTTCAATATTCCTAGAAAAAAAATAGAAAGCTCGAAATAAAGATGAAAGTTACAGAAAAATGCAAACCTCTCTATTTTTATAAAAAAAAAAACGATTTATGAAAAGAAAATAAATGACTGTTTCAGTTGATTTTTCAAAAGTTTTTGAAATTAAAACTAATTTATTCTGCTAGTTGAAGTATGTATTTGAATTAGGGCTTCGAAAAGCGCTTTAGTGAATCAAAACTCAATCTGATGAGATAGCCGTTCAGAACGACGGGTGTTGGACAGTACTACATAATGCTCTGCAACTCCGGGGATTACTGCAACACGAACTGCGTGACGAGGCCTCCGGTGCAGCCGACGACGTTGGCGCCGATTGGCCCCGTGCCCGCGGGAGGACCAGGTACTTTCGAAAGCTCAAAATTTCCAAAGCCTTCTTTCCCAAGTGACTTGCTACAACTGCGAGACGACAGACGGCACCGACTGTCAGTCGGCCACTTGCCAGGGAGCCTACTGTTTGTATGGTTCGACCTTGTTCTGGTCTTTTTCCAATTATACATATCCAGAAAGAAGACTGAGCGGTAATCAGATGTTCATCAAAAAGTCGTGCATCATCGAGCCTTTGATTCTTCTCGACGACAACACCGCCGTGGAGGGCGTCGACATCTGCGAAGTCAGGTAAGCTCGCGTCTCCATTCTCTGGACGTTGGACGTTTCCAGAAACACGGCCACGAGCAGATACTTCGTCAAAATATGCAACGACGTGCATTTCTGCAACAATTATTGCTCTCCCGGACAGTCGCCCACGATCCCCCCGCAAAGACGTTCGTTTTGACGGAAAATGAAAGAAAAGAACAGAAAGATCTGAATTTTGCCTTGATAGAGACATTGGTTTTTGAAAGTAAGGAATTCGATCTCCGGAAGTTGAGCGCCCTTGACAATGTATGTACTCGAAACTTTGGAATTTTCTTCACTTCATTGATATCCTCAGCATAAAAAAAATTTTTTTACTTCGAAATTTTCACAATAAATTGGTTCACAAGGTTCTTGAAGAAAGTAATTTTCCATTAAAAAAACGCTTGTTTAATTTTTGTGCGTGGAGTTTTTGAGATTTTTTAGATAAAGTGAATTTTAAATTAGTGATGAATTTGATCATTTTTATGATCAAATTCATCACTAATTTAAAATTTATTAATCTGAACATGTGCGATGATTTAAATGTACCGGATTATAAGAAAAAGAAATGACAAACTAGAGTTAATTGGTGACCTGAGTAGGAGAAAGAAGTTTTAGAGATAAGGGCAGGACAAATAATGATCTGTGCCCAGAAGAGGAGCAGAATATGATTTCTGATGGAGTAAGTCGAGTTTAATTGTTTTCCTTATTTTGCAGAGCCCCTAGTGACTTGCTTCGATTGCGAAGGCTACGGAAACGAATGCTTCACGGGCAGTTGTCAGGCCAACTACTGCATCTATGGTGATTTTGAAAAAGAAACTTTTTTTTCAAAAAGAGGCTGAAGAGCTTCAAAGACGTTTGCCGACTGGATTGACATATATCAAGAAAACCTGCTCCGCCCTTCCCTTCGTGGAGTATCCCGACAACACTCCGTCGACGACCATCAACCAGTGCGAATACAGGTGACACTTCATCCGAATCCGAAGTCATTCCCTTCGTTGCAGGACCATCAACGACATCGAGTACCACATCAAAGTCTGCAATAGCGCAGCCAACTGTAACACGGCCTGTCCGGCTACTCCGGGTACATTTCTTTAAAAAAATAGTTCATTTTTTCTGACAAATTAGTATTCCCAAACCAGTTCACCTCTAAAATAGCTCGTAAAAAACTTTATTCCGGCAAATGACGACGAGCAATTGCAGGACAGGTATCGGTGGTTTGTACGTCATGTCAAGCCAATAATCAGGACGATTGCTCCGGAGGAACGTGTCAAGGAGCCTATTGCATCTTCAGTGAGTTTGGTCTTGAAAAGAAATCTACTGTACTATTCGAAAAACTATCGCCGAAGGATCGAAAATTGATAATTTTATGACTTTGGACACGTACTTTCTCCAAAGGAATTTCTACAAGTTTTCAACTTCATAAGTGTTTGATGAAACTTTTCAGTAACTCTTTCATTTTCCATGTATCTTCTTGTTTCAAATCAAACGGTTTTTTAAGAATTCAAAAATTATGTCTTAAATTTTCATAATTCTCCATTTTTGAGTTTGCAAATGAAATTTAATGAAGAAGATCCTACTTTGAGAAATTGGGATATCCTCGAAATTAGCTCAGAAAATTTTCGAGTCTTTTTGAAAATTTGTGATGTTTGCTACGAAAAAATCGTCTGAACGCACATCATTGATTTGGAAAAACAATACCTTTTCATACTTGAAGGTCGTCAAAAGACGACGTCGGGAAGCTTGGTGAAGAAGTCTTGTGCGAATGAAGCGACGCTCAGTTTCGGCGACAACTCGCCCTACACCGACTTCAGCCACTGCCAATTCAAGTCGCTCGAAAATCCTTATCAGAATAATCTTTGGTTCAGAAACGTGAACGGAGTGTCGTACGCTCTGAAGGCGTGCAACTCTTCGCTGTGCAACACGGCGTGCGCAGACGGAGATCCTGGATACAATACTTCCAACGAAGGCTTCTCCACTCTCCGGGCTTTCTTCCACAGTTCTCTACTTTTGTTAACGCTTCATTACTGCTTTGTGATTGAATAAATCAATATTTTTGTTTTCTCTTGATATTCTGTTCTCAAGCATGGAGAAACAGAAAATTTTCTGAAAACCTCGTTGTTTACAAAGTTTTCTTCGGCCAAGTTAACCTCTTTTCTAAGATTACCTTTAATCAGTTCCAACCAAAATCAAAGCCGATCCATTTTCTGGACCACTATTCGGATACTCGTTTGAATGACGAAATTTGAAAAAGAAAAATAAATTCAGTAATCAAACTAGCATTCAATCTCAATATTTTGAACGGTCATACACTGTTCTCTATCTATTTACTTATCTCTTATTTCCATTTTATTCGAATTGAAATGAACTTTTTTGAGGGTTGCGAATAAATAATGAAAATAGTATCTAGACATAATTTGCAAAAAGGCCAACACACTTTTTTGAAAACGTGTTAAGCTTGTGGAGAACGACTGATAGCGTTGAATGGAGGCCACTTGCGGACCATTTTTTAGTGTTTCGCATGCTATCTGGGGAGAAAGAGAAAGGAACGAGAGAGACTGCCGAGTTCTGTTTGCACTGACTGTGGGCCGGCGAAAGCTCCGAGAGGGCCATTCGACGCTGAGCAACGACGCCAAAGTACTCATTCTTCAATTCCACTCTTTTGGTCTTAGCAAACCCTTCCCGTGTGGTCATTCCTTTACTATATTTGACATGAGATCTAGATTTGATATTATGAAACGAAGGACTGAAGAACTAAAAATAATTATATTAAAAATCAATGAAAATCTTGTCGGAATCCTTTTTACTAGGGAATCGAGTCATAAAAATGTTGGATAATCGATTATTTGTTGCTTTTTTCTCATAAACCTGTAGTTATGAGGAGCTCTGTAGTTATCTTTTCGAGATGATGCTTCCTGAAGATGTGATGGACTCCTTGAAACTTTCCTCAGAACATAAGTCCTGATTATTCACTTCAATTTATGAATGCCAAGCTTCTTCCGCTCATTTGACAACACAGGAAACAAAAATGCTTTTTTTAAACACAGTACACAACTAAAGCTCATTTCCTCGATTATATCTTCTCGCATTCTTTAAACATTTGATAACCTTTTTTTCGAAAATATTCCCCCCGCTCTTGATTATGTTGTTTCTAATTTCCCTAAAGTTTTTTTCTCAGATTTTTTTGTGTTTTTAACCTTCTATATTTTTTTAATGAACAATATTCATCGTTCCCATTTCCATGCTCTTTTTTTTAAATTTCCAATTTCACAACTTTTTTTGGAAAATCTTGTCAGAAAATATTTTATGGGGTTCACAACATATGAATTTTCAATTTTCGAAAATTGTTCAAACTTCGAATATTTTTTTAAAGGCGAAATAGGACCCCATGACGACATGCCCCAGGCAACGGCTGTTTCCGCCCTTTTTGAGGTTTCCCCGTCGACCAAAATAAGTCTTCCTCTAGATATCCAGAAATTAGGTTTTTGCTTCTATGTTTTTTTCTGCACTACTCCTTACTTACGTTGTTTGGCTAGAATTATCTGGGAACTTTCGAGGAACTTGATAAATTGATGAATTTGGAATGAAATTTTTTTAATTTTCACGGTAAAAGGAATTTACTCCGCTCCCTCCTCGAATCTTCCTTCGTGATAGATATTCTTTATCAAATTGCTGACAATATTTTTTCGAAGAACATTTAGCAAAAAAATAAAAGTCGTGTCATCCTTCGAGCTGAAAATTTTGAAAAATTCTGATAATTTCGATCAAAATTCATATGATGATTCGAGCAAAATGAATATTTTTGTTCTCGTTCACTTGAAATTAAAAACATTAGGAGCAGATATAACTTATCACTACGATGGCTTCGACTCACCCTTTATCTCTACTTTGTTTCCTTAAAACTTTCGTGATAAGCGGAAATGGAATTCAGTTTCGTAATTGACTGATTACAGTCCAAGTTCAGATCTCATAATTTGAAGATCAAAGGAACGTCACCGAGTATTCGAGTGAATCAGCAGTTCGATAGCAGCAGGTCCCGCCTCCTTGACGGTACTCGGGGCGACTGCTCAGTTGCAACTTGCAAGGGTTCGCTTCAGTGATGGGGCAGTCCGTGTCTCGCGACGACTTCATCTGGACGCTCACAGAGCAGCCGCACATGGATCGCCGTGAGATCATCGTCAAGAAGTATCCCGAAATCAAAAAGGTTATTCTTATTTTTATTTCTCTTTTCAAAACTTTCTCAAAATAAAAAATATTCACTCATTTTTTTTTATCAATAAACTATATTGAAAAAAAGTACTTGAAAATTTTGCCAAAGACAAGTGAAAATTCATGGATTTTTTTACGAATTATTCTCTCAGTTGGTACCAATCAAAAAAGTGCTCAAATAATCGACCAAAGAAGACCAAAAAAGGAGTTTAAAAAAAGGATTGCCCACCAGGAAGTAAGTTTTTCTGGCCACAATTTTCCTACGTAAAACAGTCTACTCCCTATTGTTTGCTCAAAAGTTCAAGCGCGAAACCGCAACAAGGCAGACTTCAGTTGACATAGATACACAGCAAAGAAATCTTCCACACTATTTACTGCAAAGCCTTTTTTTCAGCTTTTCGGCGTGGACCCATCCTTGAAATATGTGGTTTCTGCAATGGTTCTATTTCAAGTCTTCATGTGTTGGCTTCTGCAAGGTTTGAACATTGCCTTGAAAGTTCGTGCATTGATGAGAAACGAATACACAGGTGTTCAATTTGCGTGAAGGCCGCTTCCCGATGCAAAAGTCCTTGTTATATTTTGATAATGACTTCAGTGTACAAGAAGGCTCATCATTTTGAACAATCGAAAAACACCGAGTCTATTGCCGAAATGAACTCTTTTTATAAAAAATGTTTCTTGTCAGAAAAATTACCGATCATTTGAACAAATGTTGATGAATAAATTGAAAAAAAGCTCTAATAAAAATGATACTTTAGTTTCATAAAGTAAGGAGTTGAGGAAACATTCTCTTGTGCTTTTCAGACGCGGACTGGACCTTGGTGCTTCTCGAGAGCTACCTCTGCGGCGGCGTCATCAACCACGCCATGACTCTCGCCATTCACGACATTTCCCACAACACGGCCTTTGGCAACGGTCGGCCGCTTCTCGTCAGTATCTTCACGTTTATAATCTTTGCCGTAGTCTCTTATTTTCTTTGCTGAATCACCTCTGTTTGCTCACTTCCCTCGTTTTCTGAATTGATATCACAAGGACGTCAAGAACTTTCAGAATCGGTTTTTTGGCATGTTTGCCAACTTGCCAATCGCCATTCCAATATCAGTTTCATTCAAAAAGTATCACGTCGAACATCATAGATATTTAGGTTAGAACACCCAGATTTCGCCTAGTAACCGTCTTTTCGCAGGAGAAGACGGACTCGACACTGATGTCCCTACAGAGCTCGAAGCCAAGTTCTTTACCTCTCCGGCGAAAAAGCTGTTGTGGCTTGCCTTGCAGCCTCTGTTCTATGGCTTCAGGCCCCTGATCATCTACAAAAAAGCGCCAACTGACATGGAAATTGTGAATTTCATAATTCAGGTTTGTTCATTTAGAGGTTCTCCCATCACGTAGATGTAAGACCATAAAAACTATCATGCAGACTCATCTCTCAAAACGATTTTTAAATTTTGCAGATAGCCTTCGACCTGTTGATACTGCGGTTTTTCGGCTTGAAATCTCTGATTTACTTGGTGTTCGGAACACTGATCGCCATGGGATTGCATCCGAGTGCCGGCCACTTTATCTCAGAGCATTATGCCTTCAGCGAAAACCAAGAGACATACAGGTTAGAAAGACAAGATTTCATATTTTTCCCACAATTGATTCAGTTACTACGGTGCTTGGAATCTCTGTACTTTCAATGTTGGCTATCACGTTGAACACCACGATTTCCCTTATATACCTGGCCGTGACTTGCCAAAGGTTATATATTGCAAATAATTCAAAAACACCGTTTTTCAGTTGAGACAAATCGCTCCCGAGTACTACGAAACTTTGGAACAACATCATTCAATGATGAAGGTGAGGACTGTTGGGAAATATTCAGAATGATATCTTTGGAAATATTGAAGATTCTTCGCGACTTCGTGTTTGAACCCACAATGGGACCATACGCGAGGCTGAAGAGAAAGCCGCGAGCTCCACAGCAGTTCTACGGAAACAACCCTCTGGCGGTGTATGCAGAAGCGGTCAGTTTAATTATCTATACACGCCTGTTTGAGACAGTGCTACGACGGCCGGTCAATATTGCGCCGTCTGTTTCGGAATCAAGAAGTTTTTTTAATATGTTTTCTTTTTTACAATTTTTTAAGGACTCATTTCTCACCCTTACTAGATAAGTTACGTAAAAAAAATGCACGATTTTTCATTTTATTACCAAAAAACATATTCAAACTACCGTTATAAGACCGGCCGCCTTAAACAGGCGTGTATATACATATATATATATATATATATATATATATATATATATATATATGTATATATCTGTGTATATATATCTGTGTGAGACTTTATTTTTCTCTTTTAGCTCTTTCATTACACGGGTTTCTACCAAATACGAGAGTACGCCGAGTCAGTCTTCGATCTCAACAATAACAAAAAAGTTTTGTAAATATGATTTTCCTCAATAATATATTTTTTTGCCACTGTCACTTCCGACACTGATTCGCACAATAAACATTCCAATCTTCTGCGCGACATTAAGCTTAAAGGCATATGGGCACTAAAAAACGGTGTTTCAGTTCAAAGCAGTACTTTGTAGAGCTTTTCATTGCGAATCGAACGGTGAACTTGGAAATGTACTAAACTTCCTAGTTTCGGAGAAAAAATAATTCAAAGTCGAAGAAAGGAAAGCTTGAGTTCCCGCCAAAAAGGCGTTTTGCAGTAAAGTTGCTCTATGGACAACACGCTTCGCCATTTTCCGGATTTTCGATTTTTTCTTCGTTTCTTTCAAATTTCAGTTTTTCTGTTGTCACCAAAGTTCTTTTCGTCACAAAAGCTTTCTATTCATGTATAATTTGCAAACTTCGATCGCAAAAAAAGCTTTTCTGGTGAAAAATGATGATTTTACACAGGTTTCGATGGGGATAGCAATATTTTGTGTTTTCTTTATTATCGGTGTGTGTTTTTTGTTTGACTCAATGTTTTTTTCAGAGAAGAAATCCTTGATTTGAAGCAGATATTCGGTTATTTCTCACAAAATGCGAGTCTAATGAGACGTCCGCAACATCGCGTGCACGGCTACTGTAAACAGTTGTCTGCATACCGATCCAAAGCTTTTTCAAAAATAAAGGCGGGAAAGTAAAATCGCGTTTTTCTTCTAAAGCTGTCACATCATTAATTTTTTTTGAGTACACTATTCGATTCGCAAAGAAAAACTATATAAGATACTGCTTTCACCTGAAACCCTGTTTTTTTACTGCCCCTATGCCTCTAAAAACATCAAAAGCTCACGAAAAAATACTGTTATCAGAGTGAGAAAATCTTGTGTATAAACTTCTTTCTAATCACCAACGCAAAAAAAAAATTCAAAATCTATAATCTTCCAAAATGAACCGTTTTCGAAATATTTGTAAAAATCTCATACGTGTTTTTTCAACTAATGTATTTATTTCTAAACTCAAGAACCAACCTTCAAACTCGTATGTACACATAGGAAGGCCAAAGAAGATGTCACCAACAATTACACGTAACTCTGCCACAGGCAGCAACATCAGATGTTTTGAAAAACTAACACAATATTGCATTTCTCTGTACATTCTTCGAATCAATGATGCCACCCACAAGACCGTTTGACGGCTTCTTTCCATCGCGACATCTCCTGGCGGCGCCAATCCGAATTTTTCTGCGGTTCATACCGGACGGCCTTAAAAGAAACTAGCGAAATCTTGAAGATTCGCCTACTTCGGAAGACTGGGACAAAAACTCGTCAAGGCTCATTTGCTGAGAGCCGATTCCACCTGCGACGGCAGCACCCCAGCCAGAGATCTCCGTCACTTTTGGAGTCGCGATTGTTCTTCCGATGATGTCGGCTTGGATCTCGTTGAAGAGCGTGTTCGCAATCATTCCGCCGTCGATCTGAAATCTTCATATTCAACCCGAAGGTGCCGAAGTCAAACCTTAAGGACTTTGATTTGAGTGTCATTTTCGAGGTCTCTCTCGATGGCGTCGATCATTTCGGCGCTTTGAAAGGCGATGGCCCGCAGAGCCGCCAGGCAGATGTGTTCGCGCGTCGAGACCTGCTCATTGGACCCCGTCGTCTTTAAATCAATTCTAGCATGCAACTATCTACACAAAGGGTGATGTGCAAAGCTAAGTACGTTCACAAAACGCCAAATCGCGAACTGCGATATCAATTCGGAACAATATGTGATTTATTGTGGACTGATCAGAAGACATTCCAGCATGACAAAAAGAAGTTCTTCTGCCAGTTATCCCGTTTGAAATTTTTTTTTTCTAGCGATCAGAATTCCTGTCAGAAATAATAGCAAAAAGAACTAAAATAATCAGATTTTGTTATAAAGTTGCCGCGAAATTCAGAACGAAAGCGAAAACTTCGATATTTCAACCGGAAAAGCTAGTCCGAAAAACAGTTTAAAAACTTAAATAATATAGTCGCGGTTTATAATATCCAAATTATCCCTTTTTTTCATTCCAAATTTTTTTGATATTTTTTTATTCAATAAGTGACCCTAAAATATTGAAAAAAATCTGGAAAAAAATAGAAAATTATAAAATTAGTTGATTAGAAGTTCTTTACAACTCCCTATCAGCTGTCAAAATACTATCAACGAGTGGACTTTTAAATTTCTTCGCAGTCAATCTTCAGCCCTCATTTTTCCCATTGAAACAAACAGCGTGGACAAGCGACAAATAAAACAAAGAGTCAAGATTTGCTCAACTGACCTGTGTTAAGCCCAGAATAGTGCCACGGGCCGAAGAGTCCCAATAAGGGGTGTAAAGGCCAGTGAAGGAAGGAACGAAGTAGACTCCGGCAGTGTCTTCAACCGACCTGCTCATCTCTTCCATCTCAGATGCATCCTGTCAAGAGTGAGATGACGAAAATTTTCTTAATGTTTTATTCGGAACCTTTATGAATTTGAAGTTATCTCGGAGGAAGCGAACCACGTTGCCACCTATGGAGCCAGAGCCTTCGAGGGCATATACGACGGGAGCGTCCGGCCCAAACTGAAAACTTCGCAGAATTGGAATGAAACGGGGGTGTTTCCAAAAATTAAACATGGAGGTTGAAAAAAATTTTTTTAAAAAAATTATAATATTATTTGAATAGCGCCGTTTAGCCTTCAAAAATGTTTTTCTTCCGACTCATAAGGATTCTCTCAGAACTATTTTCTCTTGCATTTCAATGATCGAACCTGAAAGCCGACGGTGGTGAGCAGTCCGTCTTTGCTGATGATTGGTTTGACGCCGACGTTACACAGCATGAATGTCCCGGTACCGTAGGTGTTCTTGGTGTCCCCTGGCTGGAGACACTGGTGGCCGACCATCGCCGCCTGCTGATCTCCCAAACAGCCGGCAATCGGTATACCTTCTAGAGGTCCTGAAACAGCAAGAGTGATATATCACTGTACACAGGTTTTCAAATAAGAACAGACTCTAAATTTTAGAGACACTATTCTTCTGGTTGCTGGGAATCGATTTGAAAACATTACAATTTACTACGGTTTTTTATACTTCAGTTAAAAAAAAGTGTAGAAACATTCGAGGTACTTTTTGATTTAATATTGATGCCGCGTTCAAAGCTTATTTGAGGCGCGCGGCGATTGAAACTGAAAAGTTGGGAAGTTCAAGCATGCTTAAGAAATTTCTTTAATTTTATTCGCTGCGTTTCCTAAAAATTTCTCGACGTAGCTTTGAAAGCGGCCAAACAATTTTTTTAAAAATAAAATGACAGTTTAGAAATGTTTCGATTGTTGAACATCGCCAATCTAAAAGACGTTACCTATATTTTAAAAATGAGTCGAGCTGTGACCTTTCAAAATTTCAGCAGTTTGATAGACATCGAGGTTTCAAGCTCTTCATATCATAGGGTAAAGTTAAAACGAGCCTTCCAGCAGGTAGCCGTAGATTTCGGCGCTAGATTTAATTTCCGGCAAAATTTCCATGGGCAAGTCAAAAAAGTCACATAGCTGTGAAGACCATTTGCGCTTGTGAAGATCTGAAAATGTTCGTAATTGTTTTTTCAAAGCAGTCTGGACCTAGTAAAAGAGTTCGAGAAGCGTTGGAGACGTCCGTCACATGAACGCCGGTGAGTTTCCAGATGAGCCAAGTGTCCACTGTACCAAACATCAAAGATCCTGCAAAGACCTTCTGTGAATTTCCGAATATTTCCCTTACAAACCGTTTTCAAGCGCTTCTTTGACCTCGTCAACCTCTGTCAAAAGCCATTTCAACTTGAGTGCACTGAAATAGGGATGAATAGGGAGGCCAGTTTTTTCTCGGAACTCGTCCTTTGACCTGAAAAAAAGAATTCAGAATGAAAGAAAAAGTCTTTACGAGTACTTGGACTCCGTCTTGTCGATGAACTCATCTGCGAGGTCCGAAGTACGAGTGTCGAGCCAAACGATGGCGTTGTGCAGCGGCAATCCTGTTTTGCGGTCCCAAACAATCGTAGTTTCTGAAAAACTTTTCATGAAGCTCAAAAATAATGGGTAGAGATATGAAATAAAATAGTAGGATAATATTTTTCGAGACTGAAACTCGAGTTTGAAAAAATTAGAAAAAAATTTTCCATCGGGCGAATCTCATGGCAAATACAAAACGAGGAACGTTTTTTGAACCTTGTATTTCGTACTTTGCACTATTTTCGTAAATCATTCTCACAAATGTTTTTGCCCAAGGAAAAATATAACGTTTTATACGTTTTTTCTTCATTAAATATTAGAGTCGAACTGGGGAATTTAACTTCTTTCGCCTCTGAAACTCGGTGTTAACTCATCACTTTCGTGAAAACTCATATGTTCCTTTCAATGTATTTCGTACTTTGGACTTCTTTAATAAATTCGAAAAAATAAAATTTTGAAAATTTTGAAAAATCTAATTTTAATGCCGCGTTCAAAAATCGGTCGAGGAACTCGAAATGATCGTCAGAAAGTGAGAAATAAAACAAAAATTGGAGAGAGGTAGTGCGAAGCTCCTCAAAATCACTTGAACGAGCCATAGAGCCAAATCAAAATGAAAAGAATACTCAAAAAAAAAGTTTTAAAAAAAGGTTTCTGCACTTCCCAAGTTTCTTTTGAATTACCGTAACTAAGCGCCCAGATCAGTTTTCGTCGCGATACGACGTGTTCACAGTATTCTCGTTAAGATTATTTCTTTTTTTCTTCTGCAATACTATTATGGATTTTTAGTGAAATGAAAGCTTCGAAAGCTATTACGGTGCTAAATTTTTTTTTAATTTAAGCTTTTCATTGCAGTAAAACTTTCATTCTTGTGTTTTTTTGTGAAAATCTTTTTTTTTGAAATAACAAGAAGTGTCAGAGTTGAAAAAAACTTTCAATGGAATTTCAAGCAAAAACAAGAGAAAAAAAAAAATCAAAAACTGACCTCGTTGATTGGCGACGCCGACAGACTTGATCTCGTCTCTGGAGATGCCCAGAGACTCCAGCTTGTCGATGGCTTTGGTGATGCATTCCTCGACAGTGTTCAACATCTCCATCGCGTCCATTTCGACCCATCCTGCCTTTGGGAAGATTTGGCGAACCTCGATCTAGAATATCGCTTTTTACTCGAATACCCAAAGATATTTCCGTTTTAATTGTCTAGTCTTCAGATCTTCCTAGTTGTAACCTTCACTAAATTAAGAAAAATAAGAAGAAAGAAGTTAAAGCCTCTTTTTTTGGTGCAATCTTCCTAACAACCAGTTATTTAAATCAAAATAACAGTAAAATAATCAGCTGACTCGCCACGAATATGCGAAATATCATATCGGTCACATGTACTTTATCATAGAGTGCTTTTCATAGTCGCATTCGACGAAACTCTGATCGAGAGCAGAGTTCAATATTCAAAGAATATATCGAAAATTTTCAAGACTCGCTCTCGACAATAGTGATAAGAGAAGAAGTCGCGCTGTAAACGACGAATTTTCTAGGTACGGTAGGCTTTGCACTAAAAATAAAAGGTGAAATGGGCAGCTGATGTGTTAACGACATATCAATCACTCAAGAAAATACTGTATCTGCAGATATTCATTTTTTTTCCATAAGTTTGGAAGAAATGAATATCTTACTGGAAAGCAAGTGAAATCAATATAATAAGGTTTGTGGAATTCAGTTCAAGATTTGATTTTCGAAGATAGGTCATCACAGCGTTGACCAAGAACAAGAAACAATTCGAAAAAATTGCCTGATGACTGGTGACAAGTTCGCCGGTGTCGGCCTCGAAGACGAGGAAGCGGCTGGACGAAGTTCCCTGGTCGATTGCTCCTAGCAGAACCATTGCACAGTGATTTCAAAAGTCGTTTTCCTTCCAACCAGAAGATATCTGAAAATGAGGCTGTTTGAATTCATCAAGAAAAAGAATGATTTTTAAAGATACAAAACACGCGATTGGGCGTGAGAGAAACATAACATCAAGTGATGTCACTTGGAAAATAATCAAAGTACAGAGTAACATTGTGGGTAAAAATTAAAGCGGAAAAATCCTCAAACAACAAAAAACTGGAAACTTTCATAAACCCACACAGAAACTGGCTATAATGAAAAGGAAGTATATAATGAAAAGTTCGCGTTTCCACGCCTTTTTTTCCAAGTTATATAACGTAGAACATATCCAAAAGATCTTTCTCAGATTAGGGGATAAATCAAAAACCTTAGGCTAAGGTCCTTAGCCGCTGAGGAATGGAGTTTCTGACGATGGGAGCTCCACCCGGTCGAGGTGTCTTCAGTCGTCCCCAATGAAAGGAGCGGCACCGAGGCTGAAGCCGGAGGGACGTCGGAATGGCCAAGAGGCTTCTGGACTCCGCCCACCTTGGGCATAGTATGCCGCGGCGACACCAAAGAACGAATCAGCCGCGGCCCTTTTGATAATCGATGGAATAATACGCGATAAGATACGCCAGTCGGTCCGGACAGGTCAAAATCCTTCAGTCCCCCAGGGCAGATGTACCTAACAAACGCCTGAGTCTGTTGGCTGCTTCAGAACAACTCGAATGGCTCAAAGCTCGAATTATTCGCTCATTCCTCAAGTTTGTTATTGAGAAGTGATATCGTTCCGTCAGCAGACTCTGATTTATCCATTCAATGATCTTAAAAAAAACTTCTTTCTAAAGTTCGAACGTCAAAAATGTTGAAGGAATAAAAGGTCAACCTCTAGCTGGACTTTGTTTCCTCCAAGTATTATCTACTTGATTAAGGTAAAATAAATCATAAAAAAAATAAAAATAAAGACTAAGCAATTCATGGAACTCATCCATTCTTTACTTCAATTAGATAAGTAAAATAAATGATTTACGAAAATTCAAGATGTCAAGCAAGTCAAAGGAAACAAAAAATAGCCAGTTTTGAGAAGAGAGGAAGGGTCCAGCCAAACAATTTTTGTTTGCCAAATACTTAATTAGCAAAAGTTGAAAAACCGAGACAAAAGGGCCAAAAAATATCGATTAAAAATAAGTTTCAGGAGAAAAATTTGGCAGTTCTGTCAAATTGATAAGACAGAACGGGAGGCACTTACAGCGTTGGAAACCGCCGCTCCACGTGGGTATCTTCTTTTCTTTTTTACAATTTCTTGACGTCGGGGGCTTTTCTCTCTTTTGCCGCCATGTTAACACAAACATATCACATCTCTCTTTCTCTCTTTGATCGGGTTCTTCAAAAGTTTCAGAGGAGAGGGTGGATCTGAATCTGTCATCGCAAAAACAAAAAAACTTGTGCCAGGAAATTATATTTGTTTGGGTTTTTTTTTCGCTGAGAGAATTCAAAATATTTGTTATAATATCTGTAATGGATCATACATACAAGGGCGTATAATAAAATCTGAAATCGAAGATAAAATACTTGTTGAATTTTTCAAATGATCGTCACCCAGGTACATATTTAACTCTTTTGAGACTGTATAATTTTGAGAAGGCATAAATTATATACAGTTTGAACTATTTTATTGATGTGAACATCTATTCGCCCTTATGTTTGCTTTGATTAACTTCTTATTAACTTTCAAAATATTTTTTCAATGTTCTAAGCTCTCTTTCACGTGTTTCATATCTTCCATCTGAAAAACAGAAAGTTATTCAAAGCACTGATGAAGGAAATATAAACCCCTCAAAATGAACATTTAAAAGTATTGAAATTTGAAAAAAATCCTACTGCAAAACGGGCGAATGGTTGTGAAATGGGAATGCTCGCATTTCTGACAAAAAATAAAGCAGGTGGAAAAATGTTTTAGTTTTCCAGAAGGCTATCGTAGTCTCAAAAAGCGTAACAAAACCATTTATCACGTAGTTTTAGCAAACAAAAAAAGCTTGAAGACGTCAGAAAATAGTTGCGGCTTTTCATTTCAAAGGAAAATTTCTAGTCACGAGGTTGGTATCATCTCGATGTGTCTTCTCAATAGAAACGTCCAGAAATGGGGGAAGGACCTGACGGTAACAAGGGTGAGCCGGCGTCGAAGGCAGAGCCGAAGAGCGACTCTCACGCCGAACATAAAGAGCAGAAGGCAGATCAGAAGGCTGAGACGAAGTTAGAGCCGACCAGTGCCCGTTCCGAAATTTCCGAGGTGGCGATCGCCGTTGATCCTGAAGTGGCCCACTTTCCACATAGCGGTGGCAAGTCTGAGCATATGGTCGTCAATTTCACTAAGCAGCGAATGGCAATCAAGGTTTTTTTTTTTTTTGAATTTGAATTTTCGCCGTTTGTATGTCTGATTTGCCGCGGTTGAAAGAAGGCTGGCCTCTTCTTGATCTCTCGATTGCGCTCTTGTTTCAATAGTCTCTTCAAAAATCTTTGCTGGGGTTTTTCTAGACAGAAGAGACCTGACTTTCTAGAGAAAAAAAAAGCCGTTTTTAGTTTTATTATATGCTGTTGTCAGAGTGATAAGGTGGAAATAAAAAATATCTTTGATTCTACAAAAATTGGTAATCTTTTTAACTCTTTGAAGGTTTTTTGGAACATAGCGGAATCATTTTGAACATGGTATTGATTTTGAAAGATTTTCGCAACTTGAAAACCCATATAAGACTTTTGAGCAGAATAAAAGAGCTGCTTTCATTTTAATATTAACGTATCAGAAACGGAATGGAGAAGAGAAAATATTTCACAAATCTTGAATAGTGACATATATAGCGGAACGGCATTTCTCAAAAACTAATTTGGAAAGTGCTTCAAAAATAGGGGTTCTACTTTGAGAAATTATCTCGCACTCTTTGCAGGTGAGATGCGGAAACAACGCTGTGTACCGCGTCGACCCGGTTTACATGTTCATCGAGAGCGGAAAATGCCGCAACCTGATCGTCACCCGGCTACCAGGTCCTTTTCCGCTCTTTTCTTCCCACGAATATACTTTTAGGACCAGCAAAACAAGATAAACTTATTTTGCAATACGCGGAGTGCGACGAGAAAATGACCGACGTGAAATCTGTTTTCAAGGTGTCGTTTCTTAGACCAGTTACAGTCTCTTATCGCATTTTCAGGAACTGGAAGCTGCTGGCAAAAAAATTTCAAACATCAAAGTGAAGTTGATGGTGAGCTTTTCAGTTTTTGAACGATATCTTCGGACAAAGCTACTAAAAAAACTTCTAAATCCCTTTTGGTCAGATATTGTTCTTGCAAATCAAAGACCGTCTTTAAATACTTTCCCATCACAGGCAAATCGGGAGAGTACCATAATGGGCCCACAAAGATACCTCTCAAAATGGATCGGAGACCCCATAATGTGCGCATCGGGAGACCTCCGGCATACCTTTTAGCTATGTAGGAGCCATCTCGGAGGTACCTCAGAGTCTCTCTCAAGTTCCTCTCACTTTGCTTAAAATCCTCAAAGGTTATTCTCGAGGTACCATCGTGAGACTTCAGAGCCTGCGATATACCTCAGAGGGTCTCGCGATAACCTTTCTCGATTCGCCACGATTAAAATTTCTTTCAAAATATTCTTTTAAGACTTCCTGAGATTGAATTACGCGAGGCGTTTCAGCCTTGTTTAATTACGATTTATGACCGTGAGGAATTTACAAAAAAAGAAAATTTCTATAAATTCTTGATGATATCAGACATAATATGTACAATATGGGAGATAAAAATTCGAAATTTTTTTTGAGGCGTAGTCACTGTCTTTGCCTTCCCGCAAAAAGATAAAATGTATATTTGAAGACCTGCTTTTACTCCCAATCCAAGTTCATTTCAAAACTTACTCAATCTAGTAAATCTTTAACCCGCTTATTTTACGAAAAGATCCTCTAGACATCATGTTCATCAGAACTTTTTGAATGTCACCTTTTCAGGCGACGGCGAATGCTGCAAAGAAGGTTTCCCGCGAAGTTATCGACGAATAATCAGAATTTCGCGGCGAGACCCAATGAAATTTTGTGCATTTGTATTTATTTCCATTTCGCGGTAATCGCGTTATCAGAAGGGCTCATAACCTTCTGACACAAGGTTATTCCAAGATTATTAACAATTATGAGAAAAAAAAGCCTTCTAGTTTTATCCATATTATGGAGATGAGACCAATTCGATATGGATGAGAAGAAATATAATAAAAATAAATAACTTGTCGGTAAAAAGCAATTTTCTAAAATAAAAATCAATTTTGTTAAGGTTTCAATATTCTGCAGATGTGCTTCAAAATTTCTTTGAAAACACAATTGAACTTTTGAAATGGAACGATTCGAATCATTATTAGAGAAAAGACAAGAATCTGGCCGCTTGGGAGGTGACTGACGACTTCTTCCCTGGAGACTCAAGCTCCTTAATCCGTCCTCATCGATTCTTGAGCCCCTGTGGCCTTCTTATTTCTGTTGTTTTTGGTCTTTCCATATGTTTCTTCTCACCTTTCTTTGCTTTTTATGTGGTTTTGTTCGAAGCAGCGTCGACGAGTACCGCCTCCTGCAATCTCTTAAAGAGGTACTTTTTTAAAAAGAAGAGATCCGAGTTAGGAATTTAGACAGTGAAGATATATTTGGAATGTGGACATAATAACGCCAAAAATTGAAAAAGAAATAAAATTAAAAAAATTAAAAGAACCTTTTGCGGGGCTTTTTAGCCAAAAAAACATAAAGGGTTTCCGTTTCACAGGTCCAAAAAAATGATTTATGGTATAATCCAGCATACCAACAGTACCCAAAAAGTCGTGAATGATTTTTTATGTGCACTCTACATTTTTTTATTCAAACAGTAAATATGAAAAATAAAAGAAAGCAAGTTAAGTGTTATCATTTTGTTCAACTATGAATTCGTAAGCTTTTGCTTTTATTTCTTATATTTCTAGGGGATGCGGTCATTTAAAATATTGGCAAAAAGCTGTTTTCAGTTTCTTGTTCATGTTAGGTTTCTTCCTTTTATAAAAACCCGGCAAACAAAACTGTTAAGTAGGCCGTTTTACGCGGATTTCAAGGGTTTCTCTGCGTGTCATGGCGAAAGCATCATAGGACCGTCAAAGTTATTATAATTCATAGAACTTTTTTTTGCTCTTTGCGAAATTTATTGCTAAACGGTTCGAAAACCAAGTTCAGAACTATGATCATTTCGAGCGACCGGTGGAAAATTCTTCGCAGCCTTTGGACGTACATGTCAGATTTCTTCTCAACCAGATACTCGACATTGTTTGTTGTACTCATTCACCTCTTCAAAGTTTCAACATTTCAGGACGAGAAAAACCAAGTAATGTCGATTCTCGCCTATGTTGACTACGTATAATTCTATTTTTTGTAAAATAACGAAGAGCCGGAATTCAGAACTGGAACGACTACAAACTCCGGTGGGATCCAAAAATGTACGGGGGAATCACACACACTAGATTTTCAGGTTGTTTTCTAATTGAGAAATAATCATACCTATTTGCATCCAATTTCAGGAGACGAAGATGCGCCTTTCAAACTCTGGAGACCAGACGTGCTTCTGTTCAACAGCGTCTCCCAGTCTTTCGATTCGACCTACTCTTCTCGTCTGATAGTCTCTCACACAGGAGACGTGCAACAGAATCCGCCAGGCATTTTCCGTTTCATCTGCAAGGTTTGTGAGTTCGAAGCCAGGGATCTTTCGACGATAAACCGACGGCGAGTTCGAATGAGCGACTCTTTCTGACTTGAAGGGAAATGGGAAGTGGAAATATTGATCAATCTTACAGCAGGCTAAGAATAAATAAAAACGTATTGAAACTAATTTAACACTTTAATTCAGAAAAAACTTTCTCAATTTATCTTTCAACATTGCCAAAAATATCACTTGTCGCAAATACCTGTTTCCAACAATCTCTTTTTTCAGATCGACGTCACTTACTATCCTTTCGACAAACAAACCTGTTTTCTAAAGTTTGGAAGCTGGACATATAATGGAATGTACATCAACCTCGACTTTTTGCTGAAGGATATGATCGGTACAGTTTTCAAAGATTTCAAAAAGTTGAATGATTGAAACTTTTAGAAAATATGATAGTTCAAGAATTCAGGAGTGAGTGGCTCTCGAGTGACTGTGGAGCCTCAGAGATCTGAGCCAGACTCTCAGACTTATTACGTGAACGAGTCGATCGATCTACAGGTCTACATGAAAAACGGCGAATGGGACCTCATTGGTCAGTTTTTGAAAAACCTCAAAATTGCAACTAGGAACTTTCAGGGACGCCAGGGAGACGTGTTGTGACGGCTTTTGGGGACGACGAATACCATGAGCTTTACTTCTACATCCACATCCAGCGTCGCACTTTGGCTTATGGTTTGATTTTCTGTTTTTGCAAAAACTCGAATCGCAGGAATCAACCTGATTATTCCTTCATTGGTCATCTCAATGATGACGGTCCTTGGCTTCACTCTTCCGCCAGACGCCTGCGAAAAAATCACGCTTGGTACTACCTTTTTTATTCTGTTTTTATTAACGCAGTCACTGTCCTGACGATTTGATTATCGAGAAATTCGATCAACGTCTTTTTCAGAAACAACGATCCTCCTATCAGTTATCTTCTTCCTTCAAATGGTTTCCAGCACTAGTCCGCCTCAATCGACCGCCATTCCCATATTAGGTACCACTTCTTTGAGACTTTGGACAAGGGGAAAGATCTGTCCGATGTGCCGTTCCTAGCACTAGCTGTGTTTCTGAGGTTTTCGAAAGAATCCCGGTTGCAGCTGCCTTCTTCTCGTGCTGCCTGATGTTAGTGGCATGTTCTTGTGTCTTCACGGTCCTCATGCTTTCCCTTCATCATCGCAAGCCTGAGACGCACACAATGAGCCCTTTCGTGAGTTCCATCCGGCTACAAAATCCTTCTTTTCATGTTGTTGTAAGTTTGACAGATGAGAAAGTTTTTCGTCGAGTGGCTGCCTTATGTTTTGATGATGAGGACGCCGGACCACCCGAAGGCGCCGAAAGCCAAGGTTTCGTTAGAGAATGGGAGAAAGGAGTTCGAAATGTAAGGATAGGTAATCGACAAGTCGATCATCCCCATCCACCGACTGAGCACCTTCATGCCGATGCTCAACTTGCCGAGACCTTCCCAGACAGCCGTCCCTCTCAAGCCGCGCTCTAATCTTTCAAGTTTACCCCTACTTCCCTGTCCATTTGAAGATTATTCATCAGGAAACGCCTGTGTTCTCAACTTTGCGAGGTTCTGCGAAGAGTTGATGTCAGTGGAGTCTGAAATCGGGAAGATGCTCGAGAAGCTTGACGACGACACCAAGCACGAAATGGTGAGTTTCTCCATTGTCCATCCCGAGACCGGCGGTCGACTGGAAAAGCGTTCAGCTGCGTTCCGAATGGAAATTCGCGGCGATGGCCGTCGACCGCCTCTGTCTCTACCTCTTCTCCATTTTCATCACCGTCTCAACTTGTGGACTCATCATGCCTCACATCACGGCAAACTTCTTATGAATTTCTCTTTTAAACTTTCAATTTGATTGGGATTACGAACAATAAACCAAAATTTAACAGCCGTTTCACTATTTCGAAATTAAAATTTTCAGGTTGTTCCGTATCTTCGGAGGATTCTCCGTCCATGTTAAGTTTTAAAACATTTTTTTGCTACTAGAAGTTCTTTTGATTTTTTTTTTTTGATTCCAGAAATATTCCACTTTTTTTTAAGATTCTTACAAGTGATATGAAAACAGGCTTTTTTTAGAGAAATTAATCCGCTTGTATAAACAAAGGCTTTCATTTTCAGGTCAGTACTGGCAATTAATAAATTTCTCGTAAAAATTACAAAATGTTTGAGAAACAGACCATTCAAGACTTACGCACAACAAAACATCTTCAATATTTGATTTAAATAAAGCTTCGATCTTTGAGAAAATTCTGTTTACTCAAACTATTCATTTGTCTATGTTTTCCTGGTAAAGAATATTTTTCAATAACTTGGCATTTTTCCATGAAATCCGTTTACAGGTTCAATGTTTCAATTTGAATGATAAATCACAAAGCTCGTTGTTTCTACCATTCGAAAGAAACAACAAATGTTGTGGAATGCGAAGAAATGAGTGGAAAAAGGGGGCGGCGCCGACCGGGGAAAGTGGGCGGAGCCCAGCTCGGCAGGAAAAGCGTGCATGTTTCCATGCATTCTTCTGCGCAAAAGCCCTGTTCGTGATTGTCAGATAAGACAAGAAGCGAGAGAATATGAGCCGCGCTTGGGCCTTGGTGGCCTCGCTGGCCTTGCTTGGTCCGCTGGTCTCCGCTGTGTCGACCTACGTCGAGGTGCCGCAGGAGACGACCGTCAACGGCACCGAGTACTCGATCAGCGAGCTCACCTCCAAACTGTTCGTCAGGACCGACGAGTTCGAGCTCAACGCCACCAGCTGTCTCCAGTACTCGTTCCACTTCAAGGAGCGCCGCGTTAGGTCAGTCCGCCATCTTTTGATGACTCACTGGTAATTATTTGTTTCATTGAGCTTCAAAAATCGATCAATTCAGTTCTTTGAAACCTTTTGATTGTCGCAATGATTTCCGTTGAGCGATTTTACTGGTTTCTAGTCAATACATTGTTTGTTTTCAGCTTGCCATTGATAATGTGATAGGCTAACATGACTGTTTGTATTGAGCTCGTCGTTTGGTTGATCGTTGCGAAACTTTTTTTCAGGCTGAAAAATCAACTCGGAGTGAGGCCGACTTTCGATAGCGGAAAATGATTGAAAAAAGAGTAACTCATAAAATTTTATTCAATTTTCATTTACAATTTTCTTCAAACATTCAATTTTGAAAGGAGCTCTCGAAGAAGAAATCGATCAACAAGTTCAAATCATCACGGTTTCATAAAAATTTCTTAGAAATTAAAAAAATCCATTGACTTTTCTGGGTGACAAAATCTTTCTAATCCGATTAAGTTTGATAAGGCAAAGAGCAAAAAGACACCGGCGCCATGATGTCCGGGAGGCGTTTTTTCGGTGGTCTGTCACGCCATTATCGTTATTACAAGCTATCAATTGCCCCTAAGACTACCTGAAACGGAAAATTAGTTTTAGAAAAGGGAAGGCGAAAGTCATATCAAAAATAACCAGGAAGAAATAAATATGAAATAGTTAGTGGATTAGTAAACTTGATTTTTTTTATTGTTTTTTAAATGTGTTTATTCTCATTTCTTTTTTTTACCTAGATTCTCAACGCATATACTATTCTCGAAAAATTTTCAAAAAATTTCAATCATATTCTTCCATTTTCATTCTTGAGAAGCTTTCAAAAATATCACCATTTTTTTCTTCCATTGTACACCATAAAATCTAATTTTAGTCGCCAAATCTGATTTTTTTTTTCCGTTCTTTTCGCCTTGCAAACTTTTGAAATGATTTTTTGTTTTGCGGCAGCGTTTAATTCTATTATTAGCGAGACCTTGGGAAATGTTTCTTTTCTTCAAAATAATTCTTGTCGAACATTTTCCTGGAATCTTATCGAAAAGCTGTAAAAGCGGCCAATCGCGAGGGCGAACAATCGTTCAAAGTTTTGCAATGAGCCAAAATTCATTATTCTTCAAAAAAGCGGCTCTCCGCCTCGATACTTTCATGAAATTTCCCCATTTTTTTAAAAACTCTTATGCAGGATTTTTATATTCAAAATAAATAAATTTTTCCATGTTAACTTCATTTTTTTCTTGTTCTAGAATTTATGAAAATCAGAATCAATTCGTAAAGTTGCCTTCCTCTTTCTTTTCCTTCCCACTTCTCGAATTTGTTTTGTCAACAAGTTCCTGTATTTGCACATTTTTGTTGGAGGAAGAAACGAGACATTTGTTTCGAGTTTTTCGAGGACGAAGATGGAAATTGTGTCACTTATATCTCTTCCCACAAAGCACAGTGTTCAAAAATAGCTTTTTGATTGAATTTTCATTCATTCTAATAGTCATCTTACTATATTTTCCTAAACAGCTTCAAAAAATCAGAAATGCTTGAAATTTCGATTTTCGCCCACTTCTTCTCTAATCAAACATTTTTGGAACAGTCTGTAAGTAGAGTGAACTTTTTCTATTGTTAAAACTTAAAGAGAATGGACCTCAGCTGTTGGACTTTCCTGAAAGTGCTGCTTCCTTTTTTATTCAACGACCTACTTGGTTTTGAAAATATATTTGAGATAATTTTAAAACAACATGTTGGCTTTTCCTCTTAAACCTTACTGCAATAAGCTGATTTTTTCATGTACGCGTCAAAAACTTGTCGAAATCGATAAAACGACCGCCGTGGAACAAACATTTGAATTGGAAATGCCAAATTTGGGCCATAACGGGACAGTCGGAAGCGGACGTGAATGGCTGCCGCGAAAAAAGAAGAATAAGAAGAAGATATTTACAAGACGGACGGAAAGGGCTGACTCACTCGGCCAACACTCTTCCAGTTCACCTCGGCACCAGTACAACTGCTGGTATTGTGCCTCGCGTCGGCTTGTTTATCGATAAGATCAAGCCGCGCATTGACACCTCGGCGCCGCAGAAGAAGCTCGCGTCTCCAGGCCTCCCTCTTGGTACCACTTTGTACCGTTTCAAAACATTTAATTAGGTTTTGAGCAAGCAACGGAGAGGGTCAGTCGTTTTCAACTAAAACATTGCGGACCACACCCTCGTGCTCCGATTTTGAATGTTTTAAGGCGAAAACGCATTCCACAAACTTGATTTTAAGAGTGACCGGTTCATTTGTTATTCTTATTAGTGTTCATCAAGTTCAGAAAAGACTGTTGAAAGATATCAGATTATCCCATTTGACACATGTGATTAAGAGTATTCTTTATAGTGTCAAAAAAAGGCTCTCAAAGATTTTTATACTCTTAATTTCCTACTCTTCTTGAAATCACTGGAGTGAAAAAATGGAACGTATTACTATTGTTGAAGAGAGTCGATTGCCATCTTTTTTTCCAGAAAGATTTTTTTCTAATGTCGATTGTCTTTTGAATATTATAATATAAAGAAGAGCCTGATCAACTTCATTGGAAGATTCACGAAATATTCTGAACAAAGACGGTGGTGCCACTGGCAATGCTCTCTTCGGCGAAGGACTTTCGAGGGGTCGGGAGGATCAGCGGCGGCGGCGTAGAATCGTCGTCAGTCATTTCCTCGTCGATGATGTCAGCGTACCACTGAGGAGCGCAGAAGACTTCGCGATTGGGATACGTCATCTTGACGGCGAAGAATGGCGGACAGGAGTCGTGAACGATGATCGCGTCGAAAAGCTTCTCGATGCTGTCTTCTGCGCTGAACGTCTTCGTTTCCCGCATGCCGTTGGGGAAACGAATGAGAAGTCGCAGCGGCTTGGCGAACGTCGTCGGCTGCGACTGCTGTTTGAGGTGATTGCGATAGTCGCGGATCTTGTCGCGTCGCAGCTTCGCCGCAACAGACCTCTGCTTCGTTCTCAGCTTCTTCACGTCCTGGGCGAGGCTCTCTTTGTACTCGCGATCTTGTTGGCGTCGGATTTCACGGTCGCACTCAATTTGTTCTTTTGTGTTTAACGGCGCCATTCTGAAAACTTCCAAAAAGTCCAAAAAAAGAAACTTGAAGATGATCTTGAGAGTTGAGGAAAATTAGTATACATTTTTTGAATCAAAGGTACGGAAGAAAGCTTTCATACATTACGTAAATAATTTTCGACTGAAATCATTATGCAAGCTGCTCTAACTAATGAGGTCGCTTCAATAAAGTTAGCGACACTGTTTAATTTTTTTTCTTAGTTTTGATTCTAAAAGTTATGAAAAGCCCATCAAAAAACTTTCAAATCGTCCATTACGGCTTTTATACAGATGGAATCTCTCTAAAAATATTTAATAAAGAAAAAAAGCTCTCTGAGGCTACATTAAAGACAAACAAAGTACTTCCTTTTCATCATAAGTATGAGTGCAGGATCTTGATATATATCGTTTAACATTCAATATAACTTACTAGACAGGAAAAATTTGAGTACGACTTGTTAGTAGCTCCAGTCAGTTGATAAATGACCGATAAGCGATCTCGTAACTTTATTAATTCAGGCTGAGAGCGTACACGTGTCTGATGTCAGAAGGCGGCTTCTGCACGATGGACAAGTTCAGATATCCGGACGACATCGAAGGCTGCACCTATCTTCGTCCGTGGCTCCACAAAGTCGATAGGTTCGTTGAGACACATTATACCGTGTTTGGAACGAATCGTTCAAGGTTTTCGTTCTACTTCGTCCTAGAGAAGAGGCCGCGGAAGTATGGTCCTGCGTACAAAGAACGGCAGAAGCGACTGAGGAAGCGTCAGACGAAAAAGATCGGGAAGATCTCGGCGGATCCGATTGGATCGGTGAGGCTGGAAGGCGTGATGCCGTGTCGACAGGTCTGCGGAGCTCCGACAGACAAACGCCTCGGGTCTCAGTCCGACGGCACCTTCCACCGCAAAGACCAAGGACGTCCTAACTGATTTTCCTGCTCCCAGGATCTCAGAGGCCGTTCTAGCATCTCTAACCTTCATGACAATAACTGTTTCAAAGAAAAGCGCTTATCTTCTCCTTCTCGTCCGAAGAACGAGAAAAAAATTTCGATTCATCATAGCATCTTATTCTTTCTTCAGCGTTTGCAAAGCGCAAAAAATAACCGAATGGGTATTTGACGCCACTTCCCCACTTTCTTTCTCTTTGAAGCTTTTATATAGCCGTGTGATAGCGCATTTGCTTTCAAAATTTCCCGGTATTCAATTTACGGTAGAATTTTCGTTAATTGGTTGTACTTGTAGGCCGAAAAGCTCCTCCAGCATTTCAAGTTCCCCCTGAAGCTTTCAACTCTGAACTTTGTACAATTAGCCCTTTTAACTGCCAAAAAACTTCTCTCTATGCCAAACTGAACAATTCCATTGAAACTCAGTTAAAAAACCCGCCGCTTGCCTGAACATCAAATGTACAAAACTCCAACCACATTAGATCCTATTCATAATGTTTGTCTATGTTCCCGTTAGCTTTAAATGGCGCCCTTTGGAAATTATTTTCATAATATCTGCGTTCCAATGAACATTTTTCTTCGAACTTTTGATCGGTTCAGAGAAAACAGACACGACAAGAGGAAAGAAACTGTGACAAAGCACGGTCTGAGGTGAGGGTTTGCGCGGCGAGAGGCTCAAGGTGCTCATGGCGGCTGAGCTCCGCGGAGTTCAAGCGTTCCTCGCATAGTTTCCATCCAACGGCCGAGTCAACAAACGCGTTTAAACGTGTCTGATGCGGAATACGAGAAGCCCATGGAGCATGGGAAAACGCTCGAAACAATACGTCGTCACACATAAGCACACAAACAGACACACGCAATACGGGTGTCGCCTCAGGGATATTTTCGCGGTTTCTTAGAAAATATAACACTTTTTTAGCTGAGAAATGTTCCAAGCTTGATCTGCAAGAAAAATTATTTCACTGTAAATTCTGAAAAACAATGCAAAGCCAGAGAATGCGAAAAAAAAAATGCCAGAAGATATCCAAACTTAGAAACTTCAGAAAACAAAGTTGCATAAATATAGCCAAACCATTTTAAAAACTAGGATTACTTATCTTAGAATCTTAGAATTTTTCAATAATTGGATGGAGTACTCTTCGATGTAACTCGCAACAGTATCAAGTTTAACAATTTCCTAGACTTCGAGAAAAAAAAAGCAGTTTTAGAGCATTTAGAATGTGCAATAATTACATCAAAGAGTGCTTCAACCTAACTTCAGAAAAATCTGAAGATGCCTAATTGGGCGGCTCGTTTCAAAAAGGCATAAATCAAGCAGCATTATTTTCCGAAACCCAATTTTAAACACCGAAGGTAGAGCCAGAAAGCAGATGAAATCATGAGGAGGAACCCGGAGAGGAATATGTGCAAGATATTATCTCCCAAAAAAAAAAACGCAAAAAGGAGTTTGAAACAACCAAACTATTCACAAGAAAACATTGAGAAAATAACCAATTTTTACAAATAAAGTGGGAAAGTGAATATGGGATTTAATTATTGAATCAATCAGGAAAAAATAAGATAACTTAGGACTAAATAGGAATGAGAATATTAATAGAAATTTCGGAAGTATAAGGCTCTTGCAACGGCAGGATCCGTTGGAACGGCGTTAGGATCGCCTTCCATATAGAACTTCACAGTGCAATCTCCGCTGCCGATAACCAAAATCTGCATCTTGTCGCTGAAGGCAATTATAACGTGTAAACTTTAGAATTAAACGTCTTCAAAGTGAAGTTATTGGTATCTCTAACTGCTGAATTTCAATGATTCACAAAAAAATTTTTTTCGGTTTACTATGAAACATTTAACGCGACTTCGTGAAGCAGAAAATGATGAGAATTGAGTAAGCGAAAATTTCAATTTTTTTTTTTTAAGGTCGGTCCTAGAACTTATAAAAATATATAAAAATTGCTATATAAAAAAATTAGATTGAAATTAATAATTTAATTTTTCACGTACAAAAAAAACCCCTACCACATTAGTTTTTTTCAAGTATCCATCTTCGTTACCGGAAGAAATAGCGAGAAGAATACCAAAAATCAGAAAACAAAAAGATATTTGCATATGATATGCATATGGCGTATCAGAAGAATGCAAAATATAACTAGAAGACAAAATAGCCGTCTCCGCGCCTGGACAAGAAAAGTAAAGACCATCGCAAAATCATCAACCCCTTCGTTCATCAGAAACCTTTGGATTTTCGGTTCGAACCAATTCCTCAAATAACCCAAAAATTCCAAAGCTACAGTAGTCCTCCACTTGAGAGTGAAACTCAAAGAAAATCAACCGGAAACTAACTTGTAGTCAAATTTGGCAGGTTCGCTGTTGAATTCGTCAGAAGATAAAATGAGATTGGGTCGAAGGCCAGGTGAATAGACCTTAAAACAATAATTATACGACATTCCGTGTCTTTTCTTTAAGAAGAGACCCTGAAAGCGAAAAATAGGTTTCTTGAAATTTTTAACATGGTCTTTCCATGAAAGATGGATTGCAAGAGGTTGGAAGCCAGTGAACAAGAAAGCAGAAAGGAAAAAAAAATTGAAAAATGCTCGTGACAAATGGAAGTGCGTCTTTTTTATAATCGTTCCAAAGCAAAGCTAACAAAGTCCGAAGTCGAATTGGGTTTCCAAAAAGAAGGAAAGAAAATTTTCTGACATTCTACATGTTTTTTTGGCGAAAGAAAAGGCCAAACAACGTAAAAGCTCTTGGGAGAAAGGGATCTCAGCATATATTTCGAAACTATTTTCAAAAAAGAAAAACTGGACAAACACAGAAGCGGCAAAAAAATATTATCTTAAAGAAAAAAATAGAAAAAAATAATTTTTTTGGAAAGATAATAAAAAAATTTTTACATCAAGCTCAGAAAAAAATCTAATGAGAATTGCATTTTTTTAAAAACTGAAATGCCGTTATTTTCCTTCCGAGCTTGTTAAAAAAAGCGCTTGGGTTTCGGCTATTTTCGCCTATTTAATTACTGTGAAAAAAACGTACTTTTCTGCGCAATTACAGCTTTTTTTGTATAGAAAAATAAATTTAAGCTGTTTCTATGCTAAAAACATAGAAATGCATACGAAATTCATGAAAAAAATTATTTTGGTGATTAAGTCATGAATTAAAGTCGAGAAAAAAACCTTGAAATTGAACCGGTTGACTTGTGAAAGAGTGTAGTAAGCGCCTGGGGAACGGAAAACTTGTCTGACTGGCCTTCCGGACGACTGAAAAAGTATCGTAAGTCTTTTGAAAATTAGGTATTTCTGAATTCTCATCAGATTCAGAAGAAAATTTGAAGCATGTAAATCTTGAAACACAGACCGTGAACTGTGAAAGAAGAGAAAGATCGTTGGCGTTGAGGACGTTGACATGGCCAGAAGAAGTGCCGCAAACGAGCTGCCCGCAGTGGTAGGACAGCGATTGGGAGTAGTAATGCCACGACTAAAAATTCATCCATTTTGCTTCCCTGGGCCGATCAGAAAGTTATTATTCTTTTTTTGGAGTGTTTTCATAACTCGTTGATCATTTTTCAGACGACTGTTTCCATAAATCTAGTTCCTTTTTGGAGTTCTACCAAACATCAGTCGTATCAGATTTTTCCATCCTCTTCGAATACGTATTAAAGTTAGTTTGAATGAAATCACCACGGAATGGACGCATTCGCGCATGTTCCTCCGGTCTACCAATTGCACGGTTCTGTCTTGCGCACTTGAGAAGATGAAATCACCCTGGAAAACTGCAGGTGAGGTCTATCCTGGAGACGAAGACAAGACCTTGGTCTGGAGACCAAAGACAGGACCGCGATGGAGCTGATGTTCGCCGACGACGTGGTCGGGGACACGTGTGTCGAGAAGGACGACGCGTCTGGCGAACGAAGATCCCACGGCTTCCCAAGGCGACGTCGGAACTACACATTGCGCCGCCGAACCGACGTTCGTCGCACTCACTTCCTGAACTCAGTGATTCAGGAAGACTTCCTCAAAACTGATATCTACATCCGGAAAAAAGAACGTGTTTCAATCATGAATTATCAAGACGAAGTCCATTCATAAAAAAATAATTTCAGGAGGAACTTCAGAATTTTCTTTAAAAATAGACAATGAAAGTCTTCCCTGAAATTTTTTTTCCACTAAAAACTTCGAAACACAACCGCAAAGTTTACAGGAAAGTATTTTCGAGGCAGAAAAGCCTGGAAGCTTATGCCACGTTTGTGCGATCCATTTCGAGATTTTTGAGCTTCTTGAACTTAAAAACGGGAAACTGACAGTAATTGAGGATTCAGTGATGCTCCATTTTTTGATGAGAGAGTCCCAGGAGCAGGAAAGAAAAGAAGTCGATGACGAATCTTCGTCTGTCGACGGACACATGGCAATGTTCCAAATCCAACCCTGAACCCTCCAATCGAATCCCGGATTCTCGAAGTTTTCTTTCTACCGAATGTGCATTTTCCTTATTGATGGTGCTCCATCGATTCGTCTCCGAATCCTCTTCTCTCTTTAAAAGAACAAATTCTACCAGAACAAGATTAATAAGCGCTACCATGACATTTTCGATGTCCCAGACGCGAATCGAACGATCTCGGCTACCCGATATACAAAAAGATTTTCCAGAAGGCGCTTGGAACAACTTCAGACCGTCTACCGTCGATACATGGCCATTTGCGACGTACCTCAAAGAATGAAAATGTGAAAATCGATTGAAAAAAATTATTCGAATATGTTTTTTGAGCTCTCATTTCACCTCTAAAGTATCTAATCTATTGATATATATATTTTTTCCTTTGAAAAATCTAAGGATCTTTGTACATATTTCAACTAAAATATCAAACTATCGACCTTTAGAAAAACAAAAAACGATTTTTCCCTCACCTTTTTTGAGTGAACCAACATTTCCATCGCTTTTTCTCCGCCGCAATTCTATCGTAAATCCACGACGGACAAAATCCTTCTTCTTCGATTTCACTCGAGGCCAGAACTACCCGGTCTCCACTCGACTGAAATTCCTTTTATAATAGATTCCTTGGGAACAGACGGTACCCTGATTCTCGTGATCCAGTATTTGTTGTCCCTCAAAATGTCTGCAAAAGCTCGGCAGGTGAGAGACACCTGGAAAATAAAGTTTCTTCAGATAAATTTGGTTGAAAACAAAACACTTTGAACTAATTCTCGCGCTGGGATTTGCAAGAAAATGCTCTGCAAAAGCTCCGGCGGAAGGCTGAAAATGTTGGTTGGTTCGCCAGGGTCGCCGCAGAATCCTCCCGACTCTACGTCATTCTCCATCGGATATCTATCTTATCAGTCTCATTTCAGAATAATACGAGATCATGAATAAGTATTTTAAGCCAGAAATAGCTTTGATTGAGAAAAACGAGACCAGGATACATATAAATTTTTCTATAAAAAAACAAAGAGCAAACAAGAGGCTAAAAAAATCTAAAATACAAAATGAGTTCACCACATGGCTCTTTGGACTCCCGACAGTTGACTGTGGTCGGCGAGTTTACGGAACAAATGACGATTTACTCGGTAAGGTTTTATTTTTCCACGTTGGCGACCCGTGAACATGCACATGTTGAGAATCAGCCGAGGGTGGTCGTATTTCGAAGCTGTGAAGAGCTTCTCGGCGGCTTCGTCGCGAATAGCTTGCGGCAAAATCGTGTTGGCCTTTATCGCTTTCAGTCGCATTCGGTCTGCGCCAACGCTCTGAAAAGGCCTTTCTTATACTGTCAAAAAATATCGGGTATGTTTTAAGATGATATATATATACATATCCGAAAAAGTCGTTTGAACCGGCCCGAGCGTCTTTCACTGCTTTTCCTCCGAACTTTTTCACCATATACCCGAGTTAATAGAAAGAATGAGAAGCATTTATTTATCCATTTAAAACAACATTCACCTGAACTTGCTCACGTCGTTTGACATCTCGTAGTTGACGCCAAGTTGCCCAAAAAGTCATCCGTTTTCCCGTTTTCCACCATTCGCGTTCGACGTATAGTGGATACTGATCCAGCTTTAGTTTTGTTAGCGCTTCTTTTGAATAGGGAACCAACAGTCTTTGCACCTCAACATCAGCTTATAAAAACAGAGAAGAATTGATTTAAATTATATGAACACCTTTGCTTACATTAAGAATAACTGCCGAGATAAACGCGAGACACTGGCGGTACATTGACGAGCTCGCAAACATCTCGCTTTTTTTCTCGCGCCGGTCTCGCATTTTTCTGGTCGCGACCTCGCTTTTTTCTAGGCGCGAGCTCGCATTTCTCTCGCAATTTGAAAATTTCCGAAATGCAAGATAAATGCGAGGTCGCGCCGAGTAAAATGCGAGGTCGCGCCGAGAGAAATGCGGGATCGCGCCTAGAAAAAAGCGACATTTTTGCGAGTTAGTCAATGTACCGCCACCGAGCTCGCGTTTATCTCGTCAGTTATTCTTAGTGTCTTTGAAAAATCTTTCCAATCGTTAAAAAAAACCAACTTTTGAAGGTGATTTATCATTAACCACATCCTCTGCCGTAGGCGTTCCCATTGAAGTAGCATTTTCTTCAGAAGAGCTTTCTTTGTCCTTCTGTATCGTTTCCGCTGAAGACAAGGAACGGCACACACTGCTCATAGGCATTCGAAAAGATGACAAAAGTAGCTCACGCGCATTTTGTAACGTGCGAATCATCTGAATAATGAAAGTAAGCAACGATTATGCAAATCGCGAAAAAAAACGACAGTATCACTTTGAAAAACTCATAGGAAATGTTCAGAAGTGCCATGTAAATGTAAAATTATTATTTAAAAACTACTTCTGCTTCTTTTAAACAAAACTTAAACAGTTATGAAAACTTGAGAGGAAACAAGAAAAGAAATCTTAAGAAAAAAAAATTGAAATGATCTTTCTATAGGGACTCCGTAAAAGCGAATTTTTCTAGGACGCCATAGACGTGCTTAGTGGCGTACATCTGGTGCTCTGCGTTTCTTCCTTTTTTCATACACTCTCGCCTTGACTGAATACACTTTTATTTTATTTTTACTACCGCGTTCAAACTTGTTTCCGATGCCGTGTTCAATTTGAATCCGCGAAATGCAAAATACCCGTTAGAGAAAGGAAATATCACTAAATTTTGGAGTGTCAGAGATCATTTTGCATTTCGCGGAAATTACTTTGAACACGGCACGAGCATTGAGATTAGCTGAGATTGAACTTTTCTAATGGTTTAGTATCGTCTAATGATTACTACATTTTTCTTTTTCAATGCTCGAAAATCATGTTTGAAAGCGAAATATACTTTAAGTTATTTAGATCGTTCTCTAAACGTTTTTCAATACTTTTCTCTATCTTCATACACTTCGCTTTTTTTTTTAAAGAACTTTTTGAAGTGTGCGTTTTGTAAGTCGTGTATCGTAGTGAATTGAAATATTTACAATCATCTGATTGTAATCACGTTTTGGTTCAATGATGGTTTTATATCGTGTTTGTGATTGTAGAGGGCTCTATGAAGTGAGTAGGAAGGACGATCGAATGCTCGTCGAAATTTTATGCGCTTTGCTCGTCGCTTTTGTGGGCTTCTACACTTACTGGTTGGTTTTTCCTTCTCTATATGCGGTCGCTTAGAAAGTTTTTGCTCGTCGTTTATTCGATTTCTTTTGTGATTAGAAATAGAGAATTGATTGATTGATCAGTATTAGTTGATTCTGACTTTCTTAGCTTGAATTTCAGCTTTCAAGTAGTTTTTGTACTTTATCTTGAGCTCATTTTCTTCTATACTCCCTCTGTATTATGTCTCAGTGAGTTTCTTATGATTCCGATTTTTCGAAAATTGATAACGGCTTCTGAGAAAGTCATATGATTCTCAAAAACCCGAAACCAAAAAGTTGATGGTTTTTACGTTTCTCTCCGTTGTCTCAACCCCACCTGAAAATAGAAAGGAAATTACTTCTGTCCCATTTTTTCACTCATTAGCTTCTCTTTCTGATGCGCTTGATATGAAGTGTCTTCCATATTTCTTCTTTCAATATACCCTGAAGTCATGTTCTAATCTAAGGGTGTCATCGTACACTCAATGAGATTTTATCAAGTTCTATGCGACTTTTTTCTCATTACGATTTTTTGTGAGATTCAGATGCTCGAAGTTCAATTAGGTCTTCATTAAAATTATAAATTTCTTACTCTGCAGGATGACAGTGGTGGTTCCAGCGGAGGTTGAGGACCGCGAAGCTGAAGCCGCCGTCAATGAATGTGAGTTCACAAAGCTCTGAGGGTCAGATAAGTAATTCGAGTTCATGGAAAAAACAAGTTGAGTTTTTGAACTTTAACGAGTAGAAAACTAAAATTTCTTCGAATTTTTTACTTGAAAAAGAAATTCATTCAGTTGTTGGATGGTGCGATTCTAATATTCATTTCAATCAGTGATAAGATTTAAAGTAAGGAAATTCGTTTTTCAATAAACTGCTAACGCTTCCCAATAGAAAAAAAAACATTCTCAAATGGGTTTTTTCTATTGTTCACATTTCGTTTAAACTTTTTTTTGACCTTTTTGTCGAGTGAAATTTGAAAATCTTATTCAGCGCCGAGCAAAAAAGGCGACCGTGCAATTACGACACTGGTCGATGGTTCCTCGACTTTGGTTATTTTGTTCGGCTGGGCTGGATGTCGAGATCGTTACTTGGCTAAATACGCTCAATACTACGAACAGTCGGGGTGGGTGATTCAATTTAAAATTTCAGGCATTTATTCGTTGTTCGTCAAATCAAAAAAACCAAGTTTTTTGCCTTCAGAACGTTTTTTTAGGTTTTCATTTAAAAATAATTTTTTTGAGAAAAAAAGAAGAAAAAAATTTGGAAACCATCGAAAAAAATTTACAAGAAATATGCGAAAACAAGAGTAAAAATCAAAACTTGTCGCTAGACGCTCCAAGGAAGCACCAGAACATTGCGTGGGAGATAAGTCGTTTCCCTGAGAAAAATTCGGCCCTATTGATTTTTCGTTCATGCATACGGAAGATGTCATTTCTTGGAAAGTCGATCGTGAAAGAAAAAAGTTTAACGCAGGCTTTTTGTGGGTTTTAAACTAGGATTTTTCGAAGAAGAAAGGGAGCGGGATATGATTTAACAATAACATGAAAAAAGGAAAATAGACGCTGTACTGAATTCAGGATTGATTGGACGTTTTTTATACTTAACTCCTACTTCGAAGATATGTTCATGACTCGGGATTTTCTTTCTAAAAATAGATATTTTTCATAAATTCTCGTATCGTGCATATCATTTTAATACAGAATTTCCCCATTTTTCTTCGTTTTTCGATAACAGAAATCTTCAATTTTCGTTTCTTTACAGGGTTTCGACGATTCGTTTCACGGCGCCAATCGCGAAAATCCGCTCTTTCGCCTCGTATCGAGCTTTCGCAAAAGCTTTTCACAAAAACCTCCTCACTTCTATTCCCTCGCAAAAATTGCCTAGGAATATTTATTTCCACACGTTTTCTATGAACGGCGTCTCGTTGTTCGCCGCTTTTTGGGACTATGTGTCGAAAAATGAGGACGCAGCCAAGATAAAGAAATCAACGAGTGGGATCATATTCGACAGGTAATTTTTTTTTATTAATGAGTCACATGTTTAGGCGTTTTCAAGAGGCGTTATTTAAACGTTTGAAATAAGAATTACAGTTTGAAAGCATACATGTAAATGAGTGAACCTGGCGTCAGCCAAGTCCCCCCCTCGGAGCCAAAGCCAAGTTCGCCGAAAGCCAACTTTTCTAGTTAACGGAATCTTCAACGGTTGACAAATAATCTCAGAGATAAAACGATGCATCCGCTGATAAGTTCACGCAATACTAATCAGAAGCACGTTCAGTAGTCCGGCATTCACCTCGCCTTCGCAAAGCGCAAACGCCGTCTCTTTCGCCACTCTGCCGCCATCGAGTTATCCGTCGGCTCTGCGGGAATCATATCGCGCTGTTCTCTTCACCTTTTTCTCCTTCCACAGGTTCCCACTTTCATTTTTTCAACAGTAATCCAGAACAAAATAAGGTTCCTTTCTTTTTACTATTAGGTTGTTTACTAAGTTTCTTTCTTTTTTGAAGGACTTTTTTTTTAAAAAAGTTTTCAACCAGAAAAGCACTTCTCACAATTTTTCTTCATATAGTATTTACTACTACACATTCTGAAGTGCAGATTAAAACTAACTGTATTCCTATAACACTATGCAGAAAAAAGATACAGAACTTTGTCCGAACTCGAAAAATCTCGATTTTTGGAAAGTTTTGCGAATTTATTTTTTATCTTACTTTTTCAATCTTGTCATTCGAACAAGTTACATAAAACGTAAACTGAGGTCGTGTGCTTGCTCGTGAAAGTTTTCGTTTGCTTCCAAAAAAACTGAGAAATGAGTTAATTATTCAAAAGCCAGACCATACATATTTATGATTGGCCAACATTGTTGAAACAATGCGCGTCCTGTTTTCGTTTTATTTTCCCCGAAGTACATTTGTAATTATCTATCAGATTTGAGGTTTTGAAAAAAATTATAGGAATAACATTAGCCACCGGCAGCTACCGTGAAACTCGAGGATTTAATTTTACAGCCTTTTTTCATCAAAAAATGTTTATAGCACGGGGGCAGTGGTTTATGTCCTCTCTCAAATTTTCTGTTCTTTTGCTATCTCTCAAGTTAATAAAAAAACAAGTACAACAAAGGTCACTGCAGCCATGTGTCAATGCAGAAGTGGTTCAACTGAGTTTTTCCGGCCTAAAATTTTGAGAAACGGTAGTCAACTGAAATGACAGCTTGATGAACTTCTGGAGGCTCTCTGACGGCGTCAAACGTTTAGACCTTCTGAAGAAAACGTGACTGATACAGACCATGTCTGTACTAAATAACCACAAAAAATCAAAATCAACCTCGAAGCCGTTCATGAGAAAAGCGTCTAAATGTTCAGCGACCATGTCATTGTCATTGATCACTGGCCGAAACTTTTAAAGAAAAAAGATTTTTAGGCTGGTGTTTTTGTTTAAAAAGTCAGTTTGCCTTCTCTATCTGTACTTCCATCCTCCCTCGTTGTCATCAACTACAAAACATTGAATCATACATTTTTTTTAGAAGAAACAAAAAAAAAATGTTTCTAAGAGGGGTTGAAATTGAGTTAGTTGCCCTTTTTTGAGTATATCATTGCTCGTTTTAAAGTCAGGAACTCCAAAATTAACATTCACGTTAACAGATAGCTGAGGATGACGGGGGAAAAATGGCTTGCTGTTTGAATCCAAAATTGAAAAGTTATACACCAAGTAACTTTCAACCGAAAAAAGAAAGAAACTTAGTAAACGACCTAATAATTAGGAGTTTCTCAATCCATTTTCAGGAGATAAAAAATAAAAACGGGTCTTTTTTCCAGCAAAACCAATGATAGTTTGATTTTAAAATGCCGTGTTCGAAGTGATTCCGCGAAGTTCGAAAGAGCCGTCATAAAAAGAAAAACATAATTTTTAATTTTGCAAAAGTCGATTAAAATACGGTATAAAACTATCAAAATACCACCAACATGTTACAAAATCGTCAATCTACATTTGCAATTTTCAGATATTTCAATATTTAAAATTTTCCACTGAAAGCGTTTTCACGTTTCCATATTTCAGAGGGGTGATGTGGCTGCGCTCTTTGGTTGAAAAGGACGTCTACGAGAAGCATTTCGCTTATTTCAAAATGCTCACTTTCGACGATCTGCCCAAGAAGCAGCTGTACATCTACGGACCTGCTGACTTAGTACGAATCTTTGAAAGTTTTTTCTTGTTTTCTTTTAGGAACTTTCAGCATTCTGAGATGAGTTATCCATAGAAAAAAAAAATCTCTACTATTGTTTACGCTATTTTTTTAAAGCGGAATTACATTTTCTTTTGTTTTTACGAAACTTTCAGTGGGCCTAGTAAATTGAGCGTTTTTTTTTTCAATTTGATGACTATTTTTACCTGAAAAATCAACTCAGTTCCTGTCTTTTTTTTTGCCTCCGAACGCCTTCTGAAGCTCAAAAAAGTCGCTGGTCAAAGTTTACCCTATCAAATGGCCAATTTTCACTGAGATGATGAAAAAACTGTTTGTTAATTAATACATGTAGTTGATAAGGTGTTCATTCATTTCATTCATTTCATTCATTTTCTTATCGAATTTTGTCATTTTTGTCTTTGCTCCTGGTTTTTGAATGTCTAAAGTTGTCTAGGAGCTGGTAGAAATGACTAGAGAAAGTAGATCGGAGCATTTTTTTTTCCTGTGACGAAGTTTCGAATACTTTACTGCATCAATGTTTTTCGATCGCGTCCGGCATGATGTGTCAGTTGAAAAAAAAGAGACATTCGGAACATTTGGCCGCTTGTTTCCGCTAGCCACAAGTGCGCTCAAATAAACAGATAACTTTGAGAAGCAAACGATCTTTCAAAATAAGCTCAGGCTCCCGTGAACGAAGAAAGTTGAATTATGACGTGACCTCAAAATTTGGCGAGAATCTCTGAAACTTATTTTATTATCCTCTTTTTTTCTGATAATATCTGAGTGTTTCAGTCGATTCACTTGTCGAATTTGACTTCAAGGCCTCTTCCAAAATATTTCATTTAATACTCGTACTTTGAAAATTATCTCCTGATACAAGTTTTTCTGACTTTTTTTTGGGCTTTCGTCTCTTGCTCTTTTTATTATATAATGAACGACACTGAGTTGGAAAGTTTAAAGAAAAATTAGGAGCCGATATTTTGGTTGATATGTAACAGGGATGCATGAGACGAGGATTTTTTTATCTCGAGACGAGATCGAGACTATTTGAAATGAAAAAAATACAATTTTTTGTATCGAAATAACACTTGTAAACGACCAAAACTCAAAAATTTGCGAAAACCTCTCTTTATTAGGAGAGATATTACGCAAAATCTGAATTCAGACAGTTTACTGTGCTGTGATTTTGATCGCTTTGAGTAGGTGACGTTACAACCGCAACGTCATATATGACGCCTTATTTCGAACTTTCAGCGTAAAAGTCTTTTTTTTTTCCATGTCGAAATGTCTCGAGACGAGATCGGATTTATTTCTGCATCTCGAGACGAGGCGAGATCGTCAATTTTTTAACCGTGACGATATCATGTCTCGTGCATCCCGATATTTAACACGACTTTTTCACACATGGCTCTCACTAGGCTACCACTAAATTATCAGTTTCTGAAGGTTTTTCCGTAGAAATATATCTTGATTAATTTCTGATATTTTTTTTTCGACAAGTATAAGTGATATAATGATACTGATCGATAATATTTGAGGTTTGCTCGGAAGAGTCGATCGAAGAGTTCGCCAAGACGATGGAGGCACGTGGAGTTGCGACGTCCAAACTGAGACTTCTGGACTCGCTCCACTGCCAGCACCTTCGTACGCATCCGAAGACGTATGCCAGCGAATGTCTGGATTTCGTTAGATCGGGCAATTTGCCGGAGTCGCACAGCCGCGTCGCTCTCGAGGCGCGAACTCCAGAAGAACTCGCCTGTGAAGAGATCCCCGAAGAGCTCGCGATGTACTGACGTCGCTTTACAAAATTTATCTTCTTATTGCTTTTAATTAAGATCCCTGATATCAGTTTTGATCAGTTAAATTCTTAGCGAGTCGCTGATTTTGTTTTATAAAATTTCATGAATATAGGATTTTAATAACTTACTCATTTTTGTGAAGCTTATTTCTTCTTTAATTTTTCGTTCCTTCAATTAGATCTTCAAATGGTTGTGGTTTATTTACCAGCTTTAACCTTTCTAGCAGTTCTTGTGATTTGTTTTTCATTTTTCTCCTTTCGAAAATCTCAATACATATAGAAGCTTTGTAGAAAAAAAAAACGGTTGTTTCCTGATCTTCCCGGATGTTGCATAAATGTGATAGATTTAATAAATTATTTCCTTTTTTTAAAGTTTTTTAGAGCATTGAGGTTAAAGACTTATTTGCTAGTACATTGCTAGATTGATGATTTTTAGGTTCAATTCTTCTGGGTTGAAATAAGTTGGAAGAGAGCGGAAAAACTGATTGGAAAGAGTTTATCTATCTGATCTTCGACCGCTTGATGACTTTTGGTTCGTTTCTCTTCTCTAATTCATTGTTTGTTATATATTTTTTGTGATATTTGAAGAAGGGAGTGTGATTTTGTATTTTCCATCTTTTATCAAAAGGGAAAAATAGGATAATATAAGAGATTTTTGATTAGTTCAATTTCTTTTGAGAAATTTGAAAACTTGATTTTGTCGTGTTGATGAACATAATCTTTTTTTGAATAGTTTGACCGTTTTTTTAGTTTGAAAAAAAAGTTCAATTAATTTTTCTTCATAGTTGTTGAGTGTTTGAAAAGCATAATAGCATCGGGCTGTCACTTTTTTTTCGCCCTCTTCAAATTAAAAAAAAACTTGAAGTCTCATTTTTTGAAACGACCGCAGCGGATGTAGAGTCAAGATTTTTCTTTTCGCAGAAGGTCGGTTGAACTTGAGGAACATTGTGAAAAAATTTGTAGAATTTCGTCACTCCATGTTTCAATAATTTTGAATTTTTCAGCTTTGAGAATAGTAAGATAAAAATCTTTTTGGTCTCCGAAGTTCTGCGATAAATTTTTGTAACGGTGAAAGTCTAGCAAGCTTTTTTGAACAGAATTTCAATGAAAAAAATATCTTTTAAAAATCAAATTTGAAAAAAAAAACCATATTTATTTATTTTTTACAGTAGAGTTTGAAATAAATTCAATATTAGTAGCGTTTCAATAGTTTATAGTATGCTGTATCTCACCGACGAACATATCAGGAGAGAAGAGGAAGCGAACAAACTCCCAAGCCTGACCCGACATATTCAGATGCGAAGGACGACGACGGATGTCGATCCAAGATGCCGCCGACGATTCGCCACGGAGAGAAAGACGACGCCCGCGGGCATGTAGGAGAGGTTGTGACGAGAGAAGCGAGACGCAGAGACAGACGGCAGACGAGAGAAAGGGACGATGACATGGCGGCACAACGTACACACAACACACGCTCGCTCTCACCCACTGCGAGTCAGGAAAGTCGGCGAGGAGGACGTGACGTGACTCATCGCCTCCCCCAGCCGCTGCCGTCGAGGTCGTCGTCGCCGTCATGGAGCTCGGCCAGGGCGCCTTCAAGACCAAGAAGTCGGCCTTGTCTCTCGACCTCAACGACGAAACTGGCGTCTCTAGCCTCACCGTGACGCCAGGTGATCGTTTCTAGCTTTCCACGTCGGTTAGAAGCGTGACCGATTCATTCTCCTAGGACTATTTTCCGAATTTCCAGGACTTTTCATGGCAAAATGCTCTTAAAAGAAGCCCTAAACTAGTTAGCCCGAAATCCATTCTTCCAAACGGTTTTCTCCAACTTCACATCGATACGGCATTTTAGAAGTTCAGCTTCAGTATTTTTCCCTCTCAAGAATAGATATACATACATAATATATACTGTATACGTAAATCGTTTTTAGGTAATTTTTCTCGGAAAATTTATTAAGAGCACATAGATAAGACTTCATTTAAAGTTTTACCTTGAAAGCCATGTGGTACTCTTACTGAGCCCTTCATTGTTAAATTCATACATCTGACCAGAAATTTTGCTTGAATACTGTTCTGAAGAAAAATATATATCATTTTCTCGACATTCTCGTTCAGTTAGGAATGTCCTAGGTTCATAGGCGTATCCCGATTTCCAAAAATTTCACCCGTTAAACACTCTGAGTTATAGATTCGCACACGTGTTAGAAGTTCTTTTTTTCTAATTTTTCATAATCTACTCTCGTTTGGCAATATATTCCTCTTATTTTTTTATTATCTTTTTGCGAAAAAAATTTTTTTCCTGTCCCTTTTTTTCGAGGTTCGAGCTCATTCGGACGTTCTATTTTATTAGTTTTTTTTGGGTTTTACCGAAATTTAGGGATTGAGAAGGATCATGAAAAGCTTCTATGAACGAACTGTCAGAAAAAAAAATACATAGTTTGTGTCGTCAGTTTCAACATCACGTTGTTCCATTATTTTTAACAAGTTTTTGTTTCCATTCTTTTGACTTTCTTTTTGAGCAGACGATTCTGTACTGACTCATGACTTTTGACCTTTTTATTCAATGATCCTCCCTATTTAGAGGTTTCGCACAGTAGCTCAAGCGAGTGATTAGACGCAATTTTTGGGTTCTCATTGGAGTTGGCAAGCGTCGTTTCTATTTGCTCTCGTGATTCACCACGACGGTCTTTTCTCTGTTCATCGCGTTATTCACCACACGGTCTCGTTTTTTCTTCCATTCTTCGCCTCGTTCTCGTATTCTCTTCGCTTTTTGTCGTCCTGCCGTTCTCCGCGGCGGATTGGCAGATGCGATCATCACACCCTGCGGCCATTCAATCAAACATATCTCCTTTTCTGGCGCCCTTCTTTTTGGCCAACGAATAGAGAACGTATACATTGATTATCGGAAAGATTACACTACAAAGAGGCGTTCCGAAGAATTTTTTCTCATTAAGAAAAATGATTTCAATTTCCATTGTTCAGCCATCGACAACCTTAGTTCACATAAGGAACATCAGGAGGTCTATCAAGATTCACTATTGTTTCTAGCTATTTGTTAAAAATCGTTTGCTTAACTTATACCTCAAAAAAATTTGAACTTATACCTCAAAAAAATTTGAAAAAAATTTGCAAAAAAAGTTTATACATTTCAAAACCTAAATAGTAAAAATCAAAAATATAATGTACAAGAGGGTTGTCTAATCACTTAATTATGCAGATTAAGTTTTGACAGATAAAAAAGGCGATTGAAGCCCACGCGATCCCCTGAGCAGTTAGGATAATTAGGCAGTTACATGGTCATGAGGCCCAATTTTCGAGTAATTTACTCATTTTTGAAATTAGCTCGAGTCAGCGCGGAATTGACAAATGTTTCTTACATCGAGGTACGAATGAAAGTCGACTACTTTATCACGGCTTTATTTTTCTCTACTTCTGATCGGCCACAGATCACTTGCCCGTTTCCTATTCCATCTCATCTCCTTTTATTATTATTGTCTTTTTGTGATTTTTCGCGTTTTTCGTGTTTTTAACCTTTTTAAATCATTTTATCGCGCCTAGGTTTGGTTTCTCAAACATTTTTCAATGCTTTTTTTGAACAGTAAATTTTCAAGAACCGAAGCTGCGCGTTATAATTGAATGTAATCGTGAAAAATTCATTTTATTTCTCAATTTCAATTCAATTATTCACTAAATTGAAAAGTAAAATAATTCACATATTTGTAAAGTAACATAAAAAAAGGTACCCAAAATGGTCAAAATCTATTTTTTCATGAAACAGAAAGAAATAATTTGGGTAATATCTATTTTTTGGAATTTAGATCGTCATATGGCACAAGTTGTGAAACTACTTCTACGCATTTGGAAAGTACATTGAAATCAGGTGTTACCTGTATTTGCTCAGGTTTACGACAGAAATCGAAAGAAAAAGAGCGAAAGACTCTGCCAACCACTTGGTCATTCACAAAATGCGCCATTTGTTGTTCGACGCAGGGAACTCTTTGCTTCCGTTCGGAGAATGGCTCGGAATAATTGTGCAAAGAACATATCTTCCAAATACGAGTTCGGAAAAAAGAGTCCTTCAGATATTGTTGCCCATTTTTCTTTTCAATTTTAATCTTACGACAAAAGAATTTTCTCCAGTTTAGAAGTTTTGCGAATGAATTCCTCGTCAAACTTGGGAATTGCTGTCACAGCCAAGGTTTTTGAATTGTCCATTTCAAAACTACGGCGTTTGTCCGTTTCGCGCCAACCTCTAGTGGTCTTTTTCTTTTAGTTTCTGCCTAGCCAAGTCTAGTTCTCAATTCATGTAAAAATGTTCCCAGCTTGAAAGTTTTACTTTCAAATAAACTCACTTTTTCGCGTTTCCTAAATATTGCAGAAGTCCGCACCTCAAGTGAAAGTCGCTCACTTTTTTCTTTCACATTAATAAAAAAAATTTACTCATTGTCTCTTTACATGAATTTGCAGCTTAAGTTTGAAGAGTGAAAATAATTTTTTCCTTCTACGGTTCTGAATTATTTTGTGAGTAGGAAAAAATTATGATTTTCGCGTGAGATTTCACATTCTGAGATTTTTCTCATTTTTCATTGATTGGAAAACACGAGAAAAATTCGCCAACCATCTCGTAAATATTCATAAAATGACCCGAGGCATCATGAGAAACAATCAGACATTATCGATTTCCCCGTCTTTTGTTTGTCTTTTCTATTGAAAGGTGTCTCTCAACAGGTTATAGAGGATCTTTCAAAATATTTTTTTCACATTTTTCAACCCAATTACTTCCTTATTCTGAAATTTACTTTTGCAAGTGAGTTTTGAACTTTTCGCCAAAATTTCAAAATTTCGAAAAACATTTTTTTCCTGGCAGAAACTGTTTGCACAATGTCAGTGACTCTTCTAGTTCCCTCGGAAAAGTGGTTCATAATAGTTTCAAATCAGGCGGAAAATGCACAAAATTACTCCGATTCACGCGTCGTGATTTACCTGTCGACCTGTGGCCGTTGCGCTTTAACTAATGCGAAATTTTGAAACCAGATTTATTCGTTTTAAAATATTATATTTGCAATGAGAGTAAGAGTATTGAGAGGAGGGGGAGTTTTTATCAGGAACGAAAAGGAATCAGAAAAGCACTATTTTGTTTTTCAAAGTCCAAATTGAAAAAACATTTTTTCTTATGATGTTGTTCTATGCTCCTTTATAGTCTGTGTGCCTCGACTTGATATTTCACCGAATGGCTTTACGCAGTTCCGCTGCATGTGCTCGCGAAGCGTCTTTCGAGTTTAGGTCACGCTTTCAATTGACTAATATTGCTGTGGGAGCACATGAAAGTAGAGTACCTTGATAAAAAAATAAAAATTAAAAATTAAAAGCGCGACCAAGGTTCGCAAAGGCGTGCAGCGGCACAGCGGAATGTCGTTTGGTGAAATTCCGAGTCGTGGTACACAGACCATAATCAATGGAGTAATATTTTCAGAAATACTTGGGACATAAGTCAAAAAGAAGTTTTTCAGAATTTGGCTATTTTTTTCAACGGGAATGATGCAAAATTTGCTTGTTTTCCTACGTCATCAAGTGTTCTCTATATGAAGACTGAACTTCCGTAGCAAATATCCCTTTTGCGACGACTCCCAAGCAGAAGTCGGACTGCTCGGCTTCCACGAAAAGGGGCGTACTTGTTTCTGGCCTTTCAGTGGCAGACCTTCTCCCACACTCCGAGGGCCGAGCACACGCTCACTTGAAACTCGTGGAGACTCTCTACTTTTCCGTTTTTTTCTGTTCTTTTCTCCCAGCTGCCCCTTTCTTTTTTTTTTCTTTCGTCACCTAATAGTCACTTCGGTCGATAGGTATTTCCTCGATTTGAATTTGAAAGCTCATTAAGTTGAATAAACAAATATTCTACAACTTTAGCCCGAATTCGGAGCATTATTGGGTCTTCAGGAAGAAGTTCTAGTCATGAATAAGTGTTCAAACAAGGTTTATGAATTCCTACGGTAACTTGGACTCTTTTTGTGATAAGCCAGCGAACAATAGAGCGAGAAGTGTTTTGCCCCAACGAAATTTTTTCTAACTTTTCTTAAATTTTGTTTCATTGGATCTTTCAAAAATTCCGCAGAAACAATTTTTATGACCAAATTTTTTCATTCTCTCTCTCACAAATTTGACTCGTTTTCATAGTTAGTTTTGTTTGTGTGCATTCTCGCGAACTTTCTTTATTCAAGATATGAATTTTCTTTTTTTTCGGCCTTGTCCTGCTGAATTTTTTCAAACTTTGCTCATTCAGTTCTTTCGACTTCACTTTCTTCTGGGCGTCCCAATCACTGATATCTAGGGCCTTGTTCAGCCAAAGAATGGGACATATGACAGGTCATTTCTCACCAAGAAAATTATCTCTATTTCGCAGTTTGTAAACGCTTTTTTTTCAGATCAAGCGTTCAGCGACGATGCGATGAACGCCCAGAAACAGTACGCTCAAGGGTTCCTCGGTCAGTTTTCGTGTAGCTTTTGTCGCATTCGACGTTTCTGTTTCCTCAAGCTATTTCATAGAAAAGAATATTTTCCGCGTTTTTGTTCTATTGTCTGCTTTCACCCTCTGAAAGCTTCTCATTCCCTTTATAGGGAAGCAAAAAACGCTTGCATTCTGCGGATCAGACTAGATATAATTGTGCGTCCAAAATGTGTAGAGGTAGGGTAAAATACACGTTGATGTAAATTACGACTTCAAAAAAAAAATGCTTCAGCAGCCATTTTTTGAATGAAGATTTGATGGAAGATTAATTTTCAATTATACACAGATAGGAAAATAAATACAGGATAAAACGAAATACAGCTCCCTGTTTCGCCATGCGTGTTCGAAACCGCCACAAAATGCTTTGGTTTTTTGGGGCCCGATTGGGATAAATGAACTTCATTTGCATCTTTTTGGTCGTGTCACAATTTACCCTAATTCCGGAGTAATTTTATTTTTGGCGAGAAAGGACCTTACTCACTGCTTTCATATATCCAAAATATGTGTTAACCTCTTCCAGAAATTTCCCTACAGTAATCACTCTGAGCACACCAGTGAGTAATTGCCTTCGAAGACTGAATGATAAGCTTTTACAGTCGATGATGTCGCAAGAGTAGGAACTCCGACGCTTTCAACGCCTAAAGATAACTAACGAAAAAACGAAATGTGCTTTTCTCTACGGTAGCTGCGACCAAGAGTCTCAAATTCTTGAACTAGAAAAAACGGAAATATTTGTAGTCAGATTTTTTGTAGGCGGACATATTTTTTTGAGTTTTGGTCTTTGGCTTTTGCCGAATGTATTTCCACCTCTTGGCTGTGGAATAATTGAGAAAAAAAGAAAAAAGAAAAGGTTCTTTCCTGTGTTTTCGATGCGACGCTTCATCACCACACGCTCATAATGTTATCATGATGGTGTCGATTTGTCATGCGGCCGTTTATCATCGCTTTTTTTTCGAATTTCGATTCAAGCCGTCGATCACCGCACTCTTTTACAAACTTTTTGTGAGCAGATGGAATGATGGAGAAAGTTATCAAAATAATTGTCTTAACTTTAAGAAGGGAATTTTCTTTTTTTTTTACGGGTTTCGAAGCCCAGGAGAGCAGATCCCTTTTAATATTTTTTTATATAAATTAGAGTTTCAAAACAAAAAAAGAAATTGAGAAAAAAAGTTGGTCGCTTGATTTTTTTGATATCTGAAAAAGCTAATAAACGATATTTTTCCGGTTTTAAATTTTTTTAAAAAGATATAGTAATGAGTTTGGAAATGTCCAGTAAACACATGTAACGGGCACGATCTTTGAAGTTTTAAGTGTTTAGTTTGCGTTGAAGTATTTATTTCTTCTCGATCAATGCTTATCAAATGATTTTACTGTAAAAGTCTTTCTGTGCGCACCAACAATTGTTATTTCTCCACAGGGGATCATTTGTGGAACCTTTGAAGTTTACGAAAAATGAAAAAAATATAAGGGAAAATTTAGTCAGAATTGTTTACCATAATTTCAACAAATTTTAATTCATTAGACGTGGAAGCTTTCTATTATACCTCCTCGGGCAAAGTCGGAATGGTGGATAGTGGCCGCTAAGAGAGAGAAGCTCAAAAAAAGGAGGAAAGGCAGCAAAAAGAGTCCCTTTACCGAGCCTTCCATTTTTCTAAGATTTCAAAGCTCAAGAAATGACAGGAAAAAGATTTCAAAGTTCAGCGCGCAATTAAGTTGATTTTTTTGAAGATTGAAAAAAATATGTGACTGCTTTTTTTCGGCTTCATTTTTTTCAACCCCTCAAAAGTTAGTTTTTAGTTTTTGACGCAGAAACTTTAGAAAAAAATAAAAAGACTTGAAATTTTGGGCAGCCTTGCTATTTATGCCCATTTTGAAGACCTTTTTTGTCTGTTCGAGGGGAATGTGTTGAAAAACGGCGGTTTCAAAGTTGATTATCGTTGAAGATGCTCTACGGGTGGTGCAGCAGTCGAACAAGTTCGAGTTCACGGGTCTGTCCCCGACGGCGCTTCCGATGCTCCGATCGACGCCCGCCGAACTCATGAGTCCGCTTCTGACGCCAACCAACAGCAGGTAGGCTTTTGACACATTTGTTCAACTTGTTCAAGCTTCGATAGGGCTTTATATTTTCTTCTTCGAACCTTCGCTTTTGCGGTGAACTTCAAATTAGTTCCTAGAGTTGAAGAGTAGTTTTTGATTCAGTTTGGTTCTAATCTTCAACAGACGAGGTGGCCTTATCACCTTATCAATCACTGAATAATCGTGAATAATCGATTTCCAAGTGACGCACGTCAAATTATCATGAGGAGGTAGCGAGGGGAAGCGATTCCTTTCTGAAGACTGGGGGAATCTAAAATATTTTGGAAACGCACTATTTTCATTTTGTGTAGTCTTTGTCTGGTTATTTATCTCTCAAAATGGATGTTTAAAAAAGAAGCGAGAGGGTTTTTCTTTTTTTTCACGATTATCATTTGAACGGCGTTTTGATTTACTGAACCAAGCCGTCGTTACAAAAAAAAGACAAAGAAAGGAGCGAATTGCGAAACCTGCTAGCCAGCGACTTGTCGTTGATAAAACTTATTGGACTTTCTTATCGTTCATTTTTGCGACTTGGAAAATGTGGAAATGAGAGGAAACAAACTCAAAATCTACGGATTTTCGACTCTTATTGAATATAAGTAACTGGCGGACACAGAGGCGCTAAATTAATTTTTATAGTGAAATTTTATTTCCTAAGAGTAATTAATGTTTTGCGGACGTTTGTTTCTTTTTATTAGGATTTATTATTCCAGTAATTTGTATTATAGGAAATTAAAGAAGGAAAAAGTTGTTGAGCTAAAATATTTTTTTAAGTTTGAAACTACATTCAACGTCCGAAGGATTAATCACCTCACGATTCCGGAAATCATTCATAAACGTCAGCATCTCTTCCTCGAGAATAGGAAGATTAGATGAGCCGAGATTATCTTCAGAGCAATATTCCCTTAATATATTTATGATCAGCTCCGAAGTCCTAAGATTAACGAAAGTTTTCCGAGCCAGGATGCCCGAAATAACACTAAGAGCGCTTCGTAGGTGGTTTTCGGTATAATTATCGGTTCCACCACAGATTCTTCTCGAAAGAATCGCGCAATAATTCTCCTGGAGGAAAAGAAAAATAACACGAGATTTCTCTCAAAGCGTTTTTTTGACTACTCCTTAGCCTTAAATCGTTCTCTCACAAAATATCACTCAATCGTGTCGATCCCAGGAATGTTTTTTCTCTTTCGTTCCAGAAAGATTTACGTGTTCTCAAGGAAGTTTCTCTCATTAGTCAAGGATTTGCTTGAGAAAAAAGCATATGCCTATGCATGGAAGTTAGTTACCGTAGGTTGTGAGAAAAGTCTGAAGTTCGCGAATGATGATATTAAGTCAATACAAGGAAGTCTAAAGCCGAAATGAGAAGAAATGTTTTGCACCTGCAAAATTATGGGAAACGCAAAATGCCGTTATTTTCTCATTAGTTTTTCTTATTTTCTCATTAGAAATTGAGGCTTAGCTCGTGCAGTTCAACTTTTTTATCGGGCTGAGGGATCCTCTGATGGTTATATCAAAGTATTCAAAGACGTGAAAGATGAGAATTTTCTCAAAAAGTCGAAAATGAGCAGAAATAATTTCAAAGGCATAGGGGCAGTAAAAAACCGTGTTTCAGTTCAAAGCATTACTTTGTAGAGTTTTTCTTTGCGAATCGAACGGTGAACTTAGAAACGTACAGAAGTTCCTGGTTTTGAAGAGAAAAAATTATTCGGAGGGAAGTTTGATGCCGTGTTCAAAGTAATTATGGCGATTTCAAAATAGACGCGTTATTTGTTTGAAATGAATTCACGAAATAGGCAGAATTGCTATTCCGAGAATGGCAAGAAAAAATGAGTCCTAAAACGATATATCATTAAATATGCATTTTTACCGTAATTTCTTCGCGGGAACTCAAAATTTTGGAATTATTTGGGCATTCTCAGATCTACTGAAATTTCAAATTCGCGCGTAAAACTCACCGTAAAAATGCGTATCTAACGATATATCGTTGTAGGACTCACCTTCCCAGAATACCAATTCCGCCTATTTTCCGAAATCATTTTAAACGAATAACGCGTTTATTTTGAAATCGCCGAAATTACTTTGAACACGGCATGAGATGATGGTACGACATCTCAAGTCCGCAAATCTCGAGGACCGTAATCTTGTGTACGCAGATCTAAAGTCCCATAATCTTGGAAACCAAAATCTTGGAGACCAAAATCTTGGAAACCACAATCTTGGAAAGCAAAAATCTTCCCTTTTAGTCTTCTTTATTGCACTTTATCTACTTATATTCTCTTGTTTGGATCACCGAATACAATTTCTGAAAAAATCTGTTCGCAAAAGCGTTGATTTTTGCTTTCCAAGATCGTGGTTTCCAAGATTTTGGCCTCCAAGATTTTGGTTTCCAAGATTATGGGACTTTAGATCTGCGTACACAAGATTACGGTCCTCGAGATTTGCGGACTTGAGATTTTGTCGTACCATCCATGAGATCCCGCCAAAAAGGGGGTCTTGCAGTAAAGTCGCTCTATGAACAACACGTATCGCGATTTTTCGGATTCTCGCTTTTTTCTTCGTTTCTTTCAAATTTCAATTTTTTCTGCTGTCACCAAAGTTCTTTTTGTCTTAAAAACTTTCTATTCATGTGTAGTTTGCAAACTTTGATCGCAAAAATGCTTGTCTGGTGAAAAATGGTGACTTTACACTGGTTTCGATTGGGATAGTGATATTTTGTGTTTTCTTTATTATCGGTGTGTGTTTTTTGTTTGACTAAATGTTTTTTTCAGAGAAGAAACCTTTAATTTGAAGCAGATATCCGGTTATTTCTCACAAAATGCGAGTCTAATGAGACGTCCGAAACATCGCCTGCACAGCTATTGTCCTCAGTTGTCCGTACACCGATCCAAAGAATTTTTCAAATTTAAAGGAAAAGTAAATTCGCGTTTTTTTCTTCTAAAGTTGTCACATCTGTAATTTTTTTGAGTACACCGTTCGATTCGCAAAGAAAAATTATATAAGATACTGCTTTCACCTGAAACCCCGTTTTTTACCGCCCCTATGCCTTTAAGTATTTTCATTTTGAAACTTGGATTTCCGAGTAGCGTTTTACAAAACAAGGCGTTCCCTAGAAAAAAAACAACAAAATGCCGTAAAAAAATCTTTCTCATTTCAAAAATGCCTACAAACTTTCTTCAAATTGAGTTCATTCATATAGAACCTTTCTAATATTTTAAATTGCTTTTGAACGAAAGAAGAACAATTTTAGAAATTTTCATAGATCCTGAGAATGAAATAGTTGATCATTCAGCATCAGAAGTGTCAGAAGAACTGATACTTTTTTTCCAACTCTCAAAGTTTTACTAGAACTATTCCTCTTTGGAATAAACTAACTTCTTATTTAGATTTTAACGTTACCCCAGAAACTCTTCGTAAAAAGTTGAACGCTCTTCCTTTTGAAGCTTTTCATGAAAATATCCCCTCTCGTCTCCTATTAATTTGTCATATTTCCGGGTACCTGTCAACTCGTTAGGGTTGACTCTTACCCGTGCACGGACACGCGTGTATTGTTATTTCTCTGCCTATCCTTCATTTGATCATTTATTCCTTAATTATTTTTCTTTTTCTGTTGAATAACGGCAGTGAATAAACTATATATATAAAAAGTATTTCACGGCGAATGAAGGGGTGAAAAAAACAAAAAAATAATTTTTTTGAAATTTCAGATATCATTCTGACTTTTTCGAAATTAATTGAAACGCTGAACGAGATTTTACACTTTTTGAAAATTCGCTCTATCACCTGAGAATTCTTTTTTACAATTTAAATTGAAGATTTTCGATCAATGACGACTTTCAGAGACATGCGCGCGATAATGTACGGTCTGCTGGGAACTCCGGGGATGACGGCTTCGCAGACGAAGGTGATGACGTCATCGAACGGCGTCTCTCCGACTTCTGCGCCCTGCGGCAACGGCCTCGGCTTGGATGCGCTGAGTCTACCCACGACTTTGGCTCTAGAGTCGGTGCTTCTTTTCCTTTTTTTTTTCCGAGATTACGGTTTTGCTTGGAAACAACTTCCTCATTTTAAATTTGGAAATTTCCTAGGAATGTATCAGATGACGTGTTGTATGGAAATATGTATTTAGATGTCTCAAGTAATTCAAATTTGAGAGAATGTGGAGTTCGTTCGAAGTTTGCGAAATTTATTTTAATTGAATAAAAAGTCCTATAAAAGATTTCTAAAAATGTTTCAAAACAACTTTTCTACGTAAAAAAATATTTAGTGTAGTTAAAAATATTGTGAAACATTGAGCAGTTTGATAAAATTTCGGAATTAAGCTTTCTCTCGAAAATGTGTTATAAGTTTGCCTCTCAGTTATTTCTTGATGGTTTTTTAACCGCAAATGATAAAAACTTCTGAGATTTTTGAGGCCCTATATATTACCAAAAGAGTCAGAATTTTGTAAAGTGGTGCATTAATAACCACCTTAGCGTTTATCCTACGTATGATCCGAGTTGGAAACCGATGACTTTAACTAGAAGAATCTCTCGATTTTGAGTTCAATTGCAGCAACCAAAGTCTTCTGTCGCTTGCCGCCGTCGCTCTTCCGGGACCGCCCATCTCCACGACGACGACGACGACGTCTTCGCTCGCCTCGTCGCCGACGATGCCCGTTTCGCTGGCCAATCTCAGCTGCCTCACCAACATCGCCACGTCTTCCCTTCCATCCACGTCTCGGCCTGACAAATTCAACCTCACTGTTTGTTTTTTTTTTTCTGTCCGGCAAGTTGGCTAATCTCATGTTTTTTCTCTGAGTCGATAGGCCTCAAGTTTCTACAAACCTGTATAGTTTTGATACCAGACTTTAGAGACTTTTAGGGTCATAATTTTCTTAAAATCCATTTTTGAGTCAAATTTTCTAAAGAGCAAAGCAAAAGTTTTGGAAAATCTCACAAAATAGAGGTATTTTTCTTCTTTCGAAAAAATCGTAAATCGTTGTTTTAGCCAAAAAAGAGACAGACAATAAGACCTGTCCAGTTTTTTTTTCTTCCTTTCGGTTTCGCCATTTTTTTTCAAGAAAAAAAAGATACTGACCCGCAAAAAATTGGCGCGTCCTGTTAGAATTAGTTTGTGTAAACCACTGAACCCCTTGAAAGATTTTGCCGACTTTGCCCAAGTTCATCTTTTTTTCTGATTTATGGTTCTTTATATTAGTTTTGGTGTTACCGGCTCAACAATTAATTTCGTTTTTTTGACACTAAAATGATTTTTGAACACCTTAAGTTTAGAGAATGAAAAAAATTATTTCATCAGTTTATTTTTTTCTTTGTTTAGATTTGAGGCTCTTCCGAATGTTTTTCTAGAAACTTCAGAATAAGTTTATATTTTTTCGAACAAAATTTGAAATTTCAAAAATTAATCTTCAATTATGCTTTATTTTTGTTTTATCAAGACGAATTCAACATTTTTCATCAACTCTACTTTTTTTATACACAGTTAATAGATTTAAAAAGATTTTCCAAAAATTTCGGGGCAGTAGTTCAAGCGATGTCCCTGCTCGGCTATGGCCTGTGACTCGAAAAGAAGAGATTATAATGCAATATTCCATAAGGTGATTTCAGCCGCCGCAGCTTCGCATCGACACGGTGGAGGATTCTGACGCTTCTGAATCCCGCTCCAGATCTTCTTCGTCGGCGCCGAGCAGCAATCGTCGAGAAGAGTCAGTTACTTTTTTCATTGAGAGGATTATTTCTTGTCTTCTACAGAGTTGAAATGTCAAAGGAAGAATAATAAAGATCCTGCGATCTTTTTTTCAAGCACTGTTATATTTAAATCAACATCTCACCTCTACAAGTTTAAAAAGCCCATTTCCTTTTAGAAATAACTGGCTTTTTTATATCAGACTTCATGATTGCCAACAACTTCGTTTTTTCTTCCAAGTTTCAAAGAATTTAATCTTCTTCCGAATCAAAAAGATTCTATATTTTCTCACGTATGCCTGAATGAGACTTTTAGAAACTCTATAGGAAAAATAAATCACACAAAGAATCAGTGAAAAAAGATTACATGTAGATAAGAGAAAAAAAAGTTTCGCATAACCAAATTAGAGCTAATTAATTAATTTGTGACGATTTCCGAATGGATTTCAGCGAATAGACTTTTTCACTCTTTTTTCAAACTTGCTTATTGGAAACGAGTAAACTTTGCTCATAGAAACTGTTTTTCAACTGATTTTCGATGTTTTCTAGACGTCTGTTAGTCTCCGTAAACAATTCAAAGCATGTGTAGCCTGTTTAAATCTTACGTTTCTTCCTCAAAGACATACCAAATCACTCGGTCCGTTCCTGTTAGACACGTGCTGGGTCACCCAGCAAGTCCCGAATTTTACGAGTTGAAAAAAGTGTCCGCCGCACTATTTTCGACTAATTTGAATGACCAGCTGTTCGCGAAGACTGTGGTCATTTTGATATGGAAAAAAGGTCAGAAAAATCTCGATCTTCTTAAATAAACACTCCTCTTTGAGCGAGTTTCGATACGAAAAATGACGCATGTTTTTTCACAAATAAGTTGAGTTTACCTATGTGTAAATATGGCAAAAAATCTCTCATTGAAGTTTTATACGCACCCTTTATTCAGTTTTTCATTGATATACTTTAAAAATCTAAAAATTACAAAAATAAAAAAAATTTCCTTATTGCAATACAAAAAAAGCAATGAAAAAAAGATTTGAATTAATTTTTTTTCGAAGCAATAGAAATCTTTTGACATATTAAAATTCATAAGAAATCAAGCTTTTCTGGGAGACCATTCTAGTTTTTATAACTTGGAATAATTAGGTATATTGGACCTTTTATGTTTACTTTTCATTTAATTTATTCTGGACTGTCAGTTATCCGGACTTTATCACGTTTCATTGCTCCCTCGGGAGAAAGAAGAGAGGAGTCCGACTTGTGAGAGGGAAGAGCCACTGTGGCGACGGTCGGACAGGCGATGACTCATCCGCGGAACTCGCCTCTGCGCGACGTCATGAGTCATCCTCCGCCCACGCAGAGTCTTCCAAACGCTTCTCCTCTTGCCCAACTTATTTATTGTCTTTGCAAGTTCTTTTCGGTCGGTCCATCTGTGGGAGATCAAATCAATCAATCAAACATTTTTTATTTCTCACACAAAGTACTGAAGTTTACGAAATGGATGTAGGAAGAATGTGGGGAAGAAAAAGATGGCTGTAATTTTCGCTTCTCGAATGATTTCAATGGATATGTTTGTTAGTTTTCATCATCTTCTTTTTTAAAGTTAACTAAATTTTAAAAAATGGGCAGACATATTGAGTCTGTTCACTTGGAAACTTTCCTTTAACTTTTGGTTCGAGGAAAAAAATAAATTTCAAAGGTGGTTTTTAGTCGGAACTCTATAATGGGAGTTGAAGCATAATTGATGGCTTCAGAAGATTTCTGAGAACGCTAAGATACTAATCATTATTTTTTGGTGACCCGTTTGTAAAGCGTTATATCTGAATTTCGAGGATAAACCGTAAACTTCAAAAAAAAAAACCTCAACTTTTAAAAATTTTCTGCTTTAGTTCTCATTTCTACACACTGTTCCAGTTCAGAACTTTAAATTATACATTCTCATAAGGTGCCACAGTGCATATATAATGAAAGAGAGATGTTGAATGATTATTTGCAAAAGTTGGGGTTTTCGGACTGGTATAGATTTTTCAATATGAGGCAAGGACAGAGAAACTGAATTTTATGTTGGGTCTGGTGGGGAAAAGCCAAAGGAAGGTGGCACCTGGTTTGCGCCGCCGCCGTACAGGCTGCACCTCCAGACCACGCCCACGAGAGTCTGTCTACCCGTACATAACACGCAGCGCGCCGCACTTTTGGATTGCAAACGTCGGCCTCTTCGGCTGCTTCGGAACTTCGAACCGAGATGCATCACCAGTGGACTTACCCTCATGGACAGCAGCATCTGATCCACCAGCCTTCTACTCATCACGGATTCGCCACTCCGTCTCACGCCGACTTTTCCGGATACTCTTCTTCGGATGCCAATCAGATGTTAGTCACCTTTTGAGCTTCTCCAGCTCCAAGCTTTTCCGACTCACTGAGTTCATTTATCATCAAATCTCACCTAATATGCTCGTTCGACCGTAAGTTTCTAATGAGAAAAACATGTTATGAAATTGGTGTTCATTCCTAGCATTTCATTTCAACATCGCCAAAAAGTTTTGAGTGTTTTCATGTCTTTTCAGTTATTAACACAGTTTTTCGAGTTAAAATCATTTCCGAGGCTCCTGGCAGATATGATGAGTCACTTTAACGCAAACAGTATAGTTTACTTTTTCCAATAATCTCTCTCTCTCTACTTTTTAAAGAACTTTCTTTTAGGTCAGGTATTCGAATAGGTATGTCAACCGTTGATATGTTTTTGTGGAAGCGATAACGATAACTGTTTTGCTTATTCATTAGCTTCTTCTCTGAGTGATTTCCCGATAATCTTATCTCTCCCACATTGTATCATTTCCGGTCGATGCCTATCTCTGCAAGCTGCAACTTGTGCGAGAATCCGAGTTTCCCTCGCGATAGCGGAATTCTTTTATGTTGGCAAGAGTTTTCGAATTCTGTGAGAAATGACGGCGTTGGTACTGTTCACACGTGCTGGCACCTGTTTTTTTTCTGCGTGTTTTTTGCGTGAGAAAAAAAACTCTTGAGAATTCCTATTCTTGTTGGATTCAAAAATTAATCTGAACGCAGACAGAACTTCTGACTATGCAATTTGAAATGACGCAGTAAGTAATCATGGTTTTCATCAGACACTCAACTTCTCGAATTGCATAGAATGGAGGGGAAAAAGGAAAACGAACAAAATCTCGCAGGAACCATTCAGAAAGTGCAAACTTTACGAAAGGCTGCGGATTTACAGGGGTGGTCGCTTTCGCAATAGTCGCCTTCCCACTGAAAATGACTGTTTTGGGAGAATGATCGATTTGCTATCTGTTGGGACTGTTTCCAAAGAAAAAAGCTGTCCTCGAAGCTTCGATTTCCGTCGAAATCGGGAACATGTCGAAGAATCCATAAGACAGTCATTTATTACTCCTTCCAGCATTCCTTTCACATAACCAGCTTTTGTGTCAATTTCGAAATTATTCATCCTAACATTAGAAATACTTTCTTATGAACAAAATCATCAAAATGTATTATCTCGCCTTGGGAAAGTGAGAAACTTTTTTTCTCCATTAATGTTTTTCGAAATCCGAAAGACTATTCCTTGAATAGTTTAGTTGGGCAATAAATTGTCGCTAAATCCATTCGAGAGCGACAAATAAAGGTAGTTTCAATTATACTTCATAAGATACGTGGAAACTAGAGAGTTAGCAGATAAATTAGTTCGACGAATGTTTTCTACAAATTAGCGGCGCATCAACCATAAAAGGTCGAAAAAAAGGCAGCGCTGCACGAACAAAAGGAGCATCGATCTGTCAGCGTCGGCAAGAAGTTTCTCGTCGAGAAGAAATTCAAAACTCGGTCCCGCCTACTTTTCAAACGAAGTACTGTACGGGACAGCACGACGCCGTGACTCACTGGACGACCGACGCCGTCGCTGCCGCCAAAACCTTCCTCGCACACGACTTTCTCGCCACTTCTCCACCGGTCCTTACTCTGAGCCAACGCGATGCAACGAGCAGCCATAGAAAACTTCTACCGGCAGCCGCCGTCGCAGTCGCAACTCTTCAGCGACTACGGCAATCACTACCTCCAGTATCAGTTTGGTCAACCTCATGTCTCGCGCTCTCCGTTTGAAATGTAAGCATCTGCAACTTTCCAAACTTTTCGAGTTTCTTCTTTCTGATTCGAAAACTTCTTTTTTTAATCACCCAGAAGAGCGCAGTTTTCAATTTTTACTTATTGAAATTACCAATGTAGGCTTCTTTATGATTATTGATTAATGAAGTTTTTTCGAATTATAGAAGTAATACTTCATGGATTCGAGAATTAGTGAATCCTCGTACGTCCCGAATTCTTATTTTAGAAATATAATGCAAGTGACACAACCGTACAAAAAAAGCAGAAGCTCGATTATCTTTTAACTTTTGATTTTATTTTTCCTTCCATTTTTTTGTTGCTCTCCGTTATTTCCCGAGCACTCTATTATATCGAAACGTCTGTTTCACCGATATAATGCGCCATCAGCCCTTGAAATACCAATCGATTCTGCTACCGTAACCTCAATGGGCGCCGCTCAAATTTTGGCCTTAACCTTAAGTGTCCGATAAATGAGGCTGGCAAACACTCTACCGTAGTCCTTTGTGCAGCCCGTCTCTGTTAATAGCTGTCGAATGATAATTTCTAACAGAAAGTAGCTGTTCGTTAGTTCTCGGGTAAAAATGACTAAAACTTTTCCGTGAGTTACCGAAAAACGATCGACAAAAAAAAAAGATAAATCTGAACATTGTCTATTCTTTGTTCCGAATTAAGTGTATACTCTTCAGTTTTCAATGATATCAAGCGTCCTCTTTTTTTCGTTAAAATATTTTTGTAAAGCAAAATCTTCGAAAATAATCAAAGAAACGACTAGAATTGTATTCACACGGTGGTGACTCAGTAGCTGGTTCTCGAAGTTATTATTTTGTAGTTCTCTGAGTCATCCACTTCAAGGCGACATAAAAAGAAAGGAATTTCCACGATCAGGTGTCCCTTATCCGCATCGCCCCTGGCAACCGGTGGGCGTTCGTCGTGATTCACGGAAAACAGATTTTTTATGGAGATAACCTTCTGACTGAGCTGTCCGTGCCGTTTTACGCAAAAAAAAAATAGGCTGACTCATTTCCATAAAAGGCTAGGCCCAGCCTTGCCCAATCATTCGCCGGCTGAATGGCTGCTACTTCGTCGTCCCGACTCGAGGATATTGTTGATCGGATCCACTCGATCCACAAACATCAGTGGTGAGCTTCGATTTGAAGAGTTACTGTGATTTCTACGGTTCGGTTAGAAACTGGTTTTTTTTTCGCTTTCTGAACATAAATGAAGTTGCAGCAAGTTTTTTCCAGAAAAATATACAGCTTTTTGCGGAATCTCACTCGCACTCTTGAGAAATGCGAAACCACTGGCTCTGCGCTTATATTAGTGGCGAACAGCGTTCACTTATTCCGCCAATTGCGAAACTTGTAAGCTCATGTGTTTTTTTTTTTTTGCCTAAGCCGACGGCTTCTCGTATAAACGCTCTGCTATTTGCGCCGTTTCGTGCTCTTCACTTCCGAATTTCTCTCATCTCTTTGATTCTAAACTTTTTCGCGCTCAAGGCTCTTCAATAACCATGGACTGCAGGTGGAGCCTTTTGTAAGAGTTTTCAAAGTTTTCCCTAGTCCTCCTTTGAGGACCTGGACTAAAATCTCCCTAGTTAATACCGGGACTCTGGGTCAACTTTTGGCCTCATCATTCATTTTCAATTCAGTCAAAAGACTACTGTGAGGTCTGAATTCGCCAATAAGAAGAATGAAAATGATTGGACCAGTGATGACAAAGACACCGTATTGTAGAATAGCTGAGACCAATTTTAACATAACGTTGTTTAGTTAATTCAAACAGTTCGAGCAAAGATAAATGAAACTTCGAAATTGTTTTCATGTGATGCTGTGTTTCAGGATGTCGATGGACGAGCAGGAGCGGAAGAAACTTGAACGGAAAAGAGCACGAAACCGCCAAGCGGCCAGCAAGTGTCGTCAGAAGAAAATGGAGCGTATCAGCGAGCTTGAGCAACAGGTTTTATTTTTTTTTTATTCAAGGTTTTCTCGGAATTCTCTATAGAAAACCTTTTTATTGGGTCTTTCAAAAGTTATGTGCTGAATGAAAATAGAGCAGCGTAGCTGGCTGAGATGAGTCATTTTGTTTGCCGCGTCCCTTCTCGTGACTCACCTCCACGTCTTCTTTTGTACTCGTCAGCGCATGTATCATCAACATTCACTAGAGATCTAGGTTCGAAATTTTCGTCGGTTACCCAGAAGTTATGAAGATCTGTAGGCGAGAAATCCTTCGTGGTGATACGTTGACGTCGTCTATTTGTCGATCATATGTTTAGGCCAAATATTTATTCTGCCGCATGTGTTAATGCGCTTTATACGTGCTTATTCTTAGCCTTTTATGACTTTTGTTGAGGGAATGTCCTATCGAACGCTACGAAGCTTTGAACAATTAAATAGGGAAGGATTCGATTGAGACGCAGATAATCAGTAAACCATTACCAAGCTTAAATAAGGTTTCGAAAAAGTGAACCCAAATAAGTTAGATAGTCTATAAGGATAGCGAACTTCACAGCGATTCAAAAAAAGGATTGGAGATGGAGAAAATTGTGAAAATGCCATTATTATGCTTTTATAAATCGTTTCTATAATATATTGATTTTCTTGCAACGTTATAAGATAGGAATGAAATGACCTTCCTTATATTCATCATTTCAATATTTCAGGGAGTTATCTCCTAACTCATATCAGCATTCTAACTCTTAAACAGCTAGAACTTTATGAATACTCTGACTCCAGGTGACAAACGAGAAGCAAAGAGCGGCGCGACTCGACATTGAGCTGGATCAGCTTCAGCGAGCACTGAACGACATGCAGTCATTGATTGCGTCGCACTCGAATCGCGGATGTCAGTCGCCGCATTCGCAACACCGCCATTGATCTCCAGAAGTCGCCGACTTGTACAAACCTTCTAAGGATTTTCGTTTCTTTCTAGAACTCATGGTTAATCGCTCCAAATTCTACTTGAAAGCTATATCCTTTTTCTACAGTGGCAGTAGGTATAGCCAATTGTAAACAAAGTGTTCGTTTTTACTTCACACTTTTTAAGGGTTTCATCAGTTTGGTTCTCTTCTCCTCAGCGTTTTCGTATACCCAGATGCTACTTATATATGGTTGACCAGCGTTTAATCAGTCCATCTGTTCTATAATGGCTCTTTTCGTGTGTAGGTTGCGTGTAGTACAGAGATATATTCACCTTTCTGACCTCTTTTAGTCGGTAAAAAAGTTTTAGGACTTTCCTCGGCGGATACATTCCATCTCAGGATAGATTTTACTCATTAAAACGATCAAAATCAGAAATTTTGTCCTGAATAAACTTCATTTCCTCTGTTCCTCTACAACCGACTTGGTATTCCTCACCCAGTGCTTCTTCGCCTTATCAGTTAGTATCAGTTTCACTTTATATTAGTTTATTGTTGAAAATAAAGTTGCGGGATATATAATTACAGAGAAGCGATGAAATATAATAGGATGAAGCAAATACACGTAAGGAGGGAAATACTATCAAGTGGAAGGTTTTTAAAACGTAGATGATACACTTCAAGCATTTCTTTCACAAAAAATTCTGTTTCTTTCGAAGATTTTTCAAATTATTGCTATTTCAGCTAATTCGAATCGAAATGACTTTGAAGTATACTTTCTCGAGTTGCAGAGTGGAAAACGCTTAACTAAATTCAGTGAGAACAAAAGAAATGGAGCCTGTCATCTAGGCATGTCAGGCCGTTGGAATGCGTAGGACGGCACGTTCTCCGCGTTGTAGTACGGATACATTGGGTTGTTGATGACCGGCATGAGGATCTCGTACATGACGATGAGGAAGAGCACGCACGACGTGTAGCAGACGATGAAGATGATCAACTCCCGCTTGTTCCAGGGATTCTCCTCCGTGTAGTCCGACGGCAGCGAGTACACCGACATTCGCGTGCTGCAAAAAGCTTTTTTTTCAAATTACTCCCGATGATCCTGCTTTTAAAAAAAGTAAAATTCAGAATTTTTCATTAAAAATTTTCAATAAACTCCATTGCTTTAACCGGCTTTTCCCTGGTTGCTCTATAAAAATAGCATTGGTTTATGAGTAGAAAAATCATCTTCACTTTGAATTTTGCCTTTCGTAATTATTTTTTATAAAAACAATTGATTTATTTTGTGTGACTCGAAGGCTCTCTATCTTATATCATGATTTAAATTGGTAGTACTATTTTATTTCATTTTCTCTCATTTTTTTCTTGTCTTAAGTATACATTTCACTATGTCTTTCTCCAAAATAGGTAATCACTAAGTTCCTTCATTTCTGTCTCAAAAAAAGAACATAATTGAACATGAAAACTGAATCAAAAACCATAATGCCTCAATGAAAATTTGTCAGCTTTGTTAGAAATCGCGATTTCTGATAAATTTGCGCGGATTGCAGAATTGAAAAATTTTATGATAGAAAAAAAAAAGTTAAATAATCAGGAATCTGAGATTAGCTTATTGGTTATGAGCAGGCTTGTGCGAGGGCCGGCCCGTCAACCTCTCGGCCCCCCGGCCACTTCTAAGCCCGGCC